GGCAGAGCTCCCTGCGTCGAGAGCTGTAACGGCCCTTCAGGTGGAGGAGATTGTACACCAGAATGATCAATACACCCATAGCTCCACGGAGGATGTTCGCCAGGCAGCCCTAAGCGAGAAGACACGGCTAGCGCATGACCGTCGTCAGAGGGAGCAGAATGATTTCGTCACGATCAAGAGCAGTGCGTCCCCTGCCCTGGCTCGTCGGCTGGAGAGTTTATCCACGAAAGGTGTGTCGAGTTGGCTCGGGGTATTGCCTCTGGCAGACCATGGTCACCATCTGTCCAAGGGAGACTTCCGCGACGCTCTAGCTCTCCGCTATGGTTGGTCTCTCTTGGACACACCAGCGAGCTGTGTGTGTGGGGAGCCGTTCGACGCCACGCATGCGATGATTTGCCCCCGCAGAGGTTTCCCGACAATTCGCCACAATGAAGTAAGAGATATCGTGGCGGATCTTCTGACGGAGGTATGCTCAGATGTGGCAGTCGAGCCTGTACTTGCTCCGATCACAGGCGAGGTGTTTTTATCGGCATCAACAAACACCGCGAACGACGCCCGGGCTGATGTCCGAGCTCGTGGGTTCTGGACCCGGGCTCAGAATGCGTTCTTCGATGTCCGGGTCTTCCACCCGGATGCAGCATCATACAAGAGCAAGCCCGTCAGTGATCTTCTGAAGCAACATGAGCGCCGCAAGAAGAGTGAGTATGCCGAGCGTATCAACAATGTCGACCGTGGTTCATTTACCCCTCTAGTCTTTACCACGGCGGGTTGTTGTGCTCCGGAGTGTACTGCATTCATTAAGCGGTTGTGTGCATTGCTGGCAACTGCCGATCGACCGTATGCCCAGCTAATGGCCTATGTGCGGTGTCGCTTGTCCTTCGCTTTGCTCAGGGCAGCCATAATGTGCATTCGCGGTGCACGTTCGGCCTACCATCGTCCAGTTAATGCGATGAGGGAGTTGGCCATTGTGGAGAGCGGCCTCTAACTAAATCTAAGCATGTGATTGAGTGGTCTCTGCATGTTGATCGGGTAGCGGAGTTCCATCACTGACGCAGTGTGCGGGTATTGCATTATGAATTGGTTGAGTAGATAGTTCCGGAATTAATTCCGTGTTCGATATTGTTTATTTTTTACATATTGTTTATTTTATTTTATTCGTGTTCGATATTGAATTTTAATTTTAATTTATTTATTTTTTACAAATATTGTTTTTATTCCATTTCACATTTTTCATTCGTGTTGGGTTTAACTACTCACTGTACTGATACATGGTGATGATTGTGCTTTGCTTTGCCCGTAAAAGAGGCCTTCCCTGTATAATAATAATAATAATAATAATACTTTAATAACGAAGGTACGTGTTGGGTCGTAAGTATCCACGCAAACACACATCCAGTCAAAATAAGGCACTTGTCAAAGTATCCGAACGTTTTCGGTCCCTTCTCATCAAGGATTATACAGGGAATGGCTCAAGTTGGAAAGACTAAAACTTATATAGCGTAAAGATATGAGATAACAACACTCGTGACAAGGTGGAAAAAGTATCAAGTTCAGCACGACACAAAACTCGAAGGAAATAATAATAGCGACAAGAACATAGTGAGCAAATTAAGTTACATTGTTAACACCTCGACGAGGAGTAACACCAAACAATTGTAGCGACAACACATTTTCTTTCTGTACGCAAAGACGTCGTGAGTTGTACAGTGATAATGTGTTCTCAATATTGTCACGTGGTAGATGTGCGTTGCATCTGGCTGTGTTAGAAGCTTTGTATATCCGTAAGTTAGATCCTGAACTTTGCGTACAGAAAGAAAATGTGTTGTCGCTACAATTGTTTGGTGTTACTCCTCGTCGAGGTGTTAACAATGTAACTTAATTTGCTCACTATGTTCTTGTCGCTATTATTATTTCCTTCGAGTTTTGTGTCGTGCTGAACTTGATACTTTTTCCACCTTGTCACGAGTGTTGTTATCTCATATCTTTACGCTATATAAGTTTTAGTCTTTCCAACTTGAGCCATTCCCTGTATAATCCTTGATGAGAAGGGACCGAAAACGTTCGGATACTTTGACAAATGCCTTATTTTGACTGGATGTGTGTTTGCGTGGATACTTACGACCCAACACGTACCTTCGTTATTAAAGTATTATCCGCCTCCGACTTCTTGTAAAAAATAATAATAATAATAATAATAATAATAATAATACTCATAAAAAGGACACACTTCAGGCTCATTACAAACATCTTGAAAGTTTTTGTCTTCACAAGTATACTTTCAAGCCTTCTCATCAGGTGAAATACAGGCAAGGGAAAAGGAACAGGAACAGTGGATTAAATACAGTAAGAAGGTGGTAAAACAGCGCAAAAAGAAAGAAAGAAAGAAAGAAGATAGCTAAAGTAAACAGCGAAAATTGCAATAATGACACAAAGGTGCAAATGCGAGAAAACTCAATAAGCGCGACATGTAGTGCGACAACAAGAGACAACCACTGGACATACATGTAACTAACGAGGTTTTGACGACCTACCTAACAGCCTAAGTGTGAATTTGATTTGTTTCTGCTTGCAAAGGTTGGGTTTCCTTGTGTGGATGTATACAGCTTCCAAAACATTCAGCAATCTAGCACTGCGTACACGAGACACAATCGAAAAACAATCGTCCGAATACACAGCACGACAATCAGGATGCTCAAACAAATGACTAGCAATGGACGACTCATACTTATCAGAACTAACATCAGAGCAATCAGCATGTGCGGTGGACACATCCGATTTCACATGGCTAGTCGAGTGGACCCTAGCCGTTGCCTCTGTCTGTGCTTTAGTCGCTGCCATCGCCGCCGTTGCCGATCTTGTCATTCTTCTGGTTGATGCGGTTCCTGTCACTGCCATGCACGTATGTGTCTTGTCCGGTTGTTTTTCTGGTGGTCTAGTTAATTGTGAGGTGACTAAAGCACAGACAGAGGCAACGGCTAGGGTCCACTCGACTAGCCATGTGAAATCGGATGTGTCCACCGCACATGCTGATTGCTCTGATGTTAGTTCTGATAAGTATGAGTCGTCCATTGCTAGTCATTTGTTTGAGCATCCTGATTGTCGTGCTGTGTATTCGGACGATTGTTTTTCGATTGTGTCTCGTGTACGCAGTGCTAGATTGCTGAATGTTTTGGAAGCTGTATACATCCACACAAGGAAACCCAACCTTTGCAAGCAGAAACAAATCAAATTCACACTTAGGCTGTTAGGTAGGTCGTCAAAACCTCGTTAGTTACATGTATGTCCAGTGGTTGTCTCTTGTTGTCGCACTACATGTCGCGCTTATTGAGTTTTCTCGCATTTGCACCTTTGTGTCATTATTGCAATTTTCGCTGTTTACTTTAGCTATCTTCTTTCTTTCTTTCTTTCTTTTTGCGCTGTTTTACCACCTTCTTACTGTATTTAATCCACTGTTCCTGTTCCTTTTCCCTTGCCTGTATTTCACCTGATGAGAAGGCTTGAAAGTATACTTGTGAAGACAAAAACTTTCAAGATGTTTGTAATGAGCCTGAAGTGTGTCCTTTTTATGAGTATTATCGCATTTTTGTCTCAGAGGAAACTGTTTACCTAAAAAAAAAAAAAAAAATAATAATAATAATAATAATAATAATAATAATAATAATAATAATAATAATAATCTTTTTGTATTCGAATATGTCCTGTCCTCCTCCATCTTTTTGTATTCGAATATGTCCTGGCATCCTCCATCGTACTGCTTATTTCTGTCCGTCTCTCAGTTTCTGCGTCGGCTTTCAATATTTTTGCTTTGGTTTTTACAATCCTTTTTGCTTCGGTCTTCATTGCGTTGGCCATTTATCTTTTTTTTTTCTCTCATTACCCTTGGTCTCTTTTGGCCCGGTGATGGGGTTCTTACCTCATGTCATGACAACGTGAGTGAAATAAAGCCAACTCCATAATAATAATAATAATAATAATAGTACTTACCGGTAGTACTCAGTAGTAGTAGTGGACTTTTAACAAAACGCAAAAGTCAAGTCAAAAAAGCCCTCTTCCCAATGAAACAATCTGTTACCATGACAATGGGTCGCAGCGCTAAAAGCAGTTACCATGGTACCAGTGTGGCACAGGTGCAGATAAGGGAGTCGTAAAGTACGGTGTTTTACTACTCCCGGCCTGGTGCAGATTTTTCTTATTTTTTTTATCCCTGGTGCAGATTGCAGTTGAACGGCACCGCGTGCCCTCAGATGCAAATGACTCGGCCCGATTTGCGGTTGCCATGAGCAGCATCGGTTAAAGCTCCCTCCCGAGGCTCCGTACTAGGCCCGTACTAGACTGTTTTCACAGCCATTTTTGCCGCAGCCCTTTTTTTTGCTCTCTCGACTGTTTTCACAGCCATTAATTTTTTTGCTCTCTCGACTGTCTTCACAGCCATTTTTTGCTCGTTTTTCTTCCGGTGCTGTTGAGGTTGCACGTTGCACTCGTGTTTATTTTGCCAAGAGGCTTGGCTTTTGCCTAGGAACGAAAAAAAAAGAAAAAAAGTTGAACAGTACAGGTCAGGAGGGAGTCGTATTTCTACGACTCCCTGGCAGACCAGAAAGTCTACAAACAAGATAAGACAGTTGAAGTGTAGGTCAGTGTGGCCAAGAGTACATGAAAACCAGAGTGTGCAGCTCGGATGGGTTGCTGTCACGGCGAAATTCCGTGATTACATCATTTTAGTGATGTAGTGCGTACAAGCAGGATTCAAGCAGGTCTCTTTCTAATTCTGCACAACTGCAGCTCAGTTGTACGCACTACGCCATTTCCCGCCTCAGATCTGGGCCAAATATGATGTAATCACGGAATTTCGCCGTGACAGACACCCATAGCAGAAAAGGCCCCAAGCTGCACACTCTGGTTTTCATGTACTCTTGGTGTGGCCATGTACATGTGTACATGTGGTTGTGTGACGATGATGACCACATGACCGCGTAGCTCTTCACCGCGTGTCCGTGATGTCGTAATGGATCGATCAGGCGTGGTCGATCAAGCAGCTTGAAACAGAAAGTCGTGTCTCTCTTTTTCTTGTGCGTCGTCTGAAAATGAGATGGCTGGGGAAGCAGACTTTCCTCCAAGTAGGTGATATGGAGATGGATGAAGTTCCTTTGTGAGTTTGTCTCAACATAGCTCCCTCTCTACTGTGCTCATGCAGTTAGCAACCCCTACGCTGCTATAGCGGGGCAGCTGTCGCCATACAGGATCGATCCTTCTGTACTCAAGGAGGTACGTGGGTCTTGGGCTTTCTCTCTTTCCTCTTTGCTGTGCACCTGTCAGTATTGACATCATGCGAGCTCACCCCTTTGCTGTCACATTGTGGTTTCGAGTTTCATGACGACGTGGCTTTCAATCTGATGTTCGTTCAGAAGTGTCCACGTCACAATTTTCACCTTCCTGCACCCATCTTTTTCAAGCCAGACCGAACGATTTTTTGAAATTGTTTTGCTCGGATTGGTTCTCAGTCTGGGGGTGCAGTCTGGGGGTGCATCCGTACGTGGGTTGGACGGATGTGAGGAACTGAAAGACCAGAAGCATTCAATCATAGTAGACAGAGTGTGTAGTAGGCCAGCTCAGGTAAATGTAGAATGTGCATGCTGGTGATCTGAAAAGCAGAATTACATGACATGTACATGATTGTACATATTGTAGTGTTCTTCCGCCTAGAACAGTTGCAGGAAGCGAAGTCCATATTGATGTGCACTCCCAGCGTCATGAAATCAATTACTTTGATTACATCGGTTGGGAAACTGACTTGCATGTGTGCTTTACGTGTATGTTGCGTGCGAATACTGGCGGATGTGGTTGTGGTATGCACGTATGCGCACCTGTGTGTGTGTGTGTGTGTGTGTGTGTGTGTGTTACGTGTGTGTGTGTGTTTGCATGTTTGTGCACGTATTTGTAAATGCGTGCTGTTTAAAACAACGCATCGTGTGTGTGTGTGTGTGTGCGCTCATTCCAGGAGTCAGAATTTATTCTTCCCCTTGGCTCTGAAGGTAAAAAGTCCCATGGAGAACGACTGCTGTGGTCAACGGGTACAGGCTACATTGGTGGTAAGTAGTGTGTTTAGTCCTTGTGCATGTGCATGTGCATGTGTCTTCCCTATTTCAGTCAGGTTGACATCACTCTGGTCATGTTAGATTGAATGCAGTGCAATAGCATCCAGCGTTGCTCTTGTGCAGTGCAGGTGATGACAAATTCAAACCCAACTCTACATGTACATTACATGCGGGCTTCTCACATGCAGTGTCTTGGTAGAATCAGGATGTACAATGCAGATAGATTTCAGTAGGTCATGTGGCGATAGAAGGCCTAACTTTGTCTATGGTCCATCTGCATGCCAGATGTTAAAGGAAGTGCAATACACACAATTTCACATAAAAGGAAATGCCTTGCCTTACGATGCTCGCCATTGCTTGGACGTAAACCATAGAGCACCTTACGAGCTTCAGAATCTGTCTACTGTGCTTCTTTACAAGGGAACCTCAACAACAATCAAAGTGCTCAAGCCAGGGACATGGAAATGTCAAATTCGACTCTCTAGTCTCTGCTCTGAACTTTCATCACCAGTGCAGTGCTCTATGGTTTCCTCTAGTGTAGTGCTGGATGGGTCTTAGACTCTTAGATATTCAGCCTGTCAACAGAGATGTGCAGTGACTCGCCCTGGAAGTGGTACGAATGCGGCTTGACGGATATATGTGCAAGTAAAGTGATGTACGCGTACTAGTAATCGGAAGTTGTCCAGGGCGCCAGCATTGCACTTCGGGTCGGATTTCAGTGAGTGCTACTGTAGTGCCACACTACACCAATGGCAAGTAACTGGAAGTAAGCAATGTTAGCAGGTCATCAGTGCACTCAGTGGTGATCTTGTCAACAAGTCACTGAACCTGTATAGAGTATTGTGCAATTCGAAAACAAATCAAAATCATTTTCATTTTGTTTACGAGTCCATAACGAGTCACCAAACCTCTCAATGTCCAACCGCGTGTGCATCTATATGCGGGTGGTGGCGGTGTGTGCGTGTGTGTGTGTGTGTGTGTGTGTGCGCGTGTGTGTATGCGCGTGCATGCGTGATTGCGGGTGTGTGCTCTGTCCTGTACTCTGCCATACCGACATGTCATGCAGGCCTTGTCCTGGGATCGGGATGGGGTGTTGTGGAAGGCATAAGTCGCTCCACGGAGCTGTCATCCAAGCTGCGATTGAACAGGTAAGTCATGTTGCTTCGTGATGTCTTGGTCTGATCTGTTTTGTTTTGTTCGGACTCCATATTATGCCGGTTTGCACTAAATGCTGTCCTTTTTTCAGTCTGTGTTGGTGCTCCATACAAGGAGGTACTAGTATTTCTAAGTTTGCACAGTGCTGCTCAATGAAATCTGATTGCATGAGTCACCTAATGCTGGGCTGTGTGTAGCCCAGACCTACAAATTATGGGTTGTATACTGGTGCAGGGTATTGCCTTTTGATGTGATTGGATTCCATTGAGCAGCTCTGTGCTCTCACACTTTTTTTGGAGTATTTGGTCCACGTTCCAGCGTGCGCTCAGTACTTTACATGTGATTCTTCGTATCTTTCACAGCGTGCTGAACAGCATAGGTAGAAGAGGACCGCTACTTGCCAACGGTTTGGGTGTCGTAGGTATGTTTTCGTTTGTGGCGTGTTTGTGTGTTTGTGTGTGTGGTAGAGTTTGTGTGTGTGTGTGGTAGAGTTTGTGTGTGTGTGTGTGTGTGTGTGTGTGTGTGTGTGTGTGTGTGTGTGTGTGTGTGTGTGTGTGTGGTAGAGTTTGTGTGTGTGTGTGTGTGTGTGTGTGTGTGTGTGTGTGGTAGAGTTTGTGTGCCTTCCATTCTAGAGCTATACGGTCAGCAAGAGCATGTAATTTCTTGCTTTCTGTCAGCCCTACACCCTGCTGGTGACATTTAAGATATTGTTCTGGCCACTGTACCGTTCTTATACCAGGGAGAATGAGGAGTGGTGTAGTGCAGCAAAAGGAAGCTGTTCTTTTTCTAATCAGCTCATCGCTCTACAGGATACTGTTATTATATCAAGGCCTTTCCTGAGTCTGTCTTTGTAATGATCTTCTCTCATTATGTTGTAACTTCTGGTCTGTATTTGTGTTTGTCCTGTTCCTATCTGTGTATCTGTGCACTCCGACTCAACAACAATGTACTGTGCAGTCCTGATGTACCGCATGACGGACTCAGCCATCATCAAGGCACGTGGAAATGTAGACGATGAGTTCAATCAAGTCGGCAGCGGTGCACTGGCCGGTGTTCTCTACAGGTGTACGGGTGAGTAATGCAACCTTCGTGTAACCCCCCCCCCCCCCCCCATCCTTATCCACCCATAAGGTGTAACATGTACATGTACGTCATGTATAGTGTTGTGAACTGTGGAAACCCTTCGGTCACAACATGCCTGCATAAGAGAGGGTTGAGTGCGTATTACAAATCAACAAGTGGCCAGATTTCAAAACATTTTAAAATCGTTTTCAAAAAGCGTCAAGCACACCCACATCATACTTCTCATGTGTGTACGCGCACGTGTGTGTGTGTCAATCCGTATTGATTAAGTCTATCTGTTGTGTGCAAATTCTTCTGCACAGCTGGACCACGCGCAATGGCCACTGGTGGAATCCTCGGGTTGTTGGCAGGTGGCACTTTTTGTCTCATGAAGAAGACAATATTTTCTTAGGCTGGAATCATCATTTTATTTATAGACCTAATTCAAGTTGCCCTGTATTTTTTTTATTCTATGTCTGAACAGCTTGAGTTCTTGTTTTGTTTAGGATCAGCATGAAATGTTGCGCTAAGACCAATATTGGATTTGTGTGCGTGCATGTGTGTGTGTGCACTCTCCCAACACCTGCCGCAGAAGTTTGGGCCATGGGCAAGGAGATAACTATCAAGTACGCTTTCTGGTGTGACTACAGTGGGTATTAGGTTTACCGTTACATGAAGGATTTGCTACGATACTTCAGCAACAGAACTTAGTTCATCAGGCTGCAGCCACACTATGCCTGCGTTTACATAAAAATCTTCAACCCGGGCACCCGGTTGAAGATCTGCACGGTTGGAAAAGTAGGTGGATGTTTACATGAAGATTGTTGATTATTTCTTTAGACTGGTAGGGTTGTGTGACTACCCGCGGGAAATTCCCACCTGCAGTGCTGGGCACTCCTGGTGCGAAGTACGGCAGTATGATCTCAATTTCAACCCAGGTCCAACCCTGTCAATCTGTGTTCACGGCGGGTTGAAACTCGACCCTGGTTGAAAACTCTCATGTAAATGCTGCCTATTTAGAACTCTTTAGAAATCATGTGGTTGAGGAGCCTGAAGTTTGTGCTACTACACTGTACTGAGTGTTATTATGTAGAACTACATCAGCATTTTTGTGAAAGCATGTATTTAGAACTGCATCAGCATTTTTTGTGAAACAATGTATTTAGAACTGCATCAACATTTTTGTGAAAGCATTTATGCCAACCTGCAGCTACACTGCACAGTCCATCTCAAAAATGCAGGGTCAAACAAATAGTCGTCTCAGCCGTTGACACTCAATTTAGCTTCTCTCACATTTCTGATTCTCCCTGTGATTTCTTATTCATTCCCCTACCTTGTTTTCAGGTACTTGCACCTTGGGCACATGAACTTTTCTTTCAGTCAGTGCCGAGATGGTTTTCAAATGGGAAAATGCTACATGCAACAATTTACAAAGATAGTGTAGTCGTGACCAAGTAGGGCAATGACACTCCTTGTTGCACATCTCCCTGTTGCACATCGGGTACAAAAAAACTATCCTCCCCTGATGCCTCACTAGCACTTGCATTGTTGAGCTTTACAAATCTTGCCTCTTCGGTTGGTATTAGGATTTTTCACAAGTTTTCAGATGCCATTTGCTTTACAGCACAGCATGAAAAATATACAAAATGCACTGTGTGCTTGATGCCTGCACATTAAAATCTTGCTCTAAAGGCTTTGAAAAGCAGAAGCGGGGGAATAAATAAACATACTTCAAGTAGAGATATAATCCAAAACACGTGGGTGTGATCAATCTAACAACAATGCTCATCATTGAAGCATTGGCAACGCTACACAGTATAGTTCGGAGTTAAAGTGGGTTCCGAAAGAAAAACAATTGCCCCCACCGCCGACAAGAACAAGGGTAGGGTGGCTGTCACTAGATAAATGTCGGATTAGATGAGACGAGTGATTGTGGAGTAGTAGAGGTTCTCTTGTAGGTACCTGCCAGCCGGAGGACAGACAAAGAAAGTCACAGCATATTCACACAACAAAAGAAAGTCCCAGCATACTCACACAGTCTTCAAACATACAACACAATGACTGTGCTAGACCATGAGAACGTGCGACAACATGGTTTTCATGGAGCCCAGTCCAAAAGGGCTTGAAGGTGCTACGTCATAGCCAGGCCGAAATCATGACAGTGCTGACTCATGGATCTACTTCGAAGTACTTGGATTGGATTCAGTCTCATCTTCTTTTTTTTTACGGATCCGTATACGTTTGGGTGGTGAACTTCAGGGTAGGGTGACACACCCACCAGTACTGACTGGACTGAGCCCTCCTGGTCGGGGACACACTGCTGGTACAAAAAAGAAGTCACACCAGCATGCAAGATGAAAGACCTGCCCACCATCGTACCTTGGATTAGAAGGAAAGAGACTACATACAAAGGCCAGGGCCGTTGCAGTCGGTACGGATGGTACGGCCATGACCGTACCACTTCCAGTGCTGCCAAACCGTCCCATTTTTGAAGGCTCTTCCGAAAAGGGAAACGTCCGAAAAGCAGCCAAAATGTCGGAGATCATTACTTTCCTATGCAGAAGTCCTGTACTTTCACTTTTCAGCGCAACTGAAGGCACAAATCACTGTACATTTGCTTCTAAAAAGAGCTTGGCTGTGGAAGTACAAAGTAACAATACATGCCTGGATCAGGCTGGATGGCATGTACGCTGACAGTCTGTACAGAGTCAGTGTGCGACCACACTCATCATTACAAAATTCATGACAACTCCGGGGTTACCATGGCAACGAAGCGAATTTTCATGGTGTTTTAGGTGATATTTTGAATTCTCTGTAAAAATTTGCCGAGGAGAAAAATTCACACCATGGCCAGCCTTGGCGGTGAAGAGTGTCCGATTTTGGGCGAAAATTATTTGGCAGCACTGCACTTCTGGCGACCGGTGGTCACCGTGAAACGCTCAGAAAAGCAATAAAAGAGTTTCGAAAGTTGGAGATTTTTGTGCTGGGCTTGCTGTACAATGTTGAAGATATGCATCAGGGAGTTTTCTATTGCATGGAATCCCAAATTTTTCTAACACGGGGTTCCCCCCCCAGCTCTGCCCCCTTGACCCCGCCGGGGCCCCGGCCGTACCACTCGTCAACAGCCTCCAACGGCCCTGAAGGCAATCGCAAGAAGAAAGTAGAACAGTTCTGTAGGGTGCGGCGGCAGCAACAGAAAACATACCTGGAGGTCTAGTAGCTGCCATGTCCTGCTGCAGAGGTTGGCAAGGATAATGGACGGTTGTGATGATGCTGCGGAGACACCACCAACTAGAACTAACATGTTGTCTACCACATGAGAGCTGTGGGAATATCTGCGTACAAATAGACAACAAATGTGCATCTTGTGACATAAACTATACATATTTTAAAAAGCAACTCAATTTCAGTCGTGCTTGACTGTTTGACGCGCACTACCCAGTGTAAATCTATTATAAACGCCAAGAACTTGAAGTATAATGCACAGGCAGCGACTAGAGCCACTGGTTGTATTGTCCAGACCGGCTTCACATAGTCAATGTGTGCAGACAAGGACACCCCGACGCACAACAGACAGGACAAGCATGATTTGGGATGTATGTTACATTTCAGAGGTTCAGGCTCGACGTTCCGTGTTCTCTCCCGTAGTTTTGCTGACAAATAACAAAGAGGTCACACTGTCACATATTTTCCCTTCACGTCTTCATGACACCATAATTCGACTGCAACTTCAGAGACCCCCCCCCCCCAGCAGAATTATTATTACTTCAGTACATACTGTAGAGGCAGAAAATTTCGTCGGTCAATAATTTCGTCCAACTCCAAAGAAAAGGAGTTCGTCCGGTTGAAAATTTCGTCCATGGATCATAAGAGTGTATAGAAACGCTGGACAAATCGATATTCGTCCTACATTTAATTTAGTCCAAAAGCTCCTTGGACGAAATAGACGAAATTAAATTCCAGACGAATATTTCTGCTTATACAGTACAGCATTACATACGTACAAGGCTACAAGCACATCTACATGACTATTGATCTCACAAACCTGCCAGGTAGTGGTGGATCAAAACATAATTCTGTCCATCGAACTCCAGTGCCGCTAGAAGTGGAGGCATCCAGCAGCCAACAGCTGTCACAACAAAGAGTTTCTGACGCATCCAAACCACCGCTAATAACTATCATCTCATCCTTCCATGATGTAGCTGAATGTGAATGGCGAGGCACAGGCGAATGTCCAGGCAAAGTTTCCAGCTTCACAGAAACAAAGAACCAGAAAGTAGGGGTGTCAGCGCGTAGTAGGGTACTCGTGCTACCAAGAGTACATAAACCAGAGTGTGCACCTCGGGATGGTTCCTGTGGGAGCGTAATTCGTGCAGTACGTCATTTCTGACGGCATGGTAAGCCACAGGTACGGTGAAAAGTTGCGTAACCAGTCAAGGTGGTGCAGGTCACTGAGTTTGTCCTGATTTCGGTTTTTTGATACGGATAGCCTGGTGAATTTACTTGTCGGTGGATGTACGCAGCGTACACAGTCACATAAAAACACCGAAATCCTGAAACAGGACGTCTAAAATCAAGCAAACTTGGCTGATTTCCGGGCTATGAAACACGAAAATTTGAGCTGTACGCAAGTCGCGACTTGGCCGACCTCATCAGGGTGATGTAGTGCACGAACTGCGCTGTTTCAGATCTGATATGCACAGTTGCACTCTGGTTTATGTGCTCTTGGTGCTACCCGTAATTAGAGTGGGTATTAGGGTAGCAGTTTGCTCCTGAGAACCCGATCGGGTAGTTGGGAGTACGGTGTTTCGCAACGGTGCATGTAAAAAAGCATGGCTACCTGCTTACTGTACACTTTCTATGTAGCGCAAGTGCACGCTCACTGTACAAAGTTCAAAATATGACAACAAATACCCGATAGGGTACCCATCCTACCCGGATAGAAATACCTGATCTCGTTACCCGGCCAAACCCCTACCCGTTGCAGCCCTACCAGAAAGCAAGTCATTAATCATAAGCATGTCGTGAACTGGGGTTTAGGCTGCGGTCACACCAAACAAACCATTTCCAGCTTGCGGTGAAAGTGGCTTGTAAGGAATGAAGCGCTTGGTTACATCCAGCAATTGGATCAACTGCTGTCCTTGCCTCTCTGATGCGTGATATGTGTACATCATAGTAATATGACCTCGTACTGAGTTACGTCATACTTGATTACCGATCACATACTCGTGATTATTCATGTTTGAATAAACGTTTGCGACACCCACAGCTTGTCTCTCCTGTGTGGCATGAAGGCTAATGGAGAATTCACAGGCCCCTGTCCTGCTCCTGTTTGGCAAGCGGAAAAGACATTTCCGGTGTGCACTGCGTAGCCTTGGTGTGTGGAATGATGATGTCATTGTACACTGGAACACATTGGGTGTGCAGTGGGATGTTGCTTACTGGGAACACAACCAGTATCGACTTCATTTGAGGATGAGCAAGAAGGCATTCTGGACTTTGCATGGAGTTGTTGGTGGGTGGCTGGACCGCTCTGTCACAAATTGTAGATTGCCAGTTTCCTCCGCAAAGCGACTATCAATTACTTTGCACTGGATGATGGCGCACAGCTTGTCCATGGCGCAACTGGCCCTGATTTATGGAATTGGAAAATCTACCACTGTGGCTATTGTGCATGATACCATATCAGCACTGAAGAAACAGCTGGCCAATAGAGTGATCAAATTCCCAAGTGGTAAAAAGCTGCGAACAGTGATGAAGGAGTTCAAGGAACTTTGTGGATTGCCTCGCTGCGCAGGAGCAATTGATGGCACCTTCATGCGCATCAGGAAACCACTGAAGTATAGTGGGGTATATTATTACTACCAGAAGTATTCTTCTATTTTGATATTGGCAGTGGTTGATGCAACCGGACAATTCACGTACATTGATGCAGGACGACCTGGCTCGATGGGAGATGTCGCAACCTTCCACCCCAGTGGTTTGGAGCACCAAATCATTGACAAGACATGGCTGACAGTCATTGAGAGTGGAGAGAATAGGAATGTCCTAAATGCTACCTACATACACCCATACCTTGTTGTCCGTGATGCAGCATGTCAATTGTCCCGGACAAAGATGAAGTGTTTCCCTGACAACCAGGCGCTAGAGCCCTACCAACACACATTCAATTTCCGGCTGATAAGAACAAGGAGAGCTGTGGAGAAAGCGTTTGGACGCCTGAAAGGCCACTTTGCAATTTTCGATTCATCAAAGCCACTGGACCCGACATTTGCTGCTGATGTTGCTCTGGTATGCTGTGCACAGCACAACGTCTGTGAAACCTTTGCATGAACGGAAGGTGAGCGCTGGTGCTTTGACCCAGAAGACTACGAACCAGGTCACCATGACCGGTTTGTTTTGGAAACTGATGCACCGGTCCCATTGCACGCGAGAAATTGGCGTGCATATCCGTCGGCTTGAAAGAAATCTTGCAAAGTTTTTTGGATATTACCAAGAGTACATGAAAACCAAAGTGTGCAGCACGGATGGGTTACTGTCAAGGCGGAATTCCATGATTACATCATTTTAGTGATGTAGTGCGTACAAACAGGATTCAAGCAGGTCTCTTTCTGCACAACTGCAGCTCAGTTGTACGCACTACGCCATTTCCCGCCTCAGATCTGCGCCAAATACTTGTATGATGTAATCACGGAATTCTGCCGTGACAGACACCCATAGTAGAAAAGCCCCAAGCTGCACACTCTGGTTTTCATGTACACTTGATATTACTGTTTGGTCTTTCACCAGTCTGATTTAGATAGTACTGTATACGATGTACATGGCATAGTGTGTGGCTACTGTAGTGTGCACTGCTGTGTGCTGATCTTCTGCTAACATACTTTCGTTGTGTAATTCTATAATAGCGTTTAAGTGGTGTGTCGGTTTACTCTATTCACTGGTCTTTGCGGTTTTAGTGTCGGTATTGATCTAACGGTACGCTTTGATGCTGCAGAAAGACCAACAACGAAACCTACGTGCGTTGGATTGGCACAAGTTTGTTTTTCCCCGCCAGAACTGCTGAATGGCTGAATCCATTCAGTGCTCCATTCAGCGATTCGAAAACGGCTGATTGCTAAGAGTGGCTGCAGCCAAAATTTCAGTCTTTTCCGTAGCAACGATGACGTCAAAAAGCGCTTTTTTCCGGTGAATGGGCTGAATTGTGTTTGGTGTGGCAGCAGGCTTAGCACAAGATGGATGAGCTTACAGGAAGACATTGGGAATGGTACCAGTTTGTTCATTGCCTTTGAAAAGTAAAAAGTTGCCTGGTCCAAACTCCAATCAGTCCCTACTTCCTTGATTTCTATACTAGTCGTGGCTGTAACTTGCATACCACGCATCACTTCTCTGTTTTACCATCTTGCAGTATGATAGATACACGGTTGAACACTATCAACATGTTGACCTACTAGTACTCCACATCGCTACTCACCTTTGTCCAGGTAGCATTTGTAACATCCAGTGCATGGATGTCCGCAGTGCACAGAGCTGCTGGCGTCCGGCCACCAAACACTACAGCGCGGGGCTTACCTACAAGGGAGAGCAACCACGCACGCCAGATTAAACATGCACACAAAACGATGACCGGTTCCTGTGAGCCTTCCAGCAATGCCTCTTTGAAGAGGATAACAGGTGGCCAAAGCAGATACACAGGCGTGCATTCATTGTGTACTAAAATCACAAGTAATTACCCCAACGGGGCACCATTTACTAATCAGTTCACGAAGCGCAATTATTACGATACAATTCAGCAAAGAAAAAGAGGAAAGGGGGAAGATTGCTACCCAGCTCTGCATACTCTCTTGACATGTCAGGACATACTTCAGTGTACCACAAAAGCTACAGCATACCAGTGTACTTCAAAGTCGGAATCATTGATCAGTACTCAGACAAATCAGTTAACCTACCTTCCACAGGAGACATGGTGACTGTATGTCGCCACCTTGGGCATGGTGCTTCCCCAGAGCACGGTACTGGCGAGCAGGTAACATGAAGTCGTTGCACACGATCAGCTTCCCGTGTAGATGCTGTCTGTGGCACGGGCGCCGCAGTGGCAGCTGACTCGCCACTAGCTGACTGACTTTCTGCATTGGGATCTTGGCCACGAGAAGCCACCGAGCTGGTATCTTCCGCAGTACAGTGTTTACCATTGCACTTAGTTACAGCTGCTGTTTCTGTTGCCGCTGCAGGTGATGGTGCAGGTGATGACGAAATCAGAAGACGATGCACACCTGCACTGCATTTCATCGGTGAACTTCTGCCGTCAAAGACTAAAACCTCCGATGATGAAAGGCCAACAGACTTGGCAAACATGACATTCTCTAGTAATGCAGCAAACAGAATCACAACCCAGACAGACAAGACACAGCTACTATAAGTCTATAAGTATGTGCAGAATGCGGCCAATAGTCAACAGAACTATGTTCAGCTCACAGTGAGAATGGCACCAGCAGCCAGTCCTCGTGTCAGCTGCAATGAGACCTTTGAAGAGTTCCTGACACAAAACATGGTTGTCTCAATTACTAGTATGTGTGGGCAGAATGGCAAAGATAAGAATGCAACAGAGTGCCACAATGGAATCATGACAGTCATATCTGGCAACATTAACCAAAAAGGAAACAAGCCCAGCCATGGGTGTTGACATCATGATTAACATTCAACATGCGGTCCCGTAGAACTCCCCGTCCAGGAAGCTCGCCGTGGTCTAACTATCTAGGTCTAAACTTGCAACATATAGTAAAACACACACACACACACACACACACACACACACACACACACACACACACACACACACACCTGGCATTGTGCCCACAAGATCAACAAGTCTTCCTTGTGTTGATACGGGTGATCCTACAGATGAGCACAGAGAACACAAACAGCTCTAAATAATTCCACTGTATGATGTGGCACTGAAGGTGTCTCACCGAGGAGGCAACATCCGAGCAATACAAGCGTATCATCAGACTGACCCATGCAGCTTTGCACATCACACTGTGGGACAGCCACAGCCTTTACCAGTAATGTTACCCATTCCCAATGACTGTATAGATCGGACTTCCAGGCACAGACAGAACATGTATGAGACTCCTCATGCAGGAATCTCACAGTACAAACTGTTCACATTCATGAGAATATTGTGGTACAATGGACTTCAAACTGTACCTGAGTCACAGCCTGCCGTATGCAGTTTCAATACATCCACAGTCTGTATCCTCTGATGGTGCTTCGTCTCAATAGCTCCAAAGCCACCAAGAAGAACAAGGGCACTGTCATCATCGCGGTCTCCGCTACCAAGCAGAACACTAGAATGCCCAAACCTGCCGACACAAGGAGCAAACAATGAACCTTAGCACACACGCACACACATGGAATTTCAGAGCACCGAGTCAAAAGACCTTGTTCTGATGTAATGTCACCAGTGCGCCCCAAAAAGCAATAAAAAGCATTCTCCAGATGTCCTACTTTGACAATGGGTTGCGATTTCCAGCAAACGCAACTTCGGGATTACCTACGGTAGCCAGGGGCGTAGTTGGTCCCCCTTTTAAGGGGGTGCAGGGTCGTATATGTGTAGGATGGCTGGTGCTGGAGAATTCATGGTCATCATATGTACGCTGGAACCTATTATGTAGGTCGAAATGTTTAGGGGGGTGCACATGCCCCCCGTGCCCCATGCGGGCTACGCACATGCTACCAAGTACGTGTTGTGTGGAAAAGAAACAACACACTGCAACACTGAAGCAGATACATGTACATGTACTATGGCATTTTGCTTGTACAGTATTTTTATTTTATTTTTAGATCATGGCTTGATGAAAAAAGCTAATTTGTTAATCCAGCACCTTCCCTCCCTAGTCCAGCAGATTTTCCACCACATAGGTGGTGCTGGTAGTCAATAATTTCGACATAGTTAGTATTGGACTCCCCCCCCCCAACATAAGCCATGATTTCCGCTACTACCAGTGATCGGCTTTAATACTTGCAATGTCTATAACAAGCATCGTGAGAATAAATAATTCAAAAGTATTGTACACTAATGCAATTATTCGGCAAGATAATTCATCAAGCTAAAAGCAGCAAACCTACCGCTCAACACATGTGACTGCCTGGCTTGAACAGCTGCCGGTCGAAACTATTGGAATACACTGCACAGCAGGTCTATCATTTGCTGCATCACTAGGAGCTGAAGCAGCTTAACATGAGAATCACAGTGGAAAACAAAACTATAATGCAAACGCCTGCAAAGTCAAGCATGATTTCAGCTCTGCCAATGACTGGAAATGAGACCTAACAAGGTCAAAACAGCTCGATAAGCTCTCCGCAGATTGAGTAAACACATAATTCGAATAGAAGCACAACAATTTGAATGCACTGATGCATAAGCATACCTTTCTGCACCGGTAAAGCACTGATTGCATCTAGAATAGAAGCAGGGTTTGAATAAAAGCAGGGACCATCAGCTTCTGTGGCAGTACAGTACTACAGGATTTACAGTAAATCAGAACTGCAGACATGAACCCATATACCTGGCACTCACCAGTATAGTCAACCATAGCCAAACTGCAATGCAAAATTCGTTAACCAATTAATATCTGTTGATAGCTAAGTTTAAACGGCGGTAAAACAGGTCGTCCTACCGAAATCGAAGGCTACTTACCATCTACACATTGATGACGTGTGCAGTCCTTCACCAGACATGGCATGTTCGCACACAAGCCTTTCGCACCACATGCTAGGACATAATGCTGAGCCTTAAGGTGCCATTCCTGCAGGTGCCCATACCACAACCAACACATCCAAAGACAAACGTGTTATGAGGATCAGGAAGCGGCACTGCGCTATACACATCAATACAGCAAACCTGGATTATCATCACAACACTAAACATAATGGTATGAGCTTACCTCGAATTCATCAAACGACTCCAGAGATGATATAATAGTATGAGCTTACCTCGAATTCATCAAACGACTCCAGAGATGATATTCGCTGCAGATCCTTCTCATCGACAAGGGAATGAAAGCATTCAAGAGCGGTGTGGCAACATCCTTGAGACCAGGACTACATCATACAATGAACAAAAACAAATCAACGAATATCATCACAATGCATTAGCCATGTGAAAATCCTGCATAGAAAAGACGCGGATAATACATCCAAAATTCAAATCAACGTGAGCACAGTGTATTACACGTATACTTCACTTTACACAGGCCTGTTTTACTAGAGCACTACATGTACATGTACATATCCAGAGCAGAGGGAAGTCTACACAAGTAAGATCACATGAACCATCTAACCTTGTTTGCTTCCTTATTATTATTATTGCAGTACTTGGAACAATGAAACCAGAAAAAGCATGTGTCCCCATCAATTCTGATAAGGCGTAAGGATGTACATTTTTACTGTTCACACAATTTAGTCCAAATCAAGGTTACAAACTCAGCTTACGTGATCCAAGAGCCTCTGCACATGAAGACCAGGCGTAGAGCACGCCACCTCGATAGGTGATCCAATCTTGCGAAAGTGCTGCAACCTATTAGCAGCATGAGAATGAACACAGTATCCTCTAAGCATGACCTACATGACTGTAGTCCAGGGTAGAACATCAACAAAACATTTGAAAAGAACATGCCAGGCTGGAAGAAGAGATTTAAGAAAACCCAGTGTCATGCACACCTACCAGCACAGTGTACCTGTACTACGTGATTATGCAAGCACAGAACAAGAACAATGAGACTGGTATCTTGAAAGTTGTAGCCTGTTCACACAACGCTATATCAGTAGGATTGCATTTCGGATAAAGAAGTTCTGGAGAATTTGACATTGAAGTCTGAAATCGAGGCTCCAATTAAGAGAGTCCAGTTGTAATAAGCAGTTTTGACGGGTGAGCTTTAGAGCACCAGCATGCATAATGTGTTCGCAGCTGTTTAAGCTCTACCTGTACTTACATTATTTGACCAAATGGATCAGTTGGATGTGTCTGCAAAATAGGACAAGGAAAAGGGGGAGAGGAGGAAAGTAAATCAGATACGTTACATGGCATATTGTGTCTAAGTAGAGCATTCAAACAATTTATATTCAGAACACAAGACCGACACTTCAAGTACGCAAGTTGCAATCAACACGATACAGATGTTTAGAATTTTCCGAAGTTTCCACGGAAGTGCCGCAAGCGTGCATGCTTTTAGTACGGTCCACCTTGCAACTAGAGCCAAACCACAGCACAATAATCAAACTGACTTACCTGCTCATAAACAGCTATGATTGCATTGGAGAAATGAGTGCCAGCCCATTGGATCACCTTTGCTGAACTGGAGAAAAGTAGAGGAGAAAAAGATTGTGTCCATGCTACACATCACAGTGATCAGACCATACATGTATTGCACTGTCTAGATTTGATGCTACAGGCGTGGCCAATGAATTCCGACCCATGAGTCAAAAGTAGTGCCGCCTTTCCATTTCCATTCACACACTGTCCAAAACCCATCCGAGGGCTGCATGAGCCTTGGTGCTGCTTTGGACACGTGGGTCCGATTTTTTTAGGCCACGACTGTATTTCAGCATTCATACAACTCCCAGTTTCTGTGCTTCTGCTGGCAACCACCGTTCCGAAGTTGGACGCCGGGATAGTGCAGAAACCTAGCCTGCAGGCCAGCATTATAAGACTTTGTGCCATGAACAGGAACCATTCTCCACCTGACAGCATAGGTTGATACCCAATATATGAAGGCATGTCATGCAAATACATGCACTGGAATACTGGACTCCTCTTACTACTATGCTGGCCCTACAAGATTAGTGCAGCCCTTTCTTGCCTCCCTTCATATGCCCGCCAAGATTAGTGCAGCCCTTTCTTGCCTCTCTCCCAATGCCTGCACAAAAACTAACAACAGCAATAACATGGACTTACTGCAGACCAAGATTCATTACTATGCCTCCTTGAGCTGTCGTTCATAGAAAGGACCTCACTCATTGCTCCTCCAAGCTTGTGAAAAGAAGTAGCTTTGCACTACATACTTGTGACAATCAGCACTGGGGGAAATACAGGTTTGGAAAAGGGAGGGTTTGACTACAAACCAGGCATGGCAACCCACAGTGGTGTAGACTAAAATCAATACAATATCAATCAAATAATTTCCAAAAACACAGACCTGCCAAACTAACTTACTGTGCCGGAGTGAGGTAGGTTAGGACACATTCAGACACCAGAAGAGTGGGCATTGTCCAATCAATACCAGCCTTGTCCAGCAAGCCTGTCAACTGGTCTGGAGACTTGAGATCACATGGCACCAATTTATGTAGGCCTAAGACAAACAAAACAACCAGCAATTCAACATTGAAGTGTTGAGCACTATGTCCCCTCCCCCCCCCCCCCCCATGCCTTTCTATGAAAACGACACCACAAGGAATACATAATTATAGCCTGTTTGTCGGCATTCCATCAGGCGTGTCCAATGAAGAGAACTGAAATCTCTCAATGAGTTTCCACTAGTTGACGGTTTTCACCCTGAAGATGGGCCATGCCCGAAAATTTGGTGGATTCAATTTTATTATTTTTTTAGTGATGTGCAGCGAAGAGACCGTATTTTGAACGTTCGGGTTGCAGATACAGATCTTCCAATAAGATCTAAAATGTACTTGATAATATGAGGGTGTGGTGGAGGTAGGACTACTTAAAGACGTACAATGTGCTGTATAATCATGTACTAGTACTTCAAATAGAACGGGATGGCAAAAGTATGGCAGTCACTTTGTGCTTACAATTAGGTGACTTGCCAATTTCAGAAGCACAGCCAGATAAAAGCGGGCTCGCATCTATCAACTGCTGCTTGTGGAGGAGCACACGATCAAAGTCAACCTGCACAGGCCAAAGATAAAGCATGAGGTGCATGCATGGTCAAAGAAACTGGCACAGCCTGCGCAGTCTTGTCAGAGACATGAATTTGAACTTTTAAGCCAGCCATTTCAAGTCTTTGTCAGTGAACACCAGGAGAACGGCACCACACAATGTATATTCCGACCAATCCCGTAACAGGAGAAAATACACAATGATATGTCAACATCATAGGGAGAAAAAAATACTGGCAAAATTTACAAGCTAAATAAACAATACTAGGACCATTTATCAAGTACATTTTTAAACAGTCATAGTCTTAGAGAATAGGTGATGAAACACATGAACATCACACAGCATACAACTCAATACCTTCTCTGACTAGGACAACATCACCTTTGAAAGAGAAATCCCTCTGGTCAACTCCCTACCTCAAAGTAGTGACAGTGAGACAACAGACCAGCTGAAAACAGTCGGTAGAAAGCTGTGTCGTATCCAGCACCTAGACACACAATCTAAACAACGCAGCAATGACACAACAGCCAGAGTGGTCTTAACGGGTGGGACCTTCTTGGGAAGACAATGCACAGCATTGAGACAGAATAGGCACCTTTAACCAAAATATGTCCAGATATTATCAGATTCTCATAGCATACTGCCAGAATCAAATTCATGCACAGAAAACTAAACTAATCCAAAAAAAGGCGCTTCTAGTATATGAAGAAACACGTAAATAGTTTCCTAAGAGACAAAATTGATACTAGTAGTACAGGAGCCAAGTGGGTGAAACCCTCAAGGAAAAAAAGTTCGTTCCGACTTTGAGCGTACCACGATTTTTTTACATAAATCGCTAGGCAATACCTTGTACAGGACAAATCCACTTGTCATTCCTGAAAGTTTCTGGAAGGTCGACTTCCAAGGGCTTCTTCCCCCAAAAAATTCTTCGAGTGGCTATGACAAGAGATCGCAAAACTCAAGCATTTCCAAGAAATTTTCAAACCTTTTTGCGCAAAGTGCACGCGGTTGGCTCCCGCGGCGTACGGGTGCGTACTGGTGACCTATGGCGATAGACGTAATCATGGTACTTTATGGCGTCACACATCAGCGTGTGGCCACGCGGACCATGTGGAAGGCTCAGTTTGGTGACAAGGAAGCGGGCGATGCACGTGGTGGACAACTGTTTACTAGACAAATTTCACTTGCAATTTCGATTTCAGCGTCTTCTTCGTACCTTGCGTCTTTGCTATGGAGATTTCTGTACTTAGATGATGGAGGAGACAGGCCGAGCTGGTCAAAGTGGCAGGAGGCTACGCTGTGTCGTCCACATTAGTAAGGGTGCCACAGGCGATGTGAGTGCATTTTCTGACCACACATGGGCGAAGGCTAAGTCTGCGGCTGAGCGATCTGGACTCCTGGACTTGACTGGTGAACAGGCACACGACGGCGCAGGTTTCCACCGATGATGTTATCAGCAGCTGACAAATGAAACCCTGCTTAGGCGTTTGGAGACAGGTGCGCCTGCTTCGGGTACAGGTGAGTGATTTATATAAATAGATGCGTTACGTTTTGGTGATGAACGCTGTCCTTACAAGCGCTGAGCTGTGCCAACCCGCTGACATAAACGTATGACACGTACAACTATGTACAGATGCATTCGCCCATTGCAAACACAACAAACACAATTCGATGGGGATTTAGAAGCCCGTGGCAACTGTGCGCTATTATGTATTTGCAGTACCCCACGAGAAGACTATTGGGTCTATACCTAGGGGTTGTCAAACGGTATTTTGAAGTCTGGATAATCACATGCATAATTCTGTTTTGTGTGTGTTAGTCACGTGGGTGTTAGTCACGTGTGTGTTAGTCATGTGGGTGTTAGTCATGTGGGTGTTAGTCATGTGGGTGTTAGTCATGTGGGCGTTGCTCTTGAATTATCAGTGTCTAAAGTGTGTTTGTTCTCCATTGGTTTGTATTGGCCCCTGCATGTAGACTCCGCTGCAGATTCACCGGCTGCATAAGCGAGCACCGCAAGCACAGCTACCAGACCGGCAACAAGACAGAGCTTGAAAGTTCCGCAAGTCAAGCCAGGAAATATTGATTGTGTCTTCTGTGGGAAAGCTAAGAGACGGCTCCCCGGAAAGAAGAATCAGTATCAGACAACATCATTGTGTCAAAGCGAAAATGCTGCGGAGAAGATTTTGTTGGCAGCTGATTTGAGAGACGATGAACGAGTAAAGATAGCAGTTGGAGTGTTATCCGGTTTGATTTCTCAAGAAGTTCGTTATCACAAGCTATGCTATAATGAGTTCACCCGTCAGAAATCTCTGGATGCCCTTGCTTGAAGCGGAACAGCAGGGAAAGGAAGCATTTCAAAGATTCATCAAGAATCACTTTGTCGACCAGTGTGACAAGTTCCACGACCCCATCCAGAAGCTGAAGCAACAAGGCCGCACTGTTGCAGCTCCTCAGCAAGACTGATTGTACAAGCCATGAGCCAGCACCTCCATCTTCGGCTGCATTAATCGTCGATGCCATGGATCTGCTACGGACCCTGAAGCCGACTTCCTTGCCAGGTACGCTCGGAGAACTGGCAAAGCATGTTTTTATGTGCCTTGCAAGGAATTTTCCACAGTTTCGCCGAATCGACTTTGTAGCTGATACGTATCCAGAATACTCCATCAAAGATGTTGAGCGAAGCCGACGAGCGCAATCGGATGGTGAGATCCGGCTAAGAATCTCAAGTGGACAGCAGCACACGCCGAAGCAATGGGCTAAGTTCTTGTCAAGTGGCAGCAGCAAGACTGAGCTTGTTAGCTTCCTTGTTACGGAATGGTCCACCGATGCCTACGTCAGCCACCTGAAAGCTAGACAGCTGTACGCAACAAACGGTATTAGCTGTGTCATGCTAGTGTCACCTGATCGCCTCACCACCACAGCAACAGAGTGCTTACGGCTGAACTGCTCACACGAAGAGGCAGACACTCGGCTTCTGCTGCACGCTGGTGATGCTTGTGCAGAAGGCTATACTTCGGTCACGATCAAGTCGCCGGACACGGACGTAGCGGTTCTGGGTAGCGGACTGAGCCACCGCTTTCCTGACAGCATTAAGCTCCTGTTTCTGCCTGGTTCTAGGAGCAAAGTCCGGCTCCTGAATCTCTCAAAGATTGGCTCTGCGCTAGGCACTTCCGTGTGTGACGCACTGATCGGCATGCATGCCTTCACCGGGTGCGATACGGTCAGTGCGTTCCACGGAAAGGGCAAGACCATTGCTTATCAGCTCCTGACCAGTGATGGAAGCAAGGGAGACCTGGCAAGAAGTTCAATGGCCGAACTTGGCAAAGCCTTCAACCCTCTGTCAGCAAGCGCCATGGCAGAAATCGAGCGGTTTGTCTGCATGCTGTATGGCCGGCCAAACCAGTCAAGCGTTAATAGCTTACGGTACGAGTTGTTTTGCTTGCTGGATAACGCCAAGGATTCGAGCAGACTGCCCCCATGCCACGATGCTCTGCGTAAACACGCAGCAAGGGCCAACTTCCAGGCAGCTGTTTGGCGACGTGCTCTAGAAGCCCAGCCCCCTGTCCCTGAAGCGTACGCTGGAAGCCATGGTTGGCAGCTGTCCAATGGCCAGCTGCACATTGATTGGCTCTCGGTAGCTGCAGCACCACAAGCAATCTTGGAATTTGTCAAGTGTTCCTGCAAGACCGGCTGCCAAGGGAATAGATGCTCATGCCGCAGCCAATCCCTTCCCTGTACGGATGTTTGTGGATGCAGTAGCGAGTGTAGCAACCGCGAGGAGTCAGGTCATCCCATAACTCAAGAGGATGACGACACTGTCCAGTGTGAGTAATATTATTGTCTAATCTTCATCCAGACCGGGTACCTCTTATTTGTGTTGAATTTCCTTGGCTGCAGGCAGTCACGGGTAATATATCTGATCAACCTTGTTTTTTGTTTGTTGTATTACAGAGCCGTTGGATTACTAGACGTGCCTGGTCCAAGATCTCCATTACCACAGCTGTCATCGTGTTGCAGCATTGGTGTAACATTTCTATCTGTTTAACTGCCTACGGACTGTACTTGCCCTGGCAACCTGGTAGGCCCATTCGATCATGCCACACACTCTTTCCACACTGTATATATTTTTCATGTTGACTACTAACACAACCTGTGACTACAATAATCATGAGATCAACCCCAAAACATTTCTTGCAGTTTACTTTCGTAGAGTTTGCAACTTTGTGTTCCTCAACACAACTTGCAGCTTTCTTCAAAAATATCCTCAACCTTGGTTCTGTCCTAGATCGTATATACATGCATTCATTGTTTCGTCTCATCATTATGGAGCAGCTTATGCGAAGGCTAGCCAAGCTTGCTCGGCGATGCCAACGCGGAAAAGCCTATAATAATAATAATAATAATAACAATCACAGCATAATATCTGTAATGAGCCTAAGTGAACTGCAGTAGTCGTTGTCTTCCGTGATGTTTCCTCTGATACTGCTACTCTGGCTGGCTATGTTATGTGTAATTCAAAGTACATCAGACTCTAGGGTACAGTTTCCGGATTCTGGTAATGCACATAATGTATTAGTAATCCATCTGTAGTGTGTGCAGCCATGCATTCCAACTGCAAAACTTTGAGAGACGACCTTTTGATTTGATGCCAGTAGTCTAGTTACTCGAGGACAATGTCTATCATGCATTGTTTGTTCTTTCTCTCTCCAATCATTTCTTGTTTTCATTCTTTTCTCTGATCGCTGTGTCTGAGCCCTGCTGCTGAGCTACTGCCTGCGGCTGCTTGTACTCAATCGTTGCCATGCTTTTAAGCAGCTCAATCAATGTTAATACATGGCCAATCGAAACGGTCTGTCCTCTGCATTAATGAAACGGGGCGTAGTGGCGCACGCATTGCATGACAGTCTTTCCACATAAGTTATTTCAGCTAGTTATTTCATGCTTCTAATACATACATGTATAATATAATATTATATGACTGATAACATCAGTCCTACCCATTATTAATGTTTCGTAACTGTTTCTGCGCTATCAAGAGTACATGAAAACCAGAGTGTGCAGCTTGGGGCCTTTTCTGCTATGGGTGTCTGTCACGGCGGAATTCCGTGATTACATCATATTTGGCGGAGATCTTAGGCGGGAAATGGCGTAGTGCGTACAACTGAGCTGCAGTTGTGCAGAAAGAGACCTGCTTGAAACCTGCTTGTACGCACTACATCACTAAAATGATGTAATCAAGGAATTCCGCCGTGACAGCAACCCATCCGAGCTGCACACTCTGGTTTTCATGTACTCTTGGCGCTATTATTACAGTGTTGCCATGCTGTTGCTATGATGTTTGTTCTAACCAAGTTCGAAAAATGCTCTGGGGTGCTTCAAATATTTTATGTAGATGGTTGGCATATAGACATTGAATTTTCCGGGATGAAAGTAATAGAAAATCGATTTTTGTGGTCAGTTGCCATGGTAACTAAAGGCAATTTCAATTGCATTTTTCACTACCTTTCAGAAAGTTCTGAGAATGACAACAAGTGGAAACATCATCTACGTATGGTCCTCTATCATATTAGCAAAAAAATCGTGGTACACCCAAAGTGGGAACGGGAAGTCACATTTTGCCCACTTGGCTCCTGTACTATAGTATCAGACTGAAGAACAGAACTAGCTTCAGACTCTTCACAAGCAACATTCCTGAAAGTTTCCATGAGCACATCCATTGTTTTCTCTTCAGGTGGACATTGGAAGGAAAGAGACTAAACTGTATGACTGATATACTACAATAATTAAAGTAAGATAAGTACTCGTGGAAACTATAAGACATGTTGCTCGTGAAGGCTCTGAAGTTAGTTGTGTTCTTTCAGTCTGATATGAATACAAGGCAGTATATGAGGATTGATAATAACAATAAGCTCACTAATCACTCTATCACCGCCACTCAACCTACTACCACTAGTTGAGCAATTGATGTCAGCCTAATTTCAAGTAAGTTGCTAAGACAATCTGAGAAGTCCAATTTTCAATACATCCGTACCTGGCACAACTGTCCCGAAAACTGGTCCAGAAAGGTCTTGTAGAGGTTGTCAATGACAAGCGAGCGGATATAGTAACCCCTGCAGTGCACATAATGCCAAAAAGGCACACAGCATATGGACATCACTAGTATAGGCATACTAGTACTTACTAGAGGAGATTTGACTTCTCATCATGCTCTCCACATGACACCAGAACAGTCTCATTCTACACCCGACATGAAGCTGACACACAGTGCAGCGAGACATTTCTTTAGCCATCACTGCTGCACATGACACAGGTCTTCACACCTGGTACAGTGTTGCATACGTGCCGTGCAGCACATATACAGTCGACTCCACTTATAACAAACTTGCATGTAGCGGATTTCGTGATATAGCGAACCTTTGTCCATGTCCCTGTTTGAACCCATACAAAACTGACCCTTTATAGCAAACAGTTTTCGGTTATTCATTGCATTCCCAACTCATCACAACCACGCACTCTTCAGCCGAACCATACAGACACCAGCAAGGACACTTCCGTTGAGAGATAATATTGTTCCACGCCTCTAGACAGCTGTTTCGCTCCCTGTCGGAGCTCATCAGTAGAGGATGATAATGATGATAATGGAGGAATGATCATTCTTATACACCAGAAATGGCGCAAGTGCGCGCTTTCCACATACAGGTCGTCCCCCGTTAATACGAGTCCGGTTAGTACATAAACCCCGTTAGTACATAAGAAATCTCAAGTCCCGGACGAAACGTGGTCACTTCCATACAAATTTTGTCGGTTAGTACATAATTCGTTAGTACATAAACCCCGTTAGTACATAAGATTTCTCCGTACCCGCATGCCACCTACCTCAATAGTACATAATTTGTTGGTCTTTTGGCCTTCCAGTGGAGGCACGTCGTGTTCTAGTTTCTACTTGTGGACGCAATTCGCTCAGAAATCAGAGCGCACATCACAAACCGACAAAGCTCTGTTTTTTTCTTCGAGTGACTGTACAGGCACGGCCGCCGGCTGGGCATGTATCATGTAAACTGTAGAATCTTCGCTGACTGTGACCGTTATAACATAATTTTTATGTTATATCGAGGGAATTAATAATATCTCGCTCCCTAGTCATGGCAGCAAGAAACACTCAGAAAAGTTGAAGAAAATGAAAAATTCTGGTATACAAGCAAGTTATGTACACTTTCGTTTAGTACATAAACCCCGTTAATACATAACATTTGTCAAGTCCCAGAGATTATGTATTAACGAGGGACGACCTGTAATAATTATGTTACATTATAACAATGGCATATGCAAGCTGCTAAAATGGTAAGTGTGAAAACAGCGTGGTGTCTGTGTGGTTCGGCTGAAGAGCGCGTGGTTGTGATGAGTTGGGAAAGCAATGAATTGAAAATATGGCCGAAAGCTCTGTCGCAATATTTAGTTCTGAAGTTTTCGGTTATAGTGAGCCAAATCCTGTAGGGCCGCTTGTAAACCAAGCGCACTCATACTGTCATGGGCCACAATCAGCTCATGACTTGCTGCTTGTATAGGGTGAGTGCATTTCTGTTAAAACGGATTTCGGCTATAAAGAACTAATTCTTCTGCACAATGGTGTTCGTTATACACGTATCAGGAGTCGGCTATACATGGACGGGGGGAGGGAGAGGGGGGGGGGGGGGGGGGGGTGTGCGGGGTCCTCCCCTGGGAAAAAATTGAAGCCAAGTGCAAGCATTTCAGGGCATGTGTGAACAACATTTGGTGCCATTTCAGTGTCACTACAATGAAAGACTTTTTAATTCTGCAACAAACCAAGAAGACGCCACAATCGGGGACAAGGAAGCTTCAGTATTTGCAACGTTTGCGCTGAGCTGCGATCATTGCGCTTTGTTGCAGTGTGCTCCGAAAAAAGAAAAAAATCGGCTGCAAAAGTGGGCGGCTGAGCGACGGCCTTGAAGTGATCGGTACAAGCCCGAGTCGACCAGAAGCCGTTTTCAATGTTCGACAGACGGGAAGGAGAGTACCGTATTATCTCTATTATAAGCACGGTCCTTTATTTTTTCAATGTACCTCCGCCCCGTGCTATTAATGGAGACGTTCCTTTATTGGAGACTGTTCCATTATTTTTTCAACCTCATTTCAGAGGCATGTTGCCATGGCCAAATTCATGTCAGACACACACATTTCAGGGTTTTTTTCGCCGGTACAGATAATGAATTTACACAGTGTGCTTGTAATGGAGACTGAGCACTTTATTTTTTGAATGCCACCCCAAGGTGTTCTAATATTGGAGACGTGCTATTATTGGAGACTGTGCTTATAATAGAGATAATACGGTAATAGTTTTAGGCGGTTGTGGGCAGCTAAGGCCGCGGTCACACACAATAACCGCGGATGTGGAAAACCCGCTCTGGTGGCCTCGCCAAGTGCATGTGTGACCGCGGTCTGAGATGGCATTTTTTGAACAAAAAAACTTTTTCAAAAATTCAAGAACTTTTCAAGGGCTTTAAAGGATTTTTCAAAATTCAAGCACTTAAATTTCAATGCTTTCAAGACCCTGTACAAACCATGCAATAGGAAGGCAAGATAAATCCATTTTTCTGTTGTAGTTGTTGTAGTTAGAGCATGCACTGAAAGAACGTCATCAATAAGATCTATACAAGCGTGTACAAACGAGCTGCAGTTGAATCCTGCTCGTACGCACTGACTGCACCACTGAAATGATGTAATGCTGGAATTTAATTTCGCTGCGACAGCAACCCATTCGAGCTGCATGCTCTGGTTTATTGTGCTCATAAAGACATACATGTAACTATATCCTGCAGCGTGATCCATCCAAGTAGCAGAATAACTTTAGACATGATAAACATGCAGCACAACAGGGTATATGTACTCACTCCATGAGAATTCTACATACCGGTTTATCAGTGGTGCTCGGCGACATGGCTGTCGGACAACTTCACGTAAATACGGATCATCGAAATAGCCCCGTGCAACCATGGACAGTTTGCTCACAATACTACTGTCATTCGTACCTTGGACCTGTTGTGCCACATGACAACAAAATAAAAATAAAGCATTCTCAGTAGCCGTGTTAGAAGAAGTTGAATAACAAATGCCATTGGTATGAGAACCAATTTGAAGTATCGTAAACGCCGTCATTAACGCCCACCCACTATAGCTCCCACTACTCCCACAACCCGTGCACGGGCGGGTACCGGGCTTCAGCACTCTGGTCCCATTTTCTAGCCAACCTCCGTGTGAACGCCCGTATGCGGGTTGCCAAAGTCGCCTACGGGGATCCGTACCCGAGATGGCCCTGGAGACCGCGGAGCTCGGAATCAATTTTTCGGGGCAGAGAGAAAAAATGGATTGCTCTGTGTGTTTTGTTTTTACCTTGTGACATGACGCGCGTTTCCTTCCTTTTAGTGTATTGGTAGTTGTTTGTTGCTGCCGACTTCTAGCAGTAGTGTAGGAATAGAGTAGGACTTGTAGTAGTAGCAACAATAGTGTGGATAGTCGCATGGATCTGCCGTTTGACTCTCTGAAACCTTTCAGCGGTTTGACAATTGGAACTATAAAGAGAATTTTTGGTAGTGGTAGAATTTTCAAGAGAGGGTAGAAGTTTGCAAAGGAGGGTTCGGTTCATGCTGTGACAATAATTATCATTGTCTGAAGCGGATGATGATGCTGTAGTCAGTGCATCATGTTGGGCAAGCCAGACGAAGGATAAAAAAGTTAAAAAAACACAAGGTGTTCCTGGCCATCAACTGCAGTAACTTCGACCTGGTGCAGAACACCTGCAAATGTACAGCTGGGCTAGGTAAGTGTAGTCACCAGTGTGCTGTTTTTCACTACCTTTGTTCAGCTGGAGCTTTCCTTACCTCTTTGGATGGCAGTGCAGCTGTGAGCTGTTGTGATCTCGAACTCGTCAGTCACTGAACTGATTTTATTGTAAAGAAGACACGAACTTATAGAGTGTGAAGAAGAGTATAGCGAGATAGAGAGCGGTAGAAGGAGAGCCACTGGACAGCTGGATAGTGTATCAATAAGCGCACGAGGGGAAGGCTAGACAGTATGTCTCTAGACATCAATAGGTATTGTACGAAAGGCCAGTCAATAGTACTAAGGAGTGAAGTCAACCACAACACAGACAATAGCTTCAGACAATCATGACAGGCATGATACGGATGATATAACATCTCCCCTTTCAAGCAAAGAGTGAAAACAGAGGGCAAAGAGGCCAAATAGAACTGGAGCATTTGATACTAGAGCCAGCAGAGAAAGAGCGCAACCATGCGTTATGTGGAAGGAGCGTGAGCACAAAGAGCAAGACGCAGAGATCAGAGTGCGACTGTCCATGTCAGCATCGCACTCACGGACAGCATGACTGTTTGGTGCTGTGGTGGTACTTACAGTAACACAACCCACGGATTTCTGACTTGTGTCACGGTGGCGCTGTTGCACGTTGACACACGCGGAAGTGACCTAGTTTCTTGCGAGTCTTTGTCTGTAGCTGGGCAATCACGCCGAGGGTGAGCTGCACCACCACAGACTCGATGGATCGTTACTACACTGAGGCAACGATGTCGGAGGTCGAACAGTACGACGAGTTGTCTGAGGTTTCCGCCGCGTTTGCGAGGGGCGGTGAACCCGGGAGAGACTTGCGGAGCGCCATCTCTGTCCTCTCCGTTCGCAGGTAAGTTTTGGCCTGCTCGACAGTTGTGGTAGCGGTCTGAGGCGCTTGACGGAGGAGGAAGACATGGCCATCGGCCGGGAGGGCCACGATCAGTTGTTCTCGAACGAGGAGGTCATCGACGTCGTCTGAGGACTATGCAGGAGCTGCAATGAGACTTACACGAGGAGCTGCGACCGGTAGGAACGCGGAGGCAGGGAGGCTGCTTAGAGGCAGACGGACGGATTCTGCTTAGAGGCAGACGGACGGATTCTGCTTAGAGGCAGACGGACGGTTTCTGCAATGAGGCAGACGGACGGTTTCTGCAATGAGGCAGACGGACGGTTTCTGCAATGAGCCAGAATTGATAGAGAGAGGCTGAGTGAGAGGGCTAAAACGGGTAAAGAGGAGTACAGTTTGAGGACTACATTGCAAGCAACTCGGCTGGATTCGTAATCAAGCCGCTTCTGACACCATGTTGTGATCTCGAACTCGTCAGTCACTGAACTGATTTTATTGTAAAGAAGACACGAACTTATAGAGTGTGAAGAAGAGTATAGCGAGATAGAGAGCGGTAGAAGGAGAGCCACTGGACAGCTGGATAGTGTATCAATAAGCGCACGAGGGGAAGGCTAGACAGTATGTCTCTAGACATCAATAGGTATTGTACGAAAGGCCAGTCAATAGTACTAAGGAGTGAAGTCAACCACAACACAGACAATAGCTTCAGACAATCATGACAGGCATGATACGGATGATATAACATGAGCAGCAGTACTTCGGAGCCGGATGTGTCCAGGACGTGGTTACCTAGGCAGTGGGGGATACCTACCCGGCACATTGAGCCAACATTGCCTATCGAGCGGCTGGATTTTCAGAAAGTTGTTGAGGACAAGAATTTCACCCCTGTACAGCCTGATAGCAGTTCGGTATAGGCCGTGGACAAGAGTAAGACTTTGCCAACTTTGGACACTTTCCCCTTGCATAGCAAACTGCATGCGGACTTGGTAGGTTCGCAGCAATCCATGGCCCTTCTACGATATTTCCGACCCGGCCATTCCTCCTCTGACGATGAGCGTGGCAATCCTGACAGTACCATACCTGATAGTAGCATTCTCACTGCTGCTGCGCCTCAGCTCGTGGAGAGTCTTTACGCCAGTGATCGCCCAAGGCCAATTCGTCTGCTTCAGTTTCTTAGTGTCGTGTTTGAGGTGATCAATAGTGCTGCAGTGCCACCGATGCCTGCTGATGTTGATTCTTGGTGTGAGCTACTGTCAAAGGCACTTAGTCTGAATGAAGCTGGGCGAGAGCAAGTTTGCCACAGCACCAGCCAATAGCATCAGTCAGAGATATGGTACACGGAACAAATATGCAGATTGACGGCATCAAAGTTTGGCCTCATTTCCAAGCGCCGTTCTGGGTATATGTCATCCCTTGTCAAGCAGCTGCTTTACACTGATCCGCCCGTTCAGGTAACATCGCTGGCACAGGGCCGCATGAAGGAACCAGTCGTTGTCAAGCGGTATGCTGCCTTCAAGCAGGAGCAAGAGGAGTTGGTAGACATATCAGAGACCGGTCTCCAAATCCACTCAGAAGAAGGATACCTTGCTGCCAGCCCTGACCGACTCGTGTCTGATTGGTCGTGTGAGCCTTCCTCTGGACTGCTAGAGGTGAAGTACCTCTCAAGCGTCGATGGCAAACTAGGTGACAGCTTGAAGAAGTCAAGTCTCTGCCTGGAAAACATCAACGGCAAGCTCCGCCTCAAGCAGAATCACAATTACTACTACCAAGTGCAAGGTCAAATGGCGTGTGCTGGCCACGCTTGGTGTGACTTTGCCTGTATGGCAGCTTCAGGTGACCAGTTCGTGCAACGGATAAGCTTCAATCCCGAATTCTGGAATGAATGTGAGGGGAAGCTACGGTCCTTCTTCAGTCAGCATCTTGCTCGGGAAATCGTGTATCCCGGCCATGCACAAGTCAGCTACTGTAAGACCAGTAATGTTAACGAACATTTAATTCTAACGATTTAACGAATTTAAAAAATCGTTACAATACATTTGAAGTCGTTATGTACTAAACGATGTGTACATGTACAGTCATTTGCTAGTTTTGAGACAGAATTCGTTAGAATTTCACCTCATTAAACCAAAAAAATCCGGAGATCATTAACTTTAATTGACGTTAAAATATCTGGTCTTACAGTAGATGGACAGTTCTCATTCCAGTTCCGCACATCTACACAGTGTTCTTGCTTAGAAATTTCTGGTTCCCACCTAAACTTATTTCCCTCGACATTTTCCCGCTCTTAGATTCTATGTTCTACAATCATGTTCTTTATCTTGACTGTGCGAAAGCACAGGCACAGTACACAGTGCTGTGTATGCATGCATGCAGCCATGCACAGCTAGCTCCACGTGCAGGTACACTACTGTAGTATAGTGTACTGTACACTTTGCTAACCTTGTATGTAGTACATGTAGTACGGTATGTTCATGGGAAAATCAGTCTGTTTTCACGTATCCGAAATAACATCCGAGCCCAAATTGATGCCCGTATACGCGCATTCTGTACCTTCACTAATGTTTCCGCCCAGGGCCTTATCATGGGCTTTTTGCGGAAGCCACACACCAAAAATATGAAGTGAAAGCTTTCATCAGGACTGCAGTCGTCCCTCTCTAATCCGGCACTTGTTTATCCAGCACCCTTGCAAACCAGCACACTTTCTGGCAAAACGGATTTTTTCAGTTCATTTTCTACACTTTAATCCGGCACTTGAATTCCGCCTCCAGCAGCGATTTTCTGCAACAAATCACTCAAACTGTACATGATTCGATTTTCTAATCCAGCAGTTGTACATCGCATACTGTCAGGGACCATTGTAACATACACAACACATGTAATATACACTTGGGAATATCCTTGCTAGTGCATAAGATAGTCCCAAGTGTATGTTATAGACATGCATTCCACAAAGTACTTGGTTTGACACAAAAAATCCCTACGTTTTGACGAACGACACAAACATGTATGATAACATGTGGGCCGGGTTGGAGGGCAGGATTTGATAATCCAGCACCCTTGTTTATCCAGCAGAAAATGCCGTTGCAAAAGGTGCCGGATTAGAGAGGGACGACTGTTCTATAATGTGGATTTCGTGATTTTACTGTGTTCTCTAGAGTAAATTAGTGTTGAAGAAGTACTGACTTAGTAATTTTCCTCTGAGTCATCACCAATAATGAAGCCCAATACGTCACATAAACGTTTGCTCAGCCACCAACACCACTCATCAACACAGTAAAGTACGAACTCGTATGAACTAACTTATAGTTATACACGTGAAAATCGTTTCCCTATTTTGATAGGGTTGGTTTGCACAGTTGACTCTATGCTTAGTAGTATGTAGCATGAAGAAGATATCCCAGAGTATTTATTTTCTCCAATGGTGAAGAAAGTGTGAAGAACATATTGAGCTTATGTCGTTTATGCTTGCAGCTTGTAGTTGCTGCACCCCATCATTGATCGTATCGAATCGAAATACAACTCTCGCCCAGGTACCTACCGCGGTTTCATGTCGAGACTTTCTGGTTTTCATCTTGACCAACCTGCGCCTCGGCAGTCTACTCCCATGAGTTCGCTTCGGCAGCAATGCAGAGTCTATCTACTACTAGTATGTGCAATTTACATAATAGTTACATTTGAAGTAAATTTCTTTATTTTCTCATAGATCGATCAACGAGCTACACTCTACGTAGATCTACGTACTGACCGGATTTTTTCGAAAAAAGCGCAGTCGACTGGACTATCGATATATCGGAAACACGCAACACGTGCATGATGCATGCCATAATAAAGCATGCTTGGTCGTTTTACAGGTACATGTACGTCTTATGACCATGAATGGCATGATGACACCCTACGACTCCGTACTCGACTCGTAGTACTGACTGTTGAGTGTTGTAGTGCGGTATTCAAATCCAGTCAAATTCGGAAACATGCTTGTATGCACTGTGCATACCGGTATTGGAGAGACTTTCGTTGAGGTTTGTGCCCCCAGGAAGACAGTCGCCAATGGCATAGTTTATGGGTGTCTTCTTCATTGTCTTGTGTAAAAGACGTTGAGTATGCCGGATTCAGTTGAATTGGAAGTGATGCTCTTGAAATTATGGCCCTGATCCGCGCTATTCCTGTCCTCCTTTCGATCGCCACCATCACTGTTTTGTTATCCTTGGTTCCAAGCGTGAATACCGAGGCACGGGCATCTAATCAGCTTCCTATTGGTAAGGTTACATGCATTGGTCACACGCACGACGCATAAGCTTCGTACAAAGCAGCTCTAAATACTGCATGGTGCTTCTAAGTTCTAGCACTCACGTCATTCTGAAAGTAATTCACCACCACAATCTCAAAAGCACAACGTTCTTCTGGACTGAAGTTTTTTGCCAGTCAAGATATGTCATGTACATACTTTAGAGACCAATATCTTGTCCACAATGTAATAATGATGGCTGAGTTAGTACAACCAGATACACATGAAATCACAGCACTATACGTGGTGTGAGGTCTCCAGGTGGGACAAGGGGGCACGGAATTCAGCTGAGTTGCACGGAATTCAGCTGAGTTGCACGGAATTCAGCTGAGTTGCATGGAATTCAGCTGAGTTGCACGGAATTCAGCTGAGTTGCACGGAATTCAGCTGAGTTGCATGGAATTCAGCTGAGTTGCATGGAATTCAGCTGAGTTGCATGGAATTCAGCTGAGTTGCATGGAATTCAGCTGAGTTGCATGGAATTCAGCTGAGTTGCATGGAATTCAGCTGAGTTGCACGGCGAGATTGCCACAACATGACAGTAATCGGATGTTAGGCAACTGTACGTTGTCTGTTGTTGATGGTAATGGTGAAAGACGGCCGACTAACGCCTTTGTCACACATTGGCTTATCCATACGACGTTCGTTGAATATGGTGCTTGTTGGTGGTTTGTTGGTGGTTTGTTTTCTCATGGTTTCAGAAGCCGTAGCTTGGCATCCAAGAGTTCACTTGCAATCATCAGAAGATAGCTATCAATGTAAGTGACTAAGGCCAGTAAGGGCTCGTTAAACACTGTTGTGGTAGGTGGTATGCAGACTACTCCCGTCATAGCCAGGGTGTAGTAAAATACGGCATTTTTTCACCCCGGTCTTTCCGGGACAGTGTCCTACCGATTAGGCTACCGGGATCATGCACACCCTTAGGTTATGGCCCCTTCTTGCTACACATACATGTGTTTGTGGTTGGCTCATAGCTCGTATCAATTGCCTGATATGGGCTACACATGTTGGTCAGCACACCTAGCAGCTTCAGCTGGTTGACTTCCGGAACGACTGTGGCCTGGAATAATACAATCGGTGGGACGGCGACTGTGTTGTGATGGTGAGAAATCAAGAGGAATTGAGACTTAGTAGGTTCGAACTTAATGTGCCAGGCCATTCCCCAGTCGGCCAGCAAATTTACAGCAAGCTGGAGTACGTTTACATCTTCGGTTACGGCAGTATGGGTCGATATGCACTTGTGTAAGGTGGTGTCATTACCATATAGCAAGCTGGGCTCCAGCAGGTAGGTGTTCCTTAGCATCATGTGTGTAAAGAAGGAATAGAGTCGGGTCCAAGATGCTACCCTGGGGGACGCCTGGTATAATGGGGTAAGCAGGGGAGGACTGTCCGTTCACTGACCGCAGCCTGGAGCTTGCGGTTGGTGAGGTAGCTTCTGAGCCAGGCAAGAAGAGGCGTCTGGATCCCATACCGCTCAGGTTTGTACAGGACACCAGGGTGCGACATTCGTTGACGCCCCAGCAATATCCACTGCCAGGACGTGCACAAGTCTTCCACTGTTGGCAACTTGGCTCCATTCTTGTTGGAGAGCTAGGAGGAGGTCAGTGGCACCAAGTCCAGAGCGGAAGCCGAATTGGTGAGCAGAGAGAATGGAGTTGATATCAAGAAAGTTTGTAATGCTCCGGCTGATTCCAACCACTTTCCATACATTTTGGAGATAATGGAGAGAAGGGATATGGGACGGTAGTTCTTCACACAGGATTTTGAGCCTTTCTTGTGAACCGGGACGACGGTCACCGCCTTCCAGGCAGATGGCTGGTAGCCCTGTCGGAAACAGAGAGAGAACAGACGAGCGAGCGGGCGTGCAAGATAATCTGCACACGTCTTAAGCACCCGACAGGGGACAGAATCAGGGCCAGTTGCTTTCGACTTTCCTAGGTGCCCTGCCGTACCCCGCCCTATACCCTAGTGACAGATGCGGATCTCAAGCATCAGCCATGTGAGAATAGACATGAGTCATCATAAGACCCTCTGCCAGCGTGTGCGCATATACACTGTAAGCTGCATCCATGTTCCCCTCGTTTGATCACAAGGAGCAAATGCTCAGTCGCAAATCTGATTGTAGAAAATCATCCATATTTATTGGTATTTGACTAGTTAAAGGGGAAGTCAAGCCTAAAATCAAATTTCACCAGTTGTTGTTTTCGGGGTGCTGAGTCGAATGGTCTTGGTCCGAGGAAGCTGAGACGCTCCCTTTCTCCTTTATTCCCAATCGAACTCGCGTACTTCCACCGAAATTGGGTGACTGTGCGCTACTAGATGGGGATTTGTATACAAAATGTCACTAAAAGCGCCATTTCGTTCTTATAAAAGCATGGATGACCGCGATTGGCCCATATGCTGTAGTCTTTTGGAGGCTGAGTCGAATGGTTTTGGTCCGAAAAGGCTGCGATGCAGCGTTCGGGCCTTATTCCCAATCGAACATAGTTGAACAAGCGGTCACGTGCTCCTGCGTACACCAGTTACCTGGTCACCGCGCCAGCAGGCGACAACTTTCACACCAAGGTCCAACTCGAGTTTAACTCGAGTTTAACTTGAGTGACAGGAATGCACCCAAACAGGCTGTAACTTGTATCCTGCAGGCACGGTGACCAGGCGACTGGTGTACGCAGGAGCACGTGACCGCTTGTTCAGCCATGTTCGATTGGGAATAAGGCTGAACGCTGCATCGCAGCCTTTTCAGACCAAAACCAGTCGACTCAGCGTCCCAAAGACTACAACATATGGGCCAATCGCGATCATCCGTGCTTTTATAAGAACGAAATGGTGCTTTTGGTGACATTTTGCATACAAATCCCCATCTAATAGGGCGCAATCACCCAGTTTCGGTGGAAGTGCGCGAGTTCGATTGGGAATAAAGGAAGAAGGGAGCGTCTCAGCTTCCTCGGACCAAGGCCATTCGACTCAGCATCCCGAAGAGTACAACAGGTGAAAATTTCATTTTAGGCTTAACTTCCCCTTTTTAAAAGTTGTCATTTTAGTGATAGATAGTGATCTCTTGTGCCACATGACCTCTCGTTTACTGCCCTCCACCGTATTGGCGCTTTACCGCGGACATGTTCGGCCTATGGCGGAATGTGCTTGCCAGCTTTGGTTCTGTGCCGTACCAGTACGGGATAACGGATCGTTAGACCATCTTCAGGCAAAGGTTGCTAGAAGATACCTTTACCGAGAAAAAAAGTTCCTGTCAAATCGAATCGGTGTTCGTTGGTTGTCGATTGGTTGTGTTTCCATCAATAAGCCCAAAACAAAAAATAAGCTTGTTTCGGGTCGGCCGTGAAAAATCTTTTTGGACAATGTGTTTGGTGGCTATGATCAAGGATCATAATGCTTACATTAGGGATGTCACCGGGTAGTAGGGTACCTGTGCTACCCGTAATTAGACCGGGTACCCGGGTAGCAATTTGCTCCTGAGAACCCGATCGGGTAGTTGGAGTACAGTGTTTCTGCAACGGTGCATGTAAAAGGCACGGCTACGTGCTTACTGTGTATGTTCTATGTAGCGCAAGTGCACACTCACTGTACACACTATGTATGTCAGAAAATACCCGATAGGGCACCCGTGCTACCCGGATAAAAATACCCGAACCCGTTACCCGACCAAACCCCTACCCGTTGCAGCCCTAGCTTACATCATGATATGTGATGGACAAAGGCATTATAAACATACATATACAATCATGTTTTCGCGATGACAGCATGAACAAGGCAAGGACGCACTGTTCACGCTGTCACCGTGAAAACATGTTACCTATCAGGCAAGGCTTGCATATACCATGTACAATCATGTAGTACTTCAGCACTTGATGCACATGTGTACTACTCACATGTCTAGAACTGGATGTAGGCATGATCCACGCATGCATGCATGCACGATGCAAATGACCAGTTCGCCACTACAGCCTCCCCAGGCACCTATTGCACACATATGCGGGCCAAAAACAAGTTTCAGAATAAGGAGAAAAGTGACCCGGTCAGCTGACCCGAAACAAGGCTATTTCTTGTTTGGGCCCAATACACTATAGTTACCGTAGAATCCCTCGGATAAGGCCATGGGATAATCTGATTCTAAAGGAGCATCGGATAAGCTTATAATAAATTATGTGGGTATGGACTTATACGTTGATCGAGATATACATCAACAAAACACAGCAAGTACTGCTAGAATATCTGTACATTCAGCCAGCAAAGAAGGAAAGCGAACTAAAAAATTCAAGCAAGCCCCCGAGCTTTGACGCCCACACCTAGTTGTGTGCGCCTTTTATCTGGGCCTATGTATGGAAGTGGGTCTATAAAGCCCGTCCGCGGCATGCAGCTACGCAAGAGTTTGGGAGAATGGAATTTGTCATTTACGTTTGAGTCATGGAACCGCGACTCGCGACTGATGTATTGTTCCGCATCGATGTGACCTGTGACATCATTTTTACTGTACATGTACATGTACCTTGACATCGAAATGACGCAAAAGACTAATTTCGCTGTCCAGAGCCCAGGTGCGGAGCTGCACACTCTGGTTTACATGACGTAGGCAAGGTGCAACATCATGCAGAGGGGTTGCTTTGTGAATATGTGAAGGCACGTTGTCTCACGTGCATGTGTTATTGAATCATCTCAAGGACTGCAATGCTTTGAAATCTTTCCTCTGCGTTTACTGCAGATCTGTGTGAGCTCTGTAATAATGGAACTCGTGTTGTTGTCCTGTCACCGGGAGAAGAAGGTGTGAATCTGGACGACCATTCTGCAGACACTGGCGATATTGTGCTTGTGAGATCACTGGCACCTAACACAACCCTCTTCCATCTTCTCTCTACGTTTGACTCAACAACCTGGTATAATAACAAAGCTAGCATTGGTCAAGCACTCTCATCTACCTTGACCAGTAATGTAATCGCATCCTTTCTGAACCTCTACCCCAATCATAATGTCATTGTTGTTGGTAAGGCAGTTGAAATCACTTGTGTGTACTTGAAGTATGTGAACTCAGTTGGCGTGTCAGATGTCATCCTTCAGTTCATTAGTCCCACCACCGTCTGTGGTCAAACGAGGTTTTTGAAATCTTTTATTCTCACGATGGTCTGTGGCCAATAAGAGAAAAAAGAAGTACAGGCATGGAGTGCGCTTATAATGGAGACTGGGCTTCTACAAGAGACTGCGCTTGTAATAGAGATAATACGGTACTTACGGTCCCCTTTACAGGGAGCTGTCTCCTGACAGTCAGAACCTCGCATTGCAAGAATATTGATGGATACGAAACGCATTTAGCTGAACTTCAACTGAATATCGTTCCGCCTTCTGTGTCATGGATTCTTTTCGCTCGAGGAGGACAGACAAATCATTCGGTGTTCACTGGAACTTTTGTGGATGCTCTGCTAGACTTTCTTGTGCTTTCTTGCCTACAGGTGCCAAATGCACAGTCTGTCCCTCACAACTCTTCAATAAACACATATCATTATGGGTGAACAGTGCCGATCAGCTCCTAGAGGCGTCTCTGGAAAATCGGGCAACTGTTCTGCTGATGATTGGCCAGAATGTTGCCTCTGCAACTCAAGTTGCCTTTCTGCAACAGGTAAACTTCCTCTTCCCTTTCTTTGTATGGGGCTGGACGAACTAAGTTCTGTCTTTGCAATGGCCTGATTGACTGGCATTTTGTTATTTTAATACGTGTGGTTTTTTTGAAGGTCTGCTGTGCTTATTTGTATGACTGACAGAATAGTGCATGTGCGAATTATGGCATGTACAGCTGTACTTCAAAAACTACCTCCATGTGATTGTTGTTCCTCCAGGTTCAACAGCTGCTACCCCTGTTCATATCACAAGTAAACGTGATCGTGGCAAGCCTCCCTATTTCTATCGACACACATGTAAGGAAAAGTATTTTTTACCTCGGATACTGAGCAAATAATAAATGTAAAATAGAAGAGAACACATGGGTACACACAGGGGTTGCAGGGTACCCAGGTCAGGCCGCTGTGAGGTGGCGACGTGATCTGGACACAGTGAGGGTGGGTGATAAGTTGATAACTACAATTTCCTCAGATTTTCCTCCCATAGAAACTTCCATTTCCCCCCAGAATATTGGGGTTCAAGGATCCCACCTGTACATTTACGTTCGGATAAGAAATCCCTCAGATATTAGGACCTCTTTCCTGTTGCATGTTCCCCATAGGGGTACGTCTCATCGAGGATTTACACTCACGGGATAACCAACGGTCACCGGCAAGGGAAAAGTTCAGATTGCTGGGATGCCATGCATTTTGAGATTTTTCCTTGCGGAATCTGACCAAGGCTAGCGTTATGCACACAGCCATTTTCTTCCGGTACTCTCGAAGGTACTAGTAATGCCTTCGACTCATGTCGGGTACTAGACTACTAATTGTTGTTTTTGCTATGGTTCTATTCTAGGCTTCCAATTCCGAAAATCTCATAATGGATAGTCTCTCTGTTGCTCTCAAGGGCCTTCCGGCCACTGATTCTCGCTGCCACTGTGATGGAAACTCTTCCCAAGAATGGATTGCAGCACAGGCAATGCTGAAAAAGGCACTCAAGAAGGTAAGTTAGGCCAGTGCTGGCCATGTCCGTAATAATTATTATGCTGTGTTCGTGGTGTCCCTTCTGTACGACATGACCGCATTGATAACAAGCTATGCAGAATGGTCACGGAATCATCTTGACAAGCCCAGCCTAGTAAGATGCATGAACACTGACAAGAGAACCTGGCAACACATTGGAGAGAGAGAGAGAGAGAGAGGGATTTAAATGCACTCTGTTGTTACCTGTACTTGTTGACTACAGACGGCCAAAGACGTATACCCTGTGTTGCTAACAACACATCAAGTACGAAACTGGCTGAATGGTTTCTCTGCTGACGTTATACACACTTCATACGGCCAAATATCACAGGTAAGCCCGAGTGTGTGATCCACTTCCCCTGCAGAAGTCAATAAGTGTGACTTGGCCCGATTTCAAACTCAAGCATTCGTTCATGCTTTTGTTCCCTCAGTTTGTGTGCATACGTAGAGTACTTGTGCACTGAGTACTACAGCAATATGTGTAGCCAATTATAAGTCACTGGGAATTTTCAAAAAAAACTGTATTTTGACTGAAGAGAAGAATTCAGCCCAGATAGGAATAATTATGCCAGCCACAACCCATGTGGCAGCTCATACAATACAATGTATCACCCTGTCAGGATTCTTGCTAGCCTTCTGAAACATACTCAATATATGCAGACACACATACTAAGTACCCAGTCAATGATTTGCAGGTTGCCTCTCCTTCCTTGTACTTCAAAGTAAAAATAATTTTGATGTTGCAGTGAAGTGCTCTGGGCTGCAAGAGGGATGGGGTAGGGCTTGGCATGCCACTTCTCCAGGTAGTCATGTCAGCACGTGCAAAGGATGGCAACAGCTGGGTTGTTCCTCTGAGACTGAGGACTGCCCAGACATCATACAGTCATGTACATGAGTATGTACCTAAGTCCTTGATAATTAATTATAAGTATCCGACTCTCTCCTCGACTCCATACTACGTATATACTATACAGCCCAGCGCCACTGACCCTGGAACTAGAATAGGTCAAGCTCAACATGCATGACATCATTGTGCCAAAGTAATAACTTACTTGTAAGAATGCTAAGTGCCAGCTTCCAACAATGAAAGTCCTGCATATCATGTGAACGAGTGTGAATCAGTATTGTGTGCTGCAACGCTGAAAAGGCCGGATTTATGCGTCAATGTACATTGTACAGATATCAGAGATTCAGTGCTCCATCATCCATGCCACACATTGCACTCATAAAATTAAAGTTGGAGAGGGTTTAGCAGCAGTGTGTCGCCCAAGGCAATACCGTATTGCTGGAAACATCGAGCTCCTGAACTCATGGTCAGACTTTGCTCTATCGTAGCATTATTGTCATCATCAGCACTGCTATACTAATCCTGTTTATCTCCCCGTCAGCGGTAGTGGCAGTACCCACAACAGATCAACCATTGCCAGATGGTTGAAGCGACTTCAAGTTTTCAACAAAAATCAGCCACTCAGCATGTCATGGTGGTGAAATTGTACGCGTTTGCAATAGTCAAGGCGAGCATAATCTCAGTTGAAACCTAGACAAAACCATCTATGTCATGATAATTATCGATGTAGCCTTTATAACCACGTATGCATAAAGCTGCATGCATGTCGCTCTTGTATGCACCACATACACATAAGTATGAACGTCGGCACAAAAGCAGATGAGCACGAAACTTTCGCCTGCATGCACGCGCGCACACACACACACACACACACACACACGCACGCACGCGCATACACACATTGTGCAGTACAGTATGAGAAATCAGCATTGCAAAGCCAAGAATAATGCATGCTGCACGCTTTGCATCAAGAGGATGACGATGTGTTGCGAAAATAATATAGACCTGTATGTAAGAGCCCCTCGACTTGAGTGTATGTTCAAGGAAGACAAAAAACGGCAATCAGGGAAGCTGGTCGACATCTACAGCAACAGTAATTCGTACCATGTACATGAAAGAAGGTCCGTTGCGATCTAAAGTCTAGTGATATTCACACGTTCTAACTTACTCATGGGTAGCGCGGCCGACATTGCTGCCCGCACTGCCTGTGAATTTGCTACAACTCCTTTTTTATTGCTACTTGTCCTGTCAAACCTTTCTTTTGATAAAAAACAGTTTTGTACGTGCAGTGCTGCCGTCATCCTATTCGCAGCAGACACATACGCACGCGCCATGCGTCAGCGTCTAAATATATTGGCTGGCTACAATTATTAAATATATGAGTAATCTAAGAAGGCAGCAAGCCCTACCTAGGGTTGGCGGCTTCTGTTTTGCGCTTTAACGACCCGGAATTGCTCGAGCCGTGACTTTGCGTATCTTCGCCGGGCGAGCGCATTGATCTCCGTTCCATACTGCCGGTACTACGCTGTGACGCACTGCCTCCTCTTGCATTGGTTGGCGACTTTCCGCTCAGCGGACGTGCACCTGAAGCTGCTGCTGCACCGCCAGTTGCTCCTGACGCTGACGACGATGACGATAGCGTGGGTCCAGCTTGCGCTTGTGCGCCAGTGGACGCAGCGGCGGCAGCGGTAGACGGAGCTTCGCGGACAGCCTGTTTTCCTGGCTTTACTGTGATGATGAGGTTTTGTGAGTTTGCCACCATCATGTCTGTCACCTGATCTAGTGTCTTGCCTGTTACCTCGATACCATTCACCTCCAATATTTCATCGTCCACAGCCAGCAATCCTGTTCCCTCCGCAAGACCACCTGGGACAAGTCTGGAAATGAAAATACCTGGCACCTTCTCCAGGACGTTCTGTGGCGTAACGCGCGTACTCATGCCATCTCGAATATAGAATCCTAATGGCTTGTTGGAGGAGTGCTTTAGCAGCTTCACACGACGTACCGTCTCCGGAAGGAGGTCAGCGTCGACGATGGCTGACACTTTTCGGAAATCCTCCGGTGTGCCGATCTGTATTTGGCCAAGCTTCTTGTCCGGACGCAGGCCAGCCACTTTGCGCTTTCTGGCTTGCTGGAACATATCAGCGAGCAGCGCATCTGTGCACAACAACAAGAGGCATAGACAGTAACGTCTTACGATGGATATCTGCTGCAGCGGCGCACCTTGCCGCAATCGCACCGGGTTGTCACACAGCACATTGCAATGCAAAAAACAACATTGCCTCATTGACAGAACACTCTTTTCTCAAGTCTCATTTCATTGCCGCTGTTACTTTTCCAGACTTTTAGCACAGGACAGAATATTTCAAATTGCTCTTGATCAGTCGTACTGCAATCGTATGTGAACTCTTCGCCGCGTCCTCACCTTGGCCGCGATATACGAATATTCTCAGCAAGGGTTTCGAGAGCGACACCGCATGGGCGAAGTTATCATCGTTGTTGATCGGTAACAGATCGCCTCGCAACGGCTCCGTGTAACTGATCGACACACTGTCCACGTCTCCTACTTTATGTAAGGACTTGATGTGTAGCATGAACAACTCGAATGTCTTCAGCTCAGTGCGCTTCATGGAGAAGCGTCGATATTCCTGCTCGAACTATGGCAGAAGAAATAAAATAAAAAAGTACACACAGCACACGACATCACAGGCGTCCAGAAAATTATGAAGCGCACATAGCAGCTAGCAGCAAAGGTTCCATCGATGGTTACCTTCGACTTTACTTCGACAACATCGTCAGCCATATCTGCGACCAGTAAGCTTATTACGCGCCACGGCTAGGTTTCGCTGTGCTCACAAACCCTCACTTTTCTTCACTTCAGTCTGCATGTAGGTCTTCTCTCTTGTGACTTTTGCCGTTCTGACGTTATGTGTGATCGTTACGAGTGCAGTACATCTACAGACAGCGCACTACTACTAGTCTAGACTAGAGTCGTAGAGAGCAGTAGATCTCGAGTCATACTCATTACTACGTCTCTACGTCTCTTGTCAAGTCTTGACTTCACTTCTCACTGTTTGATCAGCGATTTTGTTAGTTTGAGTTACATCACAGCATCACAGATCTGCATCTAGATCTACAGTCCATGTCCTGTCCATGCAGCACAGACTCTGTGCAGCATATGCATACACCATACAGCCTGTGTCTGACTTTGGCCGGCCTGGGGGAGTGTGGCTGTAGCGTGGTAGCTAGCTAGCTGGCATAGATGCTGGAGTATGTGTGTCATACTACATCATGTAGCCACACATCTTGCTGTACAGTCAGTACAGCCGGATTTGTGAGGTGTGAAATGTCCATACTTGTCGTGACTATGTTACCCATGACCACATGATACTGTATAACACCTTTATTTCGGTGTAATTTAAATTTCGGTAACTTCGGTACTGGTCCTGGATCACCTAATTTAACATTACACCTAAATTTTCCGAAATACCAAAATATGTAAAAATCATGAATCCAACTGTCAAATTAAAAAAATCAACTACATGTGTAGTTGTAACTTATATACTGGTATACCGGTAGTACATTGTACATACATAACATGTATGCAAATGTGGAGCCTTTTGGCCTTGGCGGAGATATTAGTGCAAGAGCGTTTTTTTTTTTTTTTTTTTTTTTTTTTTTTTTTTTTTTTTTTGGTGCCATGCATACCGAATTTATCCTTACACCGAAAGGTCAGGGGTTGGCTTTTACCGAAATTTTACAACACCGAAAATAAGGTGATATACAGTATCTTGATACAGTAAAACTCCCCAGATTCCGGCAGGTTGGGACGAGCAGTGCTGTCCATAACTAGGCACGTAACTCGGAATTTTCGTTACTGCATGCAAGTACATGTAAGACTTTTGTGCCAATCAATATGACTGTTTTGGGGCCTTTTTCGTTTAAAAGCCATTTTTGTGACTCTAGATGGGTCAGAAAGGTGCCTGGTAGACGGAGGTGTCCAGATTAGGGATGTTCGGATCTGGGGAGTTTTACTCTACTGGTAGTGTACATGTACATGTATCAGGCACATGGCCATTGCACATTCAACAATGTTACATGTGTGCCGGCCCACAGTAATGGCAATCTTGGTGATGGAGTCTGCAAGTACAAAGTGTAGCAAAATTAGTTTTGGAGTGGTACTACAAGTACATCACATACATATCACACACTTTTTTTCTTTCTTTTTCTTTTCTTTTGGGTTACATTTTTTCCTTTTCTGGTTTTCTGGGTTTGCATTTTAAATTTGTATTGCATTTTCATCCATTGTGTTTCTTTTGCCCGTAAAAACAGACTTCGCAAAATGCAAGTACAAAGAGTGTCCTCAGACTTTAGATCATGATGATACAGTCAATACTACAGCTGCAACACTGAGGAAATTATAGTGTATGACCCTATGGGCAATGGGGAGTTGGGCTTGGATACTACATTGTACAATGTTATGTTGTTGGTTGACAGCATATACTAGCAAGGTGGAGGACACCGTGTTCGGAAACATTGACCTTCCTACAACATGTTTGAACAAACATGGTTTAGTAATACCATACATTGTACATGTAGGCTAAGTATGTTAGTAGGAAAAATAACACAAGAATTGCTATGTTCCAAGAGGGCAAACTGTGCGGTTACCATTCTTATGACATTGTATAAGTCTTCAGGCTGGGTACAATCATAACGATGTCACCATGATCCCAACAAATATTTGACCAATATAACAAGACAACGTCCGGGTAGATGAGCGCAGCACAAATTGTCAACAGAGAAGTACAATCAGTAGGCTACAGTAAGTACGCCGCTGTTGTGGTAGCTATCCCAGGTGTACATGCAGCTCTAGATGTCCCACACCAGATCATTCAATCATCAATTAGAAGTATATATGCTTGGATGTACATCAATCATGGCCAGGACTCTGCTACTGACTACATGATTGTATTGCTATACTCCACCTTTGGCATGATGTTTTCAAACTGAAGTGTGAAATGGGTGGATATTCCAGCCCTAGTGATCTACTTCAAAGTACTGCCTATGTGTCAACTGTTGACAGCCTGGGCAAGCTGTGATACTGAGAGGTGTTGCTCAGTACAGTGAAGATAGTGGACTATGTTTGCTGGAGGGCGCCTTGGCGACCACATGTCTGTCAAGGAACTGCCACCAATGCACCATGCCTTGCACTGCCTACTGTACTATACTACACATGGTGGTGGTATGGTACTACACGTACACGTACTGCATATTGCTCAGTGCCAGTGGTCAGACCTGTCACTCCAATAGTAGTCGTATTTGGACTGCGCAGCAGAGGTGGACTACATGTTGGATCATTGACACCATGTTACAAGGCGGAGGCCGGACGCACTGTGTCGAAAACAGTGCTCCTGGCTACAAGTACAAGCATTAAAAAACGGTTGCGGGCATTACAATACATGTACTGCTATAGTGACTGGTGTTCACATCAGCTCGTCATGTGACTGAATCTGTGTAGAAAGTGATCATGATGTGTGGACAGTGGAACCAACATGGCCAACATCAACTTCTTGTCACACTTATCGCCTGGTATTTGCTTTGGTGATTTGTCCTCTATCAATGCTTGCTGCAGATTGGAACTTGGGATGGCACATCTGCTGCTATCAGCTGGTTGCCATTGTATCGTCAACATGCAGGTCATGCGGCCAAGGCTCTTCTTCTAGATCAAGTTGAATATGCAGCTGAAGACTGGAGCCGGGAGCAAGGGGAATCACATGTACGCAGCAGAAGAGCGACTACGCAGCAATCACCCTGTCCAGCTGCTCGCATAACCACCCTGAAAGGCGCCAATCTGAATGTAGTTACCATTGTGGTAAGACACAACCGCTTGAGTGGTTCGAGCAAGCATGAAGTTCTTTAGTCTGCTCGAAACACATAGATAGTGCTTGCACAGTGCACTCGGAGTAGAGTCATTCTGATACATGTATACAGTGTGCAGTGTGCAGTGGTCACAGAGACCCGAGCTGTGCTCTTATGTGCTAGACAAGGTTGGCTCTTGGATTGGCGGGAAATTCAACATCAAGACAAAGTTTATCAGACTAATATCTTGAAAAAGAAAGGGAAGCAGATTGTGGCAGTAGGGCCATATCTGTGGAAGATCTGTTGGGAGGTGTGTGCTACCCCTCATGCCAAAACAAATATGGGGCACAGCTGCTAGTTCTTAGGCTGTCATCACACCATGGTACAAAGCGCTGCGTCTACGTCCACGTAAGGAGTTTTTGGTCGGTTGTCATGATGATCTGTATAGGGGAGCAGAGGAAACGGGAGACGTAGACGTGGTATGGAGGGGGGGGGGGGGGGGTATACTACTTTTTGTATGAATGTGCGTATCTGCCCCAGCCTTTTTCCGAGCGACCCTGTACTTCGATGTACGTGGGTTCAAATTTCTCCAAAAACCTGACTGTGTCACAGAGTGTGTGTACGCGTCAAGAACTGTGCCTGTCTGATGACACGACCACCCGTTTTGGTTTTTTCACCATAGACGTAGATGTAAACGGGAGTCGGAGAACGTGGTGTGATGACGGCCTAAGCTGTTGCTCGCCTGTACGTCCATTTTTTTAACTGCAGACTTGCCAGGTTAAAAATGTACTTGGAAGTAATACGGTTCTGATCATAGGGCACAAGAGTACCCTCTACATTACTTGCTGTACAAGAGGCTTGGTGATAGGACACGTAACTGGATGTGAATTGGGGGTAAATTTTCAAAGTATCCCCTCTATAGATGTATCTTTTCCTAGAATAGCCTTCAGGGGGGGGGGGGGGCATTTCTCCAATACCTCAAAGCTTTTCAAGGGGCTTTGTCCCCTTTCAGTGCAGCCCGGGCCCCTTCGATCCAGGCAGGGAGACACCCCAGGTCCCTGGTGACTGCGCATGGACCTCGAAGTCACCCCGGATCCACCTCTACACATCCTGTCTAAACCGGACCACAGGCTGTGCTAGTATCGCTGGTGCATGTCACATGTTTGCCCGTGTCTTTCTTCTAGTATGTGCTTGTGTGCATGCTCTCTCATCTTGTGTTGATAGGAAGAACCATTCTTACTCAACTCGTCTATTGACAACAAGTATTCACTGAAAGGATTTTCCAAAGATCTTCTTGATGCTCTGGCCAGCCAACTGGGATTCAACTACACACTACGTCTTGTTAGAGATGGTCAATACGGAGCTAAATCACCTGGTGGCAACTGGTCTGGGCTAGTAGGCGAGATTGTGAATTGTGTAAGGAAAGTGTTTGTGTTTTAAATAGTTCCGCATTGGAGTTGGAAAACTGAGCTTGTCCTAAGCCCATGCATGCATGCTCGTGCACGCATGCACGCGCACGCACACACACACACACACACACACACACACACACACACACACACACATATGTACAGTAAAACCTGTAATGGCGACCACTCGGATATGGCGACCACTCGACCATGGCGACCACTTTTCCTTGTCACGGATGCATTCACATTCAAAACAGCTCAGATAAGGTGACCACTCGCTCAACGCGACCGACGACCACCCACCCGCGACCGCGTTGCACAGTGCTAGTACATGTAAATGTATGCATTGCATGGTGTGTAGATGTGCATGGTGCATGCACGACACTTCACAGGTCTGAGGACCCCAGGCACATGAGTCGTACGAGAGTAGCATAGGTGTATGCCTGTGATACTCTGATCAAAATGATGTATCACATGTGGATATGGTCACGTGACCCACTGAACCTGGATAAGAAGACCACCTGGCCACGGTGACCACTTTTTCTCGTCCCTTGAGGGGTCGCCTTAGACTGGTTTCACTGTATATTCATCCAATACGTCAATCACCTTAGGCACAACCCAAGGAAGTGGAGAAGCCAAAGAACTGGAAGCAAACCTCGTAGATACTAGTTGTGATAGTACGTGTACATATCAATTTTGCTGTTCTTTTTTTTTAAATTCTTTGCTCTCCCTGCATTCATGATGATATTATCATCATTGGTTCGTGGTAAAGACACACCTGGCAATATGGCGGTAAACACACGCCTGCCCACACACTTCGTGGGTTCAAAAAAACACCTTTTGTAGTATGTGTACTACATATGCCATGCACAGTTACATAATTGTATGTTTTGGCACGTGTGTTCGACTAAATGCACTTGTCCCACCTCCTCAAAGCCGAAGCACGCCGCTTCTGTGGAGTCCTGCACAGACAGTGCCTTGGGAGGCGGGCGAAAATTCAGAGCAGGTGCTGACAATGAACAGTGTACTTGTTGTTACCTGGCCTACTGTACCGTCCTGGATATACCATACTATGGGGTATACGCTATCCAGTACGAGTGTCCTGCATTATTCTGTACAGAATCAGTCAATTGAATTAAAAGATTTACTATGACGATATTACGATTCGGGAGTTTAGTTTAATTCATGCTGGTTTGAATAGGGTTCTTGTCTTTTTCTACCTTTGCCGTGTCCTTTTTCTGTTTCTAGGAAGCTGATTTTGTTTCCGCTCCACTCACAATTTCCGTCGGACGATCCAGAGTAGTTGACTTCTCACTGCCTTTCTTGCAGCTTGGCCTCCAGGTTGCCATTAGGAAAAGTTATCCTGGCGAGCCTTCGTTCTTTCAGTTCCTCGACCCGCTGTCTGCTACCGTGTGGGGTTTGGTGGTGGTTGCCGGCATTCTTGCCAGTATGAGTATGGCACTGGTCAATGCCTGGAGTCCGTACAGTTATAGAAATGCCCGTGCTTTGAGGAACGAACCGCCAATTTTCAAATGCGACTGTGCAATCGATGAGTTTACGTTTTACAACTCGCTGTGGTTCATGGTGGGTAGCTTTGCCCAGCAGGGTGCCGACAAACAGCCCCTGTCACCTAGTGGTCGAATAGTGGGCATGACCTGGTACTTATTTGGACTGGTCGTTATCAACACATACATTGCTAACCTTGCTGCTTTCTTGACCACCAATAACCGCAATTTGCCAATCAATGACATCACGTCATTACCACTACAGGACACGTTACAATACGGTACCGTGCTCAACAGTCAACCGGAGTCGTTTTTCAAGACCACTCAAATTACGGCCTACAAAAGAGTCTGGGAGGGTATCAATACCAACCGGGCACAGCTTGTGCTCACTGCTAAAGAGGGTATTGACATGGTGCGCTCGTCAAACTATGCATTTATCTGGGATTCACCGTCCCTAAGGTATGCCGGACAGAGGCTGCCTTGCGACTTGGAGGTGCGTGGAAATCCATTCGATCTGCGCGGCTACGGATTTGCCATGCCCCTTGGGTCAGCATTTCAAGAGGAAGTGTCTAAAGCTGTGCTTCTGATGCAAGAGAACGGCCTGATTCACAGACTGCAGGAGAAATGGTGGGATGACCGCACACAGTGCAGTGATCTTTCTGGGACGTCTTCAGGAGGTGGCTCAGAGGTTATCACACTCCGGCATGTGTTTGGGTTGATGATGGTCATGGCTGCAGGAATTCTTGTGTCGCTGCTCATCTTGCTGGCTGAGGTACTTTACTACAGCTGGAAGCAATCTCGAAAAGGAGCGGTAAGTTATATTTGTTATAGCCGTTCTCATACCTTGTTTCAGTGTGTATTTTAGTCAAATTTTTGACTTTGCCCAATATCCCAGGAGGAGGGTCAAAAACTGTCAAAATGGATGAATGAGGTCCACCCAGGGATAAAATAAGTCAACTTTGAGCGACAACTGAAATTTGGCCATATGCGGTGATATTTGGCGTTACAGACATTACCTCTTTCAAGAATCTTTGTTTCTAGCCTGCCACGTTATACAATTGTGGCGACTTTCTAGCCTAGATGTTCTTAGGCCACCCGTTCTTCGGTGCCCGATGTTACCATTGCATTTAAAGGGGAAGTTAAGGCAAAAATTAAAATTTCACCAGTTGTAGTCTTCGGGGTGCTGAGTCGAATGGTCTTGGTCCGAGAAAGCTGAGACGCTCCCTTCCTACTTGAATCCCAATCGAACTCGCGCACTTCCACTGAAACTGGGTGACTGCGCCCTACTAGATGGGGATTTGTATGCAAAATGTCACTAAAAGCGCCATTTTGTTCTTATAAAAGCACGGATGACCGCGATTGGCCCATATGTTGTAGTCTTTTGGACGCTGAGTCGACTGGTTTTGGTCCGAAAAGGCTGCGATGCAGCGTTCCTCCTATATTCCCAATCGAACATGGTTGAACAAGCGGTCACGTGCTCCTGCGTACCCCAGTCACCTGGTCACCGTGCCTGCAGGGTACAACTTACTAGCCTGTTTGACCTTTTTTGGGTGCACTCCTGTCACTCGAGTTGAACCTTGGTGTGAAATTTGTCGCCTGCTGGCGTGGTGACCAGGTGATTTGGGCACCCAGGAGCACGTGGCCGCTTGTTCAACCATGTTCGATTGGGAATAAAGGAGGAACGCTGCATCGCAGCCTTTTCGGACCAAAACCAGTCGACTCAGCGTCCAAAAGACTACAACATATGGGCCAATCGCGGTCATCCGTGCTTTTATAAGAACGAAATGGCGCTTTTAGTGACATTTTGCATACAAATCCCCATCTAGTAGGGCGCAGTCACCCAGTTTCGGTGGAAGTGCGCGAGTTCGATTGGGATTCAAGTAGGAAGGGAGCGTCTCAGCTTTCTCGGACCAAGACCATTCGACTCAGCACCCCGAAGACTACAACTGGTGAAATTTTAATTTTTGCCTTAACTTCCCCTTTAAAGGGGAAGTTAAGCCTAGAATCAAATTTTCACCAGTTGTAGTCTTCGGGATGCTGAGTCAAATGGTCTAGGTCCGAGGAAGCTGAGATGCTCCCTTCCTTCTTTATTCCCAATCGAACTCGCACACTTCCACCGAAACTGGGTGCCTGCGCCCTACTAGATGGGGATTTGTATGCAAAATGTCACTAAAAGCGCCAGTTTGTTCTTATAAAAGCACGGATGACCGCGATTGGCCCATATGTTGTAGTCTGTTGGACGCTGAGTCGACTGGTTTTGGTCTGAAAAGGCTGCGATGTAGCGTTCGGTCCTTATTCCCAATCGAACATCGCCGGACAAGCGGTCACGTGCTCGTGCGTACACCAGTCACCTGGTCGCCGTGCCTGCAGGCTACAATGTACAGCATGTTTGGGCGAGTTTCTGTCACTCGAGTTGAACCTTGGTGTAAAATTTGTCGCCTGCTGACGTGGTGACCAGGTGACTGGTGTACGCAGGAGCACGTGACCGCTTGTTCAACCATGTTCGATTGGGAATAAGGGCCGAACGCTACATCGCAGCCTTTTCGGACCAAAACCAGTCGACTCAGCGTCCAAAAGACTACCGGTACAACATATGGGCCAATCGCGGTCATCCCTGCTTTTATAAGAACGACATGGCACTTTTAGTGACATTTTGTATACACATCCCCATCTAGTAGGGCGCAGTCACCCAGTTTCGGTGGAAGTGCACGAGTTCGATTGGGAATAAAGGAGGAAGGGAGCGTCTTAGATTCCTCGGACCAAGACCATTCGACTCAGCACCCCGAAGACTACAACTGGTGAAAATTTGATTTTAGGCTTAACTTCCCCTGAGTCAGATCCGTATCTTTGAGTGGTAGTGAACGGCAGTTCCTAACTATTATAATATGTTTTTAAACCCTCAACCGAGATACTAGTACATGTACATGTAACAGGATCACTCACTGCCAGGGCGTGTCGGGTGTTACCATAATAAAACATTTGTACTGAAGGCAAGCGAACACAGGCATGTGTCTACTGCTGCCATGGACTTCCTGGGCACTGCACCTTTTGTATGCATTGTCGTATTGTACTAGTCCACTAAAATGCTTGTGAGACGAACACGGAGCCACACCTTCGGGTTTTTGGCACCCATTTGTGCGAACCAAAACAAGTAGTTTTGTCTTTTGAAGCTTTGTGTTGTGTTGACTGTGCTCTTTTACAATACAAGTAGAGATTTGCCTATTGGCACTGTTTGGCACAGTGCTAACATCCTGTGTTTGTGTGATGTCGTATCTAACATGTGTCTGTAATTGTAGGATTCTATCCGTGATACCGTTGGACGGTGGTCCAATACCAGATTCAAGCCACCAACACTGACACTACCGCTTTCCAGCAAGAACAACTTTGTTGCTACGATGACAAGACGCAGCATGTTCTCTCGACGTGGATTTGGCGATTCTAACTTCCCGGCAACACCACCGCCTGCGCATCCCATGTCACGCCTGAATGAGGGTAATGCCAAACACATAATGCCAAGTGGTTTGCTCAGCCCAATACAGGATGCCAAGTCCCTGAATAGTAGTAATGTCACACAAACTCGCAGTGAGTCTTACATTAAGACCAGCCAGCTCCAGCAATTGGCCATGGGGGCTTTGACAAACCCTGCAGCGCAGTCAAAAAGTACCAGTAAACGCAAGAAAGTGCTGCGGTCCAAGAGAGGACAGCGAAGTACTCACCATCCTATGCACAGCTCATCCATGAAGAAGGACGTCCCAATACCTCAAAATTGTATGAATGTAGTAAGGGACACAGAGATCAGCAGTAATGATTCTCTCCCCCGGCTGGTGAAAGCTGATGTGGATATGGGAGTAGTTGAGCCATCGCCACCCTACTCTCAAGGTCCTGAGTTGCGAGAGAGACGTTCTATGAAGGCTCGAGATAGCCATGCCTCAGACCGGTGCAGCCTACTAGTGGATATGTTTGATTCTGACGAGGCTTCAGAACAATTTTCAACAGAGAAGCAGGGCCCATCCATCTTTGATCAGCTTCCCAGAAATCTGTCTTCCGTCAGCGTTCCAACTCGCGCTACAAGCCTAAGGACCAAATCACTTTTTGTTCAAACAGGAGCTGACTCCATTTTTCCCACAGTATCAAAAGCATCTCTTTGATGTCGGTGCTGCTCTATGCTATGATTCCTTCCTTCCTGTCTTGTCTAGCTGCTAAGTTTTATCTTTTGTAGTTGTTGGCCAAAGTTTCTGTCCATTGTAAGTTGTGACCATCAGTTTTTCCTATTATTATACTCTCATATAGTTTTTAGCAGCTTCTCCGCTTTGGCGTCAGCGGCAGGTTATAGTCCACAACACGTAGTCGCTACCGAAGCGAGATACAGATATGTAGCCATCCTTTTTTGCTGCTCAATTTCTCTCTCGCCGCTTAAAAGTCGGCCATGCTGCACTTTTGTACCAGCTCCTGCTGTTTCTACAGCGCTGGCCGGCGAAGTTTGCGTTATACGTCATCATGATTTTTATCACGATCCAATTATAAAATTCTCATCATTTGTTCAAATACAGTCGACTCCTGATATAACGAACACACAGGAGAATTAGTTTTTTATAGCCGAAGTTCGTTATAACAGAAATGCACTCACACTATGCAAGGAGCAAGCTATGACTGGAAAGTGGCCCATGACAGCATGAGTGGACTTGGTTTACATCAGGGAGTAGTACAATACTGTATTGTACTACTCCCTGGTTTACATGCTGCCCTGCATGATTTGGTTCATTATAAACAAAAACTGTTCGCTGTAAAGGGTCAATTTTGTATGTGTTGAAACAGGGACATGGACAAGGGTTCGCTATATCACAAAATTCGCTATATGCGAGTTCGTTATAAGTGGAGTCGACTGTAAATATAAAAATACAGAATCTATTGCAAACAATGGTCCGTTGTTTCTTGTTGTTTTCTTCAACATACTAGTAGTACATGCATCTGCACAATCCACACCTGTCCAAAAGAACACTAAGAAATTTTAGAACCAAACGTTTTGGCGTTCCCTTCTCTTCATGGGCTCTTACAGGGAGCAAAGCAAGAATGACGCGAAGACAGCAATTATACCGGGGCAAAGAATTGAGAGAGATGAGCATCGCGCCACAAGTGTGAAAAGTCAGCAAGTCAAAAACAGCATGAAAATCAAACAATAATACTAACACATTGAACGTATCAAGAGTTAAGATTATTCTTAGCACTCACACGTGGACTAACATCAAACAACTGAAGGGACAAAACATTTCTCTTCTGAACACATGTGAGACATACATGTACCGGTGAGTGCTATGAATAATCTTGCCTCTTGATACGTTTGATGCGTTAGTATTATTGACGTGCCTTTTCTTTTTTGTACTTTGCAAAAATGTGCGGGGACACTTTGTCCGGATGTATACAAAACATCCGGAAACTGACCGTTAACGGTCGGAAATTGTCCGATGTCCGACCATTATTTCGCGCCCTGGGTAGGATACTGTCCCGGAAAGACATGGGTGCTGGGTTCGAATCCCGCTCGTGGATCCTTCTTTTGCAACATTGGCGCCTGGCAATGGCTAGAATCCACGACCCATCGTACCCCCCCCCCCCCCCCCCCCCGCTAGTAGGTACGGCGTGAGGCCACAGCCTGTTGGGGCGGGGGATAGGCATTGGCGGACAATGCTCGAAAAGGTGGCAGATTCTGCTCGAAAAGCAGTGAAATTGGCGGAACCATACAAACCTTATGGCGGGCAATTCCTCAAATTCTTCTCCATTTCTTTATCCACATACCAAACATGCATGAAACTTACCAGAAAAAGTACCGAATTCTGCTAATTTTTCTGTCGGCATTATCCGCAAAGGCCTAGCGGGGAGCAGTGTAGCAAGAAGGACCCATAAGTGTGTGTGATCCCCGGTAACCTAGTCGGTAGGGCACTGTCCCAGAAAGACAGGGGTGCTGGGCTCAAATCCCGATCGTGGATCCTTCTTTTGCAACAAATGTCCGATGACCCTGTGTGTGATCTTTATAGTAAGTTAGAATGCTACGGAAGATGATAGTTGGCATGGCCGTTACCATGGTTACTCCTGGCGTTAGGTACGAGGTCTTCTGGACCTGCAGGACCTCTGAATTATCTAACCCCAGTCAGGTGTTGGTTCGCTTGGATTTTATTTTTCGTCCGTTTCTACACTTTAGAGGTGAAATGATAGCAGTTATCGATACTCAAAAGCTGTCATTGCTGCAATCCATCCAAGCAACCTGCATGCCGGTGCTCTATTATACATGTACAGGTCTGCTCTCGATATAACAACTCTCACTTGTACATAAACATAGCGTAGGGCCCTGAGCTTCCACGCTCTCTTGTTTATTTTTTGAAAAACGTAAAATGTTTGGCACCTATGAAATCAGGGCATGGCCCACGCCTGGTAAAAACAACCTCTATCTCGATCCACGTGTGCGTACCACAATGTGTACAACATGTTTTTTACCCGCCATATACGCACAAAGGTCACATTTGGATCCGTTGGATCCGGTCAACCCTCAGGCTCCCCGAGGTGGGTTAACCAGGTGTTGACCGGATCCAAATCCGAAGGATCCAGATCCGGATTCGACCAATCGAAAGGGTACGAATCCAGTGGATCTGGTGGATCGGGATCACGATCCTACCAATCGAACATGCCCTCTAAAGCAAGGCGTTCCTGATTACTGTAAGACATGTATATATAACGAGGAAGCAAATCTAACGTTTTAACGGATGACATTTCTTCGTTATAATAAGATCCGTTGAGGCCGTACTGCTTCATATATGCTGTGTGTGGATATGGCAGAATACTGCAAGATCGTTAACATATCTTCTCGTTAACCTACTTATGAATTTTGGACAATCGTTAAATTTGCGACTCGTTATAATAACATGTCTTACAGTATAATCCCGTTTGCATCTTTCCCGCAAACCGGCAATGAGTATAATGTGAAGGGAAATGCTTTTACATGTACATGACTTGTAGTTGTACCGTCGTGGACATGGAAATCCCGTCAATTGACGCGCGGCCGGCACCCTCAGTGCGTGCAGAACGTTGCATGCAGTGCACGTATTGTCTATTGATCGTATGGGTACCGTCACGGCTGCATGGCCAGCGCCCTGGGCCGCTCGACGGTCGACCGGATTTCCATGTCCATGGCTGTGTTGACAGTAGAAGACTGCATGTGCATACTGACTCACCGCAAAACAGAAGTCCGGGCCTTGGAAGCCTTGGGCAAGAGTGACAGGGGTGAGGAGAAGTACATGTACATGAGTGATCCATTGTCGGGAGACAGTGGTTGTGATCTCGAAGTCCCGGCACAAGTACAACAATAGTATTGAATCTAACGATGGGCATACATTTTAAGGTTTAAAAGTAAGTAAGTTCAATCAAACAGCCGTATACTATAGTTGAACCCAGGGAGCAAATAATAATAACAATGTCATGTCACAGCTGTCTCAGAAAAAAAGAGAAAAAAAGTCTACAGCACGAGGTATTCCCAGGCGGTCACCCATCCAAGTACTAACCTCGCCCGACGTTGCTTGACTTCGGTGATCGGACGAGAACCGGTATTTTCAACGTGGTATGGCCGTAGACAGTGTGTGCACGGCTAGCACAGCTTTTGTTGGTGAAGCAAGTGCTCAGCTAGCTGTCGGTGGGGTTCATGTTCAGCCTTCTTCACTGCACTGACAGTCTACTGTATAGACAGTAGATCTGTCCTTTGTAGGGAAAAATGCAAATCCCTCAGCTGACGTCGTCATCTTCTTTCAAAAAGAGAAAGCCGAAAATTGATGTTCTGTTATGACTAGTCGACTATCAACAAAGCTCCAAAATAGAAGCTTCGGCATAATCATGGTAATGAATTATGTGCCAGTGCTCAGTGCAGTGGTAGTTGGTTCGGAGTTGCAATGATCAGAAACTGTTTGGAAGTTTTGAACGAGAATTTACTTCAGTGACTTGTGTAGCGTTTATAGTATTTTATACATCCGTAATTCCAAGCAACTAATACTTGACAATGCAGGGTGCCTTTATATCATAGAGTTATGTTGAAACCAGGAGGAGCTGTGATCTTTGGTGGATCACGAGGAATCGGTCGCGCAATTGCATTCAATCTTGCTGAAAAAGGATATACAGTTGCTGTTGTTTCAAGAAATGGAGATCAGTGCTTAGCTGCGGCTGCGGAACTTCCCAAAGCTGGAACCCATATTGGCTTGGCCTGTGACCTAAGCAAACCTGATGAAATCCAGGCATCTTGTGCTGATATTGAGAAACGCCTGGACCAACCCATTCATGTGCTTGTGAACTCGGCCGGAGTGGTACGGGATGGTGTTACGCCTCGCATACAACTACCCGACATACATGCCCAAGTTAATACCAACTTGATTGGCCCAATGATCACATGCAAGCACTTCTCTACTGTGATGATGAAGCAGCGCTACGGTTGTATCATAAACATTGGCAGCGTCATTGGTTCGATGGGAAACAGTGGCCAGAGTGTATACAGTGCAAGCAAAGCAGGACTGGTTGGCTTCACAAAGAGTGTAGCTAAGGAGTTGGTACGTTACGGTATCCGTGCCAATCTCATCGAGCCAGGATTTATCCACACCGATATGACGCAAGGTCTTAGTGAGCAGCAGAAAGAGAGGATCCAGGCGGGCATACCACTGAATCGATTTGGACTCAGCCAGGAAGTTGCCGATGCTGCTCTGTTCCTAGTAGAAAGCTCTTACACAACTGGTCAGGTATGTATGGCTTCTGTTGTGATGTCCAATGCTCATTGCATAGCACGACTCCTAGTTATTAAACTGTGCATGTACCATGTGTGCGGGTCCAACTTGCTTGGGGCGATAGAGTTAGAGCATGCTGTGTTGATATCCTATCATGGTGGAAATGGAAAAGTCTGTGTTTGGGACTTACACACCGGTAATATTTCCTTTGCACGTGACAGTGTAGTCGTAACAATGGCCTTGAACGCGGAAGTGGGCCATTTTAAAGCTATCATTGCGGAAACCGTGGCCAAGACAAGCGAAGTATTTCTCTTGCTACTTACACACTGATGTACTAACTTTGTATGGCTGTTACCATGAGCCAGGGTCAGATTCAATTGTACAGCTACACATGGGACAAGGATGAGCCAGTGACAACGTTCCTTGTTACATTGTGGATTTGGGGTGTAAATTAGCAACCATATGAAGCTGCCCAGATCTTCTCAAACACAGCATATAGTCAACGAAGTTATACGACTTCACACCCCCAGTGGCGCTTGACCCATTTAGTGTGCGAAACTGTGAATGAAGTGAATATCCTGGTTTGCACGTTTGCTTCCTTCTTTCACGACAGGTTTTTAAGGTTGACGGTGGACTTTCTCTGCAGTTCTGAGGTGGGTACGTTGTAGGTGATTTGCAAGTATGGAGTGTCTCTAACTTGAGCATATGTGAGTAGGGGGGTGAGTATGCGAGAAAGGACTACCGGAACTGTTAGTATGCTTTTTAAAAAGAGAGTTCAGACGATCAGCCTCCCACTATCCTAGGACGAGGAGTGTCAGCGGCCCATGTCTATTTCCCTGAACTGGATACGCACATGTACATACCGCATTTTCTCTAATAATAGCACGCGTCTTATTTCTTGAGCCACCCTCCGAACCGTGCCTTCATTGGAGACGTGCCTTCATTGGAGACTGTGCTTTTATAATTTCAAGCCCACTTTGCCGTGTTTCTGTTTGCTTTTTGAGTGATCCTTTTCTTCATATTTTCAAGAAGTACATGTACCAGTATCCGTACCGGAAATTTAGGACACAAAAAACCCGTAGTGGGAGAATGTGGCCTTTTATTTTTTCGATGCATGCGCGCAGTGTGCCTTTATTGGAGAAAATACGGTATCTGTGACTAGGGCATCTGGAATGCTCAGTTTTTAGGCAAGTTACTAGAATCACACACTTCTGTGTTAGCGTTTTAAGCAATTCCTGTGTTGAGTTTCTTTTTCGTTTGTAGCATATTATGTGTTTATAAAGCAGTGACTTGAACAGGTACAGTCGAGACAGGTACAGCTGAACCTGTTGATGTAATTATAATCTTGGTTGATAATACGGGTTGTGAATGGACAGTTGCTCTGCTGAATTAGGTAAACCAAAGCTGATCTCTATATTGGTTTTCTGCATCATTTGCAGTTTAGATTTGACCGCTCGGTCACCTTTTTCAAAGTAAAGACATTTATGTAGGCCATGGTTGGTCTGTATGGATGCATGGGTATGATGCAAGGGCTGGTCAAGCGCACAGTAGATTGTTTTCTACAATCCGTGAGCCGGATGGGCATTGTGTGTGAATGTTTCACATCATTGCTCCCGTTTTTAATTTCTCCAAACTCTCTTGTATGTATATGGACTCGAATGGAGAGCCAAGGATTAATTTATAGAAAAGAAAAAGGACCAAGGAACTACAAGTTATGTACTCTTGATAGTATCTAGTCACATCGGTGGACTGTTACTCTGAACTCATATCCATATGTTCCTTTCCTCTCACTAATAACGTAAAGAAGTACTTTTTCCATGTTTTCACCTTTCGGGTAGCCAGTCATATGATAGTTTCTGCAACTCTGCATGCACACTCTTCTAGCGTTTAGGCTGTGTTTGGATCTAAACTATTTATATAACTGTGCCGCAATAGTAAAGTGCTGCGTTGTTGGTTGTTTTCTGCGGCCTTTGCTAGTAGAACCGCGCGCGTCTAGCCATTTCAAACGCCTTTTCTCATGGTACTGATCTGATCGAAAGAGATCTTGTCGAGTTCGAGATGAGCACAACATGAATGCAGGTTTAATGATCCACAAGAGTTCTGCAGAGAAGAAGGCCTTGTTTATCCCCACTATTCATTGGCCGAGCTAAATTCCTTCTTGTAACAGTTATTGCATCTATCGTGGAAAGCGGAATTTCCACTCTTGAGGAAAGTAGATGAGAGATGGCATTGGCCTTTATCCATCCAAGAGTGCATGTAATTGTACTACAACTTGTACAAGTCATGTATATGGGGGAGGGGGTAATGGACTCTTGGTCCAACTCTGATGGGGATAACATTATGGACCACACCATAGTCATTGTGCATGAGAACATAGGACGCACACAACACACAAAAGTTGTGACAAAACACACACACACTCGCATACACACACACTCGCATACACGCACGCGCACGCAGTGTACACGCGTTTCTGTCAATTGTCATGGCAATCGTCTGTCACAATCATGTCATGTAGCTTCTTGCTAATGAATCTGCTGTCAAAGTTACCCTTGCTTACAAGGCTTATTTTGTAGTGCCCGTACTTTCGAATTAATTTCGTGTCATGTCGGTCTTGCCATGAGAAATGATTGAGCGGCTCACATGTCAAAACGCTTCCAAATCGCAAGTAGCGAGGGGTACTTTTGCCATCAACGCCGAACTGCCATGCTGCGTGAGCTTGAAATGATCGTAGCTCGTCTGCGGGTGTGATCGTATCGATGATAAGAACTGCCTGTGTATTTGCACCGCGGGGTGCGCACAGCCACAGCACAGGCAAGGATTCGCTGCCCAGCAACCGAGCCGTCTTGACAGCACCACACTGCGCGGTGTTATCAAGTCCGTTGTTTACTGTCAGACTGAACGGTTCCTTCTCGGACTTCAGTCTTGCCCTATTTTTAGAGAGATTTTCTTGATTGGCCGGTTGAAGGGAGGTGTCCAAGTCGCGCATGTCGCCTAAGTCTTACCAAAAGTGAGACGCTGTTCTTCTTCGTCGAGAGGAGGGTGTTGCGAAGCTTCGTGGCTACCATCTCGAGAGGAAGATGTCTGCAAGTGGCGGAGGCGGAGACGCGCCTGCAGCAACGGCAGCAACGAGCCCTGTTGTCGTGCCGGATGGAAAGCGTACCACGGAGTCGCCGGCTATGAAGCGGCGGCACATCGACGAGGCGTGGACAATCGTCAAATCCAGCACACTCTACAAGAAGAGTAAGTGTGCGTGTGCGAACTCTATGTTGCAGTTTACAAGCGACTGTCATCCGAGTGAATACATCGGTTATCGTTATCACAGGCTGGATTCGATCTGATCATCATACGCTATTGTAGGAGATCACAGAGAGAGAAAAACACTGAGAATATTATTACGATCATAGCTAACTGTCTCTTTAGTCTAGAGTTCGCCACCCATGGACATACGTGCAAGGAAACATTGCACAATTATGTGAAGGAAGCCTTCACTTCAGGGACACGAAAACATACTGGTTGTGGCACAATGGTTCAATTGGTAAATTACCTGTTAGTATAATAATACTAATAGGTATGATTCATGTTTTCGTGTCCCTGTAAGTGTCCCTGTAAGGCTGTAAGTTAAGTCGTCCTTCACATGTCATGCCACTGCACTGGCGTTCCCTGTGGCGTGTGCACTGTGGCGTGTGCACAACACGTGCTACTAATGGATTGCATTCGGTAAAAATATTGTACAAGGTGGCAAAGATGAGTAGACTGGTCTAGAAAGGTCTTACGTTGCCTGCATTGCCAGGCTTTTGTGATAGGAAACTCAGTGCATTTACACTTCAATATTTGATACATATTAACAGTTGGGTTGTGTAATTTGTGTAGTGTAATTGCGCTGTTGTATGCGATGCACGCCACTATCAAACCAACAGTGGGAGGGCTTCTGAAACCTGACTCAAAGTGGGGTTCTCTACACAACTGTGCATGTTGCAGGATACAATTGAACAGCGTCCCGCGGTGGCGAAATAGTTTCTTTGTACTGACAGTCCCATTGTGTGCCATTGATAGATATACCCATGTATGGACCAGACCGTGTGATTTGTACATGCACAAATCTACGCAGTGACAAGATGGGCAAATATTTCACTCTCACCGGCTGTAGTCTACACATACTCCGGTCTCTAATTTCAATGGCCTGCTTTGCTGTTCATTCTAACTCCGTTGCAGGTAAAGGTTTACGCGGCAACTGGCTGAGTCGATTCTGGATCCTCTACTCATCTGGTGATCTGGTGTATTACAATGATGAGGCATCGGTCGGCAACAATGCAAAGTGTGCTGTTGCGGCACAGTTACAAGAGAAGTCTGTACAGGTTGCCCATGGCCGTGATAACTGCAAGGACTGCAGCTATCCGGGCATGGTTCCCGATGTGTGCTGCTTGGCATTCGTCACAGCCAGTCGTACATACCACATCTATTCCATCTCCTATGAGGATGCTAAAGGTTGGAAGACTGCCATAGAGAACTTCGTGCCAAGTAGCAGTGCGCCTGGTACTCCGTCCAAGAGCCCAAGCACGTCAAGCTCACTAGGCGAATCCCCTCTTAGTCTTTCTGCCACTAGTGTTTCACCCGAGAGCCATGGGTCTGGCAAGAAGAAAGAAACTGGTGGTGGCCGCATCCGCAACTTGAATTTGGGCCGGCGTGCATCCTTCTTCACCCGTGACAAGAGCCAGAAGCCCGTTGTAAAGCGCACTGCTGCTGAGGCGCCTGCAGCTCTGGGCAGCACTACTCAACGAGTTACAGACACATCAGAATCAGCTACGTCTGCCCAGCTCCAGCAAACTACTACTGCCATTACTACTTCAGCCACAACTGCTTCGTTGGTATCGAATGGCGCTTCTACGGTCAGTGTACAGCCACAGAATGGAAGCCTGATGGGACAAAACACAGGGCAAATACACCCAAATGATTTGCCCGTGGTGCCGACCAATGTATCCGCTTCTATCAGCGAGGCCTCCCTGGATAGTAGTAGCCAGACAGCGGTAGGTTCATCTGCATCCACCAGTGATATGTCTTCTCAACCATCCGGTGACCTGACAGAGCAAACGGCACACTCTAGAGACATCAATAGTCAAATTCCAGCGACTGACAGCACGCCTGCTAACACATCTGCCTTGGCATCTACAGGCACGCCTAGCCAAGACAGTGATCTTGAGGAGAAGCAGAGTCGCACCCAAGCATCGACTTCCTGCACTGGTGCAGGCACTGCTAGCCAATTACCGTCGGCAGCCCTAGGCCCGGACTCTCAGCCAGTAGCTGGCACAAAGCCATCAGCAAGTACGAATTCAGTACTCCCTCCACCTCCTGGTGCAACTGGCCGAAGACGGAGTAGACAGTTAACATCAAACGATGAAGCTGTAACTGGTGGTGATGTATTAGTTGAACAACAGAAGTCAGTGCGTGCAAATGAAACCCCTGTGGGACTCAACCATACCATTCCCGAGTCGTCTGAAACTGAGACCAGTGCTGAGCATGTCGGTAATGCAGATCCTAGCACACAGTCGTCTGCAATGCAGGTATCCACACCAGCGGCGGCAGAACAGATCAGTGGGGATGTAACACATTCTCCACCATCAGGAAGCGGGTCAGTACAACAAGCGGGACACGGCACGTCTCCACCAGCTGTTGCTGATGCCACAGCCAATGCATGGCAAGGATCGGTTGAGGAGTCAATAGTTGCCACTGGGCAGCATCGGCCGACTCCTGTCGACAGCGTTTCCAATCCAGCACCTGTGCCAGAAGCATCGTCACCACTACCTACCCCCGGTGTACTAACTGAAGAGCCCACCCCAACAAAGCAAGCTGTTTCTGTGATAGCGCCGTTACTACCACCACCGTCAAGTTCAAGCAGCAGAAAGCTCCGTCAGAGGATGTCACAGGCTGATCTTACACCAGTAATAACCAATGGACCTACCAACACTGGTGAAGACTCTGCTGATCCCACATCCAGATCAGGTCAGGCATTGCAGCTGCATACGGACATCCCTTCGGCAGACACACTGACGCTACAGCAACAAAATGTGCACACCATTGCATCTGCCTCTACGCAGGAGAAAACCCTGCCTTCTGGCTATAGTGACATTACAGCCACAAGCGCTAGTGCACATGAAGCTGAGAACTTGGAAATCGCCAAGCCTGCTGCGGGTGTGGGACAAGTCTCAGATGATGTACCTTTGACTGATACGGCCGCTGTTCAGACAATTTCACATGCCTCTACATCGCCCAATGAGATAAGGTTAGGGAAAAATCATTTGACATCAGGACAAGCAGCCATGGAATCACAGAGCAGTCCAGCAGTACCAGGCAAAACACCCAGGAATGAATCTGCCGTGATTGATGCTCTGGCCGAATTGGAAAACTTCAGCAACATGTTGCCACCAGAAGCTACTACTATATCAACTGCTCCTGGCTCTCTAGTGGCAGAGCAGGCCGAATGCCCATCTTCAGCTGCCAGCCATTCCGAGGTGGCAACATCGAGCTGCTCAGAATCGGCAATAGCTCATAGTTCAACTGCCACAGAGTTGGAAACCGAAATGATGAGGGAACTGCCATCGCAACCTTCCAGCCAAGCTGGACCTCCATTGGCCAGCCAACATGAATCCCACATCAGTGCGCAGCGTGACGAGTTGTCTTCTGAAGATGCGACGGTTCAAGATCCGCCAAAGGGACTGCAGACGGTGTTGGAAAGTGAAGTAGAGGACACAGCCAAGCCTGCATCCCAAGAAAATAACATTACTTCAGGCACTTCAATCTGCACCGATCAGGCATCAACATCAATGGAAGCCTCATCGGTCGAGTCCTCAAGCAGCTCAGATGTCGCTGTCACTAGTAAGCCACCGGCAGTGTTTGAGTCTAAGCTCGAACAAGAGCGCTGGGAAATGCAGCAAGTCGAAGAACAGCAGGCTCGCTATCGACGCATGTCGGCAGTTGAAAGACGAGGCTATGAAGCCAAACGTATCCATGCACAGCAACAGGCCAAGCTGAAGCAGCAGGAACTGGAGAGAGAGCGCCGTAAAGCTGAGGAGGAGCAAGCACTGAAAGCAGCTCAAGCTGAGATGGAGGGAGTTTCTGAGCTACGCAGGCGCCAGGAAGAAGAAGCACGGGTGCGGCTGGAGAAGATAGAGGAAGACCGCAAACAACTTGCTTCTGAAGAGCAGGAGAAACTCAGAAAAGCAAGTGGATCAGAGCGAAAGCTGTCAGTGCGTAGACACCGTCCTTCTGCCGAGAAGCCCAGCCAATCTTCTCCCCAAATAGCAGCAGACACTGTTAGCAGTAGTGCCGCCAAACTTGCAACGTATTCCATCACGTCTGCAACTAATGACAAGCGACATAAATCATCTCAAGAAGTATTGGATAAAGTTGAAGAAGAGAGACGTGCTGCCGAAGAAATGGATCGAAAGATAGCAGAACGACGGGCCACTCTGTCCAAGGAACGGGATGAGCAGCGGCAGGCTGCTCGCCGGAGGAAAGAAGCCATGCAGGCTGAGCTAAAGCAGCAGGAACTGAAGGCCCTCCAGGAGCAGCAACTTCAGGAAGAGAAGCGGCAAAATGAGCTTGCAGATCAGATGGCACAAGCTGCAAGGCAGCGGAAACTGGAGGAGGAGCGCATCGCTAAGGAACGAGAAGAAAAGCTTGAGGCTGAGCGACTTCTGGCAGCAGACCATGAAGCCCGCATTCTCAATATCCGTTCAAACCTGTTTCTGGAGCAGGAGAAGGCCCGCAAAAAGCAGCTAGAAGAAGAACAGCGACGCGAGGAAGAAGAGCAGCAGAAGCGCCTGGAAGCAGCAAGGGCAGCTGAAAAACGTAGGGATGAGGAGAAAGCTGAGGAGCTGAGAAGATTGAACAACCGACGGAAAGAAACTCAAGGCCCTGATGCATCTGCCACTGCTGAGAGGCAGAGACAGCTTGAGCAAGAACGACTTCAGTTCGCTGCAGTTGAGCTTGAAAGGGTACAAGCTGCTGAGGAATTGCGCCGAAAAAGGGAGCAGGATATTGCTGCTCGTGAGCAAGAAAGACTGGACGTTGAAGAACAACGACGGCAAGAGGAGCTGAAGCGGCGAGCTGATGAGCAAGCAGCTGAAGAAATACGTTGGCGGAAGGCGTCTGAAAATGCACAGAAGGCTCAGCTTGGCCAGGTTGCCCTCGAAGAGCAACGTGTTCAACAGCGTCAGCGGGAGATTGAAGAGGAGCGCCGACGAATCCAAGAGTTTGACAAAGCTATTGCTTCTCAGAAATTGAAAGAGAACAAAGAGGAATTGAAGAGACTGGAACGAGAACGAGCACAACTCCTGGAGTCCAACCGAGCAAAAGAGGAGCTCGAGAGACGTCTTGCTGAAAAGCGGCTGGCAGATGAGGCATATCGGATTGAAGAGGCGCGGATTGCATCTGAGAAAGAGAAGGAACGCGTTGCTCAACAGAGTAAACATTTCCTTGCTTCAGAGCAACGGCTGGAGAAGGAGCGGGAAGCTGGTAACAGTTTCGAAGAGCGACTGTCCCAATTTCGCAATGTGTTGAGCAAAGGTAAAACCAGTGAAGAAGTAAAAGATGACATTGATGACTTGGACTCTATTGCACGTCGAGAATGGGAGAGTCGCAACTCACCTCTGATGGCAGCTCGACGGCATTCAGTGCGCCACCCAAAGAAGAAAACTGCAGTGACGAGGAAAGTTTCTATGGAGACGGAATCACAAGTACACCTAGGTGACAAAGTTAGTGTACCAACCCAGAGAAAATCAACATCATCCCTGCCTAGCTCAACCAAAGTTGACCTATCTGTTAGTAGCAAGACCACAGCTCTGGAACCAGCACCTGTCAGTGAGAAGCAAAACGTCGCCTTCATCCAGGAAGATCCACTTCGCCCCGCCGATGAAGGTGATGATGAGTCCTCGCCCAGTGTGCACGCGGCCCGTTTGATGTGGCAAAACCGAACAGGTGATTCTCCACAGTCTTCACCGACTGTACGCCGAGCTGCATCGCCTATATCCACACCTCGTCAGTCTAGTGCCAGTGGCTCAAAACCAACCTCCAGGTCATCATCACCACATCGGTTAAGCCCTCAAATCAGCGTGACGACTGCTGGAGATCCTCTCTCACCGAAGAACATCATGCCCGTACCTAGTCCGTTGACACGCTCACGTTGTCACAGTGCAAGTACAGCACCAGCATCGGCACTTTCAGGATCTGATGCAGAAGTCCAAGCCATCAACGGACTAACATCGACATCCTCATCCACCCAGTGTTCAGCTCTCACCAGTCCGCTCAGTCCAGGTGAAGATAGCACATTCAAGTTTCCGCCCATTCAGCCGGGTGCACCCATGAGTCGCATTGCCGCCCTGCGCAACTCGTCCACACGCGTACGCCGCAACTCCCTGCCCACTGTCGAGTGCCCGAAGAACGTTGAGACAGCACGACCAACAACACCGGTCCTGGCCCGTGTCAGTCGTTTGGCAAGTGAGAGCGAGGGTGAGTCAAGTGGTGGTGAGGAGGACCCATCAACGCGACGTCAGCGCCAGGCAACAAAGTGGGTAGAGAAAGAACTTACAAAGGTGGGCAGAAATCAAATATTCGATTATGGGCGCATGGCCACCCACAATCAATCGATCACGTAGTACAGTAGCTGCCAGTGAGATTCCAGCCCAGAAAATTGATCCAGTATCCGGGGTCTGGTCATGCACACATGTGCTGTACACTTATACTGTTAAAATGCCTTGTTAGTGCATTCGGTTGCGAGGCTTGTCTGAATTGTGCTGCAACCATGCCCCAGTTGGTAAGTGAAGCTATTCGATCCGCAGCTCTCTACGGTCTATACAAATCTGCAGTAGCTGAGGATGACCACTAGTCTACACTGGTCAGGCTCTTGTGCCTGGTAATAAGATTAATGGTTGTGGATGTTATTTGCTTCAACTGTGCCCACAAACTGCATTCGTCCGTGTCAATGGTAGTTGGCACTTTAGCGTTCTTCCCCGGCAAGGGGGTCGGATTTCAGTTGCCAGCACTGTACAACTAACCATACATTACTAGTGTTGGAAAATATTATATGGGGGGGGGGGGGGGGGGGGAGGGGATAGTGTATACCTGCACTGTGGCAAGTGCATCAGTGTAGCCTATCAGCAAAGCATGGTTTTCTTTCCTTCTTAGGGTTCATTCTTGTGTGAAATGCTGTCTGTATTATTGCATGCAGCTAATCACCACTATCAAGGACACCTCAAGTACTACGAACAGCGATGGCAAGTCAATGATAACATTTCAGCAGCTCTTTGATGTTGCATCTGATATCTTCGAGGCTCTGTCAGGGACACTTCTTACAGCCAGGAAACACAAGGTTAGTTCACTTGTTGACTCATATAGGATGTATCGGATAGTGCTAGAAAAGGTCACTGCCCACCAAAAAGTTCGTCTTGGGACTCAATTTTTGGATCGCCTTAGCTAAGTAATTAGTTCATCCTAGCCGCTTCGAAATGCATATGGAAGATGCTGATGGTCCTCAGGAGTTTAAAATTAGTTGGTTTGCACGGTTGTCTTAGCTCAGGTTAGGCTTATCCGCGTTTTGCTGTGTTGTTGTTAGGAGCCGGGATATTCAAAGTACTGGTTTCAATGAGTATTGTGTGATTAATTTTTAGGTTAGGCTGAGCATTATCCTCTATACCAGTGTCCGTGCTGCTTTGTTCATGTGTTCGGCTGTTTCTGCTTCTTCAGATTGTGGTGTATGAGGGTGACCTACTGCTGCAAGGCGTTCACAATAGTGTCGTCATCACGCTTTTGGAAGACAGCGTTCCCGATGGTGCGGCCAGTGGCTTCATCAAACAACGCAAATCATCCCTGACACCAGACTCACCGCGTCGCGGAAGAGCCTTCAGCGGAGGATCGTTACAGACCACGCTAAGCAAGGCAAGCTATCAAGTTCTATTCAATCCAGCTATCTGCTCTTCAATCAGTGGGGCTGGGGATAAAGACCCATGACACAGATGGGCATACCGTATTTTACCAGGTATAAGTTGACCCAGGTATAATTCGATCCCCATAGTTGGGCCTCGATTGTCCGGTTCAATAGTTGTTTAAAACTCCCGATTCTAAGTAGACTACCCATGTTTAGTTTTGTTTGAAGGTCGTAAAATGTCGACTTATAGCCGGTAAAATACGGTACACTTACTTGGGAGTCTTCCCAGAGCTGGATCTGCGACACCAAATGATCAGCGTATCTGTACACTGCTAACAAGTTGAACTTAGAAGTTGCGACACCGGCGGTATTAGTGATGAAGTTGGTTGTTCCAACGAGGAACACACGCTACCTGCCGAACTTGACGCTTGACTGACTCACGACTGCCATCCGGAGCGCACGCTGAGGAGCACGTCGCATCTTCCACTCGGCAAACCTGCAAGAAAGCACCACTCCTTGCTCAATACACAGTGTTTTGGGGAATTCCCCCATTATTATTTGGTTGTATACCACTTACTGGTACTTCCTACTGATGGAGAACTTCGAAATAATTTTGCTTCAGAGAGTGCACACAATACTAAAATGTACTGGTGTATCCTGTGTTTTTACTAGTACAGGTAGAACAATTTTCTTTCTTGTCACCTTCCTTGGCTTTCTTCCTTGCCTGTCCAGTGTTACATTTGTGAGAAGACAGTTTATCCTGTGGAATATGTCGGAGTCGATGATCGTGCCTTTCATAAAGCGTGCTTCAGGTACCTTTTCTAGTGTATTATGTAGCCATCTGAGAATAGAAAATTGTTTCCTTATCTATGATGAAGTTGATGCTGTGTCGCTGCAGGTGGCTCTAACATAATAACATTGCTCTCCAAACCCTTTTGATTGAAGACTTTGTTGTTTGAGCCCAACCTATAGCTGTGTGTTCCAGTTTGTCTGTAGCGTAGCATTGTATTGATATCCAATACACTGAATACACTGTATAGATACCCATAGCCATATCCGGCCCAGGCATGTTTAGGGTCATCATTATTCAATTGACCACAGATTTGTGCCGCTGTACCAGTACAATCACGTTGAGACTGCCACGTTTGGCTGTTTGTATCTTCTTGCTCGCAGGTGTTTGCAGTGCCAAGTCAAGTTGAACACGGGCAACTACGCAACACTGGATGGCCGCTACTACTGCAAGACGCACTATGGTCGTCTCTACAGGGAGAAGGGCGACTATTCTCTAATGTAGCATATTGACTCGTAAGGTCTTAGACTCCATTATTACGTATTTCAGCTTGGTACCACGACTCGTACCATACAAGACTATAAATACAATGCAAACCGATTCTTGCGTTTTCCTGTATAACACGTGTTGTCCCTACATGTACCAGGTGTACGTGCAGTGGAGTTATTTATTGACATTTTGTTGCCATAGTTTGAATTCTTGCACGTACCGGTAATATTAAGTTAAGTCAATGCTCTATTAAAACTTGTTCTGTATGAGTTGATGAAATGCTACTTGACCCCGGTGGCATATTGCCACAAGCATAGTGTTTGTGCACTATCCATAGTAATTCCATGCATGCTGCATCATGTCATTCTACTCATACTAGAGTCATAGCCGGGTTTAGTAAGCTAACTTAATGCCACACTAGGCGCACTAGTGCAGTACTTCATTATCTCTTCGCTTTTTTCTATTGCTCTATTACAGTCAGACCTCACATAACCGCACACATCCGTTTTCCAGAAAAATATCCGGATAGGCGAGGGAACCGGATAATCGAAACACATACTGTATGTGTGCATGGCATATGCTGTAAATCGGTAGCCACCGATTTTCTACCGGATGGCGAGGGATCCGGATAAACGAGGACCGGATAAGCGAGGTCTGACTGTACAATTATAATCTGCTCATTGGTAAGCTCTATAATCTTGAATCATTTTCTAACTCATGTTCTCGCAAATAATTATTCGAACTGGAATTTTATGTTTGCCTTCAAGAGGTAGTGCAGCATGGTCACTCCGGGGGGAGGGGAGGGCCTAGGGTTGTCTCAGTTTCTGAAATTTTTCCTCCAAACAAATCCCCACAGCTATGACTGCAGCCACATCTACCATGCAGTATCGGTTCTTGAGGTTAGTGGTTTCTCGTAAAAGAGAGAGTGGTGAAGTAACTCATTTTTCGTCTATCTGTTAACATTTCCATGTAACGATTCGATTAGCGATAACAGTTTCGAAGTTTAGTTCCTTACTTATTGCATTCATGTTTTAGTTCCGAAATGTTTTTCAAGTTCCGAGCCTGTGAAACAAGCATTCTGGCTTTATTATTATTGTATCACTTGCTTGGCTATCCCGCACTTCAGATAGAGGTTATGAAAATGATTTCAGTGGTCGAGTAAGCGGATTTGCTAATCGGCGCTATGTATGCAGCATGAGTCGCTAGTGAAAATGCACCGCCGTGCTGTGACTTCGCCAAAGCATCTCAACTGGTGATGGAATTGCATTTTTAAAAACCTCCCTAAGCATAAGATTAATTAAGACTAAGGGCGCGTTTGGTTGGTACAACCTAGAACAGGATTCACCAGAACAGCGCGTTTGGTTGGGACTGCACCTGTTCTGGGTCGGCCAGAACATGTTCTGCTTGCTCCGGCCTCGAGGCCGGAGCAGACCGAGCAGTTTCACTTTTTCACAGTGAAACCTGGCGGGAACATCGATTTTGGTCCCAAATGATCACGTGCATACGCTTTTGGGTTGGACTCGCCGTACCGTACAAAGTGACCATGGTGACCCATCCACATTTTGAAGAATGCACCACGTTTGGCACATTTTTCACAAAAATGTGCTCTGTTTCTGGAGTACCGTTTGGTTGGCATGAGGCTGCTCCATGTGCACCAGCTGTTCGATCTTGTTCTAGATCGTACCAACCAAACGCACCCTAAGGCTGCCTTTACACGACAACGCACGGCCAGTTTTCCGTTTTCAGTCCCGCATTTCTTTTTTCGTTTTCGTACGTTTACACGATCAAAGCCGATCCGAGGTGGTCTCCGTTTGTACCGTTTTCAACTCTTCAAGCGTCTACATGGTCTACACGAGAGCAAAGGATCCGCCAAAGTTCGTCATGTGCCAAGTGTTGCCGTGGAAGCACCAATCACACTCAAGTAATGGTTGAAAACAGGCACACGACAACCCACATCACATGACGAAAATTGTAAAAACATTTTTTTGGATTGTCGGATCCGTGTAAACGGCCGAAAACGAAACAAATGTGACGGAAAACGAGGCCAGCACACCGTTTCGACTGTTTACACACCCAAATATATCCGGCAGAACATTTCCGTTTTCAAATTCTTCCACCTTGGCCAGCGTTTTGGTTTTCTTCCGTTTTGGTGTACAACTTTTACGTTTTGCTCCGCGTACCGTGTAAATGAACCATGGATCCGAAAGGATTTCGTTGCGTTTTCGCCCCCAGCGTTGTCGTGTAAACGCAGCCTAAGGGTGCGTTCTTAAATCCTCTCGGAAAAGTTGGAGACTCTCCGAAAAGTTCGAGAGCTGTTCTAATATCCTCTCCGACTTTTAGGAGGCTCTCCAAAGCTCTCCAAGCTCTCCAAGCTTCAGAGGTGGTTGAAACTTGGAGATTCCCGCGGCTTGGGATCAGCGCATGCGAACTACGACTAAAAGCCACGTGTTCATCATGAGTGTACGCATTTCCCTTTTCGCATACGCACATACATTCATCACTCGAGATCGCGGCCCCTTTGACGCTTCATTTTGCTTGACATGTGCAAAATATCTCCGAATTCTTCGAGACCCGTTCTTGAGTAATCCCAGTTTCTTCGACTTCTCTTTTCTTCTTCTTCTAGAAGCTAGAGAATATAAGAACGCACCCTAAGAGTACAAGAGTACAACGGTATTCATAAAAAAATCGTTCCATGGTTTTGTTAAAGGGGAAGTTAAGGCAAAAATTAAAATTTCACCAGTTGTAGTCTTCGGGGTGCTGAGTCGAATGATCTTGGTCCGAGAAAGCTGAGACGCTCCCTTCCTACTTGAATCCCAATCGAACTCGCGCACTTCCACCGAAACTGGGTAACTGCGCCCTACTAGATGGGGATTTGTATGCAAAATGTCACTAAAAGCGCCATTTCGTTCTTATAAAAGCACGGATGACCGCGATTGGCCCATATGTTGTAGTCTTTTGGACGCTGAGTCGACTGGTTTTGGTCCGAAAAGGCTGCGATGCAGCGTTCGCCCCTAATTCCCAATCGAACATGGTTGAACAAGCGGTCACGTGCTCCTGCGTACACCAGTCAGCTGGTCACCGTGCCTGCAGGGTAGAACTAACGTGTTACCAAGTACTCTTGGTGTTACCAAGAGTATAAATGGTTATGTACTCTTGGTGTTACTTACAGCCTGTTTTGACCTTTTTTGGGTGCAGTCCTGTCACTCGAGTTGAACCTTGGTGTGAAAGTTGTCGCCTGCTGGCGTGGTGACCAGGTGACTTTGGCACCCAGGAGCACGTGACCGCTTCTTCAACCATGTTCGATTGGGAATAAAGGAGGAACGCTGCATCGCAGCCTTTTCGGACCAAAACCAGTCGACTCAGCGTCCAAAAGACTACAACATAATGGCCAATCGCGGTCATCCGTGCTTTTATAAGAACGAAATGGCGCTTTTAGTGACATTTTGCATACAAATCCCCATCTCGTAGGGCGCAATCACCCAGTTTCGGTGGAAGTGCGCGAGTTCGATTGGGATTCAAGTAGGAAGGGAGCGTCTCAGCTTTCTCGGACCAAGACCATTCGACTCAGCACCCCGAAGACTACAACTGGTGAAATTTTGATTTTTGCCTTAAGGTGGCAGTCTGGGTTCAGAGGGTCAAAAAACAAAGTTTCGATTTTCTGTATTTTTTCACTGGCAGCGTCTTGTGTATGGTCCAAAGGGTTTATCCTGAAAATTTGAGCGTAATCGGGTGCTTCCTTCCGGAGATATAGCCGCGCAAAGTCTGCACAATTGTTTTTGAAATACTGAAATATCAGCAATTTTCTACAAAATTTAGGTTTGCACACTATTCCGATTTTTACCGTCAATCTTTGAGCGATTTCATTAAAATTTTCTGGAGCGACTCCTGGTACTCCTCTGCGCTGCAGACTGACAGCCGCGCACGATCTTTGTCACCATGGCAACCAAGATAACTTTTGCGCATGCGCAAATTCAAAAAAATTCAAATTTCGACTCTCATGATCTCAGCTGATCGCTCTGCTGTTGAAACTAGTTACTTTTGGAGTAATTGTTTTGGAGTAATTGTTTCTTGGAGCTAACCCCTTCGTTGGCTACTATGGGGAAGTCTAGAGCCAAGGGAAAGCCCGGACGATCTAAGAAAAGGAAAAGAACGTTCTATGGAGTGTCTCAGGCGCCGAAGGCTCCCTCTGGTGAAATTTCGCCTGCAAAACAAATTCCTGACTTGCCACTGTCTGATGACGACCTTGAAGTGTCAGCTGAAGCCACGTCTTCAAACAGCGATAGTGATGGAAGTGGCGGTGAAGTCGACAGCAGTTCCTCCGACAGTGACTTGGATGAAGAGTGTGAGGAAGGGGCGCATGGATTTCGCCTGATTGATCTCGAGTGCCTTCAGCAGCTTTTGTCAGCTGCAGTTTGTTGCAGTGGCTGTAATGGCGCAGTCACGATCAGCGAATCGCAACGGGGAGGCCTTGCATCATGCCTGGAGCTTTCCTGTGTTAACTGCGGCGACATAGCAAGCGAATTTATGTCCAAGAAATTCAATCGGGTCTGGGAGGTGAACAGACGAGCAGTATTCGGAATGCGACTGATTGGCCGTGGACGTCAATCAATGGTAAAGCTGGCGGGTGCACTGAATATGCCATCACCTATGAGTCGGTCGACATTTTACAGCCATGCTAAAGGCCTGCATTCCGCGTCCAAGAGCGTCGCTGAGCGTAGCATGACTGAGGCAGCTGAGAAAGCAGTGTCCGCAGCAGATGGGGGTAGCGATATCGCTGCTTCCTATGACGGTACCTGGATGCGCCGAGGATTCGCATCGCTCTTCGGAGCCTTCACTATAATTGCATATGATGTCGGCAAAGTGGTGGACTGCGAAGTGCTTTCAAAGTTTTGCCACAAGTGCACGCACTTGGCGTCTAGAAAAGAGAAGGGAGAGCTAACCAAAGATGACTATGATCGACAGATTGCCGAACACGATTGCTCAGTCAACACCACTGTATCAGCTCCTGCCATGGAGAGTGCAGCCGCCAAGACTCTGTGGGCCAGGTCCTTTGAGAGCCGCAAGCTGAGGTACACCACCTACATTGGTGATGGAGATACCAAGAGTTTTAAGGCTGTGCGTGACGCTTGTCCGTATGGGCCCGAGGTGCCTGTAGTCAAGGAGGAATGTGTCGGCCACGTTCAAAAACGCATCGGTACCAGCCTAAGAAAGCTGAAGAAAAACCTTGCGGGCAAGAAGCTTGCTGATGGGCGCACTATAGGCGGACGTGGTCGCCTCACGGATGCCATGATCGACAAGCTGCAAGCCTACTATGGCATGGCTGTGCGGAACAACAGCGGAGACTTGCAAGCCATGGCCAGGGCCATATGGGCATCCCTCATGCATCGTGCATCCAGCGACAGTAAACCTCAGCACCAGTATTGTCCGCCTGGAATTAACAGCTGGTGTAGATGGCAGCAGCAACAGGCAGGTGGTGATGTCTACGCCCACCACAATATCCTGCCAGAGGCAGTATGGAAGGAACTGAAGCCGGTCTACATTCGGTTGTCCGACCGGAGTTTGCTCGAGCGCTGCCAGAAGGGTGCTACGCAGAATCGCAACGAAGCGTTCAATGGACTCGTGTGGCAGTTGTGTCCAAAGACAGGCTTTGCATCCGCTCCCACTGTCCAGATGTGCGTCTACCTGGCCGTGGCCTGGTTCAATGATGGAGGTGTGGCAGTGAAACGCGTTCTGGACGAGATGGGCCTCCCTACTGGACACCATACGACACGTCTCATCAAGCTGCTAGACCGTGAGAGACAGGCACATGCTGCCAGAAAGAAGTCAGAAGAAGGGAAGAGGTCACGAAAGAAGCGAAGGAGGATCAGGAAAGGCATCCAGGATGAGCAGCAAGAGGAAGAAGGTTTGACATATGAAGCTGGTGGCTTCGACTAAGTTCTAGTAAGTTCTAGTTGGACAGACATACCTCCATCTGTACTTGCACAGAGCACTTTTTTTCTCCATTTTCCACTGAGTCCCGTACCTCTTAGACAGCGTAGCGAAGAACCTGTAAGTCACAGACCCCATAAACCATACATTTTTGGAAACTGTGAGCATTTATCAAGGTGCTAAGTGTCATGGATTTTTATATTTGTCTAGTAGCTTTGAGTAAAGTGCTACTGATCGAGGACCTAAATTTTGCGCGATTGCATGATTTTTGTTTGACAGCTTGAGTACTTTGTTCTGAATATGATTTCAAAATTCCGCTCCACTTAGCACCTAGGTATATGTGAAGGAAATCCTGTGGAGCACTCAGTTTCTACCCAGCTTCTTTCTGCGTTTGCATATTGCGTCTAAGGTATTGGTGGTACGGCATAATCGCAGATTTGACTATTGTGTCTGCGGATTCCCATGTGTGAGCTTGATTTATACTTCATTGGACTTAGTGAAATACACTGGGTATGTGGTCAAGATTTGAGCAAAATTCATCAATTATTATGGAAGTTACGGCTGTGTTCATGCGGTCGGGCCGCGAACCCAGACTGCCACCTTAAGGTGGCGATCTACCTTCAGGGGTCAACATTTTGTGAAATTTTCAACTTGCTCTGATTTCGTCCAATGTGGTGTCAAATTGCTCGTATAGATCCCAGACATCATCTGTGAAAATTTGAGTGAGATTGCTTTATCCATATGGCTGCTATGAGCTTGCAAAGACCGAATGTAACATATCTTTGACTCGCACAATTGCAACTTTTTGGGGAAATCGTAGAAATCGGTCTTTTCACGGTAAATCCTTGTGGATTTTGTTCAAATTTTCTGTGCTTGTCAGAAATATCACTGCTGACTCATGCCATACCAATACGCACATATTACGTCATCATGGACACAGTGCGCATGCGCAAATCAATAATTCGATAATTTGTGAAGAATTCAAACAATTGTGTGTTTGGAAAGTCTATTGGAGACGTCTCACGTCGTCGCCTGTCACCAAGATCGGGTGGAATGAGTACTGTCCGTCGTCTTCGATGTCCGAAGCAGCCAATCTGACTGCCAGAAGCTCTCGATATCCATCTATCCGCGGAAAATATCCCAGACGTTGACGACGCTATTCAAATTTATTGGCAAAAAAATTGCCAAGCGAAGACGTATTTCAACTTCATCTCCAACTCTGACTACTCTGACGATGACGATGTCAACAACAGTTCTAGCTATTGTGGTGATTAGTTTGTCTCTCTCTCTTTCGGCGTCAGGCAGTGAGTGCAAAATATAGCCTACTGGAGTTAGTCTGTGAAATATTGAGTGATTTCTGCTATTTCTGGTCAAATCAGTATGCTGTCAGCTGTACCAGTCCACATCCCATCGTAGATCTACTAAGCGAGCAGGCAAACCCAGATATTTGCCTTGGCATTGTATGTGGTGAGAAGAGAAGTCCATTCACTTCTGAGAAATTCAATTTCAAATTGGAAGTCCACAGGCCTGTATTTAGTATGCGCCGAATTCATCACCGCCAGTGACGCTTTGCATAGTTTTCAATATTCTACCGCCCATTTATACTAAGACCTGTGGCGGCAACGCGATCCTATTCAACCTGTGGTCGTGTTCTCCGAGATGAGTTCAGAAGCAGACATGTGAAATGCTACGCTGGACCTGAGGCAGTTTACCAAAGTGGCAGTGCTGCAACCGCATGCGATCACCGTCATGTGTGACGGAAACGGCATGGCTGCACCCTGGATATGCCTCATTCATCAGCATCTTTATTGCCATACCCATGGAGAGAGGCCACCAGTGAAGGCTGGGTTTCCGACTCGATTTTGCCTGCAATGCTCATGATTGAACAAGCCCTTAGAGAAGAAATGAAGACTCTAGCTGAATATTGAAACCAGATAGCATCGCGTTTCTGCTCGGCACCGCACTAAGTAACACCATTGTGATACAACCAGGAAGAGTTGGGAACGTGTGGGAAGTGACAAAGAAGTCAAGGAAGAAGTAAAGAAGACTGAAGAAGAGCATCACTAATCATCAAGGAGACCAAAATGAGATCACCTACGAGCCAGATGGCTTCTGATGTGAAGATTTGTAGGCAGGTAGGCTGGAATTGGATAGACCTTTTTTGTGTGTTTTTGGTAACTTTTTAGCCTATCCCGCATTTTTCTACCACGATTGCGGCAAAGTGGTAGGTGCTATACCCCTAAACCTATACATTTCTGAGCTCTGTGATACATCAGCTAGTTCGTGAATGTCTTCGTTTAGCCATTCATCATTGCTTGTTCTCACATTGGTTGTGGACCCGATCATGACTTTTTTTGCGGATGCGCGCGTCAAAACGCTTTGTTGTGACATGGTGATCTAAAGGACTTTGCAACTGTTTCTTGATATTCAATACCTAGAATTATATGTTAGGAACGCTGTAGCAATTGGTTATTTTCTACCTGATGGATGCATATTTCAATTTTGCGGTTAAGAGGTGCGGGTGCGGCCAATTATCGTGATTCGGCAATAACAATGGACATGAGCGGAGTCTGTCCTCTATTTGTGCTGCTCCTTGTCCTTTGGTACATAATGAATGTCTCCAGAAAATTTGACATAATTCTAAAGAGAATTGGCTGAGATGTTTGTATTTTACGGTGGACTATCCGCGAAGGTAGATCGCCACCTTAACTTCCCCCCAAGTGGCAAAAAGTTGAAAAAATATTTCCGGACAGGCCGATTTCATGCAATTCAGCAGGAAACAGGCAACTATCAAAATAATTATTATCAAGAGTATAGGGGGTTACTCTTGTTATTATTATCAACCATGTACGTATGTCTAGTATGACCCATTAGTGGCATTTTTAAAATACTCGAATAATCGGTATATTCCTTTCGACCCTAAGAAATAATAAAGTGCCATCATTCTGCCATTTGCTTTCAGAATATCCCTGTGTGTAGGCTGTAAGAAGGCCTTAGCTAATTAACGTTAGGCCTGTGGGGATTGCCCTATCAAAAAAATTTAAATAATAATAATCAACTACCTACCTGTCCTACTTTGTAAAGAAAGTCTTATTTGTACCGGCATGTACTTGTTATTGTAGATTTACCATGGCCAATACTAATACCGGTAGTACTAGTAGGGCTCGTGTTTTTCGAGGTGTGTGCCTTCCTTCAGATCCTCTGGACGAATGGCTAACGAGTTGCGTAAACTCTGCTCAAACTCGTCACATTTGTGAGCCGATAGCGAATGAATGGGATGTGGTCGTTTTGAATAGCACAATCGCTAGTATTTCACCGTATGATGCGACTAGATCGCCCAATTCGCTGATTGAGGAAGCAGGAAAGGTCTGTCGCTCTGACGATGCTCACGCTAGCAAAGAATATGGAGGAGCAAGGCCTGCAACTGGAATTTCAAGTGCGGGAGAACCTCAACCGAAGATTCATGCTGTTAGCGAGCATGCACTGTCGCTCTCGGACAGTGAATCCTCATCAACACTTGCTGCTGCACAAGACGTGGAAGTGGTGGATGGTAAGGGCAGGTGGTTAGTTCCTGGATGGATCGACATGCAAGTGAATGACCTAGAATGGATGGCGCGGTGGTACACAGAAACCTTCAGTAGGGAACAACACGCTCATCGCATCGGACAAGTGCTGAAGCATCAGCTTGGACAAGGTGTCACCGGCATGTGCATTGTAAGAACCTCACCCTGATTATGTTACGACTGTACACGATTTTATCCGGAAAGGTTTCGACTATTTTGACTAGGGGCCCTGCATTTCATTCTGGGCCTCTCGTCAGACTCCCAATAATGGGGTATTCGGTGTTTGAGATTATCAGGGTTGTAGCTAAAGCGACAAAGCGTTGCGCTGCCTCGCCCCCCCCCCTTCTTTTTATACTACAGCTCTGTTTCAAACCGGAGCGTAGTGGGGAGGGTTCACGTGTACAATGTACATGGTCTACCATTTGTTCAAAGCCGGATACAGGTTTGTGTCATGAACCTCAACGCAAGAGGTACACAAAATGAAGTAAATAGCCGGGCTGTTTCATTGTTACTCAGAGTACGCTCTGTCCATTCCGGGCATTTGAGCACTATTGCAGGTTAGAACGAGGTCTGTCTCGTTGTCCAGGAAACGACCAATCAGCGACATTCCCGCCAAGGGCCTTATCAGAGTTTAAAGCCCGCTCAATCGTTATTTTACTACTCTTGATGACGCGTCGAGGGCCTTGGATTAGTTTAAAGCCCGCTGAATATACTCTAAACTGGTGCGTACAACTCCCTGTATGCATAATAGTACGGTGCAGATAATGAACTCTGCATAACGTGTACGGTGTACTACTAAAAGCTACGCAATTCAGAAGTGTGTACGGTTTTTGCCTCCCGTATTCTTTCATCTGTACGAATTTTCTTTGTCAACAGCTTGCGTAAACCTATAAAAAGCGAGGATCAAAGTCATTACAGTTATCGACAAGGGGCTCTCAAAGCCCCTAAATAGCTCCACAAGCTACATACATGTATATGAATAAGAATGAGGCTCGCAATAAGAGCCCAGCATTTCATTTGCTTCCATTCTACTTTTAGTAGTCCTAAGTGGTGCTGAGTTACCATAACTTATCAGAAGAAAATATTCTTTCATACCACACCAAGTCTCTCTGCACACAAACCACAAAACTACCCAATATAGTGGTACACAAGTATAATGGAAGTGAGATAATGCATGTAACCTCGTTCTAAAATAGTTAGTGCATGGCAGGGAGGGTCTTATGGCTTGTTTGTGCCCTTCAGGTTAGCCCTCGGGCCTACGGCCCTCAGGCTAACCTGTCGGGCACTAACAAGCCATAAGGCCCTCCCTGCCATGCACTAACCTATAATTAAAGCCTTAAAGGGGAAGTTAAAATAAAATTTTCACCAGTTGTAGTCTTCGGGGTGCTGAGGCGAATGGTCTTGGTCTGAGGAAGCTGAGATGCTCCCTTCCTTCTTTATCCCCAATCGAACTCGCGCACTTCCACCGAAACTGGGTGACTGCACCCTACTAGATAGGGAGTTGTATGCAAATTGTCACTAAAAGCGCCATTTCATTCTTATAAAAGCCCGGATGACCGCGATTGGCCCATATGTTGTAGTCTTTTGGACGCTGAGTCAACTGGTTTTGGTCCGAAAAGGCTGCGATGCAGCATTCCTCCTTTATTCCCAATCGAACATGGTTGAACAAGCAGCCACGTGCTCCTGCGTACACCAGTCACCTGGTCACCGTGCCTGCAAGGTACAACTTACAGCCTGTTTGACCTTTTTTTGGGTGCAGTCCTGTCACTCGAGTTGAACTAGAGTTGAACCTTGGTGTGAAAGTTGTCGCCTGCTGGCGCGGTGACTTGGGCACGCAGGAGCACGTGACCGCTTGTTCAGCCATGTTCAAATTGGGAATAAAGGAGGAACGCTGCGTCGCAGCATTCTCGGACCAAAACCAGTCGACTCAGCGTCCAAAAGACTACAACATATGGGCCAATCGCGGTCATCCGTGCTTTTATAAGAACGAACGAAATGGCGCTTTTAGTAACATTTTGCATACAAATCCCCTTCTAGTAGGGCGCAGTCACCCAGTTTCGGTGGAAGTGCGCTTGTTCGATTGGGAATAAAGGAGGAAGGGAGCGTCTTAGCTTCCTCGGACCAAGGCCATTCGACTCAGCACCCCGAAGACTACAACTGGTGAAAATTTGATTTTAGGCTTAACTTCCCCTTTGAGGCGCACTGCCTCTGTGTCATGAACCTCATTATCTCCTAACTCACTAGTTCTACAGGTTTAGTTGTCATCATGAATTCATGATTGTTCCTGTTGGTGTGCGTTAGGCAACCGTCGCATCACCATTGGAGCCGTTGCTAACTTACCTGAGTGCCATGGCAGATGTAATGGATAGTCAGCAGCGGCAGGAAGTTAGTGACCGAACACAAGAAAGTAAGTCTTTCATTTGGCCTCACGAAGGCATGTATCACCACAACAAACAACTGCTATCACACTACTGCCATCAGCTATCAAAGTCACTTCCACATTTACTATTCCATTGCTAATGAAGAGTGCTGCACATTGTGGGGTTGTTGGACTGAAGAACTCTCGATGGTACACTATATGAATGATTATAACGCAGCAGTGAGCTTGTTGCCTTAAACTGATAATCTTGTCTCTTTACCTGTCCAGAATGCTCCACACACTTGTACGGTGCAGTTGTTGAAGGTACGTTCATGAATCCTGCATGCCATGGATGTCACAACCCAAAATACGTCCTACCACCATCCATGCCTGTGTTGCGGCAGTTGTTAGGAACTGGAGCGGTCAGAACAATCAATATTGCGCCTGAGGTACGAGCCACCATGCGCCTGTGGAGCGCGCGCGTGCGCGCGCGTGTGTGTGTGTGTGTGTGTGTGTGTGTGTGTGTGTGTGTGTGTGTGTCCCATATGGTGCAGTGGTATGTGCAGCGATTTCCAATTGAGAGGTTGCGGGTTTGATTCCTGACGATTATGGTCACACGCGTCTTTCTTCTCTTTCTCAGACTCCTAGCTCTTCTTTCATTCTCCTTGGTGGTTACAAACAGCCAGTGCATGTGGCGAGAGGCCCATTGTAACACATTGTGTTTTATTCATTAGAATGTCCTAAGCGGAAATAAGAACAAGATAGACAACAGGCAAGAATCTCCATGTGCGCACACATGACATATACACATGGGGGAGAGGTGGGGGAGAGAGAGATCTACTGTGGTGCATGTGGTTTTTGAACTTTTGATGAAATGATGTCAATCGGAGAAACTGTTCTTTGATAATGATAACCACTGGCATGTATCCTGTACTGGGTGTTGTTCAGATGGGATTGGAAGAGGAGACACTGAGCATGATAACGCACAGTGTCCTAAATGGAGCATTGGTATCGGCTGGTCACTGCAAGCCCCATGCCAGGATGTTACGCTCAGCCACTGAAGCAGGCTGCAGCTACATCATCCACCTTGGCAACGGTCCAACAGGTGTCAGTCTTAAAGCAGCGTGTGATGGTGGAATGATGGTGAGCAAAGAGCCCTTCCATTATTGTATTCACTATTCAGTGTAACCATGGAACCATGTGCTAGTCTTTTTTTAGTCCTAGTCCATATTAGCAGTGACCTGTGACAGATAGCACTAGCCCTTGAGAGATAGAGTTCCTACAAGTGGTGGACATACCGCGAGATTCATGAAAACAGTTGAGAGAGGATTGAACATGGGGAACCTGGCAGTGCCAAGCTTAGTGTTATGAATGATCTAACATGTCACAGAGTGATATTGTCACCATCACGGGGTGCTGCCCTAGTATTTAATCCTGGGGTCAGAGTGGCAGCATAGCATACCAATTGTGAAAGTCTTGTATACTGCCTGCTACACCCGATGGCCATGAGTTCTATCGGGTTATGGTTGCGTGCAGGTTTGCGATATCTTGCTATTTGTTTGTGCGTGAGTACCGTGCACTGTGTCTTTGTGTGCGTTCCGGCTTCTCAGGAGGAGAGCTTGCGAAATGATGACCTAACCGCCACAGTTATCTGTGACATGCACCATATCCATCCAGCCATAGTGAGGGACTGGACTATCAGGAAAACCATTCAGCGGGTGGTTGCTGTCAGTGATGCCGCGTTCGCCCTTGGCATACCATCACCAGAGTTTGAGGTGTGTTGGCAGTGTGCTGAATTTAATGGTCTGCAATTCAGGTGAACTATGACCATTATTGTTTTCCTTCAGTCCATGACCAAATATGCACATGTGTGTTTAGCAATGACTGATAAAGTGGGAATACATGTACACTGATAAACTCATCAGTTCACAGTTCATGTACCTTGTTGCATTGATGATGCTTTTGTGTAGCTTGTCTTGTTGGAGCTATTGTATCAACTCTATGTATGTGCACGAAAGCGATATTGACTTGAGGGAAGATGCACATACCACTCAGACCATGTCTTTTGGACCAGCCTAATTCTTGTTTACTTGTAGTCAGTAAAAACCATGATTGCTGATCATAGTCTTGCCTTACTGCTGTCTCATCTTTTATTGGTACATGCACGGTTGTGTCAGGTGTTTGGAAGACGTGGAAAACTTTCAGAAGATGGAAAGTGCCTTGTGCAAGCTGATCTTGACACCTCAGCCAGTAAGACAATATTCTAATTTTGACTATTTTTACCTGTGGATTTCTGTCAAGAATAATATTAATATAATAATAATATCATGGACTTGGGAGGCTTTTTGTTGTGACGGCCTTGCTTTAAATTTCACATGCCATCACTGTAGGTATACCTAAGAAATTAAACATGCACCTGGCCTGCCCTACATGTAAATCATCAGATCACAGCCTGCCAAATTCATTCTAATCACGTCTGGGTATATATACTGTCGGTATTTCTGCTTTCCACAGCCCCCTCGCGCAGTTCCGACAACATTGCATGCCTCTTTGGCAGTAACGCTACAATGCGGGACATCTACGAGAATCTCGTCAACATGTTCACAACACACATGCGTGGAATCTTGTACCGAGACCATCCTGCCTTGAGCCTACGCCAGGCTGTGTCAATTGCGTCGGCGCTGTGCTCAAGTAACCCTGCCCGGTTGCTTACCCACCAGGAAGGGAGTCAGCTCAGTGCCGATGTAGGAAAGGTGAAAACAGGTCAACTTGCCGACTTGCTTCTACTTAGCATTACTGGCCATCAATCAGAAGATTCTGAATCTGATGCCGCCGGGCTAGCGGCCTCCAGCAATGCCGATTCCACGGCTCATAACCAGCCAGCGATAGGGTTTGCTGTGCATGTGGACCATGTATTTGCGTCGTCGTGAGTGTCAGTGATTACCTAACCATCATCAGGATCCGAAGTGCGGGGTCCCAGTGCCAGTGATGGTGTATCCCGTTGTTCTGCTGCTGTTGCAGTGCCCCAATCTGCAAGCGGCATGGTTTCAAAATGCTTGACGGCCCGTCTATTTGGATTATGTTCAAAGTCGTAAGGTCCAGGGAGTTGCCAGTGAAACGGGAAAAGTCTGTTCACATATGATTATCTTTTTCCATATTAAATAGAGCCTGAAATTGAAGGTCTTTTGTTACACAAGTCAATTTTCTTCGCAAGTTTTTCCCATTTTATTCACTGGCCCTCTAAGGCTCAAAAAATAATTGGTGAATAGTAAGTAACATTACACGTCGGTTTATTTTATTTCATCCATTCACACTATATTCACTCCATTTATTTTGCTTTCATTTCGATCCAGAAATCAGGCAGAGGTTCGTGATACCTCGGTGGCCGGGTCCTGGTCGGTAGCGGTAGTAGTAGTAGTAGAATTTATTATTTTGATAGGGAAAGCCCTATACGTTGCCGTCTTGTTACAGGGAACCCTACTACACTACAGGTGGAATCCTGATAATTCGAATATGGCTTAATGACCGATTTCTAGCACTACGGGTCCTACATAAAAAATTCTGATAATTCGAACCTCGAACTGAATTGTCCGGTTAATTCGAAGTCCCACAGATTCCACTTACATAGAAAATGTTTGGGATTTGTGCTGATAATTCGAAGTTAGCAAAGTGTAATTCGAAGTTCACTGTACATTGTACTGGTCAGTTCAGTTTGCATGAGCAGGCTGTGTCGGTCAGTTCAGTATCCGCGAAATCTGTTTCTAAGGTCCATAGCGCAACTCTGCGTGACCACGAGAGCATTTTGACATACATAATATTATTGTGTTGTGGGTTCATGTTTGGATAATTAGAATGTCCGGATAATTAGAAGTTTTTTCCTGGCATTTTGAGGTTCGAATTATCAGGATTCCACCTGTAGTAAGTCGGTTTACAGGCGATCATCATACTATTATGCATACTAGTATTCATGCACTGAGTCATATGCACTGTGAATGGACAGACACATAAGATGCTACAATGTTCAAAAGCAGTCGTTGTAAGCTTGTACAGTACTGCACAACTTACTTACCATGGCCATGGGTCAGAAGGAAGTGTGCACCACTGATGCAACCGGAAAGCAAGAGTGAGTACATTATGTGACATAACATCCTCTTGCAGAAAGTGCACGAAGTAGACCACAGAGCATTTCCATTATGTGGCTCCCTGAAGACAGTGAAAATATTAGGAGACCTGATACTACGCTGGTAGAGCACCACTAGAGCCTAGAGCCTTAGAGGGCCGTAGAGGGTCTCCCAGGGCCAGATCTGCGGAGGGAAGACATCATGTAGTGGACATGGGTAGAGCAAGGCCATGCAAGGATAAGGAGATGGCCGTGGCAAGCACAAGCAAGATGTGTGGTTTTGCAGTGCCATGCCAGTGTGTCGTTTCACCAGTGCAGTGTTCACGAATCACGAACCGTGTTTTGTGGTGACGTAAGCTCACCTGGTTCATGCATGAGTCATGAGTCACAATGCAATGCATCATGCATACTCTGTCGAAATAATTATCGGGTACGGTGATCGTACAGACTACCGACCGTAGATCTACACAGCTACAAAAAGCTACATGTGGCCCATGGCCACTTCATCGTGCAAGCATTCAAAACATCCCAAAAAAAGTGCTGCATGCACGCCGGTATACCGGTACCAGTATGTAGATCTACGCCTACGGTGCAGCTCAGTCGTTTTTACAACCCAACGCTTTGTTGTATGTACGTGTTGGTTTTGGCAAAGCAAACTGCAAAAGAAGGCGAAGCTGGTTTGAACTACAAGAAGAGGGCCATTGTGTCTGAAGGGACTGTCTACTGTCTTTTCCTCCCTGAGCTCTCCTCTGTCAAGAAACCTGTTGGTTGCTCCTAACATCTTAGAAGTTGGCGATAACGCCAGCAACTGATATTCGTAACCTCAACCAGAAATTTATTCGAAAATGTCTTTGGCTAAACTCGTTGGTGAGTTTCTTTTGTTTAGCAGTGAATTCCTTTCCCTTCTTCTTCAACCTAATTTCTGTGTTGTGTTGGACGCAGATAAAGCTACGAGCAGCGAGAACTTAGATCCCGACTGGGAATCTATTATGGCGATTTGTGACAAGATCCGTGGAAAAGAAGTGACGTGAGTGGATTTTTGACGTTACCACAGCATTGGTTTGGCACTAGTAAATACATGTGGCCAAGTAGATACTCCGGGACTCATCATACGTTGTACTGTTTTCTGCTCGCTATTTGACAGATTTAAGAAAGTATTGCCACTAATCAAGAAGAAGCTTCATGATCGCAGCCCACACGTCCAGCATTATGCGTTGATGGTATGTATTTCAATGCTTCATCCTTGAATAATTGCAGTGTCCAATCTCCTGGCATCTTTGTATTTGAGTCAACTGCACCAATCCAGACCACACATCCCCGTACTGGTAGTGTGCAGGGTGTAGCTAGCATCAGCGACAACTAGGACACAGACACGACATGCCGGTGCCCTTCAAGGGGGGGGGGGGGGGGTTCCGGGGGCCTCCCCGGGGGAAAATTTTCAAAAAATGAAGCAAAATCCTGTATTTTGAGCGAAAAGGGGGGGGGGGGGGTCCGGGCACCCAGGAACCCATACGGGGCACGCGCCTGCACAATCAAGACTTAAAACGAGATGTATTACAGCGTTCATAGGAAATTCATGAAATTCAGTAGAACATCATAATGGGGGCATCTCCTTGACTCAGTTGGGGATAAAAGTTACTGAAAATGCAATGGTGGCGAGTGAAATCCGACTTGATGGATAAAGCAGAGCTGTTTTCGCTGCATGGCCCAGCGTTCGTAGCGTCAGGTCCGCACTGCCTTGGGGCTGTTATATTCACTGGGTCAGATTTCACATGCCAGTTGCTACCACAGAAGACCTTTCTGTGTATGGCGGGTAGTGTTACAGAACTGCCGCTTTGGAAACCGTAATATACCATGGTGCAACATTCTTGCTGTTGATGAGCATGTGCCAGTGGCGTAACTATACTGCAATCAATATTGATATCAATCATATCAGGGTGTTATAATTTCTAGGGATACGACACGGCGTCTGGCTGTACCTCAGACCCAACTGTTTCTCACTCTGGATTCGGGACTTGAACCGATGAATTTTGAAACCTGTTAGGCTGTTAGGATCAGCAGGTCGTTGACGTCCCGGGCTTGTGCTACGGTAAAAATACAAATTTTCATTTTGGAAAACTTTTGTTTGCAATTAAATTTCGACTTTTCATTGGGAACTATTGTCATGTTCACAAATGGCCTATGGATTCATTCATTTCTTTACTTGGCAATCAATCTTCCAAAAGCAAACGGATGCTTATTTCGGGAGTTTTGAATGGTAGGAGCAGGGCATTTGTGGAGAGATTAAAAAAGAGTGAAGGGGCACTATTAAGGTGCAAGAATTGAGTACAGATAAGCATTGATAACCCCCTCCCCCAAGAGTGTGCAACTCCCAAATACCCTGCTGTCCCGACAGAATTTAAAGTTGACGTCATTTTTATGATGCAATGCTCCTTGCACCAGTGATTTACGTCAGCCCATTACACGTTTTTCTTCGCACTAGTTTGTACAGGATCAAATGGGGCTTTGTTCACCACACGTTCAGATGTCTGATAATCCGTGTACAGTGTGTACTGCATCATAAAAATATGTCAACTTGAAATTCTGTCCGGACAGACATGCATAGTCAAGTTGCATGCTCTTGGGGGGTATGTACTCTTAGTCCGCAGGCCAGGGTGCAAAATTCGTACTTTTCGCTCCGAGCAGAAGGGTGCCAAGGTTTGACTATACGAAATGATAGAGTGGTGCTAGGGCTTTCTTATCATGTACTTGGTCCGGCTCATCGCAATTGTCGCTTATCTCCTACGCACTTTTTGACAGGTAAAACCCAGTCCAATCACGATATCTAACTTACTTTTGCTTGGGAGGTTGTGATGGCAAGATCAAATGAGGCACCAAAGAAAAAATGATCGCGACTAGCGCTTTGATTCGCGATGTGTTCGACTTTTTTGGGAAGTGGAAATCTGGCCATTCACTGTCTGTGTTGCCAAAAAAGCCAAGCGCAGCGACCCGAAGACCGGAACTGTAGCAGGGGCAACTGACATCCTGGAGAGCGTGATAGGCACGCTTGCACGTTATGCTGAAGAAGAAAGGTGTTTTCGATGCGATGCACGCATGCGAGGGAAGTTTTGGTTGTTCCTTTTGTTCCTTCGTGGACCTGGCAGCAGCATTACAAGAGTTCGTCGTCAGCGTATCCAGTGGAGCGTATGACAGCTGTCTGGAGAGGCCTGTATGCCTCATTCGAAGGCTTTGTTGAAACACACTGTGGTGACACAGAGGTCACACTGCCCACGGTTCAAGCACCGAAGTGACAGACACTTACAGGCTGACAAAGCAAGAGATACTGTATCAGTCTACGCCAGCAGCAAGACACCAGCAATTTAATGTCAGCTCATGTAACGGCGGCAGCTCAAGTGATGGAGAGTTAAATGTGTAGGAGTGTGAGTGCAAGAGCGCTCCTTCGCTGATTTATTTCGTGCATTTTGCTTACCTTGCTTCCCTTCTATGACTCGCTTCACCTGATTCCAGGGCTGAATTTTGTTTCTTGTGGCGGAGAGTATTCATGTATCATGCTTCCTCACTATACCCATTGAAAATTTCACAGAGCGGCAACAAAACTCCTGTTCTTTGTGGCGATAGATAAGCGACAATTGCGATGAGCCGGACCAAGTATCTCTTGTCCCGGGATTCTTGTCCTAAGTTGACCAAATCAAAGGAATACTATTATTTTGATGTTGCCATGGTAACGGAAGTCGAAATTCAAATTTTACCACCTTTCCTATGCTGTAAGCAGTTCCAGTTTTTTGCATTGCCAAAGAAAGACCAAGAACCACCGGTATCCAAGGTTTGATGATAATCGTGCAACTAGAACCCATGCTGGGGTCGCCCGCAGTACGACAATTGTGTGCATACAAAAGGTCAATACCATTGCACTGTAAGTACAGTAGTTGGGTAGAAGGGGGGTGCTCGGCCCCTCGATTAGGGATGCAGAATGGGGTGGAAGGGGAGGCTCTCCCCTCGTGATATACCTGGACATTTTACAGTCTTTATCACTTCTTGTGGGCCTTGTTTCACAATACAATTCAGAATGCCCTTTGGTATGCAATAGCAGCTCGGTTGTATTGAGTCCCGTCTAACGCAGACGAGGCAGAAGATGGTCCAGCTATCCCGGACTCAACGAACAGATCAAGGAGACCTGCATCACGGAAACGCTTCCCGATGATGGCGAGGAACGTGCAGGCTGCGTGAAACGCTCCCAATCTCAGCACCACGGGTGAGAACTTGTCAGGCCGGTGGTTAATAATGTCCAATGCCTTTGCGTAAATGGCTTGGTCCACTACAATGATGCTAAATGGGAGGCCAGCATTGGCACATCGACCAAGGCACTTTCTGAGGATGGCGTAGACTGTTGACATGTCAGTTGGTGACGAGTTGACCACAGGGCAGTAACCTATGGCAGACCGTGGTGGGATGCATTGGCGTTGAAGCAGGGCATTAAATGCCGACCACGCTGGAACTGTCTGGTCTTGATCAGTGCGGGACAAAATGACGTTGCCGATGTCACCGTCCTTTGAAGCCCGTGCAAGCTGCCAGATGAAGTCATCCATGGCCACCGCGTCAGAACAGTGAGGCAGTGAGGTGTCCAGCGTCTCCACGTCAACTGCCTCACGGCGCTCTGGGTTGACTTTTGTCGGGCACACTAATTCGGGAAGAACCTCAGGTTCGAGGGCCAGCGTACGCTTGCGTTTTCGTGCTGGCTCAGCAGGAGAAACATCACTGTCAGGGCGGCTTACAGATGAAGCACGGGGCTGGACAACAACGGTGTTGGTGCAGTGTGTGGTCCCTTTCCCATCCAGAGTCTCCTCGTTTAAGTCGTTATTATCTGCTACATGGTAGAATGGCCGGTGGGGGTCAATGCCACCCGGTAACGCATCCACTATGTGCCCGTCTCGCACTCGCCGCTCTGCCATAGCAGTCTCCCATTCCAAAACCTGGGAGTAGGCAATGGTGTGCCCAAACCGGTTAAGCATTTTCAGCAGCTTCTCGCTCCGGTGGAGGTGATGTAGGGTCAGTCCCAGAACAACATGTTTGGGGCACGGCAGTCCTGATGTAATATACAGCAGATCCTGGCCAATGGAGGAGACGTGACGTTGCAGCTGCTCATCCAAATGAACTTTGTCCTGACCGATGTCATCATGATGCTGGTCAGTCACTACCCAAGCCAGAAAGTTGTGGAGTAGGCTGGGTAAGCATGCGTTTGCTTCAGCAACTGTTGGGATTTCCCCGCTTGACTCTTGGGCCTTTGTCTCCTGGCACGCAGTCCGTAAAAGGCGTGCGGCGTGATATGCAATACGCAGGCGATCTTGTGCTACAACACCTTCACCTCCTGAAGTGTTAGCTGCATTGTCCTCCTCCACCCAAATATCATCATCAAACCCATCCGAATCCCTCGCCTCTTCCACCTCGGCATACAAACTGGCTATTATCTCACTGGCATGGGCATTAGCGAAAACTAGCTCAGCCCTGTTCCGGGACGGACGGCGCACAAAAGTGACAGATTCACCAAACCGTTCTGTGATAGCAGCTTTGGTTCTGTCATTCCTAGCAGTTCCATGTACTGTCGCGTTGTAGTCTGCCGTAAGACGTGAAATGCTAACAGCAGTGCGTTCCACAAACAGCAACTGGTGTACTAGGTGGTAAAAGTCTTCGATGTTTCCCTCTTGTCTTGGTGTTGGCAGGTCATGCTCAGCGCTACCTGCCGACGAGCTAGTGACTAGGGTCGATGTAGCTGGGGTCGATGTAGCTGGTGTGCTGTCACGGATTCGTGCAAGGGATGACTCTTGTAAAATCGTTGTAACACTGTTTGTGATAGTATGCCTCTCTTGCAATGAGGCTACTGACTGCTGAAATGGCAATCGAAATGCCCTCGTCCTTCCGTATGGCAGCAGCTTTTCTCAGCCTTTCCTCAGCTTCGAGTGTCGAAATCTGCGAAGTACTCTGCTTTTTGTTGGTACCTGGTATTCTTTTCTGGATGGATCCACAAAATATGCAATTCTTCCTTCCTGGCTCGATACGGGGAACTTCAACGGACTGGCGAGTACTGCGCTTGTTTAGGGACTCTGAAGAAGCAGGCGAGGACGCCATGAGCTGGACGACAAAGGCCTAACACAACGCGCAATCATTGCCGTCCGTATACCATGATTGCTTGGTCGTCTTGATTCTAACAAGTGTGAGCCGAATGCCGTTGTCTCCTGAGCCAATGCAATTTCTTTAGGTGGCTGCCCGCTGCCGCGTAACGCACACAATCCCACATTGGGTTTCTATTTCACCATCTAGAGACTACTGTAACTGTGTGTTGTTCGTATCCAGCAGAATACAAGTTAGATTTCAAGGGCCAGTGTCACTTCACAGCATGCATATGAAAAGCATTACTCATCAACTACCAATTGTAGTGTAGTGTAGATCTACAGTCTCCATATGAAAAATGTGTGTGAAACTTTATCAGGACAGTACCATGGCAAATGGCACGGGTTCTGGTCTGATCAACCAGATCACAATAGCCACAGCTATTCTAGAACACAAGCTTTCGGGTCAGATTTCATGGGATTAAAAAAAATGTCAGCTGGCAATGCAGGACATAAGTTCAGCAAGATGGTGAGATCTGCGAAGTACTCTGCTTTTTGTTGGTACCTGGTATTCTTTTCTGGATGGATCCACAAAATATGCAATTCTTCCTTCCTGGCTCGATACGGGGAACTTCAACGGACTGGCGAGTACTGCGCTTGTTTAGGGACTCTGAAGAAGCAGGCGAGGACGCCATGAGCTGGACGACAAAGGCCTAACACAACGCGCAATCATTGCCGTCCGTATACCATGATTGCTTGGTCGTCTTGATTCTAACAAGTGTGAGCCGAATGCCGTTGTCTCCTACGACGACATTATGAAGCGGAGATCTGCGAAGTACTCTGCTTTTTGTTGGTACCTGGTATTCTTTTCTGGATGGATCCACAAAATATGCAATTCTTCCTTCCTGGCTCGATACGGGGAACTTCAACGGACTGGCGAGCAGTCGATGCGCCAAGCCAGCTAGAGTGGGTCTTTTTATTTTTTTCGCGCGAAAGTTTATGTGGTGAACTGTGTTGGTAAAGATGAAGATGTCAGTCAATGAAATTTGCTATATTTCTTGTGTCTAACCAACCCTGTACGGATCGAACTGACGATTCCCGAGTGCGACAAATGTCCTGAAGTCTGCTCCTATTAGCTAGGTATCTAGAAATTTCAACTTGAGTGTCAAGTGAAGACTTTGCCAGTTGCAGACGAGGGAATTCTCGCTTCACGATTTTCCTGGTGTGTGGAGATACGTCGGAATGCCGACCCACCACACCCGACATGATGCTTCGGCCGGAATGCAGGTTGGTGCAGATAATTGCCTAATAATATATGTCTAAGCGTGTATACCTTTCCTTTCGTTGCATGCTTGGTTAATCCGACGGCACGAAATTATAGACATTTCGAAATTAACTTGAATATTATTTGGTCGTTGTATGTCTTAGTATTCCCTGTCAGTTTGTGCCTTTTTGTCGCGCTCGCCGACTGTATATGATCTAGCGACATTGGTACATGGTGGACAGTTAGTCATAACTCGTAACATTTTGTCCTTATTCTTTTTATCCATGATTACATTGGCTCACCATCTGAGTTTATTTATAATAATTATATTTTTGATAGGGCAATATGTAATGTACACACACAAACACACACACACACACACACACACACACACACACACACACACACCACCCACACACATACACACACCACCACACACACAGTGACACACACACCACACGCACACACCATCACACTACGACAAAATCAAGGCAATGCCGGCGAAGCTCTATAATTTTCTTGTGCCGCGTGCTAGGAGCATAATGGCATTGCCCGATAATAGCACTTGGTGTAAATGGGTTCCCATGTTCACACACACATACACACACACACACACACACACCACACACACACGCACACACCATCACATTACGACAAAATCAAGGCAATGCTGGCGAAGCTCTATAATTTTCTTGTGCCGCGTGCTAGGAGCATAATGGCATTGTCCGATAATAGCACTTGGTGTAAATGGGTTCCCATATTTGTGAAGTACATGTATTATTCGGTTGCTGGCTATCAATTGTGCTGTGAGCATGGCAGAGTGAGGTCTTCCAGCTTTGTTGGTGTTTGCTCTATCTTGTGTTTACGCTCTGCAGAAAGGATCATATGTAGTGCCTTCTCAGCATTACATTACATCCATTGCGTAGCAGCAATGTGCCATCCTTCCGCGACTTAGTGGAATGACGTGCAAGTGGTGCTCCAGGGTCAACTTCAATTTGCCGAGCACGTATGCCGCTGGCTTGGGGTCAGCAGCTGGGTGCAAAGTCTCTGTATACAAATCGTGCACTGTCGTCAACAATATGGCATCCTTGTCCAGCAATTCCCGTCCTGTAGCGGCAATGACTATAATATTGGGGAAATCACTCTCGGCACCTTCCGTGCTGTACTGAGAGATGATGCTTCGCAATTGGTGGTCTGTGCTTGGTGCATTGTCGGCAGGGAGCATGTCAATTTGCTTTTGGTAGCAGCGTCTACAAAATCGACTCTCGTCTGAAATCCTGACATGGTGCATGCTACGCAACACATGCTCTGCAAGCTGAAAGTTTGGTGACTTCCACCTGTGTTCTGGTGTGAGTCTCGACTTACACCAAGCACATGTTGCATGGCCCACACACTGCTGGTAATGGGTTGGGCACAGAAGCGGTTCGCACTGTTCTTTCAGACTGTGCACGCGCAGTTTGTCTGCAGGACAGTGTACGGATGCCGCTCCGCTGCAATCATGTACACTGCATGTGCTTTGGCTGACTGGTGGCTTATTTTCTTTCGCTGCTGTGCATACTTGGCGTCGTAGTGCTTTGACGCACTTGCAATAAATGCATTGGCCTGACGTGATGGATGTGCATGTGTGTAGCTTTTGCCAATTTTGCCAATCTGACAGCATTGAGTCATGTGTAAATCGCTTGTCAGATGGCACTTTGGAGCAAATGCTTCATTCTGGGCCACATGGTCGTCAAGTATGTATGCTTGTGCCAGTTGTGGCATTGCTGGGTCTTCCTGCCGCTGACATCTGTGCATACATGCATGGAAAATATACGTAAAAACACTAGTTAGAAATCACGTCACCAGAGGCATGCCCTTTTTTCGGCCAGAACATAACTTCCGCTCCAATGTCACAAAGACTTACTCTTTCGATACGTCCAGCATAGAAGCAGCGAAATGCCTGGTTAATTCGGTGGCACGAAATTATAGGTCGGGCGACGAAATTTCGACGAAAAAAGGAAAAGAGACAAACCGACGTGTAGCGACACCAAACTACAGAATTTCGTCGTTCTTGAAGAACTCATAACAGAAAAAGGTGAAAGGCGACTACTGAATCCTCGAGTGTGACGAATAACTCCGAGAAAGCGTGAGACTGGCCAGCACGTACATACATGAAAACGATCGTATGTTGAGAATGCCTTGAGAAAAGTGCCCAAAAAGGGTGCCTCTGAAAAAATAGAACTCTGTGTTCCGACGTGATTTTTCAAATCTGGCGCATCGACTGGCGAGTACTGCGCTTGTTTAGGGACTCTGAAGAAGCAGGCGAGGACGCCATGAGCTGGACGACAAAGGCCTAACACAACGCGCAATCATTGCCGTCCGTATACCATGATTGCTTGGTCGTCTTGATTCTAACAAGTGTGAGCCGAATGCCGTTGTCTCCTACGACGACATTATGAAGCGGAGATCTGCGAAGTACTCTGCTTTTTGTTGGTACCTGGTATTCTTTTCTGGATGGATCCACAAAATATACAATTCTTCCTTCCTGGCTCGATACGGGGAACTTCAACGGACTGGCGAGTACTGCGCTTGTTTAGGGACTCTGAAGAAGCAGGCGAGGACGCCATGAGCTGGACGACAAAGGCCTAACACAACGCGCAATCATTGCCGTCCGTATACCATGATTGCTTGGTCGTCTTGATTCTAACAAGTGTGAGCCGAATGCCGTTGTCTCCTACGACGACATTATGAAGCGGAGATTTCACACTTGAGCTCCAGGTGGTAGAACCGGTACATAAGGAAAGGAAGAAGAGGAAATGGCTGTACGTGCAATCAGAAATTTGACAATGTGTTCGCCGTCACCTGATCACTCAGTTCAAAATTCCCAAATTCTGCGTGGCGTGCATCACGTGATCCGTTTTGAGCAGTTTCCGTGCTTGCTCAGAATCCCCGTACACGACAGCTGTGCATATTTGACAGCTGTCGAACCCCCCTCAATTCCACGCGAAAGGACAAATCCCCTGACACCAAACCTACATCATTGTGCTCGTAAAGGAACACTCTATCACGTAGAGTCAACAAACCTTGGTACCCCATCAGCGGGAACGAAAATTTTTTTGGAGCATTTTTTTCCGCTTTGGCCTGCGGACTATCTTGCTGAAACCAAGAGTACGTCTGTAACCCCCCCAAGAGTGTGCACTGCGCATACCTCTATCCTGTGCTGCGATGGCAAAGCTTCACATCAATCCCGAGACATGGTTCAAAAGGTGACGCTGGCAAACAGTGCAAAGTGACCATCAGAAAGTTGTACAAGCAGGGTTGCATACGAATCTGTAGCTATTGTGCTCCGGCAGGGTGCAAACAATGTGTGTGGGTTTGTCATGTGATGTGAAGTTCTGTCGTCGCAGACCCTATAATAAATTATAGACTGGAGTTGTACCCTCTTGGGGTTATGTACTCTTGCTGAAACTGTGAAGTGATACAAATAATAACTGCTGATTAGGTTTAATACTACAGTCCATTCAGAAAAAGATGGACTTCTAGCTTTTGGCCATAAATGGGTCAAACTTTGAGTTTTTTTAGAATTTTTTTCCGCCATCCCCTATGGAATCCTCTTCCAGTTATGTTTCTGAAGTTTTTTTGTCCAAAAAGCAAGCCATAGCAAGAAAAGGATTTCGGCCAGGTTTTACCACAAAAGCACTGAATCGGGAAAAACCATTAAAATCCAGGCCGTTTGACCCTGCCTGCAACAGTGCATTGTGCGGTTCGAACCCCAGTTCAGGTACCTTTTTGGACCCTTTTTCAAATTTCAAAGTTCGCAGCACTGCACTGTGTACGATGAAATCACGAAAAATCGCCAAATACGGGAGCTCGCCAGAGCCAGGGCCCATCTTTTTATGAATGGACTGTAAGGAAAGTATTTTTTCTTTCCCTCTCTTCCCCCAGGTTGTTGAAGCATGTGTAAAGAACTGCGGTAGCTCGGTCCACGATGAAGTGGCAGCAAAACCCTTCATGGAAGAACTGCACGAGTTGGTGAAGGTACGTGTAATGAGTGGTAGAAGACTTTTTCACAGGCAGGTTCAACCCCTAATATATTGGCAATAACCTTTTTCAGGTGAAATCTGATCAAGGAAAAGGAAGGCGAAAACACTGCCGTTGGGTGAATACAATTCGTTTGTATGGTGAAGAACGATGGTGGTAAGGACACTCCTGGTGAAGTGATGGTAAATACACGAGGAGAGCTCTTTGCCAGAGTGTACCTTTGCGGCTAAGGGAGCATGTTTGGGCAGACGTGCTGTTACTGCCACTTCGCCAGGTGTATCTTTGCCACCATTATTCTACCATCAATGCAGCTGCAGTGGAATCTTCGAATTTAGTGTATGATGACACGGTGGATATTTATTTGGCCAGAGTGTGGAATTCTGTCGTTTAACTATACCGTGTAGTTGGTGACTCGCCTAGGCACTTCTAGTATTCATGTGGATATCCCTCCCATACCAGCTTTACATTTTGTCGTGTGATAACAGAGTGTGTATGTGCTTGTTCTGCCTCAAATTGTACAGGCCGGTGCCCCTCCGTTAGTGAAAGAAAAGGTCCTTGGCCTTGTACAGGCATGGAAGCATGCATTCAAAGGACAGCATAAGTATGGCGCTGTTGAGCTGACTTTCACCTTGATGCAACGTGAAGGTAATGACAAAGTGCAGGTCCTTTTCTACTTTGATGACATGATTGTGCTCGGTGTGTTAATAATTACTTCCTCCGTTAAGCAAAACTTCGTTGCGTTTTTACAGTTCAGTCCAAATCATTCTATGGCTACGAACACGCTTTGCAAAGTGGAAAACAAGGCAGCATATGAAAGATATTCATTTACAGATGTCACACAGCTCGTTTCAAAGCAGTCCAGCTCCACTCTTCCTCTGAATCTGATGACGACTCACTCCCTGATGACATCGAGCCTGCATCCTTGCTGACTGTCGCCGCCAGCGCTGCCAGCTTTTGTTCCGCAGCCTTTTCAAGTTTCCAAGACACGATTATTTTTATCGTGGAGATCGCCAAGTACTTCGCTCGAACTGTGCCCTTGACGGCCTCCACGGTGGCGCTGGTAGTTGTGGCCACTCTCCGGACCGCCATGGAAGGAGGCATACAGACCCAAACAAACGCTCGCCATTTTCGCAGCGGTGTGTCGTGCCAGCACGTTTCCACACCCTGCAGAAGCTCCTTTCTGGTTTCCTTCGCCACGAGTGACACGTCTGTCTACAGGCTGTGGAAGAACGCCAAGTCGTCGACGTTGAGATCAGGATTTTGCGCCGAGTGAACGACAACCTGAATGTCGAACGCTTTTCATTTCCCCTGCGCTGCAAACACAAGTGCATTGATTTTGGCTGTGTGCGGATGCGCACCATCGACTCGTGCTAGTACCATGAGTACAGCAGTGCCTGAGCGCTGGCCGGCTCCTGGACACTTCTTCGAGCCACGCGGTCTTTCAAACTGTTTCTCATTTTCGCACTTTGGTGTCATGCGCGCGCGCCTGGGGTTGTGTTCTGGTGACATCCTGTCGAAAAACGGTTCTGCTTCGCCGATTTTTTGAAAAGACTCCACGCTTTTCGGAGGTTCAAAAGCCTGTCAGAACAATATACGACAACTCAGCTACTTTATGTAGGGGATAGATCACTGACATGTATGTCTAATGCCGACAGAAATACCATGACAAGAACACTAAAAACGCAACGAAGTTTTGCTTAACGGAGGAAGTATAAAAATCCGGTTAAAATGTTTATAAAGTGTTTTCAGTTCGTGGTGAGGCTATATTTCTCTTGTACATGCTCCAGCAGTATCAATCCTGTAATCTGACAGCCGTCTAGCTGCCACACACATGTCAGCAACTAGCAGTCTGTTTTGGTCCCACCTGTTGGGTAGCCTCTGCAGCAGCTCCAGATTTTAGAAAGAAGCAACAGTTGTTGTAATAGTGCTCAATGTGCTGGGTTCAAAGCCTTAACGCACGCGCGCGCACACACACGCACGCACACAGTGCCCTTTCTGCTATGCTACCCATTGTGTTCCAGTGGCAGTAACACGCTGGTGGAGACAAATCACTGATCTCTCTCTCTCTCTCTCTTTCGTGTTTGTGTTGGTTACTACTTCAGGCTTTGTGTTCCCACCTCACATTGAAAGCGAGGCCATGTTCACCTCTGAAGGCGTAAGGATGCTGCTGTTTCCCTCTGTTTTCTGTGCAGGCAGCGTTATGGGAACCGCTTCTTCCTAAGTAACTGCTCTTTATATTTGCCCGGCCGGGATGTGTAAAGCCAGTCCATAATGCTTTGGCTTTCCTCCGCCTCCTCAATCCATCCATGTATCTATCTCTCCCTCCCTCTCCCTCCCCTCCTGTACTGCACTGATCTGGAAAGCACTGATCGTAGCCTGGTATATTTACTTATCTATTTTGACAATGCCACTTGTTGGACACTCCAGGTGTTTGTTGCCGACCGTGTTCTGATTGCAACTCTTGTGTTTTATGCTTTGCTGATGGGATGCAGCCTCCAGACTGGGTCGATGACAAGGAGGCCACACAGTGCCACTTGTGTCGCACTGCGTTTGGCGTATTTACACGCAGGGTGAGTTCATCCACATTGAATTTGACATTGTGTGTTATACAGTCAACGTTACATACTCGTATGTGTACTACCAGTGAGTGCGTTCGATTATGTCCGCGAATTGATGTTGAATCCATTCATGAATCGCCCCTGGCTATTTACATCACCCCATGTGAATAGGGTGAATGGATTCCGAACCGATTCCAGGGCCCATGGCTTGAAATCGAACGACGAGATTCCACTCGTGAGTCGATTCATGGCAGTATTTGAACGCACCCAGTGTGTATGTGCCGATTCTACTGACCTGAGTTATGAGAGCTACGAGTTGCAGTAGATACACATGCTCATATCATGTGTTTGAGGGTGCGTGAGTAAGTGTGCTTGCAGACACATGGAGATTTGTACCCACAAGCATACTACTACTTCTCTTGACAACAGTCTTTGTTCATCTTGTCCTTTGCAGCACCATTGCCGTAACTGTGGAAATGTCTTCTGCGACCAATGCTCTTCAAAGGAGTCCACCATTCCGAAGTATGGTTACGAGACACCAGTGCGAGTCTGCGACACCTGCTACTCACAGCTGGATGGCTCAAGAGAGGGACCAAGTCCACCATCTAGGTACAGTGGTTGTCCATGTTCATTGTCAGCAGTCATTGCTTTTTGCCTGCTTTTCGGAGTTTGTCTGTAATCCTTTAGAGCTGTGTGGGTTCTGAATTCGTATCGGGTAATTGTTAACCGAATGTTTGTGCAACTTCTGCCATGTCTGCTGTGTGTCAGTAGCGATGTCATAGACAAAGAGTAGTTTTGTTATCCTCAGCACAAACTTTTACTGCGGTCAGACCTCACCTATTCACGCCTCAACTGCTGAGGAAATATTTGAAGCATATTTCAGTTATCTGGTTCTTTCAACATGTCTCTGGAATATAAGCATATCGGCGTGTGGACATGCCGGTTCTCCATATGATATGGTGTTCATTATTCCTGTCGTCCTAGTAGAAATTTTTTTGTTGTGACTTTTTCTTACCTACACTAGTGGTGATGCATCACGGCCAGCTACTAATGACGGAGACCTTCCTCTTGAGTACCTTCAGAGCAATTTGGCAAAGGAGTCTCAAGTAAGTAGTGACTCCTCATGCGTGTCTCCAAACACACACACACACACACACACACACACACACACACAGCTTGCAAGTTTGTGCATTGGGTCATTCAAAACCTAAACTCTTTCCTAACTATTTGCACATTTTGCAGGGACCCTCCTTCTCCCAGGGTTGGACATTATCTCTTTATCTGTATCCGTAGCTAAAATGGGGAACAAATCTGAAATGTGCTCGCATTATTTGTTGATCCTCTTGCCCCCACCTTTCTAGGCCCCGCCGACAACCAATCCTCACCGAGAGCGTGAACTTCAGGAGGAAGAGGAGTTGCAAATTGCCATGGCAATGTCTCTCAATGAAGAAGAGAATAAGAAGAAGAAGGTAAGCCGGGCAACGGGCCTGTCACCTGGTTTTGACAGGTCTTCTCTACATTCTTCCATCCACCCGTCCCACGCCTTGTTGGTCCACGAACACGAATGCTCATCTGTCCAATTGCGTCTGTCTGGTGTGCTTGCGCGTGTATGGTGGACAGTGGATGTTGTTCTGCGTGTACTTGGTATCTTTGCTGTGATGGCTGACTGCATCATGCATTGTGCTATTGCTCTCTTTGCATGGACAACAGGCAAGCAAGCCCAAGTCATCAGCTAGTAGCGGGGGAGCAGCTAGTGGCTTTCCTCAGTCCACTGGTGTCAGTACATCCGCCTCTGCATCGCCAGCATATGCATCTACCACTGCCAGTAGCAGTAGTGCATCTGCGTATCGCCAGCCGGCACCAGAATCTTCCTACCGAGTAAGCTATAAACATGTTTAGAGTCCTTACTTCTATTCACTGAATTTGTGTGCACACTGTTCTAAGTTATTGGTCACGCCAACAGGATTCACCGTTTTCAGAGGCTACGAATAACATACTATTTCCCTACCTTTTGTGGCAAGGTTTTGATGACACGACTCTCGGAGTTGTAGGTCAAAATGTATCCGCATCTAACAATTAATTAAGTTGCTTGTTTGTAGAGTAAATTTCACGGCATCATTCCTGGTGGTATGACCACTCGCTCCATTGGGCATGAGCCACTTTCTGCACAAGTCCAAAGTCTTGCTTGTTTGGTGCGACCATGGCTCTACGTCATCGGTGCTTGGAAGCTCTTTTGAAGTGGTTCAGATGTGTACTGCGCCTGCTAAGACTGTAATCTGCGATGTTACTTTTTAGTATTTTACACCTACTAGTATCAGCAAACAGTCGGTCTATTATGCACATGTGCAGCTCTACCATAAAGTGTACGAGTGTTCCTTTATAACCGTCCCTGCGCCACTTTAAAGTCCATGTGCGTGGATACATGTCCATCAAGCGTATGCTGCTAAAACATATTGACAGCATGTTTTTTCCTTCTACTTCTGCATTTAGCCTTCGCCTGCAGCTGCTCCTGCTGCGTCAAGATATTCTGCACCTCCACAGGCTGAAAGACGTCAGCCTGCTCCAGCAGCCGTTGCTACTCCTGCTGCTGCTGCGGGAGGGCGATCTGGCTGGCCAGCTGAACCAGTTTACCAAGCGGTGAGTGTGTGATGTAGCAAAACCCTAGTTGTTGTTGTTGTTGTTGTTGTTGTTGTTGTGGAAAGGGCATGTGTTGTGTTCCTTGCCAGTAATATTCTGAATTGGTCAAGTTCAGTATTGCGTTTACCTTTCAGTGTGCTGCTAGCATCCTAGAAGTGCTGCACCACTAACGTCCCTCTGTGACATGCTGGTGAGTCCGGCTTTAGCTGTGGCTGGATAGGTTTGCATCTTCATTCACTGATACATTTGTCCGTGATAGTGCCAGTCTGCAGCTGACACGTGGCTTTTCTCTGTGTTGTTGTTGTTGTCTGGACAGCCTGCTTCAGTAGCAGCCGAGCCGCCGCCACCAGCCCTTCCTGTGGGGCCTGGAGCTGCGTTTGCGGGTGCGGGCGGAAAGGAGGAACAGGACACCAACGTTCTGAAGGCCAGCTTACAACAGAGCATAGACATGTTTGTGGATCGCATGCAAGCAGTGCACAATTCTGGTCGCAGCATCGCACTGGATGCATCGGTTCAGGTTTGTTAGATGTTGGCGTGTCTTTAAAACTTTGTCTGTTTTCTTTCCATTCACACTTCCAATATCACTCGTAGTGTGTTGTAGTAAGTCTCGCCCTTCTTATTGGTTTGAAATAGGGTTGAAATGACTATGCAGAACAAGTAGTGTAGGAGGGTGCGACTTATATTCGGGGAAAATGCTGTAATTGATACAAGCAAACGATTCAATTTATCGGATATGCATGCAGCCTTGACAATACTTGTAGTAGTTTCTGAACTCAGCATGCAGAAGAGTGAAGTGCTCTGCATGCTGTCAGATACACGGGCGCCACTCAAATTTTTGCTACAGGCTGGTAACAGCAGTTCCGAGTCGGCACACAACCCTTCCTTGGGAATTGCGATCTCATCCTCCCCGAGCACAGAGGTTCTGACTTGGAAGTATAATCTCATACTTTGTCTTTACATGCAGAAGAAATTGTTGATATGATAATCAAACTTTTGTGTGCATGGTGGTGACTTCGGTTTTTGGCTTGGATGTGATCCGGTTTTCTGTTCTTATTATGGCGCTACAGACACTATTCCACTCGCTGTCAGCAATGCATCCGCCACTCCTAGCCGCCATTGAGGAGCAAGATCGGGAGAAAGGTAAAGTCACTGATGGTCTCCTTCTGTTTCAGTCAGTGTTTAGGAACTGTCTTCCATGGGCTTAGCCAGTTTGTTTTGCCATGTGAACATTTCCCTGGTGGCAATACGAAGGCAGATAACTTGATACTAACCGGAAAGAGTGCTCAACCAAGCCGAGGCAAGGGAGCGTCATAGTCAATCTCCGCTGATGTCAATATGACATGTCCTTTTTAACTTTTCTTGTGTCCTGCTTGCAGCCCACTATGTTGATTTGGAAAAGAAATTAAAGGAAGCCAAAGAAGCTCGAGTGTCTTTGAACACCATGCGCAGAACACATGCTGACAAGGTTCGACAGCAGGAAGCTGAACTGGAGGTGCTGGCACGCATCCAGATGCAGCAAAAGCTGGAATTGCTGCGGCAGCAGAAGAATGAGCAGCAAGAGCACATGGAAGATCTGCGCAAGCAGCGTCAAGGAGAGCTGCAACGACAATTGCAACAACAGCAACAGGTATATTGACAGCAGTGTGCAAGTCAGCTGTTGCCAGCTACGTTTAAACATTATGTTATCCATTGAGTGTCTAGAACTGAGTTTTGCCAGCTGTTTAATCTGTGGATTGAACGACTCAGAACGAACAACGGAGGAAATTCCACCCATTCTCACAGGAATGTGGGCCATTTTTACTCAACTGTAGCATTAGATCAGCATGGTGGGATACTCGTTGACAAGAGTACCTATGTGCACGCAATGCGTCCTGCATAGGGAGAACAAGGGTGTTGATGAGCCGAGCTGCACTTTGAACAGTAGTACTTCCTCAATGCTAAAGTATGTGTCTTTGGCTACAACCCTCACACTGTCTATTATCATAGTGACTGTGCAGCCAAGTGCTTATCAGCTGCTTATTGCATTTTGTTGCTCTTTGTTTGGTATTTCCTCTTGTAGCTCGAATCGCAGCAGCAAGCAGAAGCACAGAAGGCTCTTGCTTATCAGCAGATGCAGATGTTGCAAGAGCAGCAAGCTCAGATTCATGCTATGTCAGCTGCTTTCAGTCATGCCGACCCAGCTCAGGCTCACCCTCAGCCTGGTTTCCAGCAGCAGCAGCCGCCTTCAGTGCAAGCACCACAGCCACAATATGACGCTGCACCTATTCAGCAGCCACCACAGCAGCCTCAGCAGTATCAGACACAATCCCAGCAGCCGCAGCAACAGCAACAACAACAGCAACAGTATCAACAGCAGCCAGTGCAATACCAACAGCCACCGCCGCAACCTCTGCCGCAGCACCCTCCCCAGCCTGTTGCAAGTCAGGCCCAGGTACAGCAGCCAGCTCCTGTACAACAGGCTGCTTTCCCACCACAACAAGCTGTACAGCAACAACCAGCTCAGCCACAGTTTTCACAACCACAGCAGCAACACCATCAGCCTGCTCCTCAGCCGTATTATGCACCGCAGCAGTTTCAACCACCAGCACAGACTCAACCACAGCAGCCTGGTGAGTCCCATTTAATTCCCGAAGCTATGCAAAAGGCATTACGTTGGTAACTTAGTATATGGCGCTAGCCAGGGTCCACTGGACCACACCGTTTTATTTCGTATGTGTATTGTGTGTGTGTGTGTGTGTGTGTGTGTGTGTGTGTGTGTGTGTGTGTGTGTGTGTGTGTGTGTGTGTGTGTGTGTGTGTGTGTGTGTGTGTGTGCCTGTCTGCGTGTATGTGGCGTCGGGCTTTCATCACGTAACGCACCATGCCTGGTGCGCTATCCCGTACATGTCCTGTATCGTAAAAGAATTGTGGCGACATATTCAAATAGTGCTTTCAACGGCAGGGTTTCTCCCTCCTCCTAGATTTCATTGCCTAGGGTGCTGCAAAACTTTGGAAAAATAGTGTGGCTCAAGGCACACGAAGTGAACTGGCTCCGGGTTGATCTGGCGGCTTCCTTTCTCAGCCGTTGTCCGCCTGTTGATGGGTGCATGTGCTATTTACGTGCCGGTCCGGTATGTATTGACAACCATGCAGGGCTTGATGTTACGCGTTGTTACTTCAAACATGTATGAGTCTCCTGCATAGGGTTAGCTTCTGAGGGCTGTGGTATGAACATTCTCTCTCTCTCTCTCTCTCTCTCTCTCTCTCTCTCTCTCTCTCTCTCTCTCTCTCTCTCTCTCTCTCTCTCTCTCTCTCTCTCTCTCTCTCTCTCTCTCTCTCTCTCTCTCTTCAGGATATGCAGCTGGTTATGGTGGCTATGATGTAAGTCATATGCAGCAGCAGCCTACTGGGCCAGCTATGGTGCCACCGGCTGGGGGTGGTGGTGCCCCTGACCAACAACTAATTTCCTTTGATTAGCTGACTGTATGTGTACATTGTTATACCTGCAGTAGCTGTGCTATGTGTGCGTATGCTGCTGCCACTGATGATTGTAGATCCTTTATGTTTGTGAAGGGGCAACTTACCACACTGTACTGCCATCTGTTGTAAGGTGCAAGTGCTGTGGCTTGTAGTGATTTCCTCCTCTCCATTTAACTGCTGTTTGTGTATCCCTTGGTTTTATGTCGCTTCTATTCACTCCCTTTTATGTTTGTTTTTTAACTCATTGCATGCTTTTCACCGATACCAGATAATGGTTGCTATTTTGACCACCGCTTTTCGCTCTCTTCATGGAATTGGACACCGGTCGCCTGTCAGCTTGAATTGCGCCAAGTTGTTGTGTTTGAAAGGATTTGTTGTACTGTAAGCGATGTTTACACACTGCAAATTGGCTGCATCTTTAGTAGTTGTAGTAGTATTATTTACTTTATTTCTGTGTAACAAATCTAACGTCTAATCTTACAGCTAGTATGTGTAGTCGTGTACATGTCATAGGGTTCTGCTGTATTTGTTTTTATCTTCACTGGTCATGCCAATTCATTCATAGTTTCTGCATCCATGCAATCGGTGCCTCCTCGCCAGGTTTCAGTCAAAGTACTTCTAAGTACAGCTGTATTTGACCGGCTGAATAGTTGCACGTGCACGTCATGTTCCTCGTTTCAGTGAGCGTTTATAACTCACGATATCCCACATTTTATACAGCCGTTGCAGTATTTGTTGGTGCTGGTTTGCATGTGTGTGCGTGTGTGTGTGTGTGTGTGTATGTGTGTGCGCATGCAGTATTTGTGTGTGTGTGTGTGTGTGTGTGTGTGTGTGTGTGTGTGTGTGTGTGTGTGTGTGTGTTTTCTTATGTCAGATAGTGGTTGGGTCTGTTGTTGTTGGGCTCAGTTACTTGGAGGTGTAACTTGTACATGTAAGATTTTATCTGCCACCTGTGTTGGTGTATACATAAGGTTCCATACACTTTCTGTTGGAGGTACTAGTACACTCCCCTAATCCGGGCACGTCCGTCCACCGGGCGCCTTTCTGACCCATCCAGAGTCACAAAATTGGCGTTTCATCAAAATCGGCCCTAAACACGTTTTCTTGCATGCAGTAAGTATGCATGTTTTGAGTTATGGGCCTAGTTACAGCCATTGCTCGGTCCCAACCTGCCCGGATTAGGGGAGTTTCACTGTGTATAGATGGTGTGGTGCAGCGAGAAGTAGGATCATTTCCGAGTCTAAAATGTTATTCAGTCTAGGAGGGGATTTCAAGGCACACAGGGATGTCACATCAGCTGTTGAACAGTTCAAATCAAAAGCCAATTGAATCCTTCTTTTCTAGATTACTGAATTTCCTTTTTGAATATAATTATAATCTCTCTCCTTTCCCGGGGGTACTACAGTCCATTCATAAAAAAATGGGTCCTGGCTCTGGCGAGCTCCCGTATTTGGCGATTTTTCGTGATTTCATCGTACACAGTGCAGTGCTGCGAACTTTGAAATTTGAAAAAGGGTCCAAAAAGGGTGCCTGAACTGGGGTTCGAACCGCAGAATGCACTGTTGCAGGCGGGGTCAAACGGCCTGGATTTTGATGGTTTTTCCCAATTCAGTGCTTTTGGGGCAAAACCTGGCCGAAATCCTATTCTTGCTATGGCTTGCTTTTTGGACAAAAAAACTTCAGAAACATAATTGGAAGAGGATTCCATATGGGATTGCAGAAAAAAATTCTAAAAAAACTCAACGTTTGACCCATTTATGGCCAAAAGCTAGAAGTTCATTTATTTCTGAATGGACTGTAACGTGACCATTTTCTGGCAGTGGGCAAATTCACGTGTGTGTGCGCGCGCATGCTTGCATGAATGTGTATGTGTGCATGCTAGCATTTTAGGGATATCCGGAACGGGGAGGTTGAGAGCGCATTGTGTTCCTTTCTGTCCATGCCATGGTATATAACACATTTGACGTCCCATCCAATGTGGGTTTGTCACGGTAAGGCTTTTTTTATTATTTTTATTATCACAGTAGCTGGATTTGAGAAAAGCACAGCTACAATACATGCAGGGCCTCCATACAATGCTCGTATGTTAACGAGCACCGACGTTCAGAAGCATGTTCTTGCCACCTGGCAGGTAGGTGATATTAGGTGATGCTGCGAGGGTGTCGGCAATCTCCTCGGCAGCTTCCAGCTTACGCAGCTCAATCAGAGAGTCACCGACCTTCTGGAATGCAGTCGACAACATTTCTGCAGCTTCGGAGTCACCCTCGGCCGAGATAATGGCGGCCTTCTTGATCTGTTCTGCCTTCTCGACAACATACCGGGCACGCTCCGCTTCCTGCTGAGCAACTTGCTTCAGCTCTACAGCGTGTGTGAACTCCTTGCCGAACGTCAAATGTGTTAGGGACACATCATCCAGTAGGAGGTGAGACTCTTCTGCACGCTTGGCCAGCAGCTCGTTGATCTGCTGCGAAACAATTTCTCTCTGTGTGATAAGCTCGCTAGCATCAAACTGAGCAACAACGGCACGCAGCAACTCGAACGTGTAAGACGGCAGGACAACATCGTCGTAATTCACTCCGATTTGAGTGTAAATCTGAGGCAATCTCTCAGGTATGGGACGGAACAGCACACGAAGGGTGATGTTCACTGTCTGAAGATCCTTGCTAGGGGTGCTGGCATGGACATTTCTGGGACGGGTACGAGCATCCATGATGATTGGTCTCTGCAGGATGGGAATGCGAAAGTGGGTACCTTCACCCTTGACATCAGGCAACACTCCTCTCATGTAATCGTAAATAACTGCGCGATGTCCACCATCCACATTGTACAAACAGGACTGCACACAGGCTCCAACACCTGCAACACCGGCACCCAGCCAGGTAAGCTTACGCATCGCCTTGTCCATGCTGGCAAACTATTGTGTTCAGCAAGCAACAAGGAAGAGAAGTTGCACAAGGGGCTCTGCAGCACTCACCACAAAAAAATCAGTGCGTGCGATCTTTGAACGGTGGCCACATATGTACATGCACATTTTCGGCAGCGAAAAAGCATGCGAAAACTTTGTGGCGTTTGGTAATTTTTTTACACAACTGAATGATTACGCAACATGCTACTGACGTCATGACAATCAGTCGACGGACGAGTCGACGACCGAGTGCAAGCAAGCAGGCCAAGCGCGCAACCGATTAGTCGGATTACAGCAAGGGGGGTTATGTATAGAGGACTTTCCAATGAGTCATACCGTGCGGCCTATGAGGATTCGGGCCAAAGATCATCGAGTTCACCACCGATCACCGGACTTGAAACGGAGCTTGGGTGGCAAAAAAAGAAGACTGCACTGGAAAGAAACAGTGTTTTTCGAAAGAAGTTCCATTTTGCATACTGTAGTTTGAGAATACCAAAGGGCTGCTCGCGATCGGATGTTCCCACACCTGGATCGTCTTTGAGTTGTTATCGTTTTCCCTACGATGGAGAACGACGGAACCAGTGGATGACGGACACACGACTCGAGAACTTCGCTCCTTATGCAAATACTTCGAAGTACACGAATATTGTTCCATCACTTCGTTGGCGAAGAGAAAAGTCATGATCATCCCTGTCACCCCAGTACGTATCGAATTAACTAACTAACTTGTTCAGCTCATTTGTGGCAGCACCAGTAAAGGCGGAAACACGAAGATGATTCCGAACACTATCAACTTACTTAGTTTGTTGGGGTGCAAGGTATAGCTGGAGTTTGATGAGTGATAGTGCTGATGCTGATGGTAATGACTAATGTACCCAGCTCTATTATGCACGTGCCTCTACATGACTGGTGGTGCTAGCTATAGTTTAGTACTGGCCCTGGGTGCAACTCCGGCATTATCTCTTCCATGCGAGTGTGTATTCTTCATGTTCAGCACAATGTGTATTTCCTTTGTCATGGATAAATACTCTGATCGACCTACTTGCGCAATCTTCTTCTGCTTCCCACTTGGTTGCTGCGCTGTGCAGTTCTTCATCTGCTGCGGCACATGCTAGTATACCTCATCTTCTGTCTTTCTGGACAGTTAAGTACATCACGGTATTCAGCTTCTTGATCTTCTTGTGGTGAGGATCATCTTGATCTTACTTCTTGTGTAACTCTTGCAAAGGCAGTAATGGAGGACACTCTACCGGTAATCAGCAACTGCTTATGGAGAATGCCAGGTCGAGGGACGACCAAGAAAAAACAATTGCTGTATTGGATGTGCATTCATCAGCGTGTTTTTAAAATCAGGACAACTAAGTTCGCCACTCAGTACACCAGCTTTTTTGGCTACATAGGAGCAATGATGATGATGGCCGTGTTTGACTTTGTCAGCTTTCGTGCTACCAGCCACCACATGTCAACATTGTCATACTCGTACTGATAAGGAAGAAAAACCCACACACGCACGCACCCGTACACACGTACACACACACATGGATACACTGACAGGCATGCAAAGCAAGAGAGACAGAGAGAGAGTCGGGCAGCGAAAGAGAAGTGAGACTACTTGTAGGTTATGGGTACGGTGCTCCAATTTCTGCCCAGCTGAAGTAAAATCCATGTACACTATTTTCGTGTAGTGTTCATTGACCGTGCCAGCCACTGGTGAGTGACCCAGTGGTGTAGGTGTTGACATTCAGCACACATCACATTTCAGTCTCCAACGTAAATATTAATTCAGTCAAAACAACACTGCACTGCAGCAACATGGGAACATGCTTCTCCCAGGCCCACCATGCAAGTGCAGTGTGTGCCAAGAACAATTCCAGGTAATTCAGCAGCTACCCAAGGATGGACAGGTTCGGCAAAAACACTCCGCGAGTGCCTCACGTTTGCAAACGAATTTTGTTGACAGTTGTTGTTTCTTCCTTCGATTGGGCAAGACACGATAATGTGCCAACCCAGCCAGCAATGAGACACATGCATTTGTATCCATCAGGGCTATTGTAAGACTTTAGAGAGTCCTTTGCATATGTGCTGGGGACATTCACTAAATATTTAGAGAGGCCTGGATACCCAACGCAGGGGGATTGGCTGAAAGGTCTTCGTCCATAGGTAAATATGGATCAATGTACTGGGCCCACGGATTCTGTCAATCTTCTCGCGGCAACGCCTCTTCAAGGCTGGAATAAACAGTAGAATAACTACGGCTAGTAATCCTCGCGACTTACCGAAACTATTCACCACATCAAAGAAAAGCAAAAGTGCTTCACCACTGCGACGGCCTGCAACATCATTTTCAACCGTACACCGAACAACACATTTGATTCTCTTTTTGCCACCCAAGCACATTTTACCGTAGGACACGGACTTGTCTTATGGGTGATCTTTGGGTGGACACCGGGAAGGCGCCAAAAAGGTGATGTAATGGAAAGTGCACGGATCCGAGGAGAATATTTTTCATAATCCCCAAGGCGCGCAGCGCCGCGGGGATTATGAAAAATATTCTTCCGAGGACCAATCCGTGCACTATCTGTATATCTCTTAGGGTGCGTTTGGTTGGTACGATCTAGAACAGGATCGAACAGCTGGTGCACACGGAGCAGCCTCATGCCAACCAAACGGTACTCCAGAAACAGAGCACATTTTCGTGGAAAAATGTGTGAAACTTGAAAATGTGTATGGGTCACCATGGTCACTTTGTACGGTACAACGAGTCCAACCCAAAAGCGTATGCACGTGATCATTTGGGACCAAAATCGATGTTCCCGCCAGGTTTCACTGTGAAAAAGTGAAACTGCTCGGTCTGCTCCGGCCTCGAGGCCGGAGCAAGCAGAACATGTTCTGGCCGACCCAGAACAGGTGCAGTCCCAACCAAACGCGCTGTTCTGGTGAATCCTGTTCTAGTTCGTACCAACCAAGCGCGCCCCTAGTCTTGATTACAGTCAACTTCGCTAATAACGACTGCGGATATAACGACAATTCGGTAATAACGACAGAATTTCCATGCCCGGAGCAAAGTCCGATCCAACTGTAGTACATACAATGAGACTTCGCTAATAAGGACACTTTTCTGATGCCCGCCGAGTGTCGTTATACGCGAAGTTGAGTGTATTGTTATTACCAAGAGTACATAACCCCCGGGGTCCGGGGTTATGTACAGATGGCACCTATGACATCAGGGGATGGCCCACGCCTGGTAAAAACAAAAAAAAACAACAACAATGAGGAGCTACAGTGATAAGAACAATTACAAAGCATTAAAGACAGTCAGTGCAGTGCAGTGTTTGAGTGCTACGCACATGCCACAGTTCAGAAATGCAAATTGCACTTAGCAAGCACCAGTTCGGTCGATGATGGTTGAGCTACTGCAACTCTGCTCCGGGACCGGTGTCCTCGGAGGGCAAAAACTCTTGCTATTACCAAGAGTACATACCAATGCCTTGGCCATGGTCTCCTTCCGTAACAGATCTACCCTAATCATTGATGCATGGCACAACTGCTTGCATAGCTCAAGTATTACTTTCTACAATCTATTGCAAAATAACCTCTAAGGGGAGGGGGAGGATCTCTAAGGGGATTACAAAATAAGTTCCAAATGAACGGTATATCGGCTGACGCCTGGCCCAGTGTTTCTATACAGAAAAAACTATTGCCGAACCTGTCACGGTGCCAGACCTTCCGTTTATAGCTTTTGCACATCCTGTCACATACACACGGCATGTATCATTGCCACTCTGTTTGGCCACATTTCTGAGTGTTGCGCTGATGAGCACACAAAGACCAACACAGTTCTGTCCGCAGTTTGAGTATTTCGCTCCCGCTCCGGTAGTGGTAGAGCACTCTCGTGTGGCGTTGTACTTTCGTCATTCGCGCTATGTGTAGCCTACTGACTTGCCAGTTCGAGCATCAAGGCAAGGTTAGGGCCGGGTTCCACTGCGGCTCCGCTGCTCGTCTTTCGGGGCTTGAAACGTCATCATTACCATAGTGACCGCGGCTCGAGCTGGAGCAGCGAGGCCGAGGCTCACCGCGAGCTTTTGCTAGGATTCTTGACCAAAAACTGCGAGCCGCGGTCGCGGCTCGACCTGTTTCCCGTACTTTGCATTGTTTCGTACGCCAGAATTTTAAAATTCAAAATTTAATTCGTTGCGCAGGCCAGAACACGAGGATTTTGTTGATTTCGCGCGCGCAGGCAGGTAAAACATCATCAAAAAGTGTGGACCACGACCGCGGTACTGCCAATGGCGAGTGTCAGTGGAACCGCGCTGCTCCGCTGCATGCAGCCAAGTGCCGCGGAGCAGCGGAGCCGCAGTGGAACCCGGCCCTAAGCTGGGCCTGGTTCATATTCTGGCACAGAGCATTATATTTTTTCATTCCTAGGTTCAGCCTGATATCGCTGCATTGCATTGATGAGTCCACAAATGAAATACCTCTGAGGCACCCACATTGATAGACTAGCTCCCCTACATCCCGTCACACAGAACATGACTGTAGTAACTGCTTTGCCAACAGTGGGTCAAATAAGCGACACATGAAAGGTAAAAATATATGACCAGCCAAATCCAGGACAGTAAATGCAGAGCGCAGATGAGAAGAACTTGAATTAGAGCTGCTATTCGAATATACAATCAGGCTAGTATAAGCAACGCGGCACACTGAGTCTGTATTAATGATAGACACATCAGCACCACAGCTACATCTACCTGCAATACTTTCATCCTCAACTGAGTTTCCCGATCTGGGCTTTCTGGAATATGTTTACAGCAGAAAAGATCATGGAGTCAATTATACCAGCGACAGTGAATGTTCCTCCCACTATGGCACAGATCTGCATGCAGAATAGACAGAAAACAAAACAAAAAATATAGGCAACAGTAGGTGTGCAGATTAGACTCAGATGGAGAGCCAAGGATAAAATATTTTAAGAGCCAAAGGTTTACATGTTATTCATAGTTTGTAGTATCTTGCTTATACTAGTACTTGTTAGTGTTGGACAAACTACCGATAGCACGAAAACCATAGCCAGGTCCTTTCTTTTTAACATAGGCAACATAAAAGTTTATTCAGAGCTCTTACTCTATCGTAGAGCATTCCTTACACTTGAAAACACCTCCCATCTTATGTACTTCACCACAGGCTTTCAGCTGCACAGACTAAAGATGCAGCTTCTCTAGTCTGCTCAGCTGACAGCCCGTGGTGGGGTACCGTAAAATGGAGGTATTCTTAAGTGCGGCGTAGAAATTGATAGAAAAACCTTCCCTCCCCTTCCACCCCCTCCTCCCACACATCCCAGAGAAAAGACACCCCTTCCACCTTCTCCCCAATCAAGTTCGTACACAACGGTACGTGGCTGGATGGGCAACTGGCTGAATAGAATCTGTTCTACGGTCCTCTTACGTCTGCAACGGACACTACTACATCACCAACGAAGGTACCAGGACGGACTATGTGGTAACACCCGCACACAATCAGCATAGGTGTCCAGGAAGGTGACAGGACATGACAATTGTGAACACATGCACAATCAATCACTTACAGTTGTGATGAAATGGTAGAACGGCTGCCTATGTTCTGTGTATTTGACCGTGATGGGACTCATGTCGTAACGAAACCAGACAGCTGCGCAAAATAACCACACAGTACCATACAGCTGGAGCTCAAACAACTGCATGATCCTCACTCACTATGCGGAGATAGTGAAAGTAAAGTCAATTCAAGACTAGTGAAGATTCAACCTGAGGTCAGCATGATCGTTGTGAATCTCACTCCATGCTACACAGATTCAAGCCCTGGCCCATCAAAACAGGTGGCACCACATGCACACACCACATAACTTTGTTTTATGCATACACAGCAAGAGAATGATGGCGCATCATGAACATGCGAGTTCGCTGTGTGCGTCCTAAGCGATAGATTCAAATTCACGGCTACAACTCTAGTCCAGTACAATGAAAGACCCGAAAACCCGCAAGCTGATTGCTCTGATTAGGCTGATCTACCGTTCAGTTACTCAGAGGGACACGGAAGCTGCTAGAAGACATACCTGGCAAAACACGATGGCCATGACCAAAGGATGAATACGACTGCAGGTGAAAATCAAGCACATCAGAAAACCAAGTTCATTATACATATTATTACTAGAACACCGGCTAAAGCGACAGTAAAAGGAATACTGGTATGGCAAGTCTGGCTCGGGATCCGCAGGTTCTGGAGTCTCCAACATCAATACTACCTGTACATGTTTTGGTCTTGTCAAATCAAAGGGTGCTCACTGCTCAGGTACAGGACAAGACACCAAACACAGACACACGGTATGGACGCTTGCATTGCGGCAACAGCACCAGCAGTCACCCTAATCAACTAGCAACTTACCTTCGTTGCATAAGAGTATTGGAAGTTACGTGTTTCAGAGCCAGAGCGAGCCTGATAGATAGACGGCACAATCTTCATGTAGTAATCAAATGAAGGCCATCCTAAATCAATCACATGAGCAGAGAAGATGAACAATTATATACAATATAGAAGTCTGACAAAAAGGAAAGAAGGCAAAACGATCAGGTAGAGCACAGTTAGCAGTTACACCTAAAAAGTCAGATTCTGATCAGATGAGAATACACAGACCCAAGCATCCATAACAGCCCGCTACTTCGAAGTACACGTCTTGCCTAGTATAAATGCATAATGGGCAACGACACCAGAAATTCACTTTGAAAATGCCCCATGCTCCCTGGCTTTACCGTCTCCATCAACAAGAGGCGTTCCCTTCATTGCGTCGAATGCTCCTGACTGTGCTGCACTGCCCTAGAGAAGCAATCACGAAAGAAAACATGGGAAATGAAGGCAGGGCGAATACTGGTATGCGATAGGGACATTGGTACTACAACACATGGTTTTAGTTGCTGTCAGCTTCCAAGGTTGGTGGTGATGGTGGTGTTGGAGAGGGGAGAGCAAATACGACAACCACAGTGTTCCTACTGAACTGCATGAAGCCAGGAGTTGGAATTCACTGTGCAATTCACTGGCCACCAATGCAGCATGCGGTTTTTGAACATTCAAGTGCAGCCTTGACCATGTCTGTTGTTTGCCACACTGGGACAAGTCATACCGGCACAATGCGCGAAGTGTTCAATCTTTACTCTATAGGCACACATCGCAGATCACATCCCAACATGGTAGCAAAGATGAGTATGGTGTTTTTCCTTACCTCCAGGCGTTCTCCAAATGTAAGCGAATGCACTTCATGGCCGAAATTGATCTCATCCGGCTGTGGAAAGGCAAACACACACGAATATAGTAGTCATACGTTCAGACAGAAATACGGAAAACTATTTCGCCCTAGGGCTTCTCAGTGCCGATAACTCTGATGCAGTAGTAAAACTGAGGATCATGATCTCCTTGCAAAGACCATAATCTTCATACAACAGAGCCTGCGTGCGCATGGGCCCTGGCTCTGCCACATGAACTGTACTGTATCTGTCAGAGCCCAGGAATATAAGTTACACTAGGGGCATGATCGATTGGGCGAATCCCGAACAAGTACGCTCCGAGTGAGGGTGATTGTTTGGCCGAATCCGGAGTAGGTGTACTTGGAGTGGAATCCGACCATACCGGCCACCACACCGGGAGTGGCTGGAGTGGAAAAGTATGAGCGGTTCCTGAATCCACCATGATATAAGGTGTAAAGTTGCGAACACACCTCTAAGAAACCTAGTACATGTACATGTATGGCAATGGCATACCTGTTGTTGAGCAGAGTGAGTTGACAAATGGAAATTTCCAGGCACCTGATTGAGGACAAAAAGATAGTCAGCACAAAGACATACATGCAGTTACTGCACTGTGCGCGCATATGTGTGAGTGTGCGTGCATGTGTGTGTGCATGAGTTGCACCTGCTCAGTCTTGTCCAACTAGTGGACCCCTCTCCCAACACCGACCCACACACAGGTCATTGGGCACTAAGCAAAAATTCGAATTGAAACAAACTTGGACCCTATTGGCAATACAAGCAGGATTCAAGCAGGTCTCTTTCTACACAACTGGCAATGTGAGATATTGATGGTAGATAGATAGTTCGTACTTGCCTTATTGATTTGGAATGAGGTTGTGAACAGGCATCCCTCTGCAAGATAGTAAGGAATAGATTGAGCATTGCGTTATCGATACGTCGAAACCTCATCATACCATGAATTACAATTGTCCTGGAGTGCACTTGATGCATACACGGCTGCATAATATTGTATCCATGTCATCACATGATACAATTGCAATAACATAGTACAGTCAAACCTGGTTTAAGCGACCACTCCACGGTGCAAGCAAAAGCGGTTTTAGAACCAGGTCTCACACATTCGTGCCATACGGATCATGTACATACATGTGCATGATTATACTTGTACTTCCATGTACTCATATTGACAGGTATGGAGCATAGAATACTCTCGTGCAGGGAAAGCACACATCGCACAAGTACATGCAGCGCATCCTGTATAGTCACTTGTCACTTCTGTTGACTGCATGTACTTGTTACAGAGCGCACTTCAACCCTTTTGCAGTCAACTTTGCCAGCCAAGATGGCACTTTTTGCCAGGTTCGGCTAGTTTTGGTGGCTGTGTGCATGTCCAATATGGCACTTAGTACACTAAAAGTCGGTCACTGGTCGCGCAAGTCAGGTAGTCACTGTATCCGGTGCAGCTTCTGCGTAGAACTGTCCGTGCATGGAAAAACGGTCGTTCAAAGCAGGTGGTCGCTAAAACCAGAGGTCGCTTACACCAGGTTTTACTGTAGTGCAAAGGGGAAGCCCATTGTCCAGCAATTATATAGCTTCGTCAACTGCTACACCCATAGCGAAAATGGCAAAGCAAAACAAAATGGGGAAAGCAGGAACATAATACCTCCATTGTTGATCTCCTTTTTCTCCGTGTCACCTGAGAAGCCCACTTCATGCCTGAAAAGGAAAATCAGCGCGGAGTAGGCGAGACAGGAACGTAATAAATGAGTGTTTTAATCATGCGACATGTGTAAAGCATTTTAAAATACACATACCGGTGACCCCACAGTTTTCACAGTCTGCATTCATGCCAGTAAGGAACACAGTTTTCACAGTCTGCATTCATGCCAGTAAGGAACACAGTTTTCACAGTCTGCATTCATGCCAGTAAGGAACACAGTTTTCACAGTCTGCATTCATGCCAGTAAGGAACACAGTTTTCACAGTCTGCATTCATGCCAGTAAGGAACACAGTTTTCACAGTCTGCATTCATGCCAGTAAGGAACACAGTTTTCACAGTCTGCATTCATGCCAGTAAGGAACACAGTTTTCACAGTCTGCATTCATGCCAGTAAGGAACACAGTTTTCACAGTCTGCATTCATGCCAGTAAGGAACACAGTTTTCACAGTCTGCATTCATGCCAGTAAGGAACACAGTTTTCACAGTCTGCATTCATGCCAGTAAGGAACACAGTTTTCACAGTCTGCATTCATGCCAGTAAGGAACACGTAAAAAGAAGTCGTCTAGTGGTCTGAGACACCTGACCTTCAAAGTAACCAAGCAAATGAGTTCACAGAAATAATAACATACCGGCCCATTTCATCCTGAATGTCAAGTCCTAAATCTGCGGCACCAGGAAGAAGCACAAGAAAATCAACATTAGCAAACGCAAGATAGAGGGAGTCTCTCTGAAAGGAAAGCTTACCAGTTGGTGAGTTTGAATTTTTTGAATTACCGCAATGGGAAGCACAGCTTACTGGACAAGTGAAGTTAAACAAACCGTGAGCAGTGATGTGGCAGGCAATGTAGAACTAAAGGAAATAGATAGCCTATAGCTGCACTGCAAGAGAGAAAATGCTAGACTGCCAGTGGAGGAGCAACATACACTGTTCGCGCTGTTAAAAAAAAACCCAGATACCTTGGGATAGGTTGCATCCAAGCCACAGCATGTGATGCACCGCCCATGCATTATACAATATACACATATGCATGTACATTGCATCTAACGGACTCCTCTATCAACAAGACAACAACACATCAATATGATTAAAGGGGAAGTGAAGGCAAAAATTAAAATTTCACCAGTTGTAGTCTTCGGGGTGCTGTGTCGAATGGTCGTGGTCCGAGGAAGCTGAGACGCTCCCTTCCTACTTGAATCCCAATCGAACTCGCGCACTTCCACCGAAACTGGGTGACTGCGCCCTACTAGATGGGGATTTGTATGCAAAATGTCACTAAAAGCGCCATTTCGTTCTTATAAAAGCACGGATGACCGCGATTGGCCCATATGTTGTAGTCTTTTGGACGCTGAGTCGCCTGGTTTTGGTCCGAAAAGGCTGCGATGCAGCGTTCCTCCGTTATTCCCAATCGAACATGGTTGAACAAGCGGTCACGTGCTCCTGGGTGCCCAAATCACCTGGTCACCACGCCAGCAGGCGACAACTTTCACACCAAGGTTCAACTCGAGTTCAACTCGAGTGACAGGACTGCACCCAAAAAAGGTCAAACAGGCTAGTAAGTTGTACCCTGCAGGCACGGTGACCAGGTGACTGGTGTACGCAGGAGCACGTGACCGCTTCTTCAACCATGTTCGATTGGGAATAAAAGAGGAACGCTGCATCGCAGCCTTTTCGGACCAAAACTAATCGACTCAGCGTCCACAAGACTACAACATATGGGCCAATCGCGGTCATCCATGCTTTTATAAGAACGAAATGGCGCTTTTAGTGACATTTTGCATACAAATCCCCATCTAGTAGGGCGCAGTCACCCAGTTTCGGTGGAAGTGCGCGAGTTCGATTGGGATTCAAGTAGGAAGGGAACGTCTCAGCTTCCTCGGACCACGACCATTCGACTCAGCACCCCGAAGACTACAACTGGTGAAATTTTAATTTTTGCCTTAACTTCCCCTTTAAGAGTGCATAACCCCCAGGAGTGTGCAACTCCAGTTATGGGGTCTGCGACGGCAGAACTTCACATCACGTGATGAACCCGTACACATTATTTGCACTCTGTGCATGATAGACACTGTCACTGGGTTGTACGCAGCCCAGCTTTGGGTACAACTCTCTTGTGGTCACTTTGCACTGTTTGCCAGCATAACCTTTTGAACCATGTCACGTGATGTGAAGTTCTGCCGTCGCAGCACAGCATAGAGGTTGTGCAGGCAGTTGCACACTCTTGGGGGTTATGTACTCTTGATATGATCAATAGCGGTTAAATCCCGGTTGTAAGTCAACTACCCCTTTGTAATTCATATCGGTAAGTCTGAGGGACTGAAAAGGGAAGAAGTCTGAATAAAAAATGACGGAAAAAAGTTCACAGTATTACATACTTCGAAGTACGTCCTTAAAAAAAAAGATGTAAGAGGAGTCCAATGGCAATGGCACTCGTTTTATACTTACGTTCACATTTTAACTTTGGTGTAGAAACATTTAAAAAGACGGGAATTTTGTCAACTTTTCCTGCTGCTAGAGGTGGCTCCACAAACAGCTCACTCTTTCTAAGGAACAAGGGCATAAGAACCACACAAAAAGCTACCCGTGTCTTATGAAGCAGAGGAAAGCCATCCAAAAAGCACAGTTGTCCATGATAAATGGCAGATTCCAGATAAGAATGGATAAGGAATGCTACAGCTGAAAAGGAAGTGTGCTATTTTAGATCACGAGCGGTCACGACCCAAAGTACTTAGTAATGTGAAGATAAAGTTCTCTGCAACGGGACAGGATACTCTCAGAGGCTGTGACCTGCATCTCAACAAGCAATTTTGCCATTCGTAATATCCGGCACAATAAAAGGCGCTCTTTACCTTTCTTATCCAGAAACTTTCAGACATATTCAGGTCATCAGCTTTTGGTCTTTTCTCTTTCTTGTCCTTTCGCACCAGCAAGATAGGTTAGAAGGAAGAGCTATGAAGCAAGGATAACCAAAGGTTTTCTTGCATGCCTTGTATGCTAGGGCAAACACAACTCTGTACCCATTCACCCATTGTGTTACCCCAGCACCCAGTGCACATAATGATAGGGAGGCTGGATTATGCATACGGAGACTCTTAGCAATTACTTACACGTCGATAGACAAGAACGACATGAACTCTGTGACCAGAAGAGTTAGAATAAACAAGCCACTGACGATGGACACTGAGCAAAAGTAAACCAGAAGTGCAAAACCAGGAAGAATAAAATACCTGGACTTGCGGTATTGCATTGCATGCATGAAAGATGGAATTCAGGACGGAAACTGTACAGCCATTTCACATAATACACACCTTGAACGTGCAACACGCACACTAGTATACCTTCAAAACATTGCCTAGAAGCACACTCAACGCACGTTCTAGTACATGTAGTACAGTGCTGGCCAGTGAAATATGACCACTGATGTGCTTTCTGCGCCTCGAGTCAAGCAACGTGCGCTGTCTTGCAGCTGCTTTTACCCAGCTCAACCCACAGATGGCCACCATGCAACTCGAGACGTAGCTAGCAAGCACACACATGTGGTCGGATTTCACTATCCAGCAAAGTGGAAAGTTCAATGCAGAGTACAGTAAAACCTGGTGTAAGCGACTTCTGGTTTTAGCGACCACCTGCTTTTAAAGGGGAAGTTAAGGCAAAAATCAAAATTTCACCAGTTGTAGTCTCCGGGGTGCTGAGTCAAATGGTCTTGGTCCGAGAAAGCTGAGACGCTCCCTTCCTACTTGAATCCCAATCGAACTCGCGCACTTCCACCGAAACTGGGTGACTGCGCCCTACGAGATGGGGATTTGTATGCAAAATGTCACTAAAAGCGCCATTTCGTTCTTATAAAAGCACGGATGACCGCGATTGGCCCATCTGTTGTAATCTTTTGGACGCTGAGTCGACTGGTTTTGGTCCGAAAAGGCTGCGATGCAGCGTTCCTCCGTTATTCCCAATCGAACATGGTTGAAGAAGCGGTCACGTGCTCCTGGGTGCCCAAATCACCTGGTCACCACGCCTGCAGGCGACAACTTTCACACCAAGGTTCAACTCGAGTGACAGGACTGCACCCAAAAAAGGTCAAAACAGGCTGTAAGTTGTACCCTGCAGGCACGGTGACCAGGTGACTGGTGTACGCACGAGCACGTGACCGCTTGTTCAGCCATGTTCGATTGGGAATAAGGGCCGAACGCTGCATCGCAGCCTTTTCGGACCAAAACCAGTCGACTCAGCGTCCAAAAGACTACAACATATGGGCCAATCGCGGTCATCCGTGCTTTTATAAGAACGAAATGGCGCTTTTAGTGACATTTTGCATACAAATCCCCATCTCGTAGGGCGCAGTCACCCAGTTTCGGTGGAAGTGCGCGAGTTCGATTGGGATTCAAGTAGGAAGGGAGCGTCTCAGCTTTCTCGGACCAAGACCATTCGACTCAGCACCCCGAAGACTACAACTGGTGAAATTTTGATTTTTGCCTTAACTTCCCCTTTAACGACCATTTTGCCATGCATGGGTAGCTCTACACAGAAACTGCACCGGATACAGCGGCCACCTGCCTTGCGCGACCAGCGACTGACTTTTAGTGTACCAAGTGCCATATTGGACCTGTACACAGCGACCAAAACTAGCCAAAAGTGCCATCCTGGCTCTCAGGGTTCACTGCAATAGGGTTGAATTGTGCTCTGAAGCAAGTGCATGCAGTCAACAGAAGTGACAAGTGACAGTGAAGGATGCACTGCATGCACTTGAATGAGGTGTGCTTTGCCTGCACGGCAGTATTATATGCTCCACACTTGTCAACATGAGTACATGGAAGTACAACCATGCACATGTACATGTATGTACACAATCCGATGTGCCACGAATTTACGGGACCTGGTTCTAAAGACCACCTGACTTTAACGACCGCTTTTGCTTGCACCGTGGGGTGGTCGCTTAAACCAGGTTTTACTGTATGTCAGTGGGAATCCCGCACAGAAGGTTCAAACATAAGCCTGAGTTTCCAAATGCTTCTAACATGAATCACCTACCTGCAGCTCCTGTGGTAGTGGGCTGTGTCAGGTCTTTGGGGATTTTCCGGTACACATCAAAACTGTATGAACACGACATACAGAACAGAACAACAAGGGCAATCAAGGCTTGTGTGCTGCTACTCAAAGTTTCATGCGTTCGCAATCATGAGCACGACATAATTATGTATACGGAACAGAAACTTGACACTGATTGTACATTCTACACACTCAACACCAACGGGCATGCCTTATACTGTATCAGCAAACCATGTTTGATCATTTCTACCCTGTGACCGGTGCAGTATGGACTGCTATCTAACATAATGACAGTAACGGTACCTGGCGTGAGGGGCACCGATTTACGACGGACGCTGAGGAAAGACTGTGAAAATCCGGCTGGCCTGTTTTATTTTGAGCTTCTTGCAGTCTGTTGCACATAGGCCCAGTCCAGGGACACCCGTTTTAACTCTGATAAGCGTTAGCGGCAGACAAAACTTGCTATTGTTCAGTGAGGGAAAAGGTCGCGGTTTAGTGTATGAGCAGTGGAGCAGGCTGACTAGTTCATGGCATGCCTGGCAGCCAGGTACTTCTGCCGATGTTGGCGCAAAGGAGTCAAACACTGCCACTTGGCATTTTCCAAGATGCCACGCAGTGCTTGCTTAAGGGGAGCACCCCTTATGTGCCGGCATCACACCACGGATGTACATGTAGCCTGAGGTGCATTTGATGGGGCTCCCAGCTATCTGGGCTCTGTATGCATGGTGTAAGGCCACGGAAATGAACATCACAGACAATGTTCACACAGGCTAGGAAGCAGTGTACCACAGTTGACCCTGATTTCGACTGGCACGCGATTACCGGCGGATCTATACTACCGTACTGGCAATATATGTTGCCGCGTAACGCGTAACGCAGGGGGGTGCGGCGTAACGCGTGACCAGGCAGTGCGACAAATTTTCGTTGCGTTCGTAACGCGCGTCCGGCGGGGTGCGGCGATCTTTTCATTGCAAAAAAGGCTGAAAACTGTGAAAGCACGTGTACCGCGTGCCTGAAAAGTTCAAAACTGGACGCAGCAGGAAGTCCTGCAATAGCAAAAAAAGGACTGCGGCAATATAGAAACCTGTGTAACGGCTCCTGTGCGACTTTGCATGTAACGCCCTGCGTGCGGTAAACATGTGCCAATGTAACGCTTCATGGCCTCACTGCGACCATATATATTGCCAGTACGGTAGTATCTACAAATAATGACAGCAGCTGTACCTGACCTGAACGAGATAGATTTTTATAATCAATATCAATGATGACAGTGGTGGAAAAGTATGAGAATCTGCTGAGCTGTTCATTGTGAATTTCATATTCTGTTTTAGGGCACCAGATATTTGGTACAATCATGCAGTACATGCCCTGGCCCAGTTTTCGAAGAATGGCAGGTCACTATTACAGTAATGTCCGGATCACCTCGTCATGGAACAGCCATACTCTACATACCAAGTGCCAATGACAGTGTTGGTTTTGAGAAAGAGTGCTGCAGGAAAGTTTCAAAAATCGCTGGATGGGATTATCCAGCAGCTTGAACAGTTATTCAGAATATTTGATAGCTACCGTATCTTTGGAGCTCACCGTTTCAAAGCTTCCATGGCTGATGGGCGTCTTAGAACAGCCGTAGTACCTCCATCCATCCCCAACCAGTCACAAAAGACCTTTTCTGACAACTAGCAAAACACGACTGGTGGGTACACGTGGACTCGTACTTTCACGAAGACCGATCCACCTTTGGAGTCTACGATCTTGGACATGGTCCAGAACGTCACATGCACAAAGCAACGACTTACGTGTCTTATTCGGGAATGTGATCACGCACCAAACGAACACACCGAAGGAGGACATGAGACGTAGGTCTACCGGATACTACAACACAGTACCTGGATACCTACTCTACACAATCATGTATTCATGATGATGCCATCAAGTGTACAATAACTCTTGATGCTATGCTATCTTGAAATTAGTTGACTCATTCATCTGTTCATCGGGCCGCGGAAACCCAAAGCAAGTACTTTTTCATCCAATTCCATTGACTGGCTTATAATACAACAGCAGTAGAAACTGCATGGCTGAAAGCTACCCAAACGGTCAAAGAAAACAAAAATAGTGATCTCTCAAAACCAGTTTGATTACCGGTAAATCACTTGAGTACATGAACGTAAATTATGAATATAATTATATCGTTTTGTAGTGCACAAGCTATGCAAGAAAGCATCCATTGTCGAAAGCTGCTTCATCCAGCCTGATGCAGTGCAGCCTCACAAGACACTAAACCCAACAATGACAATGACATAGTGACAGCGCTCTATAACGAATAGCGACCATACAAGACATTAAAAAGAAAGATATCTGCATGTATTTTGTGTGTTTCGTGGATCAACATGTCAGATAAAACACGGTCAAGTCCATGTGTGCAATTAAGAGGCCAAACATGGGTTGAGAGTAATCCTAAAACACGGCAGGAACACACAGTTCAAAACTATCTAAAAAAACAGGAGCAGTTCTGTGATGCAACTGGAGCAAGTTCTGGAGACAGCTGCTACAAGAGTAGTTTTCTTCTATCTACTGCCCATCCGAAGTTCGAGGTGGTTCTTCTGTCTTGGGTGTCTCCATCACTCGGACTTGCTTCTTTACAGTACGCTTTTCAGAGCGCTGTGGTGCTGGCCGGCAAAGGTTGCAGTAGCTGTCACTCTTCTCAGATTTTGAGAACAGGTATAGCGGTCGCTGAAAGCCTAGGGGCAGAATGAAACCAAAAGAAAACATGACAGTAGCCGTACGCTGGATTCAGTTATTTGAATTGAACCACATGTATAACACTCATCATGGAATACTGGCTCTCACGACGTCAGCAGCAAGATACTAGTGATGTAATAACTAACAAGCCGCAATTTCCACGAACGACTATTCGCTCGAATCCCGTAATCGAACAAATGAATAATCTACAATTCCCCAGATATATGTACCAGTGATCATTGCCCAGACACCGCTGGCACAGGGGAGATGACCCTTCACAAGCAGCACTCGTTGTTGTTATCCGATCAAGTCTCAGCACATTAAAGGGGAAGTAAAGGCAAAAATCATTTCACCAGGTATAGTCTTCGGGGTGCTGAGTCGAATGGTCGTGGTCCGCGGAAGCTGAGCCGCTCCCTTCCTACTTTAATCCCAATCGAACTCGCGCACTTCCACCGAAACTGGGTGACTGCGCCCTACGAGATGGGGATTTGTATGCAAAATGTCACTAAATGCGCCATTTCGTTCTTATTTTTTGGTGGTGTGCTGAACATCAATGATACGGTACCTCTCCGGGATGGTTCCTCAATTCCTGTCAAAGAGGCATTACTGGACAAGCATCCGGAGGCTCGGCTAGCACCTTCTGAAGCCATGCTGCCTGGGGATGCCCCCGGTGTTGAATGCATACGTTTCGATGGCCTCACTGCTGAGTTTCTGAAATCCGTGGCGATGCACTCGGAGGGATCTGCAGGTCCGTCTGGGATGGACTCAGCATGTTGGCGGCGGATGTGCTCCTCTTTTAAGGGGGCATCAACCAGTCTGTGCCAGGCTATTGCTGACCTCTCTCGTCTTCTTGCTACCCGTGTTCTTCCCGCTGAAGGCCTGGTGCCGTTTCTGTCTTGCCGGCTGATTGCCCTTGACAAGCAGCCTGGCGTACGTCCTATTGGCGTGGGCGAGGTGATTAGGCGCATAGTATCGAAGGCTATTCTGCGCATTGCTTCCACTGACGTGGAGGCAGCCTGCGGACATCTTCAGAAATGCGCTGGATCACCAGGTGGCATTGAAGCAGCAGTGCATGCCATGCAAGACATTTACAACGAATCGTCCACTGAGGGAGTGCTGTTGGTGGATGCCAGTAACGCATTCAACAGCATAAACCGACAGGCAGCTCTGCATAACATTCAGCGCCTCTGTCCAGCACTATCCACCATTCTTCTAAACTCCTATCAGTCGGAGGCACGTCTGTTTGTCGCTGGTGGTGGGGAGATTTCGTCAAAGGAGGGTACTACCCAGGGAGACCCGCTGTCCATGGCATTTTATGCATTGGCCACACTCCCCATCATTCGGCATTTGCAGCAGCAACACGACGCCGTTAAGCAGATTTGGTATGCGGATGACTCCAGTGGTGCTGGCAGGATGAGAGCGATTCGAGACTGGTGGACAACAATCCAGGAACACGGTCGCCTGTATGGATATTTCACCAATCCGGACAAAACCCTACTTCTCGTGAAGCCCGGATTGGAGGAGGAGGCTTCACATCTGTTTGAAGGCACCGGTGTCCGCATTGTCACCGGCAGCACTAAATATCTGGGCTCATACATCGGGGAGCCTGATGATGTTGCCAGCCAAGTGAGGGAGAGGGTTGATGATTGGTGCAAGGAGCTACGCACATTAGCAAAGTTTGCCAGCACAGAGCCTCACGCGGCTTATGCAGCTTTGACTCATGGCCTGCGGGGTCGTTGGGTCTACCTCTTTCGTACGGTTCCCATTCCGGAGGACGCAGTACACTCGGACGTCTCTTATCCGGGCACCTTGGGACCGGGCACTGCCCGTATCTCAGATTTGCCCGTATCTCAGGATAACTCATCTACCATGACATAACTTCTTCAAAAATGATAATGATACATTGTATCATTATCATTTTTGAAGAAGTTTTTTTGGTGCATATTGCACATGTTCAGGTTACAAAAATAATCCATGGATAAAAATGTATGGATTACTCAGGTCGGCAGTGACAAATATTTTTTAAATAAGCACTTGTGCATTCGGAAAAAAAGTTCAACCCCCCAAATTCGAAGCATTTTTGCCATAGGAACTCAAGCTGAGGGTGGCCGGTAGAGAGACGTGCCCGTATCTGAGGCGTCCGGATAAGAGGCGTTTGAGTGTATCAGCGTTGGACAAGGTAATCGAAACTGAGTTCTTGCCGGCTGCAACTGGTCGAGATGCATTCACCACGGAGGATTTGGTGATGCTCAGGCTGCCGACTCGTTTCGGGGGAATGGCCATTCCACACTTTCACAGCATGAGCGGGACAGAGCGCGACGCTTCCAGAGCAATGACAGCAGCCCAGGTTAGTGAAATTCTGCAACAGAACAACACATCATGGACCAAGCAAGCACCGGAACGTGTTCGGCAAGATGCTATGACAGCCAAGAGGGATTTTGCCAGACAACGCGGCACAGCAAGTGAGGCTGAGTTCCGCCAGCTGCGGCAGTCGGCGTCGGCGGATATGTCGCGTCGTTTGGAGCATTTGTCCTCCCGAGGTGTCTCTAGCTGGCTCAACACACTGCCTATCAGAGAACACGGATATCATCTGTCGAAGGGAGATTTCAGGGATGCGGTGGCGTTGCGGTATGACTGGGCATTGGTTGATGTGCCTACTACCTGCTCTTGTGGCCAACCGTTTAGTCCGGCCCATGCCATGTGTTGCCCTACTGGTGGTTTCCCCACCATTCGGCACAATGAAGTTCGCGATATTCTTGCCGATTTACTTACTGAAGTTTGCTCGGATGTCGCTGTCGAGCCTCAGCTTGCTCCGGTTTCGGGAGAGGTGTTTCTGGCAGCCTCAACTATCACCGCCAACGATGCTCGCGCTGATATCCGGGCTCGAGGGCTGTGGACCAGGGCACAGAATGCTTTCCTGGATGTCCGGGTTTTTCATCCCGATGCTCCGTCCTATGCCACCAAACCTCTCGACAAACTGTTGGCGGAGCATGAGAGGAAGAAGAAGCTGCAGTATGCTGAGCGCATCATCAATGTGGACCGTGGGACATTTACTCCACTAGTTTTCACCACGGCCGGTTGTTGTGCGCCAGAGTGCTCCAGATTTGTTAAGCGCCTGTGTGGCCTCATTTCGAGTGGGGACACGAAGTTGTATGCCCAGACAATGACATATGTCCGGTGTCGACTGGCGTTTGCATTGTTGCGGTCGGCGATCATGTGCATCCGCGGTGCTCGATCGTCATATCACCGTCCTGTGAATGCATTGCGAGAGTTGGCAATCTCGGAGGGCCGGCTGTGAGGTTTTGGAGACGATGGTGGGCAGGACAGTGCCCTTGTATTTTCCTGGTTTTTGTTTTTTGTTTGTTTTTGTTTTTGGTGTTTTTTTGTTTTTGTTTTTTTTTGTTTCTCGTTTTTGCGTTTTTTCACACATACAATTGTTTTCATTTTTTGGTGTTGTGTTCTAATCATTCGCCATGCCACTGTCAATTGTATTCTGTTTGCCCGTAAAAGAGGCCATAGACTCCGACAGGGAGCGAAACAGCTGTCTAGAGGCGTGGAGCAATATTATCTCTGCCATTTCGTTCTTATAAAAGCACGGATGACCGCGATTGGCCCATATGTTGTAGTCTTTTGGATGCTGAGTCGACTGGTTTTGGTCCGAAAAGGCTGCGATGCAGCGTTCCTCCTTTATTCCCAATCGAACATGGTTGAACAAGCGGTCACGTGCTCCTGCGTACACCTGTCACCGTGCCTGCAGGGTACAACTTACTAGCCTGTTAGACCTTTTTTGGGTGCACTCCTGTCACTCGAGTTGAACCTTGGTGTGAAAGTTGTCGCCTGCTGGCGTGGTGACCAGGTGATTTGGGCACCCAGGAGCACGTGATTTTGATTTTTGCCTTGACTTCCCCTTTAAATGAGTGTTACTCGCCGAACATGTACAAACATCATGTTTGGCAAAAAATTAATCCGTTGGATCCAATCAACCCTGCTCCGGAGCAGGGTTGCTCGGATCGAAAGCCGATGAATCTGGATCCGGATTCGACCAATTGATCATTGCAAATTGAGTGGATTCTACTAGCTTATAGCCTAAGTTGCCTGGCCATATTCCATCATGTGCTACCCGTGCGCACGTGTACATGTAGATCATAGACACTACATGCATGCATGCAACTCAGAATGATTCCGGACCGAAAACTGGGACAGGCAGTAGAGTATCTATAATGTGCAACATATAAAAGCAAACAGAAATAAGACTAAGGAGCAGCAACACTGCTACAACGGATAGAAATATACCACAGCCAGCTATACAGTACTAGGAGTAGTAGGCCGTGGTATATTTTATGTTAAAACAAATATCGGTGCTATACCTTTTGCCTCATGCTTCGGTGTGGGAAGGCTCTCCATGCTTGCAAACCCAACCATCTTCATCAGGTAATCTTGAAACATTTCTGGCAGTAACTCAATCTTCCGATATTGTTGCCAGGTGCGCAACTGAACAGTAGCAAGCCAGACCAGGAGACACAGCAAGATAGAACAATGTTATAAATAGGTAACACATCATTCAGCTCAAGTGCAACTAACATTCGAAAAAGGTCAAAATGACACCAATGTCACTTGATGTACACCAACGTAATTCCACACGTTTTGGAGTACACACACACATATACACATCCACACAAACACATCCACACCCACACACACTCTTGGATGTGCCACGGTAAAACAGATACACTCACAGGCACACGCATGCACGCACACTTGCCAAACGTGCACACTTGTGCAGGTGCAATCGACACTAGTTCACTATAGGCGTATACATTTTGCTGGATGTTGCTCTGATACTCTAGGAAGCACCAGCTTCCCCAGGATCGGCGGGGAATCGCCATCGGGACGTGGGAACATGATTCCAAACAAGAACTCATGGTTGTTGTTCTTCACCCATACTTCATCACTTTACACTCGCCCACTGACACACATGCATACTGTAAATCAACAAATTTTCGCTGGCGATTTAATTTCACTGATTTCGCCGGTCGATGTCAATCGGCCAAAATTAATCGCCGGCCAAAATTTGTCACCCGAACCAAATGTCAGTTTGGGTCACTCTTATGCTGCCAGACTCTCTGTAAAAACTGCGTACAGTAGACAGGGGTCTCCAAACTACACAGACCTTTGTACTACTATACTACTAGTACATGCGCACACGAAACATCGATCACTTTTTTGGACTCTTGCACGCCTACGGCGAAAGTTTAGCGGCGGCGAAAAGTGTTTTTTGGAGATCGGCGAAAGTTTTTCACCGGCGAAAATTTGTTGATTTACAGTATACACACGCCAGGTTCCACATTTTACGGCTGGGTTAGCTGACAAAGAGTTAGTCAAGTGGCGTGCCTGCGGTACAACTGTGCACATCCATGCTTATGAGACAAGCTGATCACTCACACTAATTACACACATGGACTAGGCCTAAGCAAAGTACTGAACCTATTTCGAAGTACAGTTCTGACCAGAGAAATCCAACCTCATGAACAAAGTAGCACCATAATAGAGTTCACAGACTAGTGTGGTTAGTGCAGGGGCTGCGAAGTGCCATTCCGACATTATTTTACTCATGAGATTGGATTTCTTTGGCCAGTACTGTAGCAGCACCATGCAGAGTTACTCACTTACCGTCAGTTTACACTTCTTAGCATACGAAGACCATATCTGTGGCTCCAGAATGAGTGAGCCACCCGGCATGAGCTGGTGATACGCGCGATGAAAAAGTGTTTTCACACCTGCGTCGCCCCAGTTCAGATGAATCCATTTTGTTATGCTAAGCGCTAGGATGACATCATATTCTGGCTTCTGAGTTGTACACGCCAGCTCAACATTGCCGCTGACGTAATTCTCCTAAGATTGACATCACACATCACAGAAAGACCAGACACAGTCAACCCTAGCCCACTGATATATAAATATATATTCTTGCTTTCTACTTTTATTAGTGGCTCAATACCCGAGAGCGAAACAGTTGCTGTCCACAGACTTGAGTATAATATATATATATATATATATATTTTTTTTTGGTGAAGACAGGTACTCATGATCTGAGGTGGACGGAATCTAAATAGTAAGACAAAATCGTCCCATCAATCCCAATATTTACACAAATCCACAACATACACAACCAGCAGAGTCAGTGCATATCACAAAGCCATGGGTTTCGAATAGCTAACATCAGTTTCAGCAGTAAGACATTGACCATGAGTGAGCCAATCAACTAGTACATGGCAAGAAGTAGGGTATTGGGAACGTGACCATTATTGGGAAGTGGTCTAAGTTCCAAGGTGGTCGTATTTCCTACACTGACTGAACAGCTATGCACAACACAATATTTAGCCAATATTAGTGACTGCCACGTCACCGCATGCTACTCAGGCCATGATGAGCCCTCAGGCAATCGCCACATCATGCTGAAGTCTGCTACCAGCAGAAAGTGAAGTAAATAGAATAGTCACACACATGATGTAACATTGCATAAGGCTTGCATGATGCATTGAAGAGTTCAGGTGGTGGTGAGACTGGACTTGGAGATAGCGGGTGAACGTTAGGCTGGACGATTGTCGAGAATACGAATGAAGCAATGATACTGTAGCATTCTGACAAGATCTCATCCAAATGATCACGAACCGAATTCAATGTGACCGGCCGAGATTTAGGTTTTTTTTCTTTTTTTCTTTTTCGAAATGCAGTCCAGAGACCAGATTTCAACGGAGTATAACGTATTCACACTATATTTCCAATGCCAATTTTGAGGAGGCTTCTACTAGAGGGGCTTTATTGTTCAATGCATACTGGTCTTCCAATCTAATCCCTAAAATTTTAATATTCAAAGCAACTCCTCGGCCTCGGGTTCGTTCACATGCACTGCGTCGACCTGGAAATGTACTGGTATGTACATGTGATGCTTTGTACCCATTTGAGTCACCTTACTGTACCCAACATGGCACAACCTGGTCACCCCATGCTTTGCGAATAGTAGTACTTGCTTCTATTCGAGGGGGGGGGGGGGGGGATATCATTTCAAACGGTCGTTGCATGAGCTATTATTCAAGAAGGGCTTCTAATCGAGTGAGTACGGTAATTATAATAATGTAAACTACTGCTTACCTCTGTAAATGAGACATTCATTGGGAATCCTTTGCCGACGACAGGTTTCGGAGGAGGTCGCAAAAGTGGAGAAGCAAGGGGCCCATACGACAACTTGAAAGACAGTGGAAAGTCACGCTTTGCAGGTACTGGCATATCCTTCTCCGATTCTGTTGCTACAATGTAGTGCCGTACATTCTTCTCAGCAGTTTCCACCAGGGTGCGGTCGACGTCAACACCGATGATACTTGCCGGGTTCAAGTCTCTGGCAATAGAAAGCGTGACATGACCGGTGTTACAGCCAATGTCCAGGCAGGCTTTATCACAGAATATAGCTTTCGGGAAGCTCTTGAGGCGTTCGTCCGATTGTCCTGTCGGATTTCGATAGCCATAATATCTGTTGTAATTTCCCATTGCAAATTTGGCGTCCTGCGGTCTGAACGTGAGGCCGTTTGGATCCACCATGTGCGAATCAGGGCCTGTACTTGCCTTCTTTTTCTTCTTCTTTTTTCGCACAACTCTTCCACCATCATCAGTTGACTCGCCATCGTTGGAGAAAGATCGCTTTCGGCGGCGTCCACCAGTATCATCCTTCTGTTCATCCCCTGTGGATTGCTTGCGCTTCTCTTCACGCTTCATAGCAGCAACTTTACGCTGGTGTTTCTTTCGTTCCCGCCGTGCTTCCTTTTTGTCATCCGAGAGTAATCGGAGAGGATCTTCCACATGCCTAGGCTGTTCAGATGTTTGCGGAGTGTCCTCGACTGGCTTGCGTACATATTCCTCTGGTTCATCATCTCCACTCTGACTATCATCAGCATCCACGTGAGCTGAATTAAGGTTCAAGGGATCTGAAATGTCGCCACCATAGAAGACATGAAAGGCAGCCACACTTGACGTAGCCCTACGATGTCTTTTCTTGGGTGTTCTTTCTCTACCTTCGGAAGTAAAACGTCTCCTTCCACCAGCTCCATGAGAAACTCTCCTCCCCTTACTCGGAGGTGGAGCGCTTTTAACTTCAGCCATTCTCTAGCTTTTTCAACAATCCCGGGCAAGCAGCTAAAGGGAACGCAGTCCAGAATTATATTTCAACAAGACAATCATGTCAATCTACTTATACTTGCTGCCAAACGTTCAAACGTCGTTGTCATTCTCTATTCCATTTTTTTCTTTTTCATCCCATGTAAAATCATTGCCTGCCAGGGAAATCCCCGCAATCACACGTGTTGCAAGCTGTATGATCGCGGTTGATTCAAAAACTGTCAATGGGGTTTTTTGACTTTCGGCTTGTAATTATTTTGAGTGCAAATGGATGAAAACGAGCAGCGATACCATGTACCAAATGTTTGCAGACTCAAAAAGGCAAGAGTATAAGAAATCAATCTCAAACTTTGACGATGTGAGTGAGGATGCGCTTGGTATTCTTGCCATCGGACTTCCCACCATGACCAGGCGAGTGGAAAGGTTTCTTGATGGAGTGAGTAATTACTGCTCACATAATCACTGTACAATGCACCATGAACCTACTACCAACGGCCATAATCAACTACTGAATATGTACTACCGCTGTATTGGATTCTCATCAAGCCCCGGATCCCGGACGTGTCCATCATCAAAGCTTGACCGTCCCCCTCATTCCGAGTTATGTTATTCTTTGGTAAGATTATGATAGGATACATTATAGGTTTCGCAAACTCCATTGCACCATTTCCATTATCACTACACTCAGTCCAAACACTCTTGCATGGTCTCTGTGCTGCAGAAGTCACTTTGGGTTCTTATTCACCAAATTTTCAGGCCTCGCCCATCATCAGGGTGAACCAGTTTATTTTGTTGCAGTGCAGAGACCATAATACCATGTACATACATGTACATGTATGTGTGAGTGTTCAGCACAGATGAGTGTTACTGTGTATTCGATTGTACCGTATTATCTCTAATATAAGCACGGTCCTTTATTTTTTCAATGTACCTCCGCCCCGTGCTATTATTGGAGACGTTCCTTTATTGGAGACTGTTCCATTATTATTTCAACCTCATTTCAGAGGCTTGTTGCCATGCCGAATTCATGTCAGACACACACATTTCAGGGTTTTTTCGCCAGTACAGATAATGAATTTACACAGTGTGCTTATAATGGAGACTGAGCACTTTATTTTTTGAATGCCGCCCCAAGGTGTTCTATTATTGGAGACGTGCTATTATTGGAGACTGTGCTTATATTAGAGATAATACGTTATGCACTTGCATTTTCTCGTGCTACATGTATTTACGGAAATAATAATTGCTGTATTTTCTAACGTAGCTCTGCACGCATGGCAATGCATATCAAAATCCCATTGCCTTGGTGCAGCCATGAAGGGGGGGGGGGGGGTTGCCCTCCTCCAGAGATTTTTTAATTGGTCCCATATCTTTACACCACTACGGATTGCAGCAGCAGGATCAACAACAACAACAATAACAACCACAACAACAACAACAGCAGCAACAACAACAGCAACAACAACAACAACGTGTATTGGCCACAGGCCATCGTGAGAATAAAATATTTCAAACGTGCCATCACTGAGGACAGCTGTACCATTGTTGACAAATTTTGTGGTTTTAATGTCTGCATAGCGATCTTCGCATATCTTCGTGACAGGAGACTTAATTTCTTTGTGTGCCATGTGTCCATCATCAGTCAGTCCTCGGGATGTCTCGATGAGCTGCTCACCAACATCAACTGATGCTGTCCCATGTATCTTGGGAATTGCTAGATATCGTATGAGCACTGATGTTACCAGTACTTGTACAAGTTTGTTGTCTTTCTGTTTCTTCTTTACAGGTGGTTGTCACTTGTGACTTTCGAGAATATTATTCGGAGCCAATGCTGTCCAGTTCGAGGAGGGGCACTGGAGAGTGGAAGAATGTGGCTTTCAGCATATGCCAGGTACATGTATGGTTCTTTTCTCTGCTGTAGAAACTCATCATGTCTGCTCTCTGCTCCTCTGTCGCTTTCTGTCCGGTGAATACGTTGCACAGGCTTCCTGTTTTACTCTTGTTTAACACACGGCTGCCACTCCTACCACTGATCACTTTATCAGCTATTCATTCTTTATTTCTTCTGTCAGCTTTTCCTGGCTCGTAAGTCTGCCAATAATCATGGGAAGTCGGGCAGTAGCCAACAACGACAAACTAAATAATAAAGAGAGAAGAGAGCACTGCAAGAGGAAGCAATACTGGAGTGATGAATTACGTGTGGCGAAAAAGATGGTGCTTGAATTCCTTGATAGTTGAACACGTTTGAAGGCCGGTTGGCAGGGCTGACCAGAGGAAGTGTGGCGTGAAGAAAGGATATTTCGGTATTAGGGGAGCAATTAGCACGGGCAAAGACAGAGCATTTCGGGTTATTTACTTTATTTTATTCCCGTAGCTATGCAGAAGACGTTACTTCAGTAACGTCTGGCGCTAGCCAGGGTCCACACAGCTTTAATTTGGTGTTTGTTTGCTTGTTTGTTTGTTTGTTTGTTTGTTTGTGTCACGCTTGGCGCTACCCCGTATCTGTCCCGTACCGTACCGTACCATCAAACACAGCTGGCCACATACAGCTGGCCGCAATATTCAAATAGGGCTTTCAAACGCAAGATCGTAACGTGAAGCTACTTGGAAGAAGGAGTATGAATGCAAAGTGTACGGGGGAATGCATGTAGGACGATAGTGCGGGTTCGAATCCCTGGTTATGCCTAAAAATAGGAGAATTGAAAAATTTATAACATCCCTATGCTTTCTTTGCCGTCATCAAGGCGGTAGACGGTGTCGTATTACCCTCGACCGTACCTGTCCCGTACCTGTCCCGTACCATACCGCACCATCAAAGACGGCTGGCCACAATGCATATTCAAATAGGGCTTTCAAATGAAAAGATCATAACGCGAAGCAACTTGGAAGAATTAGTAGGTATGGGAAGTGTATCGGGGGATGCATGCAGGGCAATAATGCGGGTTCGAATCCCAGGTTATGTCTTAAAAAAAAGGAGAAATTTATAAGAATTTATAACATCCCTATGCTTTTTTTGTCTAGATCATCAAGGCAAAAAAGCATAGCGTAGGGCCCTGAGCTTCCAAGCTCTCTCGTTTATTCTTCTATTCCATGATGGCGTGATGCCGATAAGGAAGATTGATAATTGTGATAGAACTGATACTAGCCAGAAACAGCTAGATGGAAATTAATCCAGGGATGCTATGACCAATGCGGGGACAATAGCAGGGATGATCGAGATAGTTAAAGACACGTTTGATATATCAGAAACCAAGAGGGTGTGCAGAGCAGGAACAGGTACTGCTCAAAAGAAGGCTGGATGTATTGTGTCGGAAAGAATTTCTACGAGGTTGGGCTGTGATGCCGATAGGGAGTGAGTTGTAAAGGGTGAGGGCACTGTTGATGGGGTAGTCTCGGTGCCTGTTTGTGTGTGTGGGAGTCCGATGGAGTAGGCCCTTGTCTGTCGAAGGGTATATGGTTGGTGTTGATGTTGTGGTGCAAGATGTGGTTGTTGCAGATGTGGTGGGGAGGTTTGGTGGTGGATGTCCCATGCTGGTAGAGCTTGCTTAACAAGGAGTCGTGAGCTACGGGTGGGGAGCTTTGCATGATGGAGGAGAGAACTGTATTGAACTGGTGCAAAGAGGGGAATCCGAAGGCGAATGTGTATAGCACGGCGCTGAATTCTCTCCAGTGTGTCCCGCTGTTGCTGTGCGGTGTCGGAGAGGGCAAGGCTGCCGTATTCGAGAACGGGTCGGACGTATGTCGTGTATATTGATAATAGGCTGAAAGCATTCAGTTTGCCATGTGTCTTGTGGAAGTTGGTGCAGTAATTTCTTGGCTTTGTTGGTAGCTTGTATAATATGTTGGGTCCATCACATATCATCTTAGAGTGTAACGCCCCAAGGTGCCTATGTTAGTGGAACTGCTGGAGAAGGGTCGAGTGGAGTGTGATGTGTTAGATGTGTTGGGTTGGGTTGGAAGGAAAGGACGACGGTTTTCGTGGTGTTGACAAGGATATGCCAATCATTCAACCACCTTCCTGCTGCGTCAACGGCGCGTTGGAGGAATGCAGCTGATAAATCCCTTGTGTGGTGCGCCGTGATGAGTGCCGTGTCATCCACAAACTGACTGCATTTGGTGTGCAAGTTTGTACATGCTGGGAGGAGGTCGATCGTGTACACGAGGAAAAGAAGAGGCCCCAGGGCAGAGAGTACTGCAGCTGGAATTGATTTCCATGACGACATAGTGGAGCCAGCCTTGACGCGTTGTCGGTGGCGAGTCGGGTAGCTTTTGAGCCAGGCAAGGGCAATGTCACGGACACCAAGGTGCTCGAGTCTTGCCAGGAGGCTGGCATACCAGATTCAGTCAAATGCCTTTCATAGATCAAAGAAGCACACTCACACAGGCTGACCGGCATCTCGGCTGGCGGAGATCTCATGAACTAGACGGGAGAGCTGAAGTTCAGTGCTGTCCTTGAATCGAAATCCAGATTGGTCGTCTGGTAGGTGGGACTCGATGTGGGTATAGAGGCGTTGGTGGACAATCCTCTCCTGAACTTTGCTGACAACACTCTGGAGCGAGCTTGGCCTGTAGCTGGTGATCTCTGCACAAGAGGCTTTCTTGTGCAGAGGACTGAGAGTGGCATCGCGCCAATCTTACGGCTGCTCGCCTCGCACAAATGACTCATTGAAAAGCGTTGCGAGGGAGCATGAGATTTCGGCTGCAGGGATCTTTTTAAAAGCAATTTCGTTGGGAGGCCATCGTATCCAGCCGACTTCCGGAAATCAAGAGCAGAAGAGGGTTGCTCTAATGGAAACAATCCAGTTATACTTAGCAAGGTGTTTGGGGCTTCCGTCATGGATTTGCAATAATTCATGTGTACTTTGTCTACTGGTCTGAAACGGGACGGCCTGGGATCACGTGTAGCAGATTTCTCACCTACTTCAATTTGTGCGAATAACTGACTTTCCGAATCATTCCACAGCAGCCGCGTACAGCAATACACACTCTGTGGGCGTCGTCCAGCCCAAGTAACTGAAATGATGATGGTGATAAAGCAGTGGCAAAACCTCCCTTTTTGCAGCTGTTGAAGGGCTGCTGCAGAAGGCTAGCCAAGTGGCTGAGGTGTGTGAACAAGTCTAAAGTAAAATTTCTTATCCATCGCATCAACTAGTGCTTGTCGCTTATTGTCTTTCGATAATGTTCTGTTTTGAGTGGGAAAACTTGCAATAACATTCATCTTGCATATGCTCCAGGTACATATGTGCCTAGACACCATACCTGGGATGTTGAGAGAGAATGCATTTATAGTTGGTAACACGGAAAACATGTAAACCGACCAAATACACCACTTGATGTGGAGAGCGCTCGCACTCGCACAAGGAAGTTTTCCGGAGCCCTATAGTCCATTCATAAAAAGATGGGCCTTGGCTCTGGCGAGCTCCCAATTTTTGCTATTTTATGGTACGTGGTGCAGTGCTGCGAAATTTGAAACTTCAAAAGGGTCCAAAAAAGGTACCTCAACTGGGGTTGGAACCACACAATGTACTCGTACTGTTGCAAGTAGAGTGAAACGGCCTGGATTTTCCCAATTCAGTTCTCTTGGAGCAAATTTGGCCGAAATCCTATTCTTGTTACGGTTTGCTTTTTGGAGAAATAGACTTCAGAAACATAATTGGAAGAGTATTCCATAGGCGAGTGCCAAAAAAATTCTAAAAAAACTGAAAGTTTGACCCATTAATGGCCAAAAGCTAGAAGTCCATCTTCTTATGAATGGACTGTAGCTTTTTATTACTTCATAACGTAGGACTGTCATGCCACGGATGGCGCACCAGTTCAAAGCAGGTCTGGTGTACATCTCTGTGGGAGCACTTCTGATCCTCAAAACTAGAAGGAGCCGAAAGGTAGAAATTCCCAAATCAGCGCAAATACTGCTGCAACCATTTACGTGTAGCTGATAGCATCAAAATAGTGGTTCGAAATATTTCTTGTCCAGTAAGTAACGAATAAACAATTATAATCATTTTAGCACTATCGGGCATGTGGTTGTTGAGCTGATATGCACCTTTTAAACTTTTGTTCTTGTAGGAGCACTGGAGAAACCACCTCCATACTTCTCCAATACCTGACCTGGAAAAATTCATCTCTGATTATGGTGAGTAATGTGTGATTTCAGAAATGTCTGTTCGCTTTCCTCTCTGGAATTATTACTTGCATGGGCTGTAGTACTGTGGGTGGCAATGTATGTGACCATAGAGAACCCAAGCTGCATGTTTACTCATTACTTCAAACCTAAACTAGGTATAGCCTCGACTTAGGGCCCTGGAGCCGGTATAATGTAACAGGCTATTGAGTGTGATGTGCTTCTGCAGTGATTTGCTGCACTGCCACCAAGGCCAAAGAAGCATTGAATCATTTCAATGTCCTCACAACACCGTGTCCTTGCACAATTGGCGTGTATACCCCGCGGAGCATGATACATAGCAATTAAAAAAGGGTTTGCTCCCCCACTGGATCATGGAGCTCGCGCTTTTCAGCCGACTTGACTTGGCACTTGACTAACTCACGACTGCCATCCAGAGCACACTGGAAGTCCATCTAACCTTCGACTCGCAAAAATTGCAAGAAAGTACCATTCCCTGCTCACTACACAGTGTTTCGGGGAATTCGCTCCCCATCACTTGAGCTTGAGAAGGCTGAGGAAGATTGTACCTGAAGAGCATCACTTATATAGTGCTCTCCAGGTCCAAACATCACCAGGGATACAAACTCGTCGTGAGTCAGTCAAGAGTCAGTCAAGTGTCAAGCCAAGTTGGCTGAAAAGCGCGAGCTCCATGATCCAGTGGCCCGGGGGGGGGGGGGGGGGGGGGGGGGGGAGCAAGCCCTTTGCTATACAATTATCGCCGAAGTCGCTACCACTATTTCGTAGCATGATACAGTCATGTTGTTTTTTCCTGATATTCTACTGTTTCTTTGGACAAGAATAACGATAAAGTTGCGATCCTAAACTCCTAATCCACACAGTTACTGTGATTGGCACAGAAGCCCTGTGCCGGTGAAACATTGTGTATTGAGCAGAGAGCGATGCTTTCTTGCAGGCTTGCCAAGTCGAAGGCTCGACATGCTCCTCTGACCTCATGTGCTCCGGATAGCAGCTGCGAGCCAGTCAAGTGTCAAGTAGTTTGGCAGAAGTCGTGAGCTCCAAGAAGAACACTGATGAGACAAGCGTTCGCTTGAAGTAGTGACCTAGAATTCCAAGCTCTATTGGATACAGCACAGCTTATTCACTTGGTATAAATATGGACAAGAAGAACTCCCAGTATTGCAAACAAATACATGTGCCATCGGTCGCGTGATGTGCGTCCTGAAGAGGTTTGACTGTGTTTCAGTTGTGGGGAATGCAATCCAGACTGTTATACACTTGCGGTGCCGAAGGCAAGCCTTGGTGCCCTGAGTGCTCTGATCTACAGATAGTGCACCATCAAAATCAGTTCGCATTCTGTGATGTTTGGGAGTCAACCCTCATGTGCGCTCAAACCAACTGCCATCAATAGCATTGACTCACTCATGACACGGGTAGCAGAAGAGAAGGGCATAGGCTCCCCCAGACACCTGTCTATGCTGCAGGGCCTGCTGGAGAGCCGGGTCAGCCGGGTCACGCGCCCGGCTGGGGAACTGCACGACCTGGCTGAACAGATAACACCGGGTCCAGTCTGACCCGGCTGAAAAATGTCTCAAACTGACAATGGATTCCTAAAATACCGGTATTTTACGACTCGCGGACCCCATCTGTTGCAAATCTAGCACAACCGTACACACTAGATAGAGTCTACAAGCGACAGAAACTCGGCTAGGGAGTAGGGTCAACTGGTTCGAGCACGATCTGGCCAGCGGCGAGCAGGAAGTCAGGACATTCAAAGTCGATGGGCAGGCAGTCAAAAGCGTAACTTTGGCTATAGCTTTTGACACAGTTGCAAGTTTTGAGCAGGCTTTTTGGTTGTTTTTCTGCTGGATGATCTGACCCAGCTTGACCCGGCTGGCCTGCATGCGCCAGGTACACTCTGACCGGGCTGTATTGAATGTCTAGAGCAGGCCCTGTGCTGCATACTTGTTTTCTTTCTTTTCTGTTGCCTCCCTTCTCGTCAACCCAGTCTGTACGAATCTCTGCCTGGTACCAACCATTCAGCTTCTCCAAGTTGCCCATGCCGCTGCTGGTATCGCTGTCCGCCCCCCCCCCCCTCCCCCCCTCTCTCCTTTTTCCTTCTCCCCCATGGCATGTGCCCTTTGCCTTGATCCTGAGAGGTTTGGTCGGGGAGCGCACTGCACCTCACCTGCATGCCTCACGTAGCACCTACACACCCTTTCAACGGTTGTCCTGTTTTTGGATTGTGTTCTGGAGGTGGAGCTTACTTCCTTCCGGCAACCTAATACGGGAAGTAGTCATGTATACTCCACAGTCCACACCCTCAATCCAGATGTGTGCAAGCAGAAGGAATACAAAACATGGTTGTTACTTGTATGTAACATCACTCACACTCTTCCCTAAACCACACTCACGCACACGCACATACTTGCACCACTCCCGGCATACTTCATTTTATACAAACCGCTAGCGCTCCCTATGTGTTCAAAATAAGTTGTATTAGTCATAGCCAGCAATCATGTTTTACATTATTGTTTCTAAGTCTGTAGTCCTTTTTCTCAGAATGCTCAGACTTATAAAACGCTGTGGTCCAAGTACGAGTTGTCTCGCCATGACAGGTGTAATGATGTACAACTGGCACTACCAGCACCGGTGCACCGTCACATCGCGGTTCAGGTGGTATATCTGTGCTAAGTAGAGCTACCAGGCCTGCAGGGTAGACCTCTACAGCCATGAATAAACTCTGTCTCAGTGTCTGTAGACTGTACCGTGCCACAACAGCAGAAATGCACAAGTACAGTGTGTTTGAAGACGTGCGTTGTCACGCGTCGTAACGACGTCGTTGTGTGTTGTTGGCGTTGCGAACGTTGCAGCAATGCAGTAGATTTACGCGCTGACACTGATTGCGTTGTGGTACGAGCCAGGAGATACAGATTTTTTATGATTACATTTCACTGATTTTTTCCGTCTCCGGCCTCCTCTAGCTCTACGCCCCGCTGTCGTTGTATTCTCGATCTCCCTTGCACGTTTGCGGGCGGCGTTGCCGCTATGTCGTTCAGGATTTCTGGAACTTCCAAAGCATTATCCATCGGAAGTGGATCTACAACTTGAAACCTGGCCTTTGCTCAACCGGTGTGCGCGCTCTGATGCTCACTGCATCGGGTGCGAAAGTCGCGCCTGTTGCTAGAGCCGTTCACACCTGGAAAGCGTAGCCGCTTGTCGTGTCTGACTAGAACCCACCCGGATGAGCCAGCGCGAAAATGTCGCTGTCGGTGACGGTCAAGAGTGCGAAGGATCTTCCCAATCTAGAAAGCTTTGGGAAGAGCGATCCCCTTTGCGTCCTGCACTTTCAAGGTACAATACATGACATTCTATGTTGACTTGCTGGACGGGGAGTTGTTCACTGTGATCATTGCCGTCACACCTGCTATCAGCTAAGACTTTCCAAGTCTTGTTCTGGTTCTGCCGGCATGATAATCATGATAATTGTAAATGTGGCATGTCCGCGTTAGCTGTCGAGGCGCGTAGCGGAACTGGCAAGCGGCGACAGGTGGCGATGTACCGGTGTCCGACTAATGATAATATTAATTTTGATGCCAAAAGTGATCTTCCGAACTTCCGGACATATACCTGGTACCCATACCATTACTCTGCATTAGGCTGCTGTGTAGATCTACGCTAAAGAACATGAACAGACTCAGTAGGGGCTAGACTAGCGTCACAGACACAGTATGAGTGCTAGCTGTGATTTAGGCATGGTATTTTCCTGAGTATAAGCCGCACTCTAAACACCAGTACACGTAATTCACCCGAAAAAGTCGAGGTGCAGCTTATACTACGCTGATCAAATTAACAGTGATAAAATAGGGTAGATGTCTGCATTTCGTGACAACAAAATCCGGATGCGGCTTATGCTCCGGAAAATACGGTAGTGAACAACTCAATATTATTGTCTTTTCATTGACACTGATTCTGCATCAGTTCATGTAACATCCACATTGCCTGTACTAGTATAGGGTACAGGGAGTGCCCAGCTTTTACTTTTATGTTACGGTAACACTGGAGACTGCAGTATGTGCTGACCCAACGGGCTGTTCATTAGATGCTGCACAAGCACCAAGGCAAATTGCGCCATGGCCGGAGGTCCTGCACGCACGCAGAAATAACACGTAATCAGTCAAATATTCGCCTTATAACAGAAAGAAGTACAACCCATCCACAGCCAACAGACACCTACCGGTATTTGTCATGACAGAAACGTTTTTCTGCACAATTCACTGCCAGTGAGAGTGGGGGAGAATGAAGCAGCTCACAGTCACGTAAGATAAAAACTGCTATGGAAGGTGTCAAAGCAGAAGCAAAGGACGCAACATTAATCTCACGTTAACACTCACCATCTTGCAGACTGTTTCTTGGTCAGCTTCATATTGTTCGTACTGTTACAGTCTGTTTCGGCTATAGAGTGACCAGGGGTAAGGATGTACAGTATCGACTAAAGTGATATCAGACCACAAGATCTTTTGGAGTCAAAATTTCAGAGTATAACCAATAATTGGTTGTACCTTAAGTAGTGATAATTATATCGAACATTGCGATGGTGCACTAGAATTTACATGGGTGGAATTGTCCCTCCGTCCCATATGGAGAGGTCATTGTAGAGGTAACTTTCACTGCCACTAATGCTAACGCTCTACTGTAAAACCGGAAAGTCTAACGACCAAAAAGTTTAACGTTTTTTGTATTTTTGGCATGATTACGTGCAGAAAGTTTAACGATGGCTACCTGGCCACCCATATGTATGCGCATCTTTACACAGACATCTAGCGATATCGTTTTTTTCGAATAACGAAAATAATTGGTCGTTAAAACGTTAGACTTTGTGACTCGTTAGACTTTGTTGTATATCCTTTGACTGACTGTATTTATTGGACTCTTCGGCTTCTGGTTTATTGTCATTTTGAATGGGTCAATGTGGGGTGCATTGGTTCAAATTCATTGAGCCGACTACCATACAGTCCATTGCAATTTTGTGGTGAGAATTTTGAATCCAGAGGCTGCCTTTTTTTTTGGCTTTCTCCACATACTAGTATTCAAGCTGAAATGCTTCTCTATGAATTAAAAGCACAGTATGATAATTAGTGATGACAATGATCGACACTTCTCTTTTTTCACTGTGCCCAGCTTTGACAAAGCCTCACAGTACTTACGTGGTATTTTGCTCTTTTTATTGTATATTGCAGGAAAGACATATGAGACCGACCCAGTCAAAGGCGATCTCAACCCAACCTGGGACTCGGTAGGTGTGACGTTTGCTGATTTAAGTGGCTTGGTCCTATATTACCAAAGGAAAAAAATGTACGAGGAATGCCAATCTCAAATTGACAAAGGGCATCACGGAAATCATTTCTGTACATCATGTGTGTGTGTGTGTGTGTGTGTGTGTGTGTGTGTGTGTGTGTGTGTGTGTGTGTATGCATGTGTGTGTGTGTGTGTGTGTGTGCGTATGCATGTGTGTGTGTGCGTGTGTGCGTGTGTGCGTGTGTGTGTGTGTGGATGTGCTTGCGTTATCGGCTTACAGACGTTTCAGTTTGACCTGGCAGAGGCACTGCGTCGAGATGACCATATCCAGGTGCAAGTGTTTGACTGGGAGCGTGCTGGAGGTAACAAGTGAGTGCATGTAGTAGAAGCAACACATGTGCAGTGTACTACGGATCTATATCTCTCTTTCACACTACATACTAACTAGTATACCTCTGTGATACATGTATTCTCTAACTGAGGGTTGACAGGCATTGATCTGATGGTACTAGTATTTGTAACATTTTTGTCTCGTACTTGGCGGTATAGCTCTCTGTATGGAGCTCCTCTCGTCCATGCATTGGTATTATTTTTCTGGATATAGAGTTGCCCACTTTGTGCCAGTTTTCCAAGATGTTTTCCGGGCAATACTTCATTGAGTAGACTGTCATACTGCAAACTGATTTTGATGGCCTCGCGTATGTGTTAGAGGGGAGCTCAGGAGGCCAAAGCCAAGTTTATTTTATTTTGTTTATACAACATCTCTTGGCTTGCCGTAAGACTGTTGATAGTGAGAATAAGATGAAGGGTTCAACCAACCACGGCTAGCTAAAAACTACAGTTGCTTTCAGCGGTGCAAGTGTCCCATCGGTCCGGGCCCTGGTTTCACTTGCTACAACCGCTCTAGTTTAGTATTGCAGCGAGCGAGTTATGTCGTTAATCGTTGCTGTGCTTTGTGAAGTTTTGGCGTAACCGGGCATGTCTTGCCGTGCATCGTGCTGGTGTAATCCAGAAAGCTTTGTCTTGGATACTGAAAGCAAAGTACCCCCTGAAGGCATGTAATAAGTTAGAGATTCCAGTCGTTTGGATTTGAAATCAAGACAGGAATGAACTGCAAGAAAACTCACGAGATGTCTCTAATTCCTGTACGGCTTTTAGGATCCATCGAGGTTTGAGATGAGTTGCTGCACTGGTTATAATTATAAAGTGGATCTGTTCCTTATATTATGGTGAAAAAGGAGAAGGACGAAATGTTACGAGTTATGACTACCTGTCCACCAACGTAACCAGATCTTATACAGTCAGCGAGTGCGACTCATAACATTTTGTCCTTCTCCTTTTCAACCATAATTTAATTGGCTCGCCATCCGTGCTCCTTATATCATTTGTTGTTGAATTCAGGCTGATGGGACAGCTGGATGTTAGTCTAAGAAGATGTGTAACGGCAGGTTCAATGGAGATCAACGAATCTCTCTGTACCCCCGAAGGAGAGCCAATATCTGTAAGTATGTGCGTGTGCGCGCCGCACGTGTGTGTGTATGTGTGTGTGTGTGTGTGTGTGTGTGTGTGTGTGTGTGTGTGTGTGTGTGTGTGTGTGTGTGTGTGTGTGTGTGCATGCGTGTGTCTGCGTGTGTGTGCACGTGCGTGTTTGTGTGCGTGTGTGTGCATGCGTGTGTCTGCGTGTGTGTGCACGTGCGTGTTTGTGTGCGTGCTTGTGCGTGCGCTTGAAAGTCTTGAACTGATTCTTCCACATCGTTTCCTGCCGTTGCTATAATGATACGTGAGGGTATGTACTGCCAGTGTACTCGCAGATTTGCATGCTTCGTTTTCGCAAGCCGATGTGTACACGATCCACTGTGCGTATCCACCGTGTGTATCCACTGTGTGTATCCACTGTGTGTATGCACTGTGTGCATCCACTGTGTGTATCCACTGTGTATGTATTCACTGTGTGTATCCACTGTGTATGTATTCACTGTGTGTATTCACTGTGTGTATCCACTGTGTGTATCCACTGTGTATGTATATGTTTGACATGTGCTTACTTAGGGCAAGATTGAGCTGAGCGCTTCGTACACACCTAGTGCATCTGGCGACTCCTCCGGTGGTGGCGGCGGTGATGCCGATGATGGCGGAGGTGGAGGTGATTTTGACGGAGGTGGTTTTGACGACGGTGGCGATGGAAGTGCTCCAACCGCGGATGAAGCCGCAGGCGGCGCAAAGTCTGCCAGAGGTGTTGTGTTTGGTGGAACTGGGCCGGAAGGCTTGAAGGCACGCCAGTACGTACTGGGATGCTTTAAGGGGGTGGATGTTGTTCCTGTCGTAGCTTGTACGTGTATCTGTATAGGCTGCTTAGTAATGTGTTCTTCTCTAAGAGCGTGTACTGCGTGTGTACAGTTTTTGCTCTTGACGAACCTAAGGCAAGGAGCCGCTCCTTTTCTGTCACTTTGTATTTTCCAGAGCAATGCTGGCAAGGAAGAGAGCTAACCGTGCAGCACTCCCGAAGAAGCCCTGTGACTTTCAGGTGAGCCCTTTAATGTGCTTCCGAACTGGCGGATGAACGCTTTACTTATACATGTACATCTCTTTGAGGATTGAATAGTACGCGGCATGCAAGGCATATCCGAACATCTTGCCAGATTAAGGACGAAGCGCACTGTTCAAACTTGTATCTCTTTGAAACACCTGCAAGGCAGGCAAGAATGGGAGAGCATAGGATAAAGAGGAGAAAGGAGGAGACGCTCTGTGGTACTACTAGCCTTGCACCGTTCTTGCACAACACATACGTAAGTAACTGTACCGAGTCATCACTGCAAGCAGGTGTACGGCACAGAATTATTAGAGTCTTTGCGAAATAAGCCCGGTAGATACTACTGAAAGGGTACATGACTCTTGTTTCCACTCACTTTGCAGCACATTACGCAGTTTTGGTGTACTAAAACTTTGGTGATCTTGGTGGAGAGACCAGGCACCTTGTAAGGTGGCTGCAGGGTCATGTATGCAAATTTGAGATATGCCGTGAAATTATCATCCATTACTCAACACTGCATGGTGATTGCACAGCATGCCACTCAGAGTTGCAACGAGCTAGCCGTGTGCTTTTGTTGTTCTGCATAGTAAGCTCTGCCTCCGCAGTATTCGGCACTATCGTCACACTGTGTGCATTCCCTGGGATATAGGAAATTCAAATATTTTTCATCTTGCGACAGCTTAATATTAATATATCTTTGGTTCGATTTCTTGCATCATGGTTTGATTGTTCTCATGACTAAGGTTCGCATTCACGTTATCGAGGGTAGGAAGCTTCATGGTGGTAATCTGAATCCCGTGTGCAACGTGCGCGTCTTCGATCAAGTGCAGCCGACAGCTGTCAAGAAGTCTACAAATGCGCCCTTGTTTGACCAGGTACATTATTGTGGATGGGTCATTGTGTTCAGACTGCGCAGTATTGTTCTATGACTGCAGTTCGTGACCAGAGCAATCATTCTTTTTCCTTTGTGAACTCATGTTTGAGAATCGTAATCTAGGTATTCTTTGGAATGCAACCTGCCGTAGTACACCATGCTCGACGGTAGAGATGGGAGACCAATGTCATAAATACTAGTCTCAGGCTGTTGTTTATTGTGGGTCATTGACAGTCTATTCAACCACATGCTATGGACTGTCTTTCTAGTTTGTGTACTGTACTTGTGGACCCCACTGGCTGGAAGGAGAGTGCAGGACAAGAATCAACCAACTATGGGTCACCATTGTCTTTATTATTGTTGATTTTTTGCGCAGATATTCTTCTTCAGCTTCCATTCTGCACCGAAGGAGTTCTTGGACAAAGTTGTGACATTTGAGGTGAGGTGCCATCCTTCTCCAGATACATTCTTTTTAGTCCTGTCCAGTCTAAATCACTCTCGTGAATAAAACAGTATCAGGTGCTTTTCGGTTCGAACGTTATGAACACTGGGGTGCACTTTCTAATGTGCCTTTGATTCTTTATGGGGAGCTACTTCAGTGACATGGCTCGGAAATATTTGCGCAGACACCCTGTCGTGTATGCTAAGTATGCTATGAATTATGGTTGAAACGACCAAGCTACATCTGCGCACAGCAGAAGTTCTAACACCACCCTTTCCCAGGGTTTAAAACCTACCTTCAAAGTTCATATGGAACTGAAGCTCATGCACTAAACATTTAGAGATCATGTTGGTAGTCGAATGAATCAAGCTATAACAAGCGTGCTCGTACAAGAGATTGCGGGTTTAAGTGCATGAGTACAGGTGTGATGTAAGCAAGTCCGCTGGTCTTGTGGCAATAATCACAGTTGCATACTCTTGGTTATGGACTCTTGTGTCTAAGTATAGGCTAGTACTGTCACTTGTGTTGGAGTTGCAATGCATCATGTCACCATAATATGGCAGGTATCCATTTAGTGGTACCGAAGTATCTGTATTTTATATTATTATTACTACAGTCAACTTCGCTAATAACGACTGCGGATATAACGACAATTCGCGAATAACGACAGAATTTCCATGCCCAGAGCAAAGTTCCATCCAACTGTAATACATAGAATGAGACTTCGGGTATAACGACACTTCGCGAATAAGGACACTTTTCTGATGCCCCGCCGAGTGTCGTTATAAGCGAAGTTGACTGTATATGGATACCTGCCAACATGATCCTAAATGATTGTATTATAACCTAACACCTGCCGACATTGTATTCACTCTGGCCAGGGCTGTAAATGCATGAGTGTGTTGGGAATACTTCACATCTAAATTTCATGGCTATGCATTTGAAAGGATGTTGGCGGAATAGTACTGGTCTGTTCTTTCTCTGTGTGCGTGTGATTAGTACACATTAAACGTGACGTTTTGGAACGTTATCTTGTGACTCTTGTTGCTATGTTAGGTGATGAACTCACAGACGCTGAGAGCTGATGCTATGATTGGTTCTTTCCAGGTAAGAATCAGTACGGTACCCCCCCCCCCCCCTTGGCATGAGTGTGTGTTTGGGAAGAGATCATTTGTGTGTGTGTGTGTGTGTGTCTGTATTCAGTGGTCAAGTCGATTTATTTTTCGCCTCAATGAAATAAGTTGTTTTCCGTAAATGTATTTGTGCTCTCCATGTGTCTGCTGCAGTTTGATACTGGATTTTGCTACGACTTTGAAAGTAAGTCCTTCTAAGTGTATATTTTGCCAGAGTTTCCAGTACCGTGAATGAGTGATGTTTAGTGTTTACTGTACCGTGAATGAGTGGTGTTTAGTGTTTACTCAGTGTTCTGGACTTTGTCTACCCAGTCACCAATTTGTGAGCTGTGCCTTTGACCCTGGTCATAAAGAAATGCTTACACTGATTATGTGCACATGCAACACAAGTTCACACTTGTGTGGCAGGTTGTGTTGCAGGCTCCTCTTCGTGGGTTGAGCATTTTCGCAAGCCAACGGCAACTCCGCTTTGTGCACGTACCGTATACTGGTATTATAACCAATGGCTGTAATATCCATAAGTTGGGTGGCTGTAATGGTTGACAATTGTGTACTGTGTGTGCACTGTGCAGACCATTCCATCGTCCACAAATGGTTATTGCTGACCAAGCCAGGCGACTCGAGTGGTGGTCCAAGGGTGAGCTTACTTTTAATGTGTTTTGTCCCTACAGTAGACTCGTACGCCCAAGAACGTGGCGCCCAAGAACGTCCAGGCTGGAAATCTAAGAACGTCCCAGCCTGGTTTTAAGAACGAACTCCAAGATTTTTAAGAACGCGAAATTTTTTGGTACATGTATTTCACGTTTCCGAGTACATGAAAAACAAGTCTGCAACCACAAACTCTTGTCGGGTCCTCGCAAAAACATCACCCAGTGCAGCGCCACATACTACACGTGCATGTAGAGATTTAAGTGTACAACCGGTACATGTAGAGCAACGTGCATTGTACATGAGCGTCACGGGTCATGTTGGACGCGTAAGAACGCGAAATAAGAACGTAGCCTGGGGCGCTGAAAAATAAGAACTTTGCTAGGCTGGCCCTCTGAAACCGCGTTCTTGGGCGTACAAGTCTACTGTACTCATGATGGCACAATGGCAGCAGCAATGAACTCCCACCTTTATACTCATATACCATATTCATGAATGGACCATGATGACATCATGGCTAGTTGGGCAGCTTGAGTAGAGTGCTCAATGTACCAGAGTTCAGAGCGGTGTATACACATAGCAGATGAGAGGCTGTTTCTGCTCTAGCATTCGTGCACTGAGTGGTCATCACTGCTGGCTGATGACCACTCAGTGCATGAAACTTTTGTAAAAGCTACAGCAGAAAGAGCCTCTCAGCCCCTGTGTGTGCGTGTGTGTGTGTGTGTGTGTGTGTGTGTGTGTGTGTGTGTGTGTGTGTGTGTGTGTGTGTGTGTGTGTGTGTGTGTGTACACACCGTGTGTGTCCCATATGGTGCAGTGGTATGTGCAGTCGATTTCCAATCGAGAGGTTGCGGGTTCAATTCTCGACGATTATGGTCGCACACGTCTTTCTTCTCTTTCTCGGACTCTTCCTGACTTTTCTTTCATTCTCCTGGGTGGTTACCAACAGCCAGTGTATGCCGGAGTATGTGGTGTGATGTGTGTGTAGAAAAAAATGGAAAAATGAAAAATAGGGATTCACTGGCCAGAAAAAGTCACTTCAAACAGCTGTGTGGTGGATCCCAGGCTAAAAATAGTGGCGGTCAATTCATCAGCCTTGCAAGCTGTTGAATGGTGTAATCCCAGCACAAGTTGCTATGTCTAACATAGCTGTTCGCTATCATCGCTTCCGCGATGGGCATGTCTGAGGTCTGAGGTGTGCACCGTGTACATGGTGTATGTAGGAGAACAGAGTGACGCACGCACATGTACACATTGTTTGAGAGACTACCTTGTTCAGTTGGTACCCTATCAAGGCTGGCTTCTGATTGTGTGTGTGTACACTTCTATTTATTGTGTATGTGTGACTACTGCACACATATCGTACCAGGGCTACTTGAAGGTCAGCTGTCAAGTGATTGGACCTAATGATGATGTGAAGGTAAGGAATTGATACACTCGTTCCATAGTGAAGCTGGGAGAAAATCCTCTGACAAATACTGTAGGCACTCCTTTGCTGAAGGTAACGGGAGACCACGCTCTCAGCATTGGCATTACACGGATATGCAGTGATCCCAAACCTGTATTAGTGTTGGATTTCCTCTTTCCAATCAATGGGAAAGGCTGATGTACTAGTATATTGCGTTGTCTGCACTGCCCGTGGAGCACTGTATACGTCCTAACGGCTGCAGCGTATTTGTGTGCGTGATTTTCACGAGGAGTGCATACCTTCCTGCACACAACCATCACCAATGCGAGGACACTTCCGTCGACGATATTGATAACGATATTGATAACTCCTTCAGACAGCTGTTTCGCTAATACATAGCTCATCAGTGAAGGTAGATGTTGAATGATAAATATAAGACCAAGCTGCTATTATATAGGTTTTTTCCACATTCAAAACTGGTATAGCTGAGGTGATAACGCGGGAAAAAGAAAGTGTGAAGTACTGTTGACGCGCATGGGACATGCATGCAGCGTCAGAAATTTAATTCGGCGCGGAAAATCAATCACTATGACTATCAATGCAGAAATAATGTGCCAGAATCAGTGTACTGTGTAGCTAGTGAGAGTCTGTGTATTGCACTTGTCCGAGCGCCATGAAGGCCTGCAAACTCACCTCACGACCCGCCGACGTCGACAGCCACAGCAGCCCCTGGGGCATGACACTGTACTACTCGCCCGTCGCGCCAAGACGCTTGGCAATCACTAGGCTTCATGCCACCAATATTGTCCGCAAGCTACCTTGTCGTCATGTGCCCATCACCCACTGCCGCTGACGCGCTGGGAGGCCCCGCGGCATTCGCCCAGTATATCGTCGTCGGAGCTGTGTTGATGGTACAATAGCGCTGGTACAATATCGTCTACGGAAGTGTCCTCGCATTGGTGATGGTTGTGTGCAGGAGGGTCTAGTCGGCTAAAGAGCGCAGTTTAGTGGTGGAGGTGATAGTCAACATTTTCTTCAATGGCCGAGAGCTCATTCAACATCTACCTTCACTGATGAGCTATGTATTAGCGAAGCAGCTGTTTGAAGGAGTTATCAATATCGTCTACGGAAGTGTCCTTTCATTGGTGATGGTTGTGTGCAGGAGGGTCTAGTCGGCTAAAGAACGCAGTTTAGTGGTGGAGGTGATAGTCAACATTTCTTCAATGACCGAGAGCTCTGTCGCATCCTATAGGAGTGCATACCACGAGTACTAACCAGAGCAAGATCAACCTTCAACAGTGTCTGTATGTATATGGTCACAGTGCTACGTGAATATTTGTCCCGGCAAACCAGCTGGTTATGAGATATCATGAAAAATTATTGAGGTGAAAATTGGATGGTTTACAGTAACTTGGCCATCCGGCAGTGGACTGCACTACTAAAGTATGTTGTTATGTGTGTGTGTGTGTGTGTGTGTGTGTGCCTGTGTGTGTGTGTGTGTGTGTGTGTCTTGTGTGTCTTGTGTGCGTCTTGTGTGTGTGTGTGTCTTGTGTGTGCAGCCTGCGCCTCGAACATCCAGTGATACCAGTGATATAGAATCGTAAGTGGGGTCTGCACAGTCCAGGTGATCTGGTGTACTGTGATGGCTAAACAGGCTGGGCTGGATAGCAGCAAGATTCCATAACCCCAAGAGTGTGCAACTGGGGTCTGGCTGCTGTAGGCCCACTGCACGGCGGAATTCCAACATTACGTCATGCTGCTGAGGCACAGAGGACAAACCTCCGCATTCCGCGGTGCTTGGAACCAGGGAGTAGTACAAGCGCAACGAACGTGTACGTCATTTTTGACGTAGTGTTGGAATTCCGCCACTCGGATCCCCATGTACAGAGTTGCACACTCTTTGCGTTAGGGAGCATCTCATAAGTTCGCCTTTTTTGTAAACGTAACGCATTTCGAATAGACTTTACCCCCCTACCTCGCCCCCCCCCCCCCCTCTATTCGAAAGTCTTGTCGCACATTTTCTGTGTGCTATGGACTCTTGATAGCAGTTATTTCTGATGCAGATGTTTTTGTGACACATTTCTGATATTGATATAAGAGCAATCTCAAAACTTGATTATTCCAGTCGGAAACAAAAAGGCAATTATAGACGTTTTGCTAATGTCATGGTGGTAGTTTTTCTTGGGGATAACGCCGAGGGGTGAGGAAACAAACACATCAAAGGGTGGGACAGAAAATGGTCCGGCAGATTCACCGGCGCGAATACGATCAGCAATGTGGTCATCAACAAAGGAAGTGTGTTCATGTGCAGAAGAAAGGTTATCAGAGATCAGGGAGTGCATTGTGCCAGGGTGTCCAATATTAAAGCCGTGGCCCAGCCCGTGCAAAACAAACTCAGCAAGATTTTGGTCAGGGATACGTGGCAATAGTGTGTGAAAGCGAACAGTGTTCAGGGGAGTGGACGTCAGCTTACTTTTTCTCAGCGGGGTTTGAAGTCTTCTCGTGGCTATCTGCAGGGCGCTGCCACTTGAAGCAGGTGGTGCTGGTGCAGGATGTGGCGGCGTGTCCTTTGTCTCCACAGGAGCTGCAGGCGTGGAGACGGTCGCAGGGTGTGCAGGAGCAGGGCTTGCCACGATTAAAGTTAAAACAGACCTGGTGGGTGCTGCCCGCCCCCGATGAAAAGAGCTGCTCGTGTTGAGCTGCGGCATGTGGACAGCGGTCGCGGCTGTGTTGGAGCGTGCATTCGGTTCATGACGGACGGGGTGAGCGGAGTAGGTGGATACTCCACAGCGTCTGGTTGATCATGTCCCAGCGCAGTGCCTTGCTGTCGGTGTTTTGGCGGAATGCCCGATCGTAGGTGAGCGCGGCAGACGTCGTGAACTGCTAGTTCGCAGTACAAAGTATGTGCTGATAGCAGACGAGCTCATGAGCTTGGTCAGGGTGAGCACTAACGGCAATGCCCGTATAGATCGTCCAGGCCTCCAGCCAAACCGAGATCGCGCGCTTGTGCTTCGCGCTGAGGTTGAGCGAGAGCTGAGCCATGTCGCCGCCAGCTGTAACCAGTTGTATTGGCTCCTGTCCAGAGCTGAAGTTTTCCGGCAGGAGTTCCTCAAGTTCCATAAACTCTCTGCGCCGGATTTTTTCAATCGCACGCCCTGGTGGTATTGGCAGAACCGAGGGTTCAGAGAGAACTGGAGGTCCAGATACAGTTGAATGTTCCGGTAGAAACTGGAAGTTCGGGGCAGGAAAGGTCCGTATCTTGACGCGGGGTCAAGACTGGCTGCTGACGGCGTGTCGGACGTATCAGGCGCGAAGGCGCGCTTGCCGTCAGTCCGCACGTATGGCGAGGTCGAAGCCCTACCAGAGTGACGGTTAGCCTTGACGGCAGACCCGCGTCCCCGTCCATGTCCGCTTCCTCGTACAGAGCCTCGTGGTATGTTGAAAGAGAGAGAAACTGTGTTATCTTTGAAGAGAGTCACCAATCAGCCATGCAATTTGATCAGGAACCAAACTGTGAAGTGTCCGGTGCGGAGCATGCGCCTTCTGTGTTAACTTATTTTGTGCACTCGCAAATATTCATTTTACTATGACCCAACACTAGTGCGTGGCGAATGCGACTTGCTGACGCGACTGCCACTTTCTGTCGTGTGGTTCACCTTCATACTCGGGTCACGACAGGCGCAACGTTTTGGTTGGGAATATGGTCCGAACGCTGTATCGCAGCCTTTTCGGACCAATCAATTCGGTGTCAAGAAGACGACAGGTTCTGACTTCTGAGAGTTTCTTTTTTGTCCATGCTATAAAAACAAAGTGGTTCTTTGAGTGAGATATCCACACAAATCCCTATCTACTGTAGTAGGGCGCACTCATTCAATTTCGGGGGAAATGCGCTAGTTCGATTGGGACTATAGGATGGACCAACACTATTCAACTCAGTGCCCAATAGACTACAACTACTGATTTGAAACTCGGATGTTGAGCCATAAATAAATGTAGAAAGGAAAAGGACATATGGATACGAGTTAAGAGTAACTCTCCATCACTGTAACGCGATACATGATACATGTCTCAGTACTCTGTCAGTTTTGTGTTTTATTTTTTGGTCCTACTATCCTGTACGTCCCCTTTAACTATCTAGGCGCACCTACATGAATATCAGGTACATGAGTTAGCTGTTGGTGTGGACATGTGAAATGGCATGGTATCTCGTGTGCTTGTAGGCCTTTTGTTTTGTGTCCCTATTGAGATTATGCAGTGATCTGAGCTATGCTGACTCTTGGTTGTGAGCACACACGTAGATATGTCACGTGAACACTACCAAGGGTGCTTGATTCAAGTATGCATGCCAATTGGAGGTTCAGTTGGGTTTCGGTGGACACGTGTCAGCTAGAACAGTGAGAGACTGCCTGCATTACTCTGTTCTCTATAGGAACATTGAGAGACTGCCTGCATTACTCTGTTCTGTATAGGAACCTGTTGAGGCCGTCAGGAACAACACTAGCCCCCAGTACATTCACGGTTCAGATCTATCGTGCTATGGACGTGCCGCAGAGTAAGATCCTGTTGTAGTGATATATATTTGCATGCAATTCTCCAATACCGGTATGTGCATGTGTTTGCTATGACAATGAGTGCTGCATAGTGGGTTGAGTGCAAGACTGTGCTGCATAGTGGGTTGAGTGCAAGACTGTGCGCATCTTTCACTTTGAAAGTAGTTGGTCTGGATGCGCAAGTGATCATGTTTTGCAAGTTTCTGTTACCTGTGTGTTTCTTAGTGTGTTTGTTTCTGTACATGTGTGTGTGTTTGCTGTGCTTTGCAGTGGACAGCAGTTTTGGCCAGCGTGCGAAGAATCTTGTCCGCATTGGGGCTAAGGTAGGACCTGAAAATGAGTGAACTTTATTTAGTTTGTGCTTTTCTTGGAAAGAACTGTATTTTACTTGTTACTCTTCTCTTTTGCTACCTAGGTACGGCTTCGACCACACTGCTTTCTAAACGTTTACCTGCTGTGCTATGCATGGCTTGCTAATACGTGCTAGTACTGTGTGTAACCGACACGAAACCCATTGTGTTTGTTTCATCATTATCTGGCGCACAGAGTGCCTTTTTCTTACTCTCAGCAGCCCCTGTGCCAGTGTCCGTATAGGTAAAATATTCCGCTTGGTAAAACACTTGTCCATAGCAGTGTTGAATCATACTCCCCGAGCCACCTGGCAGTGGAAAATGATGATGGCGATGTTGAGCATACATGTATTATACTGGGTAAGAGGGTAAGATGCAGGCATTACTTCAGTATCTGGTATGTATGATATATTTTTCCCTATGTCCTCTTGTCTTGTGTGGGTGTTGTTCAGGTTGTGAATGATTTAGCAGACCCGTACGTGGAGGTTTCCTTTGCTGGAAATAAGGTACTTTCCTGTTGTACTTTACTTGTTCTTTTCCTTCATTGTTGTTTAAATTTTGTAATTATGAATGTGTTAGTAGGACCGGCCACACAAGCAGTTTGCCGTTACAGGGGCTGCCCTAGCCCATCCAGGATACCGTGACAGATTTGTGTGACAATGGTGTGAATGAAAAGTAGATGGATTGTTATCCCACTTATTGGGGACAAGGGAAGAGAGCAGTGGCAGATCCGGGGGGCGGGTTCCGGGGGTTCCATGGAACCCCTAAATTTCCCAAATTTCGCATAATTCTTCCGTATGGAAACCATTATGTAAGTTCATGTACATGTATCTCGTATTCAATTTTGGCTAAACTGGAACCCCTGTTGAGATCTCTGGATCCGCCCCTGGAGAGGGAAACAGAACCGTAGTGTGAGGTGACATTGGGATGTGTCCTGTGCTGGAGGTGCACCTTGCTGTACACTGATCTCGAGACCAGTTCTAGACAATGCCCTGACAAGTCCCGGCACCGAGGACTCTATGCCAGGCAGGTAGCATAACAGTTTTACTTGCGAGTCCAACATCTTGTAATGGTTAGTTTTCAGAGGAACAGGCATGGTAGCGGAACGCTGCCAGTGCCTATCCGCCTGGTTATTTAGCTATCTAACACTCCTACTCTAATAAGTGAAACCAGGGCGGCCTGATACTGGTTCCCCGCCGAAAAACAACGGAGAACCCAGACCCCAAATCTCTACCCCTTCTCGCTTGCACCCGCTGAGATGGCTAGTTCGTACTTGTGGCATTTTGTCTTTTGCACGGAATAGGTGTGTAGTTCTAGATAAGATATGAAGTGGCTCATGGCCATGACAGCAAACTCATTTCCATGACAGCAATGTTGGGGCTTGGTGATACTACCGTGAAGATCAACAGATTTACGGGGTGAATTAAATCTCGCTGATTTCACCCCTTGGTGCAAACTGACCAAAGTAAATTGCTAGTCAACTTTCGTCACCAGATCTAAATGCAGGGTCATGACAGCTTGTGAGAACATAACTGCTTGTCAATTTATCTTGGAAAGCCTCAAATGACCAACGTTTCTTACCGTCTATAATTCTTAGATTTACAGTATTATGTGTGACTGGCTGTACTTACATGTACTTACTTACTGCAGAGCGAGACCACTGCGGTGTACAACTGTTACAATCCTGTCTTCAATGAGCAACTGAACATTGGCTGTCAGGTAAGAACGTCCACGGCAGTGGGCAGATGGGTGATTGAAAAATCACATTCATAGCGATGGGTGGAGGCCACTCCATGAATTTGAAATCTGTAGAATATTGAGGGTAGCCTCCAGTATAACTGTGAAAACCGTTTCAACTAAAGTACTATTGAATTCAGTGGTCACTGGTTTATTCTCTACGCTTTCACGTTGCTTGAAGAATCGTAGCAGTGGTCACTGAGATTAGACAGGTGTGAGTTTCCTACATCTTATTGACACGAACACATACTTCATCTCCTGCGAAGTTGATGGTGCTCCAGAGTTTTCACGGCCTCCCAAGCTACACATATGCCAGCTTTGCACGAGCAGTGCACACACCGTCATACTTGTCACATGACATGCGCATCTTCAACGGATGATGGGGCATACTTCCAAATGAATTCCATCGATGCAATGGCAGTAACTTGCCAGCAAGTGTTCGAAGCTTTTGTGAGAGGGAGTTTTGTAACATGCTGGGAGAATTGAGTCAATTGATTCACTGTCACGTTTTCTGTGCTTTGGAATGCACCAGCTGTTGTTAGTTCACCACTGTTTCCTCCAAACAGAGTGACTACGGCAGGCTTTGTCCACCTGCCCCCCCCCCCCCCCCCGCGAAGAATACCAAAATCGAACATATCAAGAAACACTTTTTACCTCGTGTTTTCTTCATATGTTGCATGCAACTACGTACTAAAAAGTGTTTGTGGATTATCTGCTCCAATGAGTCTTGAGCCAATTCTAGATGCCATTCGCAACCAGAGAACCCTATAGATTGTATCATCCATTTGCGCATAAAGCCATTATTGAACCGTAACTGTCTGTTGGTGTTTTCTTGTCTTCTCAATGTTTGTGACTTCAGTTTCCATCGATGTGTGATCGTGTTCGCCTGCGGCTCTTTGACAAGTAAGTTGTCAGTTCGGTGCCATTCTGTTAGCAGCTGTGGCTGCATATGTTAGTCCTTGTGTTCATGGCTGACTAGTTTCTGGCGATGCAAAATTGTGGATTCAGGATATCTGCCGCTAAGCCAGAAAATCCTCGAATCGTGCCCATCATGCAGCTCACGGAACCTTCGCAACTGGCTGATTGCAGAAGTTGAGTTTGGTTCACCTTTTGCGATGTGATGTGCGATGCTATGGGGGATTTGCACCTTCTTTGCAGCAAAGGTTGTACACTAGGTTCAAGAGTTGCTTGTAGATATTTACCCAGCCATGCGAATGCCAGGCTATCGTCCAACACTGCATTGAGCTTTGAAGGATATTAGCAAGGTGGCGGCGACGCACCTCTGACTTTTGTGGGTGGTATTTTTGCGAGTTCACATCACGCTTTTGTGTTGCATCACGCATTGCATTCCGAAAATGCAGTTGGCGGAGGCTGTCAGATGCTATATTGCATTAGTAGATACTTGGTTCGAAAGGACTAGCAGTGGGTGCAGTGTGAACCGGACCCCTTTGTGTAGTCAGGGTCCGCACCACTCCTTGAATTCCTTGAAAGTCCTTGAATGTCAAAGCCGGATTTGAAAGTGCTTGAATATCCTTGAATTTTCGTGTGGGTGCTTGAATTTTTGAAAAAAGTGTGTTTTTCCTTGAATTTGGGTTTGAATGCGGTAGATCTACTCATGTTCATGCAGTAGGTCTACGCGCACTGCTGGGTACCCGTAACCGGTACCGTAGTCCGTAGATCTAGTACCAAGAGTGGATCCACTCTTGGTAGTACTGATAGGGATCTCAGCGCGTGAGCTGCGCAGCCTGTTTGCGCAGGTGAGATTTTCGATCCCAAACGCGTCCAGTGCAGAAACTAGGGGTGAAAGTTGGCACTGAGATCCCGAGTTCGAGTACTCTGATTTTCTCCGATCGAATATTCGAGTATTCGAGTACTCTTCATCTCCTAAAAATTCCACACCAAGGGCCTTAAAATCACATGATACAACCCTGATTGAACCGAGTGGCAGTCATTTTTCTCGGGTATAGTGGTTGGTGGGTCATTTGGGCTCTCTCTACTCGTGAACAAATGTTCACCACACAGTCTGCACGTCAATATCTGCCGACTGCTGCTCTGAAACTGCAGATTTCTGTGGTAAATGCATGTACCATGTATGAACGAGTACTCTGATTTATTCCGAGTACGATTATTTTTGAAAAAAACCGAGCGAGTACTCGAGTATTCGGTATAATTGTTTCACCCCTAGCAGAAACCCTGAAAAATAACATTTTTTTTCGAAATAAATCAAGTTGAAGAAGACAGTAGAAATGGCTAAATATTGCGTCCAGGAAAGCACGTTCTACGGCCATTTCCAAGCTACCTATCTCCCAGGCACTCTCTCAGAGGAACTATGGAGGGTCAAAGAGCACAATAGTTCACTCTTGGACGCAGCGTGAACACCTCTTCTTCTGAGCGCGATGTCTTCTCTCTGAGTGATAATGGCGGCGATGTTCCAATCAACGGTTAGCCCACCAACTAATGTCCTTGAATGTCCTTGAAAAAATGGGGTTTGGGGCCCTTGAAAACCCTTGAATAATATTTTCATGACTTGGTGCGAACCCTGGTAGTTATGCTGTCCACAAACCTCACTCTCGCTGGTATGGATGTCGACATGTCATTGGCCGGCACTAGCCCGTTGAAAGCCTGTAATACAGCGAGGAGGCCTGCAGTGCTATAGTTTTTTGTGTATTCCTTATCTCGACAGAGACAAATTCAGTCCTGATGTTATCGGCACTACGTTCCTCAACCTTTCAGAGATCTCAGCTCCGGGAGACGCTGGTAAGTTGAAAGTTGAAAAACTTCTAAAGTACATGTACCCTGGGTGTAGTAGATGCAGGAGTGAAACATGCTCTTCCTCTGCTGCAATTGGCTATGTTAGACTGCTCATTGTAACGTTCGCTGGCCACTGTAGTCCAAGAATCTTGACACTTGGCAGCTGTAGTCCAGGGGCCACATGTGAAAAACAAATAAATTAATTAAAGAGTCGATGTCTGTAACGAACAAACAAAATATCACCGGGCGTGGCCAAATTTCCGATTTCGCTCAAAGTTGGCTCCTCTTATCCCTGGGTGGACCTCATTTCGGCTGAAGCCTATAATTCCACCTCTTGTTTCTGTTGCACGGTTGATGGGCTACTCGATTGCCGTATCCGAAGCAACACGAGCGAATGCAGAACCAGACCGTTGCACGGAAAAGCCACCTTGCTTCAGATAGATGTCTGCATCTGGATGAGTGTCAGACTCAGTGTTACTGAGCGCAGAGCCACTCGAGTCAGTTGGACAGTACGCATCTTCTGATGCAGCTGATGGGCTGATGAAGAGATGGGAATGCATAGCCGGCTTTGTTGGTGTCTTCTGCACGCCTGCCGTAGAAGACATTATATGTACTAAACAGAGATACAAGTCTTGGTGGATTGGATGGATGATATTACTCCCGGACATTTCCTTGTGCTGCGCATCGCAAGCAAACATGTCTATACCCTTCGGTCTTGCTCCGGGATCTATATGTGTGTGTCGCAGTTGATGTGAACGGAGGGCTTACAGTTTGCGTACCAGTATGCGCAACGTTAGTGGCGTTGCATGGCTCATCGATCTCAGGTTCATCGACCTCAGCTGCAGTTTGAGTTGATGGCAATGCACTCTGAGGATACAGTATACAGATGAGATTGTTGGGAACAAACAAACAGTGGAGTCGCAGCATGAGGACTACATCCAACATGAGACCCACGAATATTTCGAAAGCTGCATGGCACGTACCTCGTCCTGCGTACTCAGTTTCAGCCTGTTGAATTTCCGCTTCGCTTGAGGCTCACGGTCCGCAAAAATTGAGGGCACTGCTCTATGGATGAGTGTCTTTCTGGACGGCGAACCCATCAACTCAGCTCTCAAGTGACAAGTCCCTCTGGATCGCGAAGTCGTCTTTGCAAAAATGCAGCGAACGAAAACGTAGCTAGTGCAGCGAAAATCCGGTGACAAGTTCTCACGACGTATAGAAACACCCCAATGCGTTGCCAGGTCATCATCCTTTGGAAATCTATGAAAACTTACCCCAGGAGCACGATTTGTTTTACTGAAACAAGCGACGACAACAATTTGGCATCGCGGAGGTTCAGGTGACTTGGCAAACCTTCGGAAGCAGGAAGTGAAGTTGTTAATACCCGAGTCCCTGTAACCTGGAACGAAGGACCTGGCTGCAGGCCTCAGACTTCTTGCAGCAGTGAGCAGTGGTGCAGTCCTCGCACCTGCAATGGAGGCATGTTGGCTAAATTGCACAACTCGTGCTCCCGGAGTCCCCGCTGACACAGCAGACTCCACACTCGATACACTCACAGGATTGGCGTTGCCAGGTGAGCTACCATCCAAGACTCGTTTATCCGTCATCATGCTGCTGCTGCTGCCAATGCTTGAACTTCCAGACACTGTGCTGTCGCTCGATGCAAGAGGGAGCGGGGAGAATCCAGCACCGTCGTGCAAACCTGGGCCAGTATCCATCGGCGGTGGCTCCTGTTGCTGTTGAGTGCTGTACAAAACACTTGCTGCTTTCTCCGTAGCATCAGAGTAAAGCTCCTCAAGCTTCTCCAGCTCAGCAATATGCTTCCTACGTTCCTTGACTTCCTGTTTATCCACGGTGCTCGCGAACTAGCTCAGGAGGTCGCCAATGACGCTCGTTTGATGCTGGTGCATCTCCGTTAGTGCATCTAATTCGGCACTAGAGACATGTTGGCTGTGGGCTATTTTGCTTAAGATTCCACGACGTGCATTCGTAAACTGGCTCTTTGCCACAGTCTTAAGAACTCTCAAATTCTCCTCGCTCGACTCTGCTTCGTCGTCGTTCAAACGACGTCCTGTTGTGCACCATTTTCCGGAACCTGCTGTTCCTGGTTTCCACTGCACGTCGCCTGTCCGTCCTTTGACGCGTCCACAGTTTTCTTCTGAACTACCTGGAGTGGGATCTGGTGCGCCTTCGACTGAAGCACTGTCCTTCACTCTAATTACTGAGAGGAACCATCCTCTGCTACCATTTGGTAATGAGGCCAAATAGGACAGTGAGTTTCAGAGGTGTTTATCAACTTTCATTGCTACTTTTCCAAGCCAAAACTGCCTGGCTGACAACGTCTTGGCCAGACCGAAAAACCGCCAGAACAGAACGGAGAAATGATTCGGTTGTATCCAGAAAGATAAGCACGAGAGATTCAAATAAATTCAAATACCAGCAGCCACGTGGTGCGTACGCCGCATCACACGCCGTTCCTGACAAAAAGAAAGTGAGATTCAAAAATCGGAAGTAGTTTCACACCGTGCCACAATGTCGTCACACATACATTGGTATAGGGGCGTGGTTCAAAGTGAAATATCTCAAGAACGCTTTGTCGTAGAGCCTTCAGACCAAGACCATTCGACCTAGCGCCCGAAACTCAAGGCGTGTACCCTGCAGAATTCTGCCTGTCATAGCAGAAACGCCAAGGGAGCATTTGCAAGATACAAGATAAATGCAGCTCCCAGTTCGTGGTACGGCTTGAGCCGCAATAGAAGCTGGACCATGTGAATGTAGGGTGTCTGGACACAGAAGTTTGGAAAGGTGTCCGAGTTCTTCTTGCAGAATTGCTGATACTTCTGATACGCTCCTTGAAGAGCAGCAAACAGAGTTCAGGACCGGATGAAAATTGTAACCTGTGGTGCACTCCCTAGAGGCTTTCCCTAGGAGTCTGTAGCTGTTCATGGAGGAAACGCTCCATGATCCTTCTGCCCAAGTTCCAGTACTTCCAGATGCTTTTCTGACAACTAAATGAACTAATTCAACTTTTTTTTTAAACCCGGAGGTCCAACTGCTGTCACGACTCTGACACTAAAAATCGCTACGCTGCGGAGGGATTTTTACCACGTGGAACAGCGATCGCGAGTTGAGGGTGCAATGTGCATGAACTCGAATTTGAGGGACCTCTCTCTGCACAAAGTAAGGGATTTATGGAAAAGAAAAAGGACCAAGGAACTACAAGCTACGCTATAATGTCCACTAACACCACCAGTTACTAAACAATCAGCTCATGCCATAACATGCGATAATATTGTAGAACGTCAGTACCGTCGGTCAGTGTCGTGCAATGTTATCACATGAGCTGATTGTTTAATACCTGGTGGTGTTAGTGGACATTATAGCGTAGCTTGTAGTTCCTTGGTCCTTTTTCTTTTCTATAAATTTATTCTTGGCTCTCCATCCGAATCCAAAGTAAGGGATGTTCAAAATGTCTCACGGCCCAAATTTCTAGAACATGGTCTCGTTGCAACTCTCCCGTCAGGCTGCGGCACTCCATCGGTGCTGGAAAATGCTTACTACAGTCCATTTAGAAAAAGATGATGTCCTAGCTTTTGGCCATGAACGGGTCAAATTTTGAGTTTTCGTCGCAGTTTTTTTAGCAATCCCCCATGGAATGCTCTTCCAATTGTGTTTTTGAAGTCTATTTCTCCAAAAAGCAAGCCATAACAAGAATAGGATTCGGCCAGGTTTTGCCCCCCAAAAATTTGAATTGGGGAAAAACCATGAAAATCCAGGCCGTTCACTCCACTTGCAGAACAGTACATTTGCGGTTCGAACCCCAGTTGAGGTACCTTTTTTGGACCCTTTTTCAAGTTTCGAATCTCGCGGCACTGCACAGTGTGCCACAAAATCGTCAAATACGGGAGCTCTCCGGAGCCAGCGCTCATCTTTTTCTGAATGGACTGTAGTACCTAGTGTCACTCGATTCGTCCCTGAAGTCAAACCTTGGTGCCCTGTCAATGGGAGCGGAATCACTTGTTTTTGAACCTTTGCGCCGCCTAGCCCCCAGAATACTGGGGTCAGTTGAGGACAAGTTCTGCTTGGTCCTCTCCGTGTATCCTGGTCATAGCTGTTGATAAAAGTCATAAAACCATGTTCACTCTCATGCATCACAATTCATACTACAGTGTACCAGGTAAGCTTGCAGACAGCCTGCCGATTGATTTTTTGTTGTGATTCTGCTTCCACGTGCATACTTTCTTGCTGGGTACGACCCATGTAGGTTTCTTGCCCACTTTTGGGCCTGCTTGGGTGAATGTCTATGGATCTCACAGGGAGTATTCGGCCTTCAACCAGTATTCCTACCTCGATGATGGATCTGTAAGCTACGCATGATGACAACAGCAGGCCGAGTATTGCTCTTGTTATTCACTTAAAATACTGAGAGCTGCCGTTGGCACAGAACTCACTCATTCCTTCCTACTTCTGTTGTGGGTATGCTGGCATGATAATGCATGTATGTGCCCTATTAACACCACTGCGAAGGAGTCATACATGATTGTTGTGCCATATTGGACAGTTCTGTGTGATCTGGTGTAGCTGATTGTGGCTGTGAATCACTGTATGTATGTGCAGCTCGAGGGGGTTGCCTATCGCGGCCGACTTCTTGTCGAAGTGGAGTCCACTGTTGGCAAATACCCAGATTCAGCCAAGCCCATGCCCATTGAAAAGACTGATGTGGACCGCGTGGAGGTAAGACCTGTAGGGTGTTGACCGTGCATCTACTATCCTAGAGTGGCCAGTCGGGTATTTGTGTGCACTATGCTGACCATAGCTTTGGCCATTGCAGTTACCAGAGGGGCTGAGCGGACGAAAGTTACCAGAAGGGTTGAACGGACTAAGCACATAGCTCAAGACTGCTCTGTCTCTAAGCTGCTGGGCTCTTTGAAGGGGCCGTGCTGCTTCTTTCTAAGCTCTTTCGTTTTTCTGACTGAACTCCCCATTAGGCTACTTGCAGTGGTATTCAATTCTTGTGTTCTGTCTGTCCATGTTCCTGTCTCGGTGCTTCCTTTGCTGAATGAACCTTCACACAGAGATACTTTATGCTGCCTCGCAAGTATCAGCTACGAGCTGCATTCTTGGAAGCTACACTGATTCCGGAGACATTGGCTGGTTCAGCGGTCTCTTTTGAGGTCAGCATTGGTAAGCACACGTGAGCGCATGTTCTCTAATGTGGACATGGGACACGGGGATCATTTGGTTGTTCTTTTCTAGTACTATGGGCTATACATGTAGTGGTGTACATGCAATCCCACAACCGGTGCATCCAGTCCAATATCATATTTTGAGAGTTGAATAGCAGGATTGGACTCCCGCAGCACACACAGCTCCTGTTGTACTACACTTCTGCAATCATTTTCACTCTCAAAGACTTCAGACTTGTGCGTTGTCCCGGCAAGTTTTGATTGGGTATAAATGGTTTACAATTGTAGTTTTGTAATGTTGGTGGATGATTTGCAGAATCATGAAACTCAGAGTAGCCACTGAGCTGTTTCCTTAGCGAGCCATTGTGCTGCATTCTGTGAGAAACTTGGATCATATAACTGTTTTGAAGTACTTCGAAGTATATTTACACCATGTTTAACAGCCAAGCCAGTTTGTACAGATTTGGACGTGTGGCATTCATTTGGAATCTTCTTAATGGTAGTATGTAAGCCAGAAGGGAATGGTTCAGTCCGTTGCAGACTATTGTTGGAGATTACTGGTGAATATAGTCGCGGTTTGAATGCGTACAGCGTATATACAAATTATTTGTGTGCAGGAGTCTATGGTAATCTGAGTGATCAGAGTCTGCCGCAGTCCACATCAGTTACGCAAGGCACACACCCCGTGCCCTATGGCAACTCCTTCTACTACATTCCTTGGGGTCAGTCCAAGCCGTGTGTCAGCGTGGAGGCTCATTTTGAGATCATCGAGGACAGAATTCACGGACTGAATCTCTTGCTGAGCACATCGGAGAGACTGGTAAGAGGCAGAGTGCCACTTGTTGTCTCAACGTACAATACTGGATACTAGTAATGTCTCAACGTACAATACTGCATACTAGTAATGGTAACTTACACTAAGGCGTGCCAAGGGTGCAGTGTTGCCTGACAGCATCTGCTTTCATTGTGACCATGGCTCTGGTAGTTAAAGTGGAGGTGTCTATGCCTGGTGTGTTCAATTTCTCATGCTCTGTGCCCCCACTGCAGAAAGCCAACATTGCTCGCATTCGTCACATGCACCAAGCTCAGGCTGGTACGCGTGAGACAGCCCGTGCGTTCATTGACCTGCTCGATGAACTGATGAAAGACCTGAGGTATGATGCCTGCTGTGTCGACTGTGCACCTGTCCATCACAAGGAAAGGTGGTAGTCTTGGATGAGTGGTCGCATTATTGGTTGATCTGTTTTAGGTCTTTGAAGCAAATTTTCTCGAAGCCACTCAAAATGCCACGATTTCTTGTGCGGGATTCGTATCCATTTTTATTTTCGCAATTATCTCTTATTACCTGTTGTGTCATGTACTGACATAAGGAAGTCGTTTATTTTACAGACAGATGAGTGTAGATATAGTGAAGAGTCAGGGAGGCCATGCCCAGCAGAGCATGGTATCGTGCGTAGCACGGGGGTAGTGAGAGGTCACGTACCGTCTATACATGGCGACAGGCAGGGGAAGGACTATGCCGTGAATGGGTGAAAGGATAACATGATACAGGATAGGACATCTCCCCCTTTTTGAAAAAAAATTAAAGAGAGCAAAAACACAACAGCTGGGAAAAAAACTGTTATGGAGAAAAGGCAAGACAGATACATGTACGGGTTGTACATAGCCGGGCACATAGAACAGAACTATGCAATGTGCGGGAGAGCAATAGCAATAGCATGAAGCCAGAGAGAGTTATATGGTAGCGATCAATCTCTGCGGTGGCTGGATGTTGTTGCGAGCACGGAGAGTTGGCTGTGACGTAGGCACAGGCTGTTGTTGCGGGACTAGCGCGGCCGGTGGTGGTACTGCTGGCACCGGTCCGGGAGGAGTCACTGGCTGGAGCAACTTCACTGCACGGCGGTTTCGGCGCAGAAGACCGGATGAGGTGGCGATGTTGTAGGAGCGATTGGTGAGTTGCTCAACCACTGTACCCTCGCGCTTGTCGTCGGCCCACACTTTCGCTCCCAGTGGCAGAGGGGAGAGCGACTTTGCTGCGAAGCGTTGATCGAAGTGATCTTCTTGCCGATGCTTAGCCTCCTGCTCCTTGGCCCGGAGAGCGGTGATGTCTGGCCAGGAGGGTTGCAGGAGATCAGGTGGGCACGGAAGATTGGTGCGGAGCCTGCGGCCGTACAATAGTTCGGCGGGCGAATAGCCGTTGGCCAGGGGTGTGGAGCGATACGCTAGGAGGGACTGCTGTAGATCACCTGGCGCACGGATGAGTCGTTTGGCAGTCTGCACGGCGCGTTCTGCTTCGCCGTTGCTTTGAGGATGCTTCGGGCTGCTGGTCCGATGCGTGATGTTGCACGACGACATAAACTGTGCAAAGGCGTCGGAAGCGAACTGTGGCCCGTTATCGCTGACGAAGATGTCCGGATAGCCGTGGGCAGCAAATACGCTCTTCAGATGAGTAATGACGGCCCGTGACGTAGTCGATGAGAGACAAGCGACATCAATGTAACGGGAGAAATAGTCGACGGTAATCAGGTACTGGCGGCCGTCGACATCACAGAGATCCGATGCGATACGCTGCCACGGACGCTCGGGGAACGGAGTTGTCTGAAGAGGCTCTGGAGACTGATGACGCTGGTTGATACAGGTAGTGCACTTGGCGACGTACGCCTCGATGTCGGCAGAGATACCTGGCCACCATGACGAGAAGCGGGCACGGGCTTTACTCTTCGTGACACCTTGGTGACCATCGTGCAGCTTCTGGAGGATCTCAGGCTGTAGCACGGACGGAACAACCAGGCGAAAGCCGTGGCACAATACACCTTGCATGTGAGACAACTGGCCTCGCTCACGATGGAACGGCTTGATGTCGTCAGGGACGGTAGCAGGCCAGCCATGGATGACGTAGCGCATCACACTGGATAACACGGGATCTTCAGACGTAGCCTTGGCTAGGTCGGCGAGAACGGATGGACTTGTGAGATCTTCGGCAGTGGTTGATAAAACCATGCCGATGTCGTCTTGCAGAACGTTGTCAACTGATGCCGATGCTGGCGCTCGTGAAAGCGTGTCAGCCACCACCAGATCCTTGCCGGGAACGTGTATGGCATGGACTTCGTACCGGAGGAAGCGGAGCAGCATTCGTTGGCATCGGATGGGAACCTTGTCCAGGTCTCTGGTGTTGATCAGTGGCACTAGCGGCTTGTGGTCCGTCTGCACAATGAACCTGGGAGCGCCGAAGAGGTACTGGTCTAACCTCTCGCACGTCCACACCGCTGCGAGGCATTCCTTTTCGATCTGCGCGTAGCCTTGTTCCGTCTTGGTCAGGGAACGGGAGGCGTAGGCTACTGGGCGCCAGTCGCCATCGTGCTTCTGGAGCAGAACACCACCAATGCCATAGCTGCTGGCATCGGCACTGACCATGATGGGACGCTTGGGGTCATAGTGCACTAAGCACGGGGCTGAAACGACGAGCTCTTTCAGCCGACGGAACGCGTCCTGCTGCGGGGAGTCCCAGAACCAATCAGTGTCGGTGTGCAGGAGCTGACGGAGGGGCGCTGAGATCGTAGCCAATTCCGGGATGAATCTGGCGACGTAGGTGAAGAGACCTAAGGCACGGCGAAGCTCAGGAACATTCGAAGGCTCCTTGAGGTCGTCAATGGCGGAGACTTTGCTGGGGTCGGGTTTCACACCGGACCCGCTGACGATGTGTCCCAGGTACTTGACTGATGACTGCTTGAGGTGGCATTTGTCGGGGTTTAGAGTGATGCCTGCGTCGGCAAGGACCTGGCGCGTTGTGTCCAGCCGGTGGTCGTGTTCAGCTTCGTTAGCGGCGTGGACCAGAACGTCGTCCATGAATACCTCGGAACCTTTGACATGGGAGAGGAAGTCCTGCAGGCGTCGCTGGAAGATTTCCGGTGCAGAGGTTATACCGAATGGCATCCGGAGGAATCGGAACCGACCCACAGGCGTGATGAACGTGGTCAGCTTGGATGCAGACTCCGTGAGAGGCACTTGCCAGAAGCCGCTGTTGGCATCCAGCGTGGAAAAGACAGTAGATCCGGCGAGCCTAGCCAGTGTGTCCTCAACTGTCGGAAGAGGGAAGTGCTCGCGCTTCACGTTGCCGTTCAGCTTCTTTAGGTCTACGCAGATCCGTACGCGACCATTTGGTTTACGAACCGGCACCATAGGAGAGCACCAGTCAGAGGGACCCGTTTCCCGGACGATGATGCCCATTTCCTCCATACGTGCGAGCTCTTCTGTGACCTTGTCCTGTAGAGGCAGAGGCACACGGCGGGCAACACCACAGTGGTACGGCGTGGCGTCGTCCACGAGCTTGATATCAGCTGGGGGCCCAACCATACAACCGATGGGCTGTGCTGGCTTGCTGGTACACGATTCTGCTGCATCTAAACGCTGGATCAGGCGAAGTCGGAGGCAGTCTCTGCGACTCAACAGGTTGGTAGATCCAGGACCATCGATAACTACGATCTCCATAGAGAACAGTTCACTCTTGTGCATGGTGTCTGCAGTGAACTGACCCTTGATGGATAGAGGTGCACCAGATGGACCAAGGAGTTTGGTAGCGGATGGTGTGAGTACAGGGCGTTGTACGAGATTCTGATACGTGGAGTGCGTGATACATGATACATCTGCACCTGTGTCGATCTTGAATATCAAATTTGTCGAGCAAACAGGCAGACTTACTGACCAGGCGTCGGTGGACTGGGAAGGACTGGCGTTGGATGACAGCTCTGCAACACCACCCATGAATGGCGACGGGGACGCGAGCGATTCATCTTCGACAGCTCTGGCACCACGCGTGGTTGCTGGAGTGGAAAGACAGACGGCGGCGAAGTGGCCCTGCTTGCCGCATGAATTACACTTGCGACCAAACGCAGGACACGCAGAACGGTTACTCTTGTGCGAACCAGCGTGGCCACACCACGGACATGTTGAAGCTGCAGTGCCGCTCTTCCTCTGCGTGGACGGCGTTAGTGCAGGCTTCGACGGTACGCCGCTGCGCTGGCGGTGACTCCTGGCATCTTGCTGCTTTCCTCCAAAGCGGGATGCAGCATTGACCTGCGGCCTGGCGGCTTGCGCTGCAACGTCTCCGGAAATTTTCTCGGCCTGCCTGGCCCTGAGAACTGCGTCCGTGAGGGTGAGTTTTGCGGGCTCAATCAGCTGCAGCTCCTTGGCGACTTGACGATCCAGAATGTGAGCCATGAGGCGATCTCGAATTCTGTTGTCCTTCTGGTCACCAAAGTCACAGAACTTCGCTGCTGCGTGAAGTTTCCGAACAAATTCTTCCACGGACTCTCCTGGAAGATGGACGCACTGTTCGAAAATGGTCCTCTGGTGAAACACGTTCAATGCTGGCGTAAAGTAAGCGTCCAGCTTCGTCATGACCTTGTCATACTTGTCCTCGTCTCCAACGGTGTCGAATACCAGTTGATCGAAGACAGTTTCGGCCTCAGGGCCCAGCGAGTAGAGCAACGTAGAGATTTGCACTTTCTCGTCTTTCGCGTTGAGCTCTGAGGCGAGGCGATATCTCGCAAACCGGCGTTTCCAAGCCGGCCAGGCATCTGGAATGGAGAAATCAAAGTCTGGAGGCGGCGCGAACTTGGCCATTTCTACTCGAAGTGTAGACCTGGTTGACTAACTTCTGACACCATGTTGTGTCATGTACTGACATAAGGAAGTCGTTTATTTTACAGACAGATGAGTGTAGATATAGTGAAGAGTCAGGGAGGCCATGCCCAGCAGAGCATGGTATCGTGCGTAGCACGGGGGTAGTGAGAGGTCACGTACCGTCTATACATGGCGACAGGCAGGGGAAGGACTATGCCGTGAATGGGTGAAAGGATAACATGATACAGGATAGGACATTACCGGTATAACAAAATTCTGATTCCTTGGCTACCCAGTATTGTGTACATCATTTGGGTTCTAGTATGGGCACCTGTCTCACTCAGTCTGGATTTTCTTTCTCTACTCTTCTGGTTGTGTGTGTTCACATAGTTCTGAGGATCGTGTCCTTCCGGAGCCGACGAGGAGGAATCCTATTGTCACCAAGTTGGATTTCCTCATCTATGATGTTCGCAAGAAAGAAGTTGTGAGAAGATCTAATATTCATTTTTTCGGGGGGTATATCTGCTGAACTCTGCCGTCAAACCACTGAACCGCAAATGGTTAACCATCTATACCTGGGAAGTTCAACTGGTGCAGTCAATCCATAATCATTACACCTTTGAGCGGCACGATGCCATTGGGTTGGTGAAGGGCCATGACCTTAGCATACATCTTTTCACTGTACAAGTTCTAATACTGTATGGTCTTAGGTCTAATTCCTTTACCTGACTGTTAATGAAGGTGGGGCACTCTGTGTGTGTGTGTGTGAGAGAGAGAGAGAGAGAGAGAGAGAGAGAGAGAGAGAGAGAGAGAGAGAGAGAGAGAGAGAGAGAGAGAGAGAGAGAGAGAGAGAGAGAGAGAGAGAGAGAGAGAGAGAGAGAGAGAGAGAGAGAGAGAGAGAGAGAGAGAGAGAGAGAGAGAGAGAGAGAGAGAGAGAGAGAGAGAGAGAGAGAGAGAGAGAGAGAGAGAGAGAGAGAGAGAGAGAGAGAGAGAGAGAGAGAGAGAGATGGGACGCACACATGTTCAATGCCAAGAGACGGCGCTTTCTCTTACAATAGGTAGAAGATAGGGAATTCAGCAGGCAACTCCTTTTCTTCTCTCCTGTCGTCTGTATATGTAGCTGCTAAGCATGCATGGTCATATACAGCTTGGTTTTATTGTGAATAATATACTATTCCTGTTGTCGTGTAGAATGCATGACCAGGGGATTGTCTATCTTTGCTTCTCTCAGGCTGACATTCTGCAGGGCATCAAGAAACTGAGAAAGTCCGCCACTGACCTCGTGTCTGCACTTCTGGAAGTGGAGTTGTTTTCATCAAGACTCGATGGTCTGGCCATTGAGGTACATGCACCTTCTGTACCGCTTTGTTTCAGATTAGCAGAAATTGTTAAAAAAAAGACAGTCATACTGTATGTCTGCACCTTTAAAGCCTTGGCCTTATATTCAAAACCCCGCTGTTTTCCTAGCTATTTTAGATGCAAAATGACTCACCCTCTACACCATGCCATAAAATTGATAAAAGTCAAAGTCCACACAGAAATTTCAATCTAAATCCACTTGTCCACGTGTAGTGTTCTCAATTATTCCGAAAGTGGAATGCATAGCTAATGTTGCTGTGAGCTGAGATGATCGGTCTATTTTATTCTTGTAACATGCATTTCATTATGTAGGGCCAGAATTCAATTCCCGACATCGTCATATCTATGCTGCTTGGCAAGAAGCGAGTAGCGTACGCACGCATTCCGGCTCATGAGGTCATGTATGCACACAAGGATGGACAGAAGTGGCACGAAGCATGCGGCAAGAACTGCTCCAAACCACAGACAATTTACATGAAGGTAAGACAATAATTCAGACAGTGCTTTATAAAGATTCTTTTACTAGACACTGACCGAAAGTAGTCATGTTTTGCTGCGCTCAGCATCCCAAGGACAGTAAAACGTGTCTCTTCACCTCAGCTTCAAAAGTCCAACACATCCACTGATAAGCGCAGCGCCCACCCCCCCCCCCCCCCAACCCCTACTTTGTTGGCATGCCCCCCTACTTTAATAGCACGCCACCCTACTCATTTTCGATTTTTGTGTTTTTTCAGTTCACACAACGAACGTGCGGCCTCGAATCGATCGTTCCGGGTGCTCGTTGTGCCCGTGCGTTGCATTTTGTGTTTCAATGCAATAGTGGAACATGGAAAAAACGGGCTAACTGTTAGTTTTCCCCTGCCCCCCCCCCCCCCCCTACAGTTTTCCTGGCTATAACCCTGGAATGGAAAGGATATGCTGGAGACGGTGAACTACAGTTTGAAAACGAACAACAAAGGCGAATGCTTGAAACTGTGTATGATTTTCGATCTATGTCTCAGACAAGTATGTAAGTACTGTTGCTTTGTAGGCTCAATCAGAAGCTAAACTCATGGCCAGTCCAGACTGAGCGACGTCCTGTGTCCCAGACCCATCTGATGGGGGTTGACGCCCTGATCCCTTGCATAATTTCATCTGGATTCCCTGCGCCATTTCAGCTGGATCATCAGGAATGGGGGGGGGGGGGGGGGTATTGATGGCCGGATCCCCTGCACAATTTCAGCTGGATCATCAGATGGCGCACTGTAGTATACCATTGGTGCGTCGAGAGCCTTTAGCTCCTCACACTCCTCTGAGAATTCAACTACGTCTTCAGGATGTGCAGCACTGTCCGCAGCTACACCAGCTTCAGCAAGACCAATCTTCCACCGTACATCGTGTTATTGTTTGCTGGGTGGCCGGGTCCCAGGCTGACTGGGTGGCTGGGTCCCAGGCTGACTGGGTGACCGGGTCTCAGACTGACTGGGTGGCAGGCTGACTTGGTAATCTGTAAGCAATGCAGCCTGTTTATGTGCTTATTTAGGGTCGTTAAGTTAAGCTTTGAACGTGCGGATCATCAACGAATTAACCACCTTCTGTAACAGGAGGCGTCGATAGTTTGACTTAAAAAAACATCAAATAATCTCGGCATCGTAAGGCCGAGTAACTATTAAATGAGCCGTCAGATGCGAAAACCGACCTTATGGGAAACACTGCACAGTGCAGAAAAATGCACTTGAAAGTTGGCGAGCTTACGCTCTGGTGTGCCTGGACAACCAAGCTACAAACCTTCGTATTTCAGTCAAATATCGGTCTTTCGGGACAATCCAAGTATGTAAATCGAAGAGAAAACTCCAAAGAATCCAATGCAGCAAGCGCGATTGCGGCACGATGCTGCGTTCCCCAGCTGCGAAGCCTGCAAGATACGTCACGGCACTTTGCATTTCTACGTGCAAATCAAACGATCCAGACCCGGGGTTTCCCCCTTTTCAAGCGACCTACGATCTCGGCAACAGGCTCACACGTCTTGGAAGCTCTCAGTGCATCTTCACGAAAAAAATTGGGCGTCCTGGGATAATGGAGATGGAAATGGCGAGCTAGTTTCGTGTGACGGCGCAAGTCCAGCGCTGAAGCGATGTCTGCAGCTTGTTGCGCTGGTGCTGTGCTTTATTTGCTATCGGATTTGGGCCCAACGGGTTGCTCGTCGCCAGAGCTTTCCAGAAAGCCCAAGTTTGTGGAAATCGGTCAAAGGAAACAGGAAATATTCTACAAAGTAGGTGAAACAATTGTTGGTATTTCACCCAAAATTGAGATGCAATTTGAAACGGTCTCCTATTGTAGAGGCTATAACTTTACTTCCCTTGGTCCAAATCAACTCTAGTTTTTTGCATACGACTCTTGATGCTCCTGGCTTTCAGATAGTATCACTAAACCAAATATGAATTTTTTCCCATAAGGTCTGTTTTCGTATCTGACGGCTCAAATGTACTTGGGGCAAGAAACAATGCCGACAAAATTCAGCTGATTTGCAACTTTGAAATAGCAATTGAGAACCAATTCCAATTGTGCAACTCTTCCATTTTATGACACGGATAGTTATCCACAAGCAAGACAATCTTGTTTTTGTTTCGGAGGCAAAACTTAGCATTCAGGTCACTACTCTGTTCTTTTCACTTTCTTTTGCCTGGAGGAGATAGACGCTCAATAATTTAAAAAACTTCTTATGTTTGGTAATTGTGGAAGCTTATCTCTTGGTCTGGCAGCTCAAAGCCTATATATAGGCTTTGGTTTTTGTTGGTATTTTAGGAGTTTTTTTATGACAAAAATGTTATGTACAGATGTTATTTAGGGGCCATCCGTAAATAATAGATATTTATTTAGAAACGAAAACTAGTCGTTTAGGGGGGAGGGGGTTGAGCGCCTGTTCGTTTCTCGAAAAATATCGATGTACATTTTGCATGTGTGAGCATGTCCAGAAAAAAAGACCAAAATATCGATACTATACCATTTGTATGTGTTCGTTTCTCAGGGAGAGGGGGGGGGGGGGGGTTGAAGAGAAACGACTAGTTTTCGTTTCTAAATAAATATCGGTATTTACGGAAGGCCCCTTACAAGTATAATATGTACAATTGCTTCACTGCTTGATAGCTGAGCATCAAACCTCATCACTTGTGCCATTCCTCAAAGCAATCAGATTGAAGGCCGACATTACATGTGCCACACTCATAATTGGTGCGTGAGCGCTTGTCATTGGCTTTGCACCTCACGCAATCACGCTGGGGGTTCTTTGCATTGCTCCCTTGAATTGACCGGATCATGTGAGAACCAATAAGGCGACTCTCTGGCTTGTCCATGGCGGCGTCTGCTGACCGGCGCCGCTTTGCCCCGCTGCTGCTGCTTCTTTCCTTTCCATGCGGTGTGCTGAGAAGCGATTCTGCAAGGTCGGCCATGAACTCGAGATGGGTCATGGGAGATGCTGCCTGTGCCTTCATGCCTTCTTTGTGTAAGAGGTAGGCATTGGTGGCAGCAGTATCCACGATCCAGTAAAAAATAGCATGCCACCACTTCATACATTTGAGACTGCAGCTGTAATAGCCACGGAGCTGATCAGCAGCATCGACGCCATCCATGAAGCAGTTGTAATCATGAATGACGTTGAGTCGTGTCAGCTCCACATCCACTGTGTGCGGAAGATGAGTCTCCGGGTTTACCTGGCAACGAGGTCGGGTGAAGGTGACCACCTCGAGGTCATGGTGAGCAGTGGTCATCATCGGTACAGGCTTTGCATCATAGTAGGTAAGTGCCACCACATTTCGCCTAGATGCTCATTTAACAGTGCCATGAGCCTGTCGTGCAGCTTGACCTGTTGGCGCCTTTTGCTTGACACAGTCTGGTATACGATCAGCACGAGCTGTGCACATGTACAGGTGGCTGAAAGCCAGAAGTTTCTCAGCAAGGAGAGCACTGGAGTACAGGTTGTCGACAAAACGTGAAACCCCTTGCCGGGTAGCTGCTTCATCAGCTGGAACACGGCATTGAAGGTCTTGCTCAGGCCAACCTCCACAGCACCTGGTTGGTCAAAGGTAAACCGAAAAGACCAGGTGTAGCCAGTGTCAGCATCGCATAGTGCGTAGATTAAAAATCCATCGCCAGCTCGTTTGTATTTAATTCGCGATTTGTAGGCGCATCTCCCACTGAAGGACACGTCCATCTCGTCCATGCTAACCTGCTTGCTGGGGGACAAAAGCTCCTGGGAATGCTTCAGCAGTCCATCCAGCCAAGGGCAAACCTTGTACAGGGGTCAAAATGCGGTGTGCCTCTTTTTGGCTCGGCAGCTCTGTCTGCCAGGTGAAGATATCGCTTGATCTGCTGAAAACGACGGAGGCTCATGGCACTCTTAACGGTATCAAGGCCAAACAACTTCTTAGAGGAGCTATAGAGAGGCATGCTGGGTATGGATGCAAGGAGTTGGTAAAAAGGATTCCCAGCCACACTCTCAGCTCTGCAGGGGTAATATTGGACCACTCTCTGGCATGAGCAGCCTCCTCAAGGCATACATCAGCAGCTCGTTGGTAAAAAATACAAATTTGTTTGAGCACACGCTACCTTCAGCATATCGTCCGTGGTGTACAACAAGAATAGGTTCAACGGTGAACTGATTTGCTCAGGAGACAGCTCCACTCGCAGGCCTGGGGTACCTGTGAACTCAGGCAAGTCGTTCGATGGCATCGTTTCACTCCATCCAATGTCAATTGCATGTTCCCGTCTATTATCCGTTCGGCTTGCTCCAGTAGCAGCGTTGTTAGTTGCTGGAGGAGGGGAAACAGATTCTTGTGGACTCGCCGGCAGTTCATCATTGCTCCCTGCTTCAACACCAGGCGCAAACTCTACATCACTACTGCTCCCAGTGGCTTCAGCAGCCCCAACCTCCATCCTCAAACCAAAGCCTATAAATAGGCTCGAACAATTTACACAATATCCGCCAACTGAATACCTCAACCTGACGAAACTACAACTTCCTTCTTCAATTTTTTTTGCCAAAACTGCCTGATATCGCCTGGAATCGCTTGGACGCCATTTTGGCCATGTGCAGTTGTTTCCGTGGTAACAGGGAACAGGTAAACTGCGCGCATCAGCTCCAAAGCCTATAATAGGCTTTGCCAGACCAAGAGATGATTGGCCAATGCCAGTGCTGTCTAGTCTTTCCTTGCTATGGATGAGGATGCTTGGAAATAGTAACCTAGCACCTCAGCCTTCTTATCCGCACTAGGACAAGCACGGGGCTTCGTAGCAGGCTCGAACGACACGGCGGATCCAGAGAAGACCGGCCAGCTGTGTCAAAAGTGACCAAAGAAGAGAAAACAAACCATTTTTTGGAGCTCTGTCAACCACGTGCACCTGCACGCCCTGCATGCGAGACACGATGTGTCCGTATAAATCATGTACATATGGTAGGCCATGTCACGTGCATTCATTATGATATGTATGACGTCGGCAGTGTTCACAGAGCGGAGATGAGGTTGATGTATGGGCGATGTATGTCGCATGTGTGCGTGTGGGCATGTGGGCATGTGTGCGTGTATTTGTGCTACACCTGTCCTACAGTGGCCTTCCAAGAATGATGGGTCAGCACCAAACTATCAGGTTGCCTGTCAGCTGCGGATTGGCGTGTGGCTTGGTCTGAATCAGTACAGCAATGACTGGCTACGCGGCCAGGACGAAGGAGAGATATCTGTCTTTGCTGAGACTGTGAGTAGCAGTGATTCTTTAGAATCGTTACAGAGCAAATATAGTGGAACGCACGCTCTTTCCTGATGGCTGGAGGTAACAAGTTAGATGTGTGATGGAGACGTCAGCTCACCAATTGACCGCGTAATCAGGGATGGTAGCGATCAGGTTCTTTATGGCAATGGTATAATTTGTGTGTTGGTGTGATTGTTTAGCACATCATGTGAGTGCTAAGGTTGAGTGATGAGTTGAAGGTCACAATGTGTGGCACAGCATCACTGGCAAGAGGCACTTCAATATCAGTTTCTTTCTATTTCTCTTTCGTGCGTGCTAATGAGGTACCGTCGTCACACTGAATGCTAAGACTCACCGGTATGGACCTTAAAAAAATAAAAGAGCCATCTGTAATGGATTGACTCTACACCGATGTTGGATGATCTGTTTCTCGACACCTGATTCGCCCGTCTTTTTGTGGCAGACACATTCTCAATAGATGATATGCCAAATAACGTGCAACTAGACTTGAGAGGGCATCGCACACAAGTTGCATACAAATTATACTACAATGTGTACATGGTAGGCCCTGAGCTCTGCAGGAATGCAAGTCACAGGTAACCGTACAACTTTGAACTTTGTATGCAACTTCCCTGCAATGCCCTCTCAAGTCTAGTTGCATGTTATTTGGCATATCATCTATTGCTGGTCATCTGTCTTTTGTGTCGTTCTTTCTGTGCTATCTATGTTTTTGTTCAGTACGAGAATGAAGTCAACTATGGCTTTGGATGGGGCACTAAGGGTCTCTTCATTCCTCCCTGGTCGAATGCCCATGGAAGTGTAAGGCCAATAGGGCGGTGACTGTATCTTGTCCTGTTAGCACCATGCCCATGGCACTGGCGCACTTGTTTTTGGCTGGAAGCGTCTAGTACGGTTAACTAAAGCATGCACTTCTGTAATTTCTACTTTGGTATTACTTTGGTCTTATGTTATCCTGTATGCTGCTTGTCCATGTCAAGGTGGCACTGGAGCAGAACAAATTCATGCCACCAGAAGGCTGGAACTGGAATGGAGACTGGTTTCTCAATCCAGAACTCAGGTTAGTCATCTTGCTCTGCTATTGGAAACAAGCGCATACAGCCAAGTGTACAGCCAAGTGTTGCCCCGTTCACCATTTGTTTTCACATGTTTTGGACTTTGGACTTTGGACTCGGCTTGAACATTGCCGTGGATAAATCTGGAAATGAGAAAAATATTTCGAAAAGTCCTACGGAGGATGGAGCGTATTGTGTTGTCGTGGGCTTCCATTAGCTCAGTGCTAATAATCCTCTGAGTGCCAGCGTTTTCCACAGTACACGTACCATGCCATGCCGAGTCACAGGGCGTCTTATTTGGCAAAGCACCTTTTTCAAAAAGCAGGGCCTGGTTCTACGCTGGTGCTGAATATGTTGATGCCTGATTGTTGCTGTGAATATGAATCGTTGGTTTTGACTGTGCATGCAGTGCACCGGTCAATCCAGACTCTGGCAAGTCCGAGTACATGGAGGACATATTTGAGTATCAGCAGCGCATTGCCGGAACTCAGTGGAGTCATGCCACCGTCTCTTGGGGCAATGTGGTGAGTTGTGGCACTTGTACATAGGAAACAGGACACTCCGATTTGTTCACCCTTCCTTACATACTCAATCTGTACATTTAGATATTCAACCAAGGCCTCGTTTACACGACAACGATTGAAAAACGTTTTTTGTCAAAAACGTTTTCAAAAGAATACGCTTCCACAGATTTTGATAAGAGCGTGCACACGACAACGCTGAAAAACGTTTCAAACGAAAAACGGCCTTCAATGTGTTTTTCAATCGTTTCCGTTTCGTTCTCGTGTACACGGCAAAAACGGGGTTTTTTCACTCACAAAGCAACTGTTCAGTACGTGGGGTAGTGGTCTACCAGAGCAATCACACTCACCACCCTAGTGGTTTTCCAGAATTGAGTAGAAGCGAAAAACCACACTCGCAGCCACATAATAGATAAATAGCCGAAAAACATCTAAATCCATCAAAGAACCGCCAGCAAGCGGGAGAAAAGGCCGTAAAATCAAGTGAAACAGCATGGCCAGTGGTGAGCATGGGTGACTGGGCAGCAGGGGAGCGCCTGAAAACAATGACTCCCTACATTCCTAGCCGCGACCGCTCAACCGGGCTAGAGGAAAAACACGCCTTTCGGCCAAAAAACCTTTCTATTTCATTAATTCCTGCCCCGCTGTCAGTCGGACCCAAGAATAGAGACAGCAAGAAATGGTATGTAATAACCAGTGTATGTAATAACCAGTGTATGTCATAATCATAAGCCACACACTTTGGCATAGAATATCAAGAAGAACAGCGGAAGACCCCCCATGAAACCAGGGTGGGTGGGCGGTCAACTTCAACTACCACGAGGAAAAACAAAGACCACGATGGCAGGTTCAACGGAGTTGCGCAGAACAAGAGCAAACGCATGAAAATATTTGCGAGTGAAAATACGTTTTGCACTCTTTTGCTACGCTCAGCCGTGAAAAAACAAAACGCTACCATGGAAATGCCAGAATGGTGTGGCGGGAAATAAGAAAAAAGTACTTCCAGATCGTCACACGCGCGCGCGCGCAGTCGAAGAGAAGTTTGTTCGGTAGTGTTCAATTACCTGAACAGGAAGTCCCGCTTTTCGCTGAATGTGCAAGCGTGCTGCGACGCAAACTATCAGTTCTCCACACAAAGTGAAGGGTAGTTGGCTGCAGCCAGATGTGACTAGGGTAGTTGGCCGCAGCCAGATGTGACTAGGGTAGTTGGCCGCAGCCAGATGTGACTAGGGTAGTTGGCTGCAGCCAGATCTGAACCGGGTAACTAGTGAGGTATGGAAGCAAGGACTGAGAACATAGTGTCTCAGATAGAATAGGTGTGCAAGCGGATAGCAGAAATAGGCCATGATGCAGAACCACTTGGGACCGTCAGATTAATTTTCCTGGACCAAGCCAGCCGGGAAAAAACCCTCGTGCCGACGGACGCAGTAGTGAGGGAAAAAATCGGGTGTATATCCCCAATGACGATTAGGCATCATGTAGGCATGGCAATCACATCACGGCAAAAAGGGATAAAAAAGCAATAATAAGATGCACAGAAATGGAGGGTGGGAGGGCAGGGACACTGGTGAGACTCAAAACTGACTGAAGAAGTCAGGAAAAGAAACAACAATACAGAACACACCAGATGCCATATTTGCAACTGAAAATGTTTCGCGAGAAATCATTTCTCGCCTATCTCGCTGTGCTCGGCCGGCGGCAAGATGCCACCCTGCAGAGCGACCGTGGTGGAAGATGAGGACCCCAGGGTTCTAGCCAAAGGGGGGTAGGGGGTCTCAGCGCCCCCCCCCCCCCCCTACTCTGTTTGTGCCCCCCCCTGTGAAAAATTGCCATACTACCCCCCCCCCCCCCCTCCTACTCATTTTCCGATTTTCGTGTTTTTCATGCATAGATGGTTCATAAAGGCACATTCAGTTGTCTGGGGTGAAGTCAGGGATTCGCCCCATACGTTGCATTTGGTGTGGCAAGACAATATTGGAAAGTGGAAAAATGGGATATAGGGTAACTGTTTCCCATTCCCAACCCCCCCCCCCCCCCTACTATTTCGACCTGGCTAGAACCCTGGGACCCAATACCAGTTTTTCTTCTCGGTGACCCTGCATATATGCAGGCGGCAGAAGCACACCACAGCAGCAGTACTCTGGGGCTTCAACTATGCAAGTCCAGATTGGTGATCGAATGTTCATTTGGAAGGCTGAAGGCCAGGTTTGCTGCATTGCGGAAAGCCATGGACATTAAAGGGGAAGTTAAGGCAAAAATTAAAATTTCACCAGTTGTAGTCTTCGGGGTGCTGAGTCGAATGGTCTTGGTCCGAGAAAGCTGAGACGCTCCCTTCCTACTTGAATCCCAATCGAACTCGCGCACTTCCACCGAAACTGGGTGACTGCGCCCTACTAGATGGGGACTTGTATGCAAAATGTCACTAAAAGCGCCATTTCGTTCTTATTAAAGCACGGATGACCGCAATTGGCCCATATGTTGTAGTCTTTTGGACGCTGAGTCGACTGGTTTTGGTCCAAAAAGGCTGCGATGCAGCGTTCCTCCTTTATTCCCAATCGAACATGGTTGAACAAGCGGTCACGTGCTCCTGCGTACACCAGTCACCTGGTCACCGTGGCTGCAGGGTACAACTTACTAGCCTGTTTGACCTTTTTTGGGTGCAGTCCTGTCACTCGAGTTGAACCTTGGTGTGAAAGTTGTCGCCTGCTGGCGTAGTGACGAGGTGATTTGGGCACCCAGGAGCACGTGACCTCTTGTTCAACCATGTTCGATTGGGAATAAAGGAGGAACGCTACATCGCAGCCTTTTCGGACCAAAACCAGTCGACTCAGCGTCCAAAAGACTACAACATAGGGGCTAATCGCGATCATCCGTGCTTTTATAAGAACGAAATGGCGCTTTAAGTGACATTTTGCATACAAATCCCCATCTAGTAGGGCGCAGTCACCCAGTTTCGGTGGAAGTGCGCGAGTTCGATTGGGATTCAAGTAGGAAGGGAGCGTCTCAGCTTTCTCGGACCAAGACCATTCGACTCAGCACCCCGAAGACTACAACTGGTGAAATTTTAATTTTTGCCTTAACTTCCCCTTTAACATGGACGATCTCCCCCATGTGATTTACGCTTGTTTCGTGCTGCACAACTTCTGTGAGTAGAATGTAGGGTAGAATGGCGAGTCACTGGCAGACGAGATTGATAGGAGGGTGATAGACTGTATACAGTAGTGGATGCCAATGTAGTATTCTTTATTTCTCCAGTCCCAAAACAACAAGAGTCCAGACTCAACTCATGCTTAGCCGCTAAAAGCCGGGAAGTCCGTTTCAGGCGCGTGCGGGAAGCGGCACATGCTAGATGCATAACCTAACACAATTGACTACTACAGTGTATCATGAATGTTTAGGGTGGCCAAGGAATGCCACAGCGCGTATGTAGACGTGGACACTACAGCGCCTAGACTAAACAAGGGACACAATTGAAGTTCACCATGCTTCAGTAAGGCAAACCAATCGGCTGTGAAAACTCTTCCTTGATAGCACAGACTCGCATGCATAAAGTCTAAAAGTAGGAAGAAAACTTCTAAACAACAACACATGTTACGCAGTGTCTAAACACAGGACGCTGACAAGTTACTTGGTCGAAGTAACGGAAAGAGTTTGCTCACATATGGCTAGGGGAACGAGAATGAGGTGATGTTGATGTGTTGAAACTCTGGTGGTGTCCAACCCCGTAAGACCCAGCCACGTCGTTCAATGGCTGAGAACACATACTAGTAGATGGAAACGCTGAATTCTGCATGGGCGAGCTGAACCCGGGCCCTTGTGTGAATGGCATCTGCTGCATTGGCCAGGGCTGTGTTTGCTGCATGGGCTGTGCAGAATTCTGTGCGACCGCCTGAGAAAGCAAGCGCTTGCTTGGCAAATCCAGCTGAAATGCTGGATGTCAAGGTCTCCAGATTCGCAGACATGGAAGCAAGCTGCTTGTTTGTGGCCTCTCTATCATGCTGCGTATTCTCCATAAATTTTCTTTTCAAATTCAACTCTTCCTGCGCCACCGCAATCAGCTACCGATCAGCGGGGAGTTTCCTCTTCAGGCGCCCATGCCGATGGTTCGTGAGCTGGCTTGTCAGAAGATTCCTCCGTTCGTGCACCGTGCTCTGGGACAGCAGATCATCAGCCTCAGGAGTGTCTAGAGTTGCCGATGCCTGAGGAGAAGAGTCATCATAAGGCGATGATGATTCACGCTCATGGGTTGCTGTATCAACATTTGATGCTGCTCCTTCTGCAGGATCGTCATCAAGCTGCTGGAAAGAAGATTCGATTCCTGTTAATATCTGATTAGTTGCTTGCGAGCCACCCCGGAGCTTTTCGCAGAGCTCAAAATAGAGCAATACCACTCTGCCGTGCCCACTTCGCCTTCCAGAATCAACCGCCTGCCGATACTTGTTACGGATAGACTTTATCTTCGTCGTCATCACTTGAAGTTTTAATTCATCTCTGCACAAGCAATCAATATGATTAAAGGGACACGAGACAAAACAATAATCAATACCAGACCAATACAGCAGGAAAGTGCTCACCTCAAAGTAATTGTGTACAAGAAATAAGCTGAAAAGTAAAGCAAGGTATTTTGCACTGCGAATGTCTTCTATGTTTTGTCCAAGCATGCATAACTATTAGTACACCTTGCTATACATGTACATATATATATACTGCAAAGAATACCATGGTTATTGGACTGTAAATATGCTCACAAACAAAAAGCAATGTTTTCACTGTTCAACAGCGGCTTTGCCAGGAGAGGGGGGATGAAGCTCTTACCGTGTATGAGGCAGATCCTTCATGTCCGGTCTATTCCGCGTTTCCTCCGCAGTCTCCGGCAGCTTCTCCTTGAGCAGGGCCAGACTGTCTGCATACTTTGTCCAGACGCTCTCCCAGTCAACACTCTCTATGGTCCGTTGTGTCTTGTACTCAATTGCAACAGAAAGGAGCAAACACACCTGGAATGTTTCTCCTACTGCTGGTGCTCTTGGCATGATGGCGATGAGAAAGCGAATGACGAGGAAAAGATAGCACGGAAAAATCGACGTGAAGATACGGAGGACACACAAAAAGGCAAGCTGCGTGAGAATGGAACCAACCTTTTCCCAGTTTCCACCGCACCAGTTTGGCACCACGTGCGGAAAGGGAAGGTGAATACCGAATTTCCCGCTCTAAACATGCCGTCGCCAGGCCAACCTATTGCACGTGACCATTGTGCGCCGAAAAACTCCGAAAAACGCGTTGCCGTGTAAACACCTAAAAACGCTTATCGTTTTCATGTACACAGCAAAAACATTTCGAACACGGAATGGAAACGTTTTTCGACCGTTGTCGTGTAAACGAGGCCTATGTAGCGAGTGTCTTTGTACTGTCTGCACCTGTAATACTGTGCAATGGTTTGTACTTTTTGTGCATTCTGCCCATGGCATGCGGCTAGAGAGGTGAAACTCTTGCTGGTGGCAGAGAGGACATCCAGATCGGTGACGAGTGGGAGTGGAAGGATCCCAAGTGGAAGATTGACAAAACCCGTGTCTGTGACGAAGGAGGTAAGCCAGTGGCTGATTTTGAAGAGTTTAGATGCAGAACACGACAAGCGCCAAATTTGAGAAATTGAGATCAGCGTATTCGTAATGCCTAAAGGCAACTTCATGCAAAATTTCACATTCAAAATCTGACTATAAGTTGTAGAACCACTTCAAAAATGTTGGCCAAATATAGATTTAGATACAAACCCACATAAAATGAATCTTTTTTTGGTCAATATTCGAAAAGTGAGGAAATGGATATGTCGCGTTTTGCTTCTAAACTCTTCATGTGTTTCTCTGTATTTGGCACGTGTAGTCATTGCTGCTCACCGTCATTAACTCCTTCACCAACCTGGCTTTGTTTGCCTGTATGACACATGTACAATGTAGTGTATAATTATGTAAAGATTGAAGATTCTATAGGTACCAGTTGTCTGATGATTGGCGAATGGCATGAAGCTAGTGGTGACAACGAGTCGGAAGTATGATTATTATTATTATTATTATTATTTTAAAACGAAGGTAAGTTATGGGTCGCAAATATCCACGCAAACACACATCCAGTCATAATAAGGCACTTGTCATAAGTATCCGAACGTTTTCGGTCCCTTCTCATCAAGGATTATACAGGGAATGGCTCAAGCTGGAAAGACTAAAACTTATATAGCGTAAAGATAATTAGATAACAACACTCGTGACAAGGTGGAAAATTATCAAGTTTAGCACGACACAAAACTCGAAGGAAAATAATAATAGTGACAACAACATAGTGAGCAAATTAAGTTACATTGTTACCACCTCGACGAGGAGTAACACCAAACAATTGTAGCGACAACACATTTTCTTTCTGTACGCAAAGTTCAGGATCTAACTTACGGATATACAAAGCTTCTAACACAGCCAAATGTAACGCACATCTACCACGTGACAATATTGAGAAAACATTATCACTGTACAACTCACGACAATTGGTACGGGCTGACAGATGTTGCTTGATTGACGAAGTGCGATTCTTAGCTCCATTGGGTGTTGTCTCCTCCAATGTCCCGTCATCTCGCCTCTTCGTGGCATCACCACTATCTGTCTCTTCGCGTTTCCGCGGCCTTCCACGTTTCTTGACACTAACCGTTGGGTGCGCGATACCCGGTGTCCTTTCCGTTACGTCTCCTCCATTGCGGATTTCTATTGAGCTTCTTACTCCAACTTGTCCGGTGTCCGATATTGAGGTTAGTTTTCGCGGTCTACCACGTTTTCGAATATTGACTGTTGTTGTCACTTCCGTTGTCGTTGTACGTTCGTCCTCATCAGTCCGTATTTTCACTTGGCTTCTCGTCACCCTTTCCGACGCCGACAGATCCTTTGTAAAACTTGATAATTTTCAATGACTTGATAATTTTCCACCTTGTCACGAGTGTTGTTATCTAATTATCTTTACGCTATATAAGTTTTAGTCTTTCCAGCTTGAGCCATTCCCTGTATAATCCTTGATGAGAAGGGACCGAAAACGTTCGGATACTTATGACAAGTGCCTTATTATGACTGGATGTGTGTTTGCGTGGATATTTGCGACCCATAACTTACCTTCGTTTTAAAGTATTATCCGCCTCCGACCTCTTTAAAAAAATTATTATTATTATTATTATTATTATTAGACACAATATCATAGCAAGTGACAAGCATAGCTAATGCAGGGACAGAATCCCCTGAGACAAGGGCGTTGAGCCAGCCACAGCAATAGTAAGATAGGAAAACAAAGCAAATATTAATTAAAGCAAAAATGAGTGGAAAATTACAAAGAAAAACTATTAGTGTTATGTTTATGCTGTTCCTTGTCAACTAGGCTATCAGTACACTTTGGACCCAAGTTTGGCCACGTATGTGCCGATCGAGAAGACCTATCATCTGTGGAGACGGCGACGATGGGTGCGCACGAGAGCTCTGGTTGCCGGCGGGTCTGACCAAAAGAAGAAGGTGAGTTCAGGCATTTTACGTAGCAACTGAACAATCTCACGTTTTCACTCCCATCTTGTGTTCTATTCTTGACACCGCGTCTGCATTAGGACCAAGATGAAGAGCATATGAAAGAAGGTTGGGAGTACTCTCACAGCTTCAGTGGTTCTTTCCATGTTGGCAAGAAATTGTTTGACAAGTGCCGGCACCGGCGATGGCACCGCAAGGTTGTGGCTGCAAAGGATTCCGACGCGACATTGGCGTCGCCAACTTTCTATTTCAATGACCCTGAGAAGGTAAGCAATCACGTTCTGCAGACAGTGCCAGGAAGCGAGAGATTTAGGGCAGTGCAACTAACGCAGATTTGGGGTAATCTGGAATCAGTGGGCTCGTGAAGTGAAGCTTATTACTTACAAGGTGGCTGTGACCACCAGCAGCCATTTTTTGTTTGCATCTTTTTAAGGTTTTTGTTCAGGTTATGCAGATTGCATGGCACCCGACTCGTTATTATTCATTTCAATCACCAACACTCCATTGAGTCAGTCTTTTAAACTGCATTTGAAAAAAAGAAAAAGAAAAATCCACCAATTTGTCTGCCCTGGGTGATCATCAGGATTGATACCCATAACTGTTATTGTATGTTGAGGTTAGTGGCAGCACATGAATTTGAAATTTGTTGTCTCCCACACTCCCACACTGCACACTGCCACACTGCCACACTGCCACACTGCACACTGCCACACTCCCACACTGCCACACTGCACACTGCACACTCCCACACTGCACACTGCCACACTGCCACACTGCACACTGCCACACTCCCACACTGCCACACTGCACACTGCACACTGCCACACTGCACTGCCACACTGCACACTGCCACACTGCCACACTGCACTGCCACACTGCACACTGCCACACTCCCACACTGCCACACTGCACACTGCACACTGCACACTCCCACACTGCCACACTTCACACTGCCACACTGCCACACTGCACTGCCACACTGCACACTGCCACACTGCCACACTGCACTGCCACACTGCCACACTGCCACACTGCCACACTGCCACACTGCACACTGCCACACTGCCACACTGCACACTGCACACTGCCACACTGCCACACTGCCACACTGCCACACTGCCACACTGCCACACTGCCACACTGCACACTGCACTCCTAAGCCGACCTTTTACATGTATGCAGTGCACTCACTGACTTCCACCATCCAACCAACTGCAAAGCGTTTTTCTGATATTGAGTAGATAGTTGATAGATTCTCCTTTACTGGCATTATATGGAGGTAAAATTTGAAATGTTTCTCTGTAGATCTTTGAGGAATAGCCTTCTCAATTTCCATTCTTCCAATGGTAGAAGGCTTGTCACAGAAATCTACTGTCCTTTTTTTTTCGATCACCAAGGGTGGGCCTATCATGTGACTTTGTTCTGTTTTCTTGCTCTGCAGGGTATTGCCGGTCACCAAGAAACACCCCGGATGTTCATGCGCTTCAAAGGTATTGCATACACGTATCCCATGCACGATCACCCATTCTGTAAGACATATCAGTGTATAAGCGGTATGGCTATGTGCACTTATGAGCTCTCTTGGTTGTACACAGTTTGTCTTTCAACGATGTCTGAGAATAACACGCGCTATTTCCTTGATTTCCGAGACACCCTTCTGTAGTAAACTTTGCCTCAAATAGGCAAATACTTCTATTACGTCTGCTCTGGTCATTCCATGATCGTGGACGACACGAGGTCGATGAAGCTGCAGTTCCACCAACTGCCTGTGTCTTGGTGTGATGGGCAATGTTGACAATCTTAGATCTGCCCGGTTGATGTGGTAACTCATGACACAACACAACATGGCAGTCCTTCCAATGTACAGCGTACAGTGTATGTACAGCTTACGGCCATCATGGACGCAACTGCCTCCTGTACGTATTAACGCACGTTTCCCCATGGGTGTATGTTTCATTTACGTGCATGCTGTATGCAGAACCTCACCGCTACCAGCTGCGTGTGTACCTGTATCAAGCAAGAAACATCCGCAGTGCTGATTCCACTGGCTTGTCTGGTAAGTAGCAAGTTGATGACTTTTAAAGTGTTTAGGAAACTTCACTTCTCAACTCCGAAAACGGTCTTTTCACTGCAATTCAAATTCGAATTAAGATTTACATCACTGGGTGTAATGTAAATACGAATAAGCGGCGCGGAGACAATAACTTTAATAAAGCAATAAGCAGAATCAGCGAAGCGGACATTGGACGTAGTCCTGAACAAAAATAAAAGATGGATAATAAAGTTTCCGAACACGTTTTCTAGAGACATTCATCAGGGAAAATACGTCTCAATAATGAAATCTAGCAATAAACAACGATATATACGTTGAAGAGTACGAAATGCAGTATGTGAAAGAAAATAGGAGTAATGTAAATCTTATTTTTAATTTGAATCGCAGTGAAGAGATCGTTTTTTGGAGGTGAGAAGTGAAGTTTCCTAAATGTGTAAGTAACTGCGTTGCAGTTTGCGGACAAAGTGAGCCTAAAATGCGATCATATCCTGGAATAAAATCGTTAGTTTGAGGGATGTGGAAAGGGAGAGACCCGGTTAACATGTTCACCTCTTGTTTGGTTCTGTCATCCAATCTGCTGCGTGCTGTTTCTTGGCACACCAGCGACTAGTACTTCAGCAATCAGACTTGGTGCTTGATGTATCTATTGATCTATGGTGTAGACATGAGTTTAGTAATGGTTGATGATTGCCAGCTTTTGTCTTGCTGTCTGATTGTTTGATGTACTGTACTGTTTGGTACCAGATCCTTACTGTCGCCTGTCATTCAGCCATCACTGCGAGACAAGTATCATCCTGAAAGAGACCATTATGCCAACATGGGACCAGACTCTCATCATGGACAACATTGATCTGTTTGGTGAACTTGAGACAATAGCTGCCTGTCCTCCTGACCTTACCATCGAACTCTTCGACGAGGATATCATTGTAAGAACCTGCACCTTTGTTGTGGTATGCACCAGGGCTTCATCAGCAATGTGTACTTTGCTTGGCTTGTTGGTGTGCAATTTCTTGAGATTTGCCAGTTGACTGCTTTGTTTTCAGGTGGAGTAACATTACAAAAAGAAAGATGAGAAAAATTGGAGGGTCACCAAGACTCACCATGCTCTTTCCCTGTGCAAATGCTAATATTCATGACATGCTATTTTTGCAACAACTGATGATGATTTCGCTGAGTATCTTTGGAGAGAGCTATGGAAACAAACACTCACGATGACCAGTAAAAGAAAAAATGTCCATCATGACTTCTAACTGAGGCAGAAGGTCATAAATGGACACTTTTATGACTGTTGTCGGCAGGAGAAGGCCAATTGTCGGCAGGTCGGGACATGCCTCCAAAATCGGCAGGCTACTGACATGTCGGCAGGTGTGGCAACACTGGCGCAGCACACAATGCCGTTCTTGACCTGGTCTTCGTCTTCCAGTGCTTGTGTGGGGGTGTGGGAGATCAGCAAAAACTCATTTTCGTCCCTTGAAAATCTTGTGCAAACAGGCATTTAGGATAATTAATGGTTTGGATAGTTGGCGCTCTACTGTAGTGTTGTGGCTGCATAGCTTAGTTGGGTATGTATTATTGGTTTGTAGGGCAAGGATGAGTTCCTGGGAAGGTGTGTGGTGAAACCCTACATACGCTTGGAGCCTCGTCATCCTCCGCCAAAGTTGGATTGGTATCCGATCAAGTTCTTTGACAAAGATGCTGGAGAGGTGCTTGCTGCCTTCCACCTTCTGGTTGTAAGTTGTAGAATGTGACTGTGTCTTTCGTATTGTTTTGGGCAATTGGACTTTTCAGTACATTGCCTAGTGGGTCTGTCCGGAAGGAGTATTACATTTACGGGCACCCCTCCACTTATGCTGTTGTCAAAGGCATAGCATCTGGTGTTGAGGTTTGTTGACTGGTCAGATCTCACAGATCTGTGTGTATTCTGTGACTGGTGTCATCTTCTGTAGAGGTTTTTTTGTGTGCTTATCATTCTCTGTATTGCTGTTCCTTGCTGTGTAGAGCGAAGGCAATGAGCTGCCATTTGCACCTGAGAGGATGGAGGATAACAACAAGCTCTTCCGAGTGCCACATGACATTCGACCCCGTATGCAATCCATGCGAGTTGAGGTAAGTAGCTGCTCACAGTCACAGTTGTACCTCCCCAAAGAGAATCTGTAGCATGTGTTGCAACATTGCGTAATTGCATCCAAAGTAGGTGACTCCTGCAGTGACAATAGTGATTTTCTGCTCTACGATACGGGAACGCAACGCGAAGCATTACGGGACCACTCTTCGCGTTCCCGTAACGTAAAGGAAACCTGTTCTGCTCTACGTTCACGTAAAGAAGTCACGCGGAATGTGGACTGGGAATTTCCTGTTCCAAATTTGTCAGTTTCCTGCCTGATTCGGATGATACCTGGCAGATCCATACGCATTTTCTTTGCGTGTGCCACGATATAGAAAACCTCATCTCCGCATGGAAATCTGGGCACAAAACACGCAAAGCTGTAGATTCTAACCCAGACACCTGTTCTCTACGTGATTTCTCTACGTTTCAAGTATTGCAGAACATCACTACTATGTAACGAATATTAGTGTTCCGGTATTCCATTCTTCTTCTTTGTTTCTCTCTTTTCTCTGCTGCCTGTGGTGACAAGTTAGTATGCCCTGGGCTAATAGTATGTCATACACAAAACATCTTTCTCTTGGACTCGCTTTTGGTATTTTCCTAAAGCACGAGATTTCATTGGATAAAAAACACTGAGCACTAAAAATGGAGAATGCGCGCCTAAGTATGTAAAATTCAGCCGAAAATGATGACGAGCTAAATGACGCCTTAAAACAAGACAAATATATGCGAGAAATTCGTGGAATTGTGAGATTCATGACATTACCCCCCCCCCCCCCCCGTTACCATAGCCACACTATTATTATCTCAACTCTCTTTGAATTTCAAGTTCCAGTTTCAGCTTATTTTCAGTTTGTGACACAGTTGCATGAGTATGTTTTTTTCCTTTCCAATGGCTGTGATTCTGTTGTCTTGTGTCCAATTCTGTTTTGTTTTGAATTAGGCTCTATGCTGGGGCGTTCGGGATTTGAAGCGGCTGCAGCTGTTGTCCGTGGACAAACCGTTTGTGACAATCACTGTTGGTGGTGTGCAGATGAAGACAGCACCGATCAAGAAGATGAAGAAGTGTCCCAATTATGATGACCCACTCCTGGTCTTCAAGAAAGTGGTGAGTCCCTGCTATGGTCTTTGCTTGATCCATACCCAGCGTTAATAGTTGTTAGTTAAGGTAGCGCGTCAACATCTCCCTATGCCATGTCCATCTTTTCATTTTGCCATAGCACGTTTACTTGTGGGGTTTGAGGTAGCTGTAAAGTGTGTGTATGCTCACTGGTAAATGGTGATAAATCCATTTTGTGTCATTGTAGCTACTGCCTCGCGAGGAGCTCTACATGCCTCCAATGAGCGTGCAGGTGTTCGACAATCGAGCATTCGGCCGAACACCGCTGGCAGGAACGCACACGATTATCGACATGACTTCCTACAAGCGGGATCGATTCCAGTATGAAGCACCGCGTGAAATGCACCGGCCAGCTAACTACTCACGGCGACACTCACGTGAGATTTGTGTGCTTGGTTCCTACAGTTGCTGACGTGGTACAGTGCATTGACTTCTGCCATAGCAGTCTGATGTGTGCTGCACAGTAATTATGTGTACATGTATACTCAGTATTACTCACATAGACAAATTATCAACAGAATAGAAGTTGTCATTATGTATAACTCTCATCTAAACTGCAGACTGGAGACGTCTTGCTAGGTCATTGTTATCTGCTGCAAGTTGATTCTGATAATGGGTATCTAACGAACTGTGCTACTGAGAAGGCTAACTAGAGCTGAGAATACTTCGCTTTGTTGTTGGCCTTGGTCTGGGAATCTTGTACCAGTACTAGCTATTACTGACTGCTTCAGGCACAAGCTCTCATCAATGTCCCCTGCGCTTGCTTCTTGATATTGTGCAGCATTTGAGCATGTTGTGGAGGTCCGTGGTACAGTCTTACCCAATCTGAATGCTGAAGGAGCAGCTGATGACAAGAAAGCAGATACTGGCTCTGTCCACTCAAAAGGATCCAAGAAGGTGGGCTTTCTTGTCGTTGTCTTGTAGGACCTTAGCGACATAACGTGTTGCAGTGTTGCTTTGTCTACATGTACTCTGTCACTGTTACAGTGTCTTGTGGGTTGTGTGCGTTCGTGCGTGTGTGCATGCGTGCATGTGTTTCCACTCTCTGTGGTGGACGTCATGCTTCCCCGGGCACTTATACCTGCCTTAGACCCATCTTGTGAGAAGTGGTCTTCGAGAACTGTGTCTTCTGATTCAATTTGCCACGGCTGTTTTCAGGGCAAGAACATTGACGAGGATGATCGGCAAGCCGCGTTTGTTGATTGGTGGTCAAAGTACTATGCTTCAGTTGGAGGCGAGGAGGAGGCAATGTATGAAGATTACTTGAAGAGCTACACGGACATGATTACGGTAATGGGTTGTGTGTAGTTATGATTCTTGCTTTCGTGTAGTGGTCCAGATGTATATTGTCACCATTGTTGTGAAATCTAGTTATGAAGAAGTCCTTTGACTGTATCCCTTGCAATTCCTCCCCTTACCCATCAATGCTTTCATTGCTGTCTGATGACCGCTCAGTGCATGAGACTTCAAGTTGCAGCATAAATAGCCCGGGCCTTCACCTCCCGTGTGTGTATCCAAGTTTCAAGTTCCTATTGTTTCCAACTGGCGGCGTTTCATTTCAATCCTTTGTAGATTTACAGTGAGCCATTGGAGAAAGTGTTCGGTGGGTTCAATGACTTTGTGGACACCTTTTTCCTCTATCGAGGCAAAGGACAGCGTGACAGTGAGGATGCACAGAACCAAGCTGTTGGAAAGTTCAAGGTAAGTGGCTTATGACTTTGTACAGTAAATGGTATATAATAATATTTAAAACATGACACTGCACAAGTTAGTGCTGTGAAGAGCTAGCCACAGTGTCTTGTGTCATGTGGCACACAAAACCTGTATATCAATGGTGCCTTTATTAGTGGGCATGAATGTACAGCAGTCAATGGAGTCAATGGACAACACTGTCCAGAATAGTAGTCTGAGACTGCATTGTATGTATAGCTCCTGTCTTTGCCTTCCAATGAGTAATGGAGGTTAGTATATGCATGTTCTGTGGCATCATTGTTACATTCCAATAGCACCTTGTTGCCTCGTTGATTCCTGTCCCATGCTAGGGTATCTTTTGCATCTATCCACTGCCTGAAGATCAATCGGAGGAGCCTCCTCTGGTGCTTCAGAACACGCCGGCATCCGGAGAGCAAAAGTGCATCATCAGGGTGTATGTCATCAAGGTCAGCCAGTACAGCCAGTACACTGAGTACAGCCAGTACAGCCAGTATTGATTGTGCTGATTTGAGTGTTGTGTGATTAGCAATGGCACGTGCACTGTGCACTGCTACGTAGTGATTACATCATGGGTCACTTGGGCGCGTTTTGGGGGTAAGTTTGAAAAGAAGAGCTCCACCACGCGACTCGAGTCTGTGTCTAAACGTTTTCTTAACTTTCTCGTCGATCAGACAGGCAGGGACCTGAAGGTCACGATGAAGAGTTGCTGTGGTTATGGTTGTCACTGCAATTCTTTGAAGCCGTCGTGTAAGGAGATGAGTTTCCATTGTTTGCCACTGAAGGATCACGATGTTTGCTGAATGACTATAACATTGTTCCGTTTCCAGAACAAAAACCGTATACATGTACGTGCACCCAGCAGTTCACAGCCACAGGATATAGACTTGAAGAAGAACATCTTATTTAATACTATTGAGTTTAACAATTCCTCTGGATCATCAGGGGTTTTTATGGTACGTGGACATGGCTGGTTTTATTGCAAACTTTGAAATCAAACTACAGTAAAACCTGGTTTAAGCGACCACCCCACATTGCAAGGAAAAGCGGTCGTTAAAGCCAGGTGGTCTTTAGAACCAGGCCCCACAATGTCTGTGTAGAACTGTCCGTGCATGGAAAAAGTCCGAAAAAACGGTCGTTAAGAGCAGGTGGTCACTAAAACGAGAGGTCGCTTACACCAAGTTTTACTGTATTGCAAACTTTGAAATCAGATTATTAACGATGTCAAATGCGTGGGTTTGGTAATGTATGATTAACCCACATGCATGCACTTGCCACCGCACACCCAAGTGTGCGTGCACACACCCGCTAGGCCTTGTGGCCAAGCATAATAATATTATGTACACACACGCATACACACGCATGTATTCCACATTGCAGTATGCTTGCAAAACTTGCTCGCACCAGCACAACAAACATAGAACCTAGTTGTGGGGGTTTGCCATTATCTTTTTTTCACATTTGTCACTCTTTGAAATATCACCAATGATAGCAAATTGCCGTGTTAGCAAGAGCCATTGGGCACAACAAGCCAATGCATGGCTCATAATTCTTATCGCCTCATAACGCGCACAGCACGGCAATTTGTAACAAGCACAACTGGCAAACATGTCACCCGGCAACAGCAAACGGGTACATCGTTACAAACAAGGTGCCCCTGCAAACTCAACGGGAACGCACCAATACAAACACGGCCCCGGCAACAGCAAACGGGTACGCCGTTACAAACATGGTGCCCCGGCAACAGCAAACGGGAACGCACCAGTACCAACACGGCCCCGGCAACAACAAACGGGTACGCCGTTACAAACATGGTGTCCCGGCAACAGCAAACGGGAACGCACCAATACAAGCTGGCCTGGCAACTTCAAACAGGCGCAACTGACAAACTACGGTACCCAGCAACAGCAAATGGGTACACTGTTACAACATCAGTCCATCACATCAAAATGGCGCTGCCACAACATTGCAGCAGCAACACAGCAGACATGTATGCGTGGCCCTCCAAGCGATTGCAAAAGGGAGGGAGAGAAATTACCAGCCTGACACGGAAAGCACTTCTTGTCCAAAGGGAAAGACAACCAAACTGCATTCGACTAGCTACTGCAGCGCGCATAAAGGCAACAGTAGCAGCAGTGCTAAAAATGCGAATTACAGACCATGCTCGGCACGGAATAATAATTAAAGGGGAAGTTATGGCAAAAATTAAAATGTCACCAGTTGTAGTCTTCGGGGTGCTGAGTCGAATGGTCTTGGTCCGAGGAAGCTGAGACGCTCCCTTCCTACTTGAATCCCAATCGAACTCGCGCACTTCCACCGAAACTGGGTGACTGCGCCCTACTAGATGGGGATTTGTATGCAAAATGTCACTAAAAGCGCCATTTCGTTCTTATAAAAGCATGGATGACCGCGATCGGCCCATATGTTGTAGTCTTTTGGACGCTGAGTCGATTGGTTTTGGTCCGAAAAGGCTGCGATGCAGCGTTCCTCCTTTATTCCCAATCGAACATGGTTGAACAAGCGGTCACGTGCTCCTGCGTACACCAGTCACCTGGTCACCGTGCCTGCAGGGTACAACTTACTAGCCTGTTTGACCTTTTTTGGGTGCAGTCCTGTCACTCGAGTTGAACTCGAGTTGAACCTTGGTGTGAAAGTTGTCGCCTGCTGGCGTGGTGACCAGGTGATTTGGGCACCCAGGAGCACGTGACCGCTTTTTCAACCATGTTCGATTGGGAATAAAGGAGGAACGCTGCATCGCAGCCTTTTCGGACCAAAACCAGTCGACTCAGCGTCCAAAAGACTACAACATATGGGCCAATCGCGGTCATCCGTGCTTTTATAAGAACGAAATGGCGCTTTTAGTGATATTTTGCATACAAATCCCCATCTAGTAGGGCGCAGTCACCTAGTTTCGGTGGAAGTGCGCGAGTTCGATTGGGATTCAAGTAGGAAGGGAGCGTCTCAGCTTTCTCGGACCAAGACCATTCGACTCAGCACCCCGAAGACTACAACTGGTGAAATTTTAATTTTTGCCTTAACTTCCCCTTTAATGATATGCATCATGAAACCATCACTGCGCATGTGCCCGCGTGGGCTAATTTTTCAGCTTACTCACATTTTCACCTGTTCAATTATTCTCTTGACCTCTCCCTTCCAATTAGTTTGTGTTACTTTTGGGAATGCGCCGTAGTGCAGACCTGTCTCTGTGGCTTACGATGACGGATATCAATTTCAAAGAATTGATAATTTATCCCGAATGCCTAGTAAAACAGCATTACTCAAAAGGTGAGAGTGTTGAAAAGGCAAAAACAGCATTAGTAGGACTATGAAGTAGGGCTTTGTCTGCAGCTTAGGACATTTCGCTCACGCCAGGCCACCACCAGGCCACCACCAGGCCACCACCAGGCCACCACCAGGCCACCACCAGGCCACCACCAGGCCACCACCAGGCCACCACCACCAGGCCACCACCAGGCCACCACCAGGCCACCACCAGGCCACCACCAGGCCACCACCAGGCCACCACCACCAGGCCACCACCAGGCCACCACCAGGCCACCACCAGGCCACCACCAGGCCACCACCAGGCCACCACCAGGCCACCACCAGGCCACCACCACCAGGCCACCACCAGGCCACCACCAGGCCACCACCAGGCCACCACCACCAGGCCACCACCAGGCCACCACCAGGCCACCACCAGGCCACCACCAGGCCACCACCAGGCCACCACCAGGCCGCCACCACCAGGCCACCACCAGGCCACCACCAGGCCACCACCAGGCCACCACCAGGCCACCACCAGGCCGAGCAACACTTTCTAAGCTGGGTGTACATGTATTCTAAAAACCCTGGAATAACCGACGGTAACGCGGATGTGTGAACTTTTTTCTTTCTTTCTGCAATTGGTTACTGTGCTTCGGCCTCTGTTCTTTTCCAGAATTCAGGCTGATCTCCCGCGCTCTTTTGCTAACTTGTCCTTTTTTTCTTTATCTTCTTCATTGGTAGGGTATGAACTTGCAATCACAAGATGCCAGTGGCAAGGTTAGTGGATTTTCAGGTTTCATCCAACCCCACAGTTTCGTCCTGATTTTTCAACTTTCATCTGTCGCGCGCGCGCGCGCGCGCGTGTGTGTGTGTGTGTGTGTGTGTGTGTGTTTGTGTGTTTCATCTGTCGTTACTGCTAGGTTGCTGCTGGTAGCTATATTTCCTAACCACATGGCTTAGATAACTCGCATGCTAAATTCAGATCGAAACCGACTACAAAAAGAGCCCAGTTTCAATAAATCGGTCACTGAAGGGAGGGAGGGATAAGGGGGGTGGGGGATGCATGAATATTTTAATATAGTATGTGCCTGATGCATGGGCATGTGAATAATTCTAACAACACAATATGCTTGGACAACTGCAATTCTAGTACACAGACTCTCACCAGCTACATAGTACTCTGATCCTGGCACGTTATTTCTGCATTGAATAGTGATTGATTTTCCGCGCCGAATTTCCGACGCTGCATGCATGTCCAATGCTCGTCAACAGTACTTCACACTTTCCTTTTCCCGCGTTATCACCTCAGCTATGCCAGTTTTGCATGTGGAAACCCCCTATATAATAGCAGTTTGGTCTATATTTTAATCATTCAACATCTACCTTCACTGATGAGCTATGTACTAGCGAAACAGCTGTCTGAAGGAGTTTATCAATATCGTCTACGGAAGTGTCCTCGCAATGGTGATGGTTGTGTGCAGGAGGGTCTAGTCGGCTAAAGAGCGCAGTGTAATGGTGGAGGTGACTCAACATTTTCTTCAATGGCCGAGAGCTCTGTCGCACCCTGTAATAATATATGCCTGTTCATTCAATGTATTGTTGATGTACGTCTGTTGTGCTGCTGCAACATACAGAATGATCCATACCTGCGGATTTACCTTGGATCAGAGCGTCTTGTCAATGACAAATCCAACTACATTCCGAATACTGTCGATCCAGTCTTTGGAAAGTATGTGCAGTCTAAATTGCCTTCTTTTGCAGTGTATTTGGAATATTTGTGTACACACTCATCAAGTATTTATGTGTGACACACGTTTATAAACCTCCCCATTGTGCAGTGGAGCCTCTCTCGTGTGCTGCGTCTGGACTGAAGGGTGCCTCAGACTCGTCCTCAACTCGGAAGTGCACTGCTGTCACAATGGAATTGACTCATTATTTTCATTAGTTGGACTTGCTGACCCAAGATTGGTTTTTTTTTGTCTAACCCCAAGATTGATACCATTCGCAAGAATAACATCGATAAGAGCTGCGGGCTACGCCCATTTTTAATGCAGTGAAATAGTTCAGTTCACCACTACAAAAAGGATTTTTGGCTCTGGCTACCTAGCAAATCGCCCTGTTGAGAGAGGTGTTCAGATAAGAGAGGTCCAGATAATTAAAAAGAAAAGAAAGAAGAAAAAGAGGTTATACTGTACGGCATTTTGTTCACATTTTTCGTTGTTTGTGTATGCTCTCCCTTGTAGGATGTTTCAAGTGAAGGCGTCATTGCCTGTCGAGCACCAGCTGAAGGTACAAGTTATGGACTGGGACTTGCTGTCAGCCGATGATCTGGTTGGTGAGACGGTCATTGATCTGGAAGATCGCCTGCTCACCAAAAACCGTGCGACGTGTGGTCTGCCCAAGTCATACTGTGTGTGAGTCATACTGTGTGCAAGTTGTGCTGTGTGTAAGCCAGGTCTCATGTTATCATGTTGCTAGCACTGTACTGGCAAACTTCATTTTAGGGTGGATGAATTTTCCAAGTAAAACCATACTTTCGCATTTCTTTTATGCTTCTGAGCCGTGGTTGGCGTTCGCTCTCTTCTCTTTGTTCAGCAGTTTCATGCTATGGGATGGAATAGAAATTGATGATTATAAAGTGTGGCCAATACGAAGGGTTGAGTTATGTTGGTGCCCTTTTTCATTTATATTACCAATGCAGTGATGGCACGAATGCCTGGCGGGATAACCAGCGACCCACGGCAATACTCAACGAGGTTTGTGGGCGGCGGGGTATAACGCCTCCTGTGTACCATGGAGACTCTCGCTGCACTGTGGCTGATCATGAATATGAAGTTTTCCCCGAAGGTAAGTGTAATTCAACTTCGGTTTTATGCGAAGAAGAGCTGGGGCGGTCATGAGCTAGTGTGTGTGTAGTATCATGGCCATGTGAATAGTAAGAGTAGTCTGCATCGTGCCACCTTCCCATCAGGCGCTGGCGACCAATTCTGCTCGAAAGATAGTCATGGATGGTTGCTCCATCGATCTGTGAAGTCAAACCTTGGTGCCCCCTCCATGCATGGGAGCGGAATCGCTTATTTCAATATTTCCCGTGCTTGGATCCCGGACTAGCAGTAGCAGCAGCAGCATCAGCTGTTTTTCTATTGTGACTTCTCTTATGATTCTATTTCTCAGATGATGCAGTTGCGCCGCAGGACGAGCTGGGAGACCTGAAGGAAAGACTGGCTCTGAAAGTCTTGCACAACTTTGAACTGGTGCCAGAACACATTGAGACACGCCCGCTGTTCAATCCACTACGGCCTAGCTTGCCTTGTGTGAGTGTCGATGTGCATGTACATTTCATATTAATCTCAGTGTAGCTTATCCGGTCAGTTACTTGGTCCTATGTTGAACTAGTGTACATGTACACGTAGTTGTCCTCATTGTTATGGTAGTTCAGCATTCATGATACTTTGTATTGCCTAAATGCTTTGTACGCAGGGATAAGACGACTGTAGATTTTCGGCAATCAGAGATGTGTGTATGAATGCGTGAGGGCTATGACTGTGTTCATATGGGTATGTGACTATGTGTATACATGTGCGTGTTTATGTGCTTGTGGTATGTCGCAGGGAGAGATTCAGATGTGGGTGGACATCTTCCTGGAAAAGCGTGGCAAGCCGCGCGCTCCGGTCAACATTGCGCCACGTCGTCCTGAAGAGTACGCAATAGTACTAGTAGTTGTATGTCATGTGGCTAACAGGGACAGGGTTGCTTCTCCAATGACCTGCTCTTGCTGCTGTTCATGCAAGGTACATGTATCTGATTGGGGACTGGCGAGACTTTCTTTCCAGATGTAGAGTGCATATTTTTCTCGCGTTTTGACTAATAGTTCGTCACATAACCCGCCTCTACCATCTTTTACTTCTGTGTATATGAGGACATGCACAGGACATTTTTGTTTGTACTTTTTGTACTTTGTTCAATGTAGCTATGAACTGCGTGTGATCATTTACAATGTTGAGGAGGTGCCACTGGATGATGAGTCTATCACTGGTGAAGCCATGAGTGATATCTATTTGAAGGGGTAAGTAGATCGTAGATCTATGGCCAGTGACGCATGCATGCTCCTCCTAGCCCTTATAAGTGCGGGTTTTCCCTGGTTGAGTCCAGCCCTGACTTGATAAATAAAAAGAGCCTTGGTTACTATGGATTCTTTAAAATCATTCTTGTTTTATGTACTTGATGCTTCAGCTGGTTCAAGGAGAGTGTGGACAAGAAACACAAGACTGATGTTCATTACCGGTTAGTGTTTTGCAAAGGAGGTGCAGTATTGCCTTTGTAGCTGTCCTCATAGAAAGTGTTGAGCACCTGACAGCATGTGCATGGAGTATGGGCATGTTTGTATGTGCAACTTCAGCATATGTTAAAATACGATGTTGAACCGACGCATGCACTGCTGTACACAGTACTTGCCAGTGCATGTAGGCCTGTGGTTGTAAATGTGCACGATCCCGCACGGCAAGGCTAATCTTTCGTGTAGTGCACTCCACAGCAAGTTAGATCTGTTTTTGTCTGCCATTCCTGTTTGTTTGCCTATCCCCAGCTCATTGAATGGTGAAGGCAACTTCAACTGGCGATGGATTATGCCTTTTGCTTACATCCCACAGGAGAAGAAGATGGTTATCAGGAAGAGAGTGAGAGAAGTTCCCAATCTATATCTATATTCGCGCTGCTCTATCAACAACTCTGGTCTCTGCTTTGTGCCATGATTGGTTGCTCTTCTGTCGCTTTCAGCATGAGGTGTGCACTTGAGGCTGTTTCTCCTGCTTTGACTAGCACTGTTTTGTTTATTACAGCCTGTTTGGGCTCTTGTGGGCTCGTGCATTGTGCTGTGTGACTGTGCTATTCTGTATGCAGGAAGGACTGTTCAGTTGGGACAAGACTGAGTTCAAACTGCCGCCTACACTTGTGGTGCAGGTCTGGGACAATGATCTCTTCTCTCTTGACGACTATCTTGGTAGGTGCACTATTCAAGAGAGTGCTTTATTAGTTTTCATTGGTTCTCAGAGGCAGTTGCACTATTTGAAGCAGGGCAAAGGGGGGTAATTGTGAGTGCATGCGAGTGCCTGATAGCATGTGCATGTGCGTACTTGTGCATTCACAAGTGTATGGACTTGTTTATGTCTGGGTCTGTGTACGTTCGTGTTGGATATGATATGTGCTAATGTACAGGTGATATTGAGCTGGATCTCACCTTCATGCCACCACCAGTAAAGAGATCAAAGAACTGCTCTATGAAGCAACTGGATCCACCTGGGCCAAAAACCAAGAAGAAGTACCAGTTTGTCAGTCTACTGGAGAGCAAGTCTCTCAAGGGCTGGTGGCCGATTACTGGTGTGGATGCTAATGGCGACCGCATTCCTGCGGTAAGTAGATAGGACAACCGACTGTCTGTAAATAGGGCAGTTCGCATCCTGAAACTGCTTCTGTAGTCAATAACGTGATCACAACCCAGGTCTGTGATGCCATACACACCTGGGATTGTTCTGCTGAATGCCAACTAGTCATTTGCTGCTGCAGTGGTGCTTGTGCTTGTACTTGTGCTGCTGCTGCTTGGTCGGCGTTATAATCCTTGCTTGCCTTTGGTGTGGCTTTCCAGGGTAAGGTTGAGATGGAAATCGAAATTATGCGCAAGGACGAATCAGAGGCCAAGCCTGCTGGAGAGGCACGTGATGATCCCAACGCCAACCCGACGCTTGATCCACCCAAGTTAGTAAATTCCATGCTTTGAATTGATGCTATGACAGTTGTATGACTTATCCGGCAGTAATGGCAATTTAAGTAGGGGGGCTACATCCCATCGCCAAGCCCGGCTGCAGCAACAAAGACAGATCAAGTAACAGTTTCACCCTGTTCCTGTCACATGTCACCTATTCCTGTTACATATTTAATAACGACAGGGCTTGAAAGCCCAGTAACCCTCGCTCTGCTTTGTTTTCACCTTGGTCATCATGTGTGTTATTCGAAGTGATGAAAACGTCTTTGCAATGCAAAAACGTATGCCTGATAATCGTGCCCGATAATCAATAATCTAGGTAAAAACAACGTATGTCGAGGGCTCCTGAGCTTTTGAGTCCTCTCGTTTTCAAAACGAAATGATTTTAGTAAAATGTTCAGCCTCCACCCACCCCCAAACAAAATATTTTCATTCCGAAAAAAAAAACAATCAATAACCCCCGGACGACCCCTTATGAATAGATGCACGGAGGTGTTACATGTACAGTGCTGCTCAATGAAATCCAGTCTCGTCACTCAAGTACGCGCCGGGCGTTGCGCAGCCCTAGACCTGCGAACACTGGGCTGCGAAATGTTGCAATGTGCAAACTTGAGCGACGCGACTGGATTTCATTGAGCAGCACTGTACATCATTGCATGGTAGCAGTATGCCAGGTGGATTGTGAAAGGCACAATGTACCCCTCTTTAACCGATGTAAACTTCATATCCTGGTTTTGGTTTGTCGTGTCTTGCAGTCGCCCGCAGACATCTTTCCTGTGGTTCACCAGTCCGTGGAAGGTGCTCAAGTTTATAATCTGGAGACGCTTCAGAAAGGCAATCATCACGGCTCTCATCATCTCGGTGATCTCTGCACTGGTTGCTCTATTTATCTATGCGTCACCCGTAAGTTGTAGTACAGCCATTGAAATCTCTTCAAAAAAGGGGGAGCTTTGGGAGATAAAAAACGTCCATACTTATAGCCTTCTGGGCATTGAATCAACTAGTCTTGGCCTGGTGAGGCTGGTACATGGCATTGGTGAAATGAATATTCACAATGGCATCCGCTCTGTATTTGAATTCTGAGTCTGTGACATCCTTTGGGCAGCTCAAAGGATGCAGAGAAAGTGGAAAGTATTGCATGGTTTTAAAAGAGCTTCTCAACTACATACCTTGACACTAGTTGAGTGGCTGTGGCCCAAAAGAAGCTGCGGTACACTGTACAGTGTACCCCAATTAAATGCACTCCCAAGTCTGCACAAACAAATGCATTGGGTGCTTCCCAGTGGCCCACTTCTACGTCACCATCTGGAGGTTTGGGGTATGGCGATGGTTGTATCACAGCCTGCTAGGACCAAGACCGATTCAGTGCCCAGAATACCACAGATACTACAGGTACGTTTAACATTCAACCTAGGTAGGGCCTTTGCACCAGTATGTCTGAAAATGCATGAAACTGGGAGATCACGAGGATGACCAGCTGGCACTATCAAATGCACATGCATGCATACACAAACCAGCATGCAAGAACCGATGGCGTAGTGTATAATGATTTCCAATTTTCCATACGCTATGTACACATTCCAGTGGAACCTAGCTCTCCGACCGCCTAATCACCAGGCCACTTTTGCTGTAAAAGAACTTTATTGAAAAATCCATGAGAATGATCGGAAAGATGATTGAAGAAAAATCCAAAAAAGGCCACTTTTGCTAGGTCCCGAATTTCCTCCGAAATAGTGCATACATTTTTGAATCTCCTTTCCGAAAACCTCGGAAGTCCAATCTATGGCCACCTTTCTTTGTCCTAAACGACCGAAAGTATTCAAAAATGAGATTGCTACCTACCATTCTCTATGACAACAACCTGCACATGCACATGCATCAGTGTTCAAACAATTGCAAAAAGCACGTGGGATAATTAGAGGTGAAACGATTCTACTGAATATTCGAGTACTCGCTCGTTTTTATCAAAAATAATCGGACTCGGAATAAATCAAAGTGCTCGTTCATACATGGCACATGCATTACCATAGAAATCTGCAGTTTCGTAGCATCAGTCAGTAGATATTGATGTGCAGACTGTCTGGCGAACATGTGTACATGGCTAGAGAGAGCCCAAATCACCCACCAATCGAAATACCCGAGAAAAATGACTGCCAATCGGTTCAATCAGGGTTGTATCATGTGACTTTTAAGGCTCTTGGTGTGCAATTTTGGGAGATGAAGAATACTCGAATACTCGATTATTCACTCGAATATTCGATTGGAGAAGATCAGAGTACTCTAACTCGGGATCCCAGTGCCAAATTTCACCCCTACAGATAATGGTGTATGTGAGGCACACTCATATGGTCACAGCACTCTCTGCTGTGGTAGTGTGTTTGTAGCATGCGTCACCTCCACCAGATACAACTCTTAGTTTTAGCACTCTTGCCTAATGTGGCACATGCACTCTTGGCACTCTGTACACTTGCACACTCTTTCTTCTCACACCTTTGTATTTCACGCCCCTCAGTTTCCATTGCTTATCTTCAGTTGATTTCATCCATTTTTTCCTTCTGGTGATTGATTCGAGTCAAGAGGATTGACTTCTCCAGTGCCTACCGTGTGCGCTTCATGTTCATCAGATTGCAGCATTATTCACATGGGAGTCCAGTTGCCCCAATCCAATCGAGCGGAAACGAACTGTGTCAGACATAGGCCATGGTAATGTTGATCACATACACTTGTATGATTTTCCACCAAAACACATGCCCTGTTTGCTATTTTGATGACCCTTTCCGTTCGAATTTTTTTCCGTTCCAGGGCTACGCTGTCCGCAAGTTGTTCGGCTTTCAGTAAAGCTGTACGGTTGTGTCGAACACCTGGCTTGGTTGGAAATGAAATTGCAGAGTTGCAACGTCATGACGATCAGGATGGATTACGGATCGATGCTAATGACCGGGTTCGAATGACTGCTGTTAGTGGTACAATGATACTTCCTTTACCAATGTTGGAATGTCAACCTTCTCTAAGCGATGAGTATTGCACTGCAAACTTCACTTCAGAGTACCTATTCACATATCCTGGCTACCGCAGACCGAGAGCTGCACACCACTGCCCAAGTTAAATGCTGCGTAAGCACTTGTCGGTGTTGATCGCTGTATTTATTAACTGTCATATTGTCTACCTGGTTGTCAAAACTGTTGCTTGCTGTACTGACCACATTAACACACCGGCTGCGTTTCAAGCTTTTTGATCTGTTCAAAGCATACACTGCTGACCTTGTCACATAGCGGGTACTTAAGAGTATCAGCGCAAGACTGCTTCCATGAATGTGCCCTGGTTCAGTCCAGGCATTCACCCACTGCATTCTCAATGTATCTGTGCCCATCTAAACATCTAAACAGGCTACATAAGATACGGAAATTTCCTTGCATTGTTTCGCAGCTCCTTTGCTCACAATACCGTTCGCGAAAATTGCAACTGATGTTGCTCACGAAATGTGTCCCCTTTTGGTACCATGCAAAGTGTAGTGCATTGATTCATGTACACACACACACACACACCCATACGTACATTGTACTGCACACCGCCTAAGTACAGTGGCATGTTTCACTGCGAAGAATTTGGCTGCCATGAGGTTGTGTGCAAAGCATGCGAACTGCATCCACAGTGTTTTTTATAATTACACCTACGTAGTAGTACTTTTAAAAAACAATAAGAGGACGGAAAAAGTGTTAACTCTGAGTTTCACGCACTAAGCGATCATCAGAAATTACTTACCCTGACTATTACTTACCCTGACTATTACTTACCCTGACTATTACTTACCCTGACTATTACTTACCCTGACTATTACTTACCCTGACTATTACTTACCCTGACTATTACTTACCCTGACTATTACTTACCCTGACTATTACTTACCCTGACTATTACTTACCCTGACTATTACTTACCCTGACTATTACTTACCCTGACTATTACTTACCCTGACTATTACTTACCCTGACTATTACTTACCCTGACTATTACTTACCCTGACTATTACTTACCCTGACTATTACTTACCCTGACTATTACTTACCCTGACTATTACTTACCCTGACTATTACTTACCCTGACTATTACTTACCCTGACTATTACTTACCCTGACTATTACTTACCCTGACTATTACTTACCCTGACTATTACTTACCCTGACTATTACTTACCCTGACTATTACTTACCCTGACTATTACTTACCCTGACTATTACTTACCCTGACTATTACTTACCCTGACTATTACTTACCCTGCTGACTTGACAAAATGTACTTGTAGTTTACTGTACTTGAATTATGCAGTACATGTATAATCATTTAAAGTGCATTTGCATACTAGTAGTACTTAGTACCATGTCCTGTTCCCCATGCATGCATGGGGCATATGTCTTATCAAGAGTACATAACCCCCTCCCCCAGAGTGTGCAATGCCTGATCCAGCTCTGCGTAGCGTCTTGGTCGAGCATAATCGGATCTTTGCATCATAATACCGTACATATCTGATTCCAGGCACGTCCCAGTCGCGGGAAGGACATTTTTGGGGTCCTGGCAGTTGTACCATGTCCGTACAGGAGTCCAAAAGCATATGTGCGGCATCCCTATGACTGTATCGAACACACAAGATTGGTACGCCTAATATTATCACAATCCCGTAGCACCCGTACAGATTGTGCATTCCAACATGACTTTTCTTCACCAAAATACGCCAGATCCGGGAACTCTCAACCCAAAAACAAAAGGTGCCCCGCCTCTCGCTGGTGTGGAGCATACACATAGCATCAGAATATCCCACAACGCTCGACCAAGACCCTATGAGAGCTAAATTAGGCGTTGCACACTCTGGGGGAGGGGGGGGGGTAGGAGGTACATGTAAGTACTCTTGGTCTTATGAATATCCCAACGTACCTAGGTACCACCGTCACAGTGTTGCCTGCACCTCCATACTGTACTTACATTGTACATGTAGGTACATGTACCGTCCAATACTTTTTCTTTGATCCATGAGGTTTTATTGTACCAATTGGCCAAGCGCACAAGGGTTCTGCAACAGCATTTTTATTGTACCCTGATTACCACTGGTTGTTCTTCCAGGCCCAGTGTTCCAGTGTACTTACGGAACTAGTCCCCCCCCCTCCCCCCCCCCCCCCCTTGGTTGTTTTCTAAGTGCCCACTTACTACGGTCTACTGTACCCTGTTCCAAACAATGAGGTTTCTCTGGGATGTGTATCATGTCAGTAGTTGTGGTAATAGTTGGTAGCAGTGAGAGTACATTCATGGTGTTATTATTATTATTATTTTATTTATTACAGCATCTCATAGCACAGTGAGAACACTGGCCAATGGAAAGAGAGAGGGTGTTAGCCAACCACGTGTTCCGTATGTACATTGCCTTGTGTTGGCCATTTGCAGTACCAGTATTGTTTTTTTGCTGGATTGCCATGATTGGGATGTCATACATACTTGAGTTTTTTTGTGTCACCTAGTCACCTGGTAGTAACATAGCTATAGCACAGTGATCCACTTGCAATGCATAGCACAGTGGTCCACTTGCAATGCATAGCACAGTGATCCACTTGCAATGCATACTACTATTGTACTATTTGAAGTACAACATGTAGTACGTTGAACTTGTGCGCACTTGTCTATCAGATTTGGTTGAAATCTCACATGAGTGACAAGAGACAAGGAAGAAGAAAAGTAATGGTGAGAATTGGAAAGAATCCAGAAGGGAAATGGAAGAAGAAAGGGAAGATAGGAAGCAAAGAATGCAAAAGCGAAGTCCATGAACGTTGAAGATCCAAGTTCCCAGCGCCCATTACAAAAAGGCTGGATAATGAAGGCAGCTACGGTGAGAACACTGTGTGTATAGCGTGCAGAATGTGGGGGTTTGATTTGTAAAGACTGTATTAGTAACATTGTCTTGGGTCACGCTCTAGACTAGTAAGTAACAGCTGTAGTACCATGAGTACTGCCCCAACACCTCAACTTGTAAACTAGTCCCCGCCTCTTTAGCCTGCATGTGTCTGCCATGGCCCACTGGTGCACCATGGGTCATTCAGTTCTTCCACAGTTCATGTCACTATTGCTTCTCCTGTCATTTTCTCAAGTGTTAGTTTCTACACCTAGCTGGACTGACCGTAGTAACGTGTACACATGTGGCATGGAATGCGCAAGTAATACAGTGAAACCTGTCTAAGACGACCGCTCAAGGGACCTTCAAAACGTGGTCTCTGTTACCAGGTGATCGCCATATCCAGGGTTAATTGACTGGAAATAGCATCCCTTGGTCCTGGTTCCAGTGGTCGTCTAGGACAGGTGGTCGCCTTATCCTAGTGGTCGCCATAACAGGTTTTACTGTAGTTGATTCTGATGATGTGCCTTTACACGTAGTCGTTGGCGGTAAACTTTTTGGTATCTCATAGTCATACCATTACATTTTTATGGTTTAATATACAGTACATAGATGATCAGTTATATCCACAGGTAGTCTTAGTCAGTCCAGTCAGGTGGCTTCACCATGCTCACTGTGACCTGCGCTGCATGGGGGTGTAGTCACTGCACTGTCATTGTGACTTCACCACAAACCATATACATCTAGAATACTAGATCTAAGCCTACATGACATTCTCATAAGTGATAGACTGATAGTCATTGTAGTTCCTTGTAAATTTTACTAAAACATTACTTTGTAATTAATTGTATTGCACAGTGTCACTTGTCAGTGATGTACAAGTAACAATCATTGTTACTGATGTAACCCGGCTACATACAAGACACACATGTACGACATTGGGAAAGGATGTCATGTACATCAGATACTCCCTACTTGCAGTACCACTCGATCAAGACTCAGAGTGCCCTCAAACTTATAACCGTTACTTGCGCTCAGTGTACATGGTGTAGGCAAGGCAAAACACAATCAGTCATGCATCTCTCACGCCAAAGGGTCAAAACCAAAATGGAAAGGTCACACTCACAGAACCATACTATTACTAACGTAAGTCGTTACAACTTACTTACATGTCCTGCAGAACAGCACAACGATTACGTAAGTCGTTCAACCTCCCCCTCCCGCCCCGTTCTTTGACTCCCTTTGAGTTTGACTTTAAAAAAGTCATGGTATGAACAGGGGTAGATGTACTACTGTAGTATCCCACCGGTAGCGCCTAGGGATCCATCATAAGATGCACGTAACCATGGTAACAAGTCAATGACAAGCTAGCAAGCGATACACTACTCCGACTCGTAGATCTACTGAGTCTGTCTACTGAGTCGTATTACTAGTATTAGTCTAGATATCTGACGCCGTGACAGATTATTTTTTAGATAGACACGATCACGGATGCATCGCGATGTCCTCCGTACCTCGAGGCTTCCTACAATGTAGTCTAGATCCTGAAAAAAAGGCTAAAGACTACTCGTACCGCATGCACGCGCGCGCACTGCGCCGCGCAGTACCGGTAAGTGTGCACGTGCCAGTGGAAGTGGCGCATCAGTGGTACGCGCATGCGATGCTGCTTTCGCGCGGTTCAACAGGGGTCATGCGTTGCGCAGCGGCTAGTGCAGCGGCACATGCACAGACAGCTAGCTAGCTAGCTATCCTAGTCCCGGCCGCAGCATCGAGGTCCTTACCGTGTCGGGCCACACTGACCCGGTGTGCACTTGCAGAACATTTTTCTGTTCCACTACGGTGTGACTGGGGATCACTGATTGAGCATGGTTGATGTGGGTGAATATTGAGCTGCACTATCGAGGCTAGTGCAGTGCAGACGTTCGGCTTTGGACGTCTTCTGCACTGGCCGCCAGGAGAAGATTTTTGTTTTTCTACCTGCTGTTCGTTGCAGTAGCCCTTGCTCGGTTCTGAGTGGCGAGGGAAGGCCAGGACCAGGCATTAACTTGCCTCGGCACATCTGCAACACGTGGACGGCTTCAACATGTCGTTGACCGTCAATGTGAAGGCGGCAAGCGACTTGCCAAACCTGGAAAGGTTTGGCAAGAGCGACCCGATGTGCAGTATTCAATTCCAAGGTAAGAATGTGCCGTCTTTCCTCTTGTTGTGCGCGTCCTAGAAACAATCAAATACCCTATGTCACATACCATGATTACGCCCGCTGCACATCTTCTTTCGTTTTGCTTATTAGTGAATATACCCTCTCTTCTTGTGGTGTGTCACGCAATACATTTTTAATTGATGTCGGAAACTGGAGTCCTGCTTGCTGCACACTGTTCTTTTGTTTGTTTTGCGTGGGTCCTGCTGTGAAAAACAGCTTGTTCTTTAGTTCCTCACGTGTTTCCACTGGCACAAACTTTTTTATTGTAACTGTTGAATAGCATTTTTGTTTTGTTTTGGGCTTGTCCTGTGGTTCTCTAGGCAAGAAAGAGAAGACAGAGGCGGTAAAAGGTGATCTCAACCCACAGTGGAATCAGGTTTGTCTGAGGCTCGATTCATTCCCCTTGCTGTATTTGAAGTACTGATGCTCCCTCGGTGCACAGTTGTGTGACTGCTCAAGCACGGAGGTTGTTCCTGTGCTGAGTGTGCACTACATGATGTAGCTCACGAGTGCTTCCTTTTGTAGGAATGGATGAGCGGGTCTTTGCATGCATGGGCCAGCTCTTCGGGATTACGTTCGCCATTCACTGTTGGAGGTCACGATTCGACCCCTAGAGATGCACTTCGACTTACCGCACTTTGGCAGGGCTGCGGTCTGTTTACGGCTGATTCGTTCGCCTGGAGCGTCGAGTCCAGACTTTTTTTGTTTCGTTTCAGAGCGCTAGCTCTATAGTATAGATGAGGACAGCAGGTAGATTCACAGACCAAAACGGAGAAAAGGCGCAGCTGTTATTGACATAATACTTATTGTCAGATCAGTATTGTGAGCGCTGTGCAGTCGACATTTTAGAGATTGTGTCTTATCTGTAGGTTCGTGCTAGCGTGCTCTGTGTAAACTACTAAGTACAGTACATGATTGTAGTAACTACATGTAGTATGAACCTTGTTTCTGTTTATCTTTATTGCTGCCCCCCCCCCCCCCCCACACACACACACATGACCTGTTGTTGGCTAATACCATACATGACCTGTGCATAATATGAGCCTGACTGTGACACATACTGACATAGTCATCAGTGTGTCTGACTGACTGTGTCACTATCAGTCTCTAGTATGAACACGTTCAATACTAAAGAGATACCCAGTCAACTCATCACATGACATGTACACACCATAATACTTCAACACAATGTAACCTTCCTCAGGAATACCCACTCTTGTTTTTATGTTATGAATATGGGATATATTGTTGAATGATTACTGCAAAAAGTCCATGTTAACACACTGTATTCTGACAAGATATTCATATCATTTCTACAAGTACATCGAACCACGTCATGCAAAGCTACTGCACAGCAAGAAAGTTGTAATACCGTATTTCCCCGGATATGAGTCGCACCTTTTTACACCTAACTTCACAGGCAACAAAGGGGTTGCGATTTACAATCGAGCAGGACTTACCACTGAAGTGAATATATTGAACCGATGTGACTTGGTAAAAGTGGGGAGGCTTCCTGCAGTTTCATAAACAGTTAGAGTAGAGCCCACGCGCTCTCTTCCATTCACACTGCAACAGTCAAACTCATTTCACAATAATTATTCCAACATTTCGGCAAATTGCCTTCATCAGGTTCACAATGATGTGCAAGCTCCCAAACCAGCATTGATAAAGGGATGTGACTTGGACCTGGAAATGGGGGTGCGACTTTCAATCGAGTGTGACTTACAATCGGGGAAATACGGTACAGCAACATTGCCAGCTTTGTATCTGGCTTACATATCATCAAGAGTACATAAACAAGATTGTGTAGTTCCGCAGCTGGTCTGGTCCACGGCGGACTTTCTTGTTGACGTTACCGTTTTCAGAGCCTATCATGCATGTGATACAGAGCACGGGCAAAGCATGCGCTGGACGAAAACCTTTATCGCTTATTTTAACTTTTTCTCTTGCTGCTGTAACTTTTTACCGTACACGTAGTGCAAGTTTAGTGAAACCCTGTCGAGTTCACACGGCCACAGACTTGCAGTGAATGCCCCGTACGGTGTGATTCATGATCTCCAGGAAAGGTGACACAAAAAATCCCCCCCCCCCCAAACCAAGGGGAGTTGCACGAGCAATTATTCACTCGAATACCGAATTCAGCGAATGAACAAATAATCTACCAGTCATGCGGTAAGAGATAGAGGTCGGAAGCAACCATGATGGACTTTGACAAATAACAAGCAGAATTAGCGGGGCGGACATTGTACGTAGCAATGACAAAATATAACAATAATCCCCTAACTGTTTACCTTGAATAATTATGAGTTCCGAAATGTCCTAGCCGATTTTCATGAGACCTTCATGAGGGACATACGTCTCAACAATGATAACTAGCAATCCATTGTATGTATGTGGACCAACAGCATAATGAAAGTTTCTACTTCTGGTGCTGGCGCTGGTATACTGTCATTGGCTTTTTATATATACAGTACATGCATATAGTACAGAACCGTGTGATGACGGAACCTGTGCCATTCTCTACAGCTGACTCAGTTGTTTCCTTTGTTTCCTTCGTTTCTTGGACGTTCTGCAGTCATTTTCCTTCACACTTGGAAATCCACTGCGCAATGATGACCGACTTACAGTACAAGTATTTGACTGGGAGCGTACTGGAAGCAACAAGTAAGGACATATTTTCTTTGCCGCTACGAATGCATGTAGGCACGGTGGCACACACTGAGCTGCACATGGAATGGAGAACTGGAGATGCTCTTGTTGTGCATGTCTGTGAGATAAGCTTCCCACTGGGTCTGTATCAATCAGTTTTGCAACCAGTACAATGACTGCCTGCTGTTATGGTATGGGCCCAATGTGTTGCTTGAGTAAGTGCATAACTATATTCACTGGTTGTGTCTTGTGCTGTTCGCCCATTTCTTTTTTGACAGGTTGATGGGACAATGTGATGTAAATCTGCGAGAATGCATCGGGTCTGGCGGTATGGAGGTTGACTCTCAGCTGCAAAATGGGCAAGGAGAAAAGATCAATGTGAGGGTCCTGTTTACTAAGTCTGTTTGAGCTTTTGAGTACATGTCACAGCAAGGCTGCAAATGCTTCGTCCGTTAGGAATCATCAGAGTGTTCATTGGCACCAGGGCATTCAATGCCCTGATATTGCCCGATGGACAAAATACTGGCAGCCTTTTTATTGATTTTCTATGCAGCTAAGAGCCTGTTGTGAAGCGTAGGATGGTTGTATTTTCAAGTGTTAGTAGTTTTTTTCAGAACTTTGCAGCTCCATCGTGTCATCTTTTCACTACACTTCCAACTCGCACCACACGAAGTCCTGTTGTACGTGGTGTAGCCGAGGACTTTGTATGTTGCGAGTTGGAGGTGTAGTGAAATGTTTGTGTAATGCCCAAGTAAATCATCAAATGAGGTTCTCACGTCCATCTATGATGTCTAACCATTGTGTCTTGTCATGGGCACCGTCAAAAGCATTCCCTTACTGATAGGCTTGAGGGTTTCAGGTCCGTGTTGCAATTGTCATTCAAGTGTTTAGGGGTTGTCATTCAAGTGTTTAGGGGACCGCCTCCTGGCCGTCTGATAGCCATGATTGTTACGCAGTGGGCATCTAACAAGATCGCAGCAATTTTTTGAAAATCACTGGATTCACGAATATCCGTTCCAAGTTAGAAGATATTATAGAATTATCTATTTGGACGGAGTTAGTTCACTCTAGTGTCTCTTATTTGGACACATCAGATACGGGCACGTCTCTTTACCGGGCACCTTCAGCTTGAGTTCCTATGGCTAAAACGCTTCGATTTTTGTGGGGGAACTTTTTTTGTATGTGCAAGTGTTTATTTGTCCCTGCCAATATGTGCCAAATAAACCTCATCAAAAACTGATATGATACATGGTAGATAAGCTGCCCTGACCTACAGGCAAATCTAAGATATATACAGTGCCCGGTCCCAAGGCAGCCGGGTAGGACACGTTTGGGTGTAGAGTGTCCTTTCTTTCGGTAAAATTAGTCTAAACCTGAGTACAAGGCAACGGAGAGCTCCAGTTTCTGCAGTTCCTCCTCTCCATAGCTGTTGAAATGGCTGAACGAAGATCTGCATGCGGCGTACTGAGTGAACAGGCACTTGTACCGCTCGCTGATAACTGCAACGTCATTCCTGAGAGCTGGACACCGGTCGCCAATAACATTTGCTGGGCCTCAGTGATAGCTGTGATCACGGCGGGCTTGAGGGCACGGTGGATATGGTTCTCTATGAAAGCACCACCGTGATAGGCCTGACGATGGATTATGTTCTTCTGTAGTACTGGCTCTATGGACGCTTCGCACGGGCCGAGAACATCCTTGCTGCGGCGCAACTTGGCTAGTTCATCTTCAGCAAGCTTCATCTGCGAACTACACTGCTCTATGGCGGCCTGTGCTTGTGCAGCCTCCCGTTGTAGTACGCCAGCGAGTGCTTCTATTGCCATGCCCTGTTGCTGGTAAAAAAACGAGGAAGTGAAGATGATTCTCAAGAACGGTGGCTTTCGCCGTTGCTTCTGAAAGCGCTGTTTTGCAGCCAAACAACTTGTAGTGTGCAGTTGATGGGGCTGTAAACCGTGCACTGTCTTCCTCTTCAGCGTCGCATTGTTCGGCAAGCTGCATGTCCAGAAGACGGACCTCGCGTGTGAAAGCATCGAAGATCCACGGGAACACACCAGGGTCTAGGTGGAGCACTGGGATGACGGCGCTTGCAACAGGCACTGGCAATATCACCGGTCTGATGGTGTTGTTGTTCAACTTTGCTTTCGGCAGCAGAGCACCTGCGCTAGTCAACTGTGCATAGTCTTGCGCCATCTTCTCCAAGGACTGTGCTCCATGCTGTATGTCATAGTTCTCTACACTGTACTGGGGATTCACACCAGGGGAATCATTCGAACAACATCAATTTGGAACACTTTGGCGATCTCTTGAACTTAATTTTGAACCGGATATTGATTTTTGTGACTAACACTGGCAAGTTTGTGGTCACCAATGCTGCACACGGATTCAAGAACACTCAAGTGGTGCTCCATCATAAAGCAGAAAGGAACAAACAAGACTGAAATGTCATGCGCGTTCGAGACTTCCTTTGCAAGATCTGGGACAAGATCGTGATTTCTGAGCGATAGCAGGTCTCTGAAGTGGCCGAAAACACAGCAAGCAGCTACGAAAACTCGGCGTCGGGATGAAGGCAGCCATGCAAGTAGAGTACTTTGGGGATTGAAGGACAATGGGAATATATCATCCGCAGTTGGGGCCAGAGAGTGGATTAGAGTTGAGATTTGGACTTGCGCAGATTCGGAGGAGAGTTTGGTTGCAATCTGAAAGCGTGAGAAACGGCTTTTCCATCGGGGCCAATTCTCTGGTGCGGAAAAGTCGAAGCTTTCAGGGGGCTGAAATTTCGCCATGGCGAGCAGGTCCGGTGGCGAGGGTTCGGGGTACCAGATCTGACACCAAGTGTTGCGCTACGGCAACAGCACTAAGGATAAATGCCCATGCACACTCTCTCAGTCCAACACAACCATCGCACTCCGGTAGGAATTACAAACTATACTTGATGAAGACAGAAGGAGAAGTGGAGAACACAGGTAACAGAGTAGGCATGTAAACAGCACAGGCACGCAACAGTTACCGCTAGTGCATACGAGGTGCATATTCGTACGCGAAGTGTGAAATAGGAAGCGGGATCAAGTGACATATGGATGCACTATGTCAAATATATAGGCACAAGTAGGTGACTGTACAGAGACGACATGGCGACGAAAATCTGTTGCGTCTTGAGGAAAACGATCCCAAATAGCATTGATGGTTTCCTTGCAGCTTTGCCTGGATTAAATCATGGTTGTAGGGTAAACCGTGACACGGTGGGAAGCCAAAATGGGCTGGAAACCAACGTGAAACAAATGCAGTTTTCAGCTATTGTCCGGGGCCATTGCGTTCGAAAATTCGAAAAGCCCCAAAAAGATCACGGCATTTTAAATATCTGATTTTGTGATATACCCAACAGTCGTGTAGCGCTTGCTTTGGATCCTACTGAAATAACATGACGAAGCCATAACTGATGCAGTGTGAAGGCAGATATTTGTGGGATGTTGTTTCCACATTCCCTTCATATGTGGGTGAGTAGGTTGGGGTTCTTGCACAGCATGTCTCTCTACATGTGCATTGTGCAATGTTGTTTGCCATGTTCTGCTGTAGGCCAAAGTCCAGCTGTCGATCAGCTATCAAGCACCAGCGTCACAGGATTCTGGTGGAGGCGATGGTGGTGGAGGCGATGCTGATGGTGGAGACGCTGCCGATGGAGGAGGCGGTGGTGGTGGTGGTGGATTTGACGATGGAGGTGGTGATGATGATGATGACGGAGATGTGGCACCAACTGCTGATGAGGCAGCAGGTGGAGCTGCCGGTGGTGCGCCAGGTGTTGTTATGGGTAGCTCTGGGAAGGAAGGAAAGGCTCAACGAAGGTGAGTAGAATTCATGTAGTGCCCTATTTGCCTGCTCCATCTTGATCTATGCCGGGGTTACTGATCTAAGCGAGCTAGATTGGCGAATATATAGCATGGAACTGGGATTCAGGCCAGATTACAGCCAAGTTCCTGAATTGCAACCTTGGATGTAACAACTGACGAATAGCAACGCTCTCAGTATACCTAGTTGTCTCTTTGTCGTGTCTGATGATGTATCCACGTTTTCTTTTTGTGGACTGTAGACTAGCATCCTGGTCTGAATGCTTGCATAAGTGACGGGTGGTGTGGGAAAAAAACACTGTGTCCTGTCCTGTTGAGTTTCCATACTTCGAATCACACTGTGCTCATAGGGGTTTCTTGCCCCTTTCAAGCCGCGTGTTTGTGTTTTCCTTTGCCCAGAGCCATGCTTCGTCGGCGAAAGGCTAACCGTGCCCAGCTGCCAAAGAAGCCATGTGACTTTCAAGTAAGATTTTGTTTGTGGTAGCTGCAATGATGACTTCTTATGTCCTACAACCACCTCTTTAGTCCAGCGGCAATGCGCTTGGCAAGTTTCTGCTGGATTAACGGGGGTGCTGGATTAACGAGAGTGCTGCAGTAACGAACATCAACACAGAATGGGAATATGCACACTTATGTATAATTCTTGGTTCTTAGTTTTGGGGATTATTCTTTCCTATGACTCATTACGCATTGACGTTTACTGTTCTTCATAGGTCCGAGTTCATGTCATTGAAGCCCGTAAACTCGTCGGCCAGAACATCAACCCAGTGGTCAATGTACGTGTCTGGGATCAAGTCCAACCGACAGCAGTCAAGAAGGCCACCAACAGACCACTCTTTGACCAGGTATGGTCTTGCATAGTACCCATGCACAGTGTTATTGTGGTGGCATACAGGCTTATTCCCTGGACAAAATGGGTGCTTCCGAGAGTTCTTGTGGCGCTTTGCAGATCTAAAAACAATGCAATACCCATTTCGTTCCACGGGTTAGTACACATGTTGTACACACTTACCGGTAATCACTGTGCACCTGGCCTATACAGGGCCGTAGCAGGCGGTCCGGCAGGTCCGGCAGTTGCCGGACCAATATTCGACCAAAAAAAAAAAAAAAAAAAGCGGGACCTCACAGATGTGAGCAGCTCAGGATGTCCACCCGGTACCATTGATGAGTATGTGTGCAATAAGTAGCATAGAGGTAGGACATAGTAGTGCCGGTAGTAGACCTCCATATACATGTCATCACTTTCAGGAGTATGACCCTGCTGAAGGTCATGTGGACAGTCATGCCCGTGAATGTTCCCACTCTGTACTTCCTGAAACGTGTTCGGATTCTTTTCTTCCTCCAATTCTTTCTAGATAGGGTTTGTACCAAAGATATTCCATTGCAATATCCTTTCTCCTCCTCCAAAGATCCATTTTGGTTCTTTTATGCATTTAGATACGGTTGCTATGCCTTCATAGGCTTCAACAAGTTCTGTTTGGACGGACACAACATGCTGATGCCCTTTTTCCTGACTCATGCCGAACATCCTTCTTCCTTTTCTCGCCCTATGTCACTCTGCATGGTCACGATTATATGTACTATGTATGTACAATCATGTACATTTTGTACATGTACCAGCATATATTATGTATGAGTATGGGCTCGGGGGGGGGGGAGGGGGGGGGGAGGGGGGGGGGGAGAGCATCGAAGTCGGATCTTGCCGGACCAACCAAAATGGGGCTGCTACGGGCCTGCTATAAAAGCTTTTTTGTGTGTGATTTAGCTGGTGTGATGGAACGTCAGTATGTGCAGTCTTTCACATTTTGCTTTTGATCAATTGCTTGATGTGCAGACCTTCTACTTCTCTTTCCACATGGCTCCTCGTGAATTCTTGGACAAAGTGGTGACATTTGAAGTGAGTATGCGGGTTTATTCCAGCCAGCTGTATTAGCAATGATTGTATGTTTTGACCTTGTTTTGGAAGTTTTTGGAAATGGTGTTGGGGTTTGTCCATGACCACACCGGGTGGGAAGCGAACATCTGACCTGGAGAATGAAGCAACATAACGTTCTCTGTGCACAGGACAGTGTTTTTAGTGCAAGGGTCATACGGAACTGTGAAACCAATAGTGCCCGTTCTGTTATGAAATAACATTATCAAATGCATGAAATAGATTGGGACTGGGCTAAGCCAGCATCCTATCATTTCACCTACTGTCTTACCATTTTGCTTCTTCCTGCCCAACTCTCTTCTGCATTCACAGGTGATGAACTCAAGGACACTACGGTCGGATTCAATGATTGGCACCTTCCAGGTATTTCACTCGTCTCGTATGGCCTTGGGGTTATTTGGCCTGTAGACCACACGAAATGAGAACGATAATTCCTGTGCTAACTGAAAAGATTGGGTAAACCACCTTCCTTGCTTTCTTTCCAATTTCACTCTGGCTTCAATCCTGTCTACAAACAGTCAGTGCAGGTGAGTCACTTGTGTAGAATGGCCGTTTTAGCAACATTGTAATGTGTAGAAAGATACTTCTTTTTCAGCGAAGTTAGACTCAATTGTGTTGCTGTTGCTATTTCTGTTGTGGCTGTGCAGTTTGACACTGGTCTTTGCTACGACTTTGAAAGTAAGGATCTTCTCTTGATGTACAATGGTGTTATGTTTTAGAATGAAGATGGACTTTGGGCATGTGTGACTTTTTGTTTGTTACTGTTGATACCTGTACATAATCTGTACATAATCTGTTTCGAATCAGGCCCACTGCACTGTTCAAGTGTATATAACCATATTACCTGATTCTCCAGTACATGGTGGCTGTGTAGCTAGCTGCAACACTTGGCCGCATAGCCAGCATCCCACCGTGTGTAAAGGTCACCAAACGAATTTGAAATAATGCAAAATCACCGGCCCACTGCACTGTTCAAGTGAATATAACCATATTACCTGATTCTCCAGTACATGGTGGCTGTGTAGCTAGCTGCAACACTTGGCCGCATAGCCAGCATCCCACCGTGTGTAAAGGTCACCAAACGAATTTGAAATAATGCAAAATCACTATAATTATTCTCGTACGGGTGACGTGAAAGCATGTCATGGTGGGAGGCAAATGACTTGTGTTTGGGAACCATTAACTTTATGTGGCCGTGTGGATACTTTTTTTCTGACGAAACGAAGGTACCTTTACCACTGTTCTGGCCTTTGTCAGGTGCCTTTTTACACTCTTTTTCCTTCTACTTACCCAACACCATTGCTACTGGGCTTGGGAAATATATGGTGCTTTGCTACTGGTTTGATGTGTTTGTCGTCTCACTGTGTCTACCAGATCATTCCATCATTCAGAAGTGGCTACTGCTGACGAATCCAGTCGATCCTAATGGAGGTCCAAAGGTGTGTGACCTCTTTCAACCGAAAACACCTTGAAATCCTGCGGGCCATGGAATGGCTTCCTACAGTACTCTAAAAGGACCCACTGCGATAGTTTGATGACATACTATGTAGCTTGTGGACTATTCAGTTGTTGGTTGTCGTTTAGCTACATTATATGTGAAGACAGATACCACCAACAGGCAATTGTGAGTTTAGTGCTGCTATGTGCATGTGTGTTTGGGCGAGGGGTGTAAGCTGGATGGTAAACATGATTAAGAAATTGTGTTCCGTCCGTTTTGTTATTCCAGGGCTATCTGAAAATCAGCTGTTCTGTCGTGGGCCCAAATGATGAAGTCAAGGTGAGTTCCCGGGCCATTGGGTAAACTGTGCAGAGTAGCTCACTGTTACCTACCTCTTTTTTGACCTGCCAAACTGTGGACTTAGCCTGTGCAGGAAACTATCTTTCATTGTTGTGTTGTAGACGGGTGTCTAAGATCCTCAGGCTGCGTATACTGCTCTATGTCCACTGTTGCTGATTTTTGAATTATATCATTGTTGTGTGATGTGCTTCTTATTATTCAGCCACACCCCAAAGCCGTGCTGGATGATAACTGTGACATTGAATCGTAAGTTATTGCAACAAGTTATATGAGCAGGCGAACAGTCACTCCTCAACTTGTGCAGCGGTTCACTCCAATTCACTCTCATTGTAAATACTCAAAAGTCGAAACTGAAGGCATGGCCCTTATTTTTGACGAAGCCAGTTGGAAATCAATAATGTCATTTGTAATGCAATTAGGAGGAGACTTCCTACTGGCTGAGATACTACAGTCATCTATACAACGTTGAACCTTCTGTGCTGCTGTGTGCATGCAGTAACTTGCTGAGGCCATCAGGTGTACAGCTTGCTCCAGCCACGTTTACTGTGCGCATCTATCGAGCTGAAGATGTTCCTCAGAGTAAGTCCTTATTGTTCTTTGCAATGTATGAATGCTTTCTCAAGGTCAGAGTCACCTGCAGCTGGTAGTCATAGAGCCCAGTGGCGACCATCATTGTGTGCGTCTTGACAAGGTTATCTGGGTGAAGAAATAATGATTTTTAATCCTATCTCAGGGAACAGATGGTGCTGGTAAAATAGGTAGGAATACCTTACATCTGTTTGTGGAACGTTTGACGAAAGACCTGCCACTGCTCTTGCTGGTTCTTCCTGCCGAATGCATCCGTTCGACACATACGTCGGAATCAGGTGTAGTGCATTAGCGGTGCTGGTTGAATGGTAGCTGCATGTCAATTTCATCTGCCTGACCGCCAATGTGCACAGAGGTTGACAAGGCGAGTGTACTTTCTGCCATTGGCTTCCAGTAGAAGGATGTTCCAAACCTTGAGTCTTTTTGAAGTAGCATCTTTCTCTTTCTTTCTGCCTGTGTGTGCGTACCTGTGTGCGTGTGTCATGTGTGGGTATGCATGCATGTGCGTGTACTTTACTCATTGTGCGTAGTGGACACGGCACTATTTGAAGGCGTGAAAAAGGTTCTCGGCGTTGGATCTAAGGTAAGCTACGAGCAGTTACTAGTACAGGCACACATTGTACCTGTTGCACTTCGCATACATTGGCATCCGGCATGACGAAATTGAATGGCTGGTGGTATTATCATTTATAACCATGTACATGGCTAGTAGTCACTGTAGTAAACTAACTCCTGCGTAGCCAGTCTACATGATTGTTGTGGCTATGCGCAGGTAGGGAGTAGATTCTTGCTCTTGGAGAAGTATTTTCCGGATGCTACTTGACTAAGAACCGTGTCATTCAGTTTGGAAAGACATAACCATCGGCTTGCACCACATCCCAGAGTCTGAAATCCCTGACTTTATTGTTGGTAATGGTTTCCCAGACTACTCAAATTGTCTGTGTGAATCTTGATTTTGTGTGTTTGTGCACGAATCTTCTTTATAGAAACCGAAGGAGCTTGTGGATCCGTATGTTCAGATGAACTTTGCTGGCAACAAGGTAAGACTTGTTATAACTGTAGTGTGTATGTTCGGAGACAGGACCCCAGCGATACGTATGTCAGTACGTTGCATTCTCTTCTATCCAAGATAAAGAAAGTATATCGTTACACCGTCTGCAGCGTCAAGTTCTAATATTTCAGCGAGTGCGCTGCACTCATACTTTACGCATTCGTGTGTGCGTGTGGTGACTATGGCTATGGCGGTGGTGCTGGTGCTTCTATGTGTGTGTGTGTGTGTGTGTGTGTGTGTGTGTGTGTGTGTGTGTGTGTGTGCATGTGTGTGTGTGTGTGTGTGTGTGTGTGTGTGTGTGTGTGTGTGTGTGTGTGTGTGTGTGTGTGCATGTGCATGTGCATGTGCCATCTGCAGAGTTCAACATCCACGCTGTACAACAATGCTAACCCAGAGTTCAGAGAGGAACTCAAGATTGGTTGCAAGGTATGTATATATTCTGGGTGGATGTACCTTCTAAGTTATGAGTGAATCACTGAATACAGATTGAATCCTGAAAATGCATAACCTCCTTGGCCAATGAACTGTCATGTATGAACTATCAACCAATCTCATGTGTTCTATGTGACAGTATTTACTCAACTACGTGTGACGGGGACCATAGAGAAGGTTTTTAAATCATCCAGCGTGTATCTGTCATCAGGATATATTTTCCCGACAAGCACTAGAGTTGCGACAGACTTGGTCATTTGAAAATAATTTGAAACTGTCCACCTCTCCACACTGCGCTCATGGCCCACATTCACCACACCATAGCGAGGAAGTTCGTTCTTGGATGTATGTTCCATATCCTCCATACAGCTGTTTCACTCATTGAGAGCTCCTCAGTGTAGGTAGATAACGAATGAATAGCAGATAAAGGGATGAGCGAAACAGTTGTCTGGAGGATATGGAACATATATCCAAGAACGAACTTCCTCGCTATGGTGAGGTGAATGTGGGCGAAGAAAGCAGTGTGGAGAGGTGGACAGTTTCAATTATGCACCAGCATCCTGATAAAGTGAATGGTGTGCTCCCTGGTTGCATGTACTTCAATGCAAAAATGCTATCACAAAGATGGGTATGAATGGGTATGCGTGTATGAAGTTCACTCCACCTCAGCACTCCCAATTCTACTTTCCTTTCTAGCACTCAGCATAATGTCTAAAGTGGTTGCGATCCAACACCTCGATTCACGCGCAAATTGTGTGTCTTCTTCTAAGTTCTTTCTCCCACTTTGACGTGTTTGTCTGTAGTTCCCATCCATGTGTGATCGTATTCGACTGAGAATCATGGACAAGTAAGCTATGCCCATTACTGTACTAGTTTTCTCAAGTAGTTCACCACTCATACTTTTCTTTTTTCTTCTCTTTTTGTGGAGACTACTCTGGTAGTTATCTGTGTAGCTTGAATAAAGTTTGTGAAAAGACAGATTGACTGCCTCAACGCACAATATTCACTGCTTGGTATTTACTGGAGGCTACAGGTTGCGGAGCATCACCCACCGGAGCGGGAAGGCAATTCTTGTCATTACTTCAGTACAGAGATCCATATATATTTACTTGTCTTGTATAATAGTGTATTGATGAGATAGTAATGCACCTTGCCTCTTGTTCCTGTCGGTACTGACAGAGATAACTTCAACCGTGATGACACTGTGGGTACAGCGTATTTGAACTTGTCAGAGATCTCTGCGCCTGGTGAAACTGGTAAGCTGTTTGGTTCTTGTTTACATTCGTACTCATATCTATGCTGCACATTTTGTACGGGCCGATCACTCTCTTGACGTTGGACGGCAGCCAGTATGAAGAAGATGCTGGTGTTTTTGGTAAATAATAGGAGTGTACAGAATCCACATGTATGTTTATGTGTTTGAGGCAAGCAGACAAACAGATGGACAAACAAAACAGACAGTAAGTTTTAATCATTTCATCAAGTTACATGCTTACTGTGCTACCTGTGCTTGCTGTCTTTCAGGCTTCCTTCCCACATTTGGTCCATGCTGGATTAACGTTTATGGGTCGCCCAGAGAATATTCTGACATGATGGACGAGTATGACTACTTGAATCAAGGCATTGTAAGTTTTTTCTAGTCGCTGTCTGAATTTTAATAGTTCACCTTGGTTGAATGCTTTCCACAACTGACCAGAGTATTGTACCATGAATTCAGTAACCCAGATGCTTTGGTTGTTTTTCAATGATGTACATGTGGAGGCATTTCTTTCTTAATTAAGTCCGGTTATAGTTCTCCTTGCACGTGCTGCGACAGACAGGAGTGCTGATGGAAGTTTCGCTGATGTTTCACTGCATGGCATTTTGGTATTGTGCCTCGTGATAACTGGAAGGTGTTGCTTGTACGTGTGTTTTGTGATAGCTGGAAGGTGTTGCTTACCGCGCTAGGATGCTTGTGGAGGTCACCTCTGAGATTGGTGTGCTGCCAGAGACCACACGTCCACTTCCTATTGAGGATGCAGATAGTGCCCGTGTTGAGGTGAGTCATGTTTGCATTATTACTTGTTGCTTTGCCTACACTATGTGTAAAGCAGTGAAAGTACTGGCCATGCTCATGGAAAGGAAAGTTAGCCTATCTAACGATAACGAGAGAGCTTGGAAGCTCAGGGCCCTACGCTATGCTTTTTTGCCTTGATGACCTAGACAAAAAAAGCATAGAGATGTTATAAATTCTTATAAATTTCTCCTTTTTTTTAAGACATAACCTGGGATTCGAACCCGCACTATCGCCCTGCATGCATCCCCGATACACTTCGCATACGTACTAATTCTTCCAAGTTGCTTCACGTTATGATCTTGCATTTGAAAGCCCTATTTGAATATGCATTGTGGCCAGCCGTCTTTGATGGTACGGTACGGGACAGGTACGGTCGAGGATAATACGACACCGTCTACCGCCTTGATGACCTAGGCAAAAAAAGCATAAGGATTGTAACGTTTGGGTTTGTCCCAACGTCAAACACAAGACTCCACTCAACAGCTCCAGACAACGACTGAGGTTTATTTACAAGAAGAAGGAAAGATAAAGATAAACTGTCATGATGTGTATATGTACACAGTACGGGAATGCATAGGTAACTGATCCAGGAACGGATCGGGTACATCGATAGACTCATGAGAGTACAGAGTACATAGAACGATAATTATATAGATTGTGTCATCCATTTATGGGTAAGCGAATGGGACCACAACAAGGATGTTATAAATTTTTTAATTCTCCTATTTTTTAAGGCATAACCTGGGATTCGAACCCGCACTATCGCCCTACATGCATTCCCCCATACACTTCGCATTCATACTCATTCTTCCAAGTTGCTTCACGTTATGATCTTGCGTTTGAAAGCCCTATTTGAATACTGCGGCCAGCTGTATGTGGCCAGCTGTGTTTGATGGTACGGTACGGTACGGGACAGATACGGGATAGCGCCAGGCGTGACACAAACACACAAACAAACACACAAATACCAAATTAAAGCTGTGTGGACCCTGGCTAGCGCCAGACGTTACTGAACTACATGTAACGTCTTCTGCATAGCTACGGGAATAAAAGCATATAATTATCACTTTTGACGTGTTGTCAAGAACATCCGGTGAGTAGGATCTCTCGGATAGGCAGTCTCCTTCCGGTTGCCTTTATGCTGTCCATTTTTTTGCTTTGAGAATGAAGTCTTGTTTGGATTCTACCTCCCTATGTCTGTGTTCTTGCAGCAATATTTCCTGCGCCGTCGCAAGTTCCAGCTCCGTGCTGCATTCATGTCCGGCACTATGGTACCAGAGTCCATTGCGGATTCACCGCTCTCATTTGAGCTGAGCATTGGTAAGTGACCTGTAGTCCCATGCTTGTGATATCCCAGTATGTTCTCCTGAACATGTGACTTGGGGGGGGGGGCTATGTTGCATGTATTCAAGAAGCCCAATAATGCGTTTCAAGGCATGCAGCAGCATGAGCTAGCAGATCTGTTTGAAGTATGTTTGTGAAAAGTTTTGCACTGTCGCTTGAGTTGGCGTACACTATAGAATTTTTTTAGGATTGAATGCAACACATGTGCTTGTAAGGATGCTGATGTTGCGGTTACGAAACATGGCTATTCTCCTTTTCTTTTTTCATGAAGGCAACTATGGTAACGAATTGGACAAGAATGTCCCACCAGCATCATCAACCACCCAGCCAACAAACCCTGTCTCCGATGGTGAATACTACTATTATTTGCCGTGGACGCAATCCAAACCATGTGCAAGTGTTACCTGCCACTGGGAAGATGTGTCGGACCGCATTGATAGTTTGAACGTGCTGATCAATATCTGTGATCGCCTGGTAAGCGATACGACTTCAATGTGTCTATTCGTTTGTGTTCATGTCATAGAGTGCTTGCTTGTGTCATGTAGATCTACAAAATAGCTACTGTAGAGCAATGGTGAGTCAAAGGTAGATTAGCAAGCCACAGGACTGGAGTGATGTTAGACCTGCCAGCAGAGTGATCTCTATTCCCGAGTTTCGCCACCCAAGCCGTATGACATCGCATAGTGGCGTAGTACATCTGGCGGAGCCGGGGTGCAACGACCTGTATTGCATATCATATGCTTGCTTGGTTGGGTCTTTTTCGCACGCACCATGTGACCAATTGGTCATGGTTCAGTAGCAGTAAAGTTGGCGAGACATGGGAGAGACAACGATCACATGGTGACCAGTAAATCGAAGGACCATGAGCGCGTGATCTCTCGTGGTGCAGCATGTTTATTTTTTAGGAAGTTAAATACATGTACAGGAATTGTGTGTCGCTCCCAAGTTAAATACAACTGGAAGTATACCATTCCAGCCAACATTCTCCTAGGTCTCACTGCAACTATTTTCTGTCTGGTTATGCCTGATTATACTTCTTTTCTGCAGGAACGCAATGTGCAGCGTGTTCATCTGCTGCAGCAGGCTTCGGCCCTACCTGCAGAAACTGCTCGTGCTTTCATTGACCTAATTGACTGCTTGAGGAAGGATCTTGAGTGAGTTGACTGTCCAATGGCAACGCTAGAATGTAACACACATACCTTCTGTAATTGGATTGATTGTTGTGTATGTGGTCACGCTCCTGTGTATTGCCGCGCCCTCAACCTGATACTAGTACTGCAACGGAGGGATGTGATCTAATAGAGAACTTTTTGCCAATTATGCTTCCGTAGAGACCCACGTCGCAAGCTGCCAGAACCGTCTCGAAAGAACCCCATTGTGACGAAGCTGGATTTCCAGATCCATGCTATCCGTGAGCAAGAGCTGGTAAGATTTTTCTTCCTTTTTTGGTTCTTTTAAGTTTTAAGCATCTTCCTCTTGGAACTGGTAAGATGCATCTTGGCTGTGTACGGAAATGTGTGTCAGTACAGCCATGAAAATGTGTACTGTTGTGCTCATGAACTACCGGACTGTGTAGAGGAAAATCGGCTGGAAATTGGCCTCCGCTGCATTTCTTAATATAACCTTTGGAGTTAGTCGGTTTCTCGATCCCTTTTCACTGTAGACATATTTACTGGTGCGCACATCAATTTTTTTTCTGTGATTCTTGTATAGAAAAACATCCTGGAAAGTGCGGAGCAGCTGAGGATGTCGGCAACTGATCTAGTGGAAGCGATGAACGAGGTGGACACATACCTGAGTCGTCTTCGAAACTTGGCGTTTGAGGTAAGGCTGGCCGTGGCCAACACTCTGCTGGGTTAACTCATGCCTTGGGAGCTAAAACTTGTATGTGCTGGTTGTGTCTGTCTGAATGTAGGAGTATGTCTCTGGGTGCTCTGTGTCAGATAACTACTAGCAGTCTCAGCGAATCTGTCATCCTTTGTCTCTTCTACTTTAGGGCCAAAACTCTGTTCCAGATGTTATCATTTGGATGCTGTCCAACAAGAAGAGGCTGGCATTTGCGCGTATTCCAGCGAATGAGGTCATGTATGCACATCACGCGGACAAGACGAAATGGAACGAAGCGTGCGGCAAGAACTGTGGCAAGCCTCAGACCGTCTATTTGAAGGTACGTAATCAGCTTGATGACAAGGCGTGCCTAGATTTCACTGGGAGTGATGCTGATTAGAATGTTGGGCCTTCTTCGTACTGATATTGATGCTCTTGAGACTATTATTATTATTATTATTTCACCGTCCAATGGCAGAAGCCAATGCAAAGGAGGGGGCGTTAGCCAGCCATGGCAAGAGAAGAAGAAGAAAAAAAAAAGAATGAAGGAAAGAAGATGATAATCGGAAGAAAATAATGCATCAGCGGGGTGAAATGTATCACTATGTTGACCATGGTGGAGAGCGGCGAGATAAGCTAGCAAAAGAGGCGAGCGAGCCTACAACGTGGCATGACATTTAACATGGTCTATGAACTGTCTAATATTGGATATTGTCTTCATTTCCATGGGCAGCTTGAGCCAATACTATGGCTTTGTCGTTTGAGGAGGAGATGAGCTTGGATAGGTCAAGCAACCATTCTCATTCCCAATTGTAGCAATTTGAAAATGTATTCCATAGAAAGTATTGCAGGCAATTGTACGAAAGTAATGATTGTAATTAGCCAGCTCTGGTCTCATAATCATAGGTGTCACACCAAATTGGTACTATCTTTGATATTTGGATAGTTCAAGTCACATCCTGAAACGTGTTCATCACAAGGAATAGAAAAATAACAACTGTGTGACAAGCAGTCAGCAGCCAAGATGTCCCAAGAACATTGTAAGTACGGACTCCGGAAGACTCGCGAAATGCGTAGTCACGTGAGTGCGGGCATGAAGTAAAGTGGCGTACGTGTAGAAGCACCGTGTGCCAAATGCAAATGGTAAATATAGAACAAGCAGTGTCCAAACACTACACTATCCATGGCGGTTATTGCTCGAACTGATGTAACTGTTACTTGTTAAATGTTGTAATTGTTGTGCAGTGGCCACCAAAGAAGGACAACACATCACCAAAGTTCATGGTTGCTGCTCAGCTGCGCCTGGTCATTTGGCTCGGACAAGATCAGTATGCCAGTGATTGGATTCGGTGTGCTGACGAAGGTGAAATTTCAGTGTTTGCTGAAACGGTGAGTAACTTGTCTCCTGACCTTGATTCCCGTCACCATTTTTGCTTGTGTCTGAATGAGAACTTGTCGTACCGTGTTCCGCACTAGCTTGCCTTAAAGTACGAAAGATTGAAGGCAGCGGCAGGAGATTGTGTGGTTATTGACCAACATTGGAAAAGAATATGTGAATAATATCTTTCTCATTACCACTTACTGTCTTCTGGTACGAGCCCCTGGGTCCACTTTGGCATGAGCGATCCATACTTTTAAAGGTATACATGTCAGGGTCCGTTGAGTTTGGGGCACTGAGTCGAATGGTATTGGTCCGAGGAACCTGCAGTCCATCGCCTGTCAGCTATTCCCAATTTAACGTGAGCGCGCATTCCGGTGATGACGTCAGTGGGCCATCGGCTCTTCTGGCATATCTCCTGACAGTTGACCAGTCCCTATCCTCATTGTAGTCTCATCCAACACATTGTGAACTGTATCCATGATAATGTGTTAACACCTGGCCTGTTTTTGTTGTTTTTACTGGTTGTTTGTGCAGTATGAGAACCAGGCCAACTTGTTTGGCTGGGGCAAGAAGGGCGTGACTCGTCCGAACTGGTCTGACGTCAATGGAAAGGTAGACACATGTAGTCGTTATAGCATGATGTGTTTGTATGACCCATGGATCATAGAGGGAATTTTGCCTTTACTATTGTGTAAAACTATATAAGACGAGTGTCATTGTTGTGATCTGCTTCGTCCTTTTAAAGATGGCCCTGGAGCAAGATAAGTTTGTGGAGCCAGAAGGTTGGAAGTGGAATAGTGATTGGTTCATCAACCCTGAGCTCAGGTAAAGAGATAGGAGTTACTATGGCGCTAAGTCGTATCTTTTTAAATCCCGTACTTGATGTTCCGTCCACCATGATACCTAAGTCTTGTTTTGTTTTTATCAAAACCAGAAGATGGCTGATATGCATAGTATTGCATACTGATTTAGTAATAATAATATGTACCAAGAATACGCAATCCCTATAGTGTGCAGTGGTATGGAGCTGTGTCACAGCAAAATCCTAATAATTATTATATCAGGCAAGTAAGATTAGGTACTAAGAACTTGTGGACTGTACAACTTGCAGGCAGATCGATTGTCTTGTAGGCAAAGCATGCCTTGCGCACCCGATACTCGTGTGTACCACCATATACTAGTGGCATAAAAAGTTTTGAAAGGTGCAAAAAAGATACCGAAATCACAATGGCTGTATTGTCCCTGACCAATGCTGCAGTCTGAACTTCAGCCAGGATTCTGGGAAGTCGGAATTTTTGGAGGACATCTTCGAGTATCAGCAGCGCATTCCCGGCACAAGCTGGACCCACTCCAAGACATCTTGGGGCAATGTCGTAAGTAGCAGCGTAAATCTTTTTGTTGTTGAATATGATGTGTGAAGAACTGATTCTAACGTTACTGTTCAGTGAGGTATGTTTGGGGTTATGACAGTCAGCTGTAAGTAGTTCCTGTGTGTGCTTTATGTAATTGATCTTACAACCCGGCCATGTGGCACAGAATCTGGAATCACTTTAGAATGTCTTCTGTGATGCTATCTGTGCCATGGTAGAGAGGAGACGAGGTTGAAGGAGGACGCGATGAAGTTGAATTGGATGACGCCTGGGTGTGGAAAGATCCAGAATGGACACTGGACGTGAATCGTGCTTGTGACGAAGATGGTGAGAGCTGACGGCTTTTGTTTGGAAATTGTCCTGAAATACCTGTGCTGTGTTCCGTTTAGGCTACTATTGAGCGGTCTGTCAGTAGTATTTTGTAAGATCACCAAGGGCGTGTTATTGGGTGAATATGCAGGCTTTGTGTGCATGGCACATGTATGTACTAGTATCTTTTCTAACAAGATGACTGTGAATTGTGAAATCTGTTTAAAAATGTGGTACGTAAGTCAATTACCCTGTGCTGCTCCAATACAAGTCAATTACCCTGTGTGTAATTACCCTGTGCTGCTCCAATACAAGTTGTGTCTGACCTGTACTTGTATCTGCTGTAGGCTATGAGTACACACTGGATCCATCCATGGCTGGCTATGTGCCCGTGGAGAGGAACTATCACCTGTGCCGTCGCCGGCGCTGGGTTCGCCGCCGTGTTCGCCAGCTCACTGACAAGCAGCGCAAGAAGATGGTAGGTCATAGACTCATAGTCATGGTGCCGCAGCACGCAACACATCTGTTAGTTGTGATGTGGTACTGGCTGCTTAACATTCATATTCTACCCATGAGTTTGCACGTTAGCTCAAATTCACCTGTGTGTGTTCTGATTGCTGTGCACTGTTTCTTGCAGGCCAAGCTGCAGGACAAGATGAAAGAAGGATGGGAGTACTCGCGTCTGTTCAGCACTAAGTTTCATGCTGTTGAGAAGAAGATTGACATGGCGCGTCGCCGTCGTTGGCACCGCAAGCTCACCGCACAAGAAGATGCGTCTGCTCCTCTGTTCTACTTCCCCGATGCTGATGATGTAAGTTCGGTTGCGCTGGCAATGGTTATCTAGTATCTACACGTGCCGGTGCAGTTTGCGTTGTATGTCAGCGTTCCGGGAATGCAGTGGTGTAGCGAAGCTTGCTTTTGATTTGTTGCGAATGCTCGTTTGCTTGTCAGAGAATGGGAACTACATGAACGATGAATCTTGCGCATAGTGTACAGGTAGAACAACTCATTGTATACATTTTGATACTGTATGTTGTGCGGTGTTGTATATTGTTACTGTAGTCGGATGTCATTCATCAAGTGACTCCCCGTATGTTCATGACATTCAAAGGTAAGCTGAGAGGATAGTACATGATTGTATGCGTTTGCCACTTGTCATGTGATACACACTTGTTTCTTGTCTGCAAACTTTTCAAGTAGAGATTAGTAGGATTTTTAAATGACGGCTTTGAGCAGCAAAGCCAAGTTAGCCCACGCATGCACGTGTTTTGTCACGGTTCGTCACGCGGCACATGAATAAAAAATATTTTTTCCGAAAATGGTGGATGAAAAAATAAATCTTGCGTGGCCGCTTTGCCCTGCCTCGTGTCAGCAAAGCAACTTCCTTGTCAACAATTTCTGTCATCCAGTTAGCCAAAGTGACTCAAGGTTGTGTTTTCTCCGTTTTCTCCTTTGTCTCTCCGCCAAGCTGTACAAGAGTATTAGTTGTGCTAGTCTGCGTAGACAAGCGCTGACTCGTGTGAGCTGGAAGCGCTTGAAAATTCACAACTTCAAACAGCGATCGATCGCGCTTGGTTGAAATATTTATTTGTTGCGTGGGCAGATAGAGTAGCTCATGGTCGCAGTAGTGAATTTCCTGGAGTTCATGAGGCCAAGCAAGAACTACTCGAAGCAGAGGACCAGTTATTTAGGCCTCGACATGGCGAGTGGCGTTGACGCCAACTCAGAAATGGCTGTGATTACCTATCAAAAAATCTAGCCAAAGAAGTAGACAAGGAGCAGAGGCATTTACATGGAGCACGTACGATGGTGGTTTGCAACATGCTACTACTGCTGGAGCGACGTTGAGTGCAGGGACGATCGTTGATCATCTACGTATCAGGTGTGGTTGTCAAACGCTTGTGGCCTTTGATGTGGATATGAAGATTTTCTGCCCACTGTGCGTTCGTTATGCACCACATCTGCTGTGCACGTGGCATTACCCTCTCTCGGCGAGAAATCATCAACCCAGTCATTCTGGGTAAAACTATTCCTGATAGCTGTGCAGGCCAGCAGAAGAACCAGTACGCTGCACTTAACAAGGTGCTTATGTTCGTGTGCTTCATGGTCAATGGAATGAGTTCAACTGAAAGCAACGGTTCCGCAGGTCTTCGACAACCTCAGCAAGGTGGTCGGCCCAGCAACAGTGGTGACGGTACTTGGCATAGAAGTCGACAGCGAGGACCAGGTGATGCGGCTACCTGACAAGAAGTTATTTGCCTTTCTAGCGGCTTTGAGTGAGTAGTCCACGCGCACTAGCTACACAACGCGGGAACTGCTGTCGCTGATCGGAACCTTGTCCTTGCCGCAAAGGTGGTTCCTCCTGGCAGGACCTTCATCCGTCAACTCCTGTATCTTAGCTGGACAACTCTCTCAGTCTCTTCAGTCAGTAGTCAACATCAACACAAAAGCTCACTTGGACATCGAATGGTCGCGCTCCTTTGCCGCAAACTGGAATGGCCAATCCTTCTTCTACGATGTCGAGTTTTCCAAGTCCCCAGACCTTGAGCTATTCACGGATGCCTCTGATGTTGGCTTCTGCGGTTTCTATCAAGGACAATCGTTTTTGGGGCAACGGGCCGCTGAGATGCAGCATGAACCTATTGTGATTACTCGCTTCCGAGAACTGGCTTCCACAGCCAACCAGTGCCTGGTGCCAACTCCTCCGCTGAACTCGCCGCTCTGATTGCTGCCAGCAATGATCTCATGAGAGACTCAGACCTTTAAGCCCGGTATCTGCGCACACATAATCTGATGTACCCAGTTTCGGCTATGGCCGAGTTCCGGTCCCTGACCGCTACTGCCGGCAGCTCACGGCCAGTGTTTGTGTTCGTCGACGGCGGCTACTTCTCCCGAGTTTCTCGACTAGGATCCTCAACTGCAACCGGGTGAGCTCCCATTCTGTGCGCATTGGCGGGGCCACACTCATGGCTCACCGGAGTACAAGTGTCTGTGAAGCAGCCATATGCCGTGCAGGCTGCTGGCGAAGTGCAGCATCCGATCACTATGTCAGGCGTGCAGCCGGTATACCCTCTGTGCAATGGCTAGCAGCAAAGACTGGAACAGCCCACGCCCATGTGGTGTTGAGAACAGAAGTGAGGTACATTTGTAGTGTTGTACAGTGTTGTGCCTTCCGCTTGTTGTGCAGTCCTTGTGCCGGTGTGGCTCTGTGGGTATCACTTAGGGGTTTGCCATGGTTACTTGCAGGAAGTTATGCTAATGAGCGATGCCGTGAGAAATGCTTGGTCGTAAACACTGGTTTTTGGGAGGGTCAAATGCATTTGCCTCTCAGTGTTGTGCTGTACTGTCTCAGTGTTGTGACACCTGTATGTTGTTGTGTGGTTGACCCGCCGGTTTGAGGCATGGGTGGTCAACTGTGTATGTTGTATCGGTGTGTTCCCGTTTGAAGTTGCTGGGCCACCATGTGGTTGACCCGCCGATAATGGAGGCATGGGTGGTCAACTGTGTCTATTGTATCGGTGTGTTCCCGTTTGAAGTTGCCGGGCCACCATGTGGTTGACCCGCCGATAATGGAGGCATGGGTGGTCAACTGTGTCTATTGTATCGGTGTGTTCCCGTTTGAAGTTGCCGGGCCACCATGTGGTTGACCCGCCGATAATGGAGGCATGGGTGGTCAACTGTGTATGTTGTATCGGTGTGTTCCCGTTTGAAGTTGCCGGGCCACCATGTGGTTGACCCGCCGAAAATGGAGGCATGGGTGGTCAACCGTGTATGTGTATCATTGAAGTTGCAATACGTACATTGCTGTGACTCGCCCGATTGCTGTTGCCGGGCACCTACGCATTTATTTGCCTACTTGTGAAGAGATATCTCTTCTGGTTTATTGCATAATTCTTGGCTCAATGTTATCCACGGTGTCGCTCGATGCAAAGTCTCGTAAATATTTATCAGACAAAATTGAAAAGAAAAAAAACTATGGCAAACCCCACTTCCTTGTATTCTATCTGCTTGGTGTGCACGTGTCCACGTTTTGTACGTTTGGCACGCACATGCGTGCGTGTGTATGTGAGAGCGTGTCTGGATAAATGTGCATATTGATGTTTTGGTTGTTTTAAGTTTTATTGTGTGTATGCGTGCATGCATGTGGGTTAAATGACGGCTTTGAGCAGCAAAGCCAAGTTAGCCCACGCATGCACGTGTTTTGTCACGGTTCGTCACGCGGCACATGAATAAAAAATATTTTTTCCGAAAATGGTGGATGAAAAAATAAATCTTGCGTGGCCGCTTTGCCCTGCCTCGTGTCAGCAAAGCAACTTCCTTGTCAACAATTTCTGTCATCCAGTTAGCCAAAGTGACTCAAGGTTGTGTTTTCTCCCCTCCCTCCCTCCCTTTAGACATGACACGTCGGTATCTTGTGCCACATGACAAGGCCCCAAGGAGGGTCAAATGCATTTGCCTCTCAGTGTTGTGCTGTACTGTCTCAGTGTTGTGACACCTGTATGTTGTTGTGTGGTTGACCCGCCGGTTTGAGGCATGGGTGGTCAACTGTGTATGTTGTATCGGTGTGTTCCCGTTTGAAGTTGCTGGGCCACCATGTGGTTGACCCGCCGATAATGGAGGCATGGGTGGTCAACTGTGTCTATTGTATCGGTGTGTTCCCGTTTGAAGTTGCCGGGCCACCATGTGGTTGACCCGCCGATAATGGAGGCATGGGTGGTCAACTGTGTCTATTGTATCGGTGTGTTCCCGTTTGAAGTTGCCGGGCCACCATGTGGTTGACCCGCCGATAATGGAGGCATGGGTGGTCAACTGTGTATGTTGTATCGGTGTGTTCCCGTTTGAAGTTGCCGGGCCACCATGTGGTTGACCCGCCGAAAATGGAGGCATGGGTGGTCAACCGTGTATGTGTATCATTGAAGTTGCAATACGTACATTGCTGTGACTCGCCCGATTGCTGTTGCCGGGCACCTACGCATTTATTTGCCTACTTGTGAAGAGATATCTCTTCTGGTTTATTGCATAATTCTTGGCTCAATGTTATCCACGGTGTCGCTCGATGCAAAGTCTCGTAAATATTTATCAGACAAAATTGAAAAGAAAAAAAACTATGGCAAACCCCACTTCCTTGTATTCTATCTGCTTGGTGTGCACGTGTCCACGTTTTGTACGTTTGGCACGCACATGCGTGCGTGTGTATGTGAGAGCGTGTCTGGATAAATGTGCATATTGATGTTTTGGTTGTTTTAAGTTTTATTGTGTGTATGCGTGCATGCATGTGGGTTAAAGTCAGATTAGAGACTTACTTGGTGCAATGTAGACCACATCAACCACTCATTCCTCTGTAGACCACACCAACCACTCATTGCTCGCTGATCTGCCACGGTAACCGTGCACTTTCATGATAAACCACTTACCATAGCCACCACAAGACCAGTAGCTGCTGCTAGCATTTGGCTTCTCGGAAGACTTTCCAGAACCCTGTGCCCAATGATATGCTATTGATTGCTTTCATGACATTTTGCTGTTGTTTTAGTCAAGTGAATATGGGCACTAGACAACTGTATCCCACTCAGCTATGCCACTTGTTACTCTGTAGTATTCATATTGAACTTCATCTGCTGACGGTAGCATGTGTTGTTTTGCTGATCTGCAGAACCGCACAAGTATCAGCTGCGCGTGTACTTGTACCAGGCACGCAATGTGCGTAGCGCCGACTCATCGGGACTGTCTGGTAAGCTATGGTATGGTGTGCATGCCGTGTGTGTGCACATGAGTATAATTATGCTCATGTCTGCTGATTACATGGGTCTGCATCCAGCCTCGTTGCAACGTCTTAACGGTGTCAGTGTGTCCTGACTCTCCACTCATGTTGGGTATGCTCATTTGAAAGTCTCAGAAATATTGAAGATGTTAAAAAAAGTCTTTGTGGTGTTGGTGCAGATCCTTACGCCCGTGTTGGGTTTGGCCGTCAGTCAAGTCGCAGTATCATCCTGAAGAAAACCATCATGCCAACGTGGGATCAGACTCTGATCTTGGATGACATTGAGCTGTATGGTGACCCGAAGATTGTGGCTGCTGTCCCACCCGATGTCACTATCGAACTCTTTGATGAAGATATTGTCGTAAGTAGTAGTTGTGCTGGTCATTTTAAGCTCCCTTCTTGTCTTACACGTAGCTAAATCATTGGCAGATGCACGTATGCTGAGCCATTCGGGAGCTTCCGTTCTATGGAGTCAGTGGCAGGGATAAATGATGGCTTCGGAGAACATGTGTATCTTCATCACACTGGGTAAGAAGCAAGATATTACTGCTGATGTATTCCGCTTGGTTGGCTCTCCGTTTCTTCTGTGCAGGGCAAAGACGAGTTCCTGGGACGGTGCATCATCAAGCCATACATCCGCCTGCAGCCGAATCACCCACCACCGCGCCTGACATGGCACCCAATCAAATATTTTGGCAAGGATGCTGGAGAGCTTCTGGCTGCATTCCATTTGATGTTGGTAAGTAGGTTGGGAGCTGTCAGCTATGTCCGGTGGGGTAGGGAACAAGCAAGATCCTCCACACTAAAAAGTGGATAAATGTAGATTGTAAAATGCTGTGGCTGAGTCGACGACGCAGCGATGTCTTGTTGGATTGTGACTCCAGTTTCATCACAGCATTTTCCACCTACAGTAAAGACAGCTGTACTGGAGTCATATAAATTGTTCTGAAATGGCCTAAGCATTATTCAGATATTTGCTTATGACATTTTATGTCTTTCTGTTGGCTTTCTTGTTAACAGAATGAAGGAGATGAACTGCCGTTTGCACCAGAGCACATGGCAGGACATGATGAACTTTATCGCGTGCCAACTGGCATTCGCCCCGTGATGCAGCTGATGAGAGTCGAGGTGAGGTGACATGCAGTTTGTGATTCTTTGTTAGAACTGATCCAAGTTCTCTCCTTCTGAATCCCTATTCAACTTCACCCAGTCTCATTCCACAGTCCTGGTAGATATTCCCTTTTTTTGGGTGAAAAGTTTGAACTGTTGGCTGCCTTGTTTCTTTATTCTTTTTCGTTTTGTTTTGTTTGTATGTCCTCCCTGATGTTTAGGCACTCTGTTGGGGAGTGCGAGACTTGAAGAGGTGTCAGCTGCTGTCTGTAGACAAGCCACACATCACTATCACTGTTGGTGGCAAGCAACTGAAGACTGACGCTATCAGGAAGATGAAGAAATGTCCTAACTACGACAAGCCATTGCTGGTGTTCGAGAAAGTGGTATGTATTTTGTGCATGGATTCATGAAGGAAATATCCAAGATCTTGTTCATTCTCTGCCTTCACTACACCTTGGAATCCGGCACTCACTGGTACCTAACCCTGAACTGACAATGCTTGCCTTGAGGTTGCTTGACAGCATCTGATCTTCCTAATGTCCCCGTGCACAGGAACTTCCCCGCGAAGAGCTCTACATGCCACCACTCAACATCCAGGTGTTTGATGAACGCGCCTTTGGTCGCACACCTCTTGTCGGCACACACAGCGTGATCAACATGAAAGACTACAAGCGTGATCGCTTCACGTATGCCATGCCACTGGAACAGAAACGACCAGAAACGCCAGCAGTTGCTCCATCACCTGGTGCCGGTAGGACAGTGTTGTGTTTACCTTCCATTGTTGCCAGTACTACTCACTTCTCCCCCTGGCCCCGGTCACTCAACAACGCACCATTCAGTTAGCTTCCATACTAGTATTCACTTCTCAATAATAAACGGCGAGGGCACAGGAGGAGAAAGACGAAAAGACTAGACGGAAAACGACGACGGGAAAGACTCCCGGGAAAAGACTCAGAGGACCAACAAAGAACAAGCAGTAATAAACCGAGGACAAATCGTGACGACCAATCAGGGACTAATACGTACAGAACACATGACCAAGACCAAGACAACCAGACCACGGACGAATCACACACGACTCTCATTCCCAGACCAAACTAGCACTGCGCATGTACTGCATTCACTTGACAGTCACTCTCACACAGACGGAAGCACATCCTCACACTCTGACAACGCGTACTCCTGCATGCACCACATACCATAAACGTCACACATCACACCATACTCGCGCGTACACCTAGACCATATATGACATCAGACACTGGACTCCACCAGACAAGAACCAAATACAACGACATGCGTAAATCATAGTCGTAATACAAATAATGTTACATAGCCCTCTCCTTTGCGGAGAGTCGACCTCGACTCTCGACTCAGGGAAAATAAAGAACAGGCAGAACAAATGACAAACATCAGAGAAAAGAAACAGTAGGTCCCTTGGTTGTCGGGTAGTTGTGAGCCTGACGAACGACCGTATGGCAAGCTTGTACGGCTTGGCCAGTCCGTTGTTGTTCCAGGTATGGTGCGCCAAGCAGGGCAAAAAACGAAACACAGGTACAAGAGCATTCGATCAGTACATGGTAAACATAGGAACAGCAGGCATGTAGGGTTAAACCAACAGTGAGGACAGTATAGACGAAACAAATTACTATGGCCGCCATTACGCAAATAATATTATAGAGAAAAAAACCACAGGGATTGAACCTGAAAAAACCACAGGGATTGAACCTGAAAAAACCACAGGGATTGAACCTGAAAAACACGGAACTACATCCGCTTCGCAAAAAAACGAGAAAAAAAACTGGCAGGGACCGACTGGGGCGCGCAAGGGCCAACCAACAACACACGGAACCCATAACACCCGCAAGGCAAACCGATACAACAAAACACAGGATCCCTGCAGACCACCAGGCAGACCGTGGCTCACCATGATCAGACGCCCACCCAAACGAACTAGAGAAACCCATATGCCGAAACACAATAATTACGAAACCATACGCTCACAAAAAATCCTGGATCCGAAACGAGAATCCTACAAACCATCACAGGAAACCAAACAGTTACACAACTATCCCCTCGCGCACTGACAGCAAATATACGCACACTGCAAACACCAAACCCTTTACTGGTAGCGACTCACCGGGGAAGGGGCCTGCAGGCCAGGCTGGCGAACGCCTTTCCATCTCCATGGCCGTAGTAGCAATCTCGGTGAAGTGAGTTGAACGACGAGAAATAAAATATATTTCGAAACGGCGAGCACGAACTGAAGCCACGGTGAAAACAAAACGATCCCAGGGTCGTGGGCTGCAGAGGTAGTACCCTGCGTCGAGCGAACGTTGGGCGCCAATGTAAAGGAAATAGTTGTAGGCTTCTCCCCCTGGCCCCGGTCACTCAACAACGCACCATTCAGTTAGCTTCCATACTAGTATTCACTTCTCAATAATAAACGGCGAGGGCACAGGAGGAGAAAGACGAAAAGACTAGACAGAAAACGACGACGGGAGAGACTCCCGGGAAAAAGACTCCAAGAAAACAACAACGAACAAGCAGTAATAAACCGACGACAAATCGAGACGACCAATCAGGGACCAATACGTACAGAACACATGACCAAGACCAAGACAACCAGACCACGGACGAATCACACACGACTCTCATTCCCAGACCAAACTAGCACTGCGCATGTACTGCATTCACTTGACAGTCACTCTCACACAGACGGAAGCACATCCTCACCCTCTGACAACGCGTACTCCTGCATGCACCACATACCATAAACGTCACACATCACACCATGCTCACGCGTACACCTAGACCATATATGACATCAGACACTGGACTCCACAAGACAAGAACCAAATACAACGACATGCGTAAATCATAGTCGTAACATAAATTCGTTACACTAGTTCATATTGATTTAGTGTTTGTAAACAGCAGAAGTCAGGGAAATTGTGTTTACTTGCAGTATTGGCTTGTCTTGATTTCCACTTTACGATTGCAGTGGTGGTATGAAACTAGAGATATTTTATTATTACCTTATCCTGCAAGCATATGTTGTATGATTCTACATGCAGCTTCAACAATGTACGCCACTGGCGCCCCAGTTAATCTTATTCATGATGCACATTGCCAGTTCATGTATCAGCATGTGAAATATGTAGTTGGTGAACACACTCTGTGTATGCACATGTGCATGCACACACAAACACACACACACACACACACACACACACACACACACACGCGTAAACACACACACGCGTAAACACACACACGCGTAAACACACATATGGATAAACACACACGCTCGCACGCATGCACACTGGGAATGATTGTTGAGCAGCTTGTGGACAGCAAACTCACTTGCATTTGATGGCAACACTGTTGCAGGAAGATTATTTACCACTCTTCTTTCAGCCTAACCATACTGTTTCGGCTGATTTGCTAATGTTTGCTTTCTGATCGGTGTGTTCTTCCTGCTAACTTTCTTGCCGTGACGCACACCTGACAACGCTGTTGCTGCTGCTGCTGCTGCACCGATGTCGGTTTCTTCTTCTCAGGCGCGCACGTGGTGGAAGTGCGTGAATCGGTGGGTGCATCTGTTGCTGCTGCTGCCATAGCCGCACCACCTCAATCTGCAGAACCACCCTCTGTGCCTACTTCTCCCACATCAGGAAAGGTGGGCCTCAGTAGCGGATCTCGAGCAAGACTCGCATATGCATTATCCACACTGCGTTGCATGCTGCTGCGCCTTGGTGCAGTTGGGCAAACAGCAGATGCCTTGCTCTTGTCACGTCGAAGTTGCCATGAGATCTGGAAGTGATTTGGGAAGTTTTAGTTATGGCTGACTTTCAGCAATGCGGTATTGCCAAGTTGCCAGCTATCAATTATTGCACATCTCTGATCGCATTGTCATGCCAGATCCGCCACTGAGGGCCTTACCTGAGCAGCCATTCAAGTCCCCTTCATCTAGCATGCCACTGCATTTCTACCTGCCTTAGACTCTCTTCCGTGCAATGTTCATTTACATATGTAGCGGTGCGCATGTGGTTGTAGTGTTGTTAGTTGAACTTCTGTATTGGTATACCGGTGGGTCATATAATTGATTTCATGTTCAAGTACGGCAGTGTGCATGTACAGCCCTAACTCCTGTTTACAGTCAGAGCTGTACACTCGTCACCTGATCGACCTCTTGACCATTTACCATGACGTTCACTCCTCCTTGTTGTGGATACGCATTGTCTGGGACTCATCTAGTGCCTCGCGATTTATTCTGGTGCCTTTCTCTGTAGCCTGTGCCCTCCGTTGATGACGAGCCCCTAGTTCAATTGTCTCCAGGAGATCCTGCTGCTTCGCCGCAGCCAGCTGCAACTGAAGAAAGTGCTCCAGTTACAGCCGCAGCACCAGAGCAGCAAGCTGCCAGCGCTAGCCCAAAGCAGGCTGCCGCATCACCAACCACTGCTGGTGCTGCTGCTGATGCTGCTGCACCGCCAACTCAGCCCCAACCAACGCCACCTGCCTCCACTACCAAGCGAGCTACCACCCCTGCTGCTCCGACCTCTTCAGGCGAAAAACCCAAGAGTGTTGCTGGAGATGACAAAGTAAGGTTGGCCAGAGTGTGCACCCTAGCTTATCCAGGATATTGTCAGGAACACTGACTGCCCCTGCCCCGCTTCTCCTCGTTCTATCTCTCCCTTTTAAAGCTAGTTCCACCAGCCCCAGTTTCTCGTGTGTGGGGTTACGTACTGTGTATTTGACTACTTGTACATCGCATTTTAGTATACCGTAAAGTCGCGGATAAAAGCCGGGCTTATAAGCACATAAGCCGCTTTTTGCATCAGGCTTTAATGTAAGCCAGGCTTGTATGCAAACCATGCTTATATGCACCACTGATATTTTTGCCAGGCTTGTATGCACATAGAAGCCAGGCTTCTACGCGCGACACGCGTAGATCTACCACTGACTACCGGTATGGCGGCAGTTTTACTATGCACCGTACATAGCGCATGCACTCTTGACCTACCCGATCCGCGCTTGCATAGAAGCCAGGCTTCTACGCGCGACAGACTTATATGCATTTGACCCGTTTGATTTTCAGGCTTCTATCCGCGATGTGCTTGTATGCAAACCCGGCTTTTATCCGCGACTTTACGGTAGTTGTGTCCTCTTGTCTTCAACAGCCCAAGAAAGAGGTTGATGAGGAGGAGCGCAAAGCCAAATTTGTGGACTGGTGGTCCAAGTACTATGCATCTACCATCATTCCAGAAGAAGACGAGGAGCCTGATGAGCGCTCTTTGGACTACTTGGAGAAGTACACGGACAGAATTGTTGTCTATGAAGAGCCGATTGAGAAGGCGTTTGGAGGCTTCAATGATTTCGTAGACACCTTCCCGATCTTCCGTGGCAAGGGACAACGTGATGAAGATGATGAGGAGAATCAAGCCGTTGGAAAGTTCAAGGTGCGTCAATGATGCGTGTGTTCTATTGACAACATTCTTCTGTTGTGATGATCAAAATATTCGGATTGACAGCTATGGCGCCGGCGCTTGCGAGTGCTGATGCTACTGCTATTGCCATCGCTGTTGCTACTGCCGTCACTGCTGATGCCATCGCTGCTGCTGTGACTGTACTTATGGGTTGTGCTTGTCCTGTGCTTGTCCTGTGCTTGTCCTGTGCCTGTACAGGGTATCTTCTGTATCTACCCACTGCCAGAAGATGATGCTGAGCAGCCGTCGTTGGTCTTGCAGAATATTCCTCCCTCTGGTGCACAGCCATGCATCATCAGAGTCTATGTTGTCAAGGTACACTGAGCGTTGAAAAATGTTTGTAGGCAAACTTGGATTCGGTGTACCACTTGTAATCTAATGACAAGCTGGAAAAGAAAGGAAGCATTGCTGAATGTGTCTACAACACGTACTGTTCCTTAGTCTCAAATGTGTCTGCAACATGTACTGTTCCTTTGTCTTGAGTGTGTCTACAACACGCACTGTTCCTTAGTCTCAAATGTGTCTATGTTCTTGTGTACTTTTTAACTTAGGCCACTGACTTACAGCCACAGGATCCGAATGGAAAGGTAAGGCAATGGGCTCTGCCATGGATGTGTGCTGTTTGTGGTTACGAAGCAATGCAAGCAACTTTTACCGTCTAAAGGAAGGCAAAGGGAGCTACATGTATACTGTTGTCTCAAGTTCCTTTGTTTTGCAACTATAGTAACTGTTTTAAAACTATTCCTTCGTGTGCCATGTTGGTGGAGCGTAATCTCCCTATTTTGTCATCTCATGCTGTGCCGAAAATTGCAGAATGACCCCTACCTTCGTATCTACCTTGGAAAGGAGCGTCTTGTGAATGACAAGGACAGCTACATCCCCAACACGCTAGATCCCATCTTTGGAAAGTAAGTAGCCGGGTTCAGGGCTTTTGGATTAGACTTTGCATTCTTGACTTCCCGTGTTGTTCTCAGTGTGTAACTTTCTGCAGTCAGTTTGCAGGCTTGATTCTGAGAAGAGAAAAAGAGAAAAAAAAAGGACTGCAGTTGCTGGACGTGCACACTTACAGTCCATTTCAAAACTATAGACGCGTACCTAGGCAAAAACCGTTATACCAGCATCTATACCACATAAAATCTGTGATCAATTTGTGCATAAATTTTTCCAAATTGGGCGTCTGTTATCCAATCCTTTAGAAACTATATGAGAGTAATTGTGGAGCGATCCTGAGCATTATACCGAAAACTATTCTCAAAAAGTTCCAGCCAAATTTGAAATATTTCAAAAACCCTACGCGTCTATAGTTTTGAAATGCACTGTAGTGCGTAGCAAGTACATTCTGCCCCGTCTCGCTGACTCCAACCGATGCTTTGTTTGTTGTCCTTCCAGAGCACATGTCTCGGGGGGCCACATGCTGAATTCAATGTGTGTTTTATTATTATTTGCCCAGGATGTTTGAGATCAAGGCAACTTTGCCTGTGGAGCACCAGCTGCGTGTGCAGGTGATGGACTGGGACTTGTTGACTGCTGACGATATGATCGGTGAGACAACCATTGATCTGGAGGACCGCTACCTCACCAAGCATCGTGCTACTTGTGGCCTCGCTATGTCCTACTGCATGTAAGTTAGCACATCTATTCTTCTTTTCGTTCAAACATTCCATGTGCCGGGTCAGATAGTACTGTGTTTTCCGGAGTATAAGGCACATTTTTAACACCAGTGATTCACCCAAAACAAGTCGGTGAGCCTTATACTACAATGGTCAGACTAATGGTGATAAAATAGGGTAGAGGGGACGGTTTCAAATAGGAACACTCCTTTGTGTTGGCCCGTTGCCTCTAAGTTGCCCTCAAAAGTCGGTGTCACAGAGGTGGCTCCGAACCGGAAAGGTTTTGGAGTGCACGTCAAGTTCACGATGGGTTCTGAAATTAGGTAATCGCTATCGCTCCACGACTGCCAGTACAGAGCAACAATAAGCCTTGTGTGTGCTTCCATTAGTTTTCATTGGTATACGGTGCTTTATTGGCGAGAGGCGAGCCGCTGTTTACCTGCGACAAGAAGTTGATTTTTCGAAAGACGTAAAACTCAAGTCGCAGTGCGAAGCAACACGTCAAAACTTCACCTGCTTGGCATGGCGCTTCTGGTCATCGCAGAGCCATGAAATTTTGTCTCTGAGTAAAATACATCGTAGTCTCACTGTGAACATGTTTTCTAATCAAAATACCAAGAGAGAAAGTGAATATTGAGCCCGTTCCGGTTTGCAACCTATTTCCTATTTGGAACCGTCTCCTCTACACTAAGAAAGTGGTGAACATACTGAGGCATAGAGAAACCGAACACGAGGATTTTGATCTATCATGCATATTTCACAAAAGGAATACTTGTGAGTGACCTTGCAGTCGAACGTACGAAAGACTTCAACTTAGTTTTTGGTTTACAGTGTCCCATGGCAGATTAGATGATTGAGTGAAAACACTATGGTGTGCATTGTCTGGTTTTCAACAGTGATGGTACCAACATTTGGCGAGACAACGCGAGGCCATGCGAGATCCTGGAGAGGGTATGCGGTCGCCGAGGATTGCCTGCTCCCACCTACGAGGGCGACAGCAAATGCAGAGTTGCCAATCAGCTGTATGAACTTCTTCCTGATGGTGAGTTATATTAGTATGCATGGCTTATACCTGCTACAGCAATAGAGTTGTGCTAGCTGTCCTGGCATAATTCCAGCAAATTCTTGCATATACTTAGCTAACTGTATTACTAACCCTTCACCGTTTTAGGTATTTGTACAGCAAAAAAACGACCGTCATTGTTCATGCCATAACTTTTCTATTTTTCACTTTTATTATTGTACAACATAGGGTGATTCTGAAACAAGTAAAACCCTTCAGGAATGCGATGCAACAACTTTCAAGTCCAGAAAACGAACAATTTTTCACTATTTAGCACTAATAATTATTTGGATTTATTGCCGATCGGGCAAACTGTTGCAGTGTGCAATAAATCAAATTCTTGCACTGGAGTGGCTCCCTCAAGTAAGTGGATACCAGGTTCGTTCCCTGGGTGGAATGCAGGAGTGTTACAAGTCACAGCGGTGTCAGTATTGTCCCAAGTGTTGCAAATATCGACTAGTGCAGGTTGCACCGCTGGCTGTACCTAGTACCTGTGCACCACAACCTCTACCGTGACCACAGGCTATTCCACGGCCGAATCCTCTCTCTCTCTCTGCCACGTCCCCTTCCACCATTAGTAGCACTTATCTCAGCGACACTGTCGTCGTCTGTGACATCCATGTCACTCTCACTTGCGCTGCTTTCACTCGCCATGTCATCGTCGCTGTCGTCTTCAGAATAAATATTTTCAACAGGATCGTCTGGCTTCACAAACTCATCTTCGCTGGATGAGGCGGCGACAGGGTCGTCAGGAAGGGTCTCCAGAAGCGAAAGAGCTTGCTCCGCGTCCATGGCTTGCACAGCAGGGCAGAAAGTCGCGAGGCCAGCTCAAGCAAAAGTCGAAAACATCTGCAGGCAGTACCAAAAGTCGCAGGGTACGCACTTTTCCCAAAGCGCATTTTTCAAGTCGCGATTTCCGCAATTTGTTATATTGCATCACACAAAAAATTGTTGGCACCCTCTGCGCGTATATCTTGGCTACAAGTAGGGAAAATCCCAGCTCTCTGCGGTGAACCAGTCCAGCGCTGTGCACATAGAAGTCATCGACCGCGGGCGGTCGAAATTTGTACGTAAATACGGTAAAGGGTTAAATGCAATTGCTGAAGTATTTACGGAAGCGGTATCAGTGCTGAATGACTGCCACTGAGGCATAACTGAGCGCAATTACTTCCTGATTGTCTCTCTCTGCATGCAGGGAAGGGATGCCGGTATAGGGAGGAAATCAACTTACCTGCATACTAATACTAGTACTGCTTGGAAGCGGAAGGATTTTCGGTATTTGACCACTTTGTGGTGGGTCTGATCTACTCACCTCCCACCACTTAGGAGCTGCATCTGCGCCTTGATCCAAAAGGGTGGTGGCGTTTCTGCGGATGCGGAAAACTCGGCCTTTGGCCGAGTCTCACGCGAACCGTGATTTTTTTTAAATACTAGTCGACATGTGAACGCTGAACCAAACAGAGAACAAAGAAGAGAACAAGCAATAGTTATTAGAAGTATTATGGAGCACCCATTTGATTGACTCGAAACGTTTTGTTGTTCTTTGTGTTGTGTTGTGCAGATGATCTTGTGGCTCCCGCTGAGGAACTCGGTGACATGAAGGAGCGCGTTGCATTGAAAGTGCTGCACAACTTTGACCTGGTTCCGGAGCATCTTGAGCTGCGCCCGCTCTACAACCCACTGCGTCCCAACTTGGAATGTGTAAGTCATACAGACCTGAAGCGCATGAGGATCAGTAGCGCAAGGACAGAATGCCAGTGCTGGGTGTATCTGTGGATGGGTGAAAGCTCAAACCAGCGTGCGATGGAGTAGAGGGTTCTACAAACTTACCTGATGTTGGAAAGAGCTATAATGGGTCTAATAGTGAGCATCGCATCTTTTCTTAGAGATGACGTTAGTGAAGAAGTACCTTAGTGCTTGCGCTAGCGCAGGGTGTGTACCCTTGAAATCATGCAGGGTGTGTACCCTTGAAATCATGCAATATTCCATCAAAAACGCAACGCTAGTTTATGTGTGGCACGGAAATAAATATTCTACCTGGTGCATGTTGGTTTAGTCTATTACTCAATAATACTCATCATTAGTAATGTTATAATACTCATCATTAGTAATGTTATAATACTCATCATTAGTAATGTTGCGATAGACACTGACTAGTGATGAGAACATGTGATTGGTGAAATTGACGACGAGAAAGACGTGTGCTTTAATCCTCGTGTGTGTGGTGTGATCTGAAGAGCTGCTAATTGTGTTACGTTGTCACGTATTTCTGTTTTGATTCTGTAGGGTAAGCTCCAGATGTGGGTGGACATCTTCCCAGAAGACGCCGGTATACCACCTGCTCCGACCAACATTTGCCCGCGCAAGCCAGACGAGTAAGCTCATTGTATACTGTAGTAGTGCCAGTGCTGTCTGTTCGGGTGCCAGCCAATGGTAGCTTGGGAGGGAGTAGACAAGAAAGATGCACAACCTTCGCTATTGTACTCAGTGCTTTGCTTGCACTTGACTGGCTGGATGTTTGCCTGCAGGTTTGAGTTGCGTGTGATCATCTACAATGTCGAGGAGGTACCACTGGATGAAGCCGCTACTCTGACTGGTGAGATGATGAGCGACATCTACCTGAAGGGGTAAGTCTTGGTTCCATGATGCCTGAAGCGTGTTCCAACTCTGTGCGTCGAAACATTTCCAGGGCAACCTGATAGGCTGGTGATGAACACCCTGCATATCCCAGGACCATCTGTGCTGCATCTGTAGTGGACTGGATGGCAGCTCCATTGCATTAGACCTTTGTAGTACATTCCTTGCGACAAAGGCCAGTGTGTAGCATGTTGCAAACGTTCATTTTGTTGTCTTTTCATTGTGTATGCAGATGGCTACGTGACAGTGCTGACAAGAAACACAAGACAGACGTGCACTACCGGTATGTTGTACAGAGATTCAGTGTGTCACACCACATGTTGCAGCTGTACAACTCTGTTTGCTGGTGTTGAACTGTGAATTACTCGGTTGACGGTATTGTGTAATTTAGCTGTTAGCAGTGATGTTCAACATGGTCTTTTCCACTCAAGCGGATGACGATATGGACACCTGTATGTTTATAACGATGTCGGCAACTCATCATGCTTTGTAATCACAATGCTGACAGGTTTGCATGCCTTATGTTCATGTATGTGATTACACTGCAGATCGCTGAATGGCGAGGGTAACTTCAACTGGCGCTGGATTATGCCATTTGAGTATATTCCAGCTGAGAAGGTCATGGTCATCAAGAAAAAGGTATCAGTTCAGTCACTTATATAATGCTGTGAACACAAACCCTTGGCTTATGAAGTGCATGTAAAGTGTACTCATTGACTGCCCTTACTTCCTTCATTTCTTTTATCAGTCGTCTTTGCCAGGAAACGTTCAACGTTTGCACTGGATAGGCAGTTTTGTGCAGTAAATGTGGTTATGTCTTCATCCGTGCCCTCTGTATGCACTTGTTATTCCAGGCTCATTTCTTCAGCTGGGACAAGACAGAAACTCGCCGTCCTGCTGTATTGCAGCTGCAAGTGTGGGACAACGACTTCTTTTCATTGGATGACTACTTGGGTAGGCCTGGCATTAGCTTGGCTATGTGCTAAACACTGTGAAGTGGAATGTATTCACCCTCCAAGACATGTGCATTGTACATGTACATGTATATGGTGCACTGAACATGTATTCCTTTCTTCCTCCTGGGTGACCATAATTATGTACTTATGTGACTATTCCATGTGCTCTGATCCCTTGTCTATAGGTTCTGTGGAGTTCAATCTCTGCAACATGCCTCCACCAGCCAAGACCTCCAGAAAGTGCTGCCAGGAACAATTTGGTGACCCAACAGTGGGCCGCAAGCCCAAGAAGGAGTATGTCAGCCTCTTTGAGTCGAAGCGCTTGAAGGGATGGTGGCCAATCCGGGACATTGGGCCTGACGGTGAAGTCATTCACGCTGTAAGTTATTGTTCGCTTATCAAGTACTCTCACTCTTATTGCAGCAACACTGCATCTCTCATACCAGTCTTGTTTTCAGTTGTCCAGTGATGTTGTCATCACACAAATGCTAACATTTTGTAGACAAATTGTGGTCAACCAGTAGCAGGAAATCCATGTGCGCCTCCTGTATGTATGTACGCTCGGTATGTGGTATGTGTGCAGGGCAAAGTTGAAATGGAGGTTGAGATTCTGACAAAGGATGATTCAGAGGCCAAGCCTGCAGGTGAATCGCGTGACGATCCCAACCAGAACCCGACGCTGGATCCACCAAAGTAAGCATACACTACATGCATACACCACAAGCATGCATCCATTGCATGCATACACTGCAAAAAAATCCATCCATGAGAATTCTCATTTGGTCTTTATTGCTTTCTCTTTTTTCTTAGCCGCCCTGAAACTTCGTTCCTCTGGTTCACAAGCCCATGGAAGACATTCAAGTACATCATCTGGAAAAACTACAAGTGGTTGATCATTGGCCTTTTCCTCCTGATTCTTCTCGTCCTGGCCGTAGGTCTCTTCCTGTATGCCTCTCCAGTAAGTGTCATTGTCCGACTGGATTTTGAAGCAGTAGCGAATGATGGTAGATTCACGGATGCTTGTCTAGCTTTCAGCCTCATTGCAGATGAGAACCACTATACATGTACTGTACACATGTTGCATATCTTGCGGCAGCAGAATATTATGGATATCACTCGATTATTACTAGTGGTGTGCCCGGGTAGTCGGGTACCCGTGCTACCCGTGAGGCCCTCGGGTAGACGGGTACAGAATAGTACCCGAAAACCCGAAGTCGCAGATGACATCATGTACAGTGCACGTGTACAAATTCGATTAGTACTCCGCATGTATACCATGCCATGGTCCAGAGAGAGAAAAGGCTCTTTAAAAGGCAAAACTCCAAAACAATGTTGTACAATCATGTACACATGGATGTCAAACTATGTCAAAACTAAAAATATGTTTTATAGAAGAGCGAACAGTGACGGTTGTAGTAGGGTTGTGGTCCATGGTCTACCCAGTGTGTAAGGGAAGGGGTGCATTGTGGTATTATGATGGAAACATTACCCGACCGGGTACCCGTGCTACCCGTGGAAAACTACCCGAACCCGATACCCGAAGAAAATGCTACCCGACTCAGCCCTAATTATTACCATTGTGGGGCCCGTTAGCGTGAGTTTACACCGTATAGTGTTGTGACATGCTTTGCCTTTATCTACTCTGTCAGCATATTACAAAGCATTGTTCCTTTCGGTATTCTGCTGTTCCACCTGTTTGCAGGGCTACGGTGTGCGCAAGATCTTCGGCTTCCAGTAAGCTGCGCTTGGCGCAGGGATCTGTATGTTCAGGGCCACGTCCTTCACGCCTGTCGGCGTGTTTCTTCCACATTTCGTCATGCATGTCGTGTCTGCACCCTGAAAACTGCTTACCTGATATTTCGTCTGGCAATGACCCACGCGGGTTTCTTTTTTCTACTCTCTGTTGCGTTTCCTAATTTCGTGAAGAAGCAACTACATGGAACAGTGGCACTAGCCTTCAGAGTATTGTCTTTTCATGCCGCTCTTGCACTAGCAAGCATTTTGGGCGAAGTGGCTACCAATTCCCCTCTTTTTTTGCTGCAGTTCAACTGTATGTTCGCTTGTGTATGCTAGGTATGAAATGATTTAAAAAAATTGTATCCTTGCTTCATTCAATACATTATTTTAGTTTCAGTCTTAGGTAGAATTTATGGCTTCTTTCATTTGCTCTCTGACTTTGGCATTTTGTAGTCTGGCTCTGGCTGAATTGCTTTATAACAGCATTCTCTAGGATTTCGATAATTAAAACGACTTTGTACTGTGCTGATCTACCTGCACTCGAGTGTCATTGTTCCTGGGTAGTGCTAGTAGTACCATACTGTACCGATGAGACTTGCATGGGTATTAGTATTCACTATTAGTAGTACTGGAGATAATGGGCCGAGAACAATCCATGAACTCTTGTCTACAAATATAGTGCCAATGAACGGACACTCCAAATCATCCTGAAATTGCTGCATGGATGCAAAGAAACACGGAAGACTGGAACTGAGCTGTAGCCGCTTCGGGTGACCTGATTGGGCTTTAGTTCGAAAAGTTGACCCACCCAATCGGCGCAAAACGGGGTTTTTGTCAATAAATAATGTTCATTTCCAGGAAAGTGTCCCGTTAGCCCGGGCCATATGAAATCCCGGTACTCTGGCTCTGCGGAAGGAGTCTTTAGTCGTACATTCATGAAAGTGGTACAATAATAATGATACTGCACCTGATATCACTACAATAGGCAAATAATTGGGTTTGACATTTTGTTTCACAATTTGTGGTTTTGGCGAATAAAGCTTTGAGTGAACTACAATAGTTCTACAGTGGAGTACATGTACATACTCCCTAGTAGCAGCAGCAGCAGCAGCAGCAGCAGCAGCAGCAGTAGTATTTATATTGACATTGGCTTAGACTTGCATACATGACGGGACCTGTTACTTTAATTTTCACTTAACAGTTTTCTTCTTTTGACATTGGATTTGACATTGGATTTACTAATTGATTTGATGTTATTTAATTAAAGTTAAAGGAGTTTTTTTCTTTGTATTGGCCGGTGTTCTCACTGTGCTATGAGATGCTGTAATATTACTAATAAATAAATAAATAAATTGATCTTCAATGATTTACGATTTCACGTTTCCGCTATTTTGCCCGTAAAAGAGGCTTGTCACCAGTAGTAGTAGTAGTTAAAGCCTCTTGTACGGGCAAAATAAATTGCACATATCGTCAAACAAATTCAAATTCAGTACTGACAGTAGTACTAGTAGCCCAGGCGTTATGGTACTCAGGGGTGTCGCAGACGGTACGGTCACTACGGTATTGACCGTACCACTATTTGACCCAAGTACCCCGTGAATCAATAAGATGCACTGATTTGGGCTCTAATTTTCCAAAATTTTCGGCTCAGCCACCCCTCCCCCACGAGTAACTAATACACGAGTAAGCCATGCTCCTCTGCAAGTCTTATAATTGTTATTTTCATAGGACCCTGACCGAGGCACTTGCCCTCTGCTCTTCTACTCTTGAGTACACTGCTAGGGAGGTATTTACTTGTGAGATTGTGAAATATTACTAAAGTTAGTAAAGACTAAGTGGTCACATGATTGATGTTCATATGATGTTGAGTTCAAACTGCACTGTGACTTACCCGCAAAGAAATTAGGTCCCTTATTCCATCCAAATAGGCAAGCAACACCCATTGAATTGGACTGGGTCATTTTGCTTGAGTATCGATATTAATCAAGCCTAGCTCTCTAGCTTTATGTACATACTAAGTATTACTATTACTATCTGAATGTTTACTACATGTGGTGGGCGGTCACAAAAGAGTACAGTCATGTTCAATATCGAACACGAATAAAATAAAATAAACAATATGTAAAAAATAAACAATATCGAACACGGAATTAATTCCGGAACTATCTACTCAACCAATTCATAATGCAATACCCGCACACTGCGTCAGTGATGGAACTCCGCTACCCGATCAACATGCAGAGACCACTCAATCACATGCTTAGATTTAGTTAGAGGCCGCTCTCCACAATGGCCAACTCCCTCATCGCATTAACTGGACGATGGTAGGCCAGTACAGTCATGTTTATGTTCTCTCTTCGAAGCTCCTTTCGAATAATAAATCTAATTAATTATTTCAAATTTTCATTGTTGAAAATTTGAAATCTTGAAAAATGTTTTTTTCGGCCCTGCTTTTGCCTTCTTCATGAAGTGGCTTTCCTGTTCCTGTACAGGCACAGAGGGTCGTGGATCGGCCAAACATATACAGTAGTCTTCCTGACCTTGAAGAATATTGTCGTCATGTTCACCTCTGGATTTAAATACTCGGTATGGTTCTGCTGTATGAAGTTCGAAATTACGTACCAGTACAGTGTATTTGCACATGTCGAATGGTCATACTCAAGTGTCCAATGTAGAATGAACTCTTCGATATCCAGAAGTTTAGTGCAGGTTTTCAATAGATCGTAGTGTAATACTGTTACGCTTCAGAATAAAGGCTTGATGGGGAGTGACGTCGCAAAAGTGTGGTTTCACCTTTGTGGAATTATTTGGCTATAAAAGGCCAGATCGTGCTTCCACTGATATCCTCACCGAGCCATGCACAGTATTTGCAACCACACTTTCATCATTGTTTGACGTGAACACTGACATGGGAAATTTGATATGAATCACAGGCACATCATTTTTTGGCCTGCTGGTGTGAATCAGTACAATGTATTGTGTACTCGAATATGCTGACATTCAAATTAATGGTACAATATCTACAGTGTAGTTCCTTCATACACATACATAGAGACGTACATAGAGAACTTCCTACATACAGTTGGAATCGTATTGCTGAATGATTTCGTCGATAAATAGTAACTCTAGCAACTCCTCAGTTACCATTGAATATGACTGTTTGCATTGTGTAGAAAGTAATACACCGCGTCTTTCTGGTCCGGGGGTTATGTATTATCAGGACTTGGCATGTAGACATGTGCTGACATACTACCTACTCCTTGGCAAGGATAACCGTGATACTGTAAAAGCCTGTAAGACCGTATGTATTACAGACCCATAGAAAAGACGTATGTAGCCAAAACAAATACCTTACTTCATTTTGATACTGCCTGTTGCAGTCGAGTTTATCCTGATAAACATACTGCCCAAATTACCAAACTACCCGTGCATTTAAAAATCAGCAAGTACCGTTGATCCGCCCCCTCTCTAATTCCCGCCCCCTGTCGATTTTCTACTTGTGAAGCGACTTCGGCGTATACAACGAAATACGATGTTGAACCGACGCATGCACTGCTGTACACAATACTTGCCAATCCAGGATGAAAATGTGCACAATCCAGCACATCTAGTCTGATCGTCTATGTTGTTGTATATCGTACTGCACTTGACAGCCTTGATCTAATTCCCGCCCCCTGCCGAAAACCCAGCTGGGAAGCGACATGGCGTGGGGGGGGGGGGGGGGGGATCAAGGGTACTTTACAGTACTATCATAATTATGACAGAGAATGAACTCCGATGGAGAGCCAAGGATTATTTATAAAAAGTAAAAAGGACCAAGGAACTACAAGTTACACTGTAATGTCCACTAACACCACCAGTTACTAAACAATCAGATCATGCGATAACATTGCACGACACTGACCGACGGTACCGACGGTCCCCTCCTTATGTTATTTCTATAACTTAGAACCTTCCAAGTTGGAAGGCTGTTGGAGTGCGCATCCAAGATGTGCTAGAGCTGTTAGCCAGTTAGTTGTAGAATGTCAGTACCGTCGGTCAGTGTCGTGCAATGTTATCGCATGATCTGATTGTTTAGTAACTGGTGTTGTTGGTGGACATTACAGTGTAACTTGTAGTTCCTTGGTCCTTTTTACTTTTTATAAATATGACAGAGTTTGAATGTCCCGCTTTCATATAAGAGAGTGGTGAAAGACAAACAGATTTCTCAGTGTGTCATATTAAACGGTGTATCTCAAACGAATGAATGTAGGAGACAAAGTATTTTGTTGTGATCACATGAAGTGCATTAGAGTTGCAATGCATTGATGAGTATGTAGTTCAGCCTGCATAGCTATGCAGTTCAGCCTGCATAGCTTTCTTTTTGAAAGGATGTTGAGCGGACAGAGATTGCAGTATGCAGCATCTAGTCCGCGGACCTACTGGACGTGAAGCTCAAGTGTCAGAACATTGTTAGTTGCATGTGCATGCTCATAATTATGTTGCTGCGTTGTCTGTCTGTCTGTCTGTCTGTGTGTGTGTGTGTGTGTGTGTGTGTGTGTGTGTGTTTGTTGTGACTGTGTGTGTTTGTGACTGTGTGTGTGTGTTTGAGTTTGTGGATATTCTTTTTTTTGTTTTTTTGTTGTTTTGTTTTAGGCTTACGCTGCCGGCATCAGTGTTGGAGCAGCCATTGGCTTGACTCTGAACGGAAATGAGCGAATCTACTCGTCGGTTATCATGCCTGCTGTGCAGTGTTTAGATGGGGAGAGAGCACACCGCATTGCCGTTTTCTCTGCAAAGTATAACATGATGCGGTTCTCGTCCAAGCCTGACACTAGCACACTGGTAAGTCAATGTCCAAGCCTGACACTAGCACACTGGTAAGTCAATGTTCGTGTGACCAGAGTTTTATTCCTTGATATAGATTACTAATACTGAAAACTGTGGAAAGTAAGGAAACTGCTACATGCGTATAGTACATGTGCTTTGGATGAAGAAAGTGACAAGGAAAACTGTTCCCATCATGCCCTCACTGATACTTGTTACCTGAGTGTGTATTTGATTTGTACTAAAGAAACCTGACACTGCATTTTTTAAATACTTGACATACCGTATTTTCCGGAGTATAAGCCGCACTGGAGTACAGTCTATATCGGCTATAGAGTGACCGGATATAAGAATATATCGGCTACAGTGATGTTGGTACGAAATATCAAAAGCAAAACGTATTTTATCCAGTTCAAATATCACTATAACCAATATTATCGGATGTAATGATATTATTATTATTATTATACGCACGTCCGCGTTTACGTCAACAGTAAGTCCACGTATTTGCATGTGCCAGAAGACAGGCAGAGTGGGCAGGGAGGAAAACAAAAATAAACAAGAGCAAAAAATAAATGTAAGACAGCAGGCGACAGGCGTAATGATATATCGGATATTATGATGGCAACAAAGAATCAAAACATGCATAACACACTACATTATTATCATCTATAAGTGATAACTTTAAAATACATGTTGCAATAATATCAAAGGCCCTATTTTTTTACTTTCTTCACGTTGCTTATTTTGATAGTGACACATGTACATGTACATAACAGAATTTTTTATGGAAATGCGGGCACTGTCAACTATGCGGCATGCTCATTAAATTTTGTCAAAACGCCATGCTGGAAGTATTTCCTTGCCTTTCATGTGTCGATCGAAAAAAATCGATCGTATCGCATATAGTGATGCATCGGTTATAGTGATAAAATCACGGAAATCAAAAGGGTACGCTATAGCCGATACAGACTGTATAAGCCGCACCCCCCCCCCCCCCCCCCCCCCATTTTTTGCCACAAAATACAGACATCTATCCTATTTATCACTGTTAATTTGATCATCGGAGTATAGGCCGCATCTCCTTTTTGGGGGTGAATTTTGAGTGTTAAAAGTGCGGCTTATAGACCGGAAAATACTGTAGATAATATGCCAGTACTCGAAGTAGGAGCCTGTTCTCAAGGGAAGGCCGATTTCAACATGCCATCTGCTGATTGGATTGGTTTACTGTTGACATACATAGAAATACATTAGAAATACATGACGTGTTATACTTTAATATGAAGTGAAGGTTTGCACATCCGTGTTACCACTTGCCAAACACCATTGTGTTTAGAAACACAACCAGCTTAGGAGGTTGCGCTCGTGCCAGGCCACCACCATGCCTGATTATACCTAGGTGTACCTGCTACGCCCGGCTTCCATACATCATGACTTCATACCTGCTACGCCCGGCTTCCATACATCATGACTTCATACCTGCTACGCCCGGCTTCCATACATCATGACTTCATACCTGCTACGCCCGGCTTCCATACATCATGACTTCATAGCATTTGTCTGTTTGCGTGCTTTTGTGTGTTTCTATACGTGATTGTCTTAGCACCAAACAATCCTGGGCATGAAGTTTGAAAATCCCGTCGGCATAGCGGCTGGTTTTGACAAGCATGCTGAGGCGGTCGAGGGACTATTTTCCATGGGCTTTGGATTTGTGGAGATTGGGTCTGTCACACCGGAGCCCCAGGCTGGGAATGAGAAGCCTCGTGTTTTCCGCCTGATCCCGGACAAAGCTATTATAAACCGGTCAGTCGTGCTTGTTGCTGTACCAGGGTCTGTGGCAGTTTGGCATGGTCACTTTGGTGGAACATGTTGAAACTCTACATAGTAGATTACATTCTATTCCCGATGGACTCCAATGCCTGGACATGTACCTTATGCATATCACCATGCATGTTATGTAACACACACACACAAACACACACACACGCACACACACACTCACACACACACACACACACTCACACACACACACACACACACACACATGCACACACACACACACACCACACACACACACACACACACACACACACACACACACACACACACACACACACACACACACACACACACCACACACACACACACACACACACACACACACACACACACACACACCACACACACACACACACACACACACACACACACACACACACACACACACACACACACACACACCACTTATTATGCACAGGCAACGGTGGCAAGTATACATGTGTAGTCAACGCTCCATTTCTCTCTTGATGATGATTGGCATCATGCAGCCTGGCATGTGCCACTCTAGACTCCCGTGCGTTACACATTGGTGTTTGTACTTGCACTGCGCAGGTATGGATTTAACAGTGAAGGTCACAGCGCCGTTGAGGACCGATTGAAGGGCTTACCGAGTGAGTATGGACTAGGCATTGCCAAGTGTTGTCATAGAGAGAGGGCACCCCGGGGCACCCCATCCATTGTTACTACATTCTCTTCTAAATAGTACCGGTATACACACAATTAGCATTTGGCATGTAACATGTATGTACTGTAGCTATTCACTGTAACTGTCTCAGACTGCCTTTGAAAACGTTTTAAGAAATAGTTCTGTTGCTATGGAGTGTTGCATTTAGTTTGTTTAGTTTTTGTACATGTGTCTCTGTGTCTGGTAATAACAACTGGAAATGTCTTTTTTGACTGGCGTACTACACAGTTCTGGACGGACCCCTTGGTGTAAACCTTGGCAAAAACAAAACCAGTACAGATGCTGCCAACGACTATGTCCTGGGTGTGAGAAACCTAGGTCGCTATGCAAACTACTTGGTCATCAATGTGTCCTCACCAAACACGCCAGGCTTGCGAAGTCTTCAAGGCAGACAGCAGCTTCATGACCTTCTCTCAAAGGTTCGAAGACTATGTAATAGTATGCATGATCTGTAGTGTGTAGCTACTCTAGACGAAAATACGTGTTTTGTACTTTCTCTGGGATGTAGTTACATGCGCTAGTTTGTTGTTGCCAGCTCGGCCACTTTCACTGGCAACATAGTACTTGTACGGTGTGTCTTTTCAAAGCAAGCACTGACTCTGAATCAGCTGAAAGTCACAAAGCACATGATTGTAACGTCCAGTTTGAAACCCTCACCAATGTCAGCACTAACTAACCACCACCTCAATTTAATTCGAATTGTCTTCCTCTTCTTTCATCAGGTTGTAGCTGAGAGAGATGAGCTGACAAAGAGCATAGGTCGGAAGGTTCCAGTTCTCGTAAAGATTGCGCCAGACTTGACTGATAAGGACAAGGAAGATATTGCAGCTGTAGTGCTGGAATTAAAGGTAAGCCACTGTGGCATGGTAACCATGGTAACTCAACTGGTATTTAGTGTGTGCAAGCCGTGTTTTCTAATGCTAATTGTGTCTCTCATTACCCCACCCCTCATGGAGAAATTAATGGACTTTCTTGTCGTGGTTTGCACCTTCCTAGTAGATTACAATAGAGAAAGATGGCTGGCTAGCTACCAGAAATTCAAGTGCACCTAAACAATACCTCGAAATAGAAGGCACTAATGTCCCCATCAAATTCATATACCCGAAAAACAAACAACTAAGAACACTTCAGTTATGGAGAAAGGTTGCGATGCAGAAACAGCCAAGAAAGCTTCAATAGGTGACCGAGTACAGCAAGAGAATGAAATAATAATTTTGTGCAAAATGAAGAAAATGAAATAATAACGCCCGAAAGCGCTAAATACTAAATTAGGAAAAAGGAAATCATAAGGCGTATAGCGCTAAAAGTGCACCAAATAATAATTAAATCATAATTATACCAAACGAAATGAAAAAGTCCAGAAATCATAACAAGCAAAACGAACTATTGGAAATAATAAAAAAGATAAATGATAAGTGAGAATGAGAGAAGTGGAGGAAGAGGACAGTTACATGTTATACTTATGCATCAGGGCAGCCATGTACTGTGCTTGACTCGGTTGCAGCGTCTGGGCATGTGTTATTTTGCTCCATCTTGGCGACAGCCTCCATGTCTTCACGATGCCGTTTGGTATCCTGCGTCTCCTTCTCTTTGTCTCGTTTGTCCATGTACTCGGCCCATTGTTGCTGCAGATGCTGATCGTGTTCAAACTGACGCTGCTGGGGCTCTAAGTTCATCTCCTTCATCTCCTGGAGAAACGTATCTTGTGTCTGTTGTCACTTGCTCTGCGCTGGCGTTTTAGTTGCTACAGTCTTGGGTGCAGTAGCGGCTTTTTGTGGCGTGCAAGCAAGCTCATCTGGAACCTCACTAGAGGCCGTCGGCCCCTCCCAAACATCGGGCTGGTCATCACTGTAGAGCACCTCATCTAGGTCATGCTCCTCCTTTAGGTGGTCGCCGCTTTGCAAAAGGTTAAGACATTGCGGATGATGAAGAAGCTAGTGATGACGGTGGTACCGGCAAGATTGAAACTCCACGTGGGGACGGGCTACTCGGAACTAGGGTGGCAGCTGAACATGCCGCTACCAATCCCTGCGAAATCAGTTCACTTGGTGGGTTGGGAGAGGAACAACCCTTGTGGATGCTGACAGCCGTTGCTGCCGGGATGATCCAGAGGATGTCGTTGTGTTGATGGCAGCTGCTGACTTGGGGATGCACGCCCGCTGGCAGACGATCTGTAGGATGCTGCAGACGTGGACTGTCCACCACTGGGAACACCCACTTCTATGCAGTGAGCAGGGCCACAAGTGGGATGCTGACAGAAACACGGATCATACGTCCGGAAGTTGGTCCATTGCGAAAAGGAGGCCTCCAGATCTATCTTCTCACCATCTGCATCAACATCAGGTTCGTCATTGCTGGATCCAGTACTTTTCTTGAAGTGCTTCTTGTAGAGCTCCTTGCCCTTGGCCTTTGCAGTGTCGACCTTGTTATTAACTTGGCTTTCGTTGTATCTCTCATCCGATCCAATCTCCACCAAATAAATATTTTAATCTCCGGGTGACTGCGGCCACTTTCTCGGAGCGAGAGACCATCTTTTTGTCCTGAGACGAGTACAGGGTGCCACGATTCAAGGAACTTCCTCTCTGCATTCGCCTTTTCCATTTTTGGATTACTTGCAAGAAAACTCAAGCGAACAAGACAACACAACCTGACTTCGAAAGCGAAACAAGACAAGACAAGGCAAGGCAAGCTGACCGCCAAAACTGAAACAAATCAAAACGCACAAGCTTCGAAAGCACAAAAAGAACTAGTCACATGTGCTTCCCGCGCTGCACGTGACCATCAGGAGCTTTCAGGAGGGTTCAGTTCCTGCGGTTGGAGAGTGGACAAAAAGCTTGCGTGCACGTTTGGACTACTGCGGGCAAATCTGGCTACTCGCAGGCAAATTTCCCGGGCTCCCAAACGTGGATTTACCTGTCGTGTGGACAAGGATCTCATCATTTGTCACTGATAGTATTCAGAGGGCAACCAAGGTACAGTTGCGCTCGGCGAAATCCGACACAGAGTGCAAAGCTGGCTCCCTGGACTAGTTCCGATTACATCATTGTATTTGTACATGTGTACGTCCAGCCGCATTCGTGACACTTCCAGGATGTCAAGGGCGTGCTAGTTGAGGGCGCCAAATATGCACTCTGGGTCGGATTTCACCGAGCGCAACTGTAGTTGGGAGTTGTATCAGGGATTGTTTTCATTTCAGAATAATTTGTAATACCGGTAACCATTTTAAGATGGCAATAAACAGAATCAGCTGAAGCGACATGTTACGAAGGTTTTATTGAGATGTAAAGTGGTGTTGGACAAAGAAGTAACTGTGATGGAAATGTGAAAAACAATAATAGGAACGATGAAAAATATAAACATGCATCGAACTAGCTTTCGCACAATGCTCATCAGGAAGCATTGTTGTACTAATTAACAAATTGCAACACAGATTACTATAAATGATCAATAGTGATATTATACAGTCAGACCTCGTTTATCCGGTCCTCGTTTATCCGGATCCCTCGCCATCCGGAAGAAAATCGCTGGTTACCGATGTGCAGCATATGTTATGCATACAACATAACCGGACCTCGCGATCCGCATACCGGTGCATGATTTTGTGCACAAACTGGTTAAATGTGTACAAAATGCTTTGTCGTATCCGGTTGCATGTGGCTGGCTAGCGCTTGCAGAAGCTACAGTTGTGGCAAGTGAAATCCGACACTTGCCATAGGGGACAGCGCCTCAAATGGACATCAATGATGTAATGCACTGCACCTAATTTGTACTATAGAGCCGTATGCATCCCAAACAGGTCGAAAGGTCACAGCTTAGATACACACAGTTCACAAACATGGTACACATAAGGAGTATTGCATATTGGTATCCAATTCCCATTCATATTTTGCCAGCACCTTTTGAACCTTGACTGTGATGAGTACGAATTCTGTCATCAGACAGATAAAGTTGTATGCAACACATGTACTGTACGTATGCAGGGCTGCAGAGGCTGCAGGATGCACGGTGCAGTCCCTTATGCTAAGTGTCGGATTTCACTTGCCACAACTGTAGTATCAAGGAGTTGTACAAGCAAACGAGGTCCTTGACCTGCTGTGTGTGTGCGGACAGCACTCAGTTGCATGCACTTGTCAGTTTTCTCGCTTGTTTTACATACTGGGCACGCTAGTTGTACTGCATAGGACCTGTCTACATGTATGTATGTCACTGCTTTTGACATGCCACATGCATATACAGTATGTGTGTTCAGTTATCCGGTTACCTCGCCTATCCGGATATTTTTGTGGAAAACAGATGTGTGATGTGTGATGTGTGATGTGTGATGTGTGTGATGTGTGTGATGTGTGTGATGTGTGTGATGTGTGTGATGTGTGTGATGTGTGATGTGTGCGGTTAAGCCAGGTCTGACTGTAACACCTAAACAATGCCAAAAAAAACGGTAACCATCTCATTTTTTATTTCTCTTTCTATCTCGTTACCTGTTGCGGTGTGTGTAGATTGCTGGTCTGATTGTTAGCAACACAACTTTGTCCAGACCGGAATCCCTGCAAGGCAGTGCTAAATCAGAGGCAGGTGGCCTGAGTGGTGAACCCCTGAAGAGAATGTCAACACGGCTGATCCATGACATGTACAAGCTCACAAAGGGTTAGTGACATGCATGTTCTTTGTTGGAAATGGTGTATTGCATTGCATGACTTGCATCACTCAAACACCATGCTTATTGGGGAAAGAATGCTATGATGATTATCTAACTATCTGGAAGAACACAGAAAAAGAATGGCCAGATCAACGAAACGTGGAAACAGCTAGCAGACATGCACTACTATACTGAAGTAATTGTGAGGGGCGCTGTGTTGTGCATAGTGACGAGTCCTGTGTTTGCATAGGTATTCTTCTATATGTATTATGTGCATGTACAGGTGCATGATGTCATGTATGTGAACAATTGATTGGCATAAGCAGTACTCTGTTCATATGTACAACTGATTACTTACATCAGTGCCCCTTGCAGTCAGTCCTAATGTTAGTGTCTGGGTGTACTCTACCACATGGCACAGGCAGTGTATTGATCATCGGTGCTGGAGGTGTTAGCAGTGGACAAGATGCCTACGAGAAGCTTGCTGCCGGTGCATCTCTTATTCAAATTTACAGCTGCTTGGCGTACATTGGGCCACCAGCAGTGTCCAAAATCAACAGAGAGCTCACCTCCATATTAAGGTGGGTACTGTTACTACTGTACACTAGCACTGTACATGACTAATGACTAATATGCATGCTGTACTAGTAATAACTGGGGAGTTTGTGGAATAGAAATCTCCAAGTCGACTTTTTTGAGCAGTTTGTGCAATGGAGTATTGTTTGTGAAAAATTCAGTTTTTGTTGTGCTTCTGTCTTGTAATCATCGCATGGAGCTTGGATTTCACCCACTGTCGGTGATTTACTGTTGTTTACATGTGATCATCTTACTATCGGCTTTGCTCGCAGTAAGACAATTGTACTGAGATGGGTCCTCCACATTACTGAGTTTGATATCCATCACTTAGAAGCAGAGCGGACGTTAGCGCTCACAAACTTGACAACTCTGCAATTCACCCACTGGCACTATGCTGCACTATGCTCCCGTAGTACATCAAGGCATGATAACTAAATTGCAGGGTATTGGGCTACTGGCATGGTATTATACTGGATTCAGTGATACAATACGCATCTACAACAGCAGCTGCTCCACTGCGGCTGTACTAGAAAACAAACTAATACAAAGTATTTCCCTGTCGCACTCTACGATAAAGTACCTCTTGTGTTGTTGCCTTGTCCTACAGGGAGAAAGGCTACTGGAATGTCCAGGATGTTGTGGGAAGTGCACATATAGCCCAGAAGAAAACGTAGCTCTGCAATTCTGACCGATTTGAGTACTTCAAAACATTTGATACGTATCTTCACCTTTGAAATTCGGGATCCGTACACAGAAGTACGGTGTAGTCACGTACTGGTGACGCGTTCACTTGATGACCGCCGTGCTACTAGTGTTTCTAGCAGTCTTATTCTTTTCTAGGTTAGCAGAGCCCCAAGGAAGTACATGTACTTCAAAGTAGAACATACGCAATGCTGCACCATGGCTGTGTTGCAAAGTAGTCAACACTTCCCCAGTGTACTGCACCATGGCTGTGTTGCAAAGTAGTCAACACTTCCACAGTGTACTGTTACAGCTGCTGGTGCTATTGCTACTACTGCTGCACGCGCTATCGTTCACCAGTTGCCCGACTTTTTGCTGCGTCTGCCATCGTTCTCTGCAGTGTGTCGGTGTGTGTAATGATCAGCAGTGTAGGGCGTGTGTGCGAGAACGTGACTTCAGTGACACTTTTGATCTGCTCCTTATTTTGGGACAATGCCCTTGCTGGCAACAACAGGGTTTTAGTATTATTATTATTGTTGAATTTAGTAATTTCTTGACTTTCAGGTGTAAATTATGAATGAGATTACTGCCGTTTGTAGTGCTGATCTCATTTTCATTGCATAGTACAAGTGTAGTAGCAGTTTTCTAGCTTTACAACACATGTAGCCGTGGTTGGCTATAAAAACCCTGCAATCGCCACGCAAAGTGGTCATTGGCTACCCCAGCCATGTATTGCTTGGAATGAAATAAAAAATAATAATAAAAATGTTTGTAGGACTTCTCCTTTCGGGTTTCTAACCGCTCAATCGCTTCAAACTACACTACCCATGTACCAGTAGCTGGCTGGTGCTGGAGTGTTGTTGCTGTTAGGACCATTGGACAGACTTTACCATTTCACATGATCTGTGAACTGGAAACGGTCTGACAAACCGCAAAACGTTTGTTGCGCATTGCGGTTATACTCTGAAGCATAGCAGCAGACAGCGTACTCTGCTGTCCAGTGCATGTTCCGTTGTGACTACGTGTTGAAATATCAATTCCGGAGTTTCACCTTTACACAACACATCAAATGAACATGCAACTGGGCATGCATTGCAATGTTCACAGTGAACCATTGCTATGCCAGTAATGAAAAGTTGAATTACTGCGTGAGATTCGGATGGGTGGATGTTGGACCAATGACTATCATAAAAGAGCACTCAGATTCTTGCTTCACCTATAATAATTATCCATATGTTACAATGAAACGATCAGTATTGACACCTAGTGAGGTCATGCACTGGCATGTAGACTCAAATGTAATAAGTCATGTTTTCCACTGAAAACTCAAAACCATCATTTCAGTCGCGCCAAACATGCACTATACACAAGTTCAAGTTTCCAAGTCACTGCACTGGTGCATCACAGAGGTACAGTATTGCTTTGCATTCCATTGCCGCATTGCACACTTGTCCAGTGTACTTCACTAGGACTATCTGACTGTACATAATCGTGATACAATTTCCTGCAAGTGCCCCTACATCCATGTCCAAATTGGCCAGAGGACATCATTGCATTGTGATTGTGCATACTTGAACCCCTCTCCCCGGTTTGTTTCAAAAGTGGAAATAGTGCAGTCTTCATGTCATCATTCACATAGGCCACGGGACATCACACACACGGCCACATTACACACACAGTACACACACAGGCCACAGAACATGGTCAGCTTGAGCCACTGTTTTACAGTGGTGTCCAAAGCACCTCAAGGACAGTCTTTACCTCATCACCTTGGTCAGGGGACAAGGATTATAGCACCAGTATGCAAGTTGCCAGTATGAAAGCATAATCCTGGTTAAAGTTTATTATTATGTACACTATGAAGTTATGAATTCAATTCACTGCTTGCCGAAACTTGTAAAAACAGATGTGAAAATCTCAAAACAATCGATGTTTCGACAGGCAGCATCGAGTGAGCAACAAGTGTGCCCATGTGTTTCATGCCTTGATTTTCCTTGTCATGGCCTTGGGTGCTTTGATCGGTTCTATGATGGCACCCATGTTGGTGAGAACCTTTGGTTGGCACAGGTCTCTGAAAGACTGTTCCGTATGCCACTCTCGGCCAACTGGCATGCGCAGTGACTGCTGGTACTGTGCTTTAGAAGTGAACGGGAATGGCAAGTTCTTTACCTACGGGACACAAGACAATCAATGCCCACGCATGCACGCACACAGGTATGTACACACACACACACGAGCATACAGAGAAACAACGATGAGAGTTAGAAAGCCAGTTACCATTGCACACATGTTCGAAGAGAGTGGATCACAAGACAATAAGTGATCCTATCTGAGTTACATTCCCTTTCGAGTATCCTTAGGGGCCATCTGTAAATATAGATATTTATTTAGAAAGAAAACTAGTCGTTTAGAGGGGAGGGGGTTCAGCGCCTGTTCGTTTCTCGAAAATTATCGATGCATAGTTTGTACGTGTAGGCACGTCCAGAAAAATGAAAAAATATCGATACTATGTACCGTTTGCATGTATTCGTTTCTCAGGGAGGGGGGGGGGGGGGGAGAGGGGGTTGAAGAGAAATGACTAGTTTTCGTTTCTAAATAAATATCGGAATTTACGGATGACCCCTTGTACACATCAGTAGAAAACAAGAGCATACTGTATGCAAAGCCAAGGAACTAAACAGTAAACACGACCAGTTGAAAGTTGAAAGGCGTTCTCCACCCTTGATTCAAAGTGGTTTACGCGTAGCGCACAATGCGAATGAATTCCCCCGGGAAACGGGACAACAGTCATGCACAAACACACCAGTAAACAGCTCACCTGATGTTTTTCCAAGTTCTTGTGGCGCTTGTCACTGATGATAACATGCGGAAGCTTGCGGTCAGCACGAGGTTCACCATTCGGGCCAGGTTTCTGGTGGTTGACAAAGCGCCGCTTGCGCCGTTTGGCCTTCTTTGAAAGCTGTACACCGTCGCCAGCCCAGTCACCCCACCCGGGCAGGAAGTCATCAACAACTTTCGGCTTACTTGCCTCCACCTCCTCTGCTTTCTTAACGGCAAACGCAGCCTGCACGTCTCCAGCTGCAAAGGACTCTGCAATATTGCATTGTTGTTCCCCAGCTAGAACATCTGCAGCACCAGCTCCAGCCTCCAGAAGCATATCTACATCACCTACAAACTGTACACGCTGCTCATCGCCATCATCATCAACCTTCTTGCCAGCTTGGTTATTATCATCGTCACCGTCGTCATCCTCCTCCTCGGCTTCATCCTCATCATCCTCATCGTCCTCCTCAGTGCCATCATCATCATCATGGCTATCGGATTCCTCAGCGTCATCTTCTTCATCCGCGCTGTCCGCTTTCATCAGTTCACCGGCACTGCTCAGGTTAGGTTGCTTGTGGCGTGTCTGCGCAAGCAATTCATGGAAAAGCACATAAAGACTGCTTGTGGCTAGGTGCTCACATGAAATGTACATGGGAGTGAGTGGGGTGAAACACTGAGAGACTGAGAAAGAGAGAGAGAGAGAGAGAGAGAGAGAGAGAAAGAGAGAGAGAGAGGGGAGAGAGAGAGAGAGAGAGAGAGAGAGAGAGAGAAAGAGAGAGAAAGAGAAAGAGAAAGAGAGAGAGAGAGAGAGAGAGAGAGAGAGAGAGAGAGAGAGAGAGAGAGAGAGAGAGAGAGAGAGAGAGAGAGAGAGAGAGAGAGAGAGAGAGGACAACTGGCGCGAAGCCTGATCCACACTACATTTCACATACGGGAAATCATCACAACGCCCGTCACAGCGAAAAAGTAGACCATAGCTCAACTTGTTCGGCTCATCACGTTCCCGCACCCGAAATGAAGTATGAATTGAGCTTTAGCCCGGAAACTAGAAACAGCATCAAATCCAGAATTGAACAATGATATAGAGTGCTATACATGCACACACATGTGCAGCATTACAAGATTTAAAAATTGGCATATTAGGGACACACTATCAAACAAGAACCTACTGTCAAGCTCTTGTGTACACGGGCTTCCTCATGTACAAGCGCATCATCACTGTCTTGACCATTCCGTGAATGCACATTATCTTCGACGTGTACAGTTTCTACCATGTCCTCATCCTCTACTGCGTCACCATCCGTGTCGGTGTTCACTTCCTCCTCATTCTCGGGGTCTTTTTGCACCAGTTCACTGCCTCGCCGGAGGTCGTCGGACAGAAGCTGCCGAGTCTGTGAAAGCAAACACAAGGGAGAGAAGCGCTCGACTGAAAAACAACAAAGATACATTGGAAATATTGCTCCAGTAGTTAATGTATGCTGAGGACAAAAAGAAAGTGACAATTTCCACATAAAAACAAACATGAGGCCAATCTACTACGCGTTGTGTCATAGTTGTCCTTGGTAGAAGCTGCGGACTCGAGATCCAGGGCATTGTTTTCCCAGAAGAGAAAGTCCCGTGTGGTGCGCATCAGCGCTGAAAGACATCACAGTGGACACGGACTACAGTCAGCACACCACATTGTAACATAAACACCCACCGTTGCGTCCTTGTGGCCACGAATCTTCAAGTTCTTTGCCCATTTCGATGTGTTCTGGTGCTTGAGAGTTCCTCGTTCCTGGGCAATGTAAAATCAATGCAACCAATACAATACACATCATTAAAAATACACACACACATTATATATCACACAGCACACCTGCCCATGTGCACAGAGTAAACTCGTGTGTGTGTGTGTGTGTGTGTGTGTGTGTGTGTGTGTGTGTATGTGTGTGTCCTAGTAGAGCTGTACGAATTACCCGTATCAGTGCAGCTCATGCAGACAGAAGTACAGCGTATCATCAGCATAACGGTAGAAACTGATCAGCTCAGATACAAGTACATGTAGTACACGTAGCAGTACAGCTCATGGATTACCAACAATGGACTGTTCACTGGAGCAGGCTGCTAATTTGCCCACGAGGTCAAATATGACTGTGCACAAATACACTCATGCACATACAGTGTACACTCATGCACATACAGTGTACACGGAAGAATGAAAGTCACAGTGTACGTGTACTGGCCAGAATGCATGTCACAGCAAAACCAACACTCAACAGGGACATCACAACAAACCTTTGCTCGCTCCGCCCTAGCTTCTCTTTCTTTCCGCTTTACTCTATGGTAGCTGTTCAAAGATGATGGCACACAAACATACGTACACTTCATCATAACAGAGAGAGAGATGATGGCATACAAACATACATACACTTCATCATAACAGAGATGATGGCACACAAACAATGCAAACATACATACACTTCATCATAACAGAGAGATGATGGCACACAAACATACCTACCGTAATAACGGACATATAAGCACATGCGCTTATAAGTGAATTTTTGCTACGGATCCAATTTTCAAAAATGAAATATTTTCACCTAAACGCGCATGCGCGATCAGAGTTCGTTTGCCAGAGTCTTTGTGTTTGACTAGGTCTTGCAGTGTCAGTTTCATTGTTCCTGTATGCTGCTTGCAGACTTTTATCTGTGATTGTGTCGAAGTGAGAATTTTGGTAGTGCTTCGCCTATAAGAGCATGCGCATATACGTGAGAGTGCGCTTATATCCGAATACAGGCACATGCGCCTATATGTGCGTTACTACGGTACACTTCATCATAACAGAGAGAGATGATGGCATACAAACACACATACACTTCATCATAACAGAGATGACGGCACACAAACATACTATCACATACAATTCACCGAAAGAGTTCAAGTCAGAAAGAATACAGGACAGAAACATTCTAGCAAAATCAAAACATCAAAATGTAAAAAAAGAACCAAACTAGGTGCACACAATCAGGATATTGAAACAGAAGGCAGAGATGAGAATGGACGATAGAAAAAACAACAGAAACAACATCAAGTCTATAGTTGTGAGTACTAACCTTTTGCTCTTGATTTTGTTTTGACGTGCACATTTTCGCTCATAGTACGACTGCAGGGCGCGATTCTTCTGCAGCTCGGCACGTCGCTCCTTGGCCTACAAACAAGCAATAAGCGGGTACGCATCGGGCGAAGGCATACACACACGCACACGGCAGATATGCATTGCAGATTTGCAGTGTTTCTTTTCAGTCATGGCTAGCAGCCATGGCAGCACTGGTGAACACCACTAGTAAGTCCACTACCATGGCAAGCTATACGGAGGTCAGCCTAAGTGGATTCACAATCTGTTCAGCAATGCACTACAGTAGACCCTTGCTTATCCCCCCCCCCCCCCCCAACCCCGCTTTGTGCATGCGTGTGCAAAAAGATACTTTGCTAAAGCACATCAATACTTCAAAAGCACAACATGATCAGTTTGACCCGCATCCGGTCAAAATTTGACTGCAAATGTCATACAAACTGCCAATACTATAGTATAGTTTACAACAACTCACAATGGTGACTCAGGACAGTGAGGGAATGGATAGGGGAAACACGGCATAAAAATCTACTGTGCCCACCATGTCTAAAACCAGGGAACTTCTCCATGATGAGCTTGGACAGGCGCTACTTTGCTGCGCTGCTCTAATGGACGCAGTTCAGCGCAGCAAGTGGGTTAGGATTTCCTAGACTGTGATTGTGTTCATGAGTGAATCATGGATTCATGAAGCCACGGATATTTGAAGTGTGGGTAAGCTAGGGTGTACTGTATAGCCAACACGACGATAAGCAACCCTTACCTCCTCTATCGTCATGGCATCAAGCTCTCTGCGTTCTGTCAATGTCAGGCCATCTTTACCAATTTTATTGGAGAGGGTTGGGTCTTTCATCACTTCCAACATTTCTGTCTCAAATTCATCTCGAGGCTGTGGTTGTGGAAATAGAAGGGAACACATGTGGACACAGCATGCCGCAGAGAACAAAAATGCATTAGTATTTAGAAATAGATTACAACCACCAGTAGGCAAAGCTGCTAGCACCATAACACAATCAGAAACAAAGCATCGTCATGAGTCGAGCCAGGAATCACAATGAAATCACCAACAGAAAAAATAAAAGTGGGGAGGCTTCCTGCAGTTTCATTAACAGTTAAGAGTAGGAAGAGAGCATGTGGGCTCTACTCTTAACTGTGCAGAAAAAAATAAGATCCAGCACTAGTACCTGTCCATTACGTACGTTGTATAACTGGCGGCTAACTCCTACACACCCAACGTCAGTACAATACGCAATAGATAAGGCATCGCGTCCAGCTTCCCGTCTCCTCTGGATTGGCTTCAAAAGTTAAATGCAATCAAGCAGGTTAGCCATCTCACCTTGAAGTTGTCATGTAGGAACTGTCCAACTGATTTCGGCATAGAGTACGCATGTTCATCTCTCAAGTCGAGTTGCTTCGCCTGTGCGTACAACAAAGAAGTGGGTAGAAATGATTATTTTATGAAAGAAATATATATTAACAGTCTGCTGGATTCAAAGAAAAAGCGCTACAATGCGACAGCAATTTCAAAGATAATTCTAAAACAGCACTCAAGAATATTTGGCCCTTCATGAAACAACAGCAAAGTGAAATTCCGACTTTTCAACAGTACCCTCCATTGCCCTAACAGCCTAAGCCTCCAAGCACACATAGTGATGCATAGTTTCCCAACACTGGACAGGTGCGTTTTGTATTTGATGATCTGTTTTACCATTCCACTCACCAACCAACCAACCCACCAACCAGGAAGATGTGCTGGATATTACACCATGTATTGTCGGGTTATCACATTTTCAACAGGCATAAGAACATTATCATTTGTATGAGTACACCTACAGCTGCACACAGTCGCATATACAGCTGCACACAGTCGCATATACAGCTGCACACAGTCGCATATACAGCTGCACACAGTCGCATATACAGCTGCACACAGTCGCATATACAGCTGCACACAGTCGCATATACAGCTGCACACAGTCGCATATACAGCTGCACACAGTCGCATATACAGCTGCACACAGTCGCATATACAGCTGCACACAGTCGCATATACAGCTGCACACAGTCGCATATACAGCTGCACACAGTCGCATATACAGCTGCACACAGTCGCATATACAGCTGCACACAGTCGCATATACAGCTGCACATACATGTACATGTACATACCTCACGGTTCTTCTTGACCAGTGGCTGCCATTTGCTGATTTCCTCAGATGCTATATCATACGCAGCGGAGCGTTCAGCCTTAACAAATCACACACAGAGCAAATCAACAACAAAGGAAACATGTTCAGAGCACAATTGATCTGAGTTGCACAGATGACTGCACATCAGCCATATCACAAAAATGACTTGCACGCTCAGCACAGCAAGAGCACACGTGGGCATGGGAAGCCCATCTTTTCTAAAAAATGACTTGAAATTCATAGTTCTGTCCATTCTGTTCTTTTCAGAATTCTTCATTCTCATGATGGCCTGTGGCTAATAAGTTCTGCTTGTAGTTGTTGCCATAGTTAGTTTTGAGTCTTTGACATACCCCACACTCACCAAATTCGTATCTCTTTTAATTTGCTGGCCAAAAATCCTACAATATATTATATAGGATTTGAAAATGTGTGCCTTTTATGCCGTTTTTATTGGTCATCACGACCAATAATAACGGCATAATGGTTTTCATGGAAGTTGTAAATATGTTTGAGGCATGAATGTTTACATTTTAGATTCATAGGGCGATAATATTTCTGATGAATACCCATTTTCAGCAATAATTGGAAATTTGAACATAATTGTTCAGCTGCTGTCATGGAAAGGACTGAAGCAGTGAATGTGCAGAAGAACATTGCAGGTGTGGCACGGGGTGGTTTCATGACGACATATCGCACATGCCGTCATGAAACTACCAGTTTTAAGGATAAAACAAGGTCCAATAAAATCTCAAATCCTATTATAGAGGATTCGAAAAATAGGGCACAGGCCTTAGTAATATTGGGCAAGGAGATGAGCCTGAGATGTTAGTGTTTGAAAAAAATTTCTTATTCAACTCTCGATATCTACTAAGACCTAGCAAGGAAGAATTGGTCACATACTTTTTGCTATTCTCAAGTCACACCCATTTTGAGTTGAAAAATATGACCAAAATCCTATATATAGGATTTAGCAAATTACTGTAAACCGGGAAACTTTCGCGAGCGGATAATTTTCGCGAGTTTCGCGATCACCGCCAAAACGCGAATTCGAATCGCCGCGAACTGAAGAATTTGAACGGAAGTAGTGCATCACGTACAGTACTACGCTGGTCAGTACTACAGTCAGTGTACAAGACTGTCTGTAGCTGTGTGCATGCCTTGTCTATGTGACTGTACTACAGTCAGTGTACAAGACTATCTGTAGCTGTGTGCATGCCTTGTCTATGTGACTGTACTACAGTCAGTGTACAAGACTGTCTGTAGCTGCGTGCATGCCTTGTCTATGTGACTGAACTATCATGTACATGCCTAAGCTGAGCTGTTTCGCGGAAGGTGCGCGCGGAAATAGCTGTTCGTTCAGATCCGTTAAATGAGATGACTGTTGTTGTTTGCCGGTTGAATCTGAAATTATCGCGGACAATCTTTCGTAACTTTGTCACTTCTTTCAAGTTCTTTGCCGAAGCTGGAGTTGTTCGTTTATGCTTTTACTGTTGTAAATTGTCAAAGAGTCATGTCGCTTTTTCAGTGGATCAGCTCTCAGAAGAAAGCATCTGGGCAACCAATGCGCCTGTGCCTGCTTACCTAACGCCGGCGGAGAAAAGCAGCGCAACAGAGGCAGCCAACACTGCTGTGATGGAGGAGCTCGCTTCGACCGACAAGAAGCGAAAATTAGGCAGTTATCACCATTACTCTGACGAAGTCCGAGCTCGTATGGGGCGCCACGCCGCCGAGCATGGTAACAAATCGGCCGTGAGTAAGTTCACAAAGGAACTGGAGCATTCCGTGAACGAAAGCACCATCCGGAATTGCAAGCGCCTCTACCTGGGACGCTTGAAAGACTTGAAGAGTCCCGACTTGGTGACGACTCTCCCTCATGCAGCTGGGGGTCGCTCACTGCTGCTTGGCGACCTGGACGGTGAAGTCGCTGAATACGTAAAGGCTTTGCGACAAGCTGGTGGCTGCGTCAGCACAAGTATCATCATCGCTGGCGCGAAGGGAATCGTCGCGCACCGTAAAAAAAAGAACCACCTGAAAAGACCTAATCGCTAAAATTTCCCGTCGTTAACAGGGGCGTATTTTCAAAACGCTAAAGTTGCACGCCGCAAAAGTTTCCCGGTTTACAGTAAGAGATAGTGATGGTCTGCCTCAAGACTTGATGTACATGTAGGTATGAAAGAAACTTACATGTATGCGGTATTTCTTAAAAGAAATACCGCATACATGTAGTCCGCTGCGAACCCCACCTACAACGCAGTCTATACTGCTTTCTCAGACCACTCATGCACCGTCCTGAAGACAAAATTTGAAAATGCTTTACAGAAAGATTGCATTCGTACAGGTGCCAGGTGGTATAATCAATAAGAAACATAATACCATAGCCCAAGGCCAAGGGTCAATGCAGGTCAGGCCAGTAGATTCTGCACAGGACCCAGGGTGGTGGTCATTTACAGCACACTGGGATGCCTGTACATAAATAAGTAACACACCCACCTCCCCCTTCCTCCATCTTGAGCGCGACCTACCCTTTCTTTTTGCGGCTTAGTCAGCGGAGCCTTCACTTTCTTACTCCCCAGCAGACCTTTGTTCTATAGAAGAGGAACACAAAGAAGAAGCACATGGCAACACTGTGCAAAGAAATAAAACCTACAGTTGACATGGTCAGCACACAGCTGCACATCTCACACAACAACACACCTACATGTATGTACCAAACTTTCCCCCTGAATAAGTTCACTTCACACAGACTGCACCACAAACTCACCAACTTCTTGGGAATCTTGCTGAGGTCATTGCTCTTTCCCACTCTTTCCGCAACAGCGTTGTCGCCAACTACATTGACAGAGAGCAAGGAAAGCCAACTTAAAGCACAATATTGATGTATTTCTTTCGATAAAACTGCATGCAATAGCAAAAAATCACATGTTGTCTTTTAGCACTTAGGAAGAGGACAAACTTCACCAGTAACCCGTGCTGTCTATTGTTGTTGCACTGTGTTTCACGCTTCTGTAGGTTTCTTCAACTTTCTTCGCACCTGCACCTTTTGTCATTCTTTCTATGAGTATGGGGTAACGCATTTTACCGATGTTGTGACTCCACCTGACAAGAAGGCATGAAAGTGTACTTGTGGAAACCTTTCGAAAACGTAGATGGTGACGAGACGGAAGTTTATCCTCTTCCTAAGCGTTCTGCCATTCCTGTCTCAGATGGAACTTTTTACGTTTTTCAACTCGAGACATGGCGCCTGGAAGGATACACTTTTAAGTTGAACACCATTGGTAAAACGAGAGATCATCAATAACAACGGAAAACTGATGCCGGCAGAACATGTAGACAGCATGACAAGATTAAGTCGGTATTCATCCAAGACAATACACGCATGCCTTCATATACAAGTCCATGTAAGTGACAGGAATGAAGGTGAAGATTAACCAGGGTTGAAAACGTGTGTAAACCAAGCCTGCACTTACGGATTTTCGCAGATGGAAACTCAGAAGAAGTACTGATCACATGCGACCTTTCTACTTTTTTCTTCCTGGATGTGCAACAGAAAAAAACATACAAAGAAGATAAGGGATCCTGATAAAAGAGGCCCGGATAAGCGAGGTCTCATTATACATCAGTTGTTCAATTCGAATGAGATTTGACTGAGTCCTGATTCGTTAAGTGCACACGCAATAGGCATCGTTCGATTGTGAACGATCAGCCCCAAAAGGTAAACTACCTTGGCCAGTGCAAATTGTAATGCGTGAACTTGCATTGATTCGTCTCCGGCACTCAGCCAACAGAGAATCTCCAATGTACACGGCTCTTACAAAGAAATTCATTTCAGACATGGTCATAAAAACACCCACCTTGATTTTTGCAGAGCTGCCAGTGAAGCCAGAAGGCGCTCATGACGCTCCCCTTCCTATTGGCCAACAATGAAACAACAAAAACCAAAAACACATGGAAATTAAAACGCCGCCGAGTACTCTCTCCACACATCCCGAGTCTTGCCAGTCAGTACTTCCAAACAGAAGGGCTGCGGTATACAAGAAAACCCTGTTATGAATGAATTCTCAACCCCTTTAGAATATGGTGATTCCACACTGTACTAAGGAAAGGCAGGCAAGAGAGAACACTGAACAACATTACCTCTCCAGAATCACTATCTTCAGAGATGTCTGGACTGATGAAGCCGTCGTCATCATTGCCATCCCTCACATCCTCCTTTGGCGCTGTCCTACATCAGCAATAAGCAAGCAGACAACCATGGCGCCAACAGCATGCATCAAGCGAGCATTCACTGCTATACTCTTCTATCACTTCGCACATGCAAGTAATCAAATCTAACAATAGGGTGTGCAGAGGACCCAGCCAGCCTGATCAAGAAGCTGCAACACTCTCCCAAGCAGTGGTGTGGTTATTGACTGCAACACTCTCCCAAGCAGTGGTGTGGTTATTGACTGCAACACTCTCCCAAGCAGTGGTGTGGTTATTGACTGCAACACTCTCCCAAGCAGTGGTGTGGTTATTGACTGGCACGCTGACATGTTTGTTTACACTGACAAAGAGATGGCGGTGACACTTCCTTTTCTTTCCTCTCCTTCCTGTACATATCCATAAGTTGCTCCTCAGTTACAACTGTATTCACAGGCATGTTTCCAGTCTCAGGTTTATGCTATGTTTACATTGAGATTAACGGCGAAAAAAAAACCTTTTTGTTCGTAACTTATTCCCTTTGGAGAAGCTCTGCCCTTTTGGGCATTGAGCACTTTGTGCGCAAAGAGGACGTCTATAACAAAAAGCTTGTTTTTTCGCCGTTAATCTCAATGTAAACATAGCATAAACCTGAGACTGGAAACATGCCTGTGAATACAGTTGTAACTGAGGAGCAACGTATGGATATGTACAGGAAGGAGAGAAAAGAAAAAGGAAGTGTCACCGCCATCTCTTTGTCAGTGTAAACAAACATTTCAGCGTGCCAGTCAATAACCACACGGGTACGCGGTGCTGGGTCCATGTGCGCGAGAGGGTTTAAGGGATCCCAAGTGATCTCTTTTTACGATTTTATGCGGTATGTCACGATAAAAATGCGTGATGAATTCAAGTCATTTCGTTTACACGGCAGCAATCCTTTCATTCTGGTCATTCGAGCATTATTAAACCTGGGTCCGGAATGTGTCGAATAGATCCCAGTCAAGGCGAAATTCCTGGATCACACACACATACATACACACACTCTCTCTCTCTATCTCTCTCTCTCTCTCTCTCTCTCTCTCTCTCTCTCTCTCTCTCTCTCTCTCTCTCTCTCTCTCTCTCTCTCTCTCTCTCTCTCTCTCTCTCTCTCTCTCTCTCTCTCTCTCTCTCTCTCTCTCTCTCTCTCTCTCTCTCTTGCTCTCTCTCTCTCTCTTTTTCGCCGTGAACACCTTGAGCGGAGAGTGCTTGCTGGAGCGTTGAACCTGGGTTTTTAATCCACCATTCCCAGTTCGCAAGGCTGGGCGGGTTGTGAGCAGGCTTTCATTTCATCCAGGGAGTCGTAAAATACGAGTAAATTAGGACTCGACTGTACATCGTGGTACATTGATCAGCATGAACTCGGGTGCGTAGCCGCTATGACTGCACAAACTCTGGCCTCCGCGGCCGTCGCCATTTTTACAAAATGGTGGTCGACACTTTTTGAATTTTGTATGGTTGTGGTGAGCCCTGATTTACTCTCTAACTGTCCTGACACTACACATACAGCACAGTCAAAAGCGGACACCCTGAGGACTACTTGTATGCAAATCTGTCCCGTATATAGGAGTGTGCTGTTAATTACGGGACAATCGAAACTGAACAAACGTGTCCTTAACGTGGAGGCGTCCGTGGTGGAGATGTGTCCACCATGGGTACCACTGTATTCAACACGACAGACATGCTTTGAAATAATTCTCACCTCTTTCTTTTCTGCCCTGGCATCGCAACAGCAACACTCTAGTAGATTACCCGTAAAGCTCCGAAAGAATAAAAGTCTTGACAGCAAGCGAAATTCTCTCAGCAAACATTCTGCAGAATAAAGGTTCCAGAGAAGATATTATTCAGTATTGATAAAATAAATAGACCGCTTTCAAACAGCCGATCAGCGCTGTTGGTCCTGAGAGCCCAAACAACAGGCACCATTATACAGTGTAATAGCTAGTCACTAATAATTATTAATAATTATATAGCTTGATGGTAGTACGAAAGTGGTGAAGAACAGGGAAGGAGAAACAATTGTGATATGGTCATTTCTTCCATTTCACATTTGTTTCTCCTTCCCTGTTCTTCACCGCTTCGTATCCACTCGTTTTGAACACAATAAAGCCTTTTGTGTAATGACTGTTCAGCTCATTTTGTTGATCGCAATTCTAAAACTATTGTCGCCTCGTCGCTGATTTACCTCTTCCTTTTTCTCATATTAGTATCTTCATCATTTTGCGAGAACTGTGGCAATACGCCCAGTGAGAAGGCAGATTTTGCCTGTGCCTATGGTGAAGTAAAAATAAAGCTGAACAAACAAACAACAAACACTTTGACCTGTTGTCAAGGTTCCTTTGTAAACTATGGTATGCAGCTACCGGAGAAAAAGCCTACAGCAAAGTATACTTGTTTAGGTCAAACCTTTGCTGCTTCGCACACAAGTTTACTTGGGTACACTGCCGTTGTCGTACCAGTATATAAGAAAGGCCCTCGCACAGATCCTGCTAACTACCGACCTATTTCTCTTCTCCCAGCACTATCCAAGGTTTGCGAGTGTGTATTCTATGAATCTTTGTATCACCATGTTTCCCCAGCTTTATCTGCCGCTCAGTCTGGCTTTTGCCGAGGGGACTCAACACACCTTCAATCGGCACGCCTCGTGCAAGATATCCATACCAGCTGCGATGTGAAAGAACATGTTGGCCTGGTGTTCTTCGACTTGTCGAAAGCGTTCGACACTGTGTGGCACCGTGGTCTCCAAGCCAAGCTAGAGTCGCCATTCCTTGTACGTGGTCCCGCCCTCCAGTGGTTGTCATCATACCTTTCCTGTCGTCGTCAAACTGTTCGCGTGCCTGGTACTTTGTCTGACCCATTGATTGTTCAGTCTGGTGTTCCACAAGGATCAATCCTTGGCCGCTTCTGTTTTTAACCTACGTTAATGATCTACCCCAACAAGTGTCCGGTGTCAGTCTGTTTGCAGACGACACTGCGCTTTTGTGCACAGACCGCTCTTCAGACAGCCTTGCTATCTCGATGCAGAATGGCATTAACACCATCGTATCCTGGACGGAGACATGGCAATTAAAGCCCCTCGCGAAAACTGAGGCAATTATGTACATTTCCCCTTCCCCTCCCGCTCAACCACTGCATTTTCCCGGTCATATTACCCCTATCCCTATTGTGGACCAGCACAAGTACCATGGGGTTATCATAGACAGCCAGCTCTCCTGGAGCCAACAAGTCAGGTATGTATGCAAGCGAGCCAGCTCTGCTGTAGCTATTCTACAGCCTCACTGTCAATATTTACCTGATCGTTCCAGACAATTATTTTTTAAGGCCTATATCACAGCAGAAGACATAGCAGTCAGAATGTCTGCTGCCAATCGGGCATTTGCAAGCATTCCATGGAAACGCCACAACCTGAATTCCAGGCTGTGTATGTTTTCCTGCCTGATATTGCCTGTCTTGCTATATAATTGTGCGCTTTGGACCCTATCGCAAACGTTAACCGACGTCGTCAATGTATGGCACCGGAAGAAACTACGTACCATCATTGGTATCACGTACCCACAACGAATCTCTAACACAGCGCTGTATGCCAGAACCGAGCAGACCCCACTATCCCAAGTCTGCAGGCAACGGAGACTGTTGTGGTTCGGCCATGTAGTGAGGGAAGGCGCAGAATCGTCCTCTTTCCAAGCCCTCCAAATGTCAATCAACACAACAGACATACGACGACCCCGCGGACGACCACGTCTGAGATGGATCGACGTCGTCAAGAAAGACTTACAATGCATTAATCTCTCGCTTCTGGATGCTGTGCAATCTGCTTCTGATAGAGCTGCTTGGCTCGAAATTGTCAACAGATGCGTTGACCTCATGCAATGAGTGATATGCGAACTGTCATTATTATTATTATTATTATCCTGGTTCGAGTCCTGGTGGTGACAGTCAATTTTTTCTTCAGACTTTTCCCGTTTGTCTCTTTCCCTCAAACTAGTGAAGATTATTATTATTATTATTATTACCGTAAAGTACCGCCAGAGCGCCCCGTCTCGCGAGAGCGCCCCACCTTGATTTTACAGCCTGAGAAAGGAAAATCGTATGGCAGAGTGCAACGAAGTGTGTACGATGTGAGAATCTTAGTGTACTAAGGTCACACTTGGCAGGTTTTTGTGTGGAGCTTGTGTTCTCTTGAAGGTACGGATTGACTGCAAAACGTGCAATATGTGTACAAGGTTCATGTCGTATGACCTACAGACAGCAGACCACCTCCACAATACGACCACGAAAGGATGAGATGGTGGGGCGCTCTGGCGGTACTTTACGGTATTATTATTATTATCTTACCCATTTGCAGCGTCAACGACCTTTGTGTAGTGGTGGTGACTGATAGTAATATCTTACCCATATTTGATTATTGTTATACTGCTTGGTGTGGCCTGTCAAAACGGCTTCTTCAAAAGCTAGAAGTACATCAGCGCTTACTCTTAAAAATAGTTTTCCGCAAAGACCCAACATTCTCATCTGAATCTCTCTATACTCTTGCTTCTTCATCCCCCCTTGTTGACCGGCACCAGCAACATCTTCGCAGCCTTGTCCATAGAATACATCTCGCGCAGGTTCCACGGCATATTAATGCATATAACTGGTTTTCTAGCAATGGCTATACTTGTAATGCGCTAACCCTACCACGTGTCCGATCCTCCCTGTACTTGAAGTCTCCTTTCTTCTCCGCATACTCCCTATGGTCTGCTCTGCCTCTAAGCCTTAAATCATGCACTGATATCAAGGAATTTAAACGTGTTATCTCTGGCTAACTGCCCCTGCCTCTACTATCGTCATCTGTACTCTCCTACGTTAACCTTGTGTAATCTTCCACTCTTGATTCCTCCTTGCCTTTTACTTTTTTCTTCTTTTTTCACTGTTTCGGATATTCGCCGTGGTTGGCTAGCCTGTCACCCTTCATTTCACATTCATTTGTCATTGGCAGTCGTTTGACGAGCCAGGAAATGTTGAATAAATACAAATACATTACCGTATCACCAAGGTTATTTTCTACTGTGCATTGCTGCTCGTACAAAAGGTGAAAGCTACGCCCACACTTCCCGTATCATCTTTAGCAAGAGTACATAGCCACTCTGATCCAGCTGTGCATATGGTCTTGGTTGAGCATAATCGGATCTTTGCGTCATAATACCGTACAGATCTGAGGGGATCCAAGGAGTCGCGGGGACTCTAACAACGGTGCCCTGGCTCAAGACTGGCCTTGCGTTGGTATGGAGCGTACGCACGACATCAGAAGATCCGACTACCCTCGACCAAGACATTATGCAGAGCTGGATCAGGCGTTGCACTCTGGGGAGTATGTACTATAGTACTCTTGTCTTTATTGATCAGGTCATTAGGTCCCGAGCATATACATGCAGTCTAGCAGGATAACTTATGATTTATATGAAATGATCTACTAGTAAACAAATCGCCTCCCTGCAAGAGTGGTTTCATGTAGTATATGCGAAATTCACAATTTGATCTAAAACGATAATTTTTCACATTCTAAAAGTCGCACATCTTCCATCCTGCAGCCTGGTTTACTCGAAAACAACCTCTAAGCTTCACCCTGCGTTCAATATCCAGGTGTTTAACTCACACGCGAACCAGTATAAATACTACGATCCCAGGTCAATTTTGAGACCTGGGACTCTCTTTCTTAGAAAAATTACACCACACATAAGAAACACCAATGTTTCTGACCTCTCTATTTTCTGTCTTCATACGCGATTTCCCGTGTTTGTATATCAGCAGCACCACCCTGCGCGAATCCAAACCTTGACGATAGTCAAGCTAACTGTTACTTCTTGAACAGCCACAGCTCTGCAGCGAGGAGAAAACTAGACTGATGCTTTGTCTTTCACAAAAATCAAAATACATGACTACTGTAAACTCATTTACAATAAAATTTAATTGTGTGCATGCCACGCATATCCACGCATGCAGTCGCTTTTTGATTTGTCGGCACGAGTACCTGTGACGTCACCTCATCGATCGATGATCAATGATTTCAAAAAACTCAAAAGCGAACAAACTGTCAGCCATGTTGTAGTAGTAGTACTAGTAGTAGTAGAATTTATTATTTTGATAGGGAAGGCCCTACAGACGTTGCCGTCTTGTTACAGGGAACCCTAAGTGCTCTTTACAGAGCGAAACAAAAACGGATAGATGCTCAACCTGACGACACGAGACAGGCAGAGAATTCCACCTATCAGCGCCAAGGAAAGAAATGGAGAACATGCCATATCTAGTGGTAGCAGCGGGCAAAGAAAGTGAAGAGAATGATTGCCCTCTAGTGCGCCTCTCGGTGCAAGTAGCAGCCGACTGGAGGGTGAACATTGAGGAAAGAAGAGGACTTGTAAGCTGATGAATACAGCGGAAAACAAAAATAAAAAGCCTCAAGTTGAGACGAGATTCGAGGGAGTATAACTTAGCGTGCCGCAAAACAAAGACAGTCGGGGTACGGCGAGGGAGACCAAAAACCTGTTTCATGCTGATATGACTTAAAGTAACAAGGCGAGAGTATAAAGATGGTGTAAGACAGTGAGCATACGAGTTGCTGGCGTATTCAATAGTGGATTGGATGAGGGATAAATAAAATATTCGCTTAGTTGTGTGATCTACTGTACGGCGGCAGCGGCGGAATGCTCCTATCTTCTTATAAACAGATGTACACACATGGTTGACTTGATCCTCAAAGGTGAGGTGTTGGTCAATAATGAGGCCAAGATAACGCGCTGTGGCAGAAGGTCGAATATCGACACCACCGCATGCAATGGTAAGATCCGGCGGAAGAGGCAGAGCCTTCTTCCGAAGCACCATGAACTTCGTTTTCTGGGCATTCAAGATGAGACCAATGCTTCCAAGGTACGTATTTAGTCTGTTCAACTCACTTGTCAACTTGTGCTGAAGTTCTCCAGTAGACTGACAGTGTATATAAAAGGCGATATCGTCAGCATACTGTTGGGACTCTGCGTGGCGAAGTACTCCAGGGACATGTCGCACGTACAAAGAGAATAACAGAGGCCCTAGCACCGACCCTTGCGGAACGCCTCGTGTACAATGTGTCTCGTCTCCTCTGTTATTTCCAATTTTCACCTGTTGTCGTCGACCCTGGAGATAGCTGGAGAACCACTGTAGTGCTACTCCGCTTATGCCAATAGCTTGAAGCTCGTTAAGTAGTAGTTCATGGCGTACCCGATCGAAGGCCTTGCTCATGTCCACGAGTACAACCCCGCAATACTCGCCCTTGTCCACACTCATCATCCAGCGGTTTACTGCGAGAGTTAACGCATCCTCACAGGAGTGCCCTCTGCGGTAGGCGAATTGCTCGTCTGGGAGAATACGAAGCTCAGCGTGATCTTGAAGGAACCTAATCATTTGCCGATGTACTACCTTCTCAAGGATCTTGCTCGGCTGTACGTCATGCCGGGAGCAGTAGGCAATTTTATACGTCGGATGACTTCCCCTACCCATGCTGGTCGTGGGAGGGACCAGTCATCCGCAAGTAGTGTATCTAGCAATGATAACATCGTGGATCCTACCCAGAGTAGCCCAAGTCCGAGGCCGGCCCGAAAAGCCGGTCACAAGGCCAAGCCCTGCAGTCCTGCAGAGAGTCTCCTGGGCAAGGACAATGAATCTACGCGGAGAGCAGGTCCAGGAGCGAGCAAACGACTACACGACGAGCGTCACGTAAGTGATAGCATTGACGACAGCTCATTGCCTGTGTCGCGTGTGCTGCAGCTTCTCGACTCGTTCAGAGAGGAATTTCGGGGGGATATGAGAACTGCACTTGCAGATCTCCTAGCTCCTCTCGAAAACCGCATGACGAAGCTAGAGAGACAGATATTGCAACTGCAAAAACAGAGTGAGAAGCTGCAGACTGATGTCAACAAATGCAAGGCTGCAGGTGATAAAGCCAATTCTGATGTCGACAATGGCGGGAAATCCGCCATTGTTGTCGACCTTCGGCGCCAGGTTGACGGCCTCTCTGCCAAACTTAGTGACGTGGTAGATAATTTGCCAAATAAGGTTGACCTCGCTACATTGGTTCAGGAAACGACCTCTTCGCGCACACAGCAAGTTCATGTCATGCGTGACGTCATGGCAGAGGAGGTGGCGAAGCGGGACCGCAGCAACAACGCGGTTCTCCGTGGCCTAGTGGAGGCTGACGGGGAACAACTCCAGTCCATTGTACAGGGTCTCGTTCCAGGTCTCGATGCTGGTGATGTCCTCAGCGCAGAGCGCATTACCCCAAAGAAGCGGGGTGAGGCAACTGGGAACGCCCGTGCTGGCCCAAGACTGGTAAAAGTCAAGCTCACAGAGAAGGGAAAGCGAGTGTTAATGAATGGAAAACGTGCTGCTAAATATGGCGCACGTGATGTTTTTGTCAACCACGATCTGACACCACAAGAGCAGGCCGGACGTCGTGAGTTGATTCCAAAGTTTAAGGCCCTCCGAGAGAAGAATTTCCCCTGCACCCTACCTCGGGACGTGATCCTGAGTAAAGGCCGTCCTATGAGCACGGATGAAATTGCTCGCATTCTGCAATAGGATGCACGTGGGAACCCTTCTGTTGATGTCACATGTCCTAGTCCTATACAAGATTCCGAATTGAATATTGCTCATATCAACATTTCTAGTATACGAAACAAAGTGCATGATGTTCACAAAATATTACATGACCATAACATACACGTTCTATCCGTCAATGAGACATGGCTAGATGACTCCGTCACTGACGCAGCCATCCACATTCCACAGTACTCCGTCTTTCGCAATGACCGTAATCGGCATGGCGGTGGTGTTGCACTCTACATCCAAAGTCACTTGGACGCAAGATTAATTCAACTCCCATCGTCAATTACCACGGCATTAGTACGTCCTGAGGTGCTCTTCGCTGAAATCAATGTGCCACATGCAAAACGAGACCAACTGATCACTGTTGGTACCGCTTACAGACCACCAGGACAGCCTGTCGCATTTTGGGAGGCCTTCTCCTCCGCTGTAGACCACGTTATAGCGCGGAATGACAAGACCATCATTCTAGGAGATTTTAATGTTGATGTCCTAAAGAAGACATCACCACAATACGGACACCTACGTCAACACTGCCAAGAATTTTGTCTGCGGAATGTCGTGACTCAACCGACCAGGCTGCCCTCGGGTACCTGTCTCGATATAGCGCTATGCTCTGACGACCTCAAAACTTCCGCATGTCATGCCATTGCCCTGCACGGCATTACTGACCATCAGCTGGTCTTAGTAAAGACTGTCTTGCCTATGACTAAACCTACGCGAGTTGTGCGGCAGTTACGGAAGCCGCCATTGTGGAAACTGCCTGCAGACGAATGCACCGATTCCATGCTTGATGCACTCACTGATTCCGCCTTCCGCAGAGTACCCCCAGATGGCTCACCAGACGTTAACACAATGGCAACTAGCTTCTCTATTCTATGCAAAAGAGTTCTGAACGAAAAGTCGCCTGTGAAACAAATTACCTCATCATGCCACCAAGATCAAGCATGCGCTCAGCTGGTACCGGTAGATCAACGACTCCCTATCCTAGCACCAAGAGACTTGGCAAGAGTTCATAACCCCCAATTGGGGTTATCATGGTTATGAACTCTTGCTAGTACATAATAATTATGTACATGATTGTACAGTATTACAATTGTAGTAATAAATAAAAGTACTATAGTATAGGCCTAGGCCCTGCCCAGCTACTAGCTTGACCACGCGGCGCATCGTCCATGGACTACCAACGACATGATTATGTACCAGTGCTAGCATGCTACAGGCAAGCAGCATGGTCCCTAAACTTGGAATATAAAATGATTGTATCATTCTACCTAACATGCATGAAACCAGGGAGACCGTATAAAAGAAAAATACCAGAAATGTTCCAAACTCCGGTGATTTTCCGCCATTTCCGCCAAGGACTACTCTGATACAGTGATAGGATCTTGCGCAATTGTGCAGGTGCAGGTGCAGGTGCAGGTGCAGGTGCAGGTGCAGGTGCAGGTGCAGGTGCAGGTGCCATGACTCTTCTACGAGTACTCTAGCAATGTAAATAGCATGAGTCTTGGTAGCACTGAGGTAGTCTACCCTGATTCTCGTTGCTTTTGAGCAGCATTCCGCACTTTTGTTGAAAACGCCAATGTCAGAAACTGCACACACACCACACACACAGTGCTACGCCATTGGTCTGCCCCTCGTTGGTTTTCTCCCTGAGTGTATTCAACAACATACAGTGTTGAACTGACGCATGCACTGCTGCACACAACAAGCACCAGTACAAGCTTTCCAGTGGACGGAACTGTGCACAATTCAGCCCGCCTGACTATTCGCGTTTCTGGGAAGCGCCACGTGTTGGGGGCAACAGAACTTATCATGGCACTTGGGCATCCAGCAAAGAGGCCAACAGTTGACATAGTTGGTACCGGTATATCAAACTTGACCGCAAGGCGGCACTATACTTTTAAAATAATATCTATTCACATCTAGCGGATACCCAACAGTACCAGTGCGGGTATTGGTCAATATTCCATACTTCTCAATTTGAGTAGCTGGAAGCAGGAACCAATGATCAAGTGACACACAGCTATGATAGGTAGTAGTTTGGACTTTCAACTACAAGAGGTTGTTAAAAAAGTCTTCTTGAAGTAGAAAGAAAATACATATACAGAGGGAAGCACACAAGGTCAAACAAAGTTAATACACACTTCACGATTTTGGAGCATATGTACAAAGGAAAGATTGAAGTAAGTACACACACTTTACAGGGGTGGGATGGAGCTATGTTCAGATGTCAAGGACTCATATGTACAAAGAAAACACTATACAGCTGGGGTAGCCGAAGCTACATGCATGCACACACATACACACGGATGTACCGGTATCCACTTCTATCCCAGACTAGAAGATGAGCAGTAGAGCAAGTGGCGCTCACGGTTTACTTCTTGGAAGATTTGCGAATGCGATCCTGCAGACAAGTAAACAACAAAGCAACTGTCAGCCAATTCTGCAAACATCCTATTCCACATCTGTTTTTATTGCCAATAGCATAACAAGTAAAGAGCAAGTATGATTGGTGTAGAAAGTACTTTGACTTACATGTACACATACCCGATAAACAGTCGACTCCCGATGCTAGGCTGTTGCCAATCCAAGTTACATGCACATTATGTAATCATACGACAGTACATACATTACACTAGAAAACCAACCAGTTCCCACAAAACACAAAGAAAGAGAAAAATACGTACCCGTCGCTCTCGATCCCGCACAGCCTGGATCCGTCGGAAGCGGTTTGCTGCCGAGCTCTTTCCCTTTGTACGGTGCCTTGGCTTGAAGTGATCTCGCTCCTACAACAATTAACAGCAATCACCGGTAACCATGAGGTCAAAACAAAAATTAAAAGAGAGTGACTTAGGCCGTGATCGTTTGGTCGGATCCAGATCCAGATCCGTCGGATCCACTGGATCTGCAGTGATCGATTGGTCGAATCCGGATCCAGATCCTTTGGATTTGGATCCGAGCAACCCTGCCCCGGGAGCAGGGTTGACTGGATCCATTGGATCCAAATGTGACCTTAGTGCGTATATGGCGGGTAAAAATCATTTTTGTACTCATTGTCGTACGTCTAGTCGACATTTGTTGACTTTTCGTACGACGCGCGCAATCAGTATGACTTTCGCCCTTTTGGGTGACATGTCAGCGCCATTTTTTTTTACTTCGTCAAGATGGCAACAACCAAGGCCCAAAAAAGTGATCGGTTGATTCTGAAGGATCCGACGGATCTGAGATCTGGATCCGACCAAACGATCATAGCCTTTAGGGGTATGTTAACACGCATGCACTCGCTATTGCAGATCAGTGGAGAGCACACATCATAAGGATTCATGGAGTGCTGGGCAACCGAATCTGGCATGTGATAACCATGTAGGATAGTCCACGCACGAGGTGCAGCCCATGAAATGGGCACCCATGAACTGGGCGGAGTGTGGACGGCCTGTATGATAGTGTGTATGTATGTCCACGCACAAAGTGCAGCCCATGAGATGGGCGCCCATGAAATGGACGGAGTGTGGACGGCCCACGCACGAAGTGTAATGCCCGTTAGGAGGCAGGAGTGTGGGAGTATACTATGAGTATGATGGCCGAAGGCCGTGATAATTGCCAGATGAGAGGAGATAGCTGGCCCAGCACTCGTATTTATTTTCGTCTTGTATGAATTATGATACCTGTGTTGAATCAAGGGTATCGATATTATTCATAGATGGGAAGAGGTGGGTGGGTGAGAAAGGAACAAACCGGTGTTCTTCTCACGACCCAAGCAAAGCAAATATGAAGTAGCAATGTGGCCAGCGCGAAGTATGGTGTATGCGTTACGAGTTCAAGCTCCGATGTGTGCTGCAGCCGCATATGGCTGGTTGGCTGGTGAGTTCAGGTGAGTTCCGGCGTACGCATGTTACATGCCACCGCAGCGTGCATGTACGTGTTGCTTGACATGCATCAATGAATAGCGTGGGATCTGCGGGCTCTTTGGAAGCCGCTGGAGCGCGTGTGAAGTGTTGGCTTGTGCAATGTGTTAACCTACATTACCGCAAGCTCTGATGTGCTATTTGTGTGGTATCAATAATCTAGACAGGGCATGTCAGAACAGCAAATGCTGTTGAGGCTGTTCCTACTCTGTGTTGCCTGGAGCAGCTGGAGCAGTCTTCAAATTTCACCAAGAAACCCCGGATGGAACTTGTTTTAGTTTGGAAATGATTTCCATGAACTCCAGACACTGTAGACATATAAGTTACATACGCACAGTTGTGCATGTTTTCCATGAGAAAAAGCATGCAGTGTGTTCCTGGCATGTTTTTTTTAGCAAAGGTGATTCTAGTTCTCGCGTGCCGTTCGTACCCTAAGCAATTGCTCTTCTTGCACCAGCTACTCAATCCCTGTTCTAGATGGTGTCAAAGACATGTGAACTGGATTTAAAAAAGCGAATCTCCTAGTGCGTGTGGTGGGGAGTTTGGACTAGATAAAAGAATCCCCAGGCACAGACATATGCTACTTCAAGTAAAACATTTGCTGTATACTACATTGTAGTATGGGAGAGCAACTAAAGGCTTTTCTGATTATTTTTATTTTTATTATGCAGTGAACTATTGCCCAGAGAACAAGAGTGTCTCAAGACGTACATGCACTAAGGTATAATAGTAGTGTCGTGTTGTTGGGCCTCCCATTCAACTCACGCACTTCCATCACTGCGTACTGGTCCCGCAAAAGAACGTCTCTAATATGATATGGGGTCAACTATTACTTACATGCAGCTCATCTAGGTCCTCTGTGTCAGCCTTGGCTATCTGATGAACTGCTGTTGTATCCAGAGTGATCAGATCAGGAGGCAGCTGCGCATGGCATAGACAATGCACATATGGAGAACAAGGGTCAGGTTCAACATAACCACATTCGACAAAAAACAATGACGAAGAGATCGTAGCACTGTGGAGATCATGGGGAAGTAGATCAGCTGTCTCAAGTAGGAACCTGGGACCAAATCAGGCATTGCATGAATTTCCCATTAAGATCCCACACTAAAAATTCAAACCATCATAACGGTCCATGTAATACACAGCTACGATTTACAATCTAGAACCTCCTCAGCCAAATGCATTCACACAGTTATTTCTGTGAGAGACAAGGGGGGAGAATGATTCAACACGTACCTTTTCCAGCAGTTGTTTGACTTCTTTCTCCTGCTTTTGCCGTTTGGTCTGGAAGGGGTTGTGCTCGAGAGCGTCAAAGTTTGCCTCACCGGCACCTGCACAGAATATACACAACACAGCATATCTCACAATGGAAATTCCTTAGCTAACGACAATACTACTACTTGTACTGGTATAATACATCAGCACCTCCTGGAGGTTAACAGCAATTAACCCACAGTTGGCTGAGAGGCTTGGGTTGGTGGATGTTGCAGTTAGACTGGTGCAGTTAGACTGGTGCAGCATGCTGGCTGTTAGAGTACAATCATTCATGCGTGATATGGATAGGCGGATGTGTTAGAGCTATGATCCATGTGTGCTTCTATTCATGCATTCCCATCAAGAAGGCCATGTGTCAGGTCTATTCAGTACTCTGGTGTCTAGACGTCTGCATTCTATTGTTGTATCACATTACATGGTCGAGTGTTGCCATAGGGTCTTTCTATACCATGTATGTGCGTGCACTGTTATTAGCTATTGCTATCTTTTGTTAGGCCAGAGTTGGTTTTAGCCTAGTTGTGGAGATGTTCAGGTTTTAGTTCTTGGAGAGTTGTGACTGTTTTCAGATCATGAGTCAGTGTAAACATTGTGTCCTGGAGATCTTTGTGTGTGGATAATCCCGGTTCCGGGGAGAAACGGAATATCTGGTCCTTCGAGCCGGATCTGGAAATAGTCATCATGGAAGGTGAAGATAGGAGTACGCGCAGAAGTGCGCGGTCAACGAGAGGTGTAGCACCTCCCCGTTTGGGTTTTGAAGAAGAGCGCTCGATGCGGAGTAGTAGGAGATCGGGAGGAGGACAGTCCCGATCTTCATACGAGACTCAGCGTCGAGTTCTGGAAGCAGAAAAGAGGCTCCTGGAGAAGGAGCTTGAGCTCGTGAGGTTAGCTCAAGACGAAGCGTCGTCAAATGGCCAAGGGGCCAAAGGATCGTCCTCTCCCAAGATGGCCTCCGAAGTCTTCGCAGAGGAGCTCATAGAAGGCCATGAAGCTGATGCAGCCGTTGACGCTGGCCAAGGAGATGAGGCTAGTATGGGTGAAGTAGAAGTTGCGCACCTGCCAGAACATGCAGTGGCTGTTTCTCACGATCCAGAGCCGCACGCAGTGCCGAGTCCCAGTGTAGCCGGAACTGTCAGTGCCCACACAAGCAGGAGTTTGCCTGTGGCGGTGAGGACTGAGTCTGAGGTCGCACGTGCGTCGACGAATACGGAGCAGGCCAATCTGTCAGGGTTGCGAGTGCAACAAGAGTTTGTGCTGAAAGAGAAGCGCTATCAGCGGGAACTGAGCGAAGCTCAATCAATAGCGGACGCCGAGCAGCGACGTGTAGCGAAATTGAACAAGGATCTTGCGAGCGCTCGTGCAGACCTGTCATCGCTGCAGGCGGAAAATAGGCGAGTCACGCAGGAAAAAGAGGTGTGCGAAGCTGAGCGGGATGTATTGGAAAGGGAACTGCGCGAGCTGCAGCCGCATCTCGAGCGCCTGGAAAGAGAACACCAGGAGGGGCGCATGTGTTTGGAAGATCTCCGCGATCAGAATGACCGCTTGCTGACGCGAGCCGAGCAGGTTTCAGCAGAGCAACACGCGCAGCGAGCTGAACTGCTCGACAAGCTCGAACGCCTTCGCGCGGAGAACGCCAGCCTGCAACAGCGGGCGGATCGAGGCGGAGGCCGAGGGTCGGATGAGCAGCGAACACAGCGAGCGGAGTTGCTAGTTCAGCTGGACCAGCTTCGCGGAGAAAATGATCGCCTGCGGAGGCGTGCGGACCACGACCAGTACACCGCACAGTGTTCTAGTGCGCAGCAACAGGAGCTACGCAGTCGGATTCAGAGCGATCAAGAGCCGGAGGAGATAGTGAAGACGCACCAAGCAGCTGGTTCCACGGTCAAAGGCCTTCAGCAGGATGGACGTGGGCAAGCAGATGAGGGTCTGCAAAGCCAGCTATCAAGGCTCACCGCGCGACAAGCCAAGATCAACACCGACTTGCCAGCGTTCTCGGGTGCAGCAGAAGAGTGGCCAGCATTCCACCACATGTTTCAGTCTACGACCAAGCAATGTGGCTTCACGGAGGCTGAAAACATTCAGAGATTGCGGGTCTGCCTAAAAGGTCCTGCAAAAGAGGCAGTAAGAATGCTCCTCATCGTGCCAGAGAACCTGCCGAAAGTTCTCTCAACGCTGGAAAGGAGGTTCGGGCGGCCAGAACTAGTAGTCACGGAGCTCGTATCGAAGGCGAAATCAGCTAAGCCGGTACGCAGTGACGATGTAGAGACCTTGGTGTCGTACAGCACCTCGGTTAAGAATGTAGTGTTATGTATGAAGCTGCTTGGTAGCTGTGGACATATGTCCAACCCTACCCTCCGACAGGAGCTAGTGAATAAGCTGCCAGTTGCACTGAAGATGCAGTGGGGCGAATACTTGGCGGAGAAAAGGATCCAGATGGATTCCCTCGACCTGGAGGTCTTCGCAGACTGGCTAGAAAATCGAGCAGAGGCTGCGCTGAATGTGGCCGGGCCGTTTGCCAAAGCGGCCCCTCGAGCAAGTAATGCAACAGCTATGCACACCACAGGTGGTCCAGCCAGCACAACTAAGCCAGTGTTGCAGTGCGCCAAGTGTGGTAAAGCGCACTCCCTCACCAGCTGTGATGTCTTCCGCCAACTGTCAGTGAAGCAGCGGTGGGACTTCGTGCTTGGAACATCGCTATGTGTGTGCTGCTTCAAGACAGGCCACTGGAAGTCCGAATGCAGAGGCAGTGGTTGCAACAAGTGCCGAGGCAGACACCACCCTGACCTCCACCAAGAGCGCGCACCTCCGGCCAACCAAGGCTCAACGAGCAGGAGCACAAAGCCACGAGAGAATGTGGTTCCGCAACACAGCACGAATACGTCGGTGGCAACCACGCAGAAGACCGCTTTTATGGTAGTCCCTGTCGTGTTATGCCATCAGGACAAGACGGTGCGGGCCACAGCCATGATGGACAGCGGTTCTTCAACAACATACCTGAAAGACAGTGTGGCAAACGACCTCGGGCTGCAGGGAACACCAACGGCATTTACGGCGTCGGTTCTGGGGGGAAAGACAGTCTCAGGAAAGCACCGTCGCGTAAAAGTGACAATGGCGTCGGAAGACGGCTCATATGAAACCCAGCTGGAAGCATGGACGCAGCCAATAGTTACAGCACCGATGGAGATGATCGAGTGGAACTCGAGGAGACACATGCACAAGCACCTCCAAGAGGTTACCTTCCCGCAGGTGACTGGGGACCAAGTCGACCTGCTGATAGGACTCAACGTGCCAGAAGCGCACAGAGTACTGGAAGAGCTGGCAGGACAGCCGGGCGAGCCAGTTGCTCGAAAACTTCCCCTCGGATGGGTATGTTTCGGTCCCGTCAAGTCGCAAGCGGCAGAGTTCACAGAGACGTCCCTGCATGCGAATGTCAGCGACAGGAGCAACGCAGTTCTCGACGACCTCGTCGCAAAGTTCTGGGAGGTAGAGAGCGTTGGTTTGGTTCCTAAGGCTACGAAAACGGTCGCGGAGGAGGAAGCACAACGTATGGTTGAAGGAAGCATGAAATTGATGGATGGCAGAGTGTCGACGGCCATACCGTGGGTCAGCACCGATAAGAAGCCAGATCTCCCACCGAATCGTGAAATGGCTGAACAGCGACTGAGAAACCTGGAGAGGACTCTGAGGAAACGACCGGAAGTCTACCAGCAGTATTCCGACGTCATCAAGTCCCATATAGCCAAGGGCTACATCCATCCGTGCCAGGAGACAGACCAACAGTGGTTGCTTCCTCATCTGGCGGTGGTACGAGCAGATAAAACTACGACGAAAGTACGAGTGGTATTCGATGCCGCTGCCCGATGCCAGGGCAAGTCACTCAACGACGAGATGCACTCTGGACCGAAGTTGCAGAGAGATCTGGTACACGTGCTGATGAAGTTTTGCCTAGAGCCTATAGCGCTAGTCGGCGATATTGCAGAGATGTTTCTGCAGGTGGAAATCGCTCCAGAAGATCGCAAGTATTTGCGCTTCCTGTGGCGCGACACACCGGATGAGCCAGCCGCCATGTATGAGTTCTCTCGGTTGGTATTTGGGCTGAAGGCATCGCCATACCTGGCATGTCGGGCTCTGAAGGCAACGTCAGCAGAGCACGGCGCATCCTTCAGCAAGTTGGCTCGGGAAGCAGTTGATGAAGCGTTTTACGTTGATGACCTGCTCGACTCACTACCGACTGTGGAGTCCGCCATCAACACTCGACAGGAAGTCCAGAGTCTGCTCGGAAAGGCGTCTTTCCACGTCCGCAAATGGAGGAGCAACAGTCAAGCCGTGCTAGAGTCTATACCGGACGAGGACTTGGCCAAAGAGGCACTGCTATGCATCAGCAACGACAGTCAGCAAATACCAGCGGTGGTGAAGACTCTCGGTGTGGTGTGGGACGCCAAGACAGACACCTTCAGCTATACGCACCGTGCTCCTGAAGAACAACAGTGGACCAAGCGTCAAGTGCTGTCGAAGATGGCGAGCATCTTCGACCCTAGAGGCCACATTGTGCCCTTTACCATGCGGGCGCGGCTGATGTTTCAGGAGCTTTGTGCAGCTGGGATCGGGTGGGACGACCAGATTCCGGCCGAGCTGAACGAGAAGTGGTACAGGTGGTTTGCCGAGCTGGAGCACCTCAGCAAGATCAAGATACAGAGATGTCTCAAGGAAACGGATCGCCCAGCCCATGAGGCATCACTGTCGGTACATGTGTTCACCGACGCTTCGGCCCATGCAACAGCGGCAGTGGGTTATGTCCGAGCGGAGTACCCCGATGGACATGTGCGCATCAGCATTGCGCTTGCTAGAGCCAGAGCCACACCACTGAAGAAAGTCACGATTCCGAAGCTGGAGCTCCGCGGTGCAGTGCTGGGTGTGCAAGTAAGTGCCGCCATCAGTGAGGCCCTCCACATCCCCATGTCCGAACACAACTTCTGGACTGATTCGATGAACGTCGTACACTGGGTGAGGAGTCCGGCTAAGAACTTTACTTCAGACGTCGCTAATCGAATAGCGGCAATACAGGAGTCGACAAAGCCGACGCAGTGGAGGCACGTGCCTGGAAAGATCAACCCAGCAGACTTGCCAACTCGGGGGGTGAAGGCCGAGGATCTACCCGGTAACGAGTGCTGGTGGCAAGGGCCTGCATTTCTCCGCAACACCAAGGAGTCCTGGCCGCAGACTGAGTTGACCAACAAACCGCAGCTTCCGGGCCAGGTGAAGCGACGTGCCATTCAGCGATTAGTGCCGTTGACTGCAGACGGCGAATGAGAAAGAGACATATTCATTATTGACTCGGTCAGAATACTCTAGTACTGTGGTGTGATTGGTCACTTTCATATGTTTAGTCTTTGCATATTTAGCTACACGTATGTTTGTAGAGCACATCGTTCATCTTTTGTTTTTTTTGGCTCTGAGGGGGTTGCCTTTTTGGTTTCTTGTTTTGTTTCACCCTCGGAACTCCTCGTGTGAGAGGGGGAGAATGTTGCAGTTAGACTGGTGCAGTTAGACTGGTGCAGCATGCTGGCTGTTAGAGTACAATCATTCATGCGTGATATGGATAGGCGGATGTGTTAGAGCTATGATCCATGTGTGCTTCTATTCATGCATTCCCATCAAGAAGGCCATGTGTCAGGTCTATTCAGTACTCTGGTGTCTAGACGTCTGCATTCTATTGTTGTATCACATTACATGGTCGAGTGTTGCCATAGGGTCTTTCTATACCATGTATGTGCGTGCACTGTTATTAGCTATTGCTATCTTTTGTTAGGCCAGAGTTGGTTTTAGCCTAGTTGTGGAGATGTTCAGGTTTTAGTTCTTGGAGAGTTGTGACTGTTTTCAGATCATGAGTCAGTGTAAACATTGTGTCCTGGAGATCTTTGTGTGTGGATAATCCCGGTTCCGGGGAGAAACGGAATAGTGGATCAATCGCCCATATACAGTACATGAAGTGTTTCCTTAGGGATAATATACACCAGTGTACATGCATTCTAGCAATTCACACTTCTAAAGCAGTTGCACAAGAAAAAGAGCGATGAAGGGCTAGGAAACGCACCTGGAACTAAGAGACTGGAAAAACCGCCACTATGGCCGATGCCGATAACATCTTCATATGGACAGAACTGCGCTTCGTTGATGTGCAGTCCGGTGAAGTGATGCTGTAGGTATGTTGATGATGCCTTACTGCTCAGTCCATCTCTCCAAATCTGCCGGCCAAACAAAAAAAAACATACCGTTCTCGGACTAGCATGGCAACGCAGTGGGAAGAAGTGAAAACACTACCCCCATTCAGCATTGTAGCCAGAAGCTGACAGGAGAATAAACAACACGCTGATATGCAGACATAGAAAACGCAATTATGGTCCACAAGGTGCATACCCAATTGTACTCAACAACCTTACTTGTAATAACAAGAATTGCCACCTAGTGAATGAGACACACCAGCAGAACAATATTATCATGAAGAAAAGACCGGAGGCTTACCCGGACATCCGTGTTGCATCCGGCAGCCAGAAGACCTCGCTGACTAATTGAGATAGATCTAGCTGGCTGGGGAGTTCTGTAAAAGTGCAGCTGCTTGTATGTGCGAAGGTCCCAGACCTTTAATAGGCAGTCAACACCACTCGTCACCATATACCTGTTGAATATACACAGAGTAGTTTAAAAAGAGACAAAACAGTACTCTCTGTTTACCGGTACATGTAAATACAATCATGATCATTCAAGACAACCAAGGCACAGATACGTGCACCTCAGCTTCTTCTACAGCATTAAAGTCGAAACTATACAACACAATGCCAAATCCAAAACAAGCATCCAAACGAACACAAATCTTGGTGGTGAAGTGAAAACATAATGTAGCGCACAACCCACGGAAGCCGCTGGATATTTAGACGAGGCCTTTCGCACTGTTACTTTTCAAAGTTGGTGCACTGGTGATATGAGCAGCAGCAAACAAGTCCTCATATCTAGCTTTTAGGTGGTAAAAACATAGTGTGAGGAGACACAGCACAACAGAATGTAGCATGAGTTCCTTACGTTCCAGATCGATCAATTGCTACATCACCGACTGCCCCGCGATGGCATAGCATCTGGACCTGGGGCTTGCCAGAGTTTGGTGTCCATAGTGACACAACACCTGATCAGCGAGCAATAAAGTGTTGTAACAAAACAGGGGTACATCATCTACCTCTCGTGAAGAAATACTGGAGTGCAACAATCAAGCTAACTGCAGTGTACTTAAAGTTAAAGCACTGTCACATCTGTACAACAAGCCTAAGAAACCAGTCAGAAATCACAGACCAAGACTCCTCACATCAGGACAGGACAGAAAATTCGGCCACATGACACCTAGTATGCACACATCAAACGGTGGGGTAGTGGATGATTATCAGAATATGGCATGATGAAAAATGATGGCCCGATTAGAAGGTGCTTCAGAAACTAACAGCCTACACAGGACAGGTTACTCCTGCACGAGCATTGGTGGGAATGATGTGATTTGAGGGCATGGAATGCTAGCAAATCCTCCCCTGGTAGCCGTTCAACAGGAAATATGCAGTGATATCAACCAGACTTGCATATAGTGGCTTACCGTTCTGATGACCCAAATGAATAACAGCACTGTGTGGATTCTGCGTCATACAGCTGAGTCGACCTAGCCGTACATTATGGTCAGCAACCAGCTTTCCAATAGAAGTGTCCATGTAGCGAAGGTGACCATCTGTGCTCTGAGGAGAGAAGAATTACAAACACGAATTCACAACGAGTGACTACGAGACAGTAAAATCAAAGCACTTGAAGTACAAGATAAACTTGTCATCAAAATAAGACCATGCACTAGTGACACACAGATGTCCATACAAAATGAATATAGAAATACAAACACAGAGATGTATATCTATTTCTCTTGTCCGACAGCGGCTAGTCAAAATACCACAGACCCTCAGCAATGCACCGATGCAGATGTCTGCACTCACCCCAGTGGCCAACAGGAAGTGGTACGGCAAGAATTCCATGCTGGTCACATGCTTGTGCTGCTGAAGGCGATGCATTTCCGTACCCTCATTGTCGTAAATGTACACATTTTCCTTCTGAGCAACTGCAAACATGTTGTGCACGTGCAGAAACCTGGAAGCAGGAACAACAGGAGGAACGAGGAGTGTCATTCTCTCAGACGGCAAGCAGAGAACATGAACATCCTGGAAAGAAGAGGTCTGGTAAGGCCAGACAGCAAATTATCGAGAACAAACTGCACGCTCTGCACAAGAAAGGCAAAGCAGGAATAAGTCTCATTGGCTGCCATAGCAAGTCTTACCTGAGGCACCGCAGAGTCTCGTTGAGATGAAACTCACACTCAAGCTTATGTGACTGCCAATCCATGAGAGCAACATGTCCTTTGCGACCACCAAGTAGAAGATGCCTGACAGCAAACACAGACACAAGGCCAAAGGCAGCTTAGCAAGACAACATAGAAACCAGGGCAACACACAGCATGACACACACACACACACACACACACAAACGGCAACGCCTGTTGGGAGTTCCCTAGTAAAATAATAAATTCTATTACACACACACACCTCGCACACACACACACACACACACACACACACACACACACACACACACACACACACACACACACACACACACACACACACACAGTATTGACTTGGGATGTGCACGCATGTTACCTTTTGTACGATACACGTCGTGTGAGTTGACACATCGTAAAATAAAATTATAAAAACCTGTGTAACTTTCATGTAGTCGACGCACGTGTGACAAAGTACTCTTGCACGGTTGTATCAACCTTGTGTGAAGTACATTCAACCTGCAATCCATTTGACCTAGTTTTAGAGTTTTGCCTCCCACTCTCCTCACTTCTTGTCTTGGACACACAACCAATATTATCAGCATGGCGTCTTTCTCCATTTGGGCCAGACCAAACATGACAACTGCATGAGCCAAATGTATGTGTTGGACTCAATACTGCTTCGATATGCTTAGAAACAGACAGCGAGCTGATAAAAAGAAAAAAAAGAAAACCTCGAGGCAAGGAACTATGTGGGATAAGATAGAGAATTAAAGATATAACGCGGTATCAGGTAAGAGCCCTGGAAGGAACATTATGCACATATGATATTGGAATCCAATAGTTCATTGCATATGATTACCTGCCATCTCTGCTGTAATCCAACTGATACGGTCCAAAGTCTTCTAAACTGAGATTGAAGTGCTAAGCAATAGGAAATATGGAAGTAGAACACAGAAAGCACAGAGCTTTTTTCAGCAACAACATGAAGGGAGCAGCCACCATCTTCTAGAATTACCGCCGAAGTCGCAGCATCTCAGTTTGACATGAAGCCCTTCTTCTATTGCAAAAGTAGCCCAACATGTAACGCGATTTGACATGCAAAGTTGCAAACCCAATGACCTAATAAGCTTCCACAAGCATACGCCGATTAGCAGCCAACCATGTTGATTCTACTGACTCAATGAGCTAACAACCAACCTTCCGTGCACTTGCAACATCAACAGCAGTTGTGATGTCCTTCTGCTGGAATTTGTATGTTTTCTCTAATCCTCCCTCTGCTTCCACAAACCTAAAGAGAACAACATCAGCACGCAAGACAAGTGGAGATAATTGTCACGAGCAATCACACACTTCCTCTCCTTAAACATTTCAGATGTGAGGAGACACAAAAGGACTTTTGCAAAAATCATCAACTGCTGGAAGCCGGCAAAATGAATTCAAAATAACAAGAGCATACCCAGCTTCCTCTGGCATGAGCAACTCCCGCCACGCATCACGTTTGGCCACTTCCTGGTTGAGCTTCTCATCTGCCTGTATCCGCGCACGGAGCTTCTTGTCATACAAACCCTAAGACAGGATAGCAAAAATAAATGGAGAGGCCTGAATATTGACATCGGTGCGTCACAATCACCATATTGGTATCGAGTACATGTACTGATTTGAAAAGCAAGAGGTTTCACTGAGCCCAGCACTATAGCAAAGTGTGTACACTAGTAGCTGACACAAATGTATGTAGTCTATGTGGAGAGTGCGTTAATTACAGTAAAATTCCCCTAATCCGGACTCCTCAGATCCGGGCACTCCTGTCTACCGGGCAACTTTCTGACCCCTCTTGAGTCACAAAAAAAGAATTTTCAATGGGAAACGGCACGAAAAACATTCATAGGCATGACAAGTTTGCACTTGCATGCAATCAGTACCGGTATGTATGATTTGAGCTGCAGGCAATTCCTAGTTAGGGACAATGCCCGGTCCCAAAGGGACCGGATGAGAGAAGTTCTACTGTAGTCCCTGGGCTTACAATAATTATAACAATAACCTCTCCCGGATCCGTCACCTAATCATTACAGAGGGTGCTTCAAAAGCTTTATACATGTTTAACAAGCCCTTCCTTAGACCCCCCCCCCCCCTCCACACACACACACACACACACACACACACACACACACACACACACACACACACACACACACACACACACACCATGTACCACACACACCATGTACCACACACACACACACACACACACACACACACACACACACACACACACACACACACACACACACACACACACACACACACACACACACACACACACACACACACACACACACACACACACACACACACACCATTTGACGCCCATCGCTGAAGGCGATGATAGCGATGCTACAGCAGAAGCCATAGCAGCTTGTGCTGGGATTGCACCATTCAACAGCTTGCAAGGCTGAAGAATTGACCGCCACTATTCAGCCTGGTCTACACCACACAGCTACGAAGTGGCTTTTTCTGGCCAGTGAATCCCTACTTTTTGGTCTTTTTCACACACACACACACACACACACACACACACACACACACCTCAGACCTGCCCATCGCGGAGGCGATGATAGCGAACAGCTATGTTCACACACACACACACACACACACACACACACACACACACACACACACACACACACACACACACACACGTGACACACACACACACACTCATTGTACGCCCATTGCATATTTTTCTCATGTAGATAATGAAGGAAACAAGCCCTGCCATCCATGGTTTTCGATTTCGCAACTTGAACTTGCTGACATTGCACCGTTCCCAGTTGCTGGTCCTGGCTTCTGCTCCCCTGATCTTGCTTTTGCCTTTTGGGAAAAGAAGCAACAACTAGAAAGGGCTGTAGGAATGTGAGCAGGCCCTGTTTGATCCAAAATCATCGTTCGTCAAATCGTGAAATCAAGCGTCATCAAGTGTTTTGTTTATACTCATCATCATGTCTTAGAACACCACACTAAACATCACAACATGGCCCAGCCATGCTAAATCGCCTATCTACTGTAGCAAAAAGAGACTGGTAAGCCGAACTGGCAGAGAGAGAGAGAGAGAGAGAGAGAGAGAGAGAGAGAGAGAGAGAGAGAGAGAGAGAGAGAGAGAGAGAGAGAGAGAGAGAGAGAGAGAGAGAGAGAGAGAGAGAGAGAGAGAGAGAGAGAGAGAGAGAGAGAGAGAGAGAGAGAGAGAGAGAGAGGAGAGAGAGAGACAGACAGACAGAGAGATAGAGAGAGGAGAGAGGGGGTACATTAGGTGGATTGCCCGTAGCATAGGCGCCTTTACAATATGCTACATGCACTCGTACGTTTAGACCCATACTGTATCCACAATAACAATCTCTTTTATAGGTCAGTCCTATCTATAAAAAATAAAATTAATGATACCTTCGATTCAGGTTTGCTGCCTCTGAGATACTTCTCAACAGCTGGCTTCCGCTTCTTTTCCTTGGTCTGCAACACACATTTATTTCCGAAGTAAAACAACGAACTCAGTGTCAGACCAGCCTTGAAATGTACAAAATCTTCCCTTCGCCAGAGTATCTAATCACAAATAGAGCACACCTTAGGCTTGGGTTTTACTGACTCCATTTCCCTCTGTGTGCTGTGCTTTTCTACACCGTCTTCAAAGCAATCAGACCAGAGCAAAAATCTACAACTACTTTGTAGTTATCGAAACGGGCCTATTAGTATTACTATGAAGCCTGAAAATGTGAAATGACTCAATTCGATCGATCAATGACAAAAAGTCAAAATACATTGTACAGTAGTTTTGCACAGATACATCATTAATTTTTTTCAGTCAATTCTTCTGCCATTATCGCCTTGACTACGCGTGATGACGCGCCCGCAGGATGGTACAAGTACGGGGTCGGTACACGTATAACTATAAGTACATGTGCACGCGCACGCACTTCATTTTTCGAAAAACTTTGTCATTTCAAAAACTACTGAAGAAACAAACGCGACAGACGTCTTTGTAGTGACCGGATTTTGAGGTAAACAACTACATGCTACTACTTGTGGTAGATCTACCCCACTTACTGCTTGCCCCAGCTGCGGTGCCAGCTCCATCGATTCAGTCTCAGAAACACAACAGCAAAAGAGCATGCTCGGAGAGAGTAAGTGGCACCCCACCCTCTGCTTCATTTCAGTATGTGCAGGTGTTCACAATGTGTTGCGCCTTTGACTCGAAATTTACCGGTAGCATAAGTAATTGCATGAGGAGTCCACAATCACTTCGCATGGGCTTTTGTTAGATTAGCATCTACTGCTCTTACTAATGTTGGAGAAGAGGCGATTGGCCTAAGTTACTGTGAAAGTAAGTTAGTTATGTCGATGTTTATCCATACATCTTCACAACGCTCTCCAAACGGTCTCTGGGCTACACCAATCACTAAAAGAAAGAGATATTAAAAATTTAAAATTATTCGAATTTTCGGGCAAAGCCTATCTTCAGGAGCTGTTTTGAAGGGTGTTCTGATACTACTTCGAAGTAGTAGTCCAAATCACCCTTACACTAAGGCCACAACAAAAAGATTTCGTGTTTCCGGTCGGCCGACCGGGTCCGTTTTTTCAAAAATTATGGAATTTTTTTGGTAGCTTTAGTAGCTTTAGGGCCTGGTCAGACTGCGGCAACTTTCGGTTGCCTGACGAAAAAAGAACAGCGTCCAGAATTTGAAGCGCGATCACACTACACATGTGGGGAGAATGAAAATTCAAACTTCATTTCGAGCGTCAAGTGGTAATCTCCACGAACGACGTCAAATTCCTTCACCTTGGGATCGCCAACACCTTCAGTGCAATCCTTGCAACCATCCTTATGAGTTTTGTTGTTGTCCGTGGCCAATTAGCTCCTCGATATCGAGATGAAAAAATCTGTGATTATCAGCGTCAATGGCGTATCAGCGTCAAATCCTGTTTGGAGCGGAAAAGCGTGGCCCGTTCTTGCTTTTTTTTGGAGCGTCAACTCTCGCTTTTGCCGCTCTGGCGGCAAGTTACTATGGAGATTCGGATTATAATCCTAGGATTATTTCGATTTTGCCGCAGTCTGACCAGGCCCTTAGTAGCTAGTAGTACTATAATGTAGTGTGCGTGCAATTTTGTGCAGGCATGTTTTTGTGTCAATGTCAGTACTATGCGTCTATTGATGCTGACCCATTGGTATTGCATACGGCTCAGAAATCTCTGAACTATGCAATACATCTACTGCGTCCCGCGGTGGTATTCTACTCCATATTCCATGTGTAAATATGTATATATTGTGTATCACCAGTGTCTGATCCAAACTTTCTCAATTTGGCTCATGTCTATGAATACAGCAGGGAAATAAACTTTCAAACCAAAAAATAATAATTTTCCGACTGACCGGGCGTATTTTTTCGGGGGGTGCCGACCGGAAACACGAAATCTTTTTGTTGTGGCCTAATGATTAGGGCTCAAACGGTCACGGTTTTACCCCTAACGGTTAACTGCTAAGCTAACGGTCGGTTTAACGGTTATAACCTATAAGCCACGGCAATCCTGCGGACTCTTTTTTAACCCTATATTTGACTATACTCATTCAAAAAATGTACCCTATTCTGAGTATTCAGTACAACACACACATGTACATTCTCTTGCATGCTCATTCATACATACTCTCACACCAAGAGACCAGATATGACCGAGTTGACAGCCCAGAAATTGCGTACGCGCGCGACAGCCTGCGAAAGTGCATACTTTGCAACGACATGATACTTGAAAAATTGACTGAAAAGTTACTGCGTAACCGTTATCTTTATCGGTTAACCGTTAATTCTTTGTAACCGGTCTGCAACCGGTTAATCGGACTAACCGTTTGAGCCCTACTAATGATGCCCGATTAATATTCTCTATTTCACTGTATATTCTCATTGCTGGCAAGTGGGGCAAATGTACCTGCATACAAAGTCATGCAGTCAGCCCCCGGGCCGACAAAAAAGGCATTTAAAATCCACACAAGACTGCAATCATGCCGTTGACGAGAGATACACTGTACGGCATGATATACAAAGCGCACCAATTATTCTGATAATTCATGTATTCAGATTACTGAGGTTTGGATAGCCAGGATAGGACACTCACTGTACTTTTAAAATCAATAAGTACGATTTTATAGAAAAGAAAAAACGTCAAAAAAGACCTAGGAACTACAAGTTACGCTATAATGTCCACTAACACCACCAGTTACTAAACAATCAGCTCATGCGATAACATTGCACGACACTGACCGACGGTACTGACGTTCTACAACTAACTGGCTATCAGCTCTAGCACGCCTTACTCCTTAGTTGTAGTAACGGTTGGTGTTGTAATAGGGAGGTTCTGCTCTACGTTATGGGAACGCGACGCAAAGAATCACGCAAACTCTCTTCGCGTTCCCGTAACGTAAAGAATTCCTGTTCTGCTCTAGCTCTACGTTCACGTAGAGAAGTCACATGGAATGTGTACTGGGAATTTCCCCTTCCATATTAGGCAGTTTTCTGCCTGCACTCGAATGATACCCAGTAGATCCGTACACACTTTCTTTGCGTGTGCCACAACGTAGAGAACCTCATCTACGCTTAGAAATCTGGACCCAAAACACGCGAAGCCGAAGACTCTAACCCAGACACCTGCTCTCTACGTGATTTCTCTACGTTTCACGTATAGCAGAACCTCCCTATTGGCCATTATAGCGTAACTTGTAGTTCCTTGGTCCTTTTTCTTTTCTATAAATTTATCCTTGGCTCTCCATCCAAGTACGAATTTGGTTAATAATATTATTAAGATATTCTTCATTTTCTTCTATTTTGATTATGTCGCCCTGCCTTTTTTGATAATGCATCAGTATGCAGATGAGAATGGAAGACGAAAGAATAAACTATGAAGTACCGTAAAGGGCCTGGTCAGACTGCGGCAAATTTTCTGTGCCTGACGAAAAAAGAAAACCGTTCAGGATTAAAATCGCGATCACACTACACGAATGAAAATTCAAAAATATGTTATCATCACTCCCTATGATGCCACATGGTAAGAACTTGGAGATACGGTTTTGTTTGTGTGAAGAAATACTGCAAGTGTAGTTTGTATATGCATGCAACATTCTGTACAGGTCAAGACCAGTAGCTGCATAGATCATTGTCGCCATGACGACCCTCAAGAAGGAGTTCACTTTCATGGACACCCTGGCCCTGATCGTTGCGTCAATCATCGGCTCTGGGATATTTCTGACTCCGAACGTGGCGTATAAAGAGGTTGGCTCACCGGCCATGCTTCTTCTGGTGTTTGCCTTGACTGGAGTGTGGTCATTGCTTGCTCAGCTGTGCTACGCGGAGCTGGGTACTCTCATCCCGCGGTCAGGTGCAGAATATGCATTTTACAAGTACGCGTTTGGCACCGGCCTACCTGCTTTCATGCTGAGCTGGATATCGTGCACTGTCATACGTGCACTCAGCCTAAGTATTGTGATGCTGACGTTTGCACGCTACTCTGCGGCACCATTCGTCGGGGATTGCGGTTTGACAGACTGGGCATATAAGTTGATTGCAATTGCTACATTGGGTAAGTGTGACACATGATTTTATCCTTGTATCCAGGCACTATTGGTCAGTTGGCAAACTTAACTATCACATCACATCGCTTTGGATAGCTGAATACTGGAAGACATGCGGTTACAAACTCGCAATACGTTGATTTTGCAGTACATACTTCAGACAGTGGTATCATCGGCATACTGAATGAAGGGAGTAGGAAGAAATGATCATCGGCATACTGAATGAAGGGAGTAGGAAGAAATGACGTAAGGGCAACATTCATCAATTTGCCTCATTGCTCCTTTGGCGTGATAATTATACATCAAAGGAGAGAGGGGGTCTCCCTGGACAACACTGATGTTTGTTGCAAATATTGAACTCCCGGTAAGATTGCCATAGAGTTTTACTCGTGCCGAAGTGTTTGAAATAAGGGTCGAAATAAAAATTAAAAATATTTACGATTTTCCGCATCCGTAGGAACGCCACCACCCCCAAGGATGAAGGCCTAGATGCAGCTCCTAAAGCGGTGGGAGGTGAGTAGATCAGACCCACTAACATGGTGAAAGACCGAAAATCCCATTCGCTGCATCCGTCGAAATTAGTGAGGTTTTATACCAGCTTCCTCCAAACGCTTTAGTGCAGTGTCTCGGATAACTGTGTTAAACGCATCACTGAAGTCAAGGAGAACGCCAGAGTAATGTCAAGCGCCAAGTAGAGCTCTCTCACACCTTGTGTGCGTATAGAAAATGCCATCAGCAGTCGAGTGAGAAGGCCGAAAACCAGCTTGAGCCTCTCTGACATACTTGAAGTACCTGTTGTGTAGTGTTGTGATGTAATGATGGCCGTGAGTAGATCTACCTTCCGGACAACTGAGAGATGGGCCTGTAACTCTCTGGAGTGCCTAGCGGTTTGCCTTATTTCAAGATGGGAACAAGAATGCCACAACGAAGGTCGCTAGGGCAGTGTGAAGATCGGAGAGTAGCATTGAAAAATGCCACAAGAACCATACCACCTGCTTCACTCATGCTGTCACATCCAACAGCACCACAAAGCTTCTGTTTTGTATTGCGTTGCGTACTTCTTCCACAGTGGTAGGCTGTACAGTGTGTTCTTGTTGGTACGAACAGCGGTGGATGAAGGGGAAGAATTTGGCAGGGTGGACCAATAGAAAATTGATGTGAAGTTGTCATTGAATTTGTTGAGGTTGAGCATACAAGTATGCTGACACTGTGATTTTTTCTTGGTGTTACCTTCACATGTGTTGCAGGACTGGTTTGCACCATCAACTGTATCAGCGTAAAGTGGCTGGCAAAGGCACAGCGTGTGTTCTTTGCCTTAAAGATTGCTGCTCTGGGTGGCATTGCTTTAATGGGCTTCGTAGCACTTGGTCAAAGTGAGTTACTGTTTCTAGATGCAAATGGCCATGTATGGTTTTCTCATGGAGACTTACGTACTTATATCTACACTGTATTGCTGAAGTATGGTGACAAACTGAGCGAAGTATGACATGAAAAATGCTCATCAGTGCAGGAAGGAAGCAACTCATCCTGCCCCATAGAGGCTTGCGTAAGAGACAATGATGCCGAAAAAAAGTCAAATTCGATGATCATGCACGTAAATTGTCCATTTTTGTCCCGTGGTTACTGTTGCCGTGAAGCTACCTGGCCATGTACATGTCTTGACACGAGGTGGCCATTGTGATGTGCTGTGACACTAACAGAACGACAGTCATACTTGTCACAGGGCTTCAACGGCACAAGCACAAGCATCGGTGGGATTACCGTTGCCTTCTACGGTGCTCAATGGGCCTTTCTCGGATGGTATGTTAAAACGTGGGAGCGAGTGGAACAAGTCTCTGTTCACTTGAGCGTTGTATTGTAGAGCGCACGTGGCCACTATCGTGCGGGTTATCAAATGCCAGAATACTACAGGAGCACTGACACGTGCTTCTCATACCGAAAGAAACGTCAGTCCTCTTCTCTATTCAATGTGCTACATTGTGATGCGTAACACCCTCTTATCTTCATCAGTTTTAGGGAGTTAAGGGGGGCTAAAGCAATAATTGAATATCTATATCTTCTGACCTTTTAAATAAACTTGAACAGGAAGAATAAAAGGGCCATTTTTTAAAGACACTGAATGTCAGCTGAAAGTCCAGGCTGACATGATTATTAATTAATTTTTGAAAAAGTAAGGCTCATCCTTTCTGAAAGGATTGAAGTTCCCTGGTACGTATTCTTGAAACCATGCCCGGGTACTTCACTCACCAACGCGCTCCAGCAGCTTTATTTGCGTGCATTTGACGAAGCACTTGTAGCTGTTTCAACTCTTGTGGTGGCTGGCTTCATAACGTGCTAGCACACAGTGTTCTATAAGAGGTTAGGGACTGCCTATAGTAGATCAGCCCTCCTTGGTGTCCGTTGATGCTGCATTCATCTACTGTACGTGTGGATTTTCTATCTGTTCACACCATGCTACCTGCATTCAGGTCTGAAGCTAACAACTTTGTGCAGGAACTGAGTGATCCAAAGTTAGTTGTTGCGTAACGTTTTCCTCTTGTACATGATACCTTGGTGACACATCCGTGTGTACATTCCTGATGCACACACATGTACGTCTACTCTACTCAAATCTCCGGATAGCTAGCTGTTTCGATCTTGTTAGATCTGCTCAGCGGAGCTCAGAGTTACTGGCCGAACCGATTGCAATGAAGTCTAATGAACAACAAAGCATTTTTACACCGGCTCAAAGCATCAAAGTCGGGCTGCTCTAACTGCAATAAACACAGCGAGCTTTGTACGAGGTATTGACTTTCAAGAGGTCCCTAGTTGGAGAGCGGATCAAAGCTAAAACTACTGTACACTGTACTTCAAAGTACAACGTTGTGTATCATGCACAGAAACGGTGTAGGTTCAGCTTGTTGAGCACACATGTACATCCTTGGATAGGATGTGTTTAATTAACTAAGGTGTGTGAATGCTACATTCTGGTTGGCCTTTAACTGGTGATATTGCAATTTTATTCTTTATCAATGTTTCCTGTGTCCAGAATTCTTGTGAAGGCTGCCTTTCTGGCTATTCCCATTGTCACGCTGTGCTATGAACTGGTCATCGTCGCCTACATGGCTATTTTACCCGAGGACACTTTCCGAAATTCGAAGGCTGTTGCTGTTGTGAGTACATGTGCGCGCGTGTGTGTGTGTGTGTGTGTGTGTGTGTGTTCCATGTACGCAACTGTGGTGCCGAGGCTAAACTATTTTTTCGGAGAAATGGACGCAAGCTCTAGCCTATTTCCTTCAACGTCTGCCCTAGAATAGTTCTTCGGTGTCTGCCCTGTACATGTAATAGTTACTGGCTACTTACAGTAGTAGTAGTAGTAGTAGTAGTAGTAGAAGTTATTATTTTACTAGGGAACTCCCAACAGGCGTTGCCTTTTTACTGGGAACCCTAGGAATGACTTGGTGCTTGTGACATATCCAGAAAGGGGCTTAGCTTGACGACATCCAGGTGGAAGCATGCTCCATCTGTCTGCTGCCAAAAATGAAATAGCATTCAGGCTGTAACGAGACGTAGCTCTGTATACAGTATACCTTGGAACGGCGCAAGCCATGACTTTTGAACACTTGCAACGTAGCCATGGTACAGCTCTGTACGACAGAAATGTAATTGTTGACCATATCTAGCTTGAACTCTTGTGAGCTTTCAAGACACTGAAAGTGAGGAAGAAAAAAGGCAACGGAAACACCAGTGCATGCCTGTGTATCTGTCTGTCTGTCTGTCTGTCTGTCTGTCAGTCTGTCAATACAAACTTGCACGATCTCAACATATTGTCACATTTAGCGTTTTACTGGTGTCAGAGAAACAAATGCTGCTTTTGGTACGAGTACTTTAAACATGCTGTTTTCTTCGGTATTATGACTTTTCTTCGGTATTATGACTTTTCTTCGGTATTATGACTTTTCTTCGGTATTATGACTTTCTTCGGTATTATGACTTTTCTTCGGTATTATGACTTTTCTTCGGTATTATCACTTTTCTTCGGTATTATGACTTTTCTTCGGTATTATGACTTTTCTTCGGTATTATGACTTTTCTGCGTAACTCCAGGCTGCAGGGAAGGAGATGATTGGATCAGCGGCATTGTACATATTCCCTCTCATTGTATCCATGTCATGCTTTGCTTCAGCAATTGGGATATTACTAGCGTCTTCCAGGTAATCCACACTAACTGTACCTGCCTTTCAACTGTTTTAGGCAGCACTCAGCTTTCAGCACATGTACTGTACGAGGTGGCTATGCAGCATACTTCACCTTCCCTGGCAGATGCAAATGTGTGCAGATTCCTACTTCTGCATATCTATCAGAGAGAGAGAGAGAGAGAGAGTGTGTGTGTGTGTGTGTGTGTGTGTGTGCGCGCGCGCATGCGTGTGTGTGTGTGTATGTGCACTTATATATTGTGTGTTTGCGTTTTCGGCTTCCACGAGATCTCAACCAGCATGTGGCTCGCCAGCATTGACTCTCTTACCCTGACTCTGGCTCCCTGTCACACGGGAGTGACGTGGCCCTACGGGGCAGTCATGCTATAGTAGTGTATGTGTGTGTGTGTATGTATGGGCGAGGGCGAGAGAAGTACCGATCACATACTTGGCAATGGACATTGGGTGTGGGCGGTTCGGGCTCGAAACAGCGGTACATACGGCGCCAGTCGGGGCGAGAATCTGCCAAATCGTACCTAGATGAGAAGCGTCGCAAATGCTTGGCAGAACGGCAGAAACCAGTGTGTGATCAGGCTGGCGCTTGCCATTGTCGTCTCTGCCAACGTTGGTTCCGCAGCCCCGGTGGATTGGCTACCCATCTGTGCGATCACGGACCTGCTCCCAACATCGAGCACCCCGGCAACCCGGTCACTCCGCAGTGCAGCACCTGTCACCGGAGTTTCAAGTCCAGCAGCGGCTTGGCCAAACACAAGTGCGACTGCACGGAACGAAGGACAGTGTCGGAAAGGGCCGACTTCCCGTTTGAGTGCCCTTGCCAAAGGAAGTTCCGACTACGTCACCATCTAGTACGCCATCAGAAGTGCTGCTCCTCAGCCTCTTCCACCCCTCTCCCCTGACGGGGACCGTGTAACCTATCAAGGCAACGTGTATGTATGTGTGTGTGTGTGTGTGTGTGTGTGTGTGTGTGTGCATGCGTGCGTACGTGCGTGTGTGCACGTATGTGTGTGTCTGTGTGTATTATTTTTGGTTTTGTTTTCATGTCCGCACTCGCTAGACTAGTTCATGAAGCTGGCAAGTATGGAGACCTTCCACCAGTGCTTGGCCTAGTTCACAACACGCTAGTAACACCGATATTTGCTGTATGGGCCCAGGTCAGTTACAAGATTTGGTCGAAGAGGGGATGGGGTAGGCATGATGCTAGTATTCCAGCAAATATGGCATTGATGTGTTTTTAATGGCTGTCATTATTGTTGTAGGCCTCCTAATCGATATAGGTATACAGCAATTCACACATGCCCACAGCCAATGATTTAAAACGTTTTGAGACATCACACTCTCTTTCTTTCTAAGCTAGTAACATGAGTTCTATATGCCTGACTTTGAAATTTGAGGAAATGTGACGTTGGAGAAAATTGGGAATGATGAAAGGTACGATCTGTAGCATAGGCTATGGGGTGATAGTGCTGTGAGTCCACGAAGGCTGACATAGTTCTACTGGCTGTGGATTGAGATATTCAGCACGGTTACTCGGTTAGTACTCCCAACTTACTAGTAGTACGTCACAATAGTATCACGAAGGTATGGGACGGTTGATAGACTCACAACCAGCTGTGGCTCTCTCATCGGCTTGGGCGATCTGCACTGCATGTACAGTTTGGCTAGGTGATTATGCAGATGGTTCATTTATGGATCATCTATGCGTAGGCTACCCATGCCACTTGTCAGTTGTGTGATTATTGAATGTGCACTTCAAGTGGCACCGCCATACGAAATAACGTTTGAGTATGTTTTCACCTTCAGTACCACGACTATCTTCATGCAAAATGTTGTGCGCATTTCTACAATGGTTTGGTTTCCTACAGTGCCTTTTCCCTGTGGTGTTTATCGCTCTGGTGGATGTCTACTCTCTTGTCACACTGTTGGGCTTCACCAGCGGCGTGGTCATCAGTGCTTCCATGTTTGTTCTACTGAAGCTGCGCAGAGCTGAGCCGAATACCCAGCGGGGTATCAAGGTAAGAGAGAGAGAGAGAGAGAGAGAGAGAGAGAGAGAGAGAGAGAGAGAGAGAGAGAGAGAGAGAGAGAGAGAGAGAGAGAGAGAGAGAGAGAGAGAGAGAGAGAGTGAAAAGCACCAACCAGGTCCCAAGTCCTAACTAATACACATTTTCCCCCTTTTCATTCCCTCAAACACCTGCCCAATGTCACTAGCGAGATTCACCCCAGTATTGTGAGGTTACTGTCATAGGCATGATTGGGAGCACACGTCAAGCTCGTTTGTTGGTACACTTGACATGTACAAGGCACGTGGGTACTGATCATAGGTTACCTCCAGCAAAACAAGTGGTCCATTCTCAGCGAATATTTGAGTATTCCTCTGAACTGTGTGTTCCCACCGTCACTCTCACGATGGAAGTTGCTGTTTGCACTGCAGAATACTGCAATAAAGACTCGCTTTCCATTGGGTTGCCGTTTTTTGTGTAGGACGGTAAAGTACCGTTGATCCGCCCCCTCTCTAATTCCCGCCCCTGTCGATATTTACGGTATTTTACGGCACTGATGACCGACATTAGGATTTTTGCCGTGTGGCACAAGAAGTCATTTTGACACTTCTAGCAGCTCAGACAGGTTCCAGTGCGCACGCGCGTATGCAGTTCACTGGCCTGTAAGACTGGACCAGCAGAGCAAAGGCCCTCAAGTTTACATTGTCGAGGTTCAGGCCCGTCATGTCACATCCACCGGGGTAAAGGAAAGTATTTCATTTACCAGTTTGTTTATCAGTGAAAAGGTTTAGGAGTAAAGTTTCGTACAAGTGAGTGAGAAAAAACATATTCAAACTGCAAAATTTCCCTGCAAATGATCAGCGCATAATAATTTTTACTGGTCTGTGAAAAGTTCATTGTGTTCTGTATCCATCTGCACAGGTACCTATCATTCTACCAATCATAGTGCTCATACCATCAGTGGTGTTCGCTATTGTGCCATTCGTCCGCTCCCCTCTCAAGACAGGCTTGACTGCTCTTGCCATGATGTCGTCGATACCAATTTACTTTGTGGCTGTGTCAAGGAGGTGGGGAACGAAATTGCATCCCTGGCTGAATCGTGCCTCAGGTCAGTCTTGTGGACAACAATCTTCTAGGCTGCACATTATGTTTACGTCTTTACTAGTGCTGTTGAGTTGTACTGCAAAGCAGTGTGATGGATGGCAGCAGCAGCAAGAGCAACATGTTTGGGAGGTTGTGACAAAGTGCATCCGAACATCAGATCCTGCCCAATTGATCTGACATGGCAGTGTGTTTCGGACTACAGTAAAACCTGTGACTACCGACCACCCCTTGGTGCCAGCAAAAGCAATCTTTAGTTAGAGGTTTGCACCGTGTGACCATAATGATATGATATGTATATCAAAATGCAGCTAATACAATTTTCCAGGACTTGCGCAATGCCATTCTTAATCCAGGTCAAACAACACTTGGAGAGAAAGACGGAGAGGTGGAGAGAGAGACAGAAAGAGAAAGAGAGAAGATTAATTTGTTTGCAGACATCAAATTCAGCTGCTACTTCTGAAGCCAGGAGTCAAACGTTCCCTGTGGAATTTTCGTTTTGAGCTGAGCTTCAAATTTGTCCATGCGATCAATCGTACCGACTATCCTTGTTGTGACTTCTCGATTGTTTGAATGCGATCCTTCAGCATCAGGACCTCGCGGTGCTGCTTTGTTTCTGGATTCCTTGACGCCATCGTCGATTCGTTTATATGACTGGGGTGACAGAGCCGCTCAGTCTTCGTCTCTCCTCCGAATAGTAACATCGAGCAGAGAGCGCTTTCGATGTGCTCTCCAAGACGTTTCCTATCATGTTTATTCTTGACAGCGCTTGAAATTCTGACAGGTATAGTACAGTCCACGCGGACTCCACAGTCAAAATGACCTGCGTTCATTTGTTCAGCTGTAGTACTGAAAGATTCCTTTCAGGACCATGGAAAATCAGCAAAATTTCAAGAAGGAGCTTCGAGCAACATTTGATTTCCTACATCGCGGTCGCTAGTTACGGGTCAAAAATCGTCTTTGGGACAAGAAAAGGCGGTCGCTGGTCGCGTTCAGCAGGTAGTCGCTAGTCACGGTGAATTTTGAATGTGAGACCGTCCGTGCCTGGCCAAGTGGTCGGTAGTACCAGGCTGGTCGCTAGTCACGGTGGTCGGTAGTTACAGGTTTTACTGTATATGAAATGGCGACTCTTTCACACGATGCATCCTGTCATGGCTGCTGCTGATTATCCACAGTGAGACGTGTTACTGTGAATGTTAACAGCTCACTGCAAGCTTTCAGGGACATGTCTGATGATGTCAGTGGCCATGCTAGATTACTCGTTGAAATAATTGTGGTCTCTCACTGTCCAACGGAGGATTAGTGGTGCATAATGCAACTTCTTGGTTTCCTTCAGCAATGTGAGTGCTAACTTCTGAGCACTGGTAACTAATTGTACCGCGATGAGGCAATGTTCAGGACTGTTATTGATGTCACCGTCTGGGCAAGCAGTAGCCATATCATCTTTACTTGTCTGATCCAGTATACCCAAGTCGAGGGCAAAATACACACAAGCGCAACCTCAACATGCAGGAAATGAGCTAAAATGGAGGGAAATGAACACACGCGCAACCTCAACAGGAAGAAAAATGAGCTAAAATGGAGGGAGGGAGCTAACATGGGTGTGACAGCAGTCTAATATCGAGGGAGCTAAACGTATGGTGCATGGCTAGCTAGTGTCTGTTACTTGTCTAATAGCATATTGAGATGGAATCATGAATTTCACTTTCCTTACTTTCTGTCAGTGGATCACAGCTGCTGTCAACAGCGATGCCACTTGCATAATCACCGGGATCCGGGGGCCCTCCCCGTATTTTCTTTTGAAAATTGGGCCTAAAAGGCCTTATTTTAATGCTCCAGAATAATATGAGAAATAAGAATATGCATGCTGATGAAACACCGCATTGAGGTATTTGTACTGTTTCCATCAAAAACCGTCACAGTGGCGTACTGTGGATTGTTTGACTAGCTTAATCTGGTGGGGTTTTGAATATTTTGATTCTTGGGAGAATAGGGAAGTCCTAAAACGTGATCCGATCCTTTTTTTCTAATGTAGTAAGCTCACCCAGTTTGGCCAAGCAATCCCACTGCGGGTGCTTGTGGAAATTATGTTACATAGTCCGACTCCCAGCATCGGATCCTTGGGTATAAGCCTTCACAACGTGAGCACGGTTTAGAAATTTTAGTATAGTTCATGGTCTCTTTTTTCCTTTGAGTGAAATACTAGTAGTGCAATCTTCTCCCATTTTTTTGTTGAAAATGTCTGTGCGTAATTGTGTTGCTCAAGTAAAGAAGAAAATCCACTGGGCCAGATGATTTGGTTTCCTTGGAAATTTTTAGTGAGTAGAACAAGTTCCACTCAAAGTGAAGGTGCTAAAACAGTTCAATCTTCCCCCCGATTTTGTTGAAAAGCTCCATGTGCAGTTGAGTTGCTCGAATAAAAGACAATCCTCAGATGCTTTGACTTCCTGGAGAACTCTTCGTGAGTAGAACAAGTTTAGCTCAAAGCTAAGGGGTGTTGAACATGTGTATATCCACACTACAAGCATACGATCTGCTCAGGATGGTCTTGTGGGATAACCGTGCCATTAGATGGTTGACTGGTACTTATAGTATATATACAAGGGGTTCCCTGTTATCTGTATAGAAGGGGAGGTTTCTTCTTTTTCTGACAAGCAGACAGCCCTCGTGAAAATCAAGGAGTGTGGACAATTGGAAGTAAAAATTGGAGAGACAAACAAAAGAGAATTAGAGTCAATATGTAAGTGTACAATGAGTGCCTTTTCTGACGAGGCGTCTTGGAATCACGGGCCTAGCCAGGCATTGAGGAAGAGAGGAGAAGAAAAATAGAAACACCTAGTTGCAGGGAAGAGGAGGAGAGTTGGGAGGAAGAGTATTTCATTTTCATTTTTTGTTTTGCAGAGTGGACTGTAGTCATCGCTCAGCGGTTCTTCAATGTCTCATAGTGATCGGACCACTATAGGGGATCATGCCACATTCAAAGTAATCATCAAATCCACCGCCGGAGTTGTCACATATACTACCAGGGAAGTTTCCTGGAATATGTTTGGTATTTTGTAAGTTAGGCAATGCCATTGTACGCATCCACCACACTCGTGACCAATTTCTAGTACTATTATCTTTCAATGTTTGTCTGAAAAAATTGTTGTTCAAATGATTCTTCTGCAACAACAGTACGGATGGCCATGCATGTGCAGTTGTGAGAAGTGTGTTTTTAACCATTGCATTTTTAATATGGCTTGCTGTAAGTGGTTTTCAAAATATGATAGCCTAGCCTGACAGGTATAATTATATGTGTGTGTATTAGGACTTGTATTGCTCAGGCTCAGCCTCAGTTGACTCAGTGGTGATAGTACCCATACTTGTCTTGTTTTATCCGTGTTCCATGTTTCTATGTTTGGTCCGTCATCACTGTATGTCACCAATGATATTCGTTAGGCATCATCAAGATGTTAAAATACTCATTCGCCTTCCCATTACTCACTCCAGCACAGGACAGAAGCGAAACTAGCCTCACTGGCTTCTCTCCCTGCGCGCTGTATTATTATCACTTTACTCCTTTTGTTGCTGAGCTCACTGATACCTCTGTCATAGTTGTGTTAACGGTTCACTATCGTCGTGTTTGTCCAACTTGAAGTATTTATATGAACCAGTACTACTAACTCTTCTACTTGAAGTTGAAGTTTATTTTTTAGAACTCGTACTCACCGCAGTTGTTCACTACTTTTTTGAAGTACTTTGTCATCCAAATGCCAGATATATTTTGATTATTCTCCTGTATATCCTGATTATCATCCCTTTCTTTCACACCCAGCTATTCGACTGTTATCCTACCTTTTGTTCCAGTTTCCACCAGGTGTGCATTCAGAAATTGAGTTCTGGGCTCTTCCAAGCCCTTTTTCGAACCGAATTGATTCTAAAACCCAGCTTTTGATTTGGTTCTCTGGGGTTTGGACCTGCAGCTTAAACCTGGCGTGATGTGATAACCTGACTGAAACCATAACTTCCTTTTTGACAATACTTATAAATGTCAAATAAAAAGCTGAAAACAACTTTTGACTCGACTGCCTATTTTTAAAAACTTTCTCGGAAGTTCGGCTGCCCTGCCGTCTCTCGAACCCTACTACATGCAGTACCGTATTTTCAGGTGTATAAGCCGCCTTGGAGTACATGTATAAGCCGCACCCAGATTTTTTTACGAAATACAGACATCGACCCCATTTATCACCGCTGATTTGACCATCGTAGTATAAGAGGCATATTCCAAAATCCGGAATGCAGAACCTCTACAATCACAGATGTCCAGTGAGATCAAGTGAGTATGTGTATTGACTTAGTATGCAGGCACCGCAGAAAATGTGTGCACACTACTTGTACACCTCACCGCCATGCATGCCAAGCAGGTGTTTCGCAGACTTTCTCGTTGGTGCAGTTCCATCACATCTGTTCGTGTCTGGCGGTAACTGCAGCCATGCATGCTTCACTCTCATGCTCGAAGGCCTTGAACTTGCTGCACCCAGTCATCACCTGTTGGCATTGGCTTCCTCTTATCACACGGCCTGTGTGCGTGTGTGTGTGGCTGCAGCTGTTTAGCTGCATGTCAAACTGGGTACTGTAGGAAATTGCCCTCCGCAGAAGTGCAGCTGGTTCTGACCTTTGTCATGCTAGTGCCTGCAGCTAAAGCTCAGCTGATGGGACTCCAGCCGGGGCCGTCACTAAGCAGCTTCCACAGCTATGGTGTGCCAAAAAGGTCCTTTGTGACCTCAGTGCACATCATACGATCTCTTATCTGGCTCTAGTTACGCACCGGATCCGACAATCAGTTGCAGCAGCATTCTTGAGTTTCTGATACTTAATGTCATCCAGCATGTGCCCTCAGCAGAATGTGCCTGATGGCAGCTTTTCTCAGTGTCGCATGGCAATCTGAAACAACCGCTATTCAATTCCACGCAATAGTATAAAAATAATAATCACAGAAAAAATGTCACCGCCGCCAGCACACCAACTTTCTTCACACCGAAGATAGAAAGGTACTGGAGGGTACTGGTGGACATGGGTGTCAATGTACAAATATCAAGAATTAAAAATAGGGGAAATTCGTACAAAAATGAAGGCAAACAGATGCAGGCATGGTTCTAAACACTGGCTTTTTCCTGTTGTCAATAAGGCCAGAAGAAAAAATATTATTATCACCATCATGTGGTCCCAGTGTGGGTCAGTGGGAGAGGGCATGTGTCTGGCCGCAGTGAAACTAAATACATTTTCATAACCAGTAAATACTACTCGAACGATTGCCTACTGGGAAGTGTCAGAACATGCAACAGGCTTGCACAGTGGCGTATGAGTATCTGTGTGTGTGTTGGTAGGGTGACAAGTGCATGTTGATCGGGGCACTGATCTGATCTTGAGAGCAACACAAACCAGATTTATAACTAGAATGAACTGAAAAAGGATGCTGAATATAATTGTTCTGCAAGCCCACCTTCAGCTATTCCAGGCCCTTGTAGGGGCCCTCAGATGATACGAAGTAATCTTCTAGACGATAACGGAGATATTCAAACGTAGGGCGGTCCATTTCCTCCTTCTTCCAGCAGTCCAACATGATCTGATAAAATGGCTCGGGACAATTTGGCGGAGGTGGCATTCTGTAGCCGCGATCCACCTAGTACAATATAGGAAAGAAAGCAGAACAAACACTCTTAGGAACAATACATCTAATAGAGCATGTAAACCTCAACATGGACTTGAGGAAAACGAGGACTCTAGACCAGTAGAAGTGTGTCATGAAATGCATGGTGCAACACAAACAGCCCGTATGCGTGCCTACTAGATACGGTGCATTCTAGACAAGGTGCATTTCACAGTATGTGAGCTGGCCCATCGACTCGGAGGTGCGAGTGTTGGTGAGCGTGAGGATAGCCACCATGTACCTACTTGTATATCATTACCTAGGGCCTGGCCGACATCTTGCTACATGTATAAGCTGCACGCCTCTGCAGTCACATTATTCATCTTTGTCCTGAGCACTACATGTACGAAGAACTACATGACTGTACTACATTAGAGGTTTCATGACGACCTTTCGGTATCAGAGGCATCTTGTTGAACTCAGGGCCTGGAAAAAGTCATGCGGGCATCATGGTGCAAGGTTACTGCCACTGGTCCGACCACAGATGCTATCTACTGAAACGTGGGGAATCAGCTACATGCAGACAACTCTGAAAAATAGTCGCAACACATTGAGTAGAATAGGCAAGGCACCAGTTGTGCAAGGGAACCAGCTCAGTGACAAGGCTACAAGGTGATTCATACCTGTGTGCTGCGCGTTTTTTTGCGGTTTGCTTCCCAATCAAGAGAATGGAGAATGGTGTTACAGTGTCGGAGTGTGTAGGTGTGTCAAGGTGAATGTGTTGGTGAGTGTGAGGATATCGGTGCAGTGTGGCCATTACTGTACTTCATCCTTAGATTCATAATGCAATCTGAGCTATGCACCTGTGCTAAATACACCACCCACCTTCCGGTATCAAGAAGCAATTCGAAGTAGGATTGTTACAATGTGCATACTATTTTCTGAGCGGAGTTCAAAACGAAGAGCGTGGCTGCCCTTTTGGAAGAAAACGTGTACAGTCATGTACCTGCTTCCGATGATTACAAACACGGCAAATGTTGTTAAGCTATCCCTTAGGTGCACACTATTCTTTAAAGAGTCTCATGATAATTATCACGGTCACTGAATGATGCACCAAACCAACCAATCTTGCACCTGCCCACGGTCACAGCGCTCTTTCCAGCCAGTGGTGTACATGTATCACCCCCCCCCCCCCCCCCCCCCCCCTGTACAATAGTATTAACACCAGCACAATATCAAGCATCGGCGGGCCCCGGTCTGCTAGAATAAAGGCTCTAAGCTACGATTGGGTCAACCAAATTGTTTATCATTCTAACCGCAATGGGTTATCACTGAGCGTATGTGTAGGCATGGCGAGAGGACAATAACACTGGATAACATCTTACTTGTGTGAGCACTTCGGCATTGGACATTCCGGGGTAGGGCACACGGCCATGTGTGATGATTTCCGACAAGAGAACACCAAACGACCAGACATCAGACTTGATGGTGAAGCGATTGTAAAGTGCTGCCTCTGGTGCTGTCCACTTGATGGGGAACTTTGCACCTTCTCGGGCGCAATACTCGTCATCCTGGATAACTCTGGCCAAGCCGAAGTCCGCAACCTTGCAGATATTGTTTTCACCTACCAGGATATTTCTTGCCGCCAAGTCACGGTGAATGTAGTTCTGCACCTCCAGGTATGCCATCCCTGACGCTACCTATACCAGGAACACACAGACAATGGACACCGGCACATGCACACACACACACACGCACACACACACACACACACCTGTCCTGTCCTGTCGAGCCACTGCCACAAAGGTCACGTGGGCCCCGGAGGGGCAACGGAGAGAGAAGAGAACGCCGTCCCACGGCGTACGGGACACAACGAGAGGTCGCCAGGATTCACACACACACATCTAAACATGCAGCTAGTAGTGGGCATCATCATATGACTGCGTTATAACTAGCACTTTGGCTACCAGATGGGAAACTAGTCCACGCTACAAATTGTGCAGCTTATAGACAATGAAATAGGCCCTCATGTGGACCTGATCCAACCCTTTGCAACACGGATCACTAAACAGGAGGCACTGCAATATGCCATAATTCACCTGCATGCATTACGAAGGAACGATTTAAGGATCGTTGGACTACAAACTACATGTAATTATGGCTAGTGCTTGGTTAGAATAAAAGCATCACTTGTTACAAGTACTTAATTGCCTTTCCGTTGGGACCATCCCACATGCCACATGCCAAAGCTACAGGGCCCTTCCTGAAACTGACGACTTCCATGTACTAGTACATGTAGTTAGTAGATGTCTGGCAGTGTGTGTGTGTGTGTGTGTGTGTGTGTGTGTGTGTGTGTGTGTGTGTGTGTGTGTGTGTGTGTGTGTGTGTGTGTGTGTGTAAGAGCGTTTCTGGGGAATATCCAGCCAATAAGTAGCCACCAATTTGCTTGAGAAGAAATTCCCAGAGTGTAATTATCATCCACCACAGAGAGGTGGAACATTGGCAGTAGAAAAGAACATCAAATGTCTGTTTTTTTTCTTACAATCAACAATGTTTGACCAAAGCGATGTGGCTAGTTTACTGGGAACGTTGATCGCATTTTCACTTTTTCAGCAACTCCTATAATAATCATACACTGGCATCACGTGGTGTGTGGTCATTACAACTAGGTTTGTATGCATTGCGCATCATTGCAAATAACTGAATTTATCACATACATGTTCACATGGCAGTGTAGCGAGCGTCCAGTTCAAGCCCAAATCATGTTAGTATGTCTGCTGTGCGCAATACTGGAAAACTCAGAAAACGTAGCCCGAAACATAGCGCTCCAAGCCTCCTGGATGCTCTGTATTTCGCTCATGGAATACTGCACATTCGCATTGTGCAGAAGAACTGGCTTTTTCAAGTAAACAACATACTGTCACTGTTTTAGAAGCACGACGCTATTGTGGATGATTACGATGTGAACCATCAGTCCCCTGTTCCAGCTCAATGCTGCTATAATGCTGTCCAGAACCGTCCGGCTTGGAGACACATCGTTGATTGTTCTCCTCCCTCCCGAGCTACTCCTGATCCCGAGTCCGGCTCCACTCGCATGCGGCAAGGCATGTTGTCGCCGAGGGAACCTCAAGCGTCATGCACCATTCTGCAAGGCTGCGAGATAGCCCATTCGCTATCATTGTCATCGGCAATGCGTATGTTGAAAGTGTGTGTGTGTGTGTATGAGCGCACGCACAAGACACACGTGTACGTATGGCAAGTCCCCTTTCTGCGCTCAAGCACTTCCCGTGGTGTGGTCTCATAAGTGGGCTAATGTTTGTGTAGGTTAAGATTTGTGGGTTGTCGGTCGTTCGTGCAGTCACCGATAAGTTTTTGGGGCACTTTCAACAAAAAGGTACAGATATACGACATCCCGTAGCCTTCGGTAGACCCGGTGGGGTGTTGAATGTACAGGACTCTATTGTGTTTTAAGGCATATTATACAAGCTAGTCATTAGATCTCTCCAAAGTAATGAAGCTGATCAAGTGATTGTCTTCCCTTCATTACTGGGCAGAATTGCTCAAATGCGCCAGCACAACACACAATGATCACCCGTTATAACACACAACGATCACCCAACCAGGTGATCATTGTACCAACCACCATGACTGTACAAACCTATGGGATTTCGTACATCTGTTACAATGACTATTATTGTACCTAACCGTGATTGAGCCATATCTCCAAGATTTCTTTCCCTGGCCTCTCCCTGGGAGACCAACGTGACCAGTTTCTGGTTGTGAGCAAGTACACGTGTACATGCGCGCGCGCGTGTGTGTGGGGTGTATGTGTGTGTACGTGTGTGTGCGTATGTGCATGTCCGTGTGTGTGCATGTGTGTGTGTGCACGTCCGTGTGTGTGTGTGTGCGGATGTGCATGTCTGTGTGTGTGCATGTCTGTGTGTGTGCATGTCCGTGTGTGTATGTGTGTGTGTGTGTGTGTGTGTGTGTGTGTGTGTGTGTGTGTGTGTGTGAATGCGCGTGTGTGTGTGCGCGTGTGCGTGCGCGTGTGTGTGTGTGTGTGTGTGTGTGTGTGTGTGTGTGTGTGTGTGTGTGTGTGTGTGTGTGTGTGTGTGTGTGTGTGTGTGTGTGTGTGTGTGTGCATGTGTGTCATGTGTACACCTTCATGACTGTGCATTGGTTGACTGCTTCCCATACTTCTGCTCAGTTTCCCTTACCTGTGCAGCCATATCCACCAGGACAGGCAGTTTTGCAAAACGACCGTCGCTGTTCTTCAGGTAGTCCAACAGCGATCCATTGGACATGAGCTCAGTCACAATGTACAGAGGTTCCTGCTGTGAGCACACGGCATACAGCTGCACTAGCTTCTCGTGTCTCAGCGTCTTCATGATTTGGGCTTCCTCCAAGAACGCCTCAGGTGACATGGTTCCAGCTTTTAGGGTCTTCACAGCAACCTTGGTGGTTTTGTTCCACAGACCTGCCCACACCTCACCGAACTGCCCGGCTCCCAGACGATTCCGAAGCTCCAGCGACTCACGTGGGATTTCCCATTGATCTTTCGTGTCGTATGATAGACCGCTGGTTATAGGTCGCTCTCCGTGAGGACAGGGTCTCGTTAGGTGCGTGCACAGGCCGTCCGATTCCACCTTGTAATGCTCAACCAGGTCGCCGAGCGTGGCGAAAATGGCACGGCTAGCGATGTAGAAGTGCCCGTTATCCATTGTACGGATCCTATAATGCTTGACGTTGTCGTTTTCTCGCAGCGACAACGAGTAGTTGCCGGGCTGAGATTCAGATTCTCGCGCTAGGAATGTTCCGTGCGGATTGCCAGGCGCCAGAAGCTTCTTTTCCGCATCGGATCGCTTGATGCGACCAAAGAACCACCTACACATCAACGACAGGTAGAGACATCAAAAATAATGTTCCTTCAGGGTTCCATTTCATATTGATCGACGGAGGAGACTCGAAGACAAAATTTCTTTGAGTCGCAAACAAGACAGCCAAAAATGTACACCGATCACAACATTGAAAATGAAGAAAAAAAAGAAGGAGGGTCCACCGGCAACGATCCGCTTGGCCGAAAAGGATGTTCAGCCTCGCCAAAGAAGCATTCCACTATGTCATCAGCAAGATACCAACCACGGCCTGGATGATAACATGATAAGCTAGTAATTATTTTCTTGCTTTGCTTTCACATACAGTGTCACACGTAACACTAACACCAAGTCGCTACACGCAGATTTGAGAGGAATGCTAAAGCCTAAAGGCGCCAGGCAGCCTAAAGGCGCAAAGTACTTACTCTTCGGCTTGCACACTAGCTTGCGGTGCCACATAATTACTGGGAATGTAGCCGGAGTTGCCAGTCACAAGAGACGTGGCTTTCCACCAGTCACCATCCTGGTTGTTCACCACCTGTAGCTGCTCGCCTTTCTTGAAACTCAAATCCTCGGCTGTGCGTGCGTCATAATCATACAAAGCTAGGAAGATGTTTGCATTGCTCATTGGAGTCGTTGGTGCAGGAGCTGCGGGAAGAGACCGCGGTCCTCCTCCTCCCATGCCTGCCATTCCTCCTGTAGCGCTTGGACCGCCAGCTGTTGGCCCGCCATGGCTGTCCGTAAAGTTCAGATTCTGGGGTTGCTGTGGCTGATTGGGCTGGTGGCTGTTCTGCTGGTGGTTGCCAGAGGACTTTTCTCCGCCGGAGCAGCAACAGCCCATTGTGGCAGTGGCGACGGCAGCCCAACCTAGCTACTCGGCCTGCGCGGCCCCTTCAACGAGAGATACACTGCCGCTTTTTCTCGGGGCTTTTCTCATAAGCTTGGCGCCCTCTCTTTTGCTTTTCTGCCTGACGAACCAATAGCGTCCCATGTGCACGCAATAGGCCGAGGAAAGAGGGCGAGCACAGTGTTTCTGCTGCCGTTGCTGAGCTGTGCCCGTTTGATCGCCTGAGCTGAGCGGGATGCAGCACGATAATGCATGCACGCATCAGCAGCGTTCACTAACACTGCCGCTTGCCAGATCATCACACCCGGACTGACTGACTGTCTGTAGATCTACATGACTGTACTGCCTCTGTACGGACGATCGACCTTGGCAGTACCACTACCAGTGCAGTGCAGCGTGTGTGTCAGTGATCGCCATGTCCACAGACTGGCATGGCCGGCAATGCCGTGCGATATCCCATGCGTGCCCCGACCCTGTCTGTCTGAGCTACGTGCGTGACTGCTCAAAATGACCCTGATTATGATGGCTGTGAGCGAGAAGATCTTGCACACAGCATGCATTTCAAATGCCTAGGGCTGGTCGTGCAGGTGTCTGCACGCTGCCTCTTTTTGCCGCCTGATGCGTTGAGTCCGGGGCTTGCCCCTCCCAACCTCATCTCACTTCTCAGTCCTACATTCCTCCGTACACTATGGCAATGTACTGCATACTGAGTAACTGTGCCTGGGCCTGCGGCCGCAATGAACGGTCGGTTACATGTACAGTCTGTAGTGTAGTCTGTAGATGTACATGTATGTCAGTATGTGTGTGGACGAGTGAAGCTGTAGCTGTAGAAATACAGACTCAGTCCCAGACTGGATCTCGGATTGGACCCGAAGATAGTGGAAATCACAGGTCTGCAAGCAAGCAACAGTCCGTCATATGCAAGCATAGTATTCATACACACTGACTGGTAGTAGTGGCATTATGTGTGGGGCCGTCTGGACTACATGTGCATCGTAGATGCCATGCAGTCAACAAGCTGTCATTCGGATTCCTATGGTGACCAATAGCCACGCCATAACCCGGTGAAGCATGTCACAGGTCAGTGTTTTCGAGAGGGATAGTTCTACAGAATGTCAACTGATTTGTAGCGTCCTGCCTTCTCTCAAATGATGCAAACGACACCCACGGTCCAGTCTGCTGCTATGCACACACACACACACACACACACACACACACACACACACACACACACACACACACACACACACACACACACACACACACACACACACACACACACACACACACACACACACACACACACACAGGCATCCAGTGTCTAGCGCAATGGCCCTTGCCTGGGCTCCATCTCTCCCATTCCAACCTTGTCAGGTCAGTCTGGGCGAGGTCCACCGCGCGCGGATGGACAGGTGAAACCGCGGCACAACACACAGCACTCAACAGTGCTGCACGAAGATAAACGCCTCCTCCACACGCTCTGAGCCTGGCCCAGCTCAGCGCTTCATTGACATTGTGGCAAGGTCGACAGACGCTGGCATGCTACAGAATCGACCCGGAATACAATCATACTTCATAGCATTAGCAGTATGAACCAGGACGGCACTCGCTCAGCATAACTATTATAATACCACCCTGGCTCTGAACCAGAAGTGGCACAGACGAAAACCGTGCGTGGAAAGCAGATGGTTCCATTTGATGATGGGGTGGATATAGGCAGCAGGCGTTGAAATCCAGCACTACTCGTAGAACGTGCGAATCAAGTTACTATTGTTAGAAGCCAGTGCAACAGTGAGCGGCTGTTACTTCGCATGAGCTTCGACCAAGCGTACCGCAGTAGTCAAAGAATTTAGAAAATCACTTCATGGCATCATTGCCTGTTCGCTTGAATTGATGAGTAAAAAATTGAACAGAATACCATACATGTAGATCTACCATATTACATGATGCATAACATTACGTGTCGTGTGCTATCGCCTCCGAGGCCTGAGGCCAATGACTTAGGTGCTAGGGCGACAGTATACCATAGTATACGAAGTAATGAATATCTTCCAACAACAAAATGCAATCTTGGACATTATCTGCCTCATCAATGAGAAGAATTTCATCCTTCGAGATGAAATGCTTCCGCCGACTCTTAGGAGTAACATACCACGACCGGCGTACCAACCAATCTATCCTGGAGGAAATCAATGACATCATCGGAGCAAGGATGCGGCTAGCGAACGAAGTCAAGAAATTTAAGTTGATGTGGTTTGGCCATGTTACGAGACATGACGTTTTCTCCAAGCCCTTCCTGCAAGGATCAACTCCTGGATCTCGACCAAGAGGAAGGCCCGCGACATCACTGTGCACACACGCTTGTATAAATCCATGGTAGGGTACAATTCCTTTTCCTCCAGAGCATCCCTTATGTGGAATGCCCTCCCTGCTCACTTGAAAGGAAGTGAGGACATTAGATCATTTTCTACAGAACTTTTGCACGCTCTAAATGACGACAAATTGACTATATCCCTATATCCCCTCCTTTTTGAAAATGTATTTCACCAATAAAATAAGGCTTGGAATTTTTTAAACATGAATATCGACGGACTTGCCCCTTCTGTTCATGCAGTGCCCTGCTCTAGTAATGGTTCATGAATCCGCCCAGTCCACATTCCTTCTCCGTTTCTCTCTAGCCTAGTAATGGTTCATGAATCCGCCCAGTCCACATTCCTTCTCCGTTTCTCTCCGTTTTCCTTTCCTTTCAGTTGCATCTTCCTCTCTGCTCTGTTTTATTTTCTCTTTTCGTTCGTCCCTCTTGATATTTGTACATTGTACTGTTGAGGCAACGAACTGAAATAATAAAAACCAACCAAACCAAACCATCATGGATTTCTAACATTAAAAGTTGGACGGGTCTTCCCTTGCATGCTCTCTCTCTCATGCAGCACACGATAGAGTTGGATTCAGAGACATCATTCACAATTCTCTCGCTGATGCATGCCTCTACGATCACCTTGTGATTATGAGTTATACATACATACATACATACATACAAAATGCAAACAGCGATGTACACAATCATAATACCAGTACTAGCACACAGCAGACTCGTGATAACGGAGTATTCGCTACCAGAAGACTCACATTGTAAGCTACAAAGACGTTAAAAAAACAGTGCAAAACGGACTACAACCACCAGGAGTACCAGACACTAGAGAGGTGAAGGAACCACGCTCTACATAGACAACTCTCTCCTCATACTTGCGATGCTTAGAATCCTTATGTTGCTTGTAGAGAGCGCTGAGAGATTTGGAGCGATAGGAAGGGGCATCTTGGCAAAAACCCTTACATCAAAACAAACAAAAAAGCCTCCTTCCCACGGCTCCAAAACCCCCCGAGCGCTCACATTGAATCTGGCCTCCTCACTGACGTTCGCTGTTCGAAAACGAAAACGCTCGCCAGCTAGAGGTACGAGCGTCGGTTCCGTACCAACCGCGGAACAAACCATTGTGAGCTCTTCCGCCAGGAGACCCCGAACCTCATTGTGACGTAGGGTAGGAAACCCCCACGACTACAACAAAGTTGGTGCTCGACCGAAAACTCATGTCCGCATATACAGGACTCTGGCGTACACTCCAAAGGCCAGCCATATCGCAAAGCGACAGCGTCCTGGAAATCTCTTCGTCATAAGCTGAAACCATGTCTCCTGATAGCCCGTAGGGACTGGCGGATTCTGCTCGAAAAGGTGGCAGATTCTGCTCGAAAAGCATAAAAATTGGCAGAACCATACAAACCTTATGGCGGGCAATTCCTCGAATTCTGCTCCATTTCTTTATCCACATACCAAACATGCATGAAACGTACCAGAAAAAGTACCGAATTCTGCCAATTTTTCTGCTGGCAGAATCCGCTGGACCCTATTGATAGGTAATACAGCCAGCCAGGACGAGGCACCCTTCTCTGATAGTTCGAGAATACGCCTCCTGTCCCGATCACCCAACACTTCAGCAGCCGCGCTCGCCGCAGCCACCCACAGCTTCCCTCCTCTGCTGCGCATGAGTCTGGGCCTTCAGGGACAATGCGGGTTGCCCCACAACAACTGGCAAAAAACCCTGAGAGAGGCAAGTCTCCACAGGAGCATTTACCTCTTCACCTAGGTCCATAGCCCGAAGCAAGTATATCCATTTGTGCCTTAACGCAAATTCTGTTAGAAGAACCTTCAGCTCTTGAATCCACTCATCCGCACGCTGAACTGCAAAATCACGACAGAAGGCGGAGGTGCCCAGCCCAGCACCAAGGTAACGAACACCATCAGTCTTTACAACAATAGCCGTGTCTCCAAAGTGCTCGTTGGCAGCCACCTCAAGCCCAAGCTTCACAAGCAGCTGAGTTTTACTTTCATTATCCATAATCTTCACCATGAGTTTTTAAATGATCATACCACACGCGGAGCGGACCAAGCTTCCCCGCTGCGGCAGAATCGTCCGCGTACCATCCTTGGCAGACTCTATCTACAGAAGCACGCAACGATTTGACCAAAGGTGTCAATGCAACAGCGTATATTATTGCCATTGATAAAGGATCACCCTGTGTGGTTCCCTCACGAGACAAGATTCTTCCGCCTCCAGTCATCTGGACTGGAGTACATGCAGCGTTGCTGGAGACTGGTACTTATTTGCCTCTGTTCCTTTTTTTCTCTGTAAATAATTCAACACGTGCACTGTACTGCTCAAAGTCCCCCGTTGTGATTGCTGCTTCAGTACGAGTACAGTTCAGTCACATTTATGCGATTAATATACATTGTAAGTGAAGCGGACATTACAAAAATGATGAATGAGAATACATGTATCTAAAATGGTTGTTCCTAATCGATTTTCTTGAGACTATCCGATGATCAGGGAAAATCGTCTCACAATAGAGGCTATACGGAGAAAAAAACTACTTATAGGTTATCGGATAGTGGGAAGTATACAAGGTGAGGTGTGAAAAAAAACTAAAGTGGGAGAGAAGACGAAAGAAATTAGAAGAAAAGATGTGAGAGTGTTCTGACGGTGTGAGCTACTACAAAAGGTGAGTGAAATGAAGGCGTGGAAGCAGGTGAATGTGATAGAGTGAGGAACTGTGAGGTGTAGGTGTATGCGAATGAATACTTCCCACTATCCGATAACCTATAAGTAGTTTGTTTCTCCGTATAGCCTCTATTGTGAGACGATTTTCCCTGATCATAGTCTCAAGAAAATCGATTAGGAACAACCATTTTAGATACATGTATTCTCATTCATCATTTTTGTAATGTCCGCTTCACTTATAATTATACTATTAATCGCATTAATCTTAGTCTCCTCGTCGCCTTTTCAGTTCAGTCACAGTTCAGATTTTTTTAATAGAAGTTTATAGTTACTTCGGAAGTGGAAGTAGCTTTAATCATACATGAGTTTGTTTGATGATATCAAGGGTTATAATTATACTCTTGATGATATGTGCATTTGCCCGTACAAGAGGCGTCGTTGCTTCAGTACATGCAGCATGTGAGTTGCATTTTCGAAATTCCACCAGCAACTAGAACTACTGCCACTGCCTAGTGGTAGTGGATCCTGGGAGCGGTTTTTTCCAGCCGTGCTGCTACCCACAGTCAACTGGGAACTTGTGGCCAGGCACAAGGGGTACATGGATGAGGCTAATAGTAATGGGGTCTTTCTCGGCACTTGTGCCAGTGGTTGTGAGACTTATCCACTTACCCCCACCGTTAGGCGCTGCATCTGCCGCTATGGTTTACAGGGTGTTAGCGGCCGTCATGAGTTCCCTTTGGAAACGGACACGATTTACTTTTTTTTACTTACTACAAGTACAACAAATGTCAATGTAGAACTAGGATCTGCCAAAATGTGTGGTAGACATCATTCAGAGTCAGAATAGAACGCAGTGCAGCGGGTCGCAGGCGATGATTGAGGATAAAGGAAGGATAGTTATTAGCTACCTCTACTTCTGAGTAGTTTACTGATACAATGGTCCCCGGCTTATAATCCGGCACTGTTTGTGCTGCGGAAATTCTGCTGGATTAGGGAGGGTGCTGGATTTACAAATCTGATTTATTATGGATGCAGGCATGAATACCGGTAGGACATTTTGGCTGCTGAAAACTATGCTGGTTTATGGAGGATGCTGGATTATAATGTGCTGGATTAAAGAGGGACGACTGTACATGTACATGTATATGCGTGACCTTCCTGTCATAACCTGATTTACTCTTTGCACCACCATTCTATGTTGGACTGTGTATATGGAAAAGGATGGGCGGTCTTGCCAAAACACCGCAGGCCTGAGAGTGGGATGGGTTTATCGTGCCATAAGTCCCCATAACCCATAATGACATGACGTAGTGTATGCAGTGTCACTTATTACCAGTATACTAGTACTCATGTTGATGGTTTGCTTCACACTTACTCCCAGACCTTAAAATAACCCTACCTGATCGGGTTGTTGGGCGTGTATTTACTAGCTGGCACAATCAAGAGGCATACACTCATCACCAAGACGGTTTGATGAGGTCATACCACCATATGCTAGCTAGCGCTACGAAGCCTATGATTCGCACCAGGGTCCCTGTGATGAGTGTGAACAATCAGGGAGCCTACTACAGTAAAATGCTACTCAGGCCCTGGCAGGGAGTAGCATTTTACTACATCGTAGTACACGACTGTAGTAAGCTCCCTGATTCGCAGTGCCTTTTTGAGCGAGGGTCCTACCTGCTACATGTATTACTGAATCCACCGCAGCTAGTAATAGAAAGTTACCCATGCAGGGCCGGAGGAAGGAGTTGGGGAGAGGTCCAGCCAACCTTTGAGGGGGATCCGGGGGACGTCCCCCGGGAGAAATATTTTTAAAACTTTACGTGAAATAGAGCGAATTTGGGCATCTCTAAGGCTCCAGAAAATGCAGAAAATTATAGTAAAAGAACACAAACACAACTTGTTTTATCCATATCAACAAGAGTTCGGTATCAGCCATACAGTGCCGGTCACGGAGTCCTGAGCTACTTCGAAGCACATCACACGTCAGCAGTACAGTCGAGTCATGTACCTCTGGATTTTTTTACACCGGTTTTGCACGAATCACATGGACCATCCAGCTGGGAAAGCGGTCCGGCCATGGCCGGACCAGCCTGACCGGTTCCGCCGGCCCTGCCATGTGTGTTTGAAAACTGTAGGCTGCCCAGATTCATACTAGAAATGTTTTATGTGCATGATACCGAGAGTACATAAAGGGGTTATGCACTCTTGACATCATGCATTAGACTGGGCTCACTTACTACAGCCAGACTTGGGGTCTTGTGTCCCTGCCCTTTCCCCCTCCTCCTCCCCATCCTCCCATCCCCATATACTGCCACCTTCGCTGGTCTACAATCCACAGACACAGCCTCGAACCTGAAGGCTGAAGTTGAACACAGCACAGCATGGACCTGACACGTTGAGGAATAGTGTGATATTGTAATCAGCCGTGTTTTAGTGAATTGCACTGGAGCTGTGACTTGCGTGGCAAACTGGTGCAGGGGATTGGGAAAGCATGCGTGCAGTAAGCCGGACTATGGCTTGTTTGTTGAGTGTGTGTGGGGGGGGGGGGGGGGTGTACTGCAGGCTGTGACATGTACTGAGTATGCAGAAGCTAGATGCATTCACCATTCAGCATTCAGCATGGTGTGAGGGAAGCAGATCCGGCCAAAAGCTGAGCAATGCTGACCATTCAGTTTACCTACAGAACATACAAAGAGAGACAAGCAGATCAACGTTACAAATGCAACACGGATGACAGAACTTCACTCTCCCCACTACAGTATCTACATGGGCATCATGCAGTCACAAGTGAAAGAGTAAGGAGAATGAAGGTTGTCATTGTGTTGCTCACACTTGAATCCACTTTTACCAATGAAGCTGCGTGATACATCCTACACGGGATTCTAAAGAACTTTATAATGTTTGCAAAAGTCAACTGTCAAGCTCTGTTACCTGATTCTACGAGAATGTTACATAGCAATGAACAGATGATTAACACTTTCTCACACACTCCATATCGCGCTACATATCACATGGTAATTGTTACGCTGGGCTGGCCACATTCATGGTACATGTATATCGCAGTACTCTCAGGACAGGGTCAGTATCAATTTTCGTCCGATGATCGATTCAGTTCGTGAAACTCACAGTTACGAAAAAAACTGCTCGTTCTTCTGTCTGTGTTTCCAAAAGCCACGGTCTTATCTAAAATTCTTCGGTGGTCCTCATATCTTCAGCAGGGAACTGCTGTACTCTCAAAAAGGGCTAGTCAGGCTGCTCTTCAGGCAGTGAGCTGCTGTTCAACCCTCTTTCAGTTTACGCATAGTCAATACGCATAGTCAATACGCATAGTCAATACGCATAGTCAATACGCATAGTCAATACGCATAGTCAATACTTCACAGGTGTTTTTCATGTACATGTACGCAATCCTTTCACGTATGGAGTTCAGCAATACCCGGCTGTATGATATAGGATGCATTCACAAAAATCAGCAGAACTGTGAAAAGGATGACTCGAATATTTTCCGGCTTACTTTCTGCTGTTCAGCTCCTGTAGTTCGAGCAACCTGTCCAAGTTGCTGTCCATGGCAGCGTTTTTCTCCTGGGCTTCTTCCATTCCGATCGAGAGGAGGTTCTTCTCTTCGGCAGTGTTATCAGTTTCCTCCGCATCGTCCACGGCACTGTTCATTGCTTCGCGGAGTTGCATGAGTTCTTCATGATCACTTGAAGTTGCCTCGGCATGGGCTGCCGCCGGCTTAGCAGCTCTTACAGCATGCACCTCTGCCTTTGCCTGGCTGTCGTCTTCTGTGGATGTTTGCAGCTCGTCCAAGTAGCTGATATCGTCGCTGTTGTCCTCCTCTGCCTGGTTGGCATCAACAGCATTGGCAGCTGCTGCTGTCTCCTCTTCACCATTGACCACTGCTTGCTCGGCTGCGTTCAGGTCATGCTCACCGTTGGCTAGTTTGGCTTCCTCATCGTCAATCTCACCATAAGCAATCTTTGCAAGCTCTTCCTCGCTGGGCCCAAGCTCTGATTCAACCTGATCCTGACCTTTCATAAACTCAGTCATCTCCATGTTACCATTGTTGGCATGGTCATTGACAAAATCCATGATGCTGTCCGTATCGTCAAAGTTGGCATCGCTTGAGAAAACAGCCTCCTCCACGTTGTGGTCCATTTCTGCTGCAGCCATTTTGCCCACGTCAAAGTTCTCGTCGAATAGAGTGGAGATGCCATCACCTTCGATGTCCTGGGTTTCGTCATTGTTGTCCAGTTGCAGATCTGCCAGCATCTTGATTCAGAGAGATACATATGTACACATACATAGAAATATAAAAGCAGGAAAGTGTGGGAGGGAGAGGGTGGAAGAGAGAGAGAGAGAGAGAGAGAGAGAGAGAGAGAGAGAGAGAGAGAGAGAGAGAGAGAGAGAGAGAGAGAGAGAGAGAGAGAGAGAGAGAGAGAGAGAGAGAGAGAGAGAGAGAGAGAGAGAGAGAGAGAGCATGCTCACATCTAGATATGCTTGCTGCTTCCTTCAGTGTTGAACTAGTAATGGCAGTAGAGTGAAACTTCAGTACAACGTACAACGTACCACCAAAGTATTTTATAGTCAAGGTACTGTATAACAAGTTACTACAAGTATCCAAAATCACATGACCGGAAAAAGGTATGCAGTGTCTTCAGATGCAAAGGAGAAAAGTATGGTGTATAGCCAGGGTATGTTATACTGAAATTTCACTGTAGTTGCCATGGTTTCATTCGGAACCAACAGCTACAGCAAAAGGAACATGTGCATTAAGAAGGGGCCACAGGTGTGTGTGTGTGTGTGTGTGTGTGTGTGTGTGTGTGTGTGTGTGTGTGTGTGTGTGTGTGTGTGTGTGTGTGTGTGTGTGTGTGTGTGTGTGTGTGTGTGTGTGTGTGTGTGTGTGTGTGTGTGATCCCGGTGGCCTGATCAGTAGGGCCACACTGTCCCAGGAAGACATGGGTACTGGATTCGAATCCCGCCCAAGGATCCTTTTGCAACATTGGTGCCCAACTTGGGGCTCGAACCCACGACCCTGAGATAAAGAGTCTCATGCTCCACCGATTGAGTGGCGCATGTACATCTACGTGTATTCAGTCAACACATCCGGTTGCGTGCCACTACCACACATTCGTTCGTATTCATTATTGTGCACTCGTTTCCTTTTTTTGACTGGCCTCTCTTTAAATCGTGACAAGTACGTGTGCCAATGGGCCTCGGCTAGGCAGTAGAGTGTAGAGTTTCATACCCATGGACTGTATGTATGTACAGTCTTGCACATGTGCGGGGTCTATAGTATAGGTATACACTGTTCCCAAATGCCACACGCTCGCACGTCCAACTTCACGACAGAGACTAGTTCAGTTCGTAGAGATTAGTTTACTGAACAATCATTAGAAATAGAAACTGCGGGAATAATCAGACTGAAAGAACAAAACCGAAGCATGAGGAGCACACTCCTTCTTCTAGCTCTGTCTAACGCAACAACCCAAACCAAAAGCCGGAGTGCCAACAGAAAAGGGGAGCTGCGATGGAAGCTGCACAGAGCTCGCACAGGTGCACAATGCAGAGGTGGGTTCAAAGTACATACACACGAGCTTAAATGTCACAGCCACTCGCGATCAATGCTATGAAAGACACTGCGACAAAACAGCGCTGCCACTGACTGCATGATACATGATGAATACGCGGCATGTGATACACTACACACTAGGTCAATAGACAGCACGCGATGCACAGCACGCGATACACAGCACGCTACTTTAGTATTCTATGTACTAGCGGCACGCCTGTAGCTTACCTCTGCAGCATCCTCATCGGCAGCTTCCTGTGCACTGCGGCGGCGCCTAGTGCTGGCATCGGTCTCACCATCAGTCGCGGTCTCATCGACCAGGCTTTCAGCATCAAGACCGGCAGCGGCCAACGACTCACTCTCATCCTCACCAAATGCAATCTTAGCAAGTTCCTCTTCGCTCATCAGGTCCGGATGTCCTGTCTCATCTACTGGCTGGTCACCATTGCCATTGTTGGCGTGGTCGTTGATGAAGTTGATGATAGAATCGTCATCATCAAGATTGGCATCAAGGTTGGTCATGGAGAGAACAGCTTGGTCATTGTTGTGTTCCATCTTGTTCACAGTCTCGCTGAATTCGAAGTTCAACTCGTCAAACAAGGAGGAGATTCCATCACTGTCTGCGTCATTCTCAACAGCTTTGTTCGCATCCACTTCCATCTGCTTCAGCACCTTCAGTGGTCACACCAACAAACGAGAAACGTACCGGTAAAGTATAAAATAACTCTATCATGTCAAGCCAAGCCTCAATGAATATTTTAGCTCAGGTACTGTACACACACTCCCAAGTCTTGGGGTTACATGATAGTACGGTGCAGGCTACTGAGAGCTTTGTGTGTACTATTATTTCTTTGAAGTCTACAACCATGTGCTGTGAACAAACAACACACGTCACACAATGCACTCCATATGTGATAGCCATTATCATCCTGGTGAAACTTTGGAATCATGTTTCCTCGGAACAAAATCTTCTCCAGCTGCACGCGGCAATTATCCTCGATGTGGATGCCCTGTTTCCTTTCTTAGCTTGCTATGATGCTGGCACATATGTTCAGTCAGTTTGGTTATGTTGCCATAGAACAGCTTATGTGAAGGTTAGCCACACTTGCTTGGTGATGCCAAAGCAGGAATAATATTAATCATAGTCCAGAAAAGGCTGTGAGCAAAATATCCCCGCCGGTCCTGTAATTGCATGGAAGAGCATGTCAGCGTCACAACAAGGCCTTACCTCAGTGGTCTCCGATTCAGTGAGTCCACGCTTGGCCACCGCTGCAAAACACAAACACAAAACACATACATAGCATACCTCCAAACCTCTACCATACAAAGCTGCACTGGTGACTTTAACAACTGGGGGGGGGGAGGCTCTTCTCATCGTGGTCACATGACTAGATCCTCAAGCTAGTACATGCCGTGCCATGTCATGTCCTACACTCTATTTATATCAATGTATGTAAGTACAGCTGTAGTTAGTTCTTTCTCATCTGTAGTGTAGGTACATTGCCTGTGATAGTTGATTCTAATGCACATGTACATTGTACATGACTGATACAGTGATAGAGGCTCTCTCGTACTTCAAAAGAAGTACAATCGTCATGTACAAGATTAGTACTTGTTGACTGGACATGAATCAAGGGCATCTGCATGCTAGTCTTTGAATGCTGGCAAGGGGTTCATTTCCCTCTCACCACACAATGAGGCCAGTAAGTGTTGAACTAGACTGTGGCGGATGTGACATTTCATGCACAAAGTACTGTACACAGAAAGGCATCTGTGGATTCGTACAGAAAGGCATCTGTGGATTCTATCTTTCAAGGACTGTCTTGGTCTATTGTCAATGACCAGGAAGAGTGTAGAGAAGGAGCACTGTTTCCGACTTCCCCTACAGTGCGTTTTTTTATAATAGACTCTGAAATCCTTGAGAACGTACTCAAGGCCACTTTTGAGAAAATGTCATGCGAGTTGCGTCACGAAAATCTGCGCGCGAAATTCGAAAACCAGGTGTGACTCGTGGCATTTCGCCATTTTGTTCAGAGAGGCTTCGAGCTCCTCGTGGCCGGAGGAATCATTTTGTTGCTGACTGCTCTGTGGCCCTATTTTGCTTTTTCTTGAGTGTCTTTTCGTTCGTGGCAACTTGTTCTCTCGACATGCCACATATAACAAAGCGCGAACGGGCCATGGTAGAATCTACATGGTGGTGTCTGTTTTACAATTTTTGCGAAGACGAGGAAAACAGTGGCTGGGCATCGAATTGGTCCCAAGTATTCCATTCGTCATGCTGCTGTTGCGTGTGGCGTCAGCATTTCCACCATGAACAGATGTACCAGGGATGCTGACGGCGAAAATCAGCGTGCTGCGTTGGCCTTGTCTGTCTCCAGTGATGAAGGTAACGAGAGTGACAATCCCCAATGTGAGACTCGTGCCATAAAACCACTCAACCCTGACGGATTTGCTTTGGACTGTATAAGAAGTAATTTACAGATTCTATGCTGCGAAGGAGCACCCAACACTGGACAAAGTTCCTGCTCGCTGCATAGAAAGCATCGACGATTTTCCAGACATGAGCAAAACTAGCTCTTGGAAAATGTTGCGTTCCATGGGATTCCAGTGTGGCGAGACCAGAGGTATCACACACATGATGATGGAACGGCACGGGATTGTGTCATGGCGGCATCGCTACCTGTGAGACATACCTGGATGACACGTGGGTCAATGCGCGTCACACAGTTACTAGGAGGTGGTCCGACAATGGTGACAGGAGTGTATAGGCAAGCAACCAAATGAAGCACCATCAGGTAAAGGCAAGCGCTTTATTGTTCTGCATACTGGTGGACGGGACGGATTCGTGAGAAACTGCGCCGATGTGTTCGTGACTGGAGGCCGACGCCAACGATGATATTCGTCGTCGGCTGTCCTAGCACATCTGTTCACTGTGTAATACTGTCGTCACAAGTGCAACACAAAACACGGAATTATTGGGGCCGTTTCGACGCTCGCTGGTCTTCTACTATTCGCAGATGTTGAACCAGACACAACTGTGACCTATTTGCATTGTGTGTGTGTGTGTTTGTAAAACCGCTCATGTATTGCTTCCTTTTAGTCTCTTTATGGGTGCTGTGTGAATTGCCCTTGTGATTTGTTGTGGTGTTTGAATTTTCACTGCATTCTTTCAGTGATCGAGGGAAGTTTCCTACATGCATGCTGGAATGTTTTGATTTATTGAGCTAATTGCAATACAGGATTTGAATTATTCAGTACAGTTTGCCACAGTAAGTCGTGAAAAACCACGACTCACTGGTTTCCTACAAAGGTTAGGACAACTGCAGACAGGAGTGCACAACTGCACAGTCTACTTCAGTACTTGTAGTCATGTACGTGTACATGCATGCGCTGTACCAAAAAGAAGAGAAAAAAGAATCAGGATGAACTGTACTGGATTCGAACTCTGGCGGACACCATGCACGTGATGAGCTTTCCTGGCTAAAACTTTCGTTTTAAAATCAAAATCCACTGAAAACCATTTAAAACCAGATTTTCAGCCCAAACCCGTCCGAATATCTAACTTTGACAATTATTATTATTCCGATTCCCAAACTTAATTTTCTTCGATCCAAGACCCACACAAACGCAGCTGTGAAGAAAAAATTTCAAATTTGGAATGAGAACAAACTAAAAAATCAAAATCGACAAATGTCTGTTTTAAAAAAACGCACTGTAGCTGTTTGGTGCACTTAGGCAAGCACTTGAGATGATTGTGCATTCACCCCCTACATCATGTGCACTCCACAGTGCAGTGGATGGGCTTAGTGAGGATAGGTGGTCGGGACAGCACTCAGCACTGCATGGTTTTGATCTGAGTGCTTTCCGTAAGCCAAACCTAGCGTGTAGTGCAGTGGCAGCCAAACATTGCACCCAAAGCCAAACACCGGGATGTCGGAAACCATGCCTGAGCCTTTCTGACCAGTCCCGCACGGTTTCAACTAACGACTACGGTGTGTGTGTTTTGCAAAAGGTGGGACGTCTCTGCCATGAGAAGAATATCGAACACTATATATTCCGGTTGCGCTGTTTGCTTTCGTTTCCGCACTGCAATGTCCATGCCGGTTCCTGGTCTTTTACGCCGGCCGGTGTGCGGAATCCCTTCACTTCAAAGTAATTAGTTCAGTCATCAGAACAAAGTAGATCAGTCACGGACTACAGTACCAGGGAGTCAAGAAAACCCTTTACGATTCCCTGGTGACTACGGTGTTCGCTAGATCAAAACATAATCACGCCCAGGCCATCGCCAGGTACGATTGGGTAACGCGCTTTACCACCGATTCCATATTTTTGGACGAAAACAGATCGCCGTTGCCGTTACAAAACACAATAATTATAGCAGTACTAGACTGTAAATGTAATGATTAGTTATCTCATGATGGTATGCGGCAGAACATCGCACGGTATACATGGTACTAGATCTGAGTACACGGGCTCCGCTTTCCGCCACACCCGGCATCAACCACAAAAAGTCTTGCATTTGAGAGTGGAAAGCGGAAACCAGTGCGTGGATCAACCACATCATTGATCAGAAGGCAGGCGAGGCAAAGCAGTGGCCCAACCTTAGCTAGGTGCTCGCTTCCCCAGGACAAAAAAAGAGAGAGAAAAGAATCGCTATGGGAGAGACCCCCGACATTAAACTTACCTGGTGCGGACATTGCGCCTTTGGCGATGCACAGCGCCAAGATAACTACTAGCTTCATGGTTGCAATAGCTGCCCAACTGACTCGACGGCCTGGTAACAGTGGAGAGACACACACCAGCAAAACTGAAATCGTCAATTGAGACCCTTTCCGTTCCGGATTTGTCCGCGGTCTGTGCGATGCCTACTACTAGGTTGTCAGCAGAAAACATGCACATAGCAGGTGTCTGAAAACGTTCCGATTGAATTGGCCGACATTGTCTTTGACACTTACCTAAAGAGTGGAGGAACTCGAACGGGAGAAGAAAAATTGCAACTGCTCCGAGGAAGATCACACTTCGAACTGCCGGTGGCCAGAAACACACCGGTTCTATCAGTGTCCATCGCCATACAAACGTGCCCGGAAACGGGGAAGCTTGAGTGACTAAGCACAGATCATCAGGGCAGTGCACACTCGACTCGAACGCTCTCACTCGATGGCACACACTACAATTGTACACCCATTCACACACAGTCACAGACTAGTATTACTATTAGTAACCCTTTCATTACACTTGTTTTTACCGTGACTGGCTCATGATCGATCATGTACGATCTATCCAGCTGACAGAGATGATCGACGTCGCGGGTACGGACCGGCCCTTGAAGGCCTTGATGTGATTCAGACTCAAGTCCGGCGATATCCAGCAGTAGATTGTGGATTGGGTTGGATTGGATTTTATAATGCCTTTAAAATGGTGTCTATCAGACATCTGCCTCAAAAGAATAACATTAGACCCACTGTGCTGGGAAGAAAGAAATACAATGAAGTGAAATACAGAAATAAGAGAAGAAAGACTGACAGCGAGTAGATTTCCCACGATCTGAGGAGTGAAGGTGCTAAAATAGGGTAAGAATGAAGTGAATGACTGGCTCTGGCTAATCAGTACTAGCAAGAGTACATAACCCCCCAGAGTGTGCAACTCCACTATGGGTGCTGTCCCGACAGAATTTCAAGTTGACGTCATTTTGATGATGCAATGCGCACTGTACACGGATTATCAGACGAATCCGGAACCTGTGGTTGACCGAAGCCGATCGATCCTGTACAAATTATTGCAAAGAAAAACGTGTGATGCGTTGACACCCGTACACAAGTTGTAAATCACTGGTGCAAGGAGCATTGCGTCATAAATAATGACGTCAACTTGAAATTCTGTCGGGACAGCAGGGTATGTGGGAGTTGCACACTCTGGGGGGGGGGGGGGGGGGGGGGGGTTATGTACTCTTGGTACTAGCAAGAGTACTCTTGGTAATCTACCATGGCGCAGCAGCCAACATGCAGCGAGTGAAAGGCGCCACTGTCTGGCTACACAGAGCTAACCTGGGGGGGGGGGGGGGAGGAGAGGAGCAGGAGGAGGGGGAGGAGGAGGAGGAGGACTGGATCGAATAGAGTGGGAACATGACATCTATATCTGAAAACCGGGACGCCACAGGCGATCAGCACCTTGCTAAAACCAGACACCCTCCTCCCCCTCCCCCCCCCCCCCCCCGATATTGTGGGTTAGTGTATTACCGGTATTACAAAAAACGTCGCTAGCTGTGCATCCTGTGAGGCACGCTAGTTTTAGTTTTAATTTTATTCCAAGCAATATTATGGCTGGGGTAGCCAATGACTACTTTGCTAACCCAGCCATACTATGGCTTGGAATAGATCTTCGCGCGGCTGATTGCTCGCCTGACTAACCAGACTCCTCCAGAACGAGCCTCACACGGCCAAGAGTACACTGATTATTTCATCACAGCCTAGGAGCTGTGGCATCATATTCATGATCCACAACAAGAAGGCAGCAATGCCTCAGGAACGTATGCAGGTGAAGTAAAAATTTAACAAAGATAACAATATAACATAACTTAACATCAAGAGTATGACCAAGAGTAAGTCTGGAGCTTTTGGTCTCTTGATAACACTGAGAAGCTCCGGCAGATTGGCTCTTGGGCATACTCACAGTCACTGTTCTATGCACAACTGTGACTTCAACTGAAAACACGGAACAGGGGTGATTCCCGCGGCACTACGGTGCTCGGTGAATATCGTATCCAAGGTATTAAAATAAAGAATACAAACAACAACAACAAACAAGGTAGGGACCCGCGGATTCTGCTCGAAAAGGTGGCAGATTCTGCTCGAAAAGCAGTGAAATTGGCAGAACCATACAAACCTTATGGCGGGCAATTCCTCGAATTCTGCTCCATTTCTTTATCCACATACCAAACATGCATGAAACTTACCAGAAAAAGTACCGAATTCTGCCAATTTTTCTGCCGGCAGAATCCGCCGGACCCTAATCCAAGGGCTATGTGAGGCCAAAAACCAGGGAGTAGTGCTACTCCCTGGTCAAAACAGTATCCCGACCTAGGCACTGCTGGCTTGGCGTCTGCTCTAACTACACTAAAATTATTAAAAAAAAATTATCGTGTCCGTTCCCAAAGCTAGGGAACTCACGACGGCCGCTAACACCCGGTAAACCCTAGCGGCACTAAGTGTGAGTCAAACTATTGTCAATGCTGTACAGTCAACTTCGCTAATAACGATTGCGGATATAACGACAATTCGCGAAGAACGACAGAATTTCCATGCCCAGAGCAAACTCCCATCTAACTGTAATGAAGCGGAGACCTCTGGTCGGCTGAGCTTAATGGGCCCCACCACCACACTCCATTATTCACCCCAGTGTCTGGAGATACAGTCAGACCTCGCTTATCCGCATCCCTCGCCATCCGGAAGAAAATCGTTGGTTACCGATTTGCAGCATATGCCATGCATACATACCGTATGTGTGTTCGATTATCCTGTTCCCTCGCCTATCCGGATATTTTTGTCGAAAACGGATGTGTGCGGTTATGCGAGGTTTGACTGTAATGTGGATTTTGTAGAAAAAAATACATACATGTATATGACTTCGGGTATAAAGACACTTTAAGGTGAGCATTGACAATGACTGCATGCCTCACAGCTCAATGACATACAACTTGGATATGACTGGTGTATTTTTATGGGCCAGCTCAGAATCCCAATGTGAAGCAGCACACGTGAACTCGCACGGATATTGACACTTCGCTAAACGAGCACAGCTCATGAATACAGTAATATTCTTTTATTTTACTTCGTCATGGGAACAGGCAATGCTGCGCTGCCGTTTCAGCACAAGATGGTGCCGCTGATTCCGGCCAAAAACGGAAAATATTTGCATGAGAAAAAAAACAAAAAACAAGATATAGGCCTTATAAAACAAGATAAAGATTATGAAAATGAATTAAATGATAATCTGCAATGCATGCTAGAGAGAAAGAGGGGCAGGACATATCAAGCTGGCTTGCTGTTTAGATACCAGTCCGGGGCAGGTTTCTCCATGCCATCCTGCGATATGTGATTATAATCGTAATGTACGGTTATCTCTTCTCCCACCTCTACATCAGCTATGGTGTGGATGCACTTGATCTCACCGTACACTGGGTGAGGGCACGGCGCATAGCACGAGTTTGGTGTGAACGAATGGTTGGCTTTGTGACCAAGAGTGGCGCAATAAACTGTCGTACTGGAGAGATTTGGTGGCACGTCAATCACCGTGTCGTCATCCAGAGAGATGCAGTTGCCATTTTCACTCCAGTCTCGGCTATCCACCGTGGAGTGGCTTAGCCGAACGCCGTTGTAGTATGCCACAAGCTCTCCAGCTTTCAGCTGTCGCTTGGCAAACAGACCTTCACCAGAATTTGGAATCTGTGATGGGGCAACGTATGCTGTGGCGCTCTCATATCGATCCGGGATGAGAGGCTTTTCACAGATCTGCGTTTCAGTGGACATGCATGCTTTCATCTGAACTTTAGAACTGCTATCGGCTACGATAGCAAATGTCTCCACGGAGTCACCAGAGCACGTAGCATGGGCAGCTTCTTGAAGAACGCCATCCTCAAACTGTCCCAGTAATGCATGGTGCTTGTCTGGGTAAACGTACGCAATTTCCTCACCCGTCCAGTCTCCATCGCTAGAAAGATGACCGAGTAGAAATGCACCATACTCATCAACCACCTCATACCAGCGGCCTTCACGCATACTATCCACGTAGTTACCAGAACATTCCACGTCGCCGGTGCCGTCAGTTTTAATGGCTGGCCCGTTCAGCTGTCCTTCGCAGTATGCAGCAACAAGCTGACTTCCATCTGGCCACTGATACGTGCCCTGGCCGTGTGCTTCATCATCACGGAACGTGGCAGACAGGCGGCTGCCATCACTAAATGTCCACATGCCCTTGCCATGCTTTATGCCATGCTTGTATCTCCCAGTGAATACGTCGCCGGACGGGAACCGCTCTGTCCCGCGGCCATGCAGTTTTCCCTGCGAGTCCTTCGAGCCACTGCTGATCGGCTTGGATTTCTTCTTTCTAGCGGGCATGGCCTGGAAATTCCAAAGGGTTTGCTTATTCCGCTAACCCAGTCAACAATTTCGTTTTGACTGTGTTTGCCAGTGGTGCCTATCCAACAAGGCACGTTTTCTTACAGAATTCTAAATCTGGGCAATGGAACCTGTACAATTAAATTTCCGGAATTGTTCCCAGGAACTCTTGCAATCTGAATGGAACTCTCAGCTGGGTTGCAATTGTACTAAAATAATACGAGTACAAGTATTTCTGTAACGTACACTTGATCTGGTCCTACTGTACATGTGGCTTGAAGTAAATAGTGTAAAACTGAGAAACATCAAGAGTAGATAAACACTGTTTATCTACTCTTGGAAACATCGAAAAGTAGTTTGAAAACGATCCTTGCAATATGCAATGCATGCAGTCGTGCACGTGCACACACGTGCACTTGCGTTGTCAAAGCAACAGGCAACTATCGAAAGCGCGCGAGATTGAAAAAACTCGAGTTTAGCGCATTTTGTTGATTGCAAAAATAATTGGTTCCAATCGTGTGTTGTTTGCAAGCATAGAACAAAGGAGTTGAAGACGAACTGATACCAGCTAAAACCCAGTTGCTATACCCAGTAACCGAAGGAACTACACTGGCATTCGTGGATGAAGCCAACTCACGTGAGAGCGGAATCGTACAGATCTCATACCCATCCGTCGCTTCCTCACCCTCTATCCTCACATTGTAGCTCTATCAATCTATGCATTGGCTGCAAGGAGCAAAAATTGGTTTACTGTATAGTCTCTGACTGAGCGTAGCATTTACTGGATACTCAACTGTGGATATCTACAAGTCTTGGAGTTCAATGCGGTGAGATGAAGATGACGTAGGTTAAAAGTCGTCTGCATACTAACTGGGAAATAAACATGAGGATCTCCTGTCCAGTGTGTCAAGAGGTGCTGACCAGGGACTTCTGCTGTGCACCATGTATCCTCCTCATTCTCTTTATCTGTAAATTGCTAATAACACCGAACAATGCTGTTGTTTACAAAAGAAGAAGCATGGCCTTCAGTCATGCCTTTAGTACTTGAATCGAGAGCGCTGAATCCAATGGTGTTGGCAACAGAAGGTGCGGTGCTTTGTTCGTCGCAAGCATCGGTGTGGGCATCTACGGTGTGGGATTTGGAAAGCTGCCTACTCGCGTTGCTTCAACTAAAACAGCTGTAAAATGTTGAATCTGGCTGCGGCTGGGGACACAGTGGCGGTGGGGTATGGGTAGAGAACAACAGGCTGATATAGCCATGTGCTCTACATAGGTAGCGTTGGGACGCAAGGTGACCACACCCCGGCAGCAGCTCAGATCCCAAGGGTCCTTTGAGAGCTGTTCCCTCCCCGGGTGATCAGAGCAACGGCTATACTTTGCAGTCCTAAAGTGGAGTGGCGCCCAATCCGACTGGAGCAACCGGGGACATAGCCGAACATATCTTGCCGATCCCGAATCCTTAGGAGCGTGTGTATTTGTGTGTGTGTGTGTGTGTGTGTGTGTGTGGTGTGTGTGCGTGTGTGTATGTATGTTCATGATTCTAGAACAGATGCAAAGTCTTTTCACCGATTTGGGCCCTTGCAAAGTCAATCCTGTCATTTTGACTCGCTTGAACTCCAAGCTAATGTATGTTGTTCGTTGACCTAATGCTAATGCTACAGCACATCAGGGAGTTCAAGTGAGTCAAACGCGTCCTTTTTTCAGGTGTCCTGCATGGGGGTTTGTGTACACTGTGTCATTACAAGTTGTGACAGCGCAGCACATGTGTTGGCGATGCGTAGCATCTAGGGAGATATCACAAGACGACAGCGCCCGAAGTGATGTCAGTTTCAGCCCCAGCTTTGGGATTTCTACATGATCAGTGATCTATGCCACATGTGGTGCCATGACTTGCCGACCCTCGACATGATCCAGACCAGCAATGCCATGCATGAGCATGCATAAGTTACCCCTGCCCTGGGGCAATTGGAACGAGCAGCCTCACGCTCCACTCGCCCAAGTCATCTCCCTAGATGCAACTACATTCTGGTGTTAGTTTATCACAATAGGTTTGAATAGTCTGTTACCGGTATTGCATTTCCCATTGCATGGTTATGCTGCCTTTTTGTCAGAGTCCAAGTTACGAAATCCCTAACCGTTCAGCTGTCAGGTGGTCACATTTTTCATTATGATTGGTAAGGCTGTGTACATGTAGCAATGCATATGCATGTACATGTAGTCATTGTACCGGAATATGCAGTCCCGCATATTCCATGAGCTGTTGGTAATGTGTGATACATATTCGGGCGGAATGAAGCTGCATGCCATGTTCAAACTTATTCTTCCCCCATTGTTTTTGTGCCAAATTCATCAATTCATGGTGTCCATGCTCATTCAATGCAGAAACCATGTAACTCCTGTCTTCCAATGTTCCAAGAGCTGACTGGATATTCATCTTATTCCCAAGAGAAACTCAGTGTTAACGGCATAGATCTATTGGCACGCGAGATTTTGCTCCTAGCTCAAGTTGTGTATGGGTAAAATCCCTGGTAAAATACTAAATGCCCAAGCTGGGCTACTGGTGAAGCTCCACTGGAAGAGCTATCTACTTATTACCGCTATTTGTGATTTGGCAGATCCCAGTGATTCAGCTCCTGTGCCTATTGCAAGACACCTTTATCGTGACAAGGCGGCGGGAAAGATGATTTTGGCAATGCTTGGACAGCACAATGTTACTTCAGTATGGTTACGTGTGTCCTATAGTGCTGTATGTCATGCTAAGCATGATGCATGACTGTGATCTGCTATATGTATTGCAGCCTCGCGCATTGGCTGGAGATGAAGAAACCATCCAGCTGCCCGCAGTGTCGACGAGCATGTCCAGCCGCTAAAGTGATCCGCCTGTTTGTGGAAGAACATGTTGACGTGGACATTGATCCCAGCATGGGTTCTGAAGAACTCAAGGTAGCACATTGCTGTTTTATGATTAGCAGTACCAGAACATTGATTTTTTTCAGGTGTTTTCGACCGACTTGTGGTTTTCTTACTGGAGCACCAAGGATGGGAAGGTATAAGTGATATAACTGCAGTACTGTCAGGCGCCGAAGAACTGGGGGGGGGTCAGGGTTCTAGCCTAGCCCATTCTTATTTTTAGCGAACACAGCAGTTTCGTTCTTATTGGATGGTACAGTCTTCCATATAGATTTATGCAGAGTTATACGTCTGAGTGTACTTTACTGTGTACATTACGGTTTCCGTTCTTATCTGCAAAACATCCAGCCTAGACCGCTCTTAAAAATTGGTGAAAATCTAGCCTGGCCGTTCCGACAGTACTGTATGTGCCTGGGGGGTCTCTTCAGTCTCTCAGAGCTGAGTGCATGTCAAGGGTTGGGGTTGACACCAATCAACCCATGAACTATCTGAAACAACTGGGTTGGCATGTCAATGTTTCATGTGTGCCATGTATTATATTGTCTGCACATACCCTGTGATTGGCATGTTCCTGTAGGATTGTGTATGCCATGCAGGGTTCTAGCCAGGTCAATATAGTAGGGGGCGGGCATGGGAAACAGTTACCCCGCATCCCATTTTTCCACTTTCCAATATTGTCTTGCCACGCTAAATGCAACGTATGGGGCGAATCCCCGACTTCGCCCCGGACAAATGTGCCTTTATGAACCATCTAATAGTGACTTTCGACAGCATTTTCGTTGAATTGCATGAAAAACACGAACATCGAAGAAAATTAGTAGGGGGGGGGGGGGGGGCACTTTTTCACAGGGGGCGTGCAAACAGAGTGTGGGGGGGGGGGGCTGCGCTGTTACAACTTAGAGTAGAAAACATTCATAACCTCGAAACAAACTTCCTCGACGCTAAATGAGCCACGGATTCCCATCATGGATTTGATCATGAACAGGTTGGTGGCAACGCAGTAGCCGCAGCGTTCCCAGCAGACACGCCGATGTGAACTTGGCATCTAGGGAGGAGTGCGATGTGAAGTAACGTTACGGACCATATACGTCGAACTTGGCAGTCATGTCTCGCCAGACAAACTGGAGGACGTACTCGGTGCGGTCCGTTTTCTTCTCGCTGAGGTCTGAAAACACGTCGCACAGACTGGCCATGTCAGTGTCTGTCATTGCCAGCCCATACAGCTCTTCGTTGCGGGAATTCCACAATACCTTGCTGATGACTTTCACTTCATCGCAGATGAGGATTCCCTCGCCGATAGGAGGAGTAGCCTCTTTGGCCTTCTCCGCTTTCAGGACATCGTACCTGGCCTTCTGGTACTGGATGCTTCCATCTCACTTGCCAGGCTCGTCGATTTAGGCACTTGTAATGTGCTGCAGGGATCTGATGCTTGGCAGCTTCAATATATCAAATCCTCGAAGTGCCTCATAGGCTGCTCTACTCCTTGTAAATACTGCCAGCACAACCCTGTGTGTCAGCATGTTCCACCGGTTGCGATGCGAACCATCTTCATTTCTTCGCTGGTCATATTGCCAAGCAGCTTTGTCAGCCTGCCATGCATCCTTTAACACTTGACACGAGTTGCTGTCCTCTTCTTCACTTTCCACAACGTCGTCAAGCTCATGGCGGAAGTCTTTCTCTTTGACCTTGCACGCCTGTTGGTAGCTCCGACGATTGTTTCTCGGACAGTGTAATGGCCAAGTGCTGGTACTTGGCAAGGGCACGTGTGAGATTCCATCGCTTCTCACGGCTGCTTGCTAAGCGCGTAGATTGACTCTTCGGCGAAAGAAACTTACTGGGCGTGTTAGATGCTGTTGCTGTTGCTGTGCAGCAGACCTATCCATGGTAGTTTTTTTCAATGCATTTAGCTCCTTCTCGAATCGCTTGCACTCTGTGCATGTCACTGACTCGAGCACACGGTTCTCCATGGGAGCAGTCCGGCCCAGCTGGAACAACACTTTGCAGGTCATGGAATTGCATTGCTTCGACGGAAAGCCGCAACGATGTAGCTTGTGGGGAACGAATCTGACATGGTCTGCAAAAGACTCATCGTACGACAGAATTCCTGGGCAGAACTTGTAAGAGGATTTGTCATGGACTAACATACCCTTCGAATAGGGTACTAGTACATTAAGATTGTCGTCAGTGCATGTGCCACTTTCATGTATGCCTCCAGGCAGCACTTCAAACGTAAATACACCATTCTCGTTGACAATGAGGAGAGAGAGAGGGACGGGTGGCGACTCTGACGATAATTTGCCGGCTCGATGCGACCTGACTTCCGTGATAACTGCAAAGTCAGGAAGTTGCAGCGTTCCGATGCTTAGTTCTGAATACAAAGGTCCTACTTGAGGTATAAATTGTCTAACAATGACCTCATTCACAGACGACCACTCGGATCTTGAAGGAGAGAGCTTGGAAGGTGGCCCATCGTTACTGCTGTTACTAGCGATTTTCACTCATTCTCAACGCTCAATAGGACAGTATACGTATCGATTTCTGTATAACGATTTCTATTTTAACGACAGATTTCTCCTCGTTAACTCGTTAGAGTTAGCACTTCGTTATATCTATATATATGGCTTTTACAGTATTCAAGTTTGATTTTGCGTCGCAAAATTGCTATGCAAAAGACTGAAAGTAAATTATTCCCTGCTTGTAATGGTGTTGTTAGCCTTCGGCTATTGCTTAATAGCCCGTTTTGTTTCTGTTTGTTCGTAGGGATCGCTGAAGCGCACGCTGGAGAAAGTCCAGGCTCTGGGTGAGTTCAAAACATTTGTATGTTTTGAACCATGACACAATTCAGGCCAGGGTCGGCAGCTCGAATAGGGTACTCCTAGGTCCCAGAGTGCAGAGCGATGTCAAAGCTGTCTGATGATAGCTTAGTGCATGACACTTGAAGTTGCAACAGAAACAGCCTGTCATCTTTTGTCTGTGTGTGTGTGTGTGTGTGTGTGCGCGTGTGTGTGTGTGTGTGTGTGTGTGTGTGTGTGTGTGTGTGTGTGTGTGTGTGTGTGTGTGCGCGCGTGAATGGTGCAATCCCAGCACAAGCTGCTATGGCTTCTGCTGTAGCATCGCTATCATCGCCTCCGGCGATGGGCGTCCAAGGGTCCAAGGGGGTGTGCGCGCGTGTGTGTGTCAGTGTGTGTGTCCAGTTGGTGTGGCTGTTAAAAAAAATTGATAGTGTTTTTCATCGACCACTACAATAACAGCGCTCTCCTTCACTGACGTGAGTTTTATACTCGAAACAGCTGTATGAAGGATTTCAGTACCAACGGATGTGTCGCTTTGCTTATGGTGTGCTGTGGCAATGTGTCGAGGTCGGCTGGAGAGCACAGTTATGGTACGGTAGTTTTACAGCATTGTTTATTTTATATGAGTGTGTCGAGCACCCAGGTTGGTGGTGTTTTTTGTTTGTTTTTGTTTTTACCTTTTACCTCTATTATTTGTTGCAGAGGCAGAGGTAGAAGTCTTAGAGAATGATCTGAAGGAGGTAAATGATCGGCACGACAAGACTATGATTGATCGTCAAGTGGATCAAATTGAGATATCGGATCTGCGCAAGGAAGCGAATAAACTGAAGGTGAGCTTCTTCTTTTTGTTTGTAGTTGCACTATGTGCTGTTGAGTTTACTGAAGTAAAACGGGGAAATGGCAAATAAAGTGATCACATGCTGTGACTATGCAATCTGCAGTGTATCTGGCGCTGTGATCTGTGAGGGTGCTGGCATACTTCTGGGTGTAGAAATGTCAGTCTGGCTGAGTCTTTACTTGAGCCGGGAAGTGATCATTAGTTTCGTGTTGTACCTTGCTGCACAGAAAGCTGCAGACCGCGCGGATATGATGCACCAGAAGAATTTAGCTTTGGCTGAGCAGGTCCGGTCTCTAACAGTCCAGCTGGAGGCGTCTGAAAGGTTAGTTACTGGTGCTGTACATCGCAGCGCCCGAGCCTCTGGACAGTATCATAGCTGTGTGTGTGTGTGGGGGGGGGGGGGGGTATGCGTGTAGCTGTGTTGTTGTTAGATGGGTGGGAAGCCGAGTATTACGATAGTGATGGATAAGAATTGTTGCGACTGGTCATGTAGTGACAGCTGTGCTAGTTACATACAAGCTGTGGATGTGTGTTGATGTAGGCAAGTCCACTTCATGCAGTGTGTTGTGTATTGATGTGCTCTGTCTATATACAGCATGTCAACAGTGATAGAAGGTTCCGTGACGGACGTAGCCGAAGTCGTCAAGCAATACAAGAATTGCGAAAACAGCACCGAAGCTCTGGCTAAATTCCTTGTATCAACAAAAAAGTAAGCCTCAGGGCTATTGTCAAGTGAATTTAGTTCCGAGAATTCTTGTGTCTTCATCAGGATACTTGAGTACTTGTACCCGTATTTATCATCTGTGTCAGTACACTCAACCCAACCGTGTCCATGCCTCCAGGTAGGATGGCATTTGGGAAGAAAGCATGGTTTTACATGAATTGGATGGGTCAACTTTAAAAAAAATCAAGGTCTGGCCTTGGCCGGACTGGTTAGTACAACCATGATATCATACGTTCATGCATGCTGCACCGCCATTAGATTTGGTGTTCTCATTTGACACTAAGAAAGTGGTGGACGTCATGCTACTGCATCATAAAGAAAAGGGGGTTTGTCAACTGACAACCGCTCTATTCAGTTGCTATTCACAAGTTCTTATTTGATCTCTCGAATTGTCATAACACAGTCCAGTGCATTCCTTTGTCTTCTGTCGCTGTGCAGGGAATTTGAGCGCCTTAGAGCCAGTCACAAGGATGCATGTAACATGAAGGATCGGCAGGCAAAGATGCTGGCAGTGGAGAAGAGCAAGGTTAGATTAGCGGAAAAAACAACTTCCCAGTCTGTTATATGGAAGGTCGTTATATCCAGGCTCCTGGATGTCCTATTTGTTTGAGCGAACGCCTGGTTATCAATTTCATATGGGTCCCTGGAACATTTCCTCTATGGTGCAGATCCCATGACCTGAGAAAGGCCAGGATTGGCTTCCAGCGGGAACGTTTTTGGGGCATGATTTATTTGCACGCTTCATGGCCTACAAGGCAATACATGCTGAGCTACATGTAGAGGGGATCAGTGGTCATGTTGAGCTGGAGTGTCTAAAAGTACAAACCGGCTTCTCAATGAGTACTGTTGCTTGTACATGTACACTATAGTTCTACAGAATTTCAGAAAACATCTTTTTTGCTAGAAAGTCTGACTTTGTCCATGGCTTGTGAGTACATGTAAGTCACGACCGTTGGAGCGTGAACAAGGTCTGTGGGTGCTCATAGGGATCTTGCAAGCCCCCGGTTTGCATGGTTACATTGGTATCATCGTCTTGCTGCGTTATCTGCTTATTGACTCAGATGGAGAGCCAATGTTTAATTAATTATACAAAAGAGAAAGACCAAGGAACTACAAGTTACGCTATACTGTCCACTAACACCACCAGTTACTAAAAAATCAGCTCATGCGATAACATTGCACGGCACTGACCGACGGTACTGACGTTCTACAACTAGCTGGCTAACAGCTCTAGCACATCTTGGATGCGCACTCCAACAGCCTTCCAACTTGGAAGGTTCTAAGTTATAGAAATAACATAAGGAGAGGAAGGTGAGGGCAACCAAGATAAGCATGAGCTGAAAGTCTCAGCTGTGAAGGACGTTGGCGGATGTTCATGCATGTCGATGACGATCCTGGCAAGACCATTGGACAATACGGTCAAACCACGATTCAAGAACTCAAAGCTTATTGACCTTTTTTTTGCATCTGATCTGTTCATGACAGGTTATTGAGTGTCAGAGAAAACTCAAAGAGTCGCATGCCATTCGCGAGAGCCTCGAGGGAGAAGTCCGCTCTCTGGAGGGGGAAAAGGATGTAAGTCTATCACGGGTGTCCTGAATGCCGCTCTGCATGATTGTATTGTTTGTGAAATACAGGTTAGAGTGCTGCTTGTGCATTGCAGTGTGTGCGTGTGCTTTGCTATGACCAGGCTATGGGAATGTGTGTACCTCTGACTCTGATCAGCTGAGCACACTGCTGAACAGTTCTTGAATCTGGCCCTGGCATTGTACCTATTCACTGCAGGTGTTGAGCGCTCGACTGGATAAACTGGCAAACAAGCTTATCAGCATGGACTCTGGCCTCAAGTCAGCGACAAAGCGTAAACGGTATGCTTCTCGGGGTGGTGGTACAACGATGTAAACATTCTACGTGCCATGTGTCTTGCCATAGTCCATACTGTATGTCCTCTACTTGATCAGAAATGCATGATGCATATACTGTAGCATGTAACACCACTGTCTAGTATTGCTGCTATCTCCCAATTGTCAATGTTTCTTCAGTGGTGGATTGCTAGCACATAACCGTTAATGTGCTATCTTGTCTTTCTCCCTGTTGTATGTGCAGGCCAACGTCTGTTGACCCAGGGCCAGTGTCTCCTGAGCTGATTCCTTCCCAGTCAGTCTCATTTGGTCCAACTTCACCTCTCGATGATGACTTCGAACACGAGTCATCTCCACCACCCAAGAAGCCTATGTCCAAAACTTCATCCGCGACCTCCGTCTACGATCAGAATGATCCTCATAGCAAGAAAGGATCATCCTTTAGAGACGGCGTGCAAAGGTAATAATTATAAGTTATACCAAGAGTACATTAACCCAGGCCCTAGCGCATTCTAGGTTCGGCCTGGCCTCGCAGCTCAGATGGTTAGAGCATTGCTCATGACAAACAAGGTCCCGGGTTCGAGTCCTTGGTGGGTCTAGCATTTTTTTCTCTTTTCAGGCAGTTCACTTCCTCGACTGATCTTTAGAAATTGTAGTAGAAAAATTAAATTGTAGTAGAAAGTCTTCAGTGTACAATCATCTGCTAGCTAGTCCTGATTGTTGTAATTCGTATTCCGACTCTTGTTTCACTGTATTGTGCCATGGTCGTCATGTTTATGGACTACAGTTAAAAGTTTTGGAAGCCATTAATATTTATCAGCGTTTGTACCAACCTGATTTGTGTGTACAGAAGGATAGTATAATTAGGTTGAAATTGTTCAAGTAACGTGTCGTGTTTGGTGTGGCCAAGCTTGGCCCTTAGTGTTCTAGGTGAAATGTACTGCTGTTATGTATTATCACTTTGTCCTCCTCTCTTTCTCTTGTTTTTTTTTCATTTGCAAGTTAACTGTTAGCACATGCATTTGTGATTGCTCTCGCTTTCATTGTTAAAATTCGCACTTGTATATTCCAATGCTATTGTTATTGGTGTTATTTCTCTCAACTTACGTTTTCTATAGTCGTTCAATTGTGTTTCAGTGTCCTTTAGTACAACAACGATTCCTGATGAGTGTCGTACGAAAACTTGTTCGAATCTTAATTGTTCCCTCCACTATTTCTTCCTGCTTTCATCGTTTTATTTAAACTCGGATGTTGAGCCAATATCATGAGTAAAGAGAAAAGACCAATAAGTTACTAGTTATGACTAACAGTCCACCACGGTAGCGAAATCTCATCGTTTTATTGCACATATTCTCCACCGTTTTACATTGCATGAATAAAGTATAAACAAATATCGATTCAGCTTGTCTTGTTGATTGCGGTTATCAAATTGTTGTCTCCTCGCCGTTTGTACAGTATTTGGTTGCTTTTCTGTTGTGTCCCTTTCAGCTCTGACCGAGTACGCGGTGACGAAGAAGACGTGTGCCCGGATGTGCTGGCGTGTGGAAAGGTAATTGTTTCACTGGTCTAGTCTCTTGTACTCCTGATACTAGGTGGCCAGTAGCTGTAGACGCAATTGTCAAACCACGCACGGCACAACCCGTGCTGCCCGGATGGGAGCTGTTCTGCAGTGACTCTTTGGATTAAGGGGGTGGGGGGGAGGGGGATATGTCATGAATGATGCACCGCTTCACAGCTGTACAGCTGATGCACATCAGAAAGCGCAGAAGACAAGCATGTAAAGCGGATACTTGGCAGCAATCTTCTAGCCAAGATAAAATCTGTGTATTAAAATGTGTAGAAAACGTTCTGGACACATAACTACTTTGGTTGCAATGTTTGTGATAATTATGACCGCGCCTTTATTTTAAAATGCCATATTGTTGTTACATCTATCTTGACAAGTAAGGTTGTTTCTCCGCGGTACATTTCTTTAACGGTTAATAACCCCATAAGACCCTTCTGGCATACATAATGTGCTTCATACTAATCTTGTTTGGTACCGGCAGTCGGTCTATTGCTGCTGGTTGTACTCGGCATGAGGAAGTGATCATCGCGCCCTTGGCTCTTGTATTTCCGTCGTTTGAACCCGACCCACCACCTTGAAACATGGCATTTGTAATGAAGAATGAGAGCACAGGACATGCAATGCTTCCCTGGAGAATGTTTAGTTAGTAAAATATGAATGGAAATGCATTGCTGTAACAAGGTGTAGCTATTTAAAAATACTTTTACTGATTCTGAACTACCACTTGATTCAACTGCCACATCTCCTGTTCTCTTGACCTGTTCAGGTGGACAGTGCTGCTGCCTTGCCCGTCAAGAGCATAGGTAAGAATCGTACTAGCTTTGTGTGTGTGTGTGTGTGTGTGTGTGTGTGTGTGTGTGTGTGTGTGTGTGCGCGCGCGTGTGTGTGTGTGTGTGTGTGTGTGTGTGTGTGTCATGACATCGCACTTTGAAGTGCATCTTACATTTTCCTTATGCGCACTTCCATGTTGCTGCTTCATTTCCCTACACGTCTTGGTGTGTGTGCGCGCGCGCGTGTGTGTATGTGTGTTCAGACTCAGCGCACATGCAAGCTCTTCTCGTAAAGTCACATACGTCCGCACAGGTAAGGTTATTTGTGTTCACCTCCTTACACAGTGATTGGGTTGTACAGGTTGTCCCTTGTTAATACATAATCTCTGGGACTTGACAAATGTTATGTATTAACGGGGTTTATGTACTAAACGAAAGTGTACATAACTTGCTTGTGTACCAGAATTTTTCACTTTTTTCTACTTTTCTGAGTGTTTCTTGCTACCATGACTAGGCAGCGAGATATTCTTGATTCCCTCGATATAACATAAAAATTATGTTATACCGGTCACAGTTAGCTCAGATTCTACAGTTTGCATGATACATGCCCAACCGCGCCTGTATAGTCTGTCCCCGGGGAAAATTGCGGAAAAAAATCGCAAAAACGCGGCATAATATGGCATAATTTGCGGTGAATTTGCGGTAAATATGCGGTGAATAATATTGATGTGCGGCAATTTTCAGTGAGTATGTAGTGAAATCAATCAGTTCCAAGTCTCTGGTGTAAGCACTCGTCATACTTGAGTAAAAAGCCGCCACGATGAGACGTTGCTGACCGAACAGTGCACTGTGTGTACGTGTAGTGCAACAAAAAAGTTCAAAAAACGCGGGGAAAATCGCGGAAAACACGGTCTTTTGAAAAATCACAAAAACGCGGGAAAAAACGCGGCCGCGGAATCGCAATTTTCCCCGGGGACAGTATAGTCACTCGAAAAAAACAGAGCTTTGTCGGTTTGTGATTTGCGCTCTGATTTCTGAGCTAATTGCGTCCACAAGTAGAAACTAGAACACGATGTGCCTCCACTGGAAGGCCAAAAGACCAACAAATTATGTACTATTGAGGTAGGTGGCATGCGGGTACGGAGAAATGTTATGTACAGTCAACTTCGCTTATAACGACACTCTGCGAGGCATCAGAAAAGTGTCCTTATTCGCGAAGTGTCGTTATACCCGAAGTCTCATTATATGTGCTCTGGGCATGAAACTTATGTCGTTATTCGCGAATTGTCGTTATATCCGCAGTCGTTATTAGCGAAGTTGACTGTACTAACGAATTATGTACTAACCGACAAAATTTGTATGGAAGTGACCATGTTTCGTCCGGGACTTGAGATTTCTTATGTACTAACGGGGTGTATGTACTAACCGGACTCGTATTAATGGGGGACGACCTGTATCTGCATCGTGTGTACACATGTAGAGTAGAACCCGGGTTAAGGGTCCACCTAACTCTGCGCGGACATAGCTGGACTCAGGTGTACAGGGATGGGCAAAAAGATGTGCAAAACGACTTCTTGTGAGTAGATGGACCCCGGAAAAATAGTTTGGAGCGAAAAAAAGTTACGGCTTCCTCGGAAACCGACGGGGGACCCCCCCTTGGGCCGGAAATTAAATCCCGGTATAAGGATCACCCGCACAATATACATGCCAAGTGACCCCCCCCCCCCCCCCCCGGCTCCGAAGGATCACCCGCACCATGTACATGTACGTGCCAAGTGACCCTTAACCCGGGTTCTACTCTACCACTTTCCACAACGAAATTTAGGAACCCGCTCTCTTCCTTTTGAAGCCTACATGCCAACTGGTTGGAGCGGGAGACTGAGCCAATAAGTGTATGTGTCGTCGACTTGTAGCTTGACCCTATTGTGCAATGGTCGTAGTGATAATGTTTTCTCACAGCTTGTAATACATTGCTCTCTCATAGCGTGTGCATCATTGTTCTCTCTCCATCAATGTTTGGCAAGGCTTTTGGCATTAGAGTCCCTACCATACGTGCATTTTATGTCCAGTGTTGTCATTGTCAGAAAAACAACATGCAGCTGCTCCCGGTAGCCATCTTGTACCGCTGAGTGTTATTTATGCTAGCCTTTTCCTTGGCTTCTTTATCCAAGTCTTCTGAAGTACAGCCTCTTACACGTTCACGTAAATGCAAGTGTGGATAATGCTGAAAGACGGCAGATTGTCAAATTATTCGTACCGGTATGCTGTGCGAAACAAGCCTCATTCGAGTAATTGCACTCCGGTTTTTGGCAAAGGGTAGACAGTGGGTCTTTCCTGTTTCTTTTGACATCACAAAGAGTGCAAATGCGGCACAAAATGAGTGCGTTACGGCTTCTTGGAAAAAATAGCAAAATTCCAACAACTTGTGAACACATGTGGATGGATTATGCGGTCAGTGGCACTCTTGTTTCTTTTTTTGTGCATATTATACATGCCAGATGTCGACCATACGGAAAGGCTACAATGGCTTCGGCGGCCAGAGCAAATTTCATATGCCTGTATCCACACTGATCTCTTTTTCTTCCCACCTGTGTGTGCATTGCCATCTTTCCCCCGGGTCATTCTGGTGCAGTCCAGCTGTAGCCAGAGAAATTTCATTCCTGGCTATGGGATATGCATGAATGGGCCATAGCACTCTACGTACCGTATTTCCGCGCATATAAAGCCATGACGTTATAGGTGAAACATCGCTGTTTTGGACCAAATATTTGGAGAAAACCGCCTCGGTTTTAACGCCATGGCGCTAAAAGTGAGAGACGCGTACATGCCAAAAAATGCCCAATGTAAACTTGTGTGAAGGTGTGGTGGCGGTATGGCATGCGACAGTGGGGATGGGTACATGGCTACATGCAGAGAGAATCACCGCTACTGTAGGTTTGCTGAAAGAATTGAAACTCGCCTTTAACGCCAGATGCAACTTCCTCCACATTGAGTTTTGTTCACTTATAACGCCATGGCGTTATAAGTGAGCGTGGCCTTATATTCGGATATAATGCCATGGCTTTATATGCACGGAAATACGGTAGTAGGGCTTGTATCTGCTGGTATTGGACACTGTCTAACAATGAACTGCCTTACTTGTGCAGCAACTATGCCTGTTGCTTTCTCCGCACTGTGCATAGTTTAGGAAAGGTGAATGTTTGATGATTTGTCTCGCTTGTGCTAAGGTACAGGTGTTTCACAGCTGTATCAACGAATCCTCTGCTCACGAATGCTTTTCATGTCTGGGGGATATTTGAAGTACAGCTGGGGGCTAGAAGCTGGGTACAGTCTCTCCTCGGCCTCCCGTGTCACATTGTGGTGAATATGGAGTGCGTGTTGTGGCAAATATGGAGTGGGCGTTGTGGGAGATATGGAGTGGGCATTCTGCAAGGTCTTACGCAGAACGACGCACACCTTTTCGGCGCCTGGGTTTGGTGTAGCTAGCATGCCACTAGACATGCACAGAGTGCCTCTATTCCAGTGTATGCACAGAGTGCCTCTATTCCAGTGTATGCACAGAGTGCCTCCGCTATCCCAGTGTATGCACAGAGTGCCTCTATCCCAGTGTTTGCACATAGTCACCGTATCATAGTGCCTCTATTCCAGTGTATGCACATAGTGCCTCTATTCCAGTGTTTGAAAGCAGCACACTGTGACAGTGAAGAGTGGAGCTAAAACATGTGCTGCAACTTTGCAAGTAAAACTGACTCCTTGACTCAGCAATTTCCAGCTGGCGGCCAAAGATTCCAGTGCCAAATCATCGCTAAAGTTTGGACAGAAGGTGCTGTCGCGGCCTAAGGCACCTACAGCAGGACCAACGGGCACCAGTGCATCAGTGAAGAGAAGCTATAAGGAGAATGCACCACCGCTGCCCAATCTTTTCCTGAAGAAATGAAGGCTTATGAAGCTGTGTTGACGACCTAACGGTAACACATAGGATAACATTGCATGTAATCTTCATTAATTTCCATTCTGTGCTTCTTGAATATCCAATTTATCTGTTATTTGCAGCTGGCTGTGAACATAGCAAATGCTACACATAGTGCCTTGTATTATTTTGTTTCTCTAATTTTGAACCACTTGAGACAACGGCTCCTGATCTACACCTGTGTGTCTGGCAAAGTGCCTTTCACTGTTTGGCGCTGGTCTGCTATATAGCCGGAAGACCAGCCTTTGTCCATGATTGCTTGTTGTTTCCGGCTGGATAACGTTTATGAATGGTGTACTTTACCACTGGATACTGTGAAGGGTGACTGAGTTCTATTGAGTCCTCAGCTATCAAGAGCTGGTGAGTAGAACACTAAGCGATCGCAGTATCCCCCCCCCCCCCGCCCTACTGGACACCGGGGAGTACTAAACACCTAGTAGTAGTAGTACTCCCTGCTAAACCTAGTACATGTACATGTACTCCCAGCTGGACACATGCACCTATGGCTATGGATTCTCAGGATAATGTTTAGGCGCTGCATTCTGACAAGCAACGGAACATCAGAACATGTAAACTTTCTGGGAACAGAATTGAATTCGGAACTAGAAAGTGCCAGTCATCAGGAAGCGCGGGGTACACTGAAAGGAACATAAACACAGTGATATGACGGACATACCCATAATAACTGGTAGAGAGAACACGGCGGTACTTCAATTCAATTCAATGCGCAGCTTGAAATAGATACCGGAAGGTGCTAAACTTTTTGAACCAATTTAAATCATGCCTATAAGTCCGCTATAAGGTCAATCAACTTCAATGGAGTGTGGGCATCGAAAGCAAACTGGTCATCAAATACTTCAAAGAACAGCTGTACTAAGACGGTTCCTGATTTTTACAGGCAGTAACATTAGGGTGGTTATTGCAACAACTAGTCCTAGTTTCCCATCCGTCGTTCCTCGTGCACCATCTCATCCAAACCGTGCATGAACGCTTTGGCAAGGGTTTCCCGGAAGTCGCTGTACCACTTGACAATGCGGCGTCTCCTGCCGATGACCTGCTCGAGGCTTAGCAGGTTCTCCTTTCTAATCAGCTCGGGCAGGTCTGACCAGGAATTGATGTAGATCACCGGCGCGTGCAGACTTTTCAACAAACGATACGGGCCAGCTATCTCCTCAGCCAGTGACATCATGGATAGACCTGCAGGCAATAGCTTGCTGTTGGCCACTGAGGACTGACAGGTTCCGGTTGGATCAGCCAACTCCAAGACAGGGACGGAGCCCATGGCCATTGCCTCGTAGATACGATAGCTCTCTGCGTTCTTGCCGGTGGGGCACAGCGTCAGGTCGCTGCTTCGCAGAGCATGCTGATACGTCTCCATGCTGTCCACCTTTTCGTGCGCTACCCACCTTCATTGGGAACACAGACACACACACACACACACACACACACACACACACGCACATACACATACACACAGCATACATCCAGCACGTAGTGTGCGTGTTGAAGTTGCTCATTGCCAGAAACGGGTGACATGGGTCTCCCCGGAAGAGGGGGTAGGTTGAATTTAAAAGCAATGTTGAAAACCTGATCCTGAAAAGTGTATACAAACCCGGCAACATTCCACTTCCAGGGTGTCACTGTCAGGGGCCACACTGAGTCCTGGGTGCCGAGTGTGCTGTGTTGGGGTCGGATTTCACCCAGTTAATTTTAAAAGTGTACATGAAAGTATGATCCGTTCGAGCACACATCATCCATCCTAACACCAACATTCGTGTAACCACAAACCAGATAACAGCTCCTCTCAGCAGTAGTGTAAACCAGCTCATGATCCATATGTCACACAAGCCATGCTGTTCCAGCTCCGACCACCGGGTGTTAAGCCGAGGCAATCGGGGTTCTAGCCAGGTCAAAATAGTAGGGGGTTGGGCATGGGAAACAGTTACCCTATATCCCATTTTTCCACTTTCCAATATTGTCTTGCCACGCCAAATGCAACGTATGGGGCGAATCCCTGACTTCACCCCAGACAAATGTGCCTTTATGAACCATCTATGCATGAAAAACACAAAAATCGGAAAATGAGTAGGGGCGGCAATTTTTCACAGGGGGTGCGCAAACAGAGTAGGGGGGCGCTGCGCCCCCCTACCCCCCTTTGGCTAGAACCCTGGCAATGATCCCAATGACTTCATGACTTTGCCAGCTGCACAATCTACTAAGTTAGTATCAACAACTATGGCAACAGTAGCAGCAGCAACAACAACAGCAAAATTCACGGTTCGCGTGAGACTCGGCTGGAGGCCAAGTTTTCCACATCCGCAGGAACGCCACCACCCTCTAAGATCAAGGCAGGAACGCCAGTCCCACCACCCTCTAAGATCAAGGCAAGAACGCCACCACCCTCTATGGGTCAAGGCAGGAATGCCACCACTCTCTATGATCAAGGCAGGAATGCCACCACCCTCTAAGATCAAGGCAGGAATGCCACCACCCTCTAAGATCAAGGCAGGAACGCCACCACCCTCTAAGATCAAGGCAAGAACGCCACCACCCTCTATGGGTCAAGGCAGGAATGCCACCACTCTCTATGATCAAGGCAGGAATGCCACCACCCTCTAAGATCAAGGCAGGAACGCCACCACCCTCTAAGATCAAGGCAGGAATGCCACCACCCTCTAAGATCAAGGCAGGAACGCCGCCACCCTCTAAGATCAAGGCAGGAACGCCACCACCCTCTAAGATCAAGGCAGGAACGCCACCACCCTCTAAGATCAAGGCAAGAACGCCACCACCCTCTATGGGTCAAGGCAGGAATGCCACCACTCTCTATGATCAAGGCAGGAATGCCACCACCCTCTAAGATCAAGGCAGGAACGCCACCACCCTCTAGGATCAAGGCAGGAACACCACCACCCTCTAGGATCAAGGCGCAGATGGAGCTCCTAAGCGGTGGGAGGCGAGCAGATCAGACCCACTACAAAGTGGTCAAAGACCGAAAATCCCATTCACTGCATCCATGTTCTCCTCGTGCCAGGCCACGAGTTCCCAATTAGCGGTGGGTTGCAGCACGGCTGGAAATAATTCTTCCGCTTCCAAGCAGGACTTCAACCTGGTACCCTCTGTTTCTCAATCATGGTCTTAAACCATCCCACTATGCCTGCTGCCTGCAACAACAACAACAACTGAAAACCAGACTCACTCTGTCCGAATTTTGACGAAGCAGTTTCGTTGGTCTACATTGATGTCCTCCAGTATCTTTGGCAGTGCAAGTCGTGTTGAGCCTTGATAGACAGTTCCCAGGAAGTTGCACCTGTACGGACGTGGGTGCACAAGTGATTCACTGGATATGCTGGACGAGGGGAAGTTTCTGTACCTGCAGGCAGGAAAGACACCAGTGCAGGAAACCTGTCAAGGAAATAGTGTCTGTGATAAGAACGCTACGGGCCCAGAGAATTACTGGAGCTGAGACCAAGGCATATTATGTCGGACAGTCGGAGTCCAGTCGAGTGGTGTCCTGGATAATAAGACCAATACGGCAGACAGGGACCGTGTAATGTAGTTCCCTTGGATACTGCCTACACAATACATTGGGCGCATTCTGGACAAAGGTTTGAGAATTTAGTTCAATTAACAACAAATGACCAGAATGAGCGGGTTCGGACTATGTGAACAAATACTTAAAGAGCTAGTATCCACAATGACTCTTCACACAAGCATAGTATAAGCCGCGATGATGTAGTCTAAGACACTAGTCTTATACCTGTAGCTGGTTACGGTGTTGAGAGAACATACGCCATACGCATAGATTCAGCAGCAGAAGCAACAACAACAACAGTGAATATGTTTGTACTGACGTTGCGACACCGAGTGGCCACTGGTAGAACCGCCGGCCATCCACCAGGTTGTAGTCGTATGTCATCCACACTGCACTGATCTTTTTATCAATGTCTGGCAAGCTGGAGAGGTGTGACAGCAACCATCTATCCTCGCACTCCTCACTGCCAATCAGCAGCAGGCCAACTTTCTTCAACTGTGACAAAGCCTGGATCTGTTCAAGGCCGCAATACACACACATTATACTAGTTACATCATCACAGTGCACATACAAAAAGAAAGAACGAAAGTCTAGCCATTCCAAACAAAATTATCACAGTATGATAATCCGTTTGAGTGGAAATCGGAAATGGAAGAACTAACTTCCCCCGCTCATTGTTCGCAACGACATCCACACAAGTAAGACTTATGAATTATGTAGTGTAGTTAGGATTCATGCAGTGATGTGTACATGTATGTGTGTAGCTGACTATGAGACTGAGGTGTGCTCAACACCGTGACAACAGTCACTGTACTAACAGTATTGACAGTATTTACATTAAAACAAACAGACTACATGTAGTACAAGTATAGTACCATGAAACCTTGTTAAGAAGAACGCTGATAAGACAAACTTTCGCTTTAGAAGAACCTGCATTCATAACTTTATTGGATAAAACACTGTGTATTCAATGCGTATAAAAATATGGATAGGAAGAACTCCCGTTATTATGAACAAATACCATCGGTTCCTTGGTGTTCGTCCTAAAGAGGTTTGACTGTACATGTGCTAGCAAAGTGCATGCACATACACGGGTACATGTACCTGTTGTAGCCATACGAAAAGAGTTGATCTGACTGCTTCTGAGCGTCCATTCAGTGCCAGTACCAAATACTCAGTGTCTGGCTTGATGTACTCCGGCGCGAGACCTTTGCCATGTGTAAATCTGCATCAACCAAGTTATGAGCATACCCAGGTGACTATTGTAACTCTCAAAAATGGCGTGTTCTAGAAGATGTTCTAGCAAGTGGCAACATAAAGTATAAAGCAGGATTCAAAGAAGCATTTTTGCGATGCGACACGAGATGCAACGGCCACGAAACCGGGAGATCCCCAAATCGCAGCCAACTTGCACCCCACGCAACTGCCGCAACTGGGCCATTGCAGAAGTTGAGCTTGGCTCAACTTTTGCAATGCGACAAGCGATTTGGTGTACGGTTTTGACCTTTTCTACAGCAAAGTTGTACAAAGGTTCAAGAGTTGCCTGTAAATTTGTACAAGTTGTACCAAACCGCGCGAATACCATGGTGATGTACCCACCTGCATTGAACTTTGCGTCAAATCAGCAAGGCGTTGTCGCATCGCTGACTTCTTCTATGAATGGTATTTCGCGAGTTCGCATCGCACTCCTCCATCGTAGATCGCGTCGCCCATCGCATCGCAAAAAGGCTTCTGTGAATCGCGCTTTATACACCCTGCATGTGTATGTGTGTGCGTGTGTGTGTGTAGACGCACTGTTGGTTTCTGAAAGTTGAATGATGAACAAAGGATTCGTGTTTATGTAAAGTACACACACCGCAAGGGGAGAGGAAGGTTCGTTGAAGTTTCATACTGTTCTTTCCTAGGGCAAAGTGTAATACCTTCAGAAAAATAACGACTTCCGGGTCAAGAGAGGTCAACTGATTGTGTGGACCTCTTGACGTGATCACTTTCAAGTCCTATACGGAGTGTTCATCTGACGATGCCTAAGGGGTCGTCGCGAATGTTTCATGTTTGTCCTTGAAACACATATCATAATTCATAGAGTTTGTGCATCATCCCACTCTCACAGGGCCTACCCAAATGAAGGACAGATAGTACCCTGGGCAACACTTCTCCAGCGTATACTCACCATTCGTGCTTTTTCATATTTATGAGGTTGTCCGATCTATAATTTTCGGCCAGACCCCCTCCCCCCCCCCCCCCCATGTACATGTATGTGTGTTTTAGAGACAACACTTTTATTTCGCTCATATCTCTTACCTTATGTTCCACGAACCAAACTCCTTTTCACCGACAGACAGTCGTCCACCAGCAGATGATGTCAGCGTCCCCTTGAGAATGTGCAGCCACAAGTAGACACCTGCACACAGGCAAGTCCAACGGCCCATGATTAGCACGGACAATTTCGAGTACATGTACGGAGCATTGGTGTACACCATGTTCACTGGAGGAACTGTTGAGTGGAATGCTGCGATGATATACGCACTCAGAGGCGAGCACACATTTTCGAGCTCGTAAGTGTTTGGGAATTTCTCAGACAATCCAGCTGGTATCATGCCAGACTGAAGGTAAGGTACACGTACATGTGTGTAAGAGTAACAGTAGTGCATGTACATGTAGGTGTAGGTGTAGGTGTAGGTGTAGGTGTAGGTGTAGGTGTAGGTGCAGGTGCAGGTGCAGGTGCAGGTGCAGGTGCAGGTGCAGGTGCAGGTGCAGGTGCAGGTGTAGGTGTAGGAAAGCCAACGGCCGGTTAGGTAGGGTTGCATCGACCAGGGAGAGGACCGGCAATACGTGCCTCATGATTCCTGGGGAAGCTGCCGAACATGCTCTGCATGCTCTGCAGACCTTTTCAAATTTTGGACCGGCGTTGACGACACAACAGCGAGAGTACAGTGATTTGCCAGTAATCCTTCTGATGAGATGGCCACGAAAACGTTCTAGGAACAAGATACTATACATGAAAACAAGTGTTGCTAATGGTGTTTGTACTGAGTGCGCAGCTTACTCTATTTATTGCGTTAATTATTATTTTAACTGGTTTGAGGGAAATTATTATTATTATTATTGATCTAAAAGCCTCTTTTACGGGCAACAAAACACAATTTGCCAAGATGAAGGATGTTAACACAAATGAAGAGAATAATTGTATGAAGAAGAAAAAATGTTGTTGTTGTTGTTGTTGTTGTTGTTGTTGTTGTTGTTGTTGCTGCATTGAGGTCAGCATCACTGTTGCTCCTGCTGTTGCAGTCGTTTGTTCCTGCTGTGCATGTCGCCAGACCATCATTGTTTCTTTTGTTCATGATACATTTAATATGATAACCGCAATCAATAAAATGAGCTGAACCGACATTAAATGTCGGTTCAGTGTACTTTATTCATTATTTTTTGTGTACTTTATTCATGCAATGTAAAAACGTGTCGTGTTTGGTGCGGTCAAGCTTGGCCGTTATTATAAATGCTCCAGGTGAAATGTACTGCTGTTATGTGTTATCACTTTGTCCTTCCTTCTTTCTTTCTCTAGTTTGTTCATTTTTCCATTTGCAAGTTTATTGTTAGCACACGCATTCGTTATTGCTCTCGCTTTGGTTGTTAAAATTCACACTTGGAAATTTCACTGCTGTTGTTCTTAGTGATATTTCTCTAACTTAGATTTTTAGTAGGGCTGAGTCGGGTAGCATTTTCTTCGGGTTTCGGGTTCGGATAGTTTTCCACGGGTAGCACGGGTACCCGAGTTCGGATAGTTTTCCACGGGTAGCACGGGTACCCGAGTTCGGATAGTTTTCCACGGGTAGCACGGGTACCCGATCGGGTAATGTTTCCATGGTAACACCACAATGCACCCCTTCCCTTACACACTGGGTAGACATGCGGAGTATTACATGAATTTGTAGACATGCACTGTACTTGATGTCTTCTGGGACTTCGGGTTTTCGGGTACTATTCTCTACCCGTCTACCCGAGGTCCTCACGGGTAGCACGGGTACCCGACTACCCGTGCACACCACTAATTTTTAGCACACGCATTCGTTATTGCCTCCTCCGCTGAGTCTGCTATGTAACTTAGATTTTCTATAATAATTCAATTTTGTTTCAGTGTCCTTAAGGCTTTAGTACAACGACGTGTTGTACGAAAACTTGTTTGAATCCATATTTTTTCTCTACACCATTTGAAACTCAGGTATTGAGCCAATAATAAAAGTAGAAAGGAAAAGGACATATGGAAACACTGTCGGTTAGCGCTACGGAGATGTGTTGAAGCTAGGTGTCAGGACGTTGAATGTCTCAGTACTCTGTCAGTTGTGTGCCTAGTTGTTGCACTTTCTGACTGTATATAGTATCTAGTTACAGTGGTGGAGAGTTACTCTTAACTCGTTTCCGTATGTCCTTTTCCTTTCTACACCATTTCTTCATATTTTCATCGTTTTATTGCACATCGTCTCCACTGTTTTTACATTGCATGAATAAAGTACACAAAATGTCGGTTCAGCTCATTTTATTGATTGCAGTTATCAAATTATTGTCTCCTCACCGTTTGTTTAAACTACATTTAATACCATTTATTACTTTGGGTTTGCTCTATTTATAACTATTGTTAGTCTCGAGCACTTTGACTACAGCAGCGAATTGGATGGCACGCTAACACAAAATTCTTAAAACAACGGAAACATTCCCTAGCCCCTAAACATAGTGCATTTGTGGTAGATTATGCAATTCTTCAATTCTTCAATTCTTTGCTTGATTTCTTTTCACTCAGTACTCAAACCCAGGTTTCTTAATCCTAGGCCAACAAACCTGCACTTGTGAGAGACCAGATTTCCACAGAGTGTTTTCTGGATTGTCCTTTCTCCCTCTTTCCCCGATGAAACTGAGGATCTTCTACAAAGCAGCCAAAAGAGGTCAAAAAATGCACAGATCATGAGCTATCAAGATCATGGTACAGTAAACACATGCTAGTGGTGTTTGGTTGATAATTTACACTTACACTTACTAGTCTTTACAGCCACGTGTGCACGTATGTGTGTGTGTGTGTGTGTGTGTGTGTGTGTGTGTGTGTGTGTGTGTGTGTGTGTGTGTGTGTGTGTGTGTGTGTGTGTGTGTGCAGAGCAAATTTCAACACCAGATCAATGCTAACATACAGCCGCTGTGTGACCGCTCATTCTGTGATGACTTGGACCCGGAGGAGGATTGGGCCACAATTCGCCAAGTGATGCTTGAAGCTGCCGAGAAATCGGTTGGTCATGACCGCAGAGCACAACAGGATTGGTTTGTTGCGGCCAGTCACACCATCCAACCGCTCATTGACCAGAAAAACTTCGCCCACAATCTATTTCTGAAGTCCCCTTCAGAGCAACACTGTTGTGCGTTTCGTGCTTCTCAGCGAGCAGTCAGAGATGCGGTTCAACTTGCCAAGGAGAACTGGATCTCCGATCTGGCGGCCCGCGCTGAAGATGCTGTCCATAATGGTCGAGCCCGTTGGGGTTGCATCCGTGCCCTGTCTTCAGTGTTTGCCGGTCGTAAAGCAATACCATCAACTTCTATCGTTGACGAGGAAGGGAATGCGCTAGTGTCACCCGCTGCTGTAACGGCACGTTGGGGACGACATTTCAGTGGTCTTTTTAACGTTGCGGGAACATTTAATGATGAGACGGTGGAAGCCGTGCCACAGCGTCAGGTCCGAAATGACCTAGACAAACCGCCGACCCTGGGTGAGCTAACTGCAGCCATAAAGCATATGAAGCTTGGAAAGGCGAGTGGGTCAACATGCATATTGCCTGAGATGGTTGCGTGTGGAGGCGAGAACCTTCACATATGCTTGCTAAATGTCATGGTTGCTGTGTGGCACAGTGGAGATGTGGTGAATGATTGGCGAGATGCTGAGATTGTCCCTGTTCCGAAAAAGGGCAATCTCAGACTTTGTGACAACTGGCGCGGCATCAGCTTGCTGGACATTGTTGGCAAACTATTTGCCCGTGTGATACAGGATAGAGTGCAGATGATTGCCGAGGATGTGCTACCAGACTCCCAATGTTGTTTCCGCAAAGGGAGAGGTTGCAATGACATGGTGTTTGTAGCCCGCCAGCTCATCGAGAAGTCCGTTGAGCACGATGATCAGTTGTGTGTTCTGTTCGTAGACCTTCGTAAGGCATACGATTCCATCCCCCGAACGTCCCTCTGGTCAATACTAAGCAAACTTGGTGTGCCCCCGAAAATGCTGAAGGTCATACAGTCCCTGCATGAGGGAATGTCGGCAGCCGTGCGAGTGTCTACAGCTGCTTTGGATTCCTTCCCAGTCAACAATGGTTTGAGGCACCCTTGCGCCTGTGTTGTTCAATCTGTATTTTGCCGTGGTGATGGATGCATGGCGTTCTACTTGCAAATGTGCCGGTATCCCAGTCTCGTACAAAATCGGCCGTAAGCTTGTTGGCGACCGGACTGCCAAGAGTCGTTTGTCTCAATGCACTATAACCGAGTCTCAGTTTGCGGATGACGCCGCGCTGTACACCCATTCAGTAACGGACATGGATGCTGCTGCCGCTTTGTTCGTGACCGTCGCTACCCAGTTCGGCCTCACTGTCAGTTTTGGTAAAACGAAGTGCATGGTCATCAGTGCTGATCCCCCTCCGACTGGATGCTTGACGTTGGCAGATGGCGACATCGAAATCGTGAACGAATTTACATACCTCGGTAGCTGTATTACTAATGATGGCCAGTTGTCAGTTGAGGTTTCTTCCCGTCTTGCCAAGGCCTCCCGGTCTTTTGGTGCCTTGCGTTCTGCTGTCTTCGGAAACCGCCACACCCCTGTGCGTACCAAGACTCATGTTTACTCTGCAGTCGTCCTCTCAACGTTACTTTATGGCTGTGAGTCATGGGCTGTCAAGGCAACCGACACCCGCCGTCTGTCAGTGTTCCACAACCGCTGTGCTCGGTTTATCCTGGACGTCAGCAACTCAGAACAATGGAATGAGCATCTCTCCAATGCAGTCATCCTGGGGCGGGCTGGTTTGCGATCAGTGGTGGAGATGCTGAGGACGCGCCGTCTTCGCTGGTTGGGGCATGTCAGACGCATGTCGGACGACAGAATACCGAAGTGCGTATTGTTTGGTGAGCTCCAGAAGACGCGCCCTTGCCACGGGCCACGCAAGCGTTGGCGTGACAACATAGTGATTGACCTAGAGGAACGCCACATCAATGACTGGTACAGCCTAGCCGAGGACCGTCGTGCGTGGAGACTGGCCTGCAACACCATCCAGCCGCCTAAACCTATGTCTCGGGATTTCAGGTGCCACTGCGGCCGAGATTTTCGCCGTCGCCAGGACCTCACTCGCCACTCGAAGTTCTGTGCCGCGTGACTGAAACACTGTCGGTCCTTTCAGGACCTGCCATCATCTTCCGATGGGCATTATTGTATTGTATTGTGTGCACGTGCGTGCGCATGCATGTGAACCAACGTGTGTGGTCGTAATGGGCCTGTGGGCTTGCCTGCAAGTGGCTTGAGATGGTAAGAGATCAATGGCTTGAGATGGCAAGACTAGAGAGATCAATGGCTTGAGACTCGTTGCAATGGTAGCACTGGGCAGCATATTTCGTTCCACAATGCACATTGATGCATGTGTGCTCCACTTTACATGCAGTAAGCTCTGCCAAAACCCCACGGGAGCATGGGAGATCGCTTGCTCGAGGTGAGGGCAACAAGGGCTGGCTGAGAGTTTCTCCTCTCAGGGCCGGAGGAACGGGTTTGGGAGTGGTCCGGCCGCAAGAGGAACCATCAAATTTTGGAAATTTGAGTGATTTTGGGTATCTTGTGAGCGTGAGATCCTAGTCAGAGAACACAAACAGAAGTCAACAAAAGTGCACACCGTATCGGTGATAAAACGATCAAGATGGGTAGCATCAATCCTCAAACACCGGCTTACAAGGTGTGGATAAATCGAAAAACCGATCATTTTTTTAAAAACCAACTACAGCTTTCTCGATCGATTGGTCGAGTCTCTCGTTCGCTTCCTTTTTGACTCGTGTATACATATTTGATAGGAGTGACTGGTGCTGCTTTGGCAAGTGAGGTGCTGCAGGTTTGGCGCATTGTGAGCAATTCTCGTTAAGCACCAAGCCCTGACCCATCTGGATTTTTACATCGGCTTTGCACGAATCAAGTGGACTATCCAGCCGAGGCCCGGAAAGCGTTAAGACCATCATGGCCGCACCAGCCGGACCGCTTCCAGCAGCCTTTGAGTTTCCTCTCACCACCGTGGTGCATAAACTGTCACCAGGGTGAAGGCCGCATGCCCGACAGCGGTTGTTGCTTGGAGCTCGGTTGCATACTCTGGTGGAGGGGACTCTGGCACTGCGGTACATGCAGCACTACAACTGTGGGCCCGGAACTCTTATCCCCGCCGCCGTGACAATGCCAATGGTCAGCGCCCTGTTCATGCTGCACTTGGATCTGGACGTAGCGTGGTTCGCTATAGGATTGGATTGGATTTCTTTTCTTGTTGCCTATTTAATTCGCACTTTCCTTTGGCCGCAAATGAGTGCAAGTCATGTACAAGCTTAGCTGTGCATTGCTTACCCTGTTCAAGGCTCTGTAGCACTGTCGGGAACAGTACGTTAGGCAGTAAGAAGAAGACAACCACCAAAGCAGCGAGACCCAGGCAAATTTTCATTTTGGAGCGCCTCGCCATACTGCCCGCCTCGTTGTACGCTGTCCGGACATCCGCTGAATACTCCGATGTCTCAAATAATTCCGAAAATACTGGTCATGATTGTCCTGTCACTAATGAGATAGACCAGAGATTGCCCACATTGCATACATGATACCTGGATACAGTCATATTAGTACCGTACGCTTGGAACTCTATACTAGGGTCGCTACTGAGTTGCTACAAGTAGTAGGATGCAGCATGTGAATAGTTACTCGTCTTCCTTCTTCACCCGGCCGGAAATTGACTCGTTCTCCAGTCTCCACTGCATTTACGCACCTACCATTTATTGCGCTAGCTCAGCTCAGGCTTCTTGATTGAATGGGTAGTCTGTTCCTGACGACTGACGTCCTGTATCTGTGTCTGATCAGGGCATGCATGAGCCGAGTGATGCTACAAGTACAAGTACACCATGGTACACGCACAGCCAGAGATATCTGATACTAGTATTAATAGTATCTGGCTTTCAAAGCTAAACTCAAGCCCCGGCTAGGCTACATGTAGCCGGAGACCATGCACGGTAGATCTACTAAGTACAGCCAGGTAGACCAATGCGGCAATGGTAGACGCGATCGCGCGATGATCCTAATGCCAGGCGACGTCAAGTGCACGTGACTTGGTTGAGATCTGAATTCGTTCGGTAAAATCCCGTGGTTGCTGGTTACGTCGCGTTTCGACAAGTACGATTTCCCGAGATCCCTTCCTAGCATGAAATCAACGTGTTGCGGCCGAGCGCTTCAATGCGGCTTGGACTAGTGTTGAAGCAAGCACGCCACCACTGCACCAGCCACTGGCGCTAGTACTCTTTTCCTTTCTTCCCCGTACTCTAAACATTTCGGTGGGCGCGAAGAGGAAAGTAACCACGTTACGTGAGTTTTCTGGTCTGAGACCGTGGGACTGTGTCGAGTTTGGTGGCATTCACTCTGAGTCGGTCACCCTGAGCCATGCAACTCGGCAGATAGCTAGCCAGAAGTAAAATTTGTGCGTTTATTTTCACTCGAACGACTAAAGACAAGACTACAAGCTAATGGTCATTAGCTACCTAGGTAGTGTTCCGGACGAACGTTTGGTCGAGGAGTACGAACAGTGAAGACTGTAGACTGAAGTAGCATCTTGACCAGACAGGTACAGGACCAGCTGGAATCGACTAATCGGAGTGCCTACGTACTAGTAGCATGCAGTAGTCCGGTGTACGAGCTCGTGCGTGCATCGTAGAATCTACCAGTTATCTTGCTGGTAAAGATGGCGGTGCTAGCACGCTACCGTCGTGTGACGCACGGCAAGGAGTATCGCGATGCGGACCACCTAAACCACGACGGCATCATGGCGATGAAGAGGCGAGACGAGCAGCTGTTTAAGCACTACACTCCCCTGATGCTGATGAACATATTCAGGGACACGTACGACGATTATACGGACGAGACTCGCTGGGAATATGCCGATTATCTGTTCAAGTCTTGCATGGTTGACCTGAACATCACATGCCCACGCTTGAACAATGGCCTCATTTGCAGTGGTTCCATACTGTGGCATTCTGCGCAGCGTCTGAATATGGAGCAGGTCAAGTATTGCGTGAAGAATGGTGCAGATCCCAGCTGGACATCTGATTCGGATGGCAGTACACCACTGCAACAGGTGGTTATCCACGCCTCTGAGTTTCTGAAGGTGGATACGAGGAAGGGCGCTGACTCGTTTCTGGTGAAGAGACGGGGCAACGCCTGGCAGCGCTACATGTCTATGGTAGACCTGCTGCTGGACCTGGGTGCCAACGTGAATGAGCAAGATGGTCGCGGTTGGACTGCCGTGATGCATGCATGCAGTGGACGAATACCATACAAGGATACGGATAGTCAGTATTGCAGACGCCATGACAGCTCCAAGCCGCGCTTTGTACCGGAACCCGTTCGGCGTGTGGATGTCATTAAGGACTTGTTTCGCCGAGGTGCGCGGGTTGACGTACTCAGCTGTAGCGGCGAGAGCGCTGTGTCGGTGGCTGTGCAGGCCGGTGACGTTGAGGTGCTGAGAGTCCTTTGTGCAGAGCAGCCAGATGCTGTGCGCAGGGTGGTGAACGTCGAATCTCTGGATGGCTTTTGTCCTATTCACCACGCTGCCACTGCCCGTAGTGTGTTCATGATGAATATACTGCTGGGCATGGGAGCTAATGGGCATGCGGTGGACAGAGCGGGCCGAGCACCAGCTAATATCGTCATGCAGAATCTTGATGTGAAGGACTGCCGCTTTATTCGCTCTGAAGAACAACGCCTTCTAACCGTCCTGCGTTACCATGGGTTTGGCTTCCAAGACCAGGTCGGCGTGTTTCGCCATGCAGTATTTACTGACTACATCACAATCTTGCCAGCTGTTATGGACGTCGACTTTGAGATTCAAGTCAACTCTGCTGCCCACCAACTCATCTTTCTGGAGAGTGCTGCATCACGCAAGAGCGATGTCTTTGATACTCTGCGAGTAGTTTCCAACTGGCCGCAAGATGTCATGTGTGATGCGTGGCTGCTGTACATCTCCACGTTGCCTCAAGCTCCAACGAATTCTCCGGCAGACCAAGCGACGAAAAAACAAATGAAGGCAATGTGGCAATGTGCTATGCAGTGCGGTCTTGCAACGCACTCTTTTCCATTCCGAACACCACCACACGGCAACGCCGAGGAAGTGAAGGAGAGGCTGACACTGTTTGGACAGGAGTGCACTGAGCTAACCGCCTGGGAAGATTTGGAGAACATCTACTGTCCGCCCATGGAAGGTCAAATGCCAGATTATCTTCAAGTGGGCAAAACCAGCTTCATCCGTTTTCGTCATCGACTTGCAATTCTGTACCGCATCTTTGGCTTTTACCACACCATCGTCCTTCAGGCGTATCGAGAGTACGTGACATGGGTAACCGACAGGCTGAACCGCACCAGCTCTGGCCGCAGTATGTACAACAGCTCCTACTTCAGCGAGATGGCGGAGACCGAGTATAGCCGCAAGGAGATTGAGGCACTGGACCATGAGTGCGTTCGCATTACGTGTGTGGAGATGGAAATTGGCCTCTCGGTGCAGTTTACCGTCAGCGATGAATACTACCTATTCCGTGGCCTGGATGCAATCTTCAGAGTGTTTGAACGCTGCAGAGACTACTGGGGGCGCTACGACTCTGTTCCGTTTCTCTCACTTATCAACTTCCCACTACTCATCCGATGGGCCTTTCACTTTTTGGAATGCTTTCAGGCTGATTACTTTGTTGATCAGCTTGTTCTGAGCAAGCTGAAGTCAATACTTCTCATGCTGGCCTCGTTTAGTCATGTCAACCAAGATCACGTTCACTGCGCTGGTGCACTTGTGTGCACTTGTCGCGCAGTTCAGCCCTAACCTGGCCAACCGTCGTCGGCTGCAAAGTGATGGCAGAGATGTGTATCCACTCGGCATAAGAGGATACTTACACAATGTTCACTCCGAGCTGCTCGCGGTGTGTCGTGAGATTGCAACAGCCACCAGGAAGAGTGGTCGCCGTGACTTGCCCTCAGTTTTCCACGAGCTCCTGCAGATCACGCGCGACGGCCGCAAGCCACCGGTGCCACTGGAGGATTTAATAGACCGCCTGCCTATAATCGAGGCTTTGGTCCAAGCTGGTTTTGACTTCCATACACGAGGTCCGGATGGTGAAACCTTGATAGCCCGTCTGTTCAAGATACATGCCTACCTACTGGAGGGAGAGCTTTTGCCAGACGAGGAAGATTCCTTTGAAATCTGGCAAAATATTTTTGAGATCATACAGTCGTCCGGTGTCGGGATTCACTGGGATGCGCCGTACTCATATCACGAATCTCTCCTGTCACGTGCTCACCGTCAGCTTGAAGGCTTCACCTGTGTCATGCAGCCCGGCTCTGTCCCGGCACCCACAGTTCCGCGCCTGCTCTGCATCGCCGCCAAAGCAATCTCAGCCCTTCCCATCACCGTCCGCAGCTGCCTCCCGGTGCCCATGCAGAAGATGGTGGACAGTCACCGGGTCCCGCACACTCCTGCGGGCCATCCGTCTCTGGGCCCGTGCTACAAGGTCAGGACTGGCGCCTATGACTCCGACAACAGAGACGTTGAACGGGAGTATCCACAAGTGGGGTGGCAGCATAGCCGCGCATATGGTTGGTGAGGATTCTGTGGCAGGATGCTTTCACATACATACACCTAGTCACGGTCAGTTCATGCGCTTGTTCCTGGTGCGCACTGGTGGTCGATGCCATCATCTCTCCCCGAGCCGGGGGGGGGGTCCAGTTAGCCATTTCTGAAACTGTGGTGCATTGTACCATTAATACCATGGTCAAACATGAGTGCTGCGCTGATGAGACGAAACGGCGCGCTGCCCGCAGATTGAGTGAATGCTCCGCATGTATTTGATAATCAACGGATGGACGCTCTGTCATAGCAGTTGACTAGTGGTTTACTTGTACGCAGGCAGTGTCTGCGATCAGTGCCTATTCTTCATATCTCTGACTCGGTGACCTTGGTGTTACCGCCTTCACTGAGCAAAGAGCTAAAGTCTCTTGGCATATCCTCGTTATTTTGCCGCCTCCCTTCGTCCTGTCAAACTCCCGTACCATTATGATCCACGATAGTCCCGCTGTGAATTTCCATCTCGCTCCACTGATGACGATATTTGATTTTTTATAACAGCTACTGCATTTTTTTCGCATTAGTTCTCAATATTCGAAAAAATGTGTTCACGTTCGTAAAAAATGATAGTTTTCAAATTTCAACTTGATTCAGCGAGTACTTTTAAGAAAGTATTATTTCGTTAAAATCCCCGCGGGCCTCCCCTCTCCAGTTATTTACATTGTCACTAAAGTTTCGTTTTCACGGTTCTGCGACTATAGCAGGTAAATAACTAGTAACCGTATAGTTTCTGCCTTTCTGAGCATTCACGATTCAGCCGCTTCCCCATGATACGAACATGTTACGGCACTGTACTGTCTGAATCGCTCTTATTATGATTTTGCTGATGATGGCGTTATTTGGATCGCCAGCAACGAAGTTATGGAAGACAGAGATGAATGTAAACCGAGGCCCAAAACTGCATCATGGGCGATGCAGTAGCAGCTCGGAGCAGAGTCGTGTTGTACATGACTGCCCATGTGTTTTCAAGTTGACATAGTACTGTAGTACAGTAGCCAGTACTAGTACACGACCTCATTGAGCCTAGCCTAGGGATTGACGGTTCATGTGTGCCTCCGGAGCTCCTGGGCGCAATGCTTGGGTGCTTTTCTTTCTTTGCATCACATGTAATTTTATGCGGTCAATACCTTGAAACATGCTTCCAAGTAGTGCTCAGTACCATGAGTACCGGTAGTTATAATAACCTTTTTCATATCATAAGTTACAATGGCTATTTCCTCAAATGGTTCTTCACTTTCTGCATCACATTTTGTGGATTGAACAAACAATGGATAGAACAATAAAGACTGCCACTAACACTAACTCACGGTGGTACTACTACTACTAGTAGTACTACTACCGTGTAGTACCGGCAGTACCAGCACCATGGCATTGTACAGTCATGTACTACACTACTGTATATTATTGTAAGTAAAATTTATGCACGCACGCACACAACACGGTCGGACAGCATGCAGATCTACCTACTGTATGTGTACAATGGTGTACGAGCAGCGAGTAGATCTACAGTGCCATGCCGTGCCATGCCATACCGCTAGCTTGCGGACCGCATACCGTACCGGTCGTCGCGTGCATGCGCATGGCCGCCCAAGCAGCTGGGAAGGACTGGGAATCTTGTGCATGTGTCCAGGTGTCGGTCCTCGCACTCCTCGGCCTCCTCATTACATAAAAATTAATAATAGGTCTTTGGTTTTCTAACCTTCACGGCTTCAGCCTTTTTAGTTCAGGCTTTTCTTAGCTCGTAGATCTACAACAGTTACTGTCACGTTGTGTTGCGCTTCGTTACAGTGTATCGCTGTGAGGAAGTCCGTGGATCCCCGGATCATGGCCTGTGATGCGCAGTTGCTGTGACCACTCGCTAGGCCCGGCTGGTGTAGATATAGAACTAATTACTTAGAAGAAGGTCCACGATTGACAGAGCGTCATTGCCTGTGCTGATGTTGTTTATGTCCTTTCTTGGACAAGTAAGCAAGCCTGTCCCGGACTGAGTGCCGTGGGTGCTGATCCAGTAGGCATTTGCCATAGCTATTACAGTGGCTCTCCTCTGCCATTGACCATGTCGTTCCTAAAATATCGTAAGCCAAGCTACCGGAGCGGTACCTACTGGTCGGCGAGGAGTCGTGATCGAGATGCCATGCACCAGGTTCGAGTGAATGACAGAGAAGAGTTCCTGCATCATGTGCCACGCTTGCTCATGGCAATCTTTGACCAGTTAGAACAGGATCCGTCGGAGCTGACGTACCAGTCTCCATGGTCTCTTCTCAACTTCGTATTCCGTTCGTCCGGTGTCGATCCGGACACAATGATGCCTCGAGAGCAACCTAAAACCGGTCTTCCCGTTTGCAGTGGTACCCTGATTTGGCATGCAGCAAACAGCCTGAGGACCGACCTGCTGGAATACTGCTTGAAAGTGGGTGCTAACCCTAGCGTGCCGTCTGAGTATGATGGCAGCACAGCTATACACCAAGCCGTTATTACCGGGGCCGAACTGATGCTCCCCAAGCAGACTTCTGAGAAGGTTCTGTCAAAGACGGCGTCCATGAGAGAAAAGGCATGGGAAGACTATCTGGAGTTTCTAGACCGGCTGCTGTCGGCAGGTGTGGATATAAATGAAACTGATCAACGGGGCTGGACGCCACTCATGTACCTCTGCTCCGGTGTTAGACCGATGACTGACAACAGCCACAAGTGCACATACCTACATGACAGTATCAGCCGGCATTTCACCAAGGAGTTACGGCGGCTGGAAGTCCTTCATAATCTGTTACGCCGGGGTGCGCAGGTTGATAGGCTCAGTGCTACAGGAGAGAGTGCTGTTTCGCTGGCCGCTAAGTCCGGCCAATCTGCTGTGTTTAAGATCCTGTGTGCAGAGCAACCTGATGCTGTGCGTAAATTGGCACATCTGCGAGACATGGATGGTCTGTTTCCCGTACATCACGCGGCCCGTTCCCGGAGTGTTTCATTGCTGCACAAGCTTCTTGAGTTTGTACCGAATGGGCACGTCTTGGACAGTCAGGGTCTGCCTGCAGCCAGTCATATCATTCGAAACCTGGACGACACGTGTCGGTTTGCTCGATCCGAAGAACTGCGGCTGCTTGGGGCTTTTCCCCACCGCGGCTTCAGCTTCCGCGATCAGACGGTTATTTTCCATGATGCTGTGCGCTCACAGGACACCGCCGTCCTAGCAGCAGTGCTAGAAGGTGGCTACGAGATAGATGTCAGCTCACCCACCAGCCACCGTATCCTTCTCGAGTGCTGCGCGTCTAATAATCACGTGGACATCTTCGAGGATCTGCTGATGTCAGCCCAGTGGCCCAGTGACCTGTTGTGTGATGCATGGCTGATGTATGTTGCCATGACTGACCCGACCTACAGCTTTCTCGCTCTCCGCAGGAGGTCTCGCGATACTGTAGAAAGTCGCTGGGAGAACGCTGTGCGACATGGAGTGAAGACACACGCGTTTCCGCAACGTGCAACACCTCACAGCAATGCGAAAGAAGTGAAGAAAAGGCTGACGATGTTCGGACGACCATGTGTGGAAAGGAAAACCTGGGACGAACTGCTCACGCTGTTCGGCCCTAAACAAAAGCACGAAACAAGTGAGACAGGCGGCTTCAAGTACGGATGTGAGAGAATATACCAACTCTTTTGCAACCGGCTGGCTTGCGTCTACCGCAATCTTGGCTTTAACAGCAGCCTTTTCGTCTCCACTTGCCGTCGAATGTCAATGTGGGCTCTTGATAAGCGAAGCCGTTGTGAGATACGTCGGTTTGCCTTTCGGTTGCGCGATCCTGCCCAGGTCGATAAAGTACCAACAGAGTTCACACAGAATGAACTGGTGGAATTGGACTGTGTGTACGCATCCCAGGTGGAGGCTGACATTGGTCTGAGCATCAACTTCACGTCGTTCGACACCAAGTACCTTGGCAAAGCTGTGGATGAGTTTTTCGCTGAAGCTCTAGGCTATGTCGAGTACGTTGGTTACCATGAGTGTGTCACGGAAATGAGAGAAGTGGACTTCTGCTTGTTGGCACGCTGGTCAGTTCACGTCATGCAATGTCTGCCGATTGACCATCCACTGCAGACAACGATTCTGGAAAGGGTGTCGGCGCTCTTGATTGAAATGTCTGTTTACTCTCAAGTTGACGACGAGCATATCCAGTATGCAAACTCACCACTGTGTCTTACGTTCAGCCCTGCCCTCGCGTCCAGACGGAGGCTACCCCACTTGCCGCGATTCCGAAAATACGCTCGCCGAGTTCATGTGTATCTGATTGAGTTTTGCGCCGAGCTTGCTGATGCGTACAGGAAAGGTCACCGCAGAGGCCTTTCTACCGTTCTGCACTACTTCGCAACAGAACGCCGGTCAGAATCAGGTAATGAAGAATGGGAGGAGTTTGTCAACTTGCAGATGCGCCTTCCAGCGTTTGAGGCTTTCGCGATAGGTGGTTTTGACATGCACCTGCGAAATGCTGCGGGAGTGACTGTCATAGGTCACTTTCTGGATGGTCATACAACCCAACTGAACGCTAATATTCCACGCATCCATGACATGTGGAAGCTCTGGCCACTCATCTTTGACCTGTGGCAATCGTATGGTCTGGGAGTTCATTGGGATACGCCATTCTCGTTCAAGGAGACTCTGCTGCAGCATGCCAAGCACCATGTCCAGAAGGGCACCAGGTTTGTGTCTCAGCCTGGCTCTCGACCGCTACCGACTGTTTTACCTCTGCAATGTTTGGCAGCCCGTGCTATCACAAAGTTACCCGGCTGTCCTTGCACCTCTCTGCCACCTCCTATGCAGAAGTTTGTTGAGCTCCACCAAGTGCCGAATCGTACGAGTACGATTCCTTTGGCGACGCCAGCCATTGAGTCTAATCATGACCGTGATCTGGATAGAGAGGCTTCTCCCAGGTTCCGGAGATCTGAAGTGTGGGTAAGATGAGCACACGTCGCACTGCTTTTGATCACAGCATGCTTGATTGCTCATGTTGACTTGAAGTACTGGTACTAGCCTGAGCTACCATAAAAATTCTGGTCATGGTTGTATGGTTTGCAACTTGAGCGCACCTAGCTATTTGTCAGTGACATACTATTCTTAGCTTTGTATTTCGAAATTATAGGTACCTGGCTGTGGCTTAGAATCACTTCCACAGATTTGACACTGCTGATAATTATTGCAGGAAGACGACATTCATGTCAGCCTGGTCCATTGTATAGCAGTAGCTGTTTATCGCTGCCCATCAGCATAGTACTTTGAATTGTTTGACCACTACATGCACGATAACTTTGAGACTGTTCATGGTAATGTATGCACACTGATATTTACGCTGCAGAGATTACGCGCACTGCACTTACTTTTCAGTTTTAGCCCAGAATAGCGGCGTGTACGGAAGTTTCAACCAGGGAGTAATGCAATACCGGTACTGTACTACTCCCTGGTTGCAACGTACGGTTGATATGACTGTGTGTGTGTGTGTGTGTGTTGTGCATGCGTATGTGTGTGCATGTGCGTATGCATGTGTTCATGTGTCCATGTAAACCTACAAGTGTTCGATCGACAATAGAGAGGATGCACGTTATTTCTGACGTGACGCGAAAGTTCAGCTCGCGTTGTTTGGCTCGCGCGTTAAAAAACAACGCGAGTCACCTGCAGCTTGCGTCAAAATTTGAGTTTTACGCCAAATTTGTCGTGGAATTCCGCGTCACGTCGGAAATAATGTGCATCTCAACCTCTCTAATACTTTTTATAGTAGTCTGTGATTGTGGTGTGGTGGTACTAGTACGAGTAGCAGAAAGAGTGCATGAAACCATGATAATAATATCTTGGTACTGGACCGGGAAATCGTGCGCGCCCTGTGGAAGTAGACAAGACGTGTAGTGTACGGTATGTCACACAATCAAACTGTCCCCACAGAATACCGCAATTCCGCGGACGCGCAGTTTTCTGCGTTATTGACTTTCCTTCATGTTTTCGAGAAATTTTGCATATAAACCCCCCACGTTATCCATGGGAATGTACAAGAAAGTAGGACATGGTATACCGGTGCATGGTGTTGAAAATGTACTACAAAGTCGTACCTCCTTGAGTTTGTACGAACAGTTTCATGCGAGTGTACAACTGGACAAATTGCTGAAATTATGCGCATCATTATGCGGGCGAAACAGGCCATGATGCGCACAATTTTAGCATTTTGTCCGTGTTATTCTGTGAGGACAGATCAAAGAGTGCACACTGATTGCCTGGTGAACAAGTGGGCTTGACCGTCTCCATGCATGAGCATGGGAACCAGAATTGCACACCCACACTTGTATAGGGGTATTGTACGCACATGTACATATTTTGTAGTTTGCAAAAGTCCATATTTAAAATAAATAAATAAAAAAGTAAATTATCGTGTCCGTTCCTGAAGGGAACTCACGACGGCCGCTAACACCCGATAAATCCTAGGCCATAACCGAGCTAAAATAAGGGTGCGTTCTTATATTCTATAGCTTCTCGGAGAACAAGAAAAGAGAAGTCGAAGAAACGGGTCTCGAAGAATTCGGAGATATTTCGCACATGTCAAGCAATATGAACCGCCGAAGGGGTCTTGAGTGCCACGAATGTACAGTCAACTTCGCTTATAACGACATTCGGCGGGGCATCGGAAAAGTATCCTTATTCGCGAAGTGTCGTTATACCCGAAGTCTCATTATATGTGTTACAGTTAGATGGGACTTTGCTCTGGGCATGACAATTCTGTCGTTATTCGCGAATTGTCGTTATATCCGCAGTCGTTATTAGCGAAGTTGACTGTAGTATGCACTGTACAGCTGTGCGTAAGCGAGAAGGGAAATGCGTACACTTATGATCAACACGTGGCTTTTAGCCGTAGTTCGCATGCGCTGATCCCAAACCGCAGGAATCTCCAAGTTTCAACCACCTCTGAAGCTCGGAGAGCTTTGGAGAGCCTCCTAAAAGTCGGAGAGGATAATACCGTGTGTCAGCGCCTTTAAAGCCATGGCCTTATATTCGAAACACCGCTGCTTTCCTAGATATTTTAGATGCAAAATGACTCATCCACTACGCCATGCCATAAAAGTCAATGTCCACACAGAAATTTCAATCTAAGGCGGTGTTTACATGAAGCGTTTCAACCCGGGTTGAGTTCGACCCGGGTCAGATTTCAACCCGCCATGTGCACAAAGTGAATGGCGCGTTTACATGACGCATTGCGCTTGACCCGGGTTGATTTCAACCCTCCCCCCAAGGGGAGGGTTGAAATCAACCCGGGTCAAGAAAATCGTACAAACGTACTTCTGTGCGTATCTCGCGCCAGGTTTGAACAGCACTGCAGATGCAAATTTCGCGCGAACGGATTCACGTGACCATACAGGACTGTAGAAGTGGACTTTTGGCGGCATATCAGTATTTGACCCGGGTCAACTGTCTTCATGTAAACGCTCACCTCTTTTGTCTATCGTACAGACTTTCAACCCGGGCTGAACTCGACCCGGGTTGAAATTTCTCATGTAAACACAGCCTAAATCTACCTGTTCACCCTTCCTGCTGGGCTGTAAGTTTGTTAGCACAGTGCTTATTCCTTCATTTTTTACAAAACATACTTCAAATGTCATTTTAGTTATGAAGCCCATGGCTTTATAACCGAGACTGGCTTTATAATCGAATATACCGCCATGGCTTTAAAGGTGCGGACATACGGTAAGAACAGCTCTCGAACTTTTCGGAGAGTCTCCAACTTTTCGGAGAGGATTTAAGAACGCACCCTAAGACCAGCTCTTGACAACCCTGCATTCGCACACGGTTTCATGCAGTGTACAAATGTCATATCATGTACAGTAGGTCGTGTCGTAAGCAAGAGCAAGAGTCCACAACACCAATAGTTATGGAAAAATCCGACATCAGATTATAAACAATCATTCTGTCAAAATTATGATTGCACGAGCATGAACCTTTATGTGAGCACATCATTATTTATTATTCATTCAGCAAACTGTCACTGGATCATGGACGCACCCGTCACTTTGTGCTGTAAAGCTTCCTATCATCGTTGTTACCTGAAAGGCTTCCACCACTCCCTGCATGGTCGTTACCACAAAAGTCAAAGTAACCACGTCATCAGCGCCCCCATGTCGACCTTGTCCTTGTCCTTTAGTTTTACCAGTTTACTACATCTCTCAGTCTCACAAACAAACAATAATGCATGGGCCATCCAACAAACCATGAACACAAGCTCACCACTGGCACGTACAACTCAGCGTTATTCGCATGAATTTTTGACTGTTGTTTGAAGTGAAGTGTCAAATTTTTCTGTGCTTTCGACTTTTGTTCGTTGACTGAATTGAACTAAACAAAAAAATAAATTATTTTGTTTCTCCTATTGGCGTACATCTTGAGCCAATAGTTTGTTATTGCTGAAAATTGAAGGGAGTGGTGCGCTTCTAGCTTTGTCCCGAGTGTGGAAATTTTGAGGTGAGCATATCATAGTAATTTTGATTGTTTACACGTGGCAGAATTTTGATGCTTTCGATCGCGGGGGGTCATTTTGAGAAGTGATATTGCAAACGCGAGTGCTGGGCGTACTGGAGGCACGTTTGGTAAAGGGCACATCAGGATTGATAGAGAGTCATTTCCATTCTGAGTTGCATATTCTGTCTTCCATTCCCAACAGCTTGGCTTAGGCTCATGCATCGTGGCTCCCTGCATGCTAGGGTCTCTGACTGTATGATGTGGATTATAATAACATTGTGATTGTAGCTTGGGCCACAGCCAGTGTGTGTGTGTGTGGAGTATCATAGGAAATGCAACTCACATCATCTGAATAGGAAAATGTTGAATGGGTTTGCCTGGATGATGATGAAACTGTAGCTACCGGTATAATATAAGCGGGGCTGTTTGAGGCTGTTGAGTACGCCCATCACAAGGCATCAGCCACTGTGCCACCTGGTGTAGTCAAACTACATCTTTGTTGCTACCAATGCCTCTCGAGCGGCCACACCCTTGTTCATCACATGGATTAGTTCTTGCTGGTGTCGCATGTGGCGGAGGGTGCTGCCGTGCTGGGGCCTGTTTTTTGGTCATTTTAGCAGGCCACCACAAGAGAGGACAATGGAAAGGTTCCACATGACGTAATTACGTTAGTAAAATGTAGTCGATCTACGGAAAGTCTTACGCACACTGCATGAGGATCTGTGTTCCGCTGTGCGGAGCTTTCGAATCACGTAGCTGCCCTTGGCAACTCGGAACACGGCAGTGTACGACCGGGTCGACCCGGGGAATTATTCATAGATTTGTACCCCAATCCACTTATGGAGCACCTCCGTTGTCAGAGCCCTATCTACGTACGCTACGTACATAACTTTCTGTAAGTGGAGTGAAAACTGAAAAGTCGTGCATTCACGGGGTTTTCCCGTCCGCTAACGTAAAGTTGCTCTCAACTTCACGTATTGTGGAACGTCTCGAATACTACATATAGAACAACTGATCTTGTCAGAGCACCAAATGTCACAACCACATCATCAAGTGAACTATGCTCGGCTGGCAACCAAAATAGTCGACATTTTTAGGCTAGTGTACACAAGAGCATTCCTCCCTTTTGGTATTTCAAAGAACACCACGAGTCCATGAAAGCGGATCTCTATTTGAGATCCCCTACTCTGAAAAGTGATTGGATGAGAAATAGAGTAGAATAAGATTAGTGAGAGTAAAAATAGCCCTTTTGTATGGCTCTGATATCGTGTAGGTACATTCTAAGCTAGAACATGTTGCAATGCAGAAGAGGAATATGGATTAATTGTAACAGCTTTAGAGGCTGTCTAAGATTATTGATCTATTACAGGAAGCGAAAAAGTTTGTTTATAGGTGGGTGGGTCGAGGAGAGTTTCGTTTTTAAAATATTGATAGCTGAAACATCAATCCTTTCTCTAGCTGTCAAGTCAATATATTTTCGTTCAGGGGGTTTGGGTGGGTGACGGAGGGTTGTAACTAAACTTTAAATTATCAGCAAATGCCGGATGGCCTCTTATAGCAGGCACACCGGTAATTCGAGTGTGTGTGTGTGTGTGTGTGTGTCTGTCTGTCTGTCTGTGTGTGTGTGTGAGAGAGGGAGAGAGAGAGAGAGAGAGAGAGAGAGAGAGAGAGAGAGAGAGAGAGAGAGAGAGAGAGAGAGAGAGAGAGAGAGAGAGAGAGAGAGAGAGACCACTCTCCAAGCGGTCTCTGGGCTAGTATAAGACCAATCACTGAAAAAGAACAAAATTATCCGAATTTTCATCATGCCGAAAATTTGGATAATTTTATTCTTTCTCAGTGATTGGTGTAGCCCAGAGACCGCGATAACTTTATTCATTTGTGTGCATATAAAGTGGATTTAAAAAAAAAATGAGTAGGGTACCTGGTGTCTATTGTTCTCTGCAGTCCTAGGATCATGGCGGAAGCAAACCCTGCTGTGGATGTTAGGTAAGGATCATGACTTGGTTCGTTAGTGCATTAACCCTTTACCATCCGTGCGTACTTGAATCGATCTCTAGAGATCGATGGACATGCATACACTAAAACATTCGTAACTCGATCGATTCTTGGCGGAATTTGAAGAACTAAGTATCTAGGAAGAAGCCGAAGAACCCAGCTTTCCATTGCACCAATCGGTAAAGAGCTGCGATGTCGCATTCCAAAGATATTTTGCTCGACATTTCAGCTACGGCAAAAGTCGAATTTCTTTCCGAGTGACTGACATTCAGCGGGGATTTTCCCCTCTCCTGACATGCTGAGTCACTTTGGCATGCTTCGAGCGCGTGGGCAGCATGAAAAGAAACTCAAGCAAAACATTTGGAATGTTTATGATGAAGGAGCGAGAAATGGCTGACGAGGAGAGAATTTCCTCGTATATACAGCGATGG